CGTCAGTTTCACAGACATATAATTTTATTAAGCAAACAATAATTTAATGACTAAACTGTGCAAAGTGTCCTCTATGACAAGTTAGATTTTTAGAGTTCCAATTCGGTCGTAGATGTTCCTGTTTCTAATGTGACCATCCAGCTCACGGTAGTTGTCAGAGATTTTCTTTCCAAGCTCGATCTTTTTCTTAAGAGCCTTGGCCGAAGATTCTTTGTCGGGAGAAGCAACCCATTCAACAGTAGCATCCAAGAACAATTTGGTGAGATTCTTCCTTTCCTGTGTAATTCTTTCCAATGCGTCGTTGTCGGAAGACTGCAAGCCATTCAGACTAGGAGTTGGTTCCAGGTATTTCCACTCGAAATCGTCATCTCCACCGAGTTCCTTTGGAATATGCTTGATATCAATGACTTTCTCCAAGTCGCTCGTGTTTTTTGTGAAGACAATCTTAGAGGCTACCACAGGATCCAACCATGCCTTAATAACGTTCCAAATACTGCTGAATATCCATGGTGCTTTGTGAACGAACAACACACCCAGTGATTCTGGGTAGTGCGCCTCAAAACATTGAATCATGAACTTAACGGGGGCATAGTCCATATTGGACATGGAGAAACCGGAGAGATCAAAGAGGATGGAACAAGAGTCAATGGGCTCGTTCAAGAACAAACGGGCATACTCAATGACCAATAGCGTGAAATGTTCCATCTCCTCTTGGGTCTGCTGCGACGAATGGTGAAATCTGGGTCTCACAATAACCACGGGTCTTCCGGTCTTGTCGTAACCACGAATGATGGCCTTACCAAGCTCGAATTGCAACATCAAACCCTCTTTTTTCTGTTGAAAAGGAACCAATTCACCGTCCATCAACAGCTTGTCAACCTTGCTCTCGTTCGCCCTCCAGCTTAGAGTGTTAGCAATCATCTCCAAGGCCTTATCGGTATCCCATTTTCTGGCTCTAACAAATCTCAAGAGAAGATTGTCGGGTGTGTCTTGCCTCAAAAAGCTCCAGAAGAATTCCTTGGACTTTTCAGCATCAAGACCCGTGAAAGCCGCGTGGATATGCTCGTTTGTACGAAGGGTGACATTTGGATCACTGCTCATGCGATTGGAAAGGGTCTTCTCGAGTTCATTCTCAATGGACTTCGTGTGCTTGTGTCCCCTAGAGAACCTGGAAACAAGACCTCTTTTCTTCTTCTTATCCTTTGAGTCCTTGGAAGCAACCGAGATTGTGGATTTGGTGGTCCCTGATCGGTTAACGTGACTGATGGGAGCATCAAACGAGTATCCCCAGAAATGGAGAAAGTAGCCCCATATTTCCTTGAAGACCTTCTCCTGATCTGCGGTCAAAGTCTCGACTCTGCCGGATGGAAGATTCTGTGTCATCTCCTTTTTCTCGTGCTAACCAAACAGTAATTAGCGTGTCTTTGATGGCTCTAGCAAATGAAGAAATAATTCAGAATAGCTAGGTAATACCGAGAAACTTCTATATAAACGCAACGAAGACAGCAAAATAATTATTGTGAAAGAGTCTCGGAACGGGGTTTGAAGAATATCTCTCTGTTGTTGGGTTTTTAGGTGGCATCGTTCATTGAAATAATGGGTATGAGCCCAGCTGCCCGACGCGCTACATATTTCATGTGCAACCGATTTCCGGTCTAAACATAAATGAACGAGATATATCTATATATAGATATTAGTGTTGATATTTACATGTTTTATCAGTCTATTTAACAATGATCACTATCGCATCTTTCTTGACAATAACATTCTTGATTGTTTTGTCCCCAACATACTTTCTGCCATTTGCAGACTCAATCACCTTAGTGATCAGATCATCCTTCCCCAACGTCTTTTCGGCAGAGTGGGAAAACCTGAATTTTCCATTGATCATGACTTTGTAGTCGTGAGTATTTGTACCAATCAACGGTGCAGGTACCGGCCAATCAGCCTGCAGGATACTCGTCCATTCTAGGTGAGAGGCTCCGCAGTAGATCTCATAAGCCTCCTCCGCAGCAGATGGAGTCACTGGGGCCATGAGTCTGATCAGTTCCAGAAACGAATATCTCAAGACAATACCACTTATCTCTGAATTCTGGCCATCCTCAACAAGTTTGTTCGTCAACTTCATATAATCGGATATAACCGTATTTAACGTCAATGTTTTTGAAAAGGAATTGGTGACAGACACAATTGTGTTCTGCACAGTGTTGAAAAGATTTGTTTCTGCAGCATTGAGTTTGCCTAAGTCCAATTCAGGTGCAGACTTGCTATTTCCTATAGTCTCTGCTAGTGTCAGCACCTTCCTGAGCCAACGTTGAATCCCAACAATTTTTGTTTCGTCCCAATCAAGAACGTCTGTTACGGGAGCTTGGAACAAAATGTGGCCTCTGGTCGAATCAGCCCCATATTTGAGGATGCACTCCTCGGGATCAGCCCCATTGTACTTAGATTTGGACATCTTTTCAAATGTTATTGAGGCAATTTTTCCAGTCTCTTTTACCACAGGCTGAGGTCCAGTAAGATCAACCTCGTCTGGCTTCAAAAATCTCTTATTGTCAGGATTGACATATGTCTTTCCGTGAACCATTCCCTGAGTAACAAGACGTCTTATAGGTTCTCCATTAAATTCCTTATTCGTCCATTCACCTGTAGAACTAAGAAACTTGGAGACAAACCTGGTGTACAACAGATGCAGAATGGCGTGCTCCACACCACCTATATACATGTCCACTGGCAGGAGAGAGTTTGCTTTTTCTTTATCGAAAATCGCGTTGCGATTTTTAGCATCGGCATATCTGAATAGATACCAGGAGGAGTCCATAAACGTATCCATGGTGTCCGTATCTCTCTTGGCATGACCTCCGCATGAGGGACACTCACAGTTAACAAATTCTGGGATATTAGATAAAGCAGAACCATTTTTACCTACCAGAGCATCAACCTTGGGAAGCAATACTGGAAGCTGTTCATCTGGAACAGGTACCGTGCCACAATCATCGCAGTACACTATTGGAATAGGTGCACCCCAATACCTCTGTCTGCTTATGAGCCAATCTCTGATTTTGTACTTGGTGGTTGGAGTTCCCAGATTGGTAGCTACCAATTGAGATTGCATAGCTTTCAGGGCTTCTTTTGTTGTCAACCCACTGAATTTTCCAGCATTTGTGTTCAAAACGCCTTCTTTTCCCGTGTAGGGACCTTCCTCTTGGGTGCCTTCCAAAGGTTCCACTGACCTCATGATAGGAGCATTACCACCCATGTTCTGTCTCCAAAATTCGAAGTCTCTTTCATCATGAGCAGGACATCCCATCACAGCACCCTCTCCATAACCACTGATAACATATGGAGCAACAAAGACGGGTATTTTCGGTAGATCTGGATCGATGGGGTTGATCACATATAAGCCTTTGATCTGGAATCCGGCCTTGGAGTCTTCCTGTTCTGTCAGTTTTTGGTCCCTGATAAACGAACGTAAGTTATGATCACCCTCCGCCACCTCTTTCGTGATTTCATGGTCAAGTGCAAGTGCAACGTATTGCACGCTGAACAATGTATCGACCCTAGTGGTAAATGTGGTGATGCTCTGTGAGTTTGCTGATTTCTGGCTTTGCTCATTGAACAAAAATGTCACAGTGGTACCGTTACTCTCACCGATCCAATTGGTTTGCATAGTTTTAACTTCAGAGGGCCATTCTTCCAAAATGTCCAAATCAGCCTTCAACTCAGGCGCAAACTTGGTGATCCCCAAGAACCACTGCTCTAGTGATTTCTTCTCCACTAAAGCCCCTGATCTCCATGATCTTCCCTGAGCGTCTACCTGTTCATTGGCCAAAACAGTCTGGTCAATAGGGTCCCAGTTGATCTCGGCCTTCTTCTTATAGGCCAGACCATGTTCGTGCATCAGAAGAAACAACTTCTGGGTCCATTTGTAATACTCTGGATCACAAGTAGTCACCTCTCTTTCCCAGTCAAAATCTGCAAGCATAGATGCCATCTGCGACTTCATCTTGGCTATATTGCTTTTCGTCCATGTGGCCGGGTCAATCTTCCGCTCTATGGCTGCGTTCTCAGCAGGTAGTCCAAAAGCATCCCAACCCATTGGATGAACCACGTCATAACCTCTCATTCTGAAAAATCGGCTCAGCACATCCGATATAGTATACACTCTCAAATGACCCATGTGAAGTACTCCTGAGGGATATGGAAACATCGGCACTATGAACTTCTTCCCTTTTGTGGGTTGGGCCAGTTTCCGTGGGTTGATAGACGTCCCCAACGGAAGGTTCTTCCACCGTCCCAACCATTTGCTGTCCAGCTTGGATAGCTCAGTTATGGACCTTTTCATTTTTAAGTCCAGCGATAACAGCGAAGAAATACCCGAGGAATCTTTGGCTGATTAGTTGTCATGTGAAAGTCTTATTGTCCTAACTTTCTTAAACCCATCGACTTCCTCGCCAGATTCGGCATTCCCAGGCACGTGACTAGGCATCGCGCTTTTTACGTGAATTTAGTTATAATTGTTGTATTCATTAACTATCAACATAGGGATTCTTTGTTCCCTTTCTCCTTGTCCCATAATGCCTGAAAAACGGCCTGCTAGTGATGATTTAATAGAGGACTTTCTTGATTCCGAACCCGACGATTCGTTGGATGAGGACGAGAAAGGAAACCAATCTCAGAGAGGGCACAACGTGTTAGCACAGTTCACGCAGGATCCACAGGCTAACAAGAGGAGAAGACTAGCTGAGGCAATTTCCAGTTCACAGGTCTCGACAGGCTCACAGTCCAATAATGTGAGAGAGTCTACAGCTGGTGTTATTGAGTCTATCAGGATGACCAACTTCATGTGCCACAGCAACTTCGAGGTCACCTTAGGACCACAGACTAACTTCATTATCGGGAAGAACGGTAGTGGAAAGAGCGCTGTGCTCACGTGTCTATCGGTCTGTTTGGGGGCCAAGGCGAACGAAACGGATCGTGGGTCCAATTTAAAAGCCATGATCAAGAATGGTAAGAACACAGCGCGTTTATCAGTCACCTTTAAGAACGAAGGAATGGAGTCGTATTTGCCAGAGGTGTACGGAAACAGAATCATCGTTCAGCGTTTCCTGAAAAGAGATGGAACTTCGGGTTATTCCATGAAGAGTGTTGCAAATAAGACTATATCCACGAAAAAGGCAGAGCTGGACGCCATGTTGAACCATTTTGGAATCACCATCACCAATCCGATGACCGTGTTAACCCAGACAGAGGCGAAGCAGTTCTTGGCTAGTTCTACAAGTGAGCACAAGTTCAAGTACTTCATGGCTGGTACCAGGCTTGATATTGCTGTCTCCGATTGCACCAAGACTGACCAGGACCTTAAAGATGTGCGCTCCATGCTTTCTAGAAATAGCTTGATTTTGGAGGAGTCAGCAAAGAACTTCAAAGCTGCACGTGATATGTACGCCCGACTACAGTCTACGGATCAGAACAGGCAGAAATTGAGAACGCTGCTGGGTAGGATGAAGTGGTGGAAGCAACTGAAAATGCAGGAGCAACTAGATCACAAATTGGCGAATAAAGAGAAATTGCAGGCCCTGATGGACCAGGCTCGAAGGAAGGCTGATGAAGCTCAAAACTCGATGCTTGCTTTGGAGACCGAACTTCAGACCATTTCCGATACGAAGCTTGAGGCTGAATCAGAGTGCAATCGCTTGGAAGCAGTCTTGTCGAGCACAAAGGACACCGCAAAAGCTACACAGAAACAGAGCGGTGTTTTGGAAGCCAGACTCAAGGCTTGTACAGATGCAATTAAGGAGACCAACGAAAACCTTCAAACCCTGGAAAAAAGGATCAAGATGGAAGAAGAACGTTTAGAAAATAGCGATACTAGCACTACGGATGGTTTGCTGGTGCAAAAATCTGGCCTTGAAAGACAACTTACTTCACTAGACCAGGAAAAAGCCCAGCTGGCTTCTCGCAAAAAAGCAGAAATCGCCTTGCACAAAGCAAGATTGAGCGAGATAACTGAGACGATTGCCGAGAAAGATAAATACATCAAGGACCTCAGAAAGGAGCTTTCCCAGAATTTTGGTCGACAAAGGGATAAGTACTGGGCATATGGTCCTGGTTTGCGTCATCTTTTGGATGAAATACAAAGGACTAAGACTTTTCACAGCACGCCGTTTGGTCCTCTTGGATTGTCAGTATCTATGAAACCAGGTAAGGAGGGTTGGTCACAAATAGTTGAGAATGTGTTGAACAGACAAATGAGTAGTTTCTTGGTGCAAGATTTCCATGATCAGAAAATATTGTCAGGATTGTTTCGCAAACACAAATATTTTGGCGATATACTTGTCAGGCAATTAGAGACATTCGACTACAGAAACTCTTTGCCCTCCTCAGATTTGACCAGCATCATGGATGTGCTAAACTTTCAAGATGAGAATGTGAAATGTGTGTTTATCGACGAGGCCAAGATCAACTTTACATGTTTGATGACTGATCGTTCGCAAGCAGAAGAAGCACTCATAAAACGGCCCAGAAATGTGAAAGCTTTCCTGGTTCCTTATGACAGGGGTTCAGCAACCAGATTGATGTTGGGTGATAACTCTAACATTCTGGCAGATCCCATAAAGTTTGCCCCTGCCAGGAGCTCCAAATTGGGGTCAAGTGATCCAGAAGAAGCGCTCAAGCAGGAGGTTGCCCGTCAACAACAGGAGATGAATGAGTTGATTGCAGAGAAGACTACACTGATTGCATCCAGCAATACCGAAAAGGCTGGTATTGAGAAGTCATTGAAGCAAATTACGCATAAGATCACTGAGACAACAGATGAATTAAATGATCTGATTGCGCTCATAGAAGATGAAAGTACAGATAGCGGTAAGCTTAAAGGGCTTACCGAAGACAGAGATGACTACATTTCTCGAAACATTGCCCATAATGAGACGTTGACTGCATTGAAGGCAGAAAGGGAAAACAACGGTAACAGACTCATGGGAATCGAAGCTCGTTACAGGGCCGAGAAGGAAGCTCTCAAAGCACAGCAGCAACGTGTTTCTGATCTCAAGAAACTTATGGAGGAACGCCACGACAAGCTCGCTGAATTTGAGGGTGAATCCAATCATTATACCATTAGTTATAAGCAAAAGAGTGAAAAGATGGAGATTCTGGAGAATACCATCATGGCTTTGGAAGAAAACTGTGGTGATTTGCACCGGGCCGCGGCGCAGGTTTGCACTCTTGAAGAGTCTGGTGCCAACACTGAAACTCAGACAGAAGACTCTATCAGGCAGGAATACGTCGCAACGAAAGAGGCCGTGGACTCCATTGAGAAGTCATTAGGAATGACCAGAGAGCAGGTGATCAGCGACGTCAAGGCGAAGCGTGAAAAATATCTACATGCGAAACAGAGTCTGGGTGAGGCCCAATCAATGGCTGAGAAACTGGGTGAATCTTTACGTGAAAGAAAGCAGAATCTCAAGACTACTCGCAAGAGACTCTGTATGGAAGTGAATGAAGCATTCCAGCAGGCGCTCTCAATCAGGGCATTTGTGGGAGAACTCGAGTTTGACTTTGAGAATGGAAAGCTATCCATGATGGTATCTACCAAGCCGGGGGAGAAGAAGAGAATGGTTGAGTCTCTTTCTGGAGGAGAAAAGTCGTTTACCCAGATTGCATTCTTACTGGCATTATGGAAACCGATGCAGAGCAGAATCCGTGGACTTGACGAATTTGACGTGTTTATGGATCAAATTAACAGAAGGCTGTCGCTGAAGATGATCCTGGACAAGGTGAGCAAGAATCCATACTGTCAGACCCTGTTCATCACCCCATTGGATGTCGGTGATGTTCCTGGTGTTGATTCTCCTACGGTGCACATCCATCAGATCGCAGATCCCGAGAGAAATGTTGCATGAGTGATTGATGATCAGCACCTCACTTGACGGCCTACTCACAACTGCATGTCAAACATCTATATATGGCCGCCATAACAAATTTTCAATTTAGGTTTCGTCACTTGCGTCTAATTTTATATTTTTTGAGGCACCCGCCATGATAAGTAGATAAGCCATATCACGTGCTCAAGAAAAGGATTTACAGAGAGGCTGACGCACTCGGCCCGAGAGGCTGTGCACTTGGCCTAGACAACAACTCACGGATCCCGCCAGGTGACGACGTTGAATCTATTTACTTTTTATATGCTTGGACATCTCGATATTTTGCTGATACCTGCTTTTGTTTGCACCTTTACGTCTACCAATAAACTTCTCCTCCTTTAGATCTCCCGAACCACGTGCGCCTGACCTGAAATTATTTTTCAACTGCACCGCCCAGCCTGCACGGCAGATCGCTCCGTGCTGTGCACGACGATCGTCTCAAGATTTTTCTGCGAAATGCTGTGTGTACCCGATGGGCTATGGTATTGCTAAACATAGCCATTCCTGTGTTGCATGTTAACGTCCCCTGTACACTTTTATCTTTTCGTACCGAACAAGGTGATTTTTTTTAACATTGTCATTTTTACTATCAAGTTCTTGTCCTGAGTGGGCTTTCTGTGCTTTTCTTTCTTCTGATTCGATATACTTTGCATAACTGGTCTAGTTATCTCTACAATCTGACTTGCCATGGTTTCACCCAGGGTGAAACGCATACGCATAATACTCCTGGTTGTCGGAGTGATATTAGTCTCAACCATCATTCACACTACTGCCAGTCCCAATTACAAGGAACTCCTCACTTTTGATAGCCCATTTTCTCTTTACAGCAACAGATTAACAGGCCAGGGTAAGTCCCAGGATGATTCCGGCACCCAAGAAGATGACAACGTGTTAAAGCCGGAGGACGAATCCCACAAGAACAAGTTTGGCGAAGCTGCGTTTGGCGGCGATGATGCAGCCCATGATTTGGGCGGTAATGGGAAGCTTGTCAAGGATTCCGTTTCTCTATTGGCGAAAATCCTGGCCGAAGCGAAGCCGACTTCTGCTCCACTTGTCAAATACAACAATGATGAGAAGGCTGCTGAGCTCTTTCACACTAATGAGGATTTCCACTTCAGTGAGGAGTATCTTTCGCATTTGCTTGTAGTTGACGATGATACGGTCAAGGATCTCACCAAGAAACACCAGCTGTTTGTGCAGAAGGCTTTCGTCGACAACAAGTTCCCTGTATTCGGTGACTCCAAGAAAACTGCATCCGGAAGAGGTATAGTTATTGTTGGAGGTGGTGATTACAATTGGCTGACTCTTTTGAATATCAACCAATTGAGAACAACTGGATGCACTTTACCGGTCGAAGTCTACATTGCCAACGCTGATGATTATGAGAAAGCATTCTGCGATGAAATTTTGCCAGAGTTGAACGCCAAGTGTGTTCTGGGTCACAAAGAGATCCCCAGCGGATTGCGCAATAGTGAAGCGATTAGTGGATTCCAGTACAAGTTGTACGCTTTTTTCGCGAGTTCTTTCCAGGAGATTCTCTTTTTGGATTCGGATAATGTCGTTGTGCGAGACCCCACTCCCATGTTTGATAGCAAGCCCTACCTGAAGACTGGCTTGGTTTTATGGCCTGATTGCTGGTCCCGTACTACTCATCCAAAGTATTACAGCATAGCTGGCATCAAAGTGGGCGACAAACCGGATCGAGGCCAGTTTAAGAACGAGAAAGATCCAAGGAACTGGAACTACCATGATCTCCCAGGCACACTGCCCAATCCAGCCAGTGAAACTGGTATGATTATCCTGGATAAGAAGAGACAAGTTCAGACTCTACTTCTTGCTTTATACTACAACTTCTATGGACCTGACTTTTACTACCCTCTGTTAACTCAAGGCGGAGCCGGCGAAGGAGACAAGGACACATTTCCAGCCGCTGCGCATGCTCTGGCGCAACCATACTACCAGGTGAAAGCGCCGTTCTCGTTTATTGGGTACCATGATAGTGAAGGGTTCCACTCCAAGGCTCTTGGTCACTACGATCCAGGCCAGGATTACAGCAAATTTTTGTCAAAGGACAAAAAAGAAAAGGAAAAGGAGCTTGATCTTATGTTTATGCACCTATCATATCCCAAGCTTTTCCCCTACACGCTCGATCTGGAGCTGAAGGCGGAAAACGGTGACCAGAGAAGACTGTACCTGAGCTCTACAGAGAAATCTGGATATGACTTTGAGCTTCAGATGTGGAACATATTTACACAGTTACTATGCGAGGACTACAAATTGGACAAGAAGACCTCTTCACTGGAACTCAGTGAGAGAATGAGATCGAAGGCAAGGAAGCTGAAAGTTGCACAGAAATCGGATGCGAAACAGGCATGCTCCTCGCTGCACCTTCCGCATCTTAAGCACTTGAGAGCTAACCCAGAAAAGTGAAAGCAATCATTATCTGAGAGTATTGTGAGAGTATCTTCAATGTTCGGATCCAAAGTCTCTGTGTTCTATGTGAATTTGTGGGAATTTAGAATTAGTTACTGTCCGGTCAAATGGACTGTTTGCTATATAGCGTTATAGAACCTCAATTAATATCACTGTGCAACAAATTAATCTTGTGGTCTCGTAGGGTTTGAATTCTCACACATCCAGTGCTCTTATGTCTCTGAACACAGCACTCCAAGATTCCCGGGTGTTCAAAGCACTAGAAAACGTGCCCAAGAAACCAACAACTATATCCGGCAAACAACCTTCAGGCAACGACCAATGAACTGTCAGTGGGAGGTTTGCAAGATTTGAGACAAGACCACGCGAGAATGCTGAGTTCTCCAACAATGGTATCCTGCTCCCGTTACGGATCGAAATCACGTACTCTTTGGCCAGTTTGACCACCTCCAAAACCACGTAAATCGCCCACAATCGCGAACTCACCACGTAGTACCAAAGACCAACTTCGCCAGCAACTGAGTCAGGATGGTGTGTCCATTTGTGGTCTGCCAGAAACCCCACGTTCTCGAGGGGTTGGTATGCCACAATGGAAACGACGTCTATGTAATTCAGCCATCTTGACACCCGTGACTGGCCCGATTTTCTAGTCTGTTTGATTTCTGAGATCCCAAAAGCAGTAAGTGCCGGAATTCCCCACAGTCGCACGAATATCCGGATGTCGGAGATGTAGTTGGAGATACTGCGTAGTTTGGATGATGTGATGTCAAGGGCATTGACCTGTGGTTCTATGGCTTCAGGTTCTTTTGCCTCCTTGTTATCAAGTCGACTGCTCCATGATAGAAGAGTTGGTTCAACATGATTTTTCAAGCTTCCAAATGCGGATCTCTTGAGCGAAGTCAGCACAAGTGCCAGCAGCTTTCTTAGCACTATCTTGAGGTGCTTGATAAGCGTGGGCCGCATACGTATCACCTCCGCTATGAACAAAAAGAAGTAGCATATTGTTGAAAGCGTTGAATCCAGAGCGACAGGATCGGCCAGGGGACTTGATACAGTTAGTAAGTCGAAATCTTAGTGCTTGTTGTGTTGGACTGGTCAAACTCACCCATTGAGATGGTTGTAGAATTCCTCGTTGGTGAGCAATCTACACAGATACGCCAGTCTTCTGCCAGCTCTGTTTGCGATCCTAGACGGTGCCAATTTGGATATTGCAACCATTTTCACGTTCAAAAGCTGTATATCTTAACTAACTCTGATCTGCTTAGACCGTCCAATATATATCAATCTACAAGCTCCTCGGGTTCGAAAATAAGGCATGTGCCATGGAGGGGGCTCTGCGGCATCCACATGCCTATTTGGGACATCGAATGCACCCCCTTCACCATAACCAATTTCTACCAAAGATCATTAATGATGGTATAACATTTGGAACTAAGCTAAGTTATTCAACGGGGAGCAATATCCAGTCCATCATCCGATAACTCATCAGAATCATCATCAATTTCGAACTCAGCAGTAGCTTCCTCGGCACGTAGCATATCATCGAGCTCTAACGCATCGCGGGGCATCTCCAAAGACCGGAGCGGCTTATACTTTGGCCTCAAATCCAGTATTGTTTTCTTGCTGAAAACGCGTTTAAAAGCATCCACGATGGTCTTGCGCTTTGATTTTCCAAACAAAAGATATAACACCACCAAAAGAAGCGCAAGAAACGAAAGTGACCCATACATCCTGTGGTCGGAGATGGTGATCCACGTATCTTCGGTAGAATCAGCCTCTCCACCAGTGACCTCATTTTGCGTATCGATATTATTCTGAGAACCATCTTTAGACTCCGAGAAGGCCGGTCTCGCGGCCACTCCCTTGACCTCTGCGCCGTTTACAAACACGTTTGGAGACGTTCCCTTGAAGTAACCCACCTCGAACTCATCTCCGTAGATGGCTCTTGCGTATTCTGAACTGGCATATAAAACCGCTCTTCCCAATGTCCAAGTGAACTCGTAACCATTCACCAATGTGGTCACACTGAGAGGTTTGTCAGAATCAGCTGTGTCAGATCCCAGGGCAGGGAACCCTAAACCACGATGGAGTACACTCAGCACCCAACTCGACTTGAAACACAGTTGCTTCAGATCTGTATCTGTCAGGTCAGACAATGCATTTGTGTCATCGTTGTCCCGGTTGTTCAGTTTATCCAACTCCGTCCATGTCATTTCGCAAACGCGTTTTGTCTCTGTGCTGAACGCCTCGTAGGAATACGCTCCACCGCTCTTGATGTCCTCAAACTTTAAAAGGTGAGATATCGCGTCCCAATAACCGGAAACTCCAACAAAGCGGTCCACATTGAAGTCGAAACTAGGAATCGAGTCGCTAAGCAGACAGGAAGAAACTTCCTGGGGCTCATTTGTAGAACACGATGATGTCTCGCTATGCTCGGTACTTGTCAGCAAAGGATACATCAGTTTCATGCACTGCTCGAAATCACCGGATCCTTCCACCTGGGGGTCATCATCCTTGATGAGCCCCTTTGGCAAACACGGATCATGGATAATGCCGCCATTACCCGCACCAGTGCTTTCAGCCTGCTCCTTCAAGGTGTCTATGTACTTGTTATGAGCCTGGTTAATTCCATAACCAAGGAAACTGGCACAGAAGATTCCATAATCCAATCCAGGACCGAGCTTGATGTTGTACAGAGCCGAAGAATGCTCAGTGGCTTCTTCTTGGTTCGGCTGAAACGATATTTGCGTGGAAGCTCCTCCCATATCAAGAAGACCATATGTTGCACTTGAGTCCTGGAATGTGTTCATGAGATAGTTCATGGCGATCCAACCGTACAAACCTTCCACCTCTCCGTCTATGATGTTCATGTGAGAGGCGCAGTCCGGCAGATAGAAGTTGTACTTCTGAGATATGTAGTCACAGGTCGTCTTCAAAACCTCCTCTTGTTCACGAGGAGTTAATAGTCTCATTCCAGCGGTAGCGTGCAAGAACACGGGTGTTCTGCTTTGCTGAGACTCCGGTACCACGTCTGATACGGCATCAAGGAGATACTTGATGTGCTTGCTGCCCACCTTCTTGGGCTTGTCCTTATAGGCTGAAAGTCCAGGCTTAATCTTTTTCCTCCAGTTTTTTTCAGTTGTAATCACTGGAACGTCCATTTTGGTTACCTTTTGATCGCCTTTAGCTATGCCATTGGCTTCGGACTTATTGTTGTCTGTGTCTTCTTTTGAGGGGGGCTTGTTTTCTTGGTTTTCCACCTCATCATCTTCGGAATCTTCATCAGAATCATCCTCTTTGGTATCGTTATCATTGTCTTCATCATCAGTATCATCCTTCGTACCATCCTTGGCATTAATATCTATTCTCTTCAACAACTCAACCCTTGGTGCAGGTCCCTTGTCCTCATCCGCAGATACCAACGATTCTGGGTCCAGCCAATTGTACACATAAGCCCTCGAACCTTTGGATCCAGCATCAATAACGACAATGTAGTTGTACGGAATACCACTCTTGTCCAAGACTGGGCCCTGCTTGTTCGACTTTCTCTTAGCTATGTGAGGCATTGCAGAGCTTCTTGAATTTGGACTAAATTCGAGCGTGGAACTAGCGAAATATCAAAAATTGTATACGATGGATAGTATAGAGCTCAAGGCGATCGCGTGGATACTAAGTTCTTTGTCCAGATCGGCACCTTGTCGTAATCGCGGGACTGGCTTATGCGCATGAGCCTCTTCAAGCTCTCCATCTTGGTTTGCGGCCCTGTGCCATTTTCCACGTCGCGTATCAGCCTGCACAGCCATAAATTCGCCAATTAAAGATTCTCCTACCCACGACAGCCTAATTTCATCTGAAGCTGCCGAGATCTGGGGGTTGGTTACTGAAGAACATCATCTCCGCGAGTATATTCAGCTCAATTTAACAATCTTTTTTCTCGAACAATCTCTCCTAGATGTACGGTGGTTTTCCAGGTGGTAATCAGCAACAGCGTGGCTACCCCGGTTCCAACGGGGCAACTTACGGTGGCCAGCAGGCTAATCAGGGTTACTCCCGTCCGGCATACGCGCCTCCAAATCAGCAGCAACAGTACGATTTTGGCTACGGTCAAAATGGCTACTCTCAGCAACAGTTCCAGCAGCAAGGTCAGGAGTACAACAGACCAGCAGCTGCTCCGCAAGGATGGTCCTCGCAACAGATCCAAGAGCAGGCCAACTCCCAATCTGTCTACCAGCAGCACCAGCCAAACCAGGGAGTTAGGCTCCAGCAGGCATCAGGTGGATTGCAGACCCCAAGCGCACAGCCCCAGAGTTTTGGTGTTAACGGCTACAACTACCAATATTCCACGTGTACCGGACGGAAGAAGGCTTTGCTGGTCGGTATCAACTACATCGGCACCAACAACCAGTTGAATGGATGTATCAACGATGTCACCAACGTATCCCAATTTCTGGAACGCAACTGCGGGTTCACCAAAGATAACATGGTAATCTTGGTGGAGACCAACACCAATAGAAGAGCGGTGCCATTGAGACAGAACATCATCGATGGTATGAAATGGTTGGTTAAGGATGCCAAGCCAAACGACTCTCTCTTCTTCCATTACTCGGGTCATGGTGGTCAAACTAAGGACCTGGATGGTGACGAGTACGATGGAAATGATGAGACTATCTATCCTCTTGATTTTGAACAGAGTGGTATGATTGTGGACGACGAAATGCACCAGTTATTGGTGGACACATTGCCAGCCGGAGTTCGGTTGACTGCCTTGTTCGACTCGTGTCATTCAGGTTCTGCTCTTGATCTTCCATATTCATATTCCACTCGTGGTGTAGAGAAGGAACCCAATCTTGCCAAAGAGGCCGGTGAGGGTTTGCTCGGTGCTGTCACCTCTTACATGCAGGGCGACATGTCCGGTGTTCTCAGCAAGGCTACTGGATTGTTTGGTCTTTTGACAAGCGGTGGCCCTAACCAGGCTGCTATCGACAAGACCAAGCAGACTAAAACCTCTGCGGCCGATGTGATCATGATCTCTGGATGTAAGGATGATCAGACATCAGCAGATGCGAAGGAGAATGGTGTCTCCACTGGTGCAATGAGTTACTCGTTCATTACCGTCATGAGTTCTGGTCAAGAGCAGTCATATCTGACTCTTTTGCAGAACATGAGAAAGGTTTTGAGTGGAAAGTATACGCAAAAGCCTCAGTTGAGTGCTTCTCATCCAATCGACACCAATCTCAAGTTTATAGTGTAACGGATAAGTCAAAAGCAAATATGTATCTGAATAATTTTTAGATATACCCATATATATCCATATGTATGAACTTGAATTCTGTACTGCAATTTATTCTTTTTCCATTTATTGCATTTTTCTCCAAATTTTCATAAAAAAACCAAAAAAACATTATATTATCATAACAAGCAAAAACATGAACTAGGCAGCAATCTCAATTTCAGTAGGAAGGGAGAGGCAGAATCGCCTGTTTAATATAGTCTATATTATAACACAGCTTGAACCTTCCTGAACCTCCTGATCAGCCGTAGGATTCTGCTGCTCCTCAATAGCACCCACTATTATTTCAAAGGCTCTGGACACCTTTTCGTTTTGCTTAGCCGAACACTCGATGTAAGGGCATCCGCCAAACTCCTGGGCCAGATCTTTCAGATCTTGCTGAGATACCTGTCTTTGTAGATTGAGATCGCTTTTGTTTCCCACTATGACCATTGGGATCTGATCTTGGCCCGTGCTGTCCAGGATTTTATCTCTGATGATTTTGAGCATGTCGAAGCTGGACCTAGAGGTTATGGAGTACACCAGCACGTAACCATGGATGCCAATGAGGTGTTTTTGGTTCATCATGGAAAATTCATCCTGGCCAGCGGTATCCAGGATTTCGATAGAGTATTCGAATCCCTTGTAGTTGACGGTTTTCCCCAGCTGATTTTCGATCGTTGGGTAGTACGACTCGTTGAAATGCTCCTCCACAAATTGCACCGTCAGGGAAGACTTGCCAACGGCCCTGGCGCCCACCACTGCCACCTTGCGTTCTCTAGACACTGAAGAATATGCCATCACAACACCAAAAACAGTTGTGAACTGATTTCTATTCTTGAAACAGTTGAAGGGAAGAAAAGAAGAAAGAGAAAATTAGCCACTAAAGTGAAAGAAAAGCCGCTGTGGCTACGGGGGCCTGAATTCGCAAGTCATCGTTTCCCGAATGGGCACGGCGGATATCTGCTCGGCTGGTTAATGTGAGTCGCCGTCTCTTGTCGATTTCATACAACCTAAATTGTGTTGCAAATATAATAATTGAATCCATTTACAATGTCCGTTTTATCAAAGCCTTTGAAAATTGCGCTTTTGCAGCTTAGTGCTGGTGCCAATAAGCAGGCCAATCTATCCAAGGTCAGGGAGTACATCGCAAAGGCCATTAAGGAGAATTCGTCGCTGGACTTGATCATGTTGCCAGAGTGCTTCAATTCGCCTTACTCTGTTTCAGAATTCCCCAAATACGCTGAGAACATACCCAATGGTGAGACCACCAAGTTTTTGTCGGATATTGCCAAGGAATATGGTATCTTAGTAATCGGTGGTTCGTACCCTGAACGTGGACAGGATGACAAAATCTACAACACATCTGTTTCCTTTAACAGACAGGGTGAAATTATTGCCAAGCATCGCAAGGCTCATCTGTTTGACATCGATATCCCAGGTGGAATTACTTTTAAGGAGAGTATTAGTCTGACAGGTGGAGACAAGGCCACTGTCTTTTCCCTCCCCGACTTCGGTGCCATAGGTCTTGGAATCTGCTACGACATTCGTTTCCCTGAATTGGCTGCGATTGCTGCAAGACCTCCCCAGAACTCGTTTGCCATGTTCTACCCAGGTGCTTTCAACACCACCACTGGACCATTGCACTGGCACCTTCTGGCCAGAGCAAGAGCGGTGGACAACCAGGTCTTTGTTATTCTGTGTTCTCCTTCTAGAGACATCACCAGCGGATATCATGCGTATGGCCATTCTCTTGTGGTCGATCCAATGGGGAATATCATTGCTGAGGCGGGTGAGGCTGATGAGATTGTGTACGCTGAGCTGGACCCAGAGCTGATCACCAAGGCTAGGGCAGGTATTCCTGTTACCATCCAGAGGAGATTTGAAATCTACGACGACGTTGCCAAGGACGCGAAAATAAGCGATATTTAAGTTAATATTTTAAGTCGAAAGCACCATAATTAGGCATCGCTAATGGGAGCCCTCTGCAGATTCAATGCGATTGCCTAAACGGGTAATTTGCAAAGGCATCTCATCTTACTCTGACACAACACTGAAACCGAACAACAAATGTTCAGCGCGTATATGGATACGATTTTGGCGTTTGTGGTTGTTCCGACATTGATATCATCATCAGAAGATGTTGCGGAAAAACAGCTTGGACTCTATTGACACATCTTCCATAGGGACGCCGTCTCTACAGCCCACTATCAGCAGACAGAGAATAGATCACTATGACTACCTCGCCAAAATCATACTTGTTGGTCCGTCTGGATGTGGCAAATCCAGTTTGTTCCATAGATTCATGAAAGGTGGTTGGAATACGCTGACGTCTCAGACCATTGGGGTAGAGTTTTCTTCAAAGATACTTAGTCTCGGTCCCTCCAACGTGGATAACGTCAAGATGAAGATGCAGCTCTGGGACACTGCCGGCCAAGAGAGGTTCCGGTCACTCACGAGAGGTTATTACCGGGGATCTGCTGGAGTCATTTTGGTATATGATGTAATGGATAAAAAGTCTTTTGCTATGATGCGTGAATTTATGATAGACATCAAGAATCTTACCGAGTCAACGGTTTCTATAGTGCTGGTTGCCAATAAGTGTGATCTGCTGGATTCGCCCGAAGTTAATCCCGATGAACTGGTGACAAAAGAGGAGGCTCTGGAATTTTGTTTGGAGTACTCTCGTGAACTGGCCACTGAAATTCCACTAGTGTACGCTAGTGCGCTGAAAAACGTTAACGTTACTGAGAGCTTCGAGAAGTTGGGCTACAGTGTTTTGACAAAGGTTGAATTGGGAACTTTGGATCCCGAGAATGTTAATAGTGGGGTCCAATATGGTGATTTTCCATTTTACTCGGAGGTGGGCAACAGTTCAGTGCTCACTGTTTCCACAGATCATAGGAAGAGGGCTCTTGCTGCACTACGAAAGAAGCAGAGCTTAACTTTGAGTTTGAACCTCAGTGAGGATGAAGAGCGCACTGGCTGGACATGTTGTGGATGGTAAGTGCATATTTACGAATGGCTGGAGTTTTGTAGTAATTGTTAATGTTTTGGATGGAACTGTTTTTTATATCTCGCTTAGTTTATTTTGCGGCTCATATTTGAGTCTTCTGCACTACCTAGTTTTGATCAGTGATCTTCGCCTCACAATCTTGAGACTCACATGACAACTATCTTCTTTCTATCTCAATTCAGCGGCAGACAACGCAATGTTTGAGCAGGTGAGGGGCTATATACGCCTTCATAAGCACGATGCAGCCGAATCCTTCAGGGACACGTTTTCTCCGTCGCGGATCTTCGCCCAGATCGTGCTCCTCCAGATCTTCTACTACTCGGTGGCATTCATACTTTTTTATTTCACAGCATCAGTTGCCGGTTACACGTTCGATTTTGGCTGGATTTTCTCGTGGGAGCTGATATCGTTTGGAAACACTCTTGGATGGACTTTGAGTCTTTTGTGGTTAATAGATTCTTTGATATGTGTGATGTTTATGACTGTTATAGTGGGGAGGAGTAAACTTGCGTGGGATTTTGCACTCACAATACATGCTGTGAACCTCCCTGTGTGCTGGTTATACTCGGGCTCATTTCCAAAACATGCTATGTGGTGGTTTTTGCAATCAGTGTCTAGTGCGCTGATGGTTGGTCTTGGTACCTGGACCACCAGGTGGAAGGAGCTGAGAGAAACGTTCTTTGAGGGTTTACTGGACCCTGAAACTGGTCGCGTTGCAGACATTGAGTCTGCTAAACCTTCTGAATCCATTCCGATGCAGAACTTACAGCCAGAGTGAAAGAGCCAAAAAAATCAAGAACATGTGTTCGGATGTGTATTATAGACTTAACATATGACAGCATTACAGTTATGGCATTACGTATATTCCCCTATATCATTCGTGATATCTAAACTTGGTCAAAATCAAAACTTTTGAGGGCATCTGGTTGGCTGGTGAAGGTACCACAAACCTGGCCTTGCCCTTGGTATCGTCCACACTCACGGCATACGTGAACCCAACCACCGAGGTGTTAACCGTGTCTTCTATCAACGCCTGCTCATCGTCCGTGTATGCAAACCTGTTGAGATCCAAGCCAGAGGGGTTCACCATCGCAAGTACGGCGTTGCTGAGAATCTCAGCCGTTGGCTCGGTGATCCTTTCAAGCAGCTTGGAATACTCTGTAAATTTCAGCTGGGCATTGGGCTCCGTTTTGATATCCTCATCTTCCTCCATATCACCACTTAGAAAAGATAACCCAGAGGACCCGAACATGCCGTTGGGTTCCACAGGTTTGAAAATGATCAGATCTTTCAGATTGGCCATAATGGAGAAAGGACTCAACACTTGTTTCTCTATCCCGTAGAAATACTCTCTAATGCACCTCTGTTGCAAGTCCCTAGAGAACTTGTCATCTAAATCAACACATCCACTTGACTTGGGCATCTTCAAGACCGTGAGTCTGTTCTGGTTCGATGGCTTGATGAGTTTCTTCTTCAGATCCACGAACAACCTCTCGTGGCCTATCACAATCAACACATCGATCTCGAAATCCGATATGATGTTCTCAATAAGTTCGTAATCCGTGATTTTGAAAGCAGGAGTATCCACAACGAGCCCCGACTCGCCAACCACTTGGTCGTTACGCAGTCTGCTCAAGACGCTGATGCCGAGCTGCGAAATTTCGTACTTGTATAGCTTATCGTTATCTGAGAAACTCTCCAACCCGAAGCATTTCACTATGGGCTGCTTCTGGTGGTAGAACGTTGGACCCGTTGTTATGGTTTCTCCTAGATTCACGTTTTCCACATTCATGATGTCAGAGATCGTGGTTCCCGTGAGCATTCCAGGTATACTGAAGTTGGCTGTAGATGGGTCCAGGTTGACGAGGATTGGCTGACGGTCCATCTTGGTGGCATAGGCAGTCAGAATTTTGGCCAGAGAGGTCTTTCCGGAATCTTTGTTTCCAACTATGAGCACCTTGGGTCCGAGTCTCTTGTCGGTGCTGGTTTCGTTATAAGTGCTGGCTTCTTTCCTCAGTCTCTCCAGTGCAAAGTGTAGGTTCAGGTAGTTGGTCATGCATGATTCGTCAGAAACGTATTCAGACGAGAGTTCACATCCTGCATATTCTATTGTACAGCCCTTAAACGTGAATATACACGTTTTCATTGCTCCGGTGAAGGAGTACTCCATGTTTGAAGAAAGTTCAGTACCAAACATCTCTGCTTCTCCAGCCACTAGTCTCACTCGCAATTTGTCGGAGGAACTGCCCAGCTCAAATCTCCATTCTGAAAATGCTGATATTTCCACAGTTTTTGCATTCGGTAAAGCTGTAGCACTTCCACTGGGCACCAATGCTGAGCTGGTGTCGATGTGAGGAGCCAGTGTATCGGCCTGGTGATGGGTTAGTGACGAGACTTTGTGGTGAAGAATTCGCATTCGACTGATCTCACTTACTGATATAATTCCTTGGAGTCCAGGAATCGACATAACAGGCAATTCTACCCGATTATATTATGCTGAATGGAAACTAACGTATTAGAGTACTACTTCTTTAATGTGATACTTTTCACGACTGAAGTGTTTCTGGAGAGCTGTTTGCGTGTACTGTCAAACTCCAGCCCCCAGTCCAAATTCCCGCAAGTATGCAACACATAGTGCTTACCAAGGGATAAAATCACTCTGTATCATTTGCAAATTAAATCATCATGAGTGCTTTGACAATCGACAAGCCTCGAATTCGAGACTCGAAGTTTGTGAAGTCCTATTTTTGTTTGTCAGTGGTGGGCATATGCATATCGTTGTTTCTTGTGTGTGTCTATCCTTACACATATGATCATGAAAACACCTCTACGGCAGAAGCAAAGCTTGGCCAGATAGGATGGCGTACAAGTCTTGTTCAGCTAATTGCTGATGTACCCAAACTTCTGGCTGATATGGCGACAATCTCATATTCTTCCTTACTTATGTTAAAGATGATGGTAGTGCGTTCTTCGGCAAAAAAGATTACTCTGATTGTGGAATATGATTTGGAGTCGAAGTCCAATGGAATGAAGGATAAGGTTGTTGATGTGAAAGAGGAATTTCCTACTTGGTCAGCTTTTATGGCCGCGGGTGGTCCCTTAGCAGCTTTGGTGTTTATTAGTGATTATACATCAATAGTAGGTAAAGAGACCGGCTGGAGTTTTCAATAGTTTTTGCATCACTACACGGACGAACTGGATGACCTGATGCGGACTCCTCAGGATTAGATGACCAAACAGTCCACTTTTCTACCATATACGCGGCAAAGGGTCTCGAGGAAATTGAATCGTGAACGCGCCTTTATAAACCGACTTACTCGAAGATGCGCTGATTAGGCTGGATTAATACCTGGCCACGCCATTAGAGACGATAATGGAATTTGGATTCGCTTTTTAGATTGGGGTTATAATATTGCTTTATGGGATTGAGTGTGTATACAGTATCAAACTGAACAGTATCAAGCAAATCTAAGGCTATAAAAGAGCCTTAATTTTGCTACATGAGGCTCAACTTATGCATACAGTTAAACTTTTTGGATGTACTCAGGTTCTGCTCTCTGAGCCCATTCTGTCCAACTACCATCATAGACTCTAATGCCTTTCTGGCCCAAACCTGCGATTTCAAGTCCATACTTGAGAATACAGGCGGTCACACCGGTGCCACACATGACTATGAAAGGTTTGGAGTCGTCGATACCTTTTGCCTGGAAGTAGATCTGCAATCTCGTTTGGGACAGGAACCCGTCTTTGATGGAACCCAGAAGATCAGTAAACGGAACCGAAATAGCACCTGGAACGTGTCCAGATGATAACCCCGCACGAGGCTCTGGGGCTTCGCCTGTAAATCTTGGTGTTGAACGGGCATCCAAAAGGGTATATTCGGGACCTATCTTCTCTGCCTTGACCAATTCCAACAGTTCTTCGTAATCGATAACCTTGGTTTTGTCAAATTTAGCATGCTTGTAATCTGACTCAGCTAATGGGCTCTCACTTTCAAACGTGTCGTTGTCAACCGCATTGTTAGTCTCTTTGTAGATTGGATAAGTGTTAAGCAGATTGATCTTGGAGATATCGTGACCGAACACTTCAAACATCCAGGCAGCACGGCAACTGGAAAATATGCCCTGGTTATCGTAGATCAACAAACTATCGCCATTTTTGATTCCGAGTTTGCTGACACTTTTGTCAAAGTCTTCTGCGGATGGAAGCATGTGGGGATACGGACTGGCTGGATCCTTGATGGCGTCAATGTCAAAGAACACGGTATCTGCTGATAACCGTTCCTCCAAGTACTCACGCAATCCATTCTGAGGCGAATTGGGCATATACCAAGTTGAATCCACGGGAACCAGAGAGGGCAATTCTCTGAGCTTGGAGACCCCGGCCGCACTGACTATGGAGATGGTTCTGATGGCTGCATACTTGGAGCCGAACGTGGAAGCAAACTTCGACACGTTTTTAAAACCATTGGTGGCCGATCTCAAAGATAATTGTAACATTGAATCTGTTGTAGTTTTTGGTTCGGTTTCTGCCCCGGATTTGCTCGAAAGAGAGCCCATGGAGATAGATGCCACTGTTAGGTAAATCTACCACGCGGAACTGAGCGTGTGGCCATTACGTGATTTGTGGCTTGCTCATCGGGTATTTGGGGCCACACGCTTATCAGTAGATAACTGGAAAGTTATGAGGAACAAATTATCTAGTTGAGAAATTTATTGGCCAATTGAGTTACTTTACATTCTGTTGATCAGCTCATTCTCTAAAGCGGACTGGCTGATGCTGCTGATCCCCGTCTCGCTTCCCTCTGTGAATTCCAGATCGTCTTCGTCTTCCTCCTCGTCTTCTTCCTCATCCTCGTCGTCACTGTTCGGCCTGTTCCTCACTTTGGGGAATAATAAAGACCTATGTAGAAACTTACTCGTGGCCATCGTGTCTTTGTCTTCAAACGACGCCAAAGAGTCCACTGAGCCCACCGAGTCTCGTAGTGTGCTGGTAGAGACCTGTCGAGCACCAGACACGAATCTCCCAGACATATTCCGCAAAGGCTTGACCTCGTTTCTGGTAAAAGACACATGTTCCTTGGTGTGATCTTTGATGTGCTCATTGGCATATTTATTGTCATGCTCGCTCGTGTGTCCACTCGTGTGTCCGCTTGTGTTTCCACTGGCGTATCCACTGGTGTCCAGTATTGTGAGCTTCTTGATGGCTTCCTGGAATGCAGGATCTAACTGAGAGTTTGATCTCGAATCCAGCTTGACGTCCGGTACTCGTTGAGAATTTGCCAAATCTCCCACAGTCTGGTCGTTTGACTTTGAATTTAACATTGCATCTTCGTTCTGCAGCTTAGATTCCAGGTAGTATAATTCCATCACCTTCTTTTGTAATGACGGCACGTCAACATCCAGCTCTCGAGATAGTCTAACCCAATCGTATTTTACTTTGAGGGTTTTTTTCTGAGAAGGTCCAATCTCAACCTTCACCAGTGGTAACACGCTTCGCAACAATATTCCCTCCTTCTCTTCGTTCCATTTTTGCGTTTCCTCTCGATTTATCCCCGGATTCTGGTTGAGAGCATCTTCCTTGTCCACAGCATTCCATCCATCTGGTCTCGCGATGGGAAATTTGAGATATACAACTGCACGATCACCCTGATTCTGGGACATTGAGCTGTTTTTGAAGTCGATGTAATTATTGACATTCAATTGAAGTGTGGTTTCAGTTCCAATTGATGGAGTGGTTAATGGCTCAAGTCTGGATTCTGGAATCAGTGGAGGTGATGAGATGAGCAGTGGGTGGGGTTCCTAACTATAAATCTTTTTTATTGTGGCAATTGATCCAAAGTGTTAACAACTCCAACTTCACTCAACAAAGTCTTGCTATTTTACCACATTTTTATACACATGTGGTGATATCTGTTCCATTCCATGGCGAGCTTTATTTCTTCGGGTTCTCTCGAACAAAATCCTGCTCATTTCGTTGCCCAGATCACCGCTCTGGACTCTTATCAGTCTCCGCCATTTGCCTATCTGGACAAGCCATATTCCACCGTTAATGGAGAACCAACAGATGAGAAGTTGACACAAGTGCCTATAATAAGAGTTTATGGAAAACTACGAACTGGTCACACGTGTTTAATACACATTCACAATGTGTTTCCCTATCTGTACATACAATACACGGGACCTAAAGCTGCTGACCAAATAACAAGATGGCTGATCCAACTGAAGGACGAAATCAACCTTCGGATGTTTCTCTCATTCCAGCGTGGCAAAATTCAGCGACCAAAGAAACAACGGAAGAAAGATGGAGGAGATAGAGGAGATGGCGAGAGCGACTCGGATCAAGACGTGGATGATGCGTCAGAACAAGACGAGGATGACGAGGAACCACTCATCAAGATGAGGGCTTTCATTTCAGATATATCTTTGGTCAGGGGGGTTCCCTTTTATGGCTACAATGTTGGCTGGGATGGGTTTGTCAAGATTTCTCTGGTTAGCCCCAGGTACATACGAAGACTCACCAATGTCTTGCAAGATGGCAAAGTATTTGGAAGGCCCATTCAGCCTTTCGAAACTCACGTTCCCCTCAACTTGCAGTTCCTGAAAGATTATAATCTCTATTGCAGCAATTGGCTTGTTTTAGACTCCTGGTTCTTCAGAGCTCCGATTGTGGGTCTCAAAGGCGATGATACTGCGATATTCAATCGCATCAAATTCACAGACTCTCTGAGGACGACAATTCTCTCAAAAATGGTCACCGTCTCCGGAACTGACTGCTACAATGTTTTGGATGATATGATATTCCCGCGAATGGGCTCTTCCATGGTTGAAGTGGATACCACTGCTATCTCTATTGTGAATCTTGCTCAAACATCTGAAAGGCAAACCCATTCCAATTTTATTGAGTACAAAGCATTTCTTCATGGGAGCCAGGCTGAGAACATGACATACATAACCTCGACCAAAGAAATGATCAAGGATGCCATGTATCAGCGCTCAGTGAAGAATTTGAAAGATGCTGATAAGGCAAAGATGTTCACTGGCTCACAGCGTAACTTCGATAGAGTGACGTGGGTGGAGAGAGATACCCTGAATGACCTCTTCAAATACTGCTGTGAAATGTCGAAGTCAGAGTGGTCCAAAAAGTTCGATAAAGAGCCCGAGACATCAGATATGTTACCTCCCAGACCATATTTGAATGAGTTTCCAACCGCATTTCAAAGTATTGCGAAACTGGCATACCATATGGAAATCAATAAGTTTATTTTGCTGCCACGCTCAAGTTTGGATGCGTCCCAACTTCTTGAATCATATGCTCAGTCTCATTCGACGCAGCCCGTGCCAATCGAGGTACATGTGCCCCAGAAAAGGAAGGACACCGTACCTGACCAAACTTCTCAATCGCAGTCGCCCGTATCGAATGTTTCTGATGCCGATTTATCTCCTGCAACTAAAAAACTGAAGACAGACTCGGAGGGAGAACCCACAGAGCCAGCCACCACTAGCCCAAAGAAGCAATTGTCATTTCACATCACACCAGAGGATGCGGCTGAAGAGTTCATTGTGGAGGAGATTGATAGAGATTGGACCATGCTCAGGCAAACGCAAGCCTCTCCTGTGCTCTTAAAAACATCAAATTCTTTCATGCGCAAAGCAAATGGCACACCAGCAGCTAAAGTCGTAAGATCACTATTCAAAGAAGAGCATGCATTTTTTCCAAAAGAAGAAATTGTTGCAGAGTATGTGGGACTGCCACCGGCCAATCTTGACAACTCCGGTTTTCTCAAGTCTTTGGAGACAGAACAGGGTCTTTTGCAAATAGAATATACGGATCCGTTCTACTCAAATGAGGACCATGTTCCACAAAGACCTTTTCTCAGTAGTGGAAAGAAATTCGTTCTGAAAAGCGACTCAATTGACAATTTGAAGCCATACCACTCCATTGCCGTTCCAGAATCATCAGTGAATGCTAGACAGATGATTTGCTCTTTAGAGAAAAAACTACAACCACCAAAAGTCGCTATCTTCAAATATGTTGATGGCGTCTTGCCCTCGTATGAAAACGTTCAGACATGGTGCAAAGAGAACTCTATATCCAAAACTCAGTTCTTCAAATCTCAGATAGAGTTTGCTACTGCATCCAATGAGTATGGTTTCAAGTACAAATCTCTTGAGAGGCAGACCCCACAGCTCCAGAAATCGTTCAACGATATGACTGTACTGATGGTCGAGACACACGTGAACACGAGAGACAGGTTGAACCCTGATCCTGAACACGATCCAATAGGGGCAGTTTTCTGGAGATTCGATCCCAGCAGCATCCCCTATGACCTTAGTATCATAAATCATGGCTGTTTTGTTCTCAGAAGTGAATCAGATTGTTTGACAGAGATGGATGAAGCTTCTTTTCCAGGATTGCTTTCGACTTCCGTACAGATATGTGAAACAGAAACAGAATTGATTGATGAGTTGGTTTGCCTGATCTCTCTAGTTGATCCTGATGTTTTATGTGGATATGAAATACATGCTTCTTCCTGGGGCTACATCATAGAGAGGATGGATCACGCCTACGGGTACGACTTTTTAGCCAAGATCTCCAGAGTGAACGAAAAGCACTTAAACAAATCTAAAGAGAGATGGGGATATGTATCTGGTTCGGCCTTCAAGGTAACAGGTAGGCACATTCTCAATCTATGGAGAGCTTTGAGGCATTCTGTCAATCTATTGAAATATACCTTGCAAAATGTATGTTTCCACGTTTTGCATGAACGGTGTCCTCATTTTGATCATCGCCAGCTCACATCTTGGTTCAAGAAAGGAAGCATACAAGATTGCTCGTTTGTGATCAACTACTATACCCGGCTTCTTTCCTTGACTGCTGGTGTTCTCGATAACCAGGAACTTGTGAATAAAGCCACCGAGGAGTCTAGACTGATCGGGATCGACTTCTATTCGATCTTTACGCGAGGCTCTCAATATAAGGTGGAGGGCTTACTTGTTCGTATAGCAAAGGAAGAAAACTTCATGCTCATTTCTCCAAGCAAGAAACAGGTGTTCAAGCAAGCCCCAATTCAATGTATTGCGTTGGTCATGGAGCCGGAAAGTGCTTTCTATAAGAGCCCACTTCTTGTCTTGGATTTTCAGTCGTTATACCCGTCAATGATTATTGCATATAACATATGCTACTCCACAATGCTGGGGCAGCTCAGAGGGTATGATGGGAAGAGTGCTCAACAACTTGGTGTTGGTAAGGTCAAGCTCCCTCTTGGTTTTCTTGATCTGATGAAAGATCAGATTACGATCACACCAAATGGGGTGATGTTTTTGAAGCCAAGTGTACGCAAATCTTTGCTAGCAAAAATGCTGACTGAAATCCTCGACACCCGGTTGCTAATTAAGGACACACTATCTAAATCTAAAGGAGACTTGCATTTGGAGAGTCTATACAACAATCGTCAGCTGGCTTTGAAGTTGATAGCCAACGTCACCTACGGATACACCTCTGCTAGTTTCTCTGGCAGAATGCCCTGTGCAGAAATTGCTGACAGTATAGTTTCTGCCGGAAGAGAGACATTGAATAGGGCCATCCGTGAGATTGAGAAGAATAGTGCTTGGGGTGCCAAGATCGTATATGGTGATACTGATTCATTGTTCGTCTATCTACCGGGCAAGTCAAAGGTTGAAGCATTCACAATTGGTCGGCAGATGGCTGACCATATCACATCTATCAATCCAGCTCCAGTCAAACTGAAGTTTGAGAAAGTTTATCATCCTTGTGTTCTGCTGAGCAAGAAGCGCTATGTGGGATACAGTTACGAACACCTAGAACAGAAAGAACCAAAGTTTGACGCAAAGGGAATAGAGACTGTCAGGAGAGACGGCATACCTGCTCAGCAAAAGATTGTGGAGTGCTCTTTGAGAAAGCTTTTCGAAAGCAAGGATATCTCCAATGTGCAGGATTATGTCGAAACCCAGTTTTGGAAAATCATGAATGGGAACTTCAGCATTCAAGACTTTTGTTTTGGAAAGGAGGTGAGAATTGGGACCTACAAAAATGAGATACATGCTCCTCCGGGGGCTATCATCAGCAAGCGACTTATGGAACAGGATCACAGGTCCGAACCACAATATAAGGAAAGAGTACCATATTTAGTGGTCAAAGGTCGAAAATCAGCCACTCTGCGAGAGCGGTGTTTAACACCGGAAGAGTTTATAGACCGACAAGGGCCAGATGCGTTAGAGTTGGATTGGAACTACTATATTACAAAGATGTTAATACCTCCTCTTGAACGAATATTTGGCCTCATGGGCGTGAATGTGAGACAGTGGTTCCAGGATATGCCAAAAATGCTGAAAGTGACCTCCAAAGATCCTGCTACGACCGGAAGGACCACGATCTTAAGCTTTGCCAAAACGTTGAATTGCTTAATATGTGGACGTCAAATAGCCGCAGCTGACCCTGGTGTCTGCGACAGCTGCCTTTCGGACAAAAGTGAGTCTATTGTGAGATTTCATTCTACCCTTCGAGAGCATGAAGCAAAAGTTCTTGATATCCTGACGGTGTGTAGAGTCTGTTGCTCAATCTCACACAACACGAAACTAGGTTTAATCAACATTGGGGCTGGTCTCAAATGTGACTCCCAAGACTGTTCAATGTACTACACCAGAATAAAGTCATTGAGAGAACTAGATCGAGTGCGTGCTGCCAAAGCCCATCTACTGAGTCAGATTGATTGGTAATTGTATATTAGGTGGTTCGTCCATCATGTGTGTATTATTAGGTATCGATGCAATATGCCATTTCTTCAAGCTTTCTTGATATGAGCTTTTTCGTACTTTCTTGAGCGTGGGCAATCAGTTCAGCGTGGTTTGTAATCTGAGCTAGTCTGGTCTCTAGATCAAAGCATTTCTCGAGCATCCCCAAGTCACTGGACTTTTTGTAGAGTAACACGGCATGCTCCAAGAACCGAAGTGTTTGATTTAGTGATTCTTCTTCTCTGTCATGGATGAACTTGCATTTGAAAGTAACAGCGAGTAGATAGAAGCCCTTTGCTATCATAGCAATCTGATCTACCTGTAGTATTGACGGCATCGTTTTGTAGAGAATATCTTTGCAATCAGACCAATTTTGGTCTTCATCCATAGCCAATAAGAGCTCCACCAATGTGAGCATAGCTTTGCATGAAAGAGATACCAATGAAGTATCATATGCTAAATTCAACGCATTGAGTAAAATAGACAATCCACGGGAGGGGGCCGTCGAGCTTTCCGCAATTATGGCAGCGTAGAGTATCTCATACTCTATTAACCAGTAAATATCGTAGCACTTCCTGTCAACGAATTGCGATGAAAGCAGTTTGTGCGCAGCCGTAGAGTCTCCAACTCTCTGCAGATATGAAACTTCTAGGTATATCAACTCTGCCTCGAAATTTATCTCCTTCACTTCACTCACCTGTATCTTCAGGGAATCGATCAAAGCTTTTGAGGCATGAAGTCTGCCCTTGCAGATCCAATTAGACAGCGTGAACAGCATCTTCCGAAAGCTCCAAATTCTGCCAAGACTGACGTTGCTCATAGAAGAACCATCGTCCGCCATAATTTCAAATGCAGTTTTGATGTTTCCTTTCAGAAACTCGGCGTTCGCTCGCCTCATCAGAACGTGTGCCTCGTCGTACAAATTATGGCTGAATCCAAAAGTATCAGCCGCAACGTCAGTCATAACATTGCTCAGAGTGGAAATTCCAATTCTACTCCAATTGGCTATCTGCAAATCGCACGTTTTCAGCAGAACAGACCTTTCTGACTCCCTCCAAGGCGAACTCAGAAGTATGTAAGATGCCCTGATGAGATTATTCATGACCTTACTCATGGGTTCCCCATCAGCCATTGCTTGCAAAGCTTCAAACTGACAAGAGACTGCCTGAAGATTCAGATTGTTGACCTCTTTGGTCTTTGAGTTGAGAACTTTCAAAGTTTGCGTGATGGTATCCACATTCTCGCCTGGCGTGCCGCTTTTGTAAAGCTCGGGCTTATTCCTCATGAAATCAATAAGCCAAGTCAGCAGAAAACTCAAACAACTCATGTCCTGATGCTCCCGAGCAACAGAGATAGATTCGTCAATTGCTCGCAATGCTTCACGGTTGTTCCCAAAATGTGATTCAAGTGTAGCCAGAGATACGAGCGCGTAATGGTAAAAAACCCTCTGATCATTTGACATCATGTAGTCGAAATAGCGATGCAATTCGAATAGGGCATTCTCATAGTCTTCCCTGTTGAGGTACTCCAGGTAACTGACGTAATGCAAAGAGGGGAACAGATTTGAGGAAGCCGACATCATGGAGAGAACATTGCGAACCTGTGGCGGTGTTGGTGTACCATACGCTTCGAGTAAAAAGATCTGGTAATCAAGCAGATCGGAAAGATCAATCTCAGAGACTGTTAGGGCTCCCGCCTGCAAATGTGGGGCAAAATCATAAGAGTGATATCCCGCAACATCTGTTATGTTTGCATTTTTCAGAATCATGCTTGATATCCTGATATCGTAATCCAATTCTTTAGCATCTCGATTCTTGGGGTCGCTCAAAGGTCTGACAGGCTTGTATATAGCTCTGGTGGGCTCGCGATATTGCACAAAAGCATGCCACAAATGGACAGTTTCATCAAACTCCAGTGCTCTCAAGTTCACACTCACGTTATACACAAACTTGCCCAAATAACTGGTCTTGGCCAGCTGTTTTCGTCTCGCATCATTCTCTTTGCCTACCCTATCTTGCTTAGCATTCTCCTTCAATAACAGCCTGGAAGAACGATGAATGAGATCATAAAACATATCCATGTTCTGAACGCTCCACAAGTAGCTCAGAAAGGCGTGGGTCACAACATCAGATGTTCTTTTGGCAGTATCATCTTTGATATCGTTCTTCCTGGAGAAGTATGAGTCGATTGACTCCGAGAGTCTATCTATAAGATCTACAAGTTCCTCGTTCACCTCAGGCTTTCTAGCTTTGCCAAACTGTTTCGTAATCCCGTTTTTGAAGCCATCAATTTGGTCCACCACAACAGACATCACAGGTGGTACAACAATGGCGGGGATTCTTCCAAAACAGTAGAGAGAAATCAAGGCTAGAGTACCAATTCTAGCAGGTGATAATGCTGGCGTCAATAATAACTTTGTTCGCTGTTCATGGGGCTCCTTGGGTAGATTCATGTGGTAATTGTGGTGTTTCCCTGGTAAACAAGACGACAATAGAGCTATCTATATCACGCGTTCTCAGATCACATAGTTAATACCGAAGAAATCCACCGTGTCCCACTCAACTGGGCCTTAACAGTGAAGACAAGAGATTATTATCTCCATTAATACTGTTTGATTCTCACATTATTTCAAAAATTATAATATATAATAGTTTGGGGGTAACATGTTATATACTCATATTATTGGAAATATCCCGCCAAAGCGAGGTGATCCAGGCTGCACCACAATATCTGTCCTAGTGCCTTACTCCTTCTTCGACTGGCTCTTCTCCTTTATGTCTATCTCAGCAAGAGTATAGGCGGCGCCAGCCAGTTGGATCACATTGGTTACCTGCTTGAAGAACCAAACTGGAAGACTGACGTATGCCAGCAGCTGAGGGAATGTAATGGCCAAACCAGGAACAAGCATGAAGTCATAGTACGAAAGGTACAATGCCATGTAGAACAACTCGTTGAACATGCACACGGTGAATAACACGCTCTTTTTCGTGTAGTACAGTCTCAACAACACGTTCTGGGATTGGTCAATGTTCTTGTGTGACGTGCTTCCGGTGGACAACGCAGCATACATGTGCATGTAATGGGATGACAAATCCAACGAGACCAAGAGCTGCCACAGTATGTAATATGTGGGGTATATGACAGATAGGAAACATATCAAAGATGTTGTTGAGCATCTATCCGTGACCATGTCGAGCACAGCACCAAACCTGGTTGATTGGTTGTATTTTCTGGCAGCCATACCATCAAAGGCATCCAGTAAACACGATATTCCGTAAATAATCGTGGTGTAACGAGGATGGTCCTTCATTAGAAAGAACGAAAGCAGAGCTGTCGCTACTCTCGTGAATCCAATCAGGTTTGGGATGTAGGTAAAGATAACATTCGGATTGATATCCGCAGTATTGCTTTTTGTCATTGGAAATTGATGAGGTAGTTTTGAAACGCTTTTGTCCTACCAATATTATTAAGTCAGCGAGATTTTAATTTAGCTGAACCCTGCTTTCAAGAGATTGAGATCATTTTTCAATAGGATCCGATCTTGATACGGGTGCCACTTCCCGTCCTTTGTGCCTCTTTGGTTAAGAGCCCCTGTCTCATTTTTTGATTTCGCCTATACACGACGCTTAATTTTTCAGTTTAAAAAAAATTATGCATGATATGGGAGAAATGTACATAGGGAATAACTGCAACATAATAGATAATAATGGGTTATGCATTGCAAGATTCGTTACCGTTGGAGGTATTGATTGCCTCTCTTGAAACTGGGACGGTACGGAGCGCAAATCTCTCTTTGATTCTGTCAGTTTTGTCCACCGAGTCCGCGATAAAGACTGCTACAAAGTCTGAGTTGTCTCATATTTGTTCGAGAACTCTCAACTTGTTGAGGTCCAACGAAAATGATTTGAGATGGGTGGGATCAAAGCTAGCTGTTGTCCTATCTCTACACCCGAACATCACCTCAGAGCACGGAGCCAACATCATAAATGCGCTCGTAAAGATTCTAGAGAGTCAGTGCTATATTGATAGTGATAACCTGCACTCAAGCTTACCGTTACAGCAATTGATAACGTTGCAATCCACATGCGAATGTCTAGACTTTATTGTGGACAGGATAAGAGGAAAGCCAACACTCACGAGAGAGATCCTTACTCCTAGACTACCCAGTTGCATATCGGCGTTGGTCCAGTGTTTCCAAATTTCGCCGGTCACCATCATACCGATTCTCTACAAGATGCTGTTACATAACTCCACTACTTTCAGACCGTTTGGAGGAAAATATGAGACTAAACTGCTTAGTTTGTTTGAGAATGAACAGAATTTTGACAGAATGCCCAAATTATTACAGCAGAGCGTCTGTAAATCGATTGTGCAGTTGTCATATGTTCTTACCAGAAACCAGCCTGATGAAACATGGAACGCTAAACTGAACGATCTTATTGCAGAGATAAGCTCCACAATCTCGATCTACAAAGATTTCTTGGAGCTGGAAAGTGACTCGTCTATTGCAAGAATGCTTTCCTCGCTGCCTACTCTTGGAGAAAAGTCATCGATTTTCCCTGGGTTGGTGATTGACAGCAACGAGCCACTTGACCTGCTGAAAATCCAATCCAGACTCAGAATATTAGGCGAGCTTTTAATCCAGTACATTTCTACGCCAACTCCGTTTCCGGTGAAAGTGCCGTTGGCGAAGCTTGTTTCGATCGGAGATCTTCTGCTCTCCATTAACCTGAAATTTGTCAATGTTAAGAGAGAGATCAGATCCACTGAAATTAGAAGTGTTTTGAAATTATCGTCTGAGCGCAATGCGTCTCTGGGAGTTCAAATTTTCCGTGCTTTGATCTCATCTTTCAGAGGAGAGATGTCGATTCATGCCATGTCAATTCTGGCATCATTGAACTCCATAATTCCAATGACCAAGGCTCGAGGAAATAAGTCCAAGGTTGATGATTCTCGGATCTATGAATTGTCTGAGTTGATATTTCAGATAATTGATTGTTCTTCCGATGTTTTGGGCCTGTTCAACTGGGTCAATGACTCTAACGTTATAAATGATGTGGTGGAAGCTGGTCTGATTCTTGCTAGACCTCCACCTGAAGCACAGTCTTCCATTACCAATGGCCCTTCAGGAAAGAACACGAAGAAGAACAAAAATGGATATTCTGCTTCATTATCCGATGCAATGTCTCATGGTTCTCTCTTTGTGTCTTCGATATCCACAGAAAACAGAAATCTTTTGAGACGTTTTTTCACCCAGTCCCTGAGCACTTTTGTTCTGGCTGCATCTAAGAGGACAGAGGTAATAAACTATACGCTAGTTGATGCGGTATCTCATATGGATGAATTACGGACTCCTTCGCTTGTTCCAAAAGACCTTGTTGAATTGTTGAGAGCTGCAGTGGTTTTCCCTGAAGGACAGGGAATGGTGTCTGTACTGCCCATTGTTACTAGCCTCATCGGTAATGATAACTTCGTGAGCGTCTTGGCCTCTCCAAGATTTCCATTACTTCCCCAGAGACAGGTTGTTATTGCTGAGGCTAATGTCGAATCTGAAGAGTCCGACGATGAAATTGAGCAATCTGCTGTTGATGACGGTGATGAACACATGGACGACGCAGAAGAATCACCATTGAAAAAGCAGAAGACGAGGAGCTTCGAGGTTGAAGTGGCCCCGGTCCAGGTAACCGGGGCCAACGTACTTTCTAAACCTCTGAGTCCTGTGATTTTACCTCAACAAAAATCTCAAGAACCAGTTTTGGTTGAAGACACAAAAATTGTCCAAGCAGACCCAATAACGAAAGAGGCTGTCGCTGCAGCTGCATCCGACGTGGAGTCAGACTTCGAGATTCCAGATATAGTCATGGAATCTGACGATGAATAAAAGCTTTTTAAAGATATATAGATGTCTGCTCGATCGGAAAGTCTAATAAAATAAAATAAAAAGCATTCTTCCCAAATTCGAGATGTCACTAGTTGAAGATTATGCCATTGCCATCAGTTTCTTTGAGCATTGTCGATCTAGCACCTAACATACGGGTTTCGACCTAGTGAAGTTTGCAGGAAGAACCCACCTTGAAGGTGCAATCGGACTACAAATGAATTAGTTTGAGAGAAATCAAAAAAAGTCTTCATAAACTCGGTTTATAAAGGCAATTACATAGTGTGTAGACAATGACATCCTTCGTGGGGGATCAGAAGTTCTCATACGCGTCTTGTTAAAGTGTAACAAGAATGGTTGCGCAGACGCTGTCACCAGAACATCCCAGAACAACAGAGTTGAACGTTCCAAAAAGGGGGAATAGTCTTGAGTTAAACGCGAGAATTCATCATATTTTGAACTTGGAAGGTCATAAGGAAAAAAGCCTTAAGCATGGAAAACCCAGGGACGACGAGAATTTTTTAAAGCCCTGCAAATGGTTTGGGCCTCGCACTTCCTTGAGAAGTTACCCATACACTACCAAAAAAATTTGAAGTGATAGCGGTCTATGCAGATAATGTACAATTTTCTAGTAGTTACCAAAACTGAACCCATATTCCTATAATGGCTATTGGGACGAAGACTAAAGTGAACGGCAAGACCAATGGGTCTAAGTCCTCGAAAAAGGAGCTCAAAAATCCAACGCTGTTTTCCATTGAACAGTGTGCTGAATACAGACAAGAACTCCTTCAATCTACGAAGAACATAAACCTGATCTCCGAGTTGCTGCAGAATTTTAAGCTGTCCGAACCGCTTATATTGCGGTCGAAAGTTTCTGATAACGATCTTCAGAAGATTTCGGCGTTGAGTGTGACCCTGGCGCAAGTTTTTTTGGATTTCATAAAGACTGGCAGACTCAAAGTTTCCAAAAGTGCAGGCGACAAACAGGCGATGGTAGCAAAATGGCTGAAATCCAAATACAGTGAGATGAAGACATTCATGATACATATTCTCTCACTACCAGAAGCTCTAGACTTGAACGAGGATGTGAAGTCTTTCAAGATTGGTGTGCTTGAGATTCTGATGAAGCTTCTCAAGGCCGAGTCCGACAATATGGGATCTGGCGAGGAACCGTACTTTTCCACAAAGACTTATGGCGAAATAATCTATGGAGTTTTGCTGTCTGGGGATATAAGCCAGATTCTGAGTGATGGTACAATTGACAACTACCTGTTGTTGGAGTTCATGGATTCCTATTTCAACAGGTATTGGGATCTGAAGTACTATTTTATGTCAGAACTCAAGAAACAGCTAGAAGCAGATATTATGCAGCTGGATAATGACAGCAAGAAAGTGGTGTTCTCCAGTTTTGCTACGCTTGTGAAAATGAAGAATGTCATCAACGATTTTGAAAAGACAGTGAAGAAGACCTACACCAAGAACCCACCAAAAGTGATATCTCAGCAGACAGTTTTCAAGCAGAATTTTGAGAAGAACTGGATTACTTTGCTGAACTTTCCTTTGGAGCTTTCTCAGTACAAACTCGTGTTGTTAATGGCTGATAAGCGTATGATTCCTTTCTTCAACAACCCAACCAAACTCATGGATTTTCTCACCAACTCATATGATACAGGCTTCAGCTCTTCCGATATCACCATCTCCATTTTAGCTTTGAATGGTCTCTTTGGTCTCATGAGACGCTTCAACTTGGAATATCCAGACTTTTTCAAAAAACTATATGCTATTTTGACTCCAGAATTACTGCATCTAACCGTGAAATCCAGGTTTTTCAGACTGCTCGATGTGTTCATGGGTTCCACTCATTTGTCTTCATCTATCGTTGCATCTTTCATCAAGAGGCTGGCCAGAATCGCGCTTACAGCTCCACCATCCGGTGTTGTGATAGTCATTCCTTTCATATACAATCTCTTGAAAAGGCATCCAACATGTATGCTGCTTCTGCACAACACCACAGAATTTGAATCTTTCGAAGATCCATTTGATGAAGAGGAAGAAGACCCATCCAATACCAACGCTCTCAAGTCTTCCATCTGGGAATTGCAAACGATGATGAACCATTACCACCCCAACGTTGCCTCTTTGGCCAAGATTCTGCAACAGCATTTTAACAAGTACAGCTATAATATGGAAGACTTCTTGGACTGGAATTATAACAAGTTTATAACCACCGAGTTTGAGAAGAAGGCCAAAGGTGAAGTTGCTGTTGATTACGAGAAATGGGATACTGTGCTTGGATTCGAGTCATCATACCTACCCGGATTCGAGTTTTGAACTGCGCTATTTGAGAAAATTTGTAATCTATAAATAAATTAATAGCGACTTATTGCTATGCTTGGAATCCCGTGTTTTGTATCGTTGCAACAGCAAGCTGATACATCCAAATACTCACGGCCGTGGTTGGAGCAGACTTGATAAGTGCTGGGGAAAGACCATGGTAAAACCCTAGAACTCCTTCACGGGTGTAAACTGCCCTAATCAGCGAAGTCATTTTTGCATCATTATTTGTAAGTTGCATTCTCTTTCTGATGAGGTCGAGCGGAAAGACCACAGTTTTGGAAAATGTGCCTGCTATCAAGCCACAAAATGGCGATAAGAAAGACAATTCTGCATGCTTGTCTGTGGCCTCACTTAAAAATTCGTAAGCACAGAAGGTTGATCCACTAGAGACGGCCATAGCTAACAACGATGGTGAAATTCCTCCAAAGAACCCTCGTATTCCTTCGGTTCTTGCGATATAGGATATGGTGCCAAAGAATGATAGGAACTTCTTCGATCTGTTGAATGCAAATCTCGTTCTCATCACATCGAACGGGTATGAAATTGCTGTGCCGACTGTCCCCGAAAGAGATCCAATCATCAACGAATGAAACGAGCTAGGCACCTGCAAACTATGAGCGTTTTCGAAGCTAGTGAGCGCGGTATTGAAGGTCGAATATGCAGTGAACTGGGTTGCCCCGTATAGTATGTACATGATTTCAGCGGGCACATTACCCTTCCAAAGCGATCGCACTCCGCCTTCTTCCTTGGCTATTGTGACTATTGTGTTCAGGATTCCCTTGTATTTGACAGGCAATGCCTGCTGACCCTTGGCTGGTCTATCCTGCAGCTGAAGCCTTATCTTCACTATGTCCAAAGGAGCTGTCACCATACGAGCCACCATGCCTGAGAAAGCCCCAGCAGCAGCCGATGTGGAGGCATCCACATCTACCCCACGACGAAGATTATCTGTGACACCAACCATGCCTGATCATCAACGCGTCATTCGCTGTTCGAAAGATTTGAGCTGCAGAAAGTTCAAAATTGTTTTTATTTGCTGACAAAAATATTACGCAAGCATCGCATCGTTCTTCACACGACCTTCCAAAAAATCTTAGGGTTGAAGCTTTTGCGGTGCATATCTCCTGTTCAAACTGCAAATATAAGCCTATAAATCCAGGCATGACGACAAGTTTCAACGCCGAGCTCGGTATATTGGACCGTGTTGATGGGTCTGCAAGTTATAAGTTTGGTGCAACGAGCTTGATATGCTCCGTAAGTGGTCCGATAGAGGCCAAAGCTAGGCAGGAGCTGCCGACTTCAGCAGCTTTGGAGGTGACGATACGCCCTGATGTTGGAGTATCGTCCACGCGTGAGAAGCTAACCGAGGACAAGCTGAAGTCCGTTCTGGGAAGTGTGATCAGCACATTCCTCTATCCAAGACAGCTGATACAAGTGGTGGTGCAGATACTGGATGCAGGTGAGGCACCCTGCTATGTTGTGCGTGAGCTTGTGGGATGCATAAATGCGTGTTATTTGGCATTGATTGATGCAAAAGTGGGAATTTCCGAGTCATTCTATGCCAAATGTGTGGCCATAGAGCAAAATACAGGAAAGCTCATCCTAGATCCAACTGACAGAGATCTGACCTCGAGTAAATCTCACCATGCGGTCTGCTTCAGTCTGGGTAATGGCAAATCCAAATCACTTCTCTACTCTGAGTCTTTTGGGCAATTCACCGAAGAAGAGTTGCTCAAGGTACTGGACTTTGCCGCAGAAGCCATTGAACAGGAAAACATCGGGGTGAGGAAGGTGATATCAGAAGCCGTCTCCAATGACTACGTTTGGATGAGTTAATTACAGACGAAAATCAACTTTGTACATTTATGAAAAATAGAATAGTGGAAGAAATTTATAACTTCAAACGCTCCAGGTTTGCAATTGTAGCCTTCAATCCATCAATCTCTGCAATGCACTTTTCATGACGTTCCTTGTTGAGTACTTTGGCATCACTCGAGGCCTTCTCTGCATAATCCTTACCGTTGATGGTCTTCTCAATGGACTGGAGTTGGGTCTCCAACTTGCCCAGCTTTCCGTTCGTCTTGGTTATTTCGGCATCAATGTCGATGGCACCTTTAACCAAGACATGAACATTACAGTCTGGCGAAACGGCTTGCAAAGCACAACCATCTGGAACTTGGGAAGCGTTACTGACAACCTCGATTTCGTTCACAGCCTTGATGAGGGAGACGATGGAAGACTCTTGGTCCTTAGCAATGTTGAAAACTCTTTCCTTGGAAGACTCAACGAAGATCTTTCCGTTCTTGACAATGTTGTACTGAGCGAGCAAGGATCTGGCTCCCTTGGTGATCTCGAGGGCTAGCTCGTAAGCAGCCTCGGCCTCCGTGTTGAAGTACTCCTCAACGTAGACTGGATAAGCAGCCTTGACGATGGTTGGAGAAGTTTCAGAAGAACGGCGAGGCAATCTCTGCCACATCTCTTCGGTGATGAACGGCATGAATGGGTGGATAAGCTTCAAAGCAGCATCAATACATGTGTATAGTGTGTCTCTTGCAGACTTCTTCTGGGCATCAGTGCCCTCGTTGATCAGGTACTTGGAGTTCTCGATGTACACATCACAGAGCTCGTACAACCAGAAGTTATAGATGGCTGTCGTGGATTCCAAGAAATCACGCTTCTCCAAGCTCTCGTTCACAATCTTGGAAGTGACGGTAAGCTTGTGAAGGATCCACTTCTCTACCAGAGACTCGTTACCGGTCAGCTTTCCAGTTGCAGGAGGAACGTAATCGTCACCCAAACGCATCAACACGAACTTGGTAGCTTGGTACATCTTGTTGCAGAACTTACGGTATCCCTCAACACGTAGAATATCCAGGTTGATATCACGACCACCTGTTGTGTAAGCACAGAGGGCAAATCTCAAAGCATCAGTACCACATTCAGGAATACCGTTTGGATACGATTGCTTTTGACCCTCTGTGGCCTTTACAAGTTCCTTTGGATCTAAGTTACCAACGAGCAACTGCTTGTGCAAATCCTCAAGGGCAATACCGTTAATAACGTCAGTAGGGTCAATGACATTACCCAGAGACTTGGACATCTTACGGCCCTGAGCATCACGAACAAGAGAGTGGCAGAACACCTCCTTGAATGGCACTTGACCAGTCAACTTGATACCCAACAAAATCATTCTGGTGACCCAGAAAAACAGAATATCCCAGCCTGTTTCCAGCATGGACATTGGGTAGAAGGTCTTCATGTCTGGGGTCTTTTCGGGCCATCCCAACGTGGAAAATGGCCACAAACCAGAAGAAAACCAGGTGTCCAAGACATCTTCATCCTGTTCCAGAGTGTACTTCTTTCCTGCAAACTTCTCGGCAGCATTCTTCTCGGCCTCGGCCAAATCTCTACCAGGAACCCAGAAGGCACCGTCGTTTCTGTCATTGTCCTCACCTTCAATATTCACGAAGTAGACAGGACAGCGGTGACCCCACCACAGTTGTCTAGATATACACCAATCCTGGATGTTCTCCAACCAACGGAAGTACTCGTTTTCGGAGACCTTTGGAGAGATGGTGATCTCGCCATCACGGACGGCCTTGATAGCAGCGTCCGCCATTTTCTTCTGCGAAACCCACCATTGTGGCTTTAGGTATGGCTCAACAATGTCACCCGAACGAGAACATATTGGCAAGGTCATCTCGTTGTCTTCCTGACCGATGTAAAGACCCTTCTGCTTCAGTTCTTCAATAACGACCTTACGGGCATCAAATCTCTTGAGCCCCTGGTACTTTCCACAGTTCTCATTCAAGAGACCATCATCAGTGAGGATGTTGATGAACTCCAAGTTGTGACGCTTACCAACCTGGTAATCGTTCATGTCATGACCGGGAGTGATCTTCACGGCACCAGTACCGAACTCCATGTCGACATTCAGCTCATCAGTGATGATCGGAATCTGGCGATCCAAAAAGGCGTGCTTGACAAACTTGCCGTGCAAGTGCTTGTAACGTGGGTCATTTGGGTGTACTGCAACAGCTGTGTCACCGAAAATGGTCTCTGGACGGGTTGTGGCCACAATGAGCTTCTCGTCACTGTTAACAACCTCGTAAGCAAACGAGGTCAAAACACCAAACTCAACCTTTTCATCGTATCCTGGAACGGACAGCAATGTTCTTGCTGCGACGGTCTTATTGTCGACCTCCAAGTTGGACAACGCAGTGTTCAACTTGACAGACCAGTTCACAAGACGGTTGTCACGGTAGATAGTACCGTCCTCGAACAAGCGGACAAAAGCTTCAGTAACAGCCTTTGAACGAGCCTCATCAAGAGTGAACGCAGATCTGTTCCAGTCGTACGAAGCACCCATCTTTAGGAACTGGCCCTTGATTCTGTTGAGATAAACGTCCTTCCATTCAAAAACCTTCTCGATAAAAGCTTCACGTCCAAGGTCGTATCTGGTCTTCTTCTCCTTTGCCCATAGATTCTTCTCGACAACAGATTGGGTCGCGATACCGGCGTGGTCGAACCCAGGCAAAAACAGGACGGTCTTGCCCTTCATTCTGTTGTAACGGATGAGCGAGTCCTGAATAGCAATTGTAAGAGCATGACCAATATGAAGAGCACCGGTGATATTGGGAGGTGGTGCTGGGATGGAGAAAACCCCAGCTGGCTTGTAGTTTCCGTCCTCTGCGAACTCGGGTTCGAAGAAGCCTTCTTTGACCCACCAGTCATACCATGACGATTCGATATTCTTAGGACTGTACGCCTTCAATGAAGGGTCATCAAGAGAAACAAGAATTTTCTTCTCGCCAGACTTGGTTTGGTCAACAAAAACAGGAGCGGCGGCTGGCTTCTCAGAGGCCTTCTCCTTCTTCTTCTCGGAGTTGGCTGTCTGGTTAGCCTTCAGACTGTCTTGTTTAGCCTTTTTGGCATTGAACTTGGCAAGCTTCTCGGCCTTCTTGCGCTCTTTCTCCAACTCCTTTTCAGTTTTGACCTTTGGAGGCTGGTCACTTGCAATCTGTTCACTCATCTTTGGATACTGTAAAGAGAAGTTTCTGACACTCTGATGAATGGTTAGATTCGATCATGATTTGCTTAGGAATGGGAAACTTACTGCAGCTGGATTATAAGCACGATAGTTACAGACTTTGAGTATTTGTCTGTAAATCAGCATACAACTTTGGCGAAAGTGATGATCTAGACTGACAGTGACTCACCAACCCGCATCTTGACCGGAAATTTTCTGTGAACGCTGAACAGCGTTATGTGCCCTTGCCCTGCGATGCACTGCTTTTTTTGTACGAAAGCGATGCCTTGTTCTTTATCACTTGTGTCAGTTAAGGCAAATTCTTGGTGGCCAGAACCCTTGATAATATGTCGGCAGCTAATTTATTGGGAGACTTATCAAGTGATGAGGATGAGAATCCAAGTCAGGAGTTTGAATCCCCCGACTTGACTATGGAAGATGGAGCCCTCGAACTTGAATCGGAAGAGGTTGTGCGAAGAGCCTCTCTGCATCTGAAAGGTATCCAGAAAACTATTGAGGGCATTGAAGAGGCGCAAAGTATGGAGATTGACCAGATTGATAAAGCTTCAGAAGTAGCCTTTCTGGGGAAGGCAAATAGTCAACTTGACGAAATCGCAAACGATATAGTAGAGATTCACAACTTCTTGAGGATCCATTACACCCCGGTTTTTCCTGAACTGAGTTCTCTTATAGGCAACCCTATAGAATATTGCAAGATTGTGCGGATAATACAAAACAATCTTGAGCTTGCATCTGATGAAAATTCCCGGCTGAAAGAATTTCTTTCTGGCGATAAGATATTGGTGATATCGATGTCCTCCTCATTGCTGAGACAATCTCACCACGACGTCCGTCTCAGCGAAAGGGAGATGGCCGTTGTTGTTGGGGCTTGTGATCTTGTTATACAGCTAGACACTGCTAAGTTGGTGATCACACAATACATTGCTTCAAGGGCACCCATACTTGCTCCCAATCTGACCGTGTTGTTGGGACCTGTGGTGGCAGCTCAGATGATATCCACCTTGGGCATACAAGGACTGGCCACTGTTCCGGCCTGTAATTTGGCCTCTCTTGGATCGAACCGGGTGGTAGGCACAGGGATTGGTGGAGGTGGTATAAGGAACAAAGGCTACATATATTCGGCAGAGATTGTTCAAAATGTTCCGGAGGAGTTCAGACAAAAAGCCATGCGTATGTTGTCTGCAAAGGTTGTCCTGGCAGCTAGGGTGGATTTGTCTACCAAGACAGACCTGAACACATATGCTGGAGACCTTGGAGATAAATGGAGACGGGAGCTGGTGCAGAAGCTAGATAAATTTCAGGCTCCCCCGGATAACGCAGCCACTAAAGCTCTGCCACTGCCAGTGACCGCTCCCTCTAAGAAAAGAGGCGGTAGACGTTTCCGGAAACTCAAGCAACAGTTCGAAATGTCAGAACTTGCCAAAGCCCAGAATAAAATGGCTTTCGGTGATCAAGAAGAAACCATCACCAATGCTTATGGTGAAGAAATTGGTCTTGGCTTGGCTGGCAAGAACTCATCAAGTGGGGTGTACAGGGCCATAAGCTCAAGTGCTACTACGAAGGCCAAGATGACGAAAGCAATGGAGAAGAGGTTGAATAAAGCTTTAGAGATGGGAGAAGGCAACAGTAATCTAGTGAGGACTCTTTTATCGAGTGACAAATAGTCTTGAAACTAATTGACGATTTTATGAAATTCCCCAAAATTTGATGAAACATAAAAATTCAAATGAAATTTTCAGATCTCCAGAATATTGGCAAAAGAGTGAAGATAACAAGCAAAGAGCTCCTGGTCTTGCTTCTTTCGGTTCAGCTATGCAATTGCGTCCTGAAACTCTCAAATTTAATTAAATATTCGCTACACATAGTATATTATATTGCTTCATGAAACTCTTGTAAGAACATTGACAGCCGCACCAGGTGTGTACCACCAAATTGAATGTGACCCAATGGCAGTTTTCCGGATCCGGACAAATGTAAACAGAGGCAGATCAGGTCCAAATAACAACTGTTTCAACTCACTCGCTCTTTCATGGGGCACCTTCATTTTTTGTTATATATCTCCTCACATCAGGCCCTCAGGAGTCAATTTGCTAATCATTTCCAAGAGCTAAACAAGGAAACAAGATGATGACCGGATTCTTTGGAAGGTCGTCAAAGTCCCCGACCGGACTAGAAGATCTCACCAGGGATGTTGAAGGCATGAGTTTCGAAGACAGCACACCTAACAGCTCCCCCCAGCGCTTCAGAGGGTCTCCCAGAAGCAATCAGAGTTCTCCAAACAGAACGCTTGAGCAGTTTTTTGGGACTGGCGGAAAGCACCTTGAGAGGTTGAACTTCACCTCCAACACCAACAAGGAGAACACTCCACCAACCACTCCGGCCCGGAATTTGCTCCCTCCGTCCGATGGCGCATTTGCCAGATCTTCTCCAGTTTCAAACTCCGGGTCTCCTAACAGGCTGCCAAAGGACTTCTACACCAAAGCAAACGATCCGAAGACCCGCAGACTCGTGACTGTGTGTCAGATGTACTTCCTCGATTACTACTGCGACATGTTCGACTACCTCATCAGCAGGAAGGAGCGGGTCGGAGAAATGGAGAAAGCACTGGACCAATTGCATCCTTCCGAGCGCCAGTACCAATGGAGAAACTACGTGGGCAGGGAGAGAGCGCTTCTGAGAAAGAGGAGAATCAAGCCAAGGCATAAGGATTTTTCCATCATCACCCAGGTTGGCCAGGGTGGTTACGGACAAGTTTTTCTGGCAAGAAAACGAGACACCAAGGAGATCTGTGCTTTGAAAGTGCTGAACAAAAGACTGCTGATGAGAACGGACGAGACCAGACATGTTCTTACTGAGAGAGATATCCTTACCAACACCCGTTCCGAGTGGCTGGTCAAGCTTTTCTATGCGTTCCAGGACCCTGAAAATGTCTACCTTGCAATGGAATTTGTTGCCGGTGGAGACTTCAGAACTTTGCTCAGTAATGCGGGATATCTGATTCCACCTCACGCGAGATTCTATATCTCTGAAATGTTCGCTGCAGTGAACGCTCTGCATCAATTGGGCTACACCCACAGAGATCTCAAGCCAGAGAATTTCCTGATTGACAACAAGGGCCATATCAAGCTGACAGACTTTGGATTAGCTGCAGGCTCGGTCTCAAGCGACAGAATCGAAAGCATGAGATTGAGACTCAACCAAGTGAAGGACCTGGAGTACCATCCACAGGAGAGAACCTTCAGCGAGAGACAGCAGATGTACAAGTCTTTGAGAGCAAAGGACATTCAGTTTGCCCACTCAATTGTTGGATCTCCGGATTACATGGCTCTAGAGGTTCTGGAGGGTAAACCATACGATTATACTATCGACTACTGGTCTCTGGGATGTATGCTCTTCGAAGCCATTGCAGGTTATACGCCATTCTCTGGCAGCTCGACAAATGAGACATATGCAAACCTCAAGAGGTGGAAAGATTGTCTTAAGCGCCCCACTTATGAAAACGGCAGATATGTTTTTAGTGACCGGACCTGGCAACTGATCACCAGACTGATTGCTTCTCCCAAGGACAGACTCCGTAGCTTGAAACAGGTTATGGCCATGCCGTACTTTGCAGAAGTCAACTGGGATCACCTGAGGGAGCGTGTTCCTCCTTTCACTCCACAGCTTGACGATGAAGAAGACGCAGGATACTTTGACGATTTCACCAACGAAGCGGATCTGGCTAAGTACAAAGAAGTGATGCGCAAAAGAGCTGCTGATGAGAGAACAGCAGATAAGGGAGGCAGAGGGGTGGACTCGAAGAACTTCGTTGGATTCACTTTCAAGCACAAGAAGAATCCTAATGCCAGTAGTATGGGGATACTGACAACCATTTCTCACAACGAACAATCCAATATCACGCCCTCCGCCAACTTCCGTCGCCATGATGATCCTTTTAGCACGCTTTACTGAACCCGCATCATCATCTCCCAAATGTTATTAAGTTGTTTTTTTTGACTATCATATCGTAGGATCGAACTTCTCAAAGCTTCTTTTAAATGCCTCTGTATCTTCGGTTTCCTCTTTGACGCTGAGTTTGCATTTATCCCAGTATGTTCTCTCTGGTGTCTCCAGTATGGTAGCCAGCAGACGACGAGGAAACTGAAGGTCCAGCATACCTTCAGCCTTGTTCAAATCAAAGATGTACTTGGTTTGCTTTATAGTAGATGTTGCTACTGTTATCAACATATAGTCCCTGCTTTTCAGTATGGCGTTCAACCTTTCATTCCCGTCAACATCTTCGCTATCCACTTTTTGAAACTTGAGGGCCATATTCCGCGCAAAAGTCTCATTATTGGTTTTGATCTGGGCATTCATGACAGTCTCGAAATTATCCAACAGCTCCGTTGGAACAGGTACAAATTGCGTGTGGAAGTGGATACCCGTCTGTCTGGAAATCTCCCAGAACACCACAGAGTAGTCTATAGAGACTGTAAGGGACTTGAACATTTTCAAGATACCAACCTGATACCTTAACACCTCGTTCATCATCGGAGTCTGTAACATATTCGCAGACTCGGAAGTTTCATCAATTTCACAGAAGTCTTTTAATGTGGCCACATGTGCAATCGGTATTATAATGCCATGTCCCGAGAATGGAATACTTTCATTTTTCAAACAGAGAGGTCCCTTTGCAGCAGTGATGTATGCATAGTTCCCAATAGAGACGACTAAATGCAGAGACACATTTGGATTCGACAGACAGAAGAAGCAGTTTTTGGGCCCCACCGGTTTCATTCTTTTGGCAGCAGCATTTTTGGGAATTGGGGGCAATGAAACAGAAGAATGAGGTCTTTTTCTGTCAAGCGAATTTTCTTCAGATTCGAGAAAGGGATTTGGCGATGTTTTGGAGGCTTCCAAAAGGGCCTCCTCAGTTTGGCCGGGTGTTATGGAGAATGCATAATGCCATTTGTCTTTGGTTCCCTGTCTGGCAAGACTGATAAATCTAGTTTGACGTCCATCGGGCCATTGAAAGAGATCACGTTCATAGAATCGACCAGCTTCTGTTCCAACCCCGAAAACATACTTTGGCTTCGATAATTTCACAGCAATGTCAACCTTGGAAGATCCCACTAACGACAGCTTTTGTTCTCTCCCTATGGCTTGCGGCCATTTGAAAGCAATGAAAATATCAATCAGCTGATCAGAAAAATACTCGCTAACTTCCTTATCGGTTAACTCCTCTGCTTTTCCAGCCAGATATCCAAGGAGAAGCCCACAGGAGAGCTTCACTCTACCCATCGGTCTCAACATGTTCAGATTCGAGGTCTCTCTCTGATTATCAAGAGAAGACAGGTCTTTATATCCTTCTGTAAAATAAAATGGCACCACGGACTTCGAAAGATTTTCTGTCGATTCTCCATCGCTCAGTATATCGCCTAAACACAGGACTGCTTCAAACGGCCCATTCTTGGTCTCCAATGTGTTTGCAACTTTTATGGCCTTTTCAATGCTCGCTGGATTGAGAACCAATCTTGAAGTAGTTAGTATCGAGGCCTCAGACTGGCATTGAAAAATATACACGTACATTTTCTTCTTTGTATCCGACATTATTGTACAGTGGTCTCTCCCCTTTTGTGGTGTGAAAGACATCTGAAAACTTCTGAGGCCATTTGAGGAGCGATGCTCATCGGGCCTATACATAATAATATAGAAAGAGTGTAACTACAGGTCGATAGGACCAGATTTTCATAAAAGATCACATTTAACCAGGTGGGAATTTACAGATATTAACAAGCTGAACAAATTTAAATAACCTCACTGATAACAGCAGCAGCATCACGGTATGTTTCCAGAAGGGTTTTGCATTTTTCTCTCTCTTGGGCCAGGCTTTCATCCTCGTAAAGCAGCTCATCAAATAGAGAGTCCTTATAGAGCTTGGCAACCAAGCAATTTTGAACACTTTCCTTCGAGTAATTGACAAGAAGACACATGATGGCTTTGGGGACTTGATCCTGGATCATTTCTCTAACAATTCCAAAGTAAGAAACAATCAGCCGTCTGATCAGTTCGCACTCAAGTTGCTCTCTTTCAGATAGAGCTGGGACCTTCTCCTCAATGGTGATTTCTTCAAGCTGCTGAGATAGGTTTCCTAATGACTGGGGGGTATTGAACTGCAGACCATCTGACTGTAGTGGCAGCTGGAATGGGTGCTGCTGCGCACGCCTTTGTATCAACTCCTGTTGCTGGGTTACCTGAGACTCGTCCTTTCCGAAGAAAAAGTTCAAGAAAGAGTCTTTGTCTGCAGGACCGCGCTTGACATCATCCTGGGATTCTGAGTGCTTCCCGACCTTGTGCTTTTTATCAGAAAATCCATTCTCAGAAGCTGGCTCAGAGATAGCAGAACCGTTTGCCTGACCATCAACCTGCTCCTGCTGACTGCGCCTTGATTCTTCAATCGATTTTCTGTTCGTCTCAGCGTCCCTCTCTTTCTGTCTTTCCTCAACCACACTGGCCATTGCAGCTGCAGCTCCAACAAAGTTGGGATGATTTGTGTTGATGTAGGCACGGTGTATTTCGATCAAGCTTTCCACATACTTGGTTGTTGGACCCAGTCTTTCTCTCAACAGTTCAGAGACAACCTCAATGAGCTTGGTTTGGAGTTTTGGGTAACGAGCAAGCTCTTGGGAACCACAGTTGTGACAAATTTTCATGAGCTCTTCGTACACCAACTCAACGCATCTATGAGCTGGTCCCTCCAGAAGCTTGATTTGTGGCTTGACCAAAAGATCAAAAGCCAACTCAGGCACGAAGAGAGAAGGTCTTGGGCCAGTAGAGTTTCTGATGGCAGTGCGAACATCATGGACAGACAAATTGGCCGTGGGATTCAAGGAAAGCAACGAATTGCCAAACACCTCATTGTAGATGTAATAGATCCTTGCACCACCGCACAACTCTTTCGTGCTGATTTCCATTGAGTTACCGTCAATGGAGTTGATGAAGCTGTTCGCGAACTTGTTCATTAGCTGCAATATCAACGAGCTTCTGTTTTCTTCAGAAACAATCCCCATATCACCATACGAGGCCAATTCTTGCTCTGTTTGGCCCATGAGTGTATTGAGCTTGGCTTTGATGTCTGGCAGTCTATCTCTTATGTGGTTCATGAGGGTTTGGTTCAAGGTTTTGGCAAGGTACCGAGTACCGCATTTGCTTGAAAGGTTTCTATAGGCAGCATGGCTGCGGAAGAAGTCCTCTTCCGCTTGCAAACTATCGTCTAATGACTTATTGGTAGATATGTCCTGCTGAGATCTATTGACAATACCAATAAATCCAAGTTTCAAAGGATATACCTTGCCAGCAAGAATGTCGTAGGCGTTGGTTCCCTGATCCATCAAATCTAACTTGGTCAAGATACCAACAGTCCTCTTTCCTTGAGGGTCAACTTGTCTAGCTAGCTTCAAAGATTCAGAGTTGACAAGATCAACATTTGCTGGACTGACAGCCAGGATGATCGAGTTTGGCTTTGCAATGTACTCCAAGATCAAGTTCTTGATCTGTCTTTCGATATCCGTTGGTTGATCTCCAATTGGGATCTTGGTCAAACCTGGCAAATCAACCATCGTAAGGTTCAGGGCCTTTGGAGAATAAACCTTCAAGTTGATGGGTATACGGCTGATGCCCTTGTTTTTACCGGCAACTCTTGCAGTCTCGTTTTCGATCTCTTTTCTGATCTCGTCGAAGTTGTAGAATCTCTTTCCGGGAATATGCAGGAACTCTCCCCACTCTGAAGGTGGGGCATCATCACCCGAAGCGCGCTTCAAATGCTCTTCCAAGGTCAGCTCAGAATTGGAAACGGGTGGTGGCGACTTGTAGATCAATTGATCATCCTCTTCGATGTTGATAAGTTGGAGAATCAAAGGTCTACGGGTCACGATCCCGGTACCTCTAGGCAAAAAATCCTTTCCAATAATATTCTCCAGCACAGAAGACTTACCAGATGACTGCGATCCGATTATTGTCAAGATTGGCAGGTCTAAATCTGCCAGATTGGTGTTGGTGACGATGTCTTGCAACTTATTCACCACGGGAATTAGGTCTTTCAGAGCCGACATTGTTCCTAACGAATCCCCTTTACTGAAACGAGCTAGTGATGCAGTGAATAAATGGAGCCAATAAAGGTAAAACCAGAGCGACAATTACACAAAAAACAGACTTCCCTTATTCGGTTTTCTTAAGACAGTTCAAGCTTTGAGTGGAGCGCCTCTGGAGAGGTGTTGAGAAGCTCCATTACGCGGTTTACACGACTTCCTAAAACGGCACCTTCCCAATGTGGTCTTTTTGCTATTGCTGTTCTAACTTATGATAGTATATGCAAGAGTGAGGTTTTAATACTATACAAGTCTAATTCTTTGGCTTCTTTCTGATGAAATTGTTGAGACTGTTCACCTGTTCAGATTTAGGACGCTTTCTCACAGTTAAAACGGCATTTACCTGAGTTTCTGCGTTTGGCTGGTTGACGGCTTTGCTTGGTTCTCTATTTCCAGTGAAAAATTCCAGGCTTATCCGTTCATCTTGGCTAACACGCTCTGAAAATTCCTTTGCCGAGCTGACGTCTGAATAATCTCTTTCTATAAGAAGATCTTTAACATTTTGTAGTTCAGCCTTAGTCAAAGCCACTTCTGTAGTATAGATACCTTCACTTGGCCTGACTTTCCCCACGGCCCCAATCACACCCACAGTGATCCCAAGCCTGAATTCCTGTCTAATCGCCAACTCGACCCAGAACTGGGAAATAGACACTTTTTTGATTCTGTTTTCCACTACCAGATGCTCCAAAAATCTGCCCTTAGGGTCATCTGGTAATAGAGGTATTCTATGGACGGCAAGATCAGAGCTAGATGCATTGTTCGCAGAAAAAATGTCACCAACTTTCCAGCTACCAGTTTTCCCAAAGGTACGCTCCACTGTTCTTGGCTCAGCACCAGGAATGTTGATTTTTAATTGGTCAATCTCGGAGAAGGTCTCTGCAACCAGTCCATCAACAATATCGGCCCACCATTTCAGAAGCTTATCACCAGAGAGAACGTGCTTAGAGTGGTTTTGGTCTGAGCCTGGGAACAGATATTGGGGCTCTGCTCTGGTGAAAAGACACAATTTCGTGATCTGGTTCTTTGGGACCACCAGGTCTTTGTTTTGAGGCTTCACAGGTTTGGGTTTAGACAATCCCCTTGCTTTGACAACTAACGCGTGTAAAACGCGTTGGGTCGCCGATTGATAAGTATGACATAACTCAGGACTAACCTCTGTATGGACTGAGTCAGCATCCGCCTGGCGCCTTTTCAAATGAGCAGATTCAACGTATGTCTCAATTGGGTACTTGAGGATCCATTTCAATGCCACCTTGACTATATCTTTGATCTTGATACCGTCTCCACCACGCTTGGAGAGCAACCCAGTGGTGTCTGCTTTTGAGACAAACACCAACCTTTCAACACGGTCATTGTACAAAGACAAGTAAACATATACCTCTAAAGCAAAAAATGGAATTCCATCCTGACAGACAACGATCAAGTGTTCAATCTTCAATGTACGCGGTCTCTCTGATCGAGACGGCGCACTCACCAATGGCTTCGTTTCCCTGGCACTTGATCGCACATTTACCACCGAATATTTGCAATTGGCTTTCGGCGTGATTTCAGCAAGCAACTCCGTGAACCTCTTCGGCATTACCACTGTACCCCTTCAACTTTGAAGCAGCTTAGCTGTAGTCAAGTTTGACAAAGAGTAGAGATAGACGAATGAGCGATGCGCGCCGCGTCGAGCACACGACTGTGCTACCTGGGTTGAAATATTACAGGCCTGTTAGGTGCAAGAATTAATATAAGGAAGCCTACGTTAACTGTCGAGAATTATTTCTCGAAGCTTGAATTTTCGATCGAACCGGCTTTAAGCATCTATTCGCTGTCAACATAATTGTGAGGATAAAACACCAATCTCTCCATTCCAGACTTCGTCAAGATCACCATTCTAATCACACCTCCACTGGATCCGTCCCATTTGATGGCCTGGGCCAAAGACTTCTTCATGAAGTCAATTGTCTCGTCTTTGCTCATGTTTGGACGGAAGTTCTTGTTACAGTAACCGTAGATGTAGGTGGACCCACTTCCGGCAATCGCGTACTCCTGCTTGTGAATAGAACCTCCAATCGGTATACTATAAACAGATCCACCCGATCTTTTGTCGTATCCAGCACATATAATACCGGCAGTGAGAGCGTCCTTGTTATTGTAACAAAGTTCCTGGAATAGCGAGGCTGCGATTTTGGTGGTTGGCTGTTCTCCTTGCTGGGCAGTGTACATTTCCAAATGGTACTTCACGATATCGGCAACAGCCTGCGTGTCGGCCGCAGATCCCGATCTGCAACACCATATGTTCTCATTGACCTGTGTCAATTTATCAGTCACACGGTTGGCGATGTAAGAACCGGTTGTAGTTCTACTGTCAGCACCCAAGATGACACCGTCTGCAAAGGTCACTGCCATGATGGAAGTACCAAGGTTCACTTCTCCCTTCTTGAGGTGGTTGATGTCGACAGAGATTCCGTTCATTTTGATCTATATGTGCTCAAAAATAGAACCTCAATGATTGAATGAAGGTGTTAGAATAGCCCGCTACCAACAAGGCCGTCGCCACTCGGTGGCTTCAATGCTTCATTATGGAGTCCATAATTTCGTAAGGCACGACCATCAAATTGTTTTTGACACGACGATTATTTTTTCACGTCGTCCATGATAAGTCCAACTTGATCCAGAGGTGCTACATTTACCAGATAAATAATAACCATGTCTTCGCTTCCGTTCAACTTCAAAGACTTGGCTCCTGCCACTTCTTCGTGGGGTCCTCAGGGTGATGTCCCCCAATCATTGCGTTTCAGCGACGTCCCATACGCGCCATTCTCCAAGAGTGATAAACTGGGAAAGGCTGCGGATTGGCAATCAGCCAAGGATGCTGCTGCTATGCAGACTGCCCAGACCAAGAACCAGAAACAGTTCCAAAGAGGCCAAAGAGATCAATATCACGCTTACGGTGCTTCAGCTGCCGCGTCTTTTGCTGCCGAAGAGGAAGAGGCTGGTGAGTTCCTCGTGGTGGACAACACTGCTCCTCCAGTTGGTGCCAGACAGACCTTGACCCTCAGAGGCAAGAAGACGATTGGCGGAAAGCCTGCTCCGTTCGACAGAAATGCCAAGGGCCAAACCGGAAACAAGTACCAGAACAACAACGCTAACAACAACAATAACAACTCGCAGAGACCACAGAACTTCAGGGGTTACAACAATACCAACCGTTGGAACAGATTCAAGGACGACTCTGCTGCAAAGAGAGCTCCTTCCGTCAAGGTTGGCTCTGAGTGGAAACTTATTACTGAAGTTGAGTTCAACAGACTCTCTAAGCTCAACTTGGATGTTAAGGATGTCCAGGATGTCGACACTTACGGTACTTTGAATTACTACAATAAGAAGTTCGAAAAGCTCAACGGTACTTTGTCGCAACCTCTGCAGACTCTTGACAGAGCTATATTCAATCCTTCTACTCAAGATGACCCTATCATTAGCAGTTTGGCAGACTCCAAGGCCGCCCAGATCTTTGCTACCGATGGAATCCTCGCCCAACTCATGTGTGCCTACAGATCCGTCTACTCATGGGATATCGTTGTGAGAAAGAAGAACGGTGTCATTTTCTTTGACAAGCGTGATGGTTCAACGGTTGACAGACTGGATGTTGACGAGAACGCTCCAAACCCTCCAATTGAGAACATTGAAACCGACACGAACAGCGCCGATAACTTGTCCTTGGAGGCCACTTTCATCAACCAGAACTTTGTCGCAAACTCCCTTTTGGAATCCTCCAAATTCACCTTGAAGCACGCGGAAAACCCATTCGTCAGCCAGGCTGATGTTGCGGAGCCATTGCTCAACCGTGGTTACAAATACAGAAAGTTTGTGCTGCCATCGTCAGACGCTTCTGCGGAACCAATGTCCATCATTGTGCGTACCGAGATCGATGCCACTGATAAGCAACCAAATGGTGAGACTAGCTTCGTCTCCATCAATGCTTTGAACCAGTACACCCCAGGAACTCTCGACTGGAAGACCAAGCTCAATCAACAGAGGGGTGCTATCATTGCTGCTGAGCTGAAGAGGAATAACAACAAGATTTCCAGATGGACCACCAAGTCCATTCTTGGAGGCTGTGACACCATGAAGATTGGTTTTGTTGCCAGAGTCTTGCCTAAGGATAACACTAAGCACGTTGTCCTTGGTGTCAACACCTACAAGCCATTGGACCTGGCTGCCCAAATCAACTTGTCCGTCAATAACGGTTGGGGTATCGTCAAGTCCTTGATCGAGATTGTGGAGCACGAGTCGGGCTCGGAAGATTACAAATACGTGATCTTGAAGGACCCCAATTCGCCAAAGATTTCCATCTACCACGTTCCTTTGGACACATTCGAGGAGACTGGTGGTTTGGAAGAGGAATCGGAGGAGTAAGTATCTTCATCTTGATAGCTTTGTAAAAATTACACATCGTATAATTCATGATCAGTTCTCCTTTGAAAACCTAAGAGTGCGCACTCTACTCACGAGATCGGTCATTGTGCCTGGTTCCCTGCGGTTCTTCCGAGGGGACTGATATGGTGTAGTCGGAGGAGGAAAATCATCACCTGGCTCGGAATCTTCTTCCCATTGCTCCAAACTTCCCAAGAAGTCGTCATTCTCAGGCTCGCTCTCGGCTGTCTGTCCTGAGCTCAGCACCAGAGTTGAGCTCGAAGACATGCTCCTGGAGACTTCTGACCTTTTCTTCAGTACGGCCAATGGTGACACCTTCGGACTGGCTATCAAGAGCTCGCTGTTGAGCACCGATATCGTGCGCATATCTGGTGAAGGGGATTCCACAGCTTGGGCAAACACCGGATCTGGTTTTAAAACGGTACTTCCAGACGGCCGGACAAAAGCTGGAGGTTTCTCTGGGGAGTCTTTCTTTGCCTTTTGGTAGTGCATCTTGGTCTCTTGAATTTTCATCCTCCTTATTCTCTCTGAGGCCGGAACAGAGACCTGAAACCTTGATCTGGACGGGGTATATAGGGCAGACTCGTGATCGGGTGATCTCCGAAGATCTCTTACCTGAATGGTAGGCCTCACTGGCGACAGACGAGGCTGAATGAAACGATGTAGTGGGGATGTATTGGTCTCCACGGTGAATGGGTTCACTTCCGAGTCATTCTCAAAAGAGGTGTCTTCAGGTGGATTTTCATTCTTGCTGCTTGCCCATATGTCAAAATGACGCTTCAGATTGTTACGTCTCCACCTCCTTTTGAACTCCTTAGCCGTTTCTTCGCTCCTTTTGAGTTTCAGGATCTTTAAGTTCCAATCCCTCACAATGCTAATCATCACTTTCGCATCTTTCTCCTCCACTTTGCGCAGAGCCTCAAAGTTCAGCTCCTGGAAGTGATCCCACTTGAGTAGAAGTCTGTTGAAGGTCTTGTTGAGTAGAACAATGGCCTTGAATTGCTCAGCACGCTCGATGTCCTCTAAAACTTCTGCTGTCCGGGATCTCCATCTTGCAAAAATTGATTTGGTCTTTGCCTGGTGAGATTTACAGAACTCGGCATACTGTCCCTCTAGTATTTGGCGCCTGCTATAGGAGTCAAATGTTAACTCTCTCCAGGACGAGAGAACATCATATAACAATTGCTCATTTTTCCAATGAGATGACTTATCGTGATACTCGCATGCACGCCTGAAGCTCTCTTCGCGTTCCAATTTCACATGCTGAAAATGCTGGAAATAACGCCTGAGCTGCAGGATAGCGGCATAATCTCTGGCATCGTGCATATGCCCTTGCATATCATTCGATCGCGAATACCAGCGTTTGAAGAATCCTTCTTTAAGCTCTTGAGATTCGCTTCTGATAACAGGACCCAGAATTGTTTTCAGCTTCCACTGTTTTAAAGAGGATCCCAATGTGTTGACTTCTTTATGGGCTTGTAGCTTCAAGATGTTCAGGGACATTTTCCACCTGTTGAAAAAATGTTCTAGCAACTGCTTTTCTCTCAACTCGCGAGCCATAGTGGTCATCCTGTACACACGCAAATATGTCTGAAAGTATGCACTGAGCAACTTCTGCGATCTAGCTTCGACAAATTGATCACCCAAGAGCTGCAACCCAAGATTCTTTCTCCACTTTGCCAAAACGTATAGGCTCAAAGTCGACTTGTTGATTGAGATAAGTTCTCTCTCAGCGAGCTTCAAAGATAATGCAGATTTCCATTGATAAAGAGCTCGAGCCAGAACAAAGTTCCTTTCTCTCACTAGTAAGTGGTCAATCTCATCCACCTTGAAAGACGAGTTGTGAAGCCAAACCCGAAACACCCTTCTGGTGCACATTTCATCATGAACATTATCACAAAATACTCGAACTTGCTTGACTGTGTCCATTTTCTTCTTGAGTTGGTTCATTGCTATCTTCATCGAGATCCTATCGGCTATGGCTGCCATGCTTCTAGTCCGAGATGGTAGGCTGATCTTCCATACGTCAAAACGACGCTTCATCACAATTGTGGATTCATACTCTGCAAGGCGCTCTTGGAGAGAATTGTGAATCAATGCTTGCTTATCTGCCCATTTCGTTAAGTACTTGCTTGAGACGAAATTATCAGCGGTTTTGGTCCAAGACTCAGCGTTCAAATAGGCAGATTTCCACTTGGTAACCACGAGCATTCTCAGATAAGCATTGGAAATCGACTCTGCTTTCTCCTCATTCTCGAGGACAGTATTGTACTGGTTGATCCATTTGTACATGTACAGCCTCTTATAGAAACGGCCCCAGACCTGCAAGTGTTCCCTGGTCACAGCAGAAGATTTGGCAGCCTTGTACCAACCATCTAATAACTTTCCTTTCAATTTCATTTCCTTTTTGAACCTTGCCAGTGCAAGTCGCATCAGTAAAGTGGGCCGCAATCCGTTCTTGCTTATCGTCGAGTCTCCCATTAACACATGAAAAAGGCCATTCAAATCAACCAGAAACGAGTCCGAAGAAATTTCACGATTTTTCCATTTCAAGGTCGCTGACTTCACCCTAGTATAATATTCATCAGAAGTATAACCATCAGAAATAGTCTCTTTCAGAACATTGATATATGTCCTGAGGATCATTGGAAACCATCTTTCCACTTTAGGATTGGAGTCAGCAGAGCAATACTTGGTGACAATTCTCGAAAGTAAGGAAATAACATCAACTGTTTCGTCATTAGAGGACGGGATTGTGACTGGTTGCAGAGGTGAATCAACCTTGTCCAGTTCGTCTTTCTCTATTCCAGAAGAGACGTACCTGGAATTCAATTCAACATCTCTCTGTCTATGAAGATCGAGGATGTGAAATACCTTGCACTTCTCCAATTCCGCTCTTAAAACTTGTTCAACACCCTGGCTTCCTGATAAACACTCAATTACTGTACCATTGATCCTTTCGCTTATAATTTTCACATCCCCATATTTCCAAAGAAAGGTAGCGGAAATGCAACGCTTATAGGCCCTAATCAGTGCGATCGCCAGCGTCCGCAATTTGAATTTTTTGCTTGAAAGAATCTGTAAGGTGGTTTTGAGATCTGAGCTCAATTCATATTTTGAGGCACAGTCCAAAAAAGAACGGTAACAACGAATGAAGATGGCATCATTCGAAGAGACTTGTGAGCTACCATCGGTTAGACCAACCGTTAGAGCTCCAGCATTCAGATCGCTTTCAAAAAATCTTATTATAGTGCGTATGAGCTGTTCTTCCACTGCAGAAGTCTCGTAATAGCATTTGTAGACCGTTTGTCTCACTTTCATCAGGACTGCAGCATTCGAGTTGGCCCTGAGAGTGTTGGTGGTCTGGTCTTCGGCCACACTGTCAACATTTCTGATGGCAATAGAAGACACACCAGCAAGACTCTGGATATCATCATCAAAGGTCTGTCCAAGTGAAAGGGTGTGGTCACTCAGTGTATTCGTCACTTCTTCGCGTATGATCGATTCAACATCTTTTGATCCCAAGCCCGATTGACAAAGACAGTCAATTGAGAAGGGAGTCGCTTCATGTTTCGAGGATATCATCAAGACTCTGTTTTTATAATTTCTCAAGTTAGGGTTTTTCGAAATACCCAAAGCATTCTGCCATAACGGCACTATTTTGGCTATGTGAGGCTGGACTATAGGCAGAAGTTCCTGAGCTTCTCGTCCAACGGGCGATTCGGCAAGAACTTCCGCCAGATCAGTTATTGCATCCACCAAATTGAATACAGGATTATCCATTCCTTATCAACAGCTCATTTCAAACAAATAAATTGGATTTGGGGAGATATCAAACAAGCCAAAATTGTTATTTGGGGAGAAATTCTAATCGACGCGTCGTGAAATCTCCAATTTTCTGGTGCGGCTCAAATGCTGCTATTATGTAAGAAGTGAATAACATACGCTACAGATGGATCTGATTCCTTTGGAATATACATTGATTGTGAAATGATATTTGAGACTATGTCTCTGGCTGCTCGTTCAGCGTTTCGGTTTCGGTGGCTTCTTCCTTGGAGTCGCCCGCCTCATTTTTGGTGGAACATTCAGACCCAGCTTCCTCTTCTGGCTTCATACTGTCATCAGAGGCTTCTGGTTCCGCTTCTGGTTCCGCTTCTGGTTCCGCTTCTGGTTGTTCAGGTTCAGGTTCAGGTTCAACTTCAGGTTCAGGTTCAACTTCAGCTTCAATTTCAACTTCAGGCTCCACAGTGTGCCCCTCAACTTCTGTCACATCCTCAGGCGTCTCGTCAGTGCTTGTGACAGATAGGGTCATCTCTTCATCGGCCTCGTTCACATTGTTGGGTACCTCAGGGAGTTCTTTATCATTTTCTTGGTCAAGATCCTGGTCATCACTCTTTTCCGATTCCCCATCCTCTGGTTCAGGAAGAACATTTAACTCAGGAATCCACGTGCGTTCCTTTCCATCTTCATCTTCAGCGTGTGTGTAATCGAAATCAGAAAGAGTCTCATCAGGAGCGAGTATTCCCGGGATTGTGATCCTTTGGTCCTCATTCTGAGACTCCTCAACCACAATCTCGGGAACTGGTCCAGACACCTGTGGTTCTACGGGTACCACAGGCTTCTCTGGTTCGACAGGATCCACCTGGCTTTGGGGTTCCGTGGAAACTTCTGGTCGAGAGTCCTCGTCCTTCGTCACCACTGCGTCATCAGGACTTAGCTCAAATGAGCTTCGAGGTGTTCCGGCCGTAGATCTTTCAAACTCAGCAGATTGCCTTGTCTCTTCCATAATGTTCTGTCTCATAATTTGCTCCATTCTGATATCTTCGTCTGTTTCCATGGCATTGATATTCTCCCAGATCACCTGGCCAGAATTCCCGTATCCAATGATATCCGCCAACTTCTCTCTAAAATAATCAATATCTCTCATCATGATCGCCTTTTCAATGGAATCCTTGAATTTGACCTGTGTGTACTGGTCCACAAGGGACCTCTTGTACTCCTCAAAGATCTTTGAAAGGATGACTGTGAATTGAGACTCAGGTAGATATCTTTGCAATACTCTGGAAACCGTCAGAGTCTCCTTCACGAGAACTTCCATGTATGGGTGACAAGGAAGTTGTTTGAGTGGGAGGGACCAATCTATGTTCTTGATATCATCGCAATGCTTTTTCACTCTTTCTGTCATTATTTCAACGAGCTTGACGAATATCTGGTTTTGGTGATCCTGGTACTGAGCCCTCACGCTATCGAAGCTCTCGCTGCGGTCCTCTGATGAGTGGGACCTACGGAAACATCCCTTCACATAGGGAATGATGCATATCACAAAGTCCAGCAACTGAGAAGCAATCGCCAAGTGCTTTAGAGATATGTGCTTTAAGCCGGCAGTTCTGGTAGCCCCGGCACCCAGAACGGCATGGTTAACATTCACATTGAATACTCTCAAGATTTCAAGGATGTTTTGCTCAAATAGATCGATATTGTTGGGAAAGACCATTTTCAAAATCATGTAGTCCTTCAACACTTTGAGGAGACCAACCGTGACAACAGGCACTATCAGACTCTTATCATCAATGGCAAGGGTCTTGCGGTCATCGTCAGCACCATGGGATCCATTTGTGACAGAACCTGAATGCTTGTCAAGCTTAAGCACTTCCAACCATGAAGGTGGATCCTCATCAGCCGATTCCACAATCTCATCAACAAGTTTCTGAACACTTTTCGGTAGAAGACAATCTTTCCAAACTTCTTTGTCAACCTTCTCCTTCATCATCGTTATACTGATGTTGTGGAACTGAGACGCAAACATGCGAGTTTGCACCTCAATTACATCCTGCAAGGATGTAGTCACAGAAATACCGGATATAGTTTCACATTCGTACAAGAAGAGGCCATTTGCAGAGTAGAATCTCAAGAAAAAGTCAAGAGAAACACTCGCAGTCTGCTCCCTTCTAACACCGATGACTTTTGAAATTCTGTTTTGAGACACTTCGATACAAGCATTGACAGACTTTGTGATGTCCAATTGCATTATAAGATCTGGTTCATCTTGCAGCAGTCTGCTATTACTAACAGAAATGGAGTTCAAGGCAATATCCAGAAGGATCTTTTGGTGCGTCATCAGACGTCTTAGAGCCTCCGAAAGTTGGCAATAGATGGTGATCAAGGTGTCTTCAAATTCCTTGGGAGTCAAAGAACGCACGTTGTTGCTGAGACCTCCCGATCCGGATCTTCCATCTGATCTCACAGAAGATGTACGCCTGGAACCAGCCGTGGGCGTTGAATCTGAGTCAAGCATATCGGTTGGTAGATTTTGCTTCACAATGTTCTTCAGGTCTGCTAGGAATGCATCCTCATAGGCCTTGAAAGCGCCAGATAGCTCCATACACCTGGTGAGTCCCTGTATATACTCTTTTAATTGCGCTTTGAACTTGTCGCTCAAGTCGTGATATGACAAGTTCAAGTTGCCATTTGCACTGTACTCTCTCTTCGAATCTTTCGAGACATTGGCAGTCATGCGGCGGATTGTGTCTTCTTTGGGCACCTTTTCGTAGTGTTCTCTCAAGTCCTCAATCAGAAAGTCCACAAACAGCTTGGTATACGATCTGCCACTATCCATTCTAAGATTTTTCAGCTGCTGTTTGAGGCCCACAAGAGCATTCACAGACCGTAGATCACGAAGAGGATACGGCCAATGGGAAACAAGCTTTTGCACATCTGGAGATGATGAATCTCCCCTTATGAGTGCATCCACCTGGTCAATCTGATCCAGCGACTTGTGATAGTTGGCATTGTAGTAAGAGGCCTCAGCCAGATCAGCATGCTGCATAATGGTCGACAGCTGTAGAAGTACCTGCTCCAGCTTCTCAACATTGTTCCTCTTCTGGATCATCTTCAACATCTCGATTGCTTTCTCGCTCTGATTCTTTTCAAGCACATTGAACTTCGAGTCCAGCTCTTTTAGCATCATCGTCGAGCTTCTTGATTTGAGAGTGATTCCTTTCAGATCGTCCAAAGCTGTGAAAAAAGAGCTGGAGGACTTCGATATCTCGTGAATCAGGTGTATCTCCACAATGTCCAGATAGCTTGAAAGCTTCTCTTGCAGTACGTTATTATTGGAAAGAGGCTTCACCACACCATCGTTGTTGAACTCAGTGTTTCCATGGCTCAATATACTGGAGCTTTCTGTTACCGTGTCAAATATCCTCGGATTGTCCAAGCGGAAGTCTGTTGAAAAGAATATCTCGGGGATTACGCTCAGAGATTCCTCGTCTTCCTGTACATCAACCGAAGGAGTGGATCCAACAGAGTGAAGATCTCGATTCAGATTGGTGTTTTGTTTTCTCTCTTCTTCTTCACACTTTTCAATAAATGCCTGCAATGTCGATTGCGTCAATTTTCTGTTTGCCTGAAACTTGTCGTAGGCCTCATCGATGCCGTAGATATATGGCTTGAACAGTGTGTTCTTCGCTTTGGTGATGCGCGATAGCTGAATTGGAGGTATCTCTTTCAAAGTGGGACCTCTCAAACTAATCGTAGTTGAGCCATTGTTGACCGAAATTAACCCCAGATGTCTCCTCAGTCTGTCTGCGCCTTGCACCAGCTCGAAGATCGAATTCTGCCCCAATGGGGAAACACTTGCTGTTGATACTTTGTTCGAGCCCAATGAGATAGCGGATGAGTCGTCAAAACTGTGTCTAAAAGACGATAGCGTTGATGCAGATCCACCCCGTCTGTGCATATTCTGTGAGCTGCTGTGCATTCTGCTCGGACCCGTGGAGGTATTCCTGTTAAACAAATCGTCGTTCATGCTAAGAGAGTCTAATGAAGCCCGCGAAGTCAACGATGCCTCAGGCGAGTCATTCAAATCAAAGGTGCTATCATGATCATCATCAACGATAATTTGCGGAGTGTTAGCTCCATTCGTGATATCAGCAGGAACATCAGCAGAAACAGAGGACTGCGAGTCCGATCGCGATATCGATGGGGGATCCTCGTCACCTGCCATTTATCCGAAGTGGTAAAAGATTAGAGCTCAAGATACTCAAGAATCAATTGGTGGATTTTGACACTCTCAATATCGTATATTATGAAAAGCGACGGTGGACTTAGATTGTTTGAGTGACGTGGGTCTTCCCAGCAGGTCTGCCACATCTAATCGCTTGAAAACAGTTGCAGAAGTAGTGCAATTGCTAGGTCTACCTAGTCAGCTAAACTACCTGTGGAAGAACATCAGGATTTTCGTAGACGATTTACGGAGACGGAAAATATATGCTATATTCTAAGATCCTGCTTATTTATCTGTAGACAATGGCCTATTGAGGGGCTAGCAACTCTTTATCCGAGAGGTGGGAGCCAAGTGTACCTGGATGGACCATGCTTTGAATTGAAGATGAGACAAAGGTGATAACATTCTGATGTAGATGACCAAAACGGTGTCCCTGGTTATCGAAAAATCCTGTTTCTGCGATAGAGTGAGAAAAAAAAAGTTCTAAGAAAAACTGACAAAAAGCAGTCGTGGTTTGAACGTAGCAGAGTTCATGTGCCGGTTATATGTTGATGTCCAACACCAAAGAAACATCTTGGACGGTATTGTTAGATAGATCCTCCAAAAATGGTATCAAGTCTCGCAATTCACTATCATGCGTGTCGCTAAACCAACTTGAGATTGGCACTGAGTGCTGGGGGTGAAAAATGTAGGAAGCCGGGGAGTTATCGATGATAATGAGGTCTTCCAAAGGCCTGCCCATCTGAGATAAATTCTTGATGTAGTTTCCTTGGTAGTTGAAACAGCTCTCGCGAAATAAACGGTGGTGGATAGACTTGTGGGAGTCCAAAATGTCCAATAATGGATCACCGTAGCGAGAAACACTTGCGGTGAAAACAACAACTTCGAATAACTCACCACACATTTTCAGAAACTCATCGACACCAGGTCTTTTGATCACATAAACATTGTGAATTTGGTTTTCGATTTCAACGGGGATTACGAAATCCGAGTGTCTGACGTATTTGAATGATGAATGAACCAGAGTCTCGTCAAGGTCCAAAACGAGGCATTTACGTTTCTTCATCTTTTCACTAGGTGGGTTCAGCAGCCATCCTGAAGAAGCAACAACCTGACCCGGCTGAATCGTGGTAAGGTCTAGCTCAGATTCGTAGATTTGATCCGCATCAATCATAGGAATGTCTGCATCTGAATTCAAGTTCGAAATTGGACTAGATGAGTTCACAGGAGCGGCTGTTGCAATAGTAGAGGTCGAAGTGACTATAGGAGTCGCAGTTCCATTTGGAGCAGCGTGGGCCGCTCCACTCTCGTTGTTGTGTATGGTTGCCTCATCCTCGTCAACAGCCATAGAACTGGTGTCCTTAGAGCTGTCAGATGAGTCCTTTGAATCTGTAAATTCGTGAACACCAGTAGACTTGGCAGCAGTTGTAGCCGACTCATGATGCTGAGCGTCTTTATCAGTTTTATTGCTTTCGGGTGATGACTTCATGCTTTTCTTCTTGTTGAGAACTTCTGGGGTTGAACGTGAGTTGTGGCCTGAAGGGGTTGTTGATCTATTACTGAGGGCCTTTTGGATGTTGGATTGCGTTTTCGACAGGTGTTGTTCAGATGCTGAAGATCTAGGACGCTGGTTGTTGCGTGATTGATAAACTCGAGATTCGCCCTCTTCGTCAGAACTCACAGAACAGCAAAATATTGAGGACAAAAATGACATCTTAAGATTCCAGAGCTGGAAAGGATATTTCCACGAGGCTATGTATTCTCCGAAAGAAGAATCTGAAGCTCGGTACTGGACGGATCGGGATGAAAGGAAATGAGAACGATTGACGCGGTGACGCTAATACCGGATTCACGGGTGAATTTATCTTTCAGCCAGTGAAAAAGATTGGTACTAGAAGGAGTTTCTGCGTTGGTCTGATAATGATTCCAAAGGACAAGACACTGGATCGCACAGCAAACAAGTGTCAGGAGAGCGCCAAATACCTATTTCAAATAAAATGGCCCAAACGTATCAAAAACAGAAAAACCAAACAAAAGATCTGCTGTTAAGCTTGATGAATCTTCGGATGATTATTTGATCAAATATTCGCCGACTGAAACGTTGTCTGAATAAACGGTTTGACACGGGCTGGCGCGACAAACAACTTTTTAGACTGTCAGGTGAGCGTTGTCCAGTCCAGACAGAGTGTAGAACTTAGAAATAAGTCCGGCCAAAAATCAAGAGAGTAATCACCAGATTTGACGATCGCACCAAGTACTGCCTTTTATCCGAAGGGAGACTCAACGTTTCCGGGATGCCTGATAATTTGCTTGGTTGTAATAAGACACAGACAAGGGTTAGACAACGACTTGGTGATGAAGCAAGCGGGAGGTCACTTTATTGGTTAGTGCACACAAAAGAGAGCCCTCCGCGAATAAGAGCCTTTGGTTCGAGATAAAAGGAGGAGATAAGCTTGATTGAGATGAAAATTTTAAAAAAAAAAACAATCAATCTTCAGGTATTAAGGTTCGAGGCTTGCGATAGATCAGTAGGAACCTAGCCGGGTGGAGAAAGTACGGATTGCGCCTACTGGAGTCTACCGTCGTTGCACAAAAGTTAGCTCAAAATGCTTTGTTAAATCGCTCAAGGTTGGGGAAGTTGTCAAAAAAAGCCAAATGATTGAAACTCGCTGACTGTCTGATGAGTTTTGGGCAAACAGACGTTGCTGCAATTTAGCTTTATACAAAATACGTCTACAGCAGAAACCATTTCATAACGTGCACCGCCGTTCTCTCGTCTGTAAATGGTATTGTATCCGAAAATGCGTTTCGGGACTACTTCGGATTAACCCACAAAAACCCCCACCAACTGACCAATCACAGAGTCTCCGGGTAACTTCTCCGGGATGTCGGAGCGCATCAAAGAAGTAATTAGTTAAGTGCACCAACCAAGAAAAACCGTAGAATCTCGGGATGAGGGAAAAATGCAAAATCGGGGCACCTAAAAACGGTCCGGGGCAGCTTAGAGGCAAGCCTTTTCTTCTTGAGTTTAGGACAACGCCTTGACAACCTCGTTTTTTGTTTTTGAAAAATTGAAGTCTATTCAAGATTCTACTCAGCTATCTTCAAGAATATATCCAGCTTTGGCAAATTTGTTATAGCGTTGTGCCTCGCTTAATCGAGCGGTCTCTTGTTTTTGTTTGACTCGTCTTGCTCCACATTTAGTGCTCGGGATACCTGAGCTGTCTCCAGGTTACGAATTCCAAGGCCAGTACACAACTTCCAGACAACTAAGAATACGATTAGAGACCCATCACTCAACGAAACTGTCTCTAAAATTATCACAACATATATCACCAGCGTAGGAAAAACGTGCTTGAATTACCCGGTGCGGAGGAAATCCGCAGTCGTTTCAAACTCAATCTCCTAGCCCAAATTAAGCTGGTCTCCCCGTCTGCACAAAATTTACCCTTCGTCTTCCCCCTGTTAGCCACAATCACGATCGATTCAGGTGTGACTTGGATCGTATTGGAACAAGGTTACGTTATTGGTTTCGTTTTTTTTTATTGTTGCAGGCTTAAGTTCGCATCCGGTGTCATTCTGTTGTTTTCACGCCTTTTGGATATATTAGTGGGTAGGTTTAACTACAACACCTTCACATAATCAATGTCTAAAGCGGGAAACCTGGCAGACTACTTCGTCGGAGGCGCCACAACGTCGCAGCATGTGGTAGCCAAAGATGACGACCATTTCCACAATACCACGTATAAACTCAAGAGAACAAGATCTGTGGGTATACTGGACGACTACATAGGCACGTCGCAGAAGCTTACATCGGAGGACTTGGTGCCAGATTGTGCTATAGACAAGATAAACAACGCATCGTCCCACTTTTCTACATCTCCAACAAATTCTATCAAAAATGACCCGGCTCTGGCTTCGCCAGCGCCTTCAAACAACTCGATAACAAGTGACAACAGTGTCATGACCCAGTTCTCTTTGGCCAGCCAGGAAGGTCCTGAGCTGACCGAGGTGGAGGATCCTTCAATATATCACCAAACACAGCAACAACAATCACATCTGACTGCATCCAACAAGAACCACATACCTTCAGCCCAAATTTCCAGTGATGGCAGAATATTATCGTTACATGACGATACCGAGATGGTGTACGAGCCAACGAGGCATGTAGATTATTTGTCTCACAACTGGAAGGAATCAGATATCTCGAAGTCTTGGAGATATGTGATTCTCAGAAGAAAGGATGTGGCCAACTCTGCCAGATTGGAGAACGCATCCTGGAGAACGTGGGCCCAGGCCAGAAACAACCTCAAGACATTCCCACCACAAGAGCTAAACTGGTCCAAGGAAAGCGATGTCACTTGGCTTTATGGACCACTGTACAAGGAGCATCACGAATCAGATGCCCTTCTTGAGGGTGAAACAAGGGCTCCAAAGGAGCAAGCTCTGAAGCCATTGCCGCCTAAGCAAGCGGTTACCAGTATCACCTCTGAAGCAAGGAGCTCTTCTGGCTCGGCATCCCCAAGCATGGATCCTCATCTCAAGCCTATTCTAAAGAAGAAGACGAATGTCGAAAAGATGATATCTGAGGCATCGTATGCCAGGCTCCAGACACTTTTTGACGAGCACGACACCAAAGGAAGAAGCAAGGGAAGTCCCATTCTGGAAGCTGGTCAACCGAAGCATGGATTGGGGTCTCCTTCCAGCAGCGAGTATTCGCCAATAACCAATGTTACTCCTAAAGAACATTCAAGGTGTTCTTCTCCATTCTCCCTCAGCAACGACCACCACAGTTCGAAGGAGGTGGTTGGGGAGTCGGCTAAGTCTGTTGTTAGCGAACAACTAAGCGATTCTCGCCCAAGCATCGAACAGAAGGAAAGACGCATTCATTTTAATATGCGTGTTGATCAATGCCAGGTGAAAGCGGGTTATGGTGACCACGATATTGTCCATAGCGACGACTACTACGACGATGATGATGACGAATATTACGACGACGATGATGATCAGGTTGAAGATGAATATGAAGATTCGGATGAGGACGATGGCATGGAAATTGCTGTTCTTCCACAAATAAGGACCGATGGTGTCCTGAGTCCCGCCCTGTCAAATACTTCTTCTCACCAGGGTGTCAAGGTCTTCAAGACCATCGAGTTACTGCCTTCCACGACGCTTAAAACCTGCTCTGATGATGAAGATGAAGAGAATGAATATGCGGTATCTCATAACACAAATACCAACAGAGGGTATGAGTTCTATTACGACTACAACAGAGTCTACCCAACGAATTCTTCTTCTGATTCTCAGGCAGTGCAGATTTGCGATATACCTGATGACTGTCGCGTTGAGTCCATACCAGAGGAACTGGAAAACTACGATTACATGAGTGCTCCAATGAGTGGAAGCCATAACTATTACCCTACTGATGCCACTACGACCCCTGCTTCTACTTCGGCTTCTTCAGCTTCCACTATGAAGAGATCAACTTCTGGTAATCTATCTGGAAGTATGGGAAATATTGCTTCGCAAGTGCAGTTCCAAGCCTCGCAGAATTTGGGTTCTTCTTCTGCCAAAGTTAACTCAAAGACTTTCATGTTTGACGAAGACAACAGTGATAGTGATTCGGGGTCGAACGATGATAGTTATGATGATAACGACTTCTTGATCAATGCACCACCATTGTCAAGGACTACAAGCCATACTGCAGACTTCAAGATCTCTTCTTCGCCGGCAACTCCAGCGACAACCGTCAACAAGACAGTTTCTGGCTCGACTCCTTCCCAAATATCTCATAGCGGTGGCAGCTACGCCTCGCTTAGTGAGATCGCCTCGAATGGCTATAGGGTTCCAGCAAAGTCTGCCGCTGACATGAATGAACTTAACAAAGACTTTGAAAATTTGCACCCATCTCAGGATCAAGATGACACAAATACATCTCCTTCTCGCTTGAGTCAGTTCTTAGGCACAAAGAAGTCTTGGAGGTGAGAATTCCATTGAAAGATTTGAAGTTTTGTTGGCTTACGCGTATACGCTAATATGTGTGTGCTATGTCTCAGGTTTTATGTGTTGATTAGCTTTTCGTTCACGTTGTTGGTTTTTATTCATCTCTCTGCATGTTCTTTCGAAGAATGTGCCACATGCCCTGAAGGGTTTTCCTAGATTCTTGGGCTCTCAAAAGTTGCCTACAACAACTGTCAATAGTAATAATAATGCAACAAATATGATATTACTCAAAAAAAAACTAGGGGCTCAGTAGTGTGTATTTCGTACGAGTCTAAGCATTTAGAACGCGCGCGTCAGATCTAATGCGTGCAATTATTCTGAAAAGAGGGATACTCCCGATTGGGAAATTTGGGAAGGTCCGGTATCGTTCTCGCCCCTGTTCTTCCTTCAAGTCATTCCCACGATCCAAGACATAACGGGAATTTGGGAAAACAATGACAGTCGAAACTATTAGTCGTCAAGTGAATCATGAGATCAAAAATTTTATTGTTGAAAGTATGTGTTAATTGCAGCGGTTCCACCTATGGCCGTGATGTTTCATAGGATCATGTCACTAACGCGTCAACTCAGATCCAAGAGCCAAACTTGAAGAAGATGCCGCCATAGAATACGTTAGTAGTCTGAAGGAATCCATAGCCAGATCAGACTTTGCAGAGGCAGTCAATTGCACAATTATTTTAGCAAGGGTTCTTGAGTTATCACCACCTTCTGATAAGTTTGTCGAACTGCTGGACAGGACATTCTTCAAGAAGATATGGGCCATGTTTACCTCCAAGTCTGTTTCTGACGAATTCCTAAGAATGGTCTTGAGAATTTCCTTGTTGTTTCTGTCCGGTTCAATGTTCACAACGAGGGTAGGAGCTAGCTTTAATGCACTTCTTGCAGAAATCCATAACAACAGGCTGGTTCTCGAGTTGTTAACATCTACACTCGACTCCAGCGATATCAGATTGTCCTCCGCTGTTATCGACTTTATCAGCAAAATTTTATTCAGGGCTTCTGAGCAATCCAAATCCGATTTTCTGCTGTTTTCCTATAAAAATCTTGAAATATGCGGATTTTTTGAAAAATGCATAGCTATGGCAGAAGATGTCAAATACGAGCAGGCGTTGGCAGGATACTTCAAAGACTGCATTTCTTCCATTAGCATGGCCGTGGGAAAACTACGCGTCATGAGGTTTGACCAAGAGTCTTCCTCTGCCGAGGCCATAGTGAGCGAGCTGGTGGAAGAGCTGGATAGCGCTTTATACAGTACTGGCCGATCTCTCAAAAAGCAGGACTTGTCAAAAATTGACTTTAGTGAGAACCCTCAGGCTTACATCAAGGCTAACTTCTCAGGACTCTCTGCAATACAACTACTCGTGTTTCTTGAGGATAGGACTATCACCTTCAAGAAGCTGTACCATGACCATTTGATCTTTGCGAATCGAGACGAATACTTCCCTGTGAATGAACTAGCTCTCTCTGTCTCATCCATACTAGATGGAATTACCCAGAAGCACGGCTCCTCCGATCTGCAATCCAGGCTCAACTCCACAAAAGATATTTATCGCATATTAATGGTACAAGCACTCAATTTTTGGAAGGCTTCTAAAGCTTCCAGAAGTGACGTTGAGGTGATCGTTACGCTGTTAAAATGCCTTCTAGAATACACAGAAGTCATGATTTCCATTGAGGACATTTCGCTTAGTGAAGCAATGAATAAAATGGGGGATTTGTCCTACGAAAAGTTGCGTACGTTCCAGTTGGAAAAGATCAAGAAAGAACGCGATCTTATTTGGAAAAAACCAATGGAGCCATTTTCTAACCATCTTAGAGATCAAGTCTTTGAGTTCGTGAAAGAGCAGCATTTCCTTCAGCTCTCCAAAGGCTCTTGGGTTTATGCAGAAGACCCAACCCAAGCAGCTCCAAACAATCCTCCCAAGAGATTCTTCATGATTCTTTCCCCCAATACGCAATCAATTATCTATAAAAAGTTTGACTCTGCACTTGGGACTCGCCCCAATATCGATGAGGACGGGCTAATTTTTGATATTTCCCAAATTTGCGGCATTACTTCGACGACACTTCAGTCCAATAATTCGGTGCCTGGCAATTCCAGATTGATCAGTCTATCGGGAAAAAATGTTTATGAAAGAATCATCCTGTACAACAGACAGAAGAAGCCTCTTTTCTCGTTCTACACAGACACCAAAGACGTCTCCTATGCTTGGTCGGATGGTTTGAAGATGCTTGCCAAGACGGACGATGACTATTCTCTAGATACTCGCAAGCAAATGCAAGCATTAGAAAGAATTAGAGGTGGAGTCCAATTGCTGAATCTGGAAGGCCATGAGGCCCAATACAGCGATCCTCCAGTTTTCCAGACCGAGACACTGGCCTCAATAGCTACTGGTTTTTATTACAACTAGTTTTAGTAAGATCATAGCATTGATATGAATTATGTTACATTTGATTATTTCTTGCCCTTCTTCTTCTTCTTTTTGTCCAATCTGACCTTCTGCTTAGCGTAGGATCTCTTCTGATCCATCACACGGTCAGTCTTGGTCTTCTTGTATGACTTTCCTCCATCTTCCCTCTCTCCCAAAGCTTTACGCTTTTTGCTATTGAGAACCTTCCTCTTTGCAGGTAACAGCTTATCGTCCTTCTTTTCCTTTTCGGTCTGGAACCAGGTACGTTTCGGCCTGGATGCAATCTCGCTTTCGTATTTCAACAGGTTCTCACCTTTGCGTAATTCCATTTCAGCCTGCAGCATTTCTTTCTCCTGCTTTTCTTCTTCCAGAACTTCTTCTATCACTTCCTGCTTGGTCGTGATGAGCTTATTGACCTCTTCGACCTTGATCCAGTCGACATTTCTGCCAACAGCCTTACCTTCTTGATTCTCAATTCCTCTGATTGCATCCTTGACAATGGAACGGTCCTGCGAGGACTCGCCCACAAAAGTTATGGACTTACCCGCTCTACCAGCACGAGCAGTACGACCAACTCTATGCAAGTAAATCTCATAAGTTTTAGGCATGTCGAAGTTGATCACCACCTCAATCTTGGGGATATCCAGACCTCTAGCAGCCAAATCTGTACAGATCAGAACTGGCACAGTAAGCCGTTTAAAGTCAGTAATACTCTGCAAACGTTGTTCTTGAGTAAGAGAACCATGCAGTTCCGAAACTTTCAATCCCAGCAGCCCCAGCACAATTCTCAATCTGTGAGCCGTTTCCTTTCTCGCCACGAAGACAATCACTCTGATCTGCTGTTTGAGATCCAGGTTAGCCAGAGTGTTGAAAAGAAGAGCTGGCTTGGACGCTTCTCTTTTCCTGATACGTACGAACTCCTGCAACAATCCAGTAGCAGCTTGCTTTGGAGGATCAATCATGATTCTCACAGGCCTCTGTAACGACAATTGAATCAAAGATTTGATATTCGAGTTCATAGTAGCGGAAAACAGCAAAGTTTGTCTCTTGGAAGGAATCAGAGACAAGATTTCGGTCAGCTCCTTTTGGAAACCTTCTTCCAACATTCTATCGGCCTCGTCAACTACCAAGATTTCGAGACTGTCGACATTGAAACTGGCAGAGTTACGGATATGATCGATAAATCTACCTGGAGTGGCAATGACAATGTCCGGTCTTTGCTTAAGTTCCTGTTCTTGCTGTCTTAAGTTCAAACCACCAACAGCCAGACCAAACGTCAGACCGTTGACGAACTGTCCAATCTTCTTTCCAACATCACCAACTTGGATTGCCAGCTCACGAGTTGGCACCAAAACAACAACTCTAGTGGATGCAATTTTGGCTGGCTTATAGAGAAGACGCTCAATTATAGGAATCATGTATGCCGCTGTCTTACCAGAACCTGTCACGGCTCCGGCAACGATATCTTTTCCAAGCAAAGCGATTGGAATACTGGCACTTTGAATAGGCGAGGGCTTTGTATATCCCAAAGCTGACAATCCCTTTAAAAGAGGTCTTGAAAGGTTCAGACTCTGGAAGTCCGTGTGCACTGTAGACACAGATGTACTATCTCCATCTGGAGCATAGAACTCCGCCATGTCTTCAGCAGTGTCCTCTTTGACTTCTTCTTCCTCACCACCTGAGCCATGCATGATTTCTCCTTCTTCTTCATCTTCGCTTTCGTCTTCTTCTTCGGAGCTCGAGTCGCTGTTATCTTGACTCTCTTCATCAACTGTGGGGACAGCTGCCGAACCCATACCGAACCCGTCCAATGCTAGTTCTTCATCATCACTGTCAGCTTCTCCTGCAGACTCAATCTCTTCTTCACTGTTCACATCAGCAATATCAGAGAGACCACCCTTTCTTCTGATGATGGTGTCCAGGTCCACAGTCTTCTTCACATCGTCCTCTTTTTTCTCGCTCTTTTCTTCCACATCGAAATCCCACCCAGTAAACTCGGTTCCGATGGAATCTGCTGTGTCAAGTGAGAACACAAAATTTGGGTTCAAAAGCTCTTTGTCCGCATCTTCTTCTTTTCTGGCAGACTTCTTTGACTTTTTCGTCTTTTTAGTCTTGTTCACGGTATCTGGCTTTGCTGAGTCTCCCTCCTTTGTCTCCAGGTCAGAGTCCTCGTCATAGTCCGGAACTTCATCCTCACTATCTGAAATCGTAAGAACAAAGTCAGTGACCTTTTTTATGTTCGCTGACTTCTTCATGATACTCAAGTTGTGCTGAGATGTAATGACCCAGTAGCTCTAAGATAATTTTCAGCCTCTGTAAATATGGAAAAAAATATTTTTTGAATCTCAATTATCCCAGACACGACCTCCAGGCTATCAACGGAACAGCTTTGCGGCCCCTGCTCCTAAGCCCTTTGGGAAGTTAACAACCTCACACTCCAACTCAATTAGCTTAAACAATTGGCTTTGAAAGCGTTCGAGTCTTTGCTATTAAGTGAGGATGCCTCAATTTCCATCTTTCGGGCGAAATGCATTGTCTTCGCTCTTGAAGGGTCAAGACGAAGAAACAGCAATATCCCCAACGGCCAGTCGTGCTAACAGCATTGCCAGCCAACCTATCACAAGCACTACCAGCAACGCAAAGCCCCAATTCAAGCAGAAATATGATGATAGAGGCTCTGTGGTATCAACTCCGGCTTCGGATGTTAAAACCCCCTTGGTCACTAGGAAAAGCTCCGTGATGCAATCGCCTCTCAATTCCAGGGCTGGAAGCCATCAGAGTTCGTCCAGTAACAGCTCATATGAGAGACAGAACTCTCATATTACCAAGGGTTCCATTGGTGGAGTTCCCAAAGATTATCATGGCTTTCATGCAGCAAAATCCAGCAAGATAGTCCCACCTTTGAGTCACCCGATCAAGCCAAAAAGAAGAATCTTGAATAGATTGATACATGGAAGAAGGGAAAGTGAACCAGTTAAATCTTCCCTGGCAGCCTCCCAACCAACCACAAGAAGATCTGATCCCAATCCGACTTCATCTACGGACCCAAGCCAGGGAAACAGCGTTTCTTCGACATCACCAGTTGCGGCTACCGACGTCATCCCAGAATCTTCAGCCAGCCCCGTTCCAGACATCCAGGAATCCCAACAGGTTGTGGATGAAGGGCTTTCAACCCCAAGAAGACCAACTGCTGGTGATCTGAATCAGGGCTTTCTTACGAGAAACGGTTCTACTTTCATCGATCTGCAGGCAGATGAAGATGATCTTTCTGGAATTGTGAACCGTAATGTGTCTACAGCTTCATCATTGAATGTCGCCGGGAATGCTGATACCAAAAAAGCAAACTGGGCCGCACCAGAAAGCTGGAAAGTCAAGGGTCAGGATGTAGCCGTGGAAGAGCCTCACAACGAGGCTTCCGAGCCTGATGCCGCAGAGCTTTCGGATGCGTCCTCTGAATCATCCGCGTCGAGCATTCCACCCTCAGAGGCGAACGTGACTCAAAATGCTGTTCCTGAGCAAAACGAACCCGCTGACAACGGCTCAGTTGCAGAGAAGGCAATACCAATGAGCACAAAGTCTTCGTTTGCAAACGGCTCCGAGGCTCACCATCATCACCACCACCATCATGCTCTCAAGGAGGTATCAGGTTCTGCTAGATCATCGCTGAGACTTTCAAAGGGTGACAAAATCACTGTCATCTCTTGTACAATCGATACGACTGTTAAAGAGGTCATGGACAGCTTGAGAAGAAAGAGGTTCTTGAAGGCAGGTGATGACTACATGATTCTGCTGAAATCTGGTGGCCTTATTAGAGTGTTAACCATTGATGAGAAGCCTCTGCGCATTCAAAGACATCTTCTATTGATGTATGGATACACAGATAGAGACAACATCGACTACATCGAGCGCACAGACTTGAGTTTCCTTGTGAAATTTGTCGTTCAAGAGAAAGAGGTAGAGACAATCAGCCTGGAGAAGAGAAGACAAATTGATGCCCACCATGTCAACCTCCAGAACTGGAATCTTCAAGATATCCCCAACTTTTTGTTTGCTGAGCCCATCATTTCCTTGGATGTTTCGGAGAACCCTTCTGTTGAACTAACCAAGGAGTTTTTACACGATTGCAGACACCTAGAGGAATTGCACTTCACAAGAAATGGTATCGGCAGGTTTCCAACGACAATTATTCATGCCCCCAAGCTGAAGGACCTTCATTTGGAGGTGAACAATTTCCGATACATCCCTACAGAGATTGCAATGCTTCAGACGCTCACATACTTGAACCTCGCTTGTAACAGGCTACAGACACTTCCTGGAAGTGTAAGCGAGCTTGTTAACCTAAAGGTGATCAACATTTCGTCTAATAGGTTCAAGGTCTTTCCAGAGCCTGTGACAATGATCCCAGGGCTCACCGAGTTGGATTTGTCGTACAACTCTTTATCAAGTATTCCGTCATCATTGGGAATGATGAGCAATCTCAAGGTGCTGAAGCTTGGTGGTAATAATCTTGACAAAGAACTTTCGCCATGCTTTTCGAAGCTCAAGAACTTGGTGTATCTGGATGTTCGTTTCAACTATCTCAGATCAATCAGCTCATCAGGAACTCTTCCAGGATTGAAGACCCTGAGAGCAACCGGTAACAATGTCTCAGAGTTCGATGTCTCTGCCGAGAAGCTTGAAGTTATTGAGCTGAATATCAACCCAGTGACCAGTTTGAACTGTTTGAAAGTCTTACCTGCGCTAAAGATTCTAGATTTGTCAAAGGCCAAGCTGACAACCCTAACGTTCTTAGACAAAGTCCCAAACCTCGAGAAACTGATACTGGACAACAATCATTTGGCGAGTTTACCCGATGAAATGGCAAGATTATCGAGACTGCAATATCTGTCAGCGTTTAAGAACAACTTGTCCTCTTTTTTCTCAGGATGCGGAGGTCTGAAGTATCTGAGATATCTTGATCTCCATTTGAACAACATCTCATCCTTGGACAGCGAGATATGGGATCTACCGTCCCTGACTACCCTCAACGTATCGTCTAATCTATTGGAAGATTTTCCAGAACCACGCGAGTCCATTAACACTAGGTCGTCTGGTTTAGCCCGCATACCATCCATTGCAATTCAGCAGAAGGGCAATGCTGGGGACCATTCAAGACGCCGCGGAAGCGAGCCTGCAAGTTCACAAGATTGGGAACCCAGTAAGATTGGACTCATAAGTTCTCTAAGAGACCTGAGCATAGCGGATAACAAGTTGAACGACAATGTGGTGCCAATCGTGTCTCTTTTCAAGAATCTGAAATCGTTGAATTTGTCCTATAATGATCTCTTTGACATCCCATCAGGCTATCTTTGCAACCTCAAGAGTCTCGAAGGGCTGTTTCTCAGTGGTAACTACCTTTCGACGTTACCGGTCGAGGATTTGGATTCTTTCACCAGGCTGAAGACATTGCATCTGAACGGTAACAGATTCCACACTTTACCATCTGAACTTTCCAAAATTGAGAATATGACTGCTCTCGATGTGGGATCCAATAATCTCAAGTACAACATTGGAAATCTCCCATATGACTGGAATTGGCACTATAATCCCAAACTGAAGTTTCTCAACTTCTCTGGAAACAAGAGACTGGAAATCAAGCACCAACACGCAAGAGGCGAGGACTCAACAGACAATTTGGACTCTTTCCTGTCTTTGAAGGATATCAGAATCTTGGGATTGATGGACGTCACTTTTACAACCGATTCTCTTCCCGACCAGGGTGCCAATACTCGTGTCCGTACAACAGCTTCTCAGATTGGAAAGTTTGGCTATGGTATATCGGACACTTTAGCTGAGGATGAAAGTTTGTCAATAAGAGATGTGGTGGTTGAAAGGTTCAGAGGTAACGGTGACGAGACTCTCATTACTATCTATGATGGTAAGAATCATACAGACACAAAGTCAGGGCATAAGATCTCCAAAATTATTCAAGAAACGTTCGATTTCCATTTTGCCAAAGAGCTAGAGTCCGTTGGCACTAAGGAAGGCCATGTTGTGAAGTCAGTCGAAGATGCATTGAGAAGCGCTTATCTCACGATGAACACTGAGATCAACGTTTTGATTAATAAGGGAGAATCGAGTACTTTCACATCTGCTGCAGCTCATAGGACTACCACTACGGATGAACTGACTATGGAGGAAGATGCGCTTACCGGATGCTGTGCTACTATCCTGTATATCAAGGGCGATACTCTGTATACTGCAAACATTGGTGATACCATGGGTATATTGGCCAAGTCAAACGGAGAATACACCTGTTTGACTACTAAGCATGAGCCTTATGCCCCAGAAGAATACGAGAGGATTCGTATGAGTGGTGGTTATGTGACAACGGACGGTTTCCTTGACGGCGTAGTTGACGTTTCAAGAGCTGTGGGATTTTACAAGTTGATACCTCATATCAACGCTAGTCCTAGCATTTGCGTCCACAAACTGAAACCTGGTGACGAGATGGTTGCCATTGCGACCAATGAGCTGTGGAAGAAGATTCCGTTTGATTTGGCGGTCGATATAATCAGACAAGAAAGGCAAAATCCGGGTGTTGCTGCGGAGAAATTGAGAGATTTTGCCATTTCGTATGGCTCAACTGACAAACTGTCAGCTGTGGTTTTGTCTTTGAAGCAGTTCTCTGCAAAGACCAAGCCACACGAGAAGTCTTCTCAGGCGTTTGACTCAGGATTGAGAAAACTCGAGGAAGAGATCGAGCCTCCGACTGGAGAACTAGCGATGGTTTTCACTGATATCAAGAACTCTACATTACTTTGGGACACATACCCAGTAGCAATGCGTTCGGCTATCAAAGTCCACAATTCTATTATGCGTCGCCAATTGAGAATTGTTGGAGGTTACGAGGTGAAAACTGAAGGTGATGCCTTTATGGTATCGTTCCCCACGGTTACCTCAGCACTGATGTGGTGTTTCTCTGTTCAGTCAAATCTCTTGACGACACCAGAGTGGCCTGCAGAAATTTTGGCTAGTGAGCATGGCTCCGAGATCAAGGACAAACATGGCAATGTTGTGTTCAGAGGCCTGTCTGTGAGAATGGGTATTAACTGGGGTTCGCCTGTGAGTGAAAGAGACATCGTAACCAAGAGAATGGATTACTTCGGTCCCATGGTCAACAGAGCGTCCAGAGTGAGTGCGGTGGCTGACGGAGGACAGATCAGTCTTAGTTCTGACTTCTTCGACGAGTTTCACAGAGTCAAGAAACTTCACGAAGAGGTGAAGGCTGGCAAATCTATTCAGGAGGCCTATGGCAGTCTCAGCCAGGGTCAGATACTTGAGGCCCAAATGGAGCAATTGGAGCAAATCAAGTGGGTTGAGTTCCCCATTGGTGAAAAGAAGCTCAAGGGTCTTGAAACTCCAGAAAATATCTGTCTTATTTTCCCCAAACAACTCGAATCTCGTTTCGAGATGCAAGGCATGCTTCCAAACTCTTCGGAGCGCAAAAAACACACCTCCACCAGATTATCGTCCTACGGATTTAATGACGCTACTGCGTTCAGAATGAGAAATTTGTCAATTCGTTTGGAGAAGCTGTGCAGTGCTTTGTGCGCTGACAATGAGGTGGATGTGGAGCCCAATACCACAATGCAACTCTCCACTTTAGCCGCTAACGATTTCTTGTCGGAGGCACAGGAAGCAGAGCTGTTGTACTTCATGGATCATTTGGTGACTAGAATTGAAAACTGCGTGGGAAATCTCTCTTTGAGAAAGGAGATTAGTCTAATCAGAGGTGATGAACCTGGTCTGTCTACCATTAACGTTCCTGAGTTGCTCGAGGAGATAACTACACTGTTGAGGGCTGCAGGCTCTTTGAAACTGACTAGCTCAACTCAGCCATAAAAAGAACTGTATAAATTTTTACCAAGTTGACTTTTCGAATAATTACTTGCATAATAAATTGTACCAGAGAAGTTTTTGGTGCATGATGAAAAGGTCGTGTTTGAGCAATGTGCGGCTTGATTCAAAAACTTGCCGGTTAAGAAGCGATGGTGACTATGCAGCCAGACTTGAGGGAGACGAAACAGAACCACAAAACCAGGCCGTACGCTTGTTTATACTTCACTACAGGTTACCTGGAGCGATTTCCACTGAAATTATACTCAATTCCTTCATATTAGAGTCTCTGGTTCACTATGTCTGCTGAGCCGGAAGCAATTTTCCGTATGTTGTCTTTTTGCAGCAATTCTAGCTCGGTAGCCCGAGGCAACCGTAGTTGAGGAGTGTTTGAGGGTACCCCGCTGATCGTGAAAACTGAGATATAAAACCCGTTACTAACATTTCAAAGGCTCTGCGGAAATGAGCTTGATCCAACTCTATATTCCAACGGAAATCAGCAAGGAATCAGTCTACGCCCTCGGAACCTTAGGACTTATCCAGTTTCGTGACTTGAACAAGAAGATAAACGCTTTTCAAAGAACGTTTATCTCGGAAATTCGGAGACTGGATAATGTCGAAAGACAGTATCGCTTCCTGAAAGGAGAAATGGATTCCAAGAACATTGAGATGGTGGAGCTGGCCTTCGGCCAAAGCAGCAACAACAAATTCACCAGTAGAAACGAGATTGATGAGCTTGTGGAAGATGCACAAATACTAGAAGATAGAATCGCCCAGCTCAAAGAGTCGTCTGAGTCTCTTTTGAAAAAGCAGGTTGATCTACTTCAACTCCAACAGGTTCTGATTGCCAGTGATGGTTTCTTCAGCCAGACCGATATTAACCCCGATCTTATAGACTTGGGCGAGGATGCTGCTGCAATTTTAGAAAATGGAGGCTTCCGCGATCAAAGTTTCACCACAGGTGTGATCCCAACAGAGAAGGTGGAGACCCTGGAGAGGATTTTGTGGAGGGTACTGAGGGGTAACTTGTACATGACTTCCAAGCCAATTGAGAAGCCATTGTTTGACCCCAAGAGCAACAAGTTTGTTCAAAAAAGCACCTTCATCATTTTTGCACACGGTGAACTGATTTTATCGAGAGTGCGCAAAATCTGTGAATCTTTGGATGCTGACCTCTACTTCGTTGATTCTGATGCTAAACAGAGAGTGAAGCAATCCAAGGAACAAAATGACAGACTTGCTGATGTAACAGCTGTCTTGGACACCACACAGATCACGCTTGAGACCGAGCTCAAAGCTATATCTGTTGAGCTTAGCCAATGGTGGGATCTCATTAAGTTGGAAAAGTCTGTCTATACTGTGATGAATCTGTGCCATTACGATTTGGTTCGTAAGTGTCTCATCGCTGAAGGCTGGGTTCCAACGGATGGCCTTCCCAAGGTAAAGCAGACTTTGGAGAAGATTTCCAAATCAAACTCGAACAATGACAATTCGTCTATTCCAATTGTGATCAACACAATCGATACCTCAAGGACACCACCAACCTATCACAAAACCAACAAGTTCACAGCTGCGTTCCAGGCCATGGTGGATGCCTACGGTGTGGCGACGTACCGTGAGGTAAACCCAGCCCTTCCAACCGCGGCAACTTTTCCATTCATGTTTGCTATTATGTTCGGTGATTTGGGCCATGGTTTCATTATGGCTCTGGTTGCATTTGTCATGGTCTTGTATGAAAGGAAAATCGGATTAATGAAGAGAGACGAGATATTTGACATGGCTTACACAGGTCGTTACATTCTCTTGCTCATGGGTGTGTTCTCCATGTACACCGGATTCTTGTACAATGATCTCTTTTCCATCTCAATGACGTGGTTCAAGAGTGGCTGGAAGTGGCCCGACCACTGGGAAGAGGGCGATTCGATTGAAGGTACTCAAGTGGGTGTCTATCCTATTGGATTAGATCCTGCGTGGCACGGAACCGAGAATGCTCTGCTGTTCTCCAACTCCTACAAGATGAAACTTTCGATTCTGATGGGGTTTATCCACATGACATACTCTTATATGTTCTCTTTGGTGAATGCCGTTCACTTTAAATCAACAATTGATATAATCGGAAACTTCATTCCGGGGTTGCTTTTCATGCAGGGCATTTTCGGGTACCTCACCGTGTGTATTGTCTACAAATGGACCGTTGACTGGGTGGCCATTGAGAAGCCCGCCCCAAGTTTGTTGAACATGCTTATCTCCATGTTCCTTAGCCCTGGTACTGTTACCGAGCAGCTATATCCACACCAAGCAACTGTTCAAGTGATTTTGCTTGTGGTAGCACTGATCTGTGTCCCATGTTTACTGCTTGTGAAACCACTTCACTTCAAGTTCACTCACAATCATGAGTACTCTGAGCTCTCTGCTCATTCAAACGATGAAGCCTCCGACGAGAACAATTTGCTTACGGATTTGAACATAGAAGACGATGATGAGCATGAGGAACACACTTTCGGAGACGTGATGATCCACCAGGTGATTCACACTATAGAGTTCTGCCTGAACTGTGTTTCCCATACTGCCTCGTATCTGCGTCTGTGGGCTCTGTCATTGGCCCATGCTCAGTTGTCTTCGGTCCTGTGGTCCATGACAATCGCTGGGTCCTTCGGTACTACTGGCCTGCTGGGTGTTATCATGACCTTCTTGATGTTTGGCATGTGGTTCGTGTTGACGGTCTGTATTCTGGTTGTCATGGAGGGAACATCCGCCATGTTGCACTCTCTTCGTTTGCACTGGGTGGAAAGTATGTCCAAGTTCTTTGAAGGTGAAGGTTACCCATACGAGCCATACGCATTCTCAAAGGTGCTTGCTGCCGCTGAGGAGTAATCAAAAATACTCTTGACAGCCATATTTAGTCATATCTATACGGCAGGTAGATAAAATGCAAAAACGTTCATTATTTATGACCAAAGCTGGGTGATGTTATCTGATGAGCCAGATACAAAGTAGCATCTCATTTTGGCTTCGCTGATATCTGAATCACTTGGAAGTGGTGCAAAGGCTATGGAATTTACAAATCCATGATGTCCTTTGAGCACAGAGACACATTCGATGCTTCCCGCGATTTTCTTCGGATCCCAGAATTTGATCGTAGCGTCATCACTGCAACTCGCGAAAACTGTAGCGTTGGGATGAAACTGTATGTCCTTTACCCATGACGAATGCCCTTCCAGAGTAGCAATAAGAAGCCCTTCAGGGGTTGAACTAGGCAATGGGGAATCAACACCCGGCTTGAACACGGGCAATGGCAATAGCCATATCCTAACAGTATTATCACGACCACCCGAGATGGCATATTTGTAGCCCACTTTTTCAAATTGAGGATTGGATAGAAACTCTGAGGAAGGATCTATCTGGAGCACTTTAGCGCAAATATCATCCAAGTACTTATTAGCCAATGCTGGCACAAATTTGGCTGTTTCTATGACCTGATTGTGTCCTAGTAGTAATCCTATTCCCGAGCCTGTAGACTTGTGAGATATCCTAATGCTTTGATCGTTGGAGCAACTCAGCACGTATTCACCGCTCTCACTGACATCAACATCTCTCACCCAATCGGAGTGGCCGACAAAAGTCAGCATGCAAAATCCCGAGGAGACATCCCATAATCTTATGGAAGTATCTTTAGAGCAACTAATAAGCTCTGAGGGAATGTTTGGGTTGAACGTTATACTGGATACCATGTTCTCGTGACCCACCAGGGAACGAAGCTGTGTGAAATTCGACTCGGGATCCCATACTTTGATGAACATATCCAACGAAGCTGATGCCAAAACAACTAATTTGTTTGAAGTATTATCATCGCCCATGTGTATATCAGTGGGAGAGAAGCATAGTGAACTCACTCCTCTGGAATGCGCATTTCTAGCTATGCTCACTGGCTGAGCAAGGTCCAACAAATCCCACAAAACTATAGACCCATCTGATGATCCTGTAGCTAGCAACGGCTTATAAGGATGAATAGCCAAAGCCGTCACCGGCTGGGTGTGATATTTTATCACCCTATCCACCTTGGATGGGATCCAGTTCAGACGGTCCAGAGTAGGACCAGCATCGGAGCTCGGGTTTTGACTCAGGGACTCGATGGTTTCGTTCGCGACTTTCAATTGGGTTTCCAAATCCAAAATCTTCTTCTGAAGTTTCAAAATCGTCAGCCATTTTCTCTCTAAGTAGTTGGGGTTCTCGGAGGTGGCTGATTCATCGATCTCCAATCGCTGCAGAACGCGGGGAAGAGTGAATCGGTCCTCTTCAGAGCTCAACAAAGGAGTAAGATATTGTGCAATGGCCAAATGTAGATCATGCCGCTGTCTTTCAGTCAGTAACGATCCTTCTACCATAGCTTTTGGCAGCAAATGGAGGATACTGCGGGAAAGAAGAATACTCTTGTTGTGTGTTTACACAACACAAACATTTCACCAGACATTATTAGCACTGACACGCCATTCCCACATCCCAAGGTCTCCCAATCATGGCAACTGAAACTTTAAAGGTATGGCTTCGTATGTAATGCTTTCGTGGTATTTTTATTTGAAGCAATTATAGAGTGGCCGGGATAGCTACTGTGAGCAAAACCAATTGGCGTAGCAGTTTGTGTTATGGATACCCGGTATAACAAACTTCTACAGCTAACTTCAAGCCTGACCCATCAAGCTACATACACTCATCATCCAGTCCGTTTCGTGTATAGTGTAATTCTATCCTAAGAAACCCGTATAAAATCAAACATCGAGTATGTGTTTATGCCCAGGATCATTGAGCACATGATCTTGGTCATCCATAGTACAGTATTTTATCTCGTTGAACCACTCATCGGCAAAGATATCTGTCATCGTAGCCCGAGATCCAGGCTCAAGAGCAAGCATTTTGGAGATCAGAGGCCGGGAAGCATGCGGCAGTAGTCTCATCAATCTATATGGACCATGTATCTGTCTGTGACTTGACTTTGAAGGAGCTTGACGACGCTCGGGCTTGACATCATCTGGAGTGTGTTCCCCGGTACCACTCTTAGGATCCTTAATCTGCTCTTGCTTGATCTGATCGACCTGAGAAAGAGCTACCTGAACATCATTGGCTGGAGCATTATGATCAGCAGCATTGGAGGCTGGTGCCGAAGCACTGTGAGCCACGGCCACCAGCTCCTTTTCTTTCTCAGGAGTATCCACCTCCGGAATGCATGGCTTTATTGCATTATCTTTCACTAGAGCAGCCTGCACATCAGTTGCAGGTAGTTCATCCCTTGGAGGAGCCACAGAAGGTTCAACTCTTTGTAGTTCTGTGGTTGCATTCGCCGCTTCTTGCTTCTGTTCAACTTCATCTTTCAGCTCTTGTTGCTGCTGTAAAGATACCTGCTCCAGTCTGTGGGTGAGCTCGTCAACGTGTGACGCTCCATCATGATAATCTCTCTCAGAGTCCTTCAGAGGCTCGCCATCAGGCGTAGATTTCGCTGGAGTCTCTGAACCACTCCTCAGTCGCTGCTCGACTAGTTTCTGTCGACGTTTGGCTAATAAAGCTTTATGATTGGAGGCACTGGCGAGGTAATCATGAGGAGCGTCATCTTCCATGGAGAATAGCTTAAAGCTAGGATCAGACTGCTTGGGTGCTTTCCATGGAAACCTGCGTAACGTCATACAACAGTATATGATGGCAATGGACCAGATATCCACAAACTGCGGGTCATACGACTCTGTGCTGGTCAGCACCTCCGGCGCAAGATATGGGTCCGAACCAACAATACCGTGAGCTGGAACGATTCCATCTTCAAAAGGATATTTGAACACCACGGCACTGCCAAAATCTATAAGTTTCACGATACCCTCTTTCGTGACGACGCAGTTATCCAGCTTCAGATCTCTGTGGGCCAACCCAACAGAGTGCAAATATTGCACACCTGAAGTAATTTGCTTCAAACAACAGTTGATTTCAGACCTGGTCATCTTACCAGACATCACCACCGCAAAGAAGTCGATGGGAGCATACTCCATGATTTCGAAATACTGATTGTGCTCAGAGATTATGTCCAAGGTTTTGATGATGTTAGCGTGGTGTAATGTACTTCCAATGCAAAACTCAGCAGTGCACTTCTTCGCATATTCTTTGATGGATTCGTTTGACCGTCTTGGTCTGAATTCTTTGACTGCGAATGTAACTCCATCACTTTCACGCACCAAGAGTCTGACTGAGCCACCAGCTCCAGAACCTAGAGTCTTGCCCATTTTGCCGTACTTCTTACTCAGGGAACCCTCCACATCATCCCAAAACTTCTGGCTGGCATGCAAAATCATATTGTTGTTGGCATCATGCGTGAACGTAGGAGATGCGATCTCGGCACTCGCGGTACGACTCACCGTTCTTGAAGTTAAAGACTGCAACGGGTTGTGCAAACCATGATTTCCGGAAGGGGCTGGCTTCTTGGTGTTTCTGAAAAACCTCTTGAGTTCCACCATGGAACTGGCAGATCTGGGTTTGCTTCTGTTATCGTCAGAGTGTATATCTGGGTGGTGGTGAGCATGATGGCCATCAGCCTCCGTTGAAGTGGCTGAAGAATTGGAGTCATTCGAATGCGTTTTGCCTAGGTTGATTCCAAGTAACGACCTTTTGGAACTGGAATGGCCCATATTGACAGCAGCAGTTGGAGACGGAGTTCCAGATAGCTTTCCAGCGTGATGATCATCATGGCCGTGCCTCTCTTTACCAAGATGAGCTAGGTTCGCGAACGAACCAAACCTGCTAGGCATTTTAAATTGAAATAATATTTGATAGTTGTCGCGATTGCTGTATGATCAGTGTGTGCCGTAGAAACAGATGCCAAAAAATAAAATTGATGAAGATCGGTTAAAAAATGTTGGATACTTCAGATTGTGTAGGTGCTTCTAATTCGTCTTCGCTCCCGGTATCCACCAACGGGTCTAACACTTTTCAGACTGGACACCCTTTGGTCTCTGCCAACACCGTGAAATATTTGTGGACTTTCCAGGAGAGAAGAGTCTAAAACAACAGCCGTGGTCTCCTACTTTACAACAACATAATAGGAGGAGAGGAGTAAGATGAGTCGCAGATGCTTCAGCCGATGTCCCGGGGAGTGTCTTTACCGGGTCGTATCGTCCGGGAAGATGTGACCACTTTAAGTGGCGCGTGTGCGAGCAAGAGTTTACGCGGTAAAGAGAGACTGGGAGTCTTATTATTTGGGAATGCCACTAGGCACAGCTATTCACAGTCAGGTATTCCAAGTTTTGGAATTGTTCATATCTTTTTTTTTGTTTTGATGTTTTGAGAGAGTCCCGCAATCGACCTAAGGAGCCGACTGCGGCGGCTGTGTCATTCCCGATCGGGTATTCCTATTCAAGCAAACGAGTGGGGACCAACTGGTTTTGGAATCTACTTGTCAGACAATGCCAAAGTCTCTTGTGCAGTTTTGGCCATGGTGCTTAGACCAAGCATACCGGCATTCCTGCCGGGTTTTTCACACTCGTTAATGAAATGGAACAGTCGTGTGTGCAGTTCGGTACAGTCAATGGAGTCATACAAATTGATATCGTCCTTCTTGCCCCACCGTACCAGTTGTTCTAAATCAATGAGACCTCTTGTGATGCAGGCATCCAGGGTTTCCAAAGTGCTGAGTCTCCAAATACCCCCGTCACGCAAAATCAGAAGATTGTCCAATTTCACCTGCTTCCACCTGTTGGCCAATAGCTCTCTGAGATGTCCTTCTGAGTAGATGCGAGTGCTATAACAGAGTCTGAGCGAGCGTACAACCAAATAGAGCTCATCTACAGGCATATTGAATGGGGTTAATGAACCTACCCTCGACAGATCTGGCCCATATTTGGCCTCACGAAGAGCTTCGAGCTCCTTCTGTGCTTTTGAAGCATCGCCGTAAAACCTTCCATGTAACTGGGGAAGAACGCAAGACGAGGGTGCGATCCCAGGAAAGGCATAGCACAACGGGATCAAACCCTCTTCAATCAAGCCAAATAACACAGCAAACATTGGAAGCTTGATTATATCTTTCCTAGTTCTCAGAACAGCTTGGTACATGCTTCTGGTGAACACACCCTCACCGCTGTAGCTGAAGATAGTAGACCCTTGAACATTGGCTGATGACACTTCGGCTTTGACATTGTGGAAATAGTTGGAGAGATGATCAGTAATAACTTTTGGATTGTTTCCAATGGCAATCTTCCGATCCTCTGCCAATCCTGAAGGCATATCGCCAGTGGTGAGGCTGTTATCAAGAACGTAGTAGCCTTTGTAGACATGAGCCCTAAGACTTAGATATGTGTTCCAAACATTTTTAATCCCGGCTTTGATAAACTTGAAAAAGGAAACAGCGTGTCTGTAATGCTTAGTTAGCGTTAATTTCATCAGTGTCATCATTGGAGGGGTCCATTGACCGAGCTTTATAAGCTCTTTCTGTTCAGCAGTGAGTTTTTCATTGATGACCTCTCTCTCTATCTCCTTCTTATTAATGAGCAGTTGAATATTTGCCAACGAGGCGTCGTGGTTGAGGGGATCAGGAAACGCTGCGATTCCAGCGGGAACGGACGTCTGTCTTAAACTTTGCTCGAATATCACTGGATTGTAATCACCTCCTCCTCGCTTGCTCAAAGCCTCCAATATCTTGTCTTGCTTCTGAACCGTCGATTGAAACCGACATCCGGAAAATCGTACCCTAGTAACTGACTTGCAGCCAACAGTTGAAAAATACATCATTGAACTAAACTATTTTCAAGAAACCGATCATGTTACTTAAGAAGTCTATAGAAAACCACGAAGAAGAGGCGCTCGTAGTCACCATGAAATCTGCACTTCATCACCGGCTCGGTTGGTGCGGCGGTAAATGTGTTTCTCACACGCACTTTGGGTAACAGGGCTTATCAGCTGGATCTTTCCCGTACCAAACGTTCCATTTTTTGTATTTGTCAAAGAGGGGAGAATACTCGTTGGTAGATTCCACATTCTCACAATCATATTTGGCCATAATTGCCGCCCTCACGTCGTTAAATTGCACTGCGAAACAGAGCTTGCGTGAGATGACAGGCGCTATCTCCACGATTTCCCCATACTGTTGAAAGTCCTTAACCACCTCATCAATGTCAAAGTCTGTTGAGAGATGTGATGTAGGAGATGGATATCCTCTGGAGGACACATTGAGAGCATGTTTGGAGATTTTGCGTTGGATAAGTTTCTTGAAAATCAACGTGCGGCGCGCTCCACTGTCAGCCATGAGCTCCAATGCTGATCCTGTAGACTCCGAGCTCTCTTGATCGACAGTTGTGGCTCCCCATTCAGCTTTAACATGTTTTCCATTGATCATGAACATACCAGTGGTAGCATACTCCATGAAGGCATCGGCATCTGTGGGCCTCCAAAAGTGCAAGTCCACAATAGCTGAAGACCAATCCACAGGTTCATCATCCATAACATCACCACTCCCATATCTAACACCAATACGCTCCAGTGGGCCACCCCGTACCTGTGCCAAAATACAGCTGAGGCTGGCCTTCTCTGGGAGACTGTACAGGCTCACCACTCTTCTGGGGATGTCTTTAGGAGGATTAGGACAAGCAGCCACTTGATCTGGAAGGTTTTGAATGTTGCTGTTGAACCGAAGAAAGCGTTTCTCGCATTTCGATGTGCTTGACTCACCAAATCCCACCATAGTATCAAACTGGCAAGTGCTGGTCTTTTCAAGGTTGTCCAGCGTTTGAGTCTTGGGGCCTTGAGCCGATTTGAAGTCATCGTACGCAAGACCCCGCTGAGAGGCACCAGGAAAGAACCTCCAGGAAGAATTATCGCGGCCTTTGCTCAGTGTGGCATCATTGAAATCTGTGGATGTTGTTTCGTGGGAGGAACTGTTTGTATCTCTTGAAAATGGTGGTCTCATATGGTTTCTGGCAAACTTGCGGATACCAATAAACTCAGTACGAGGGCTATCGTGAACAAAACTGCCAAATGAATGGCCTTTTGATTTTCCTGAAAATGATTTTCCGGAGAACTTCTCCATTGAGTCTTTGGAATGGGAGCTTTTGAAGCCAATGTAGTCCTTGAGAATGTTTGAGGTGTACTTGTTGGGCCTTAATTCCGTAGACTCTGCATCATCTCCACAGTGAGCAATCATAGCTGGTTCCGGAATTGTGCTCGGAGTTACTACTGGGAATCTGACTTTATTCTAGCAACAATTGAAGCTGCCTTCTTTTTGGAAGTGGTTGAAGGAGTGTTTACACAAATAACAGGTTGCAGATGGTTTTTGGTAGTGCGGCTCAAGCGCCCGCAGAACTGGTTATCGCACTTCTCTTTTAAATTTCAGACCAGGTTATGAATAATTGAATGATTTCCTTAGGTTAAGATATTAGCCATTGAAATCAATTATTTTCTTAATGACATTTGGTCTCCTCGGCGAGAAGTATCCTGTCTCAACACCTCTCTCAGAGCCATTGTAGCATAGGCAGAAACACCCAATTGCATCTTGATGATCACAGCCGTACTAGCTCCATCTGGTACCCCATCGAGAATCTGGCTGATTTCACCAGTTTTCCCTTCTAATTCTGCTTCTTGTTTCAATCTGAGAATCTCTAAATCGGTTCTCACCAGAGGCTCATTTGGATCGTTATACTTCCTCACAAAGTATTCCAAGTTCAATGCTCTGCCCATCACCTTTCTGTAGGAGCCTGCAAGCGAAAACTCTCGGATGCGGCTGGTCATGTTCTCAGGATCCAGTCCATCTGCTGCCATGACATCTTTGTAAACTTGCATCATTTCTGGTGTTTCTGGATACTTGATATCAAAACCAGGAGTAGGAAGCACGACATCGTAAATGGTATATTTTCCGCTGTCAACGTCAGCCTGTGAAAGGTATCTGGCACGGATGAACATGTCTTTACGTATGTCCTCCTGGAACTCCTCATCATTTTCACCGACCTTCGGTGACAGTTTAGGAGCCTCTTCGTCCAGGACCAAGTCTCCAGCAACAACCTTCAACCCGAATAGTCGTATTCTTTTGCTGGCAGCGATGTTCCACACGTATGATTGATACGCATGTCCATACATGATTCTCAAGTTTCGTGGGATTGCCATGATAGCATTGAAATAGCCATTTCCGTTCCAATCACCGTCTTCTCCCTTTCTCTCTTTCTCGAGTCTTCTCAAAATACTGTATTCAGCACTGCATCTCTTTGGCATCTTCTCTGCAGCACGCTGTGGGTTCTTCGTCTCTGCCCATATTCTTCTAGCTTCAATGGAATCTGGAACCACAATAGCCTGTTCTGACAACAGCATGTTAACGGCTTGCTTCCAATTGGCCTTAAGAAGCTGGGTACCAACTTCATGGGTTGAGATCGAAAATGTGCCAAAACGTTGCATACCAAAATAGTTGATGAAACCTTTTGCTTTCAGCGACTCCAACGAAGATTTGACGGCTACTTCAATTGATTGTCCTTCCTTGACACATTGTACATCTTTGATCGTAATAACGAATGCATTTCCTTGTAAATCTCCCAGTGACAGAGCAGAGTCTGCATATGCAAAGCCACCAAGTCTGATGCCCTTAAGCATTTTGTTCAATCCATTGACTCTTTCAACACCAAGCTTCTCCACAGAGAGTCTTTGCACGGTGACTGCCCTTCTGTCTTTAGTACCTGCGTACTTGATCCATTTGCTTGGAATTTTGAAGAGCTTTCCCAAAAGTGCAGCCACTTCCATTGTTTCCTTGTTTTCTTTGTACATGTCAAAGTGCAAGTAGTCTTTCTTGGGACCGAGAGTGTGAACCAGTTTGGTGTTATCTCCTCCGGTTCTCCTGCTACCTTTTTCTCCTTTCTTCTGTCCTTTGGTGGTCAATGCAATTTTGAAAGCATTCATGTCGGTAGTTAAAGTCTCTAGTCTTCCCTGATAGGCTTCCCTGATGAGCTTGTGAATATTGGTTCTTTCCATTTTGTCATCAAACCTATTCGAGGTCTCGAAGAATGTCCCAGTACTGAACAGCTCTTGAATATTTTCGAAGTCTTTCTCTCCGAATAATGCAACAAGTTTCGTCTTTTGTTCCTCGGACACCTGCGGTATCTGATTTGCAGAAGCAACCTCTGGCACAGCAGGCTCAACAGACTCTTCCTGTTCGTCTTCTGCATCACCTTCTCGATCAGCTTTTCTCCTCTCTCTTCTTCTCTCACGCTTGTCGGGAATACCTTCGTCCAAAAGGTGAATGGTTTTTCCAGTAGGGTCCACCTCATTTACCAGAAAGTCTGTATATCTCTGCTTCAGAAGACCAACTATACCGAATTCAGCTGACGAGATCAGTTCAGTGATACCCACATCAGATTCTTGAATGCCCTCAGGCTTCGAATCAACGGAGATGCTTTCATGCTTGAGCTTTTTGCCGTCTAGAACAATATCATCAGACACTTCTAAGGGTCTCTTATTATTTTCTAATGTCATGCTTGGAGTTGAGGCGCTTTCAAAGACGGTAATTTAACAAATGCATGTTACAAGGCATCTCAAAAAAATTATTGATTTTTCAAATGTTCCAGCCACTCATCTCTGCGCCATGGTGGCTGGGTACAATGGAGACGCGTGTCCCGCGACGAGTCCGTGAAGAATGCAATTTAGTCGTAACTTTGATTACTTTAACAATTGCAAGGGTCATTCCGTCCACAACCGCACACTGTCTTAGTTCTACGTGAAGGCTCAAGTTTCTTGGAACGATTTCCGCGCGGTTTTCAGTTTAAGATACAAAGAGGCCTTCTTTGAATATCTGCAGTTGGGAGAGGCAAACCCATCACACCTCGTCATGAGTGATACAGATAAAGCTTTACCGGATCGTGTGGTTGTTTCTCCAGAAAGGACCACCAATAATAACGATGCGGGTCAGGATAAAAAGCAGACTCAAATGACACAGCCAACACAACCGTCCGGCCATGACCTAATGATAGACACCTCGGACCAGGAGTTACTAAGCGAAGGAACAATATGTCGATTGGTATGCACATCCTCCAAGGACGGAACAACTGGACACTTTGATCTCAAACTCAAGCCCGGGACTCATTCAGCTATTGAGGAATGGACATTTGGTAGAAATCAGTTATGTGACTTCGTGTTACCGACAAAAAGCAATAGAATCAGCAACAAGCATTTCAAGCTTTGGTTGAACAAAGAGGGCCACATGGAGAACGGTAAAGTTGGTCGTTACGACTCATTGATGGTACAGGATCTCTCAACCAATGGGACATACTACAACGGGTCAAAACTCGTGAAGGGAAACAATTACATGATAACGCAAGGTGACGAGATAAGCGTTGGGATTGGTGTGCCGGCTGATGTTATAAGATATGTGGCTCTTTTCCCGATTTCAACGCGAACATCCTCTTCGGGAAGTGCGAACCTGAAAGGAGGAATAGCGGATGACTTTTTGATCAAGGATGAGGTTGTTGGGTCTGGTGCGTTTGCAACTGTAAAGAAGGGCATTGAGAGGTCCACTGGTAAAACATACGCAGTGAAAATTGTGTCGAAGAAGAAGGCCATGACAGGAGATCTTGATACCGTTAGTCGAGAACTCTTAATCCTCAAACGACTCGACCACCCTGGAATTGTGCGATTGAAGGCCTTCTACGAAGATGCCGACAACTACTACCTAGTGATGGAGTTTGTTTCTGGTGGTGACCTCATGGATTTTGTAGCTGGTTATGGCTCTGTTGGTGAGGTAGCTGGTCGTGAAATTGCTCGTCAAATCCTTGAGGCTATCAAGTATGTTCATGAGCTCGGAATCTCCCACCGTGATCTCAAACCTGACAACATTCTAATTGCGCAGGATGATCCGGTTATCGTGAAGATTACTGATTTTGGTCTGGCAAAGGTGGCTGATACGACTAATATAATGAAGACGTTCTGTGGAACACTAGCATATGTTGCACCCGAGGTTATTTCAAGCAGACATTCCAAGAGGAAGAGTCTGCAGGTCTCCCAGGCTTCTAAGGATGTCTCCTACTCTTCTAAAGTTGACATGTGGTCTTTGGGATGTTTAGTTTTTGTCATTCTCACTGCGCATCTTCCATTCAGTGGTTCCACTCAAGAGTCCTTATTCAGGAACATCACTACAGGCAATTACCACGAGTCGCTTCTGAAAGAGAACGATATCTCAATTGACGGAAGACAGTTTGTGAGAGCATTGTTGGAAGTTGACTTCATGAAACGTCTCAATGCCAAAGAAGCGTTAGAACATCCTTGGTTCAAAGGATGTGATAATGAGGATAGTCAGATCAGCTTGTCCCAGAGCCAATCTCACCAGAAACGGATTGAGAGTCAGAAACAGAGCCAGAAGCAGAGTCAGAAGCTAGAACTTGAACAATCGCTGATTGCTTCTCCCAAATTTGTTGTTCCAAAGATACCTGCCAGTCAAACTCCTGTTGTCATTCCAGGTATGAAAATTAGAGTTGAAGACTCGCCGGATAATCTCAAGCTGGAGCATGCAACTTCAATGGTATCTCTCGAAGAAGAGGAACTGAAGTCGTTTCCAAAAGCTGACAGAGATGCTTCTCAGATTGCTGCCCCACCAGGAACTTTCCTTTCCTTGATAAAGGATGCGGGTTCTGTTTCACGCGTGGGATCCATACATGTTCCTCAGGGTTGCAACCCTTTTGTGATCGGCCGCATTGCCAACTCACATTATCAAATCTCTGAAAGCAGAATATCGAAGATTCATTGCATGATAATGAAAAAGCGCCATCCAGTGCTGCAAACTTCCATCTTTGAGTCACCTGCCATGGGTCTTGATGATGTTTGGCTACTTGACTGTTCGACGAATGCCTGTTTCATTAACGGAAAGAGGATTGGAAAGGGTAGAAAAGCAAGGTTGTCCAATGGTGACCGTATCCACATCTTTGTGGACTTGCCTCACAACGAACGTCTGAGCTACAAGGTGGTGATCAATGACGGAACAGGATTATTTAATGGTGGACAGAAAAGTGGTGCAGAGTCCTCTGAAGAGATGAATATTATAGAGCAAGACGAGTACGACAAAAAACTCTTCCCTGCCAACCTTCTCGCCACAGATGCTGTGAACAGAGGGAAACGCGCTCAAGATTCAGTTATTACGACAAACCCCAAAAAGCCCAGGCGGGCGGACTTAAGTAAAATTACATGACAATTCAGCATTTGCATCAAGATATGATCCAATCTCGTACTCATCAGCTTCTGCTAAACAGTCCATTCAAACGACTACCAAGTGGCTTGAGTACAGTCTTCGACTCACCACCTGGAGTAGCATTTTCGTCATTTTCCCTCGAGTCTTCACGATTTTTCAGGGTTTCTCGAACCTTTCCAGCGGATCTCAAAGCTTTTATAATCGAATCTTTGCTCGATATGGTGACTTTCAATTCCAGGATCTCTTCTTCCTGGTCTTTGATGATATTCTCTAGTGAAACTTCATCTTTTCCATCAGAGGCTGTATCCATAATGTCATCAGCGACCGCTGACACATTACGCAATGACATGTTATACCTGGATGACTTCAGTTGTCCCTCAAGATGTGCCACATAGGATTTCAGCTCTTCAATCTCAGCTAGTTGGTCTTTATGCGTCTTATCAATGGAGCGAATACAATCTTGGAACTCGTTCCTGTTCCCTCTCACATCAAACGTGATCAGCGACTGTAAAGCCTCATTGTGATCAGCCAACGATTCCAGTCTTGGACTCTCTGTCAGCCTTTTCATGTGCTCCAACTGCTCCATCAGAATGGTATTTTCAGCGTTTAGTTGAGCAACTCTGTCCGAATCGTCGGTACTGGGCCTGGCAGGGGAATCGAACATACCATTCTCCTTCAGCTCCATCAGTTCTCTCTTTGCTTGCTCGTTTTCCTTAACCAATTGCGCAATCAGTCTGTCTTTATCAGATCCTGTCACCGTATGTAACCCGGAAATTTCATTTTGTTTCGCATTCAACGTCACGTTCTTTGCTCTGGAAGCAAACCTCAAAGTATTGACTGTTTCAGCAATTGTAGTGGACGAAAGATGAATCGTGCACAAAACTGAAACAACAGAGTTTCCACTAAGAGAAGGCTGAAGGAGACGAGTGAGCTTGGAGTCTCTATAAGGAATATGAGAACTGTTCAACGAGTACGGCTGCTGGGATCCAGCAGATTGGTATGACAATTTAGAAATCACTGTTCCCAGGGCAAGCAGTGACTTATTGATATATGATCCCTCTTTCCGTCTCTCTTGCTGAGTAGTTGCCTTCTCGGAACCAGCAAGATCACATAAACTCAAAGTTGCAAATTTCTCCACTCCGGTAGCCCGCTCAATAGTATTTATCCGTATCAGCAAGACAGCATGCGAACGAGAAGATCGTGTGTTGAAGTCAGTACCACCAGTACGTCTTATAGTGTCACCCTTCTCGATCGTTTTCATCAGATCCAGAGGAGTCGAAACAACCTGCTCTCTAAGACCCACAACCTTGACTCCATACCTCGAATCATCTCTGATGCGCAATTCTTCTTTTGTCACCATGGATCCAAAGGTTCCTCTTAGTGATGATGATGACTCTGGGTCCAAAAGGTCAAAAACACGTTCGTTATAGATCTCCAAATACGAACAGAGTATCTCATGATCGTGCGTGGTACTATTCTGCTTGACTTTGTCAAATATCTCCCAAACCGCTAGCTCAATGAGACCTTGTTCATAATCTGTTCCCTGCATAGAATAAGTCTTTCCACTGCCAGTCATACCATAAGCAAATACGGTACCGTTGTAGCCGTCCAAGCATCTTGAAATGATTGGCTTCACTGACCGATTGTACACCTCGAGATTAGGAATTGAAGGGTCGAAAACGTTGTCGAAATGAAAATCGCCGGCATCCGTGTTGGAAATTGTGTTGAAAGAGTCATCAATCTCCCAAGTCTCGTTAATTCCATTCAGAGGTTTGGGTCTAATGCTGACCTGGATTGTTCCCGTGTAGCATGGTGGGCTGTTTGTAGATGAATTGTTCACCGGGGTTTGCGACCTCATATTATTCATAGAAGCCCTTGGTCTGATGGGAGTTGTTACACCATTGATATTGGCACCGGCCCGTGCCCTGAGGTTTGACGTACTGGGAGTCATTGGTCTTCTGAGGTTCGGTGTCTTGACGCCACCTGCGGAATGACTAATTGACAACGATGAAGCAGGTCTTGAGCGTAAAGTAGACGGAGGATGGTGAAGGCCCTGTGATGACGATGCGCCTGCCATTCTAGGTCTTGTTGGAGTCTGCGATCTCAGTCTGGATGGTGTCTGTGCTGGAGGCATCCTGTCTGCCGAAAGTAGTGGAGTACGAACGTGTAACTTTAGCGTGTGTAATTTGAAATCAACTTAATGGCAATGTATAGCTTCAAAACTTTCAAACTCTAAGCAGAGAAAACCAAAAGTGATCTTATGATTGAATACATAAAGGCAACTAGTAACTTCAAGTTTGGTGTCTACAGCTTTATTGATGTATTTCCCAAAAGGGTCAACCCCCGGGTAACCGCACAACCTCATACTAAGATTAATTATTCAAAGCACTACCTTTTATGATTACAAGAACATTAATTACGAAACAAGAGACACCCTTATATTGCTTTTCCGGGTTGGACTATTTCACAATCCCAACATGACTGATAGCTTTTCTGCTCAGATCAATGCATTTAAGAAGAGCTTGAAAACCTCTTCTTCCACACTTCCCTCAGCAAGAAGAGTAGTTGAACCCGTGGTACAGCCGAAGGTGGAGACACAGCCTTCTCCAGTCAAGCCTCAGCCCATCAAAAGAGATCTGGATGAAGACAACTATGCAGAGAATTCTATTGCAAAGAGATCGAAGCCTACTTTGCAGTTAGCCGGATCTCTGCTGTCAACGCAATTATTGCATGCCGTGGAGTATATCAAGCAACATGATAACCCGATTCCTTTGAGCAGTCTAGAAAGATACTTGTCGTACGACGTGGCCCAGAATCTTCTGCCTCTGTTGAAAAATGTGAATCGAATCAAATATGATCCCAATTTGAAAACTCTAGAGTACGTTTCCTTGCACAATATTAGATCGTCAGCTGATCTATTAGGGTTCTTGAGAGCGCAGCCTACTTTCAAAGGTATCTCCGTAAAGGATCTCAGAGATGGATGGCCAAGCTGTTTAGCTTCGATAGACGAGCTTGAGGCAGACAACAAGATCCTGGTACTTCGCACGAAGAAGGAGAATGCTCCCAGACTTGTGTGGCCAAATTATGGAGGAAAACTGAATGTTATAGACGAGGAGTTTGTTGCGATGTGGAACAGAATTAAGATACCTGAAGGTGATGACCTGCAGTTGCAACTTGTTGAGAATAAGCTCAAACCAACAAGCGTTGATCCTTCATCTATACGCAGAAAGCCTGCTGCGAACCAGGACAAGAAACAAAAGAGACCAAGAAGAGGTAAGATCACGAATACCCATATGAAGGGAATCCTCAAGGACTACTCATCAAGAGTCTGAAAGTCACCTGGGAGGATTACTTTTCTATTGCTTTTGACAGATTTTGACGTTTATACATATCTTTTGAAAGCTGAGAAATGCAATTTAATTTACAAAGTGTGCTGTAGGCGAGTTCAGAGACGACTTCAAAGGCGCTCTTTGTGTTTCCTCTCTTTCTTCTCTTTTTTGTCCTTCTTCTCCTTCTTTGACTTCTTCTTGGGGGTTTCATCCACATCCATGTGATCCTCAGATCTGTTTGGTCTTTTCACTGGGGAATCCGCGGGGATTGCTTTGGCTTCATTGTAGTCGTTAGCACCGTATCCAGTGGGGAAGTGTCTCATCCGTAAGTTCTCCTCCTTGGGCACATCCTCTCTTGCAACTATCGCTTTTTCGTAATCGATGGAAGGTATTTTCACTTTCTCGGAGATGGTGTAATATTTTTGAATGGTGAGTTCCGAGGGTTTCATTCCTGAGGTAGTTTTTCCGTTGACAAGCAGGCAGTGCTTAGATGAATCGCTCTTTTCAGACTGTGCAGCTATGTCCTCTTGATATGTATCCTCCGTTAGGTTGAACGTGGAATTTCCCACTTTCAGGTCCGTTGTGGCGCCAATTTGAAAGGAAACAGGCAGTTTTTTCAGTTTCGAAAGGTCAAGCCCTTTCGGGCATTTTATAAGCCAAAGTTCCTTCTGCTTGAACTTGGATGTGTCTATAGCGGGAGGGTCAAACTTTTTGTAGCCAGCAGGTGGAGCATACTCGGGCACCTCTACCTCAGAATCAGAGTCGGAGCCGTCAACATACTCCGATGAAACGTACTTCGAGGACATTGTTTGAAGTCTGACGAATAGAATTGATACTGTAGCTGGCTTCGTAGGTTTTAACATTTGAAAAACTTGATCCCAAAAAATTTTAGATGAGGTGTGTGCGGCACAAATTGCTGCCTGCAATACGCTAAGCCGTACAAATTTCAGAGATATACTTTAACAATTATCGGTATACTTAGGAGCTTTTAGAGGCGGTGGCAGAGGTGACGGCTTTCTCATCCAAGTTGGCGATGAAATCCTGGACTCCAAAGTTCTTGTAACAGTTCTTGATAAACCAGTCACCAAACTTGGTAGAGTACTTGAAGTTGAGGATGTTCACGTGGTCGTTATCCACGGCTATATCCATGTCGTAAAGAGTCCCGTAAGCACCGTTTAACAGTGATTTCTGACTCGTCGCTGTTTCAATTTCTTCCTCACCACTTGAGATGGCCTTTGAGTTGGTGGCCACCTTAAGCTGCCTGTTGTGTAACTTGAACGACAGCAGCAGCTCGAGCAATTCGTCGTCCGATTTCACATCCATAAGCTTGGCCAGCTTAGTCAACTCCAAAGACGAGTACAAATTGAGGAACGATTTCAGATCTGGGATACTCAGAATAGACTCCAGTCTCAACCTGAAAATCTTCCAGTGCTTGTTGAGCGGATCCAGGCTAAGCTTCTTGTTACCAAGCTTGGATCTGGAGATAATGGTTGTAGAGATGAACTTAGGAGCACCGAATCTGAAGATCTCCTCGTAAACAGCCAAGGCAGCGTCTCTGCTGTCAGCTCTGCTCAGCTTCAACGATTGCTCGCCAAACTTTTCTCTGAGTTGCTGATGCAACATATCGTCCAGCTTGGTTGGGCATATCGACACACTAATCGTCAAGAGAGCAAACATCTGTTCGGATCTCTTCGTGATTATATCGTATGCACCTGAGTTTCTGTTCAAGTTCTTGGTTCTCAAAATGAACAGCAAAATGTGTTGGAAAGTTTTCACGGCATCTTGGTATCTACCCATCATCAGGTAACAGAAACCCACGTAGTAGTATGTGGTAAAGTGGCAGCCGGGAACCTTGGTGAAAAAAGCCTTTTTGTTCAACTCTATGTGTTCCATGGTCTTGAGTGCGAGAGTGTAGTCTCCCAACAAGGTGTGGATTCTCAAAAGCCCAATGATGGAAAAGTATCCCAAATTTCTGTACAGCGACAACGAACCATAGTCACCGGCAATCTCCTTGGGAGCTTGCTCTCCACCAACATTGTTGTATTTCAACTGTTCTACGATGTTGGATCTACCAACAAGAGAATACAGCGCGTTCAGAACACTGTAAGTAGACCAAACCTCTTGGTGTTGACGCAAATATTCGATCTCCTGCAACTCGGCGTTGGATGGGTTTGCCTTATTCAGCAGCTTGGACTTGTAAATCTGGAAGTTGTTGAACTGGTAGATAAACTCGTCCACTATATCCCATAGCCACTTATTTGGCAGCTCAAAGGTGACAGGACCTTCTGCGTGGTTCAGAATCAAATTGAACAAGTTGCAGTAGTTGTTGTAGGAGCCAGTTCTGATCTCGAGGGTTGGGTTCAGCTTGGAGTATATGTGCCTGTAGTAGCATTCGCTGTACAAGATAATGAAAACCTGGTCATTGTTAACCAACGACGAGATATCGGAAGGTAATGGCCAGCTCGAATTCTTAAAGAATTTCTCGGTGATTTTGTTGAAGCTGTTTTCATAACATCCATACAACTCGTAGACGTTGTTGTCCAAGTAAGATTTGTACCAGTACTTAAAGAAGCTGATCAACGGCTCGGGGATGCTGGCAGGGTAAGACGCGGCATTTCCGGTCTCTGCAGTCTCGGCACCGTAAATAAGGTAATCTTCGTTTTGCAAATCTTCCTCAAAGTCAGACATAATGAAGGTGATTGATACTGGATGAGCTGTAGGAGAGCAGCTTTGACTTCCTCCGTAAATTATGGACGCTTTTTTTTCACCATTGAGAAAGGTAGTGTGTGTGGTAATCCAAGTTCCAACTCGCGTTCTTGGGAGTCGCGGCTCACAGAATGAGTTACCGTGAGGAGCTCTTCTTTGCCAGAAATGGATTTAATCTGTGATTTTTGGATATTACAGAAACCACTATGTATTATCGCAATATTATTGCAAGTTTCGCGGGCTTTTTTGCGGCAAAATCGCGTAGTTATCATCCCCAATAGTGGGGTCGGCTTTGCCGGTGCACGCCTCGTCTAGGTGCCTTCAGCCTCTGTTGTTTACCTTGCAAGGTGACCTTAGCATGTATGTTAGATCCCTGCCAGTACTTGGAAATAAGAAGGTCAATTTCCATTGTCGCCAACGAAGATGCAGGACGCTCAATTGCTGCCATTCTCATTTGACAGCACGAAGTTTTCTTCCAAAGAGAACACTTCACAACCTAAGGAAGACCACTCCCTCGATACTGTATCAGGAACGCAAGTCCACCGCAGAATGTCTTCAATTGACGCCCAGGGTTTTAGAATACCGTTGTCACCGGTCAAGACAAACTACAAAAGGAGGGCCAATGACTACATCAGAAGACAGCAGCTTGAGGACGATGATAGCAAGAAGCTGAAAAGATCGCTAGATGCCACCAAGCTATTCTTCGGTGAATCTAGTTCGTCTTCCTTCCAGTTGCCCTCTTCCGAGCATCCGTTTCCTCTGGAGCATTCTGGTCGTATTCCCAGTTCCCCTCCAATGCCTAGTGTTGCACAGAGTTCTGATGATTTCGAGGACTCAACATTCATTATGCCGAGCTCTCCTCCTCAGTTTATGGCTACGCAGGAGACCGAGATTGCTGACGATATACCAAAAAGGGTTTTGCTGAACCCGTCATCTGATAGTCTTGCTCCTCTAGATCTGGATGAATTTGGAAGGGTTCACGCTACACGCCAGGAATCAAAATTGGACTCGGAATTTGACACCGAGATGGAGGTTGACCAAAAGGACGTTGAGCGGAGACTGCGCGAAGAAATCAACAAGATGTTTGAAAACCAAGAAAACAAGCTCAATTTCGAGAATTATGGCTTGGAGGTAATTCCTTCGGAGATTGGAGACCTAAACAATTTGACCATCTTCTCGGGATTCCAGATAGCACCAGCGAAGATCGAGATATTCATGTCCGGAAACAACATCACCACGCTTTCGCCATCCCTTTTTGATGTCAAAGGCATTACTGTTCTGAGTTTGCGATACAACAAAATCCGGAGGGTTCCTGGTGCAATTGAAAGACTCACGAATTTGAAGTATTTGAGTGTGGCCAACAACAGAATTGCCTATTTCCCTCACAACATTTTGAAATTGAGCTGCATTGAGACCCTGACGATACGACCTAACCCTTTAATCGAGCCTGATGCCAAAATTGCAACATCCGTGAATGTTGATATACCCTTTGATGAAGCCCCTACTAAGGTTTTGAAATACTTCGGGAGGATCAGATGGCTAGCTGATACGTCCACTGTTTGTGCTAAAGCCACAGCTGGTGGTCTGAGCGCGCAAAAGCTGATGCGAAACTTCAGTACGTTTTCCAGGCAGACTACGAACTTTAATACTATGTTAGGCGAGGACGGATTAGATGAAATGTTTCCTCAGTCGCAGCCAGATGTGTGTGACGTTCAGGCCGAAACGGTATCTTACGTCCCGAGGTTGACAGAACTCACACTGCGCGAGATTTCTAAATACAAGATCTCTGCATCAGAGCTGAAGAAATGGAAAACGCACATTCCACCCAGACTGAAGAAACTGGCATTCGATGCACTGATTAATGGGTCCAACGGAGAGACCTGCGGCTGGTGTGAAGAGAACATTGTTGATGCAGTGGCAGAGGTGATGGAATGGTGGGATGTGAACCAGATACAAAATCTCCCCATACAGAGAAAGTTCTGTAGTGGGAAATGTACGATACAGTGGCAGGATAGTATTAATGTGCGCCAGGCTGGGTTGAGTGATTGAATTGGTCCCCGGGGTTCTCTGTTTAAATCGTATGAGAGAAGCGGAATTAGTTACCGGACCAGAATCTAGTCTTAATGAAGATCCTTTATGTATGTTTCCAGATGCATAGATAATTTCACCGAGTATGTAGCTCGCCTGAACCCGAGACCGACATCTGCATTTTTTTTCTTCAATAATAGATTATCTTACATGACACGGCACCCCAATAGCCAATGAAGGCCCTCATCGTGCAGAAAGCCGTTGCGCCGAGCCGGTCTTCCCCAATTGAGCCCCTCTCCGCCAGCGCATGAAGCGTTTTGGGTAATGGCATCTGGTGGGCGCACTAAGGTCTTTGCGCAAGCCCAGTACAGAGCGCAAAGCAGAATGGAGTAAACGGGTTAGAACGGAAGGTGCGACCTCGGATTAGGCCCAAAATAATTGAGGCCAGCGCACTGGATTCTGCAAAATCTTTTGAGATAACACAGATGCGCGTGGGGGACCTATCACAATCGAGATTTCTATCTCGTTATCTGCTACGCCATTCTGCGGCATAAGGCCCTGCATTAGCAGGGTATAAGAGGACAATGATATCCTCTGGAAAAGTTTTTAGCGCATAGGTATCTACTAGGGAATAATCACTACTTACGCGAAATGCTCTCCGCAGTGAAATCCACAGTTTCTGTGCAAAGGCTGGAGGGTATCCACACTCAACAGTCTCAGATTAGAGATATCGATGCTCGCCATGTCGCGAATGATGATGATCTTTTGGCCGAGATTGGCTACAAGGCAGAGTTGAAGAGAACCTTCTCCACATTCCAGATCTTTGGTATCGCATATTCGATCATGGGACTTTTGCCCTCTATCGCTTCTACTGCTGGTATCGGTCTTACTGCTGGTGCGTCTGGGCTAGTGTGGTCCTGGTTCGTTGCTGGATTTTTCATTTTGCTTATTGGTATAGGTATGAGTGAACTTTCGAGTGCGATCCCAACCAGTGGTGGTTTGTATTACTGGACCCACTACTACGCTCCTGAAAAATACAGAATTCCAGTCTCTTTCGTGATTGGCCTGTCTAACACCATGGCCCTCTGTAGTGGTCTTTGTTCCATTAATTATGGATTTGCCCAAGAGGTCACTGCTGCTGTGTTCATCAACTCTGACAACACCTTCGAAATCACCCAGCCCAGATTGTACGGTATCTTTGCTGCCTGTACTGTGTCGCATATTCTCATCACCAGCTTGAGCAGTAAACACATCTCCTACTTGCAGAGCACCTCGATTGTCTGTAACACGGGTTTAATTGTGCTTTACTTCATCGCTTTACCTGTGGGAACTGCCAAAAACTCTAGCTTCAATGGCGGAAAATTTATCTTTGGTAATCTGGGAAATTTCGAGAGCTGGACCACTGGCTGGCAATTCATGCTCTCTATGATGACTTGTGTTTGGACCATTGGTTCCTTTGACTCGTGTGTCCACATGTCCGAAGAGGCTAAAAACGCGTCCAGAGGTGTTCCAGCTGGAATCATCGGTTCTATTTTTGTCTGCTGGGTTGTGGGATGGTTTATCTGCATCTGTACCGCTGCCTGCATGTCCAGCGATGTCGGTGCCGTTTTGGATACCGAGACTGGGTTTGCAATGGCTCAAATCGTCTACGACTCCCTCGGAAAGAGATGGGCAGTTGCCATGATGTCATTGATGGCTTTCTGCCAGTGGTTGATGGGAGCCTCCATTTTGGCTGCTCTCTCCAGACAAGTCTGGGCTTTTGCCAGAGATGATGGTCTTCCATTCTGCTCGTTTGTCAAAGTTGTCAACAAAAAGCTTAGAGTGCCTATCAGGGCCGTCTGGTTTGGTGGTATCTTGGCTCTGATAATTGGCTGTCTTACATTCGCAGGTTCGACCGCTGCAAGTGCGCTTTTCTCCCTCGCTGTCTCCGGTAACTATCTTGCTTGGGGTACTCCTATTTTTCTGAGATTGACTTCTGGAAAGTCCAGATTCAGACCAGGTCCATTCTACTTGGGAAAGATCAGTGAAGCTGTTAACTGGGTTGTCTGCTTGTGGATTGTTTTTATCATCATCCTGTGTATGTTCCCAACCGGCACGACCGTTGATGAGACCACCATGAACTATACTGTTGTTATCTCGTGTGGTACTTGGTTGTTGTCGATTCTGTACTTCTATGTCTACAAGTACAAGAACTACCATGGTCCTGCCTCCAACTTGGCAGATCCTGCCGAAGAGGCAGTTGAGAGTGTTGACAACTCCTACGAAGTTACTGAAAAGGTATAGCTAGTTAGAGAGGCTGCAATTCTTTTAAGCATTTTTTCAATTTTTAAGAACTGTTACAAGTTCAGATTACATTCGCTCATCGTCACGTTTGTCTAAACAGCATTATTTGTTAGCATCTGTGTAGTTCACTGGGAATGATCCTGCCTGCCCAGTCGTTAAGTTGCGGCCGTTCCACCAGCCTTTTCCTGTTTTTTCTGTTATCTCAATCTCGTCGCCAGCATTAAACTTCAGGTCATTGATCTGAACCCCTTCAAAGTCATACATAGCAATGCAAGTCTCTTTTGGGGTGAGTCTTTCGCTATCAGCATAGATTCTCTCAACATCCATCGTGATTTTGTCGAGCAAAAGCTGATGAAAATGGCAGATTGAAATATCTTTTGTGGAAGCAGCTATATTGTCGTGGCTATTGTGAAATGTTCTGACAATTTCCGCAAACTCGAGTGAATTCGCCGAGAATTTGAAAACGTTATTGATTGTCTGCATCGTTTCCTTGAGCTGATAAAACAGGTATGCGTTTGCATAGTAGATCATCGTGAAGATATGCGTCATGAATCTTTGCACTATACGCATGAAAAGGGGAAGCTCATTTCTCAGCGAATAGTTGTAGTTATCCAGAGTCTTTCTGCAATCTTCCATGCGTACTCTGAGGTCCATTTCTTTCTGTTTGCTCTTTATCGTATCTTCGTTTCTGGCGAGTAGCTTTTGGTACGATTCGTCGTAGAGCCTGCATTCAATCAAAGCATCGTTCTGCCTTTTTATAAACTTGGATACAGCCTCAAATTCTTTCAACAATGCTTTAAGAGGAGCTATGATCCTTGCAGCTGAAACTGACGTGACTTCCTTGACTTCAACTACAAGGCTTGACAACAACTCAGTATAGACATCTGTCTTCTTGTTGACAGTTGACTCATTTTTCAATAGATTCAAAACCTTTGGGTCCATTACTCTTGAAGTATCTGCGTGGTTCTGGCCTCCAGCTTTTGGCCCCAAGATAGTCTGTACGCTCAACCCAATGCCCACGCTGCATTCCAGCATCTTGACGAAGCAACCGTTGAATTTTACAATTGAGGCTTCTAACTGGCTTACTGCAGCAAACATGGCCTTGAACTCTGATTTCAGTTCTTGTTGCTCGGGATCTTCGTCAGTGTTACCATAATATGTCTTGTTTCTTAAAACTAGTGGGATCTTTCACATCATTAGTAGTGGCTCAATAACTGAAGATGTGTGGTATTATATTACTCTTGATATGTTGTTTTTGATATCTGTCCAATCGACGTTATGGATTCCTCTGGTAACTCCCATGTCTCAAGTAGATTTCACGCAGTGTGTGAAGCGCCAGTTTAAACTTTGTATTCAACTTGGTCTGGCGCCGCACTCGTGAAGCCGCAGCTTATCTATATAGGAGTGCGCCACCCAACTAGTTTTGACTTTGTCTTTCTTGAAGTTACACAGACTTTGTCGTGCTCTCTTCTCTGCTGAGTATCTCCACAATAATGGCTAGTTCCTTGGATTCGCCCAAATTTAAAAGGCGGAAGCGTCCGCAAGGCGAATCTGGGTGGTCTGACGAAAGTGAATCGGAGCAGGAGCTGGTCACGGAGGACAGACACATTGAGTCCAGTGGCTCGGATAATGTGCCCCAGATCCCAAAGACTGTTCCACATCAAGATGAAGAAATCCAGGAATTTCAATCTGAGGAAAATGTTGCACATCTCAGGAAACTTGCAAGACAGCGATATTTGTCTCAGCGAGAGCAAAAACAGGTCCTGTTACTGGAGAAAGTTGTTGCTGATTATGAAAAAGACATCGAGGAAGTAGGCTGGGAAGGTTTGACAAAAAAAGAGCAGAAAGAAATTACTCTCCAGCGGGAGCTTTTGCAAATGTTTCGCGATCGTGAGCAGCTTGGTCAAGAGACTGGATATCAGTTACCATCAGATTATGTGACTGAGAGCGGCAAAATTGATAGGAAGCGAAAGGAAGAAGCCTTACATGCATCCTTCAAGGATGATGGAAATCGCGATTTGGATTGGGAATCGGAGCAGGTAGCTAAGGCACGAAAGCTGGTGGCAACCTCGCGCATGTCTGAAGATCAGTTTGAGTTTGTCTTCGATAAGTCACAGATGGTCAACTTCGTTGTGGATAAGGAGCTCGAAGATGAACTGGAGAAAATCAAGCAAAAAGAAGCATTTGAGAAGCAGATCAAAGACGAGGAAGCCAAAATCAAAAGTATAGATGAAGTTCGCAAATCTCTGCCCGTGTATGAGTACAGAGATTCTCTTCTCAAAGCCATTGAAGAGTATCCAGTTCTGATCATTGTGGGTGAAACAGGCTCAGGTAAGACCACACAACTGCCTCAATTCTTGTTCGAGGCAGGTTATACGAGTGATGGGAAAAAGGTTGGCTGTACTCAGCCAAGAAGAGTTGCAGCCATGTCGGTTGCAGCTCGTGTGGCAGAAGAAGTTGGGTGTCGACTCGGTGATAAAGTTGGATACACTATCCGTTTTGAGGACAAAACCTCCGAGAAAACGGTTATCAAGTATATGACTGATGGTATGTTGCTAAGAGAATTTCTTACAGATCCAGAACTTTCAGGTTATTCGGCCATGATGATTGATGAGGCTCACGAAAGAACTCTATCGACCGATATTCTCTTTGGACTCTTGAAAGACATTTCGAAGTATAGACCCGACTTCAAACTTTTGATCTCATCGGCTACCATGAACGCAAGAAAGTTTAGTGATTTCTTTGGCGGTGCTCCAATATTCGACATTCCAGGAAGACGATTTCCTGTTGATATTCACTACACTGCCCAGCCGGAAGCAAACTATCTTCATGCGGCAATTACAACTGTGTTTCAGATACACACAACCCAGGGTGAAGGAGACATTCTGGTGTTCCTGACAGGTCAGGATGAAATTGAAACCATGGCCGAAAATTTGACGGAGACATGTCGGAAGCTGGGGTCTCGTGTAATGGAAATGATTGTTTGTCCTATATATGCTAACCTTCCCTCAGAGCTGCAACAGAAGATTTTCGAGCCTACCCCTCCGAAGGCTCGGAAAGTCGTTTTGGCGACAAATATCGCGGAGACCTCTATCACCATTGATGGAATCTCTTTTGTCATTGATCCTGGGTTCGTGAAAGAAAATGTGTTCAATCCAACAACCGGAATGGAGAGCCTGGTGGTCACTCCGTGCTCAAGGGCATCGGCTGATCAAAGAGCAGGAAGAGCAGGAAGAGTGGGGCCTGGCAAATGCTTCAGACTATATACAAAATGGGCTTATACCAATGAGCTGCCGCCAAACCCTACACCTGAGATTTTGCGCACTAATCTTGCTAGTGTCGTGCTTCTGTTGTTCTCTCTGGGTATCACAGATCTCATTCATTTTGAGTTCATGGATCCTCCCTCGTCTGATACGTTAATCAAAGCCATAGAGTTGCTTTATGCTTTGGGTGGGCTTAATGATAAGGGTGAATTGACAAAGATCGGTCGCCAAATGGCTGAGTTTCCAACAGATCCGATGCTTGCAAAAGTCTTACTGTCCAGCGTGAAGTTTAAGTGTCTAAAAGAGGTTTTGTCGATTGTATCGATGCTGGGTGAGTCCGGGTCTCTATTCTACAGACCGAAAGATAAGAAAGTATACGCTGATAAGGCCCACGAGTCCTTCGCTAATCCTGCTGGAGATCATCTGACACTGCTCGAGATATGGAATCAGTGGGTAGAGACTGAGTACTCCTATCAGTGGTGTCGAGACAACTTCCTGCAAAGCAAGACACTTAATCGGGTCAGAAACATTAGAGACCAATTGGAGCGACTTTGCAACAAAGTTGAGACCTTTGTGGACTCTGATGCTCACTCGGATACAGCGATTGATCCATTTGTTCTTCAGACGAATATCAGAAAGGCAATCACCTCTGGATATTTCCCCAATGCAGCAAGACTGTCAAAAACAGGAGACAACTTCCGTTCTATCAAGAAGAACCAAACGATTTTCGTACATCCTTCTTCAGTCATATTCTCCCAAAAGCCTCCTCCAAAGCTTGTTCTGTACCATGAACTTGTTTTGACAAGTAAAGAATATATGAGGAATTGTCTGGTGATCGAAGAAGCATGGCTGAAAGAGCTTGCACCTCATTTCTTCAGAGGTGATGAATTGGAGCAAGATCAAAGGAAAAGAATGCCCATACGTAAGTAGGATGCGCCTCAATCATGACTTATAGATTAAATATGCTGAAAAATGCAAAAACATAATTATAAGAAAGATATCATTAATGACAATAATAATAAAAGACATTCAAAACATAATGAATTAGCTCCTAAATTTTGCTATAAGACTGATTTGCGAAATCTCTTAGCAAGGTCACTTTTCTCGAAGTTTTCAGAATTTTCCCAAATCACCGAATTCCCCAAAATCCCCAAAAAGCGCACTTAATCCTTTTTTCCTACTCTATTTTAACTCATTGAATTGTCCTTTAATATTCAATTATACCTTTTCAATGCCTCTCTAAATTCTTCAACAAGTGTTTCATTCTCCTTCTCCGTGCCCACGGTGACTCTCAGACAACCTGTGCAGCCAAGTTCCTTGCCTCTGAACCTCACAACGACATTGCGCTTTGTAGCCAAATAATTATAGACATTATTAGCAACTTCATTATCGGGGTTCCCTTCCTTATTCAGCACCTCAATGAGCAAGAAATTAGCATCCAAGCCACCTCTGTTCTTTCCGATACCTTTGAGTTCCAACAGGTTCTTCAGTAGGATACCACGCTGTTCCACAATAGTGCTACAGGTCTCCCTCATTTTTGCCAAAGCTTCTGGAGTTGTAGCCCTCAAAGCAACGTCAGAGGTCAAGTTGGAGATGTTGTAAGGATATTTCATAGAGTTGAGTAGGAGTGACACCTCCGGAGTCGAATATGTGATACCCAGCCTAATACCAGCAAGACCAAATGACTTTGAAAGGGTCTGAAGAACAACTAAACGTGGAAACTTGTTAACGAATGGTGCCAAGGAGGATCCGATAGGGGAAAAGTCCACATAAGCTTCATCGGCAATCACCAAACCATGCCAGGTATTTTGCTCGAGCTCTTCCAGCAACTGCACAAAAAGCGTCAAATCAATCTGAGCAGCAGTAGGGTTTCCTGGACTAGTGAGATATATCAACTTGATTGAGGGATCATTCAAAACCGAGCTCAAAATCATCTCTTTGTCAATCTGGAAGTCATCGAGCTTCAAAGGAATCTTCACGAGCTCAACGTCATTCACCTGTGCGCAGATCCCATACATGCCATAAGTAGGAGGGCAAACGAGTAGCCTCTCCTTACCTGGCTGGCAAAAACAACGAAGCAAGGCATCAATTGACTCATCTGAACCGACACCAAGACACAGATTTTCGGGCGTTAGCTTCTTTTCGACTCCTTCAACCAACGGAACTGGCACAATAGCCCCCTTAGTCGCAGCCTCAGAATTTCTAAAATCACATATCTTCTGTTTCAGCTCGATCTGGTGAGGATCAGGATATCTGTTCAACTCTAAGCTCTCTTCTCTAGCGGAAAGAGCGGCGGAGGGACCATGGGTATTCTCATTAGCGTCCAGAAGCAGTCCTACCTTGAAGTCGTCCCTAGCACAGCGATATGGCTCCAAGCCCAAGATATTACGTCTTGCAATCTTGGATATGTCAAAGGTCATATTCAGTACTGGTTTCAGAAAGTTGAAGAAAGGAATTTGGAACGAGACTGTAATTATATTGGTTTGACCCAGAAGAGTTGACTCATTGACTGCCAATTTTCACTGTGCCATCAGAGGCATGAATTACTGAGAGAGAACAGATAAGGTCTGAAAAAATGCCGAACGGCTAATTCACCTGGTTATTCAAAAGATGATAAAAAAGGTGTAAACACTTTTAATACAGGGTAAACTAATCTTTAACATCACAAAGACTAGACTTCACCATAGGGTCTGAAATCCCATGAATTTGACTTCGTCCATATATGTTCCTCATCTGCCGCACCATCCACCTTAGACTTCTTGGCCTTGCCGAAATCGACATTATCAGTTGATCTTTTTCTATCGCCTCCAAAAGATATTTGGTCAATGCTTTTATTCATCTTCTCGAATTTGGTTGCCTGAATCAGCAGGCTCACTTTCTTCAGTAGTTTTTCGTCATCTTGTACCTTGGTCTTCAAACCTTCAAGAAGAAGAAGCCTATTATCGATGGATACATCTTCTATGTGGTCTAACAGACTCCCAACTTCGCCAATATCAGTTGCAACATCAGCGATCATCCTTTGTATCCATTTTTGCTGTTGATTTGCCTCATTACTTCCATTGGTGGATAGTATTTCCACAGTCGAGATGTACCTTAAAACCGTTGAGGTTGCTTTGAGATAACTGATGATGGGGTTGTAAAACCTGAGGAGTCCATCTATTTTGCCCTCGCTCAAGAAATCACCAACAATGAATATTCTGTCAAAAAACATAGTCTCCAGAAAGAGGGTTTGATTCTGATCATAAAGGATTTTTAGGTTCTTCAATGAGTCCCAGTATTGCTTTCCCGAAACGCTAGAATCACCCGGCTTGAACATCTTTTTCACGTCTTCTCTTCGTATCTTGCTGTAGGCTTTGACTTCCTTTTTAATTGTTTTCACGTATTCCAGCTCGTTATCTGTCAGTTGTTTTAGCGTGGCTTCTGTTTCGTTCTCTGTGTTTTCCAATGCCAAATCCCAGTAGTTTGCCTGTAACCATTTCAAAGCATTTTGACAGGTAATGCGAAGCATGGACAAACTAGGCAACGCCTCGTGTGTACCAGCATGTCTTAGTTCCACAAAGTATGAGGGAAGCCCAAGTACTTGTGCCAACTTGTGTAAGGGTATTGTGAATCTCGCTCTCTGATAGGGGTCCAACAACCCATTCACAAACTTGATGATAGACATTGTGTAGGAGAGTTGGATTGGAGTCGGGTCAGTTAGTATACCTTTAATAAACATTTCGTCCAGAAGGACAGAGGATGTCAGGCTTGAGGTAGATTCTATCGAATGCGGCACATTTCCTCTTGTGAGGTAAGCCTGAACTCTTTGTATAGCCCTCTGCCTGAGGTCTTCAGGCTCTGTTGAAAAGAACCACTGTTTCAAGACTCTGAGATCTTGAAGAGATTTGTAAGGAGTAAACTGAGGATTCGCCATCAGCCAAAGCCTTTGGTTCTTGTTATGATATATAGAGATAGAAAGAATACATGCCTGGAGACCATCTGGCCCAGCTCATCTCCATGCCACTATAAATATTTCATCTGCACTTACACGCACCTCAAATCCTTAGCGAGACATACCTTCAAGAATGGGGCTTTATCTCTCTACCATAAATTTAAATCTTTTGCTTTTGGAACTACTTTATTGAAACGAACGACGTATAATAGGCTTATCGGCATAGGGAAAAACACAGCCAAGGATAAGCCGAGGATGGAAGCGCAGGCTCTGGACAACATCTCTAGCCGATGGTGTACACAATCAATCCAGAAGAAACAGCAGCCAACCCAGAAAACCAAACGAAAAGATGAAGAATTAAAAAATCGTGAAAATGAATTACCGAATGAGCCAAAATACCAAATCTAAACGTAAACGCTGGACGAGTCAACTTGCATTGAATGATGGAGGAACTCTTGATCTTCAACGGGTGGATGATAACCTTTCCCTTGAAAGTAAGGATGCAGCAAAGCTCTTTTGGCCGAGATTCTAGATGCTGGGTCATAGACGAGCAGATTCTTTAGGAGATCAACACCTTCGTTGTCCAAAGTAGGGGTCAAGTCCTCCAGTCTTGTTGGTTTCCACCTGGGGAATGATGGCTTGTAGTCCGGAAGATAGTTTATTTCAGGCCATACAGCCTCGGTAGGAGTACCGAGGACTCTGAAGATCCTGAAAATCTGATCGATTTCAGAGTCACCAGGGAAAATAGCCTTTCTAACCACCATTTCCCCAAAAATGCACCCTACAGACCACATATCAACACCCGTAGAGTACTGCTTTCCACCCAACAGAATCTCGGGGGCTCTGTACCAAAGGGTGACAACTTCGTGGGTATATGCTCTGAGCGGAACACCAAATGCACGCGCCAAACCGAAATCTGCCAGTTTCAAGTTACCTTCCTTGTCAATAAGCAGGTTTTGAGGCTTTAAGTCCCTGTGCAAAATTCTATGGGCGTGGCAGTAGTAGAGTCCACGGATCATCTGCAGCATGAAGCGTTTAACCATGTCACCGCCCAAACCTTCTTCGCCCTGTATTTTTTCCATGTATTTTTTGAGATCTAGATCCAGAAACTCAAACACAAGATACAACTTGTGGGAGTCCAAGTGGACAATGTCGTAGAGTCTGACGATGTTGTCATCTCTAAGCTCTTTCAGCAGAGAGATCTCCCTAATCGCAGTAGACGGAACACCTTCGTCCTCAGATTCCAGACGGATCTTCTTCAAGGCAACAATACGGTTGTTGTTCTTGGTGTCTAGAGCCTTATAGACCACACCGTAAGTTCCTGTGAGAAATTAGGATCGTTGTCCGGCACTTGATAGGAAGGGGCACGCCCAGGAAATCTTCAAACACTAACTTACCTTCTCCGACCTTTTCCAGCCTTTGAAAATCATTGATATCAACCATGGTGCCGGTTTACTAAGAATTTTTCAAAACTAAACTGTTTCTTGAGGAAAACAGTGCCCGTGAACGCGTCTTACAATGTACTCACAGTAGCTATTCCACGAAGGTCTTAAGATCCAATCGACAACAACACTGATTTACGTGCATCTACCGTCCGCATCGGGAAATACCCTTTAAATCCCGTCCAAATGTAGCAATGACGGAAATGTTACGTATATTTTTGAGCTATATTTCAGTATTGAACCATAAATATTTATTCTTTCTTCTGGTTTCTGGCAGCCTTCTTCAAGGCTCTGATTCTGATAGATTTGTGCATGTTCAGATTCAAGGTGTTGGCAACTTTACTGTAGACCCCGACCGTGTTCTCAATCCACCAGTGCATCAAGGCGTGAATTGGGTACGGAGTGGAAGTAGCATATCTCTCCTGGGCACCACATCTGCGTCCTACATTCTTCAGCACCGATGCAACAAACACCTTGGGAGTAGGAATAGACAGAGATGAGCGTCTAATTTTCGACATGGCAGATGTGACGAGGTATGAGATAACCAGTTCAACGTCTACTTTGGACGATTTGAGCTCACCGGCCAAAGCGTTGGACCAACTTTGCAAGAAAGCCTTTGAACCCGAATAGGTAGCAAGATATGGTGTTGGAAGTAAACCACCAAAGGAGCCCATAGTCAGTACCAATCCTCTGGACGAGGCCTTGGTTTTGACAGAGTTCACAATGGTTGGAACCACGGCTTGGGTGATCTTCAAGGTTACCAGGTTGTTGATGGTCACGATGTCTGTTAATTCCTTCTCTTCAGTCTCCAAGAATGGAACTGGAATTGAGTGCGATTGGCCAACGTTGTTGATCAAGACACTCACAGGCAATCCCTCAATGGCTTTCCCAATAGCGATATAGTTGGAAGGGGAGTCCACGGAGGCATCGAAAGCCACCACCTTGGTTTGAACTTTATACTGAGCTTCCAGTTCAGTTGCCAGGGATTCAAGTTTGGATTGAGTACGAGAAACAAGAACAATGTTTAGACCTTTTTTCGCCAATTGCTTGGCATACTCTTTTCCGATACCGTCAGATGCCCCTGTGATCAATGCCCAACATCCTTTTTTGGAACCGTATTTTTTGAACTAAAGGCCCACGGTTAGTATCAATTACTGTGAAAATTAGCCCTTGAAATCAAATGCACGCCAGAAACTTACATCAACAGCTGGCAACAGGAATAGATCAAACAGTAGAGCCAAGTAGCTGAGGGTGGTAGTAGTGAGCTTGCACGCACCAACAACCAAACTGGCACCAACTAGAACCTTCAATGGAGTAGAATCAATATCAGATAAGATAGACGTCATTTTAGATGGGATTGTTCAACTTCAATGCTATGGAGATAAGGGAATGTAAAGAAGTATGTATGTTAAGAACTGGCCAGTTAAAGGTAGTTGGCCCAACCAATTTTCAGATCTGCAATTTCCATAAGCGTTATGTCCAAGCTTAAGTATGTACAACTACCGACTTTAACAACTGCAGAGAATACTTGCAACCGAAACATAAAAAGATTAGAATAAACACTCTGGACCCACTATAATACAAATAATCGCCTATTTCTTTGCTTTTTCAAAGATAATTCAACGCCTCAAGCTTCTCCTGCGTGAGTTGAGCCCTGAGACCCTCAACATGACACTGCCTTTTGCTCGCCTCTAGTTTCTGCTCAATCTCGTCCTTCTTCTTTAGCAGCTTCAAAAGCTGCTCGGTTTTCAAATCACACTCCGTCAGCGCGTCGTTGAGCTTCTTTTTGGCATCATCAGGCAGAACGTCTAATCTTACTACCCAGTGATGGAACTCAACCTTAGGCTCCTCCTTTGGCTCTGCTTTTTCAAGAACAGAACCTGGACCTCCATTGAAGGAATGTGGAGATGCTCTGCTATCGCTAGCTCTATGGTGGTTACTGCTTTCCTCGCGATATGACCTTGGGCTCCTGTAGTTTGAGTGCTGTTCGTTTCTCCAGGAAGAGTTGTAACTGTCACGATTGTCACGAGCATCGCGATTTTCACTTTGGTATCCTGGACCTGATCTGTAGCCCCCGTTTCGATACGATGGACCACGCGGGGCTGGATTGCCCTGGCGGTAATCATCCTGATAATCATCGTAACCACGATCTCCGCGATCACCACGATCGTCATCATATCGTCCACGGTAACCTCCACCCCTCTGTCTATCAGATCCTCTCCAATAGCCGCCTCTACCTCTTGAAGAGTAATGTGAGTCGTATCCACCTCTTTCTCCTCGACTGTCTTGGTACCTGCCTCTGTAACTTTGGCCACTCATCTTCTGCGGTATGTCCGTGAAAACCAACTATAAATGGCAGAGTATTTCTACGACAGTCCACAATACCTGCTATACTTCAGTAAATGATGAAAGTTAGAAAGACTGCACCCACGTGATAAAACAAAACAATGCTTCGTTCGCCAGCTGAGATAAGCTCCTCCACCCACTCAAGATATTCTCTAAATTTTGATTGTTGGTACACGACCCAGACCTCTGACTCTTGTTGGGTGGGTGACGAAACGAAGGCTTCAATTCATCATGATTGCACTTCAACCAGTCACTTTAATTCGCGAAAAAATTGCATAGAATTTGAAGATGCTTGGCATTAATGGTAAAAGACTTGCTGTTGTCGCATTGAGGAGACTGAACTCTACTCTAGCGTTCATAGAGACCTCGGGTTCTACCATAACTCCTGCCTCGTTCGCAACTCTGACAGCTGCGAAGCAGATTGGAAACCCCATAACCGCCCTTGTCGTGGGATCCAAAGCTGCCGAGGCAGCCACAAGCCTGAAACAGGTCTCGGCCCTCTCCAAAATCTTGGTTACTGCTGATGGTAGATTTGACCATCTGCTCCCAGAAGATCTATCTGCATTGGTGGTAGACATCGTTCAGAAGGATTCTGATATCACGCACGTTTTGACTCCAGCTTCTGCCGTTGGAAAGAACTTTTTGCCACGTGTTGGTGCCTTGTTGGACTTGCAACCCATCTCTGATATCACCAAGGTTGAATCCAAGGACACTTTCGTCAGACCGATATATGCCGGTAACGCTTTGGCCACGGTGAAGTCCAAAGACAAGGTGATTCTTGTTTCTATTAGAGGGTCTTCATTTGCCCCAGTTGAGCTTAGTGATGCCCAAGAGGTTGAAGTTGTCTCTGTTAAAGCCCCAGAGGCTGGCAACAAAGCCGAATTTGTTAGTGAAGAACTAATTACATCAGAGAGACCAGATTTGGGATCTGCTGCAAGAGTTGTTTCTGGAGGTCGTGGTTTGAAGTCTAAGGAGCAATTTGCAGAGTTGATTGAGCCTCTGGCTTCCTCCTTGAATGCTGCAATTGGTGCCTCAAGAGCTGCCGTTGACTCTGGGTTTTGCGACAACTCATTGCAGGTAGGTCAGACTGGTAAAGTGGTTGCTCCAGAGTTGTATGTGGCCGTTGGAATTTCCGGTGCAATCCAGCACCTTGCTGGTATGAAGGACTCCAAAACTATCGTCGCTATCAACAAGGATGAGGAAGCCCCAATTTTCAGCGTTGCGGATGTCGGATTGGTGGGTGACTTGTTTGAGGTTGTCCCTGAGCTCACTAAGAAGATTGAAGATTCGAAATAATCCGGTGATGTGTAAATGTATAGAAGAATGCTTAAGAAACCATGAATTTAGATGAATATAAGATCTCAAAGTATTATGTGCCCCACAGCGTATTTTACTCCGTGAACGAACAAAAGTGTGCCCTACCACAAAATTTGGTGTTGTGGGAATTCTAACCAACTCCCTCCTTCTTCTCTTCAGCTTATTCTAAGTCAGGAATTTATTGAAAACAAACAAAAAACCCTCTCAGAAGTACGGAAATTTCTACATCATTTTCATAAGACACTCCTCCGATCTTTGATTATTAACTATTCAGTGGACTCATCTTCCTTGCACACCCCAAAGGTTGTCCTCAAAGAAACAGAAGAACAGACATGGGTTGCCAATAGAGTAGCCACTAGACCTGCTTTGGCTGCGGTGACTGGTTTGCTGGCATCGTTCCCTGTCGTGAAGGTGTTTGCTTCAAACGCTGTTCCGTTGTTGATGTGGAGAGAGGAGAGACAGGCAGCGGCACAGGCGGCCAAGCTTGCGGCTAAGTAACGCGTCCTCCGTTCAGGTATGAGGCGATCAGAGTACTCAAACGCTCGTTGTTGGATGATGGACTCATACATTGGCCAGTTCAGTCTTGCACTGCAATCTCATTAATCTCAAGTCCATTGCTGAAATCTGAAATCTATCCAGTGTAGTCTCATATCCGAAACCTATCAGAAAGCGTGAATCCAGCATCTTCCTCGCCAAGACCAAAGTCATAAGTGACAGTTTGAGTTTCACGAATTCCAGTTTTGGAGTGTACAGTAGTTGTTTCCTTAGGATTTGAATCCTCGTCGAAATCAGAAACCTCCTCCGAGGTATCGCTGGCACACACTTCCACGTGTCTGGAAAAGCTCTCGCTTGCATTATTCGGAGTTTGCTCAATCGCAGAGTCAGGAATTGCAGCGCACTCGCTTTTGGAGCTTTCTGGAGATCCTAGTTCCTTATCCATAGGAGGGGGTGGAGGTGGAACCTCTATGATCTCGGGAGTATTCCGTCTGATTCGAGGTGTTAGACCAGCCTTTTTTCTCAACTTAACTTTCGACGTGCTAGGTGAGATCAGACAAAGCTTCTTGACAGCCTCCCGGCTCTTCTCTGGGGCAACTCTCGTGGTTTTCATTGTAGAAGGAGTGAGTAACTGAGGCGTATGTATTCTTGCAGGAGGCTTCAAGGCTGCCTTTACAGCCCCCTTATTTGGCTCGACTGATTGGAGAGTTCGTATCTTCTCGGTGGATTGCTGACCAGATGTTGGTGTCGGCGTCGGTGTCGGTGTGGATTGATGTCGTATTCTTGTAAGACCCACCATTCGCCTCGGTGTAGAATGGAGTTGACTGGGAGGATATATCGTGCTTAATGGAGACCTTTCGCTCTTCATAGTAGCAATAGATGGTTCATTCATATATTTGATCTTCTTTGCGGGAATGGTTTGCTCATCAGTAGGCTTACCGTTGGCAACTTTTGTGTTGTACAACGTGGATATGTCTCGCTCATAGTCTCCTGTAGACTCAACAATTTGCACGGTCATTCCAGCCAATGCAATCTCGTCTCCCTCGTTGTAAAGCTGAAACTTTTTGCTGAAATCTGTGTTCACCACATGGCCATTCTCCGAGTACACAATTATCTTTCTGTTGAACTCAAAGAACCGTAGTTTACCGTCATGCCACTTCTTGAGCTTCTTCACCACATCAGTTGTATATAGAATAATATACTCAGAGAATCTGGAATGCTCCAGGGGATTATTCTCGCCATCAAGCGGCATTGTACTTATCGGATGATTGCAAAGTAGTTGGGCTAAAAAACGCGTCTGAGGTACTGCTGGTGTGTTTTTGGATCGCGTCCATTTCGGGTAATCTTGAGCCGCAGCTGAAGATACTTTGTGCTGCAAGTTTACTGCAAGAAATTACTCGAAAATGTTGTTATTAAAATTATTCACTCATTACATTACTTTGTCTACTGTTCAATGTGTCTAATTCCTGTCTCACAAATGCCTTATCATCCTTTGCCAGCAAAACTTTGAGGATGCGGTCGCAAGCTTCTCTGACTTTTATGGTCTCAGTTTGTTTGAGCTGTTTCAAGGCGTCAGCATCACGTTGTCTGATACTCCGAGAACCCATCCTCATAGAGGCTCGTCTGGAGAGGTTTCTTGAAACAACGGAAACTGGCTTTCCTGAAAGCGACTTTTGCTTGGAGATGTACAGATGTCTAAGCTCCTCAATGGGAAGTTCGTACCACCCTAAGATCTCATCAAACACTTTCATGTCCTCTGAGCTTGAGTCAGAGACACCATATATAATCCCTTTCAATTGTGCCATCCATGAAATTAGTAAATTGGGGTCCAGGATGGCCTTCCGAGGCCCAAAACCTCCGAATACCATGAAACGGTCGATCAGGTTGTCCACAGCCGTTGTATCTGGGTCGTCGCGAATCTCGTCAAATGATGGCAGAAGCAGCGCTAAGCTTGCCCCATATAAAGAGTTCCAGGATTTGTCCTTGACATCTTCGAAGGAGTCGCTTGTCAGGGTATTTGATAGCACCATCAAATTCTGATCGAGGTACTCAAAAACAGAGAAAGTGGACTCATCATCAAGTTGACGAGATAACATGAGATCTAGAGCAGGGGCACACAACTTGAGGGCAAAAAGAGATAATGCAATCTCTCTATCTCTCAAAAGAATACGACGAGCTCTTCCCATGAAAAAAACTGGGTTTTCCTTTCTATCTTCTAGGAACACTTCAATGTGGAGTTTGGCCTTGGAATTGCGGTCCTGAACCGTGGACTTCACCGGAACACCCCTCTGTTTTATTCTCAAGAGATCTGGGATGTATTTGGAGTCCATGTACAATTTCTTCCCCCCTCTTACTTCCACATAAAAAGGTTCTCTAGGATTCGTTATTTCGAATTCCAGTTCCTCTGCCCAACGCGGACTAGCACAAAGGGGCACTGATCTCGTTTTTAACTTCTTGTCAGCAACAGAAACGGCTGCAAACACATTGGATGACTCTGTCACGGGTACTACCAGATCCGCTTGCAATATACTCACAGTCAGATTCATCCTATTGCCTCTTACCCTCTTTCTTGCAGTTTTTTCATGTCTCTCCAATATATCAGACAATAAGTCCAAATCAGCTCCCTCCTCTATGGCGTTTAGCTCTTTCAACACTGTGTTCAAGTTGTTCAGGGCCACGCAACTTTCTTGCTCGAAAACAACTTTTGACATTAGACGAACGGTCTGAGCAGAGCTCTGGAGGTTTTGCTGGATCTTGTTAAGCAGCTTGTTAGAATACAAGATGATCGCTTCCGCAATTCCTTCGTATGCCATAGCAGACACTTTGGCTTTGAGTAGCGCATCATCTCCTCGCCAAAGCGCAAGATCGCGATGTGCTTTACAAAGGTCAAAAATGTCGATAACAATACTGCTAAACCGAATCTCATCTGATTGTCTTGTGAAAGTATCGTTGTCTCCGAATTTGGTGATATGTTTCAAGAGTCCCTCGTTCAAGTCTTTTATGAGAGACGCTGCAAACGCAAAAAACACCTTTTCGTCCGCGCTATAATCCTTGAAACCAGCAAATAACTTCAAGGCAGAATAATTCATGACAATCGAATTCAGCTCTCGTATATCATGCGGCGATTCCTTGGACCCCAAGCAATCCTGGGCCAACGACGATGCTATTTTGTAGGATTCTTCCGCAAAAAACTTGCTTATATTGAACCCGGGCTGTATCTCATGCCTGCAAGTTCGTCTTGCAATTGAGAATGTTTCAGTTACTTTGCGTAGATACGAATCTAATCGCAAGAAGCCAGTGTATTCTTTGGGGATTGATTCATATGATTGTTTTGCAGACAAAGTAATGCAGTGACGCAGTCGCTCCGGCAAGTCATTCGATCTGTCAGTGAACAGAGGGTCACGCAGTATGTTTGATTGGACGAAAATCACAAGTGGATCAAACAGCTTGTGCCTTTCATGCAACGTCTTGGTCATGCTCTGCAATTTCTCAAGACTCAACACATAAAATGCGTTCAAAAGCTTTCTCCAGCTATTTTGGTGAGCAGAAGGCCAGTTTTCGAGATCGTTGTAGTACTTTCTCTCGAAAGCAAGCTGCTCAGATACAGTAAACACCTGGAGCAATGCAACTTCTTCTATCCGTTCAACTCCAACATGATAAGCAGAGGTCAAGAACTGAAGAGACTCCGAGAATGGGTCAATCAACCACAAAATACTGCACTCGTTTATTAATTTGCGTATTTCTTCATCGAGCGGCTTGCTGTTTTCTATGCAATAATTAACGCATCGCTTACACAACTCGGCGAGAGTTGCGTAAGGTTTTGTGGGGAAGGCCTGTTTGCCATTTCCTCGTATTCCCTTTCTAGGAAGTCCTTCCTTAATTTTTAACCTCTCCTGCTGGTCCTTGGAAAGCCACTTTCGATATGCCTTCTCGTTAGGGAAACTATCTGCAGAGAACGGCAATATGGCCGTGTCAAACACTTCATAATAGACCGCACCAACTGATTCGCTTTTGTGTTTCGCCACTTTGGCGTCAAGCCAATCAGAATCCTTGCCAAATACAGCTAAGAAAGTTCCCACCAGGGGCAATTTTGCAGGTTCAACCGTATCCTGTGGAACGATCAAGCTGTCTCTGATCTTTGCAAATGTCGAAGAAAGTTCCAGATCAGGACGACATTCGCTCAAAATGAAATTAATAAACTCTCGTGTGGTAGACGCAACTTCGAGGTTTCTTTTGGCAGCCACTTGCGAGAATAAACCAACCAAAGTCTGTGGGGAGTCCAATATCTGAGGCATCGTGGAGTACGCCGACAGGAACGCGAGGAAACATTCTTTGGTGGGTTTCGGTATAGTAGTGGTGATCTCATTTCTAGCAACCATCTTCAAGCAATTGATAAGTCTCGCGTAAAAATCGCCAAAAGTCTCTCCCCTTCGTATTTTCAAAGAGTATTTTTTCTGATGTCCTGATGAGTTAGATGAAGCAGTTGATTCACGTGTGAGTGGAGGTAAGCTGGGATCACTGGGTTCAACACTATGTGACATTCTGTAGAGAACTATAAGCACTCGTAAAACATCAATTGCGACATCCGTCTCAGGATTTTTACCTTCCATTGTGGAGGTTGTTTTGTTAAGAAATGAAGGAATGGTTAGTAGAAAGGGTAAGTTTCCAGTACGCTCCTCATCTGCTATCTAGCACAGCCCGAAATTACGTTTGGGACATCAATGTAAGGGCCATTGCGTACATATAATTGAAAAGTTTCACTATTTAAACTCTGACTTAACGATAGCTTCACCAGTGGGATTTTTCATATCAGCTTCAATTTGCTCGGCTATGTGTTCTCCAAAATTTTCGTCTTCTTCTTCTTCTTCTTCTTCTTCTTGATCTTGATCTTCATCGTCGTCGTCGTCTTCATCAATAGCTTCCTCCTGTTCATCCTCATCAGAGACCCGCTCTCCATCTTCCTCCAATGGAATCAAATAATCCCCCATCTTCTTAGCAATGAAGAACATGTCAAATCTTTCCTTGAATACCTTCGCTAGTTTGGAGTCTGCTATTATTTCTCTGCGGTTGGCTGGATTCTGTAGGTTCTTATCCTTGATGTACCTCCACACTTCTTTCGTTATCTCAAAACGGTCCGACACGTCTTTGTTCATAAACTCAGCCAGGATGGGATGAAGCTTGTAGAGTTTCTTTGCTCCTCTGTTTTTGTTCGCATCTGGCTTGGCCCGTTTTTTCACGTGTCCCACTAATCCCTTTTTGCCCCAGCCTGGGTTGAGTCTCTGAGCCATTATCAAGTTCTCTTTATCCAGTTCTCTCTTGAACTTTTCAGAGTTCCGATCAACTTTAGATTTTTGCTTTTTCTCCTGTTGTTGCATCAGTTGTATTCTTTCAAGCACCAGTTTGTGGAGTTCATCTTTTTCCCCGGAAAGATTGGTGTTCACTATCGCAGACAGTACTAACCTGAGTCGTCTCATGCTGAGCACGTTCATATCCGACACTCGTATAATGGCATCTATTGTGGGGGTTAATTGACTGACATCATATTTGGCCATTTTTCTAGAAATCTCTCTGTTTATCTCAGAAAAAAGAAAGATATAAGAAGAACACAGATACTAAGACCAGGGGGATTGCACGAATTTGGTGATGGGGCAAGCACGCACCAAAATGAGATGCCTCTATGTGCTTCGAGCTGCTTCGAAGTGAGGCCCGAAATTTTGCCAAAAGCTTCGGGTAAACTTTACGATTTCAGACAAACACTAAGTAGTCAAACTAAAAAACGTACACACGATAACCTTTTTTCACCAGATGCTTTATTTCCTTCCTTGAAGGTTTCTCTTATGCTGCAATTCATTCTTCTTGATCAGCTTTTTCCTTTCGTCTCTCCTGAGGGATCTAGGATCTATCAGCTCTTTACTAGTATCTTTGACCTCATCCTCAACCTCCACAAGCCATTGATCATCCACCTTCTTGTTCTTTCCACCGTAACCCCATTTAGGAGCCCATTCGCCGGCATCTTCGTCGTACACCATCTTTCCATCCTTACCCTTAGCTTTGATTCCCTTTTTGGCAGCAAACAATTCCCATCTGGTGGGCTCTTTGGCCTTAGGAATAGCCTTTTCTCTCGGCAATGGAGTCGAGGGGTTTGGCAAGTTGATTAGCGTCATGGTTGCGTTCTGACCGCTGGAGGAATCAGTGGTCGTCTTCAATGGAAGAGACAGGATCTGGTTAAGTAAAAGCTGCACATTGTCACGAGTCACATCTTTCAAATACGTGTTGACCTCGCTAGAATCAGTCAGCTTTGTATGTTCCAAAGGGTTTGGGTCGAAAACCGCCATGTTGCCCAGGTCATAGGCGACAGGAATTGGTTTCTCTACCGTCACAGGTTTTCTGCATATTGTGTTAGCCAAGGGGTCCCCATATCACAGTGACTAATTTTCGGAACTTACAATTCTTTCTCTGCAGAAGTCGTCATATCTGTCGTTAATATTATACAGTTTGTTTCACAGAGCCTAATGAAAAAATCATTCCTGAGAGATCCTAGGAGTACTAAATTTTTTTCACATTCGGCCAAGCACTACCTCATCCCTCAGAAATGAAAAGCGTGCGGCTTTTGCACTGGTGATTAGATCGTCTCCTAGCTGATTGATTCCCAGGAAAAGAGTTTCTTGGTTAGAATCAAGCCTGAAAAAGATGCAAATATTTCCTTCTTTCAGAAGCATGGCATCTTTTTTCGGCTCCCTAATCGCAATAGGCAAGTAAGCTTCGGTGCCATCAGCATCGCTCGGCTTAAACTTGATGATCCACTCATCATATAAAGGGAGCGTAGAAGTAATGACAGCACGGTTGGCAAAAAATCCAAAGGTCAGGCATTTGAAGACATCATTCGACAATTCGTCTGGTGTGTTGGAGTCCGTGTGCGACGGATAGGTCCGAACAATGTTTTTGAAGTACGTTTCTGATATCTCCATGCCATTTTTCACCACCGAGCCTCTATTGAAGTTACCACGTCGGAAACTTTTGTTATTCCATTCCATCCACAAGTTAAGAATCGTCAGAAAGTCACTTTCTTTTGCCCTGAGATTGCCCATATCCCTGTCGTTCAATCGCTGACACAATATACCGTACTCACTGGATACGGGGTGCTGATCAAACGCGTATATCAAACTCGCAATCTTGGCGAGGCACACAAAAATAGCGTGAGAAAACTCCTGCAGTGCAAAATCCAGAGATTCCACCATATACAACCAGTTTTCATCGGCAATAGGGATACACGGGAAACCTGTCCATAGTACACTGCTGGCGCTGCATGTGCGTGAACTCTTCAAATATGCCAAACTACCTGCCACCCTAGCTGTTGAAGCTGTCTTAACAAATGCTGATGCATAAAAAGCCTCATCTCTACCGTAAAATTTCTGTAGCAAGAGCAAAGACGTGTGCAGGCATTTGTGGTGTCTTTCAGGAAGTAAAGGATTCAGGTCATTCTTGAAAGATTCCTCTGTCAGCAAAAGAAAATAATTTGACCTGGCCTGAATTTCCGAAAAAAAAAGAACTTTATGGAAAATTGAAGTTCTCGATGATGAAACAGTCACAGTCTTCTCTCGCTGAGTCTCGATGCTGTATGTATCAATAGAGTGCACACCACAGTCAATTGCAAAATCGAACAGTTCAAAAGCAAGTCCTGAAAGACGCAAATTTAATATCATGGTTTGAATAACTTCGTGCTTATCGAGAACAAATAGGATGTAGAAGTTTTTCTCCTCCTGGACTTGATCGAGCACTTGCCCAAGTTTACCGGCATCCTGTTCGGATTCGATGACATAGACTGATGGAGGCCTCACCTCTCCTTTGGAAATCTCTTCTATCATGAAGTCAATCTCAGTGAGTGTTGGGACAAATATTAGTGCTTTGCGGGATGTTTCATAAGCTCTCTGATGACGAATACATGACACAACTTCATCTCTGTAAAGACTCGAGCTTGCTTTCGAAAGAAAATATTTTTGAACAAAAGCAGTGTTCAGCCCTTCTATAGTAAGATGTATAAAATCATCCTTGAATACGTCGTGGGCAAGCGTTACATCGCAGTGGACAGACTCTGGAAGCAGTACCTTCAACCCACATTCACGCTGTTTGGCAGCGAGCATAGTAACCAAAACGTCCATTGAAAGAGAACCAGCTTGGGAGTTGCAAACCACATAGAGACCATCTTTCCATATCTCTCCTTTTGATATTTGCAGACACAAAGCGTCTGAATCTATCAGTTTCAGCTGAACACCGAGTTTGGAGACCATCAAGCTCCCCCACCGGGAACCAGAAATGAGTTTCCAGTGAGTTTCCTCTAATCGTTGGCAAATGAGATTTATTCTATCTCGTGAAGTATCAACCAACACAATTCGTGCATGAGCGGCAGAGTGCGCAAGAGTATCTATCAGTTCTGGCGAACAACTGAACTGCTTCAGAAACACCGTAGAGTGAGAGTCTATAGCATACAACAGATTTCGTCCTATTGCTATTTGTTAGTTGCAAAAAGCGCTATACAAAACCCACCAACCACATACCATTTTCTTTGAGGCTATTAACTTCAATGCTTTTCCTGGACGGTCTCATTGGCGTCCTATCATGGAATTGTAGTCGTAATGAATGTATGTCCTCATCCTTATTGAGAAGCCTCACCGAGTACTAAAATAGTCGTGGACTGTACCCATTTCATCACCGCACATATTTGTAATTGAAAACCATGAACCGCAAACCATTTGCGATATTTTCGTCTTTTTTGAAACTAAAAAATCATGGAAACGTCTTAGAATACAACAAAGCTGAGCAAAACATTGTTAAATTCCAGACAGTTCATAAATGGTAGCTGACTTTCAGCGACGCCGCCATTGGTCAGACCGACATCTCTCAGTCATATCCAGCGCCGCTTTCAGGCGAAAAGGACGTGCGTGACCCACCGTCGCCGGCCAAAAAACCATGAAAAATATGACTGATTTGAATGCACCACAGGTTCTACTACAACAACGGGTTTTCCTACGTTTCCGTTTTTTGGCTCCAGGGATGTTATCTGCGTGTAGCTTCAAACGCTTACAAAGCTCGAGGGCCCTTTTCAGCAAGAGGCTATTGAGTTCATCTTCAATAGCCTTGGGTCAGAATTATACCGAGAAGATTGTGCAGAAGTACGCTGTTGGGTTACCCCAGGGCAAGTTGGTCCACAGTGGTGATTATGTTACTATCAAACCAGCACATGTGATGTCCCATGACAACTCGTGGCCCGTTGCCATGAAGTTCATGGGTTTGGGTGCTTCCAAGGTGAAAGATAACAGGCAGATTGTCAATACCTTGGACCACGATGTCCAGAACAAGACTGAGAAGAATTTGACCAAATACAAGAACATCGAGGAGTTTGCCCGTTCTCAGGGAATTGATTTTTACCCTGCTGGAAGAGGTATCGGTCACCAGATTATGATCGAAGAAGGATATGCATTTCCAGGTAACTTGACTGTGGCCTCTGACTCTCATTCAAACACATACGGTGGTATTGGTGCCCTTGGTACTCCCATCGTGAGAACAGATGCCGCGTCTATTTGGGCTACTGGCCAGACTTGGTGGCAAATTCCACCCGTGGCCAAGGTTGAGCTCGTTGGTGAGCTTCCTGATGGAGTCACTGGTAAGGATGTGATTGTCGCTCTTTGTGGTCTGTTCAACAACGACGAGGTGCTCAACCATGCCATTGAATTCACCGGTGAGGCTGTCTCAAAATTGTCTGTTGACTACAGACTTACCATTGCCAACATGACCACAGAATGGGGTGCTCTTTCGGGTGTTTTCCCAATAGATCAAACTCTGATAAACTGGTATACCAACAGATTGCTCAGAGTTGGACCAAATCACCCCAGAATAAACCAAACCACAATTGAGAGGTTGACCACCGAGGCCACTGTGGCCGATCAAGACGCATTTTACGCTAAGACTCTTACGGTTGACCTTAGCTCGCTGTCGCCATACATCTCGGGCCCAAACTCCGTCAAGATCTCCACTTCTTTGGCTGATCTTTCTGCCCAGAATATCAAGGTCGACAAGGCCTACCTCGTGTCGTGCACAAACTCGCGTTTGAGTGATATCAAGGCTGCTGCAGACGTTGTCAAGGGCCACAAGGTTGCCCCAGGTGTTGAATTCTACATTGCCGCTGCTTCTTCCGAGGTCCAGAAGGACTCCGAGGCCGAGGGTGCTTGGAGTACTCTCTTGGAGGCTGGTTGCACTCCACTTCCTGCTGGTTGTGGCCCATGTATCGGTCTGGGTGCTGGCCTGCTGGAGCCTGGTCAGGTGGGTATCTCTGCCACCAACAGAAACTTCAAGGGTAGAATGGGAAGCAAAGATGCTTTGGCCTACTTGGCCTCCCCAGAGGTTGTTGCCGCTTCTGCCATTCTTGGCAAGATTGGAGCACCCGAGGAAGTGTTGGGTAAAGCTGTTGAACCACTTAGAGATATCAAGAAAACTATCACCATCAACGAGAAGCCAGCAGGCGAATCCGAGGAGGTTGCTGCTGGTGAGACCTTGCCAGGATTCCCAAGCTCTATAGAAGGTGAGCTCATTCTTTGTGATGCCGACAATATCAATACCGATGGTATCTACCCAGGTAAGTACACTTATCAGGACGATGTTCCCAGAGAGAAGATGGCTGAGGTTTGCATGGAGAACTACGACTCCGAGTTTGGTTCAAAGACAAATGCCGGTGATATCATTGTGAGTGGTTACAACTTCGGTACCGGGTCTTCGAGAGAACAGGCCGCTACGTGCATACTTGCCAGAGACATGAAACTTGTGGTTGCAGGTTCCTTTGGAAACATCTTTTTCAGAAACTCTATCAACAATGCTCTCTTGACGTTGGAATTGCCCAAGTTGATTGACTTGCTGAGAAAGAAGTACGCTGATGCCCCCAAAGAGCTGACCAGACGTACCGGATGGAAGCTGAGATGGGACGTCACCTCCTCTACTGTCACAGTAACAGACGAGGCAGGAAACGTTGCTTTGAAGGAGAAAGTTGGTGAATTGGGAACTAACCTGCAGGACATCATCATCGAGGGTGGTCTTGAAGGATGGGTGAAAACCCAGCTGAAGAACACTCCGCAGTAGAAGTGTCCAAAATATTTATTAGAAACAGCCATCATTGTAAATACAATCAGCATTGATAAACTGGTGGATCCGATAATTAAAAGCGATTTTTTGAAACGTTATGTGATACTAGTTACAACGAAGGGATCTCCTTCACTATCTCATCAAACCCTTCGCTGTATTCAGAAGCGGCTTTAGCGTCAACCTTCTTGCCCTTGGAGCCGTTAGGTACGATCATCACACACGATGTTGGTCTTTTAGTGGCACCAGCTGACCCCAGGTCCTCCTTAGATGGTAGGAAGACGTATGGAACCGAACTGTCCTCGCAGAGCACTGGAATATGGGAAATCACATCTGGAGGGGAGATATCACCGGCAATGATTACCAGTCCCTTCTCACCCTTTCTGAGAGCTTTCACAACTTCCTTTACACCTCTCTTAACATGCTTAGCTTTGGAGGCCCTCTTGACCGTCTTCAAAACCTTCTTGTTCAGCTTCTTTGGTGCCAATGGACGGGCAAATGGAAGAAGGGCCGGCAGCCTCTTCTCGTAATTGTCTTCTCCTTCCTCCTTGGAAGATGTCTTTTCCTTCTTAGACATTATTCTGTCTTATTTATTCTTCTGTGTTTACCGGGGAAAAATCTCATCCGTAAGTGTACAGGCCATCTGGACTGAAAAAAAAATTCCAGATTTCCACATCTCGGATGTTACCCGGCCTCTTCCCCAAATCTAGTCCTGACACACACATGGGAATAGCTGGACTCGCAAGAGAGTCTATGTTGCGTTCGATATTGTTTGGTGCTCTCATTGATCCTGCGTGATTTTCGGGTATTTGAATTTTGTTTCAGACTGAATTGGACGTGTGTTTTGCTTTTTTCTGCTTTTCGGGAGATTCTAGCCGTCTTTATTGACTGTTCCTGGCGTGTTTCTTAATCTGAGCTTCTCAGATGGCTATTTTTACCACACAAGAGCCAAACTGAAATTATCAACAATCCTAGCCCTCAGATTGAACCCTGGTTGTTTCCTGAGTCCTCAAAATGCCTCCAAAGGACAATTCTCGCAAGAGGTCCTCTATAATGTTCAAGGCGACCTCTTTTCTACTCGGAGCCCCAGGTGCGGAAGCATCGCCTGCGCCAAAAACGACGCCAAAGACCGCGTCCAAGCCAGAACGAAGGAAGTCGATCCCATTGCCTCCATCTGGTTCAACTCCCACCAGAACTATCAATCTGCCAACAGACGATGGCCCCATATTGACTACGCCGCGAAAATCGAGCCAGACCTATGGGTCTAGCCAACGCTACTCGTCGCTGCTTTCGACTCCGCCAAGCGACAGACAACAGACAACCTCGCAGACACCAAAAATTCAGTCACAACCTCCGTCACAACCCTTGCATCGTCCTCAGTCACAGATGCCCTCAATACCGCAACATGAGTCCATGGATCCATATATAGTTGATGCTGGTAACACTAGTGTTACCAGGAAACGGACTAGACGCCCAAGACAGTTCGTGGTGATCGATAGTGATGTTGGAGCTTCCAGCAATAGCCTTGAGGCGATTCCGGTTCAACAGCGAGAGGTTTCAGCAGGTAATCCAGAGTTTGGTGATCTTATGACCTCGTTGGATAATGAGATATCTTTGCTGCGATTGAAAGAAGCCAATGTCAGCGCTGCTGCGTTTTCCAACTTGACGGTATCCTCCAGCGAGTATTCGCCTCTGAAGACGAGCAGCCAATTCCCATCGTCTGATGCTGGCCAATTGCGTTCGCCGCTAGACCAGGTGATATCCCCTTCAGGACTAGGTATCCATCTTGACGATGCTGCGACGGAATCGGATGCTACTCCAGTGATTGCCCAGATTACCTCTGTGGATATCCCCATGACTGATGAGAGTGTGGATTTGCCCAGACCTGCGTTTGCGCAAACTGGGCAGTTTTCCCCCGCTACAACTGCTTCGGCAGAAGATGAGGACGTCTTCTACGATGTTGGGGAACCAGTAGAGTCAAGCGAGGAGTTAACAAGTCGCGAAGATGAACGTGGTTCTTATGAGCCCTCGTTCAATTCAATTTTGCCGTCGCCTAATGGAGAGCTTGGGTCCTCGTTTGGGGTGGATCTCCAGCCGAAGATCAAGGGATTGTCCATAGCCAATGCAGATGTTGTATCTTCCGACGAAGAACGATACTATGGTAAGAGTCAAGTTGGAGATTACGAGATGGGAGAGTCTGAGGGATCTGAGAGGGACTTCGATGTGCCACCTTATAGGCCAGGTGAAGCGGAGGATGCATTGGCACCCATTCCAAATACCAAGCAGTTCAACGAGGGTTTGCATTCACTGAATAATGGGTCTATTGATGAGCCATATGGCGAAAATCTGTGGCAAGCTGCAGATTCTGTCCACACTAGCCCATATTCTCGCAGACGACTTTCTCTTGAAATGGTGGATAACCGCTCTTTGTACCGCGACGATAACAGCTCTGTTAACGTTAACATTGGGCGCAACGATGAAGATGGATTTACTCGGGTTTCCTCTGGAGACTCGGTGTTGGACAGAAATAACTCCATGGAAAAGATTTTGGGGACTGGTTCCCCTTTGGAGGAAACAGTGCGTGAGCCTTTTCCTCTGCCCAAATTGCCCAGTGAGAGCTCTGACATTGCTGGTCAGATATTGCCTGCGACTGTGGAATCCAGCGATAGCAATGAAAACGAAGATTACGATTTGAACTTCGTTGCTAGATCTCCTTTCTACTCTCCATATGAAGAGGAGGATTTACCGAAACAGATGGTTGTCCGCAATATGACTTCCAGTGCGACCACATCAGAGGATGCTAGTGCGCACGATCGTGCCATTGAATCGGAGCCTGCTTATTCACATGGCAGTGACTATGCAGTGAGTAGAGACCAATCTCCTTCCCAGGAGAGTTTCTATCCTACTTATGCAAGTACCGATGCCCTAGCTGATGTATCAGGAAGTAACAGACTGGTTGATGTTAATGGAGCTCCACGGACCAGACGCCAGCAAATCCCTATTACTGCGACTGAGCTTACACGTGACTCCCAGCAGAGCACCCTCGTAGCAAATAGCACCGGGCATGTGCCAGATGGGCTGGGTATTAGGTCGGCGTATGTTGCTGCTCTTAGGAAAAAAGCTGGAACTGCGTATAGCGAAAAGTCTAAGCAAAGTGCGAGTTTGCCCATTGCTATCAGACCACATTCATCTGCTACGAAGACTCACACCAAGACTCTTTCAAAGTCTTCTTCCGACAGTTGGAGGAAGAGTATTCTGTCAAGTGCTGATATCAAACATGGTACGCTGAAGCCCAGACTACTTGCTTCTGAGGTTGATGACGATGATGACGTTAGCAGTGGAATAGTTACTCCACTGACACCGCCAACTGTGGAAACCCCAGGAGAGCAACTACGGAAACTACAGACCGGGAGATCGATCTTGGAGACCGCACAGCCGGCGAACAGCACCAATGGGTTGAACAGGCAGTCCAGCATAAGAAGTACTTTCACCTACCGTCCCTCAGAGCCTGGCTTGAAACTTTTCATCGCCAACCCCGATACGAGTGATGAGGAGGAAGAGGGGCAGAGGTATCCTGAAGCCATCAATGAGAGTGATGAATAGGGCCACAGTAATCTCTGTCAACAAAATGTTATCAAATTATAAAGCGCATTTTATTTTCGTGTTATCGCAGTAATCATATCTCGGCAAACAGATCAAATGATCGTCCGAGGCCATCGCAGGAAGCACGCCAATCCACTATTTTTGTGTCACGTGATCCCAAATTCTGGTTATCGAACGCACTATTCTCCGGTCGATTGCAGCCCGCTTTTCCACCGGTCCCCTTATTCGAAGAACGAGGACTTTTGCCTTATAGCTCTCGCATTCCTCTTGAAACAATAAGTCTTTGTTACACACCGATTTTAGAGGTGAGAGTACCAATCGTTAGAGTCGCATTTGCCACTAATTCAACAATGGCTCAAAAGATTTCGTCAATTGCAAAAACTGCAAACTTGGCCTCGTCTGCGGTCAAGTCTTCTGCCGCGAGGGCCATGAGAATCAACCACCCGGTCAGACCTGCCTCCTCTGCTGCTGCTCCAACCACAATGACTGTCAGAGACGCCTTGAACTCGGCCATGGCTGAGGAATTGGACCGTGATGATGGCGTATTCTTGATGGGTGAAGAGGTGGCCCAGTACAACGGTGCTTACAAGATTTCGAGAGGTCTCTTGGACAAGTTTGGTCCAAGAAGAATTGTCGACACTCCAATTACCGAAATGGGTTTCACCGGTCTCTGTGTTGGTGCCGCTTTAGCTGGTTTAAAGCCAATCTGTGAGTTCATGACCATGAACTTTGCCATGCAATCAATCGATCATGTCATCAACTCCGCTGCCAAGACCTACTACATGTCTGGTGGTAAGCAGCCTTGTAACATCACCTTCAGAGGACCTAACGGTGCTGCTGCTGGTGTTGCTGCACAACATTCCCAGGATTTCTCCTCTTGGTATGGTCAGATCCCTGGTATGAAGGTGATCTCCCCATTCTCTTCCGAGGATTACAGAGGTTTGTTCAAGGCTGCCGTGAGAGATCCTAACCCAGTTGTCTTTTTGGAGAATGAGCTATTGTACGGTGACTCGTTTGAGGTCTCCGAGGAGTGCCTTTCCCCAGACTTTGTCTTGCCAATTGGTAAGGCCAAGATCGAGCTCGAGGGTACCGATGTATCTCTGATCTCCCACTCCAGAAACCTGATCTTCTGTCTTGAGGCCGCCCAGATCGTCAAGGAGAAGTACGGTGTTTCCGTTGAGGTTTTGAACTTGCGTTCCATCAGACCTTTGGACGTTGACGCCATCGTTGCTACCACCAAGAAGACCAACAACGTCATCACCGTGGAGGCAGGATTCCCAGCATTCGGTGTCGGTTCCGAGATCTGTGCTCAGATCATGGAGACTGATGCTTTCGACTACCTTGACTCTCCAGTGGAGAGAGTCACTGGATGTGAAGTTCCAACCCCATATGCCAAGGAGCTCGAAGACTTTGCCTTCCCAGACACTCCAACCGTGGTTAGAGCCATCGAAAAGGTTTTGTCCTTGAAAGAGTAAATATGAAATTTATGACTGAAAAAACGAATTCTTTTCTGTTCAGGAATGTACAAAGGTATCCTTGTGAGTGGTTGAACATTTGTGATGCGCACGAAAATGGCAGAAACGATATATAGGCATATATATATGTACAAAAATATGTTTCGTCATATACAAATACAGACGTGTGAGATGTCGTACTATTTTCTATAATATATTACAACCTGTCCATTCAATGCTTCGATTTCTTCAGCTTCTTGAGCTCCTTCTTTTTGTCATGCATTGCCTGTACTCTCTCCAGACTCAGCTTGACATCACCTCTCTGGAAATTACTCAAGTCGTAATATGCAGGGGCATACTCGATCAACCACTCAGGCTTAACGGAGGTGACTGTCCTGATGTAGTTAGAAGAGGTCAAGACAAACTCGTTGTAGATGACCCACTCGCTGTCGTGGGCCAACACAGTGCTTGGATGGATCAAAACCTCCTGGTTATCTTTGACAGTGAGGTATCCTTTTCCAGTAGACTTCTTCTTCGCCACTTGCATAAAGAATCCAGAGGCCAATGCCTTTCTAATGTTGTTGTGGTAGTTCCTGTCGTCGTAGTCGACTGACACCAACTCAAGATCATAGCGTTCCATCATCCTCTGCAGCTGAGCGCGAACATTCTCTGCACTCTTCAAAGATCTGTACGACAGGAAGTAGTCACGGCACCATTGGTGCAGACCAATCTCGTAAGCCTCGTCGGACTTGAAAGCGTGGTAGACGTTCAGCATGGTGAGATGGTCACCATCGGGATGCGCAAAGTAGGCCTTCTTCTCGTCTGCCTGTTTTCTTGCAGAGATAGGACGCACAAACACATTCGGCACAGACAGCATGGCGACAATGGTAAGAATTTCCTCAGAGCATTTGAACTCTGGCGATCCAATCAGCATCACGGCCAACATTGGGTCCAATGGGAAGTTCGATGCCAGTCTTCCAAGTGCGGTAAGCTCGCCTTCATCGTCAAGGCATGCAAGATAATTCAACTCCTCCAAGGCACGCATCATTGTTTCTGGGGCAGGAGGATCCATGAAGTCGAAATGCACTAAATCATCAACACCCAGTTTCTTGAGCTCTAGGACCGTACTCGACAGGTTACTTCTGAGAATCTCAGGGTAGCTCTGTTCGATCAACTCTTTCTTGAAAGCCTCTTCAGTGTACAAACGGAAACACTTACCTGGTCTCGTACGACCCGCACGACCAGCTCTTTGCTGGGCGGAAGCTTTTGATATTGGTGATACAAGTAAAGACTCGACTCTGATCCTTGGGTTGTACACCTTTTGTTTGGAGAAACCAGGATCCACCACGTACACGATACCATCAATAGTCAAAGATGTTTCAGCAATGTTGGTGGAAACAATCACTTTTCTTCCTGGTTTTCCGTTAGGCCTGACAGCCTTAGGAGCTGGCTCAAAAATCCTCTGTTGGTGATGAGGTGGAAGCGAACCATAAAGAGGATACACTTTAAGAGGGCCACAAGACTCCTCTCTGATAAGTTCATCTCCTTCCAGAGAAATCTTCCTGCAAGCGTCCTCGATTTCTTCTTCACCCGTCAAAAAGAGCAGAATATCACCTTCCTCCTCCGTGGCGTGGATTTGCAGAACAGTTCTGATGGCAGCATCAAGGTAATCTCTCTGGAATTCTGGGGTATAATAGATCTCCACAGGGAATGTACGGCCGGGAACCGCCAAGAGAGGAGCATCTTCAAAGTACTTTTGGAACTTTTCAGCATCCAGAGTAGCAGACATGATGATTAGCTTCAAGTCGGGTCTTCTCTGGGTTACCTGTTTCAGCAAACCCATAAGGATGTCAGTGGCCAGAGTACGTTCGTGGGCTTCATCAAGGATGATACACGAGTATCTTGAAAGATTATGGTCTTCCATAGCCTCTCTCAAAAGCATACCATCTGTCATGTACTTCAGGATAGTTTTGGGAGTTGTCTTGTTCTCGAAACGAATGCTGTAACCAACCTCTTCACCTAATGTAACATCCATCTCATCAGCCACTCTGGCAGCAACAGACATAGCAGCAACACGACGTGGTTGCGTACATGCAACCATTGACTTATTCAAGTGAGGCATATCATCATAAAGCACAAACTGAGGGATTTGTGTTGTCTTACCGGAACCGGTTTCACCCACAAATACCATGATCTGAGTGGACTGAAAGATCTTGAGAAACTGGTCTCTCTGTGCATGCACAGGAAGGTCTCGCCTGACCTTCAGGATGTCCACATATTTTTGCGTGAATGGAAGTCCAGTAAAGGGGTTGAGTTCTGCCGACTCCAGCTTCTGGGCCTCTTGGGCCGTAGTTTTGTGCCTTGTCATGCCTGCAAACTCGCCTGCATCGTGAACTTCAAGGACAGCTTCAGAAGGAGCATGAGGGTGGGCCTCCAACTCCGCCTCAGCTTTTTCCGCAGCTTTCTCTGGGACAGAAGAAGCTATCGTGCGTGATTTCTTGGACGGTCTTTCCATTGCTGAAAACGAAGAGAATTGCTTTGTGATGTGCTTTCTTGTTAGAGTCTATCTAGATTATTTCTAAGATAAAAAAAATTGAGATGGGCTCGTGCTCTAGAATACGCCGGGTGCGGGTTCATGTGATCACGTCCTTGGGATGAGATATTCGAGGACCACACTTTGGCTTATCTCCTCCAATATATCTGGGGCAGTTAAGTATCGATTGAGCAGTGTTTTTAATGCTGAACCGGCGCATATACGAGTTGTTCTCGATATCTTCGTCGGCCATCAAGGTTGCTCGTGAAGCATCGGGTCTTGTGGCCAAAGAGGTGGAGGATGCCTTGAAAACCACGAAACTTCTCCAACCTCTGAGGAACGACAATGCATTGTGGCAGGAGCTTCGGGCCAAGTCGGATGAAGCAAAGGGAGTGAAGGAGTTCCAGGGCTCTGAAATTGTTCCGGACATTTATCAGCTTGCTCATGAGAAGTCTGTGGTAGCGGCAGCAACGGCAGCGAAGCATCCATCGAAGTCAAAAAGATCCAAATCCGCTAGCAAGACGATCAAGAATGAGCGTGGTTTCCATACTATGTCACGTATAAGGAACGAAGACAATTTCAAGAAGCCCAAAGTTATTGGGGAGGCGGTCAAGCCAGAGTTTGAAATGAGCCAATCAGCTGTTCCAAGCACCCGTATTGGACGTTTGTTTCACTATGGTGCTCTGGCTGCAGGAATTGGTCTTAACATGGCCGCTGAAGGTGCTAAGAAATATGCCACCTCTGGAACTGCACCAGATATTGGGTCTTTGATGTTGTCGCCCGCTAACATCGAAAGAATGGCTAAGAAGTTCAGCAGGATGAGAGGTGCGGCCTTGAAGATTGGCCAAATGCTGTCATTCCAAGACTCCTCGGTCTTGCCCAAAGAAATCCAGCAGATTTTGCTTAGGGTGCAAAACAATGCTCACTATATGCCTGCGGGTCAATTGGAGAAGGTGATGAAGTTTGAGCTGGGCGATGACTGGAGGGTTCGTATGTTCTCATCTTTTGAAGATGTTCCGATAGCTGCGGCGTCGATTGGCCAAGTCCACGGAGCCATCACCAAAGATCTGGAAGAAGTTGTTGTGAAAGTGCAGTATCCTGGTGTTGCCGATAGTATTGATTCTGATCTGAATAATCTGCTATTGCTTCTGACGGCTTCTAAACTATTGCCTCCAGGCCTGTTCCTCGAAAATAGCGTTGACAATGCCAGGATGGAGCTGAAATGGGAATGTGATTACATCAGAGAAGCTCAGAGCTTGGATCGCTTCAGGGAGCTTCTGAAAGATGATGAAGTATTCGTGGTTCCCAAGGTTTACCATGAACTAAGTGGAGAACATGTTTTGACAATGCAGAGACTCAAGGGAACAGAGATCGTGAAAGGCGACTGGTCCCAAGAGAGAAAGGACTGGATCGCTACCAACATTATGCGTTTATGTCTGATGGAAATTGCGCAGTTTAGATTTATGCAGTCGGACCCCAATTGGGCCAACTTCCTCTGCAATGAGAGCACTAACAAAATAGAGCTATTGGACTTCGGTGCTTCGAGAGAATATAGCAAAGAGTTTATTGACAACTATCTTGGGTGTCTTCGGGCCGCTATCTTGAAGGATAGAAAGGGTGCGTACGATTACTCTCTCAAGCTAGGTTACCTCACGGGTCTTGAATCTGAGGCCATGGTAAAGGCCCATGTTGACTCCATGTTGGTCTTGGGTGAACCTTTTGCTCCGAAGGATAACAGCGGTAATGCCTACAACTTCACACAGCAAACAGTGACGGACAGAGTTCGTGGAAACATTAGTCTTATGTTGAACGAAAGATTGTCTCCTCCTCCAGAAGAGACGTACAGTCTGCATAGAAAATTGAGTGGTGCCTACCTGCTGTGTGCCAGATTGAATGCCACGGTTCCATGTCAGAAACTTTTCGAGGAAATCGTTGGATTCTAATGTAAATAGATGACTGATGAAGAAAACTGTATATGAATATGATCTGCACATACAAAACTAGAACTGTAAAGGAGGATAGTCATGGCTGGATTCACTGAGTCAGGCTTCTAACTACCACGGTAAGTAGAGTAGCCATGATTGGACAGCAGTAATGGAACATGATAGTGGTGATCTGGTGGACTAGCAACCTCGAATATGATGTCCACGAATGGGAAGAAGGTTCTTGCACGGCCAGTGGAATCTGTGGCATCCTCCTGTAAGGCTATCTCCTGGAAATACTCTTTGGTATGAAATCTGATCTTGTAGACTCCCGCTTTCAGGACTTCCCAGTCGTCATTGATCCCAATTTGTGCCAGCGAAGTTTTGCTCACCTCAGAGCTGAAATTCCATTTAGGTATACGACCGTCGCCGTTGGTCCTGGCTGTCGCAAACGGTGTTGGCTCATTGAAGCTGGCGAGGCTGAAAATCTCACATAACACATCCGAAGCAGGACGGCCGCGAGTGGTATCCAATATGTGGCATGTTATAGGCGTCGATGACATCGTGAGGACAATGTTCAAATCCTTTTATCTCGGTTTGGATGCTGGGGTTAGATGCTAGTGTGAAAGATTGAGCAACACTGCGGATAAGGCCGTCGGCTATCATCTACGCCGCATTGGTTTCGACACGCTATTTTTGAGACCCTCCTCACAAACTCACTGCAACGTCTTTATCTGTGGTATCTTCCTTGATTTGGGCAACAGCTGATGTCTCAAAGGTTTGAAGTGGACGGAAAGCCCTACTATGAGCCATGTGTGCTCTATAGGGCGCCAACTATTCTAACAGGAGAGTTCTGTCCAGTGTTCACCAAAGACATACGCGTCATGCGGCCTGTGTCTGCTATATATGGGGCAAGGCTGAAAGAGCCTTGGGCCCTACTTAGAAACATTCCCATATACAAAGTGGCCATCACTGGTTATGTGGTATCGAAGTCTGAAGTTGGTTTCGAACTCAATGATTCCTCCAGCACCGTGACTGTTAGGGTTGAAAAAGAGATACTCCAGGTACTCAACTTGCGAGATCTGGTGGTAATTTGCGGCGTTGCGGAGTTCCTTCAAGGAATTCCTGTCGTGAGAGCATATCAAATCACGCGACAGCGAACTGATCAGGAGTTGCAGGTCTTGAGTGAATGGCGTCGATGTGTCCTTGGATTCAAGAAGGACGTTCTATCGAAGAGGTTGGGATTGAATGTGTCGGTTACACCATCCAAACTTTACGGTAACTTCTCCCCAACATCCACCATAAAATTGCGTGTCTTAGAAATTTTGATGGCCAGTGAGGAGAATTGTGTCTCCGAAGACAATCTATATGTCGATTGCAAGAATAAATTGTTGGATGCTGGCCCCACATTCAAAAAGGACGCCTTCGACATGGCCATCAACGAGCTCGAATTAGAGCATATTCTTATACGGCGAGCCAACAAAATTCAATTGTTTGACTATTTCGATGTCTTGGTGCAATATCTCGGCGATAGGCTGCTTCGGATCGGGAAGGAGAATAAAGAGAAAGGCAATTCGAGAAGAGTTATACGACATACTGTTCGATCTCTACCTTTGAAAAAAGTGCTCAGGAGGTTTCCATTTTTGAGGCTTTCCTTTGAAACGTTGAACCATATAATTTTCACTATTTTGCAACAGTTGGAGAAGGACAGTGCACGTATCTCTTGCCTGAATCCAGGAAAAAGGTGGGTCTTCCAGTGTGTGGAGGATGCATGGAAGCCCACTGAACACTAGCATTAATCGAGCATTAAATTGGCGGAATTGTCAATAGAGACAGTATTCAAACTTTAATTACAGTGTGCCTAATCATAATCCTGAAGTAACTTCAGGCATACTTCAGTGGTAATCATTTAAATTACATACGCTTTGAAGTACATAGCCCAATATATTGGCCCAAAATGGGTCTCATCAGGAAGGGTGCAGATCCGGCGTTGCACTCTATCATCTCCAACACGTACATTGTAGTTGTATCTTCTCCAACAATACACAACCACATCATCCATATCAGCATTTAAATTTTCAACATGAGAAGAAGAGGATCTACTGTGACAGATACTTCCTTTTCTTCTCGGGGAAGAAGGGGCTCGATGGTACAATCAATTGCATCGAATGCTCCGTTCATGGAGGTAGGTCAAATTTGGTGAGACTCATATTTACGATAACTTCTAACTCACGTTCTTTAGGATCATATACAGCTTGATACAGAGTCTATCGCTAATCCCAGGACTCGAACGAAATCGCTAGGTTCGAGCGAATTCGAACCCACGCTTACACCTATGGAGGCCTCATCTTTCACCTTCCCATTCACCACCTCAGAAACAAATTACTTATGGACAAATCAGGTGCAATCTGTGGAGTCAGACTTTCTCATATCATACGAAGACGAGGAGGCAATCAACAAAATGGACAATGCTGAGTTTTTGGAATTTCAAGATGTCATTTCGCATACCTACAAAGAGCATGCACGGTTTCTGAAGGAGGCAGACGTGATAGTGGAGAATCTCAGCTCGATGCTGACAAAATACGACCAAGTCACCTTGCAAACGGTGGATTTTCAGACGAAATCTAACGAGTTGATTTTGGAGGTGAACAGGCTTACAGGGTTGTATGAAGACATCTCGAAGAATCTCGAATACTTTGAGTCCCTTGACTCGATTGTGAAAAGTTTGAACACTTCCAGTAGCAGTTCGATTGTGATGAGAAAATCGTTCCAGGAGAACATACTAAGGAGACTGGATGAGTGTTTGACTTTTGTTGAGTCTCCTGCGGCCAAAGAGTTCAGAGAAATCGAAATTTATCAAAATAGATTCAAGCAATGCATGGTGAGAGCGCTCACTCTGGTGAGAAACTACATTATCAACACACTCAAAAATGTTGAGTTCAACATCCAGACAAAGGTCAACGAAGAGAAGAACAAAAATAAGATCCGCGGGGCCATCAGTGCAGCCACATCTATCAGGGTGGATGCCTTCATGTACAACCAGTTTGAAGAAGACTGCAGCTATCTCCAGCCTTTGATAGAAGATTTGTACACCCGTGCAACAGTGGCCAACTATGACGAGTACCTGGGCCTGTTGAATGATTGCTATAGTCAATATTTCAAATCCAGAAGCTCTTTGCTCAGCAATACCATCAATGCGCAGCTTCAGGCGTACAATGAAACTTCAATTGCAGGATCAAGGTCGCTAGTGCAACTGGCACAGGGAAACATTGCGTTCTTCTCAAGAGTTTTAGAAAGAGAGTTTGATGTCTTCAGCCATATCTTCTTTGTCACGGACGACCAAAGAACTGATAATGCTAATAATGTCATGATGATCAACAAGTGGTTTGAGTCTGTACTTGATCCCTTGTACTACATGATGAGAAATCGGATTATCAGAGAAAATAACATCAGTGATCTATGTGAGCTCATCACTTTACTGCAAAAGTACTCGGAAACAGACCTTTCAGACGATGAATCCGAGTCTGTGTCTGAACGCAGCCTTCAAATAGGCGGCATGTACCACCATGAACACACCAACTCAGAACATATAGAGATCGAGTCGCTATTGGCACCAATTCTGCAGGATGTGCAATCCAGACTGGTGTTTCGGGTGCAAGCCTACATTGACAAAAATGTCGTCAACTACAAGAAGACTGGAAGAGAGTTCTCCATTGGCCGCAGAAGGGCACCCAGTGTTGCGCCAGATGATGATTTGGATAGCATCGCAGGAAGCGTAACTGGTAGCTTGAATGGCAGAGACAACGACACTGAATCCATAGCGGACACAATCATTTCCTCAGTGAGTCATTCCGAGCATCAATTTTCGTCTCAAACCATATACCCACCGGTTGTCAAATCAGTCAAGCTATTGACTAAGATCTACCAGCTGGTTGGCTCACAGGTTTTTGACGATTTGGCAAACTCAGTGGTTCATCTGGTGCTTCTGTCTATAAGAGACAACTTTTCGAGCCTGCTCACAGGAACGTATTCGTCAATTGACTCCAAGCTTTATCTCATCAAGAATTTGGTTTTTTTCAAGGACAACATTGAAAATCTGGATATAGAACATGTTAGAAGAGAAGCGTCTTTGGATTTCAGCGGATTACAAAAGCTTTTCAGAAAGTTTTATAAAGGCAGCAGGGACAAGCAGTCTATCGAGCAACATTATGGGGCTGCCAGAGACGAAGGTGGATTTTTCAGTTTGGCACTTGGTTCTGTTCCTCGTGTTGTGGATGATGTCATCGATGCCAAATTGGAGTTGCAAATGGCATTAAGAACCGCTGTTCATGAGTTCATTGATGACTATAAGACGAGGATCATACAGCCACTGGCTGACTGCACAGACCCAACGGATGCAGAAGAAGCTGCTACCAAGTTCAAGAAGACTTTAGAAATAGAGTTTCCACGGATCAAGCCACAGATATCGACCTTCGTGCAAGACCCCAGGGTTGTCAGTTACCTAATCGACGGTGTTCAGGAAGCTATCATTCAAGAGTATGAGCGGTTCTATAATGCAGCAATCGTCCATGGAGCCCTCGAGGACGATGAGGGCAATTTGATGGAGGTTGACACTCTCATCTCGTTCCTCAGCGAGGTTGTCTCCAAGATGTTCCAGAATGAAGAGCATTTTAGAGAACCCAGCACCAGCACCACTGATGGGAACATTTTCGATAACGACCCTGATGTTAGCACGCTTGCTCTAGAGTAAGTCCTCAGCTTTCATAGAGCATGTACAACTAGTGATAAAACATGAAACTCCTTGGTTATTACTGAGGCAAATTTTCATCATCGAGCGGATTGTAGGTATTCTCTGATAAGAGCTTGTTCAGCTCATTTTTCAGGAAAGGCACCTGACTCTGGTCCACCAGTAAATGTGTTTCATCGAGCTCCTCTATGACTATAGACCTGCTGACGGTGTCTATCTTCAAGATCAATGCTCTGATCGAAGGATCACTAGGCATGTTAGAATAAAATATGGTAGCATTCGAAGAGAAAGTTCTTACCAAGTCACGAGAGTGCCTCTCACAGAACGGGGCATGGTATTATAGTCAGACTGTTACTTGAGCTTAAGCTGAAGCTTGAGTTCAAACTTTGGTTCAAGGCCAAGCTCTCAAACCGACTCCACACAGATTGAGTTCACCACTACTTAAATGTGGGAGCCTCACCTACTTCATGTGTTACGTTCCACGCTCTTGTTATATGCGCCTACTCCAAACTCCTCGTAAAATGCCTCCTGGGGTAACCTTGGAGCGATCAGTGTCATCTGATAGCCCAGATAAACTCATTGGGGCTAAAGTTGTCTCCAATGACGAGACTGCTTCACTTCATGTCACGCCTAACACGCCTGGCGATAACGATTCGCCAAACGCATCAGATCAAAAACAGTCAATTGGAGACCTGAGTGCAGGTAATGATAACGAGTATACAAAGAATGATGAAGAGGACGATGAAAGAGAAGAAGAAGAAGAAGAAGATGATGATGATGATGATGAAGATCAAGACGAAGACGAGGATGAAGACGAAGACGAAGACGAAGATGAAGATGAAGATGAAGATGAAGATGAAGATGAAGATGATGCTGAGCCTCCGAGATTGCGATATACTAGACTCACCAAACTACCCCCACGTTTCTTCACCAAAGACGCTCTTTCTGCATGCCACTTTCATGATGACGTATTCATATTTGCTACACACTCTGGAATGGTGCATCTGTGCAAACCAGACTTCACACCTATTCGCACTTATAAGGCACATAGAGCCTCGGTGCTTTCCCTTCATACCGACGGACAATTTGTTGCCAGTGGGTCAATGGATGGTACAGTAGTGATTGGTTCGATTACAGACGAGAATGACATTATTGCTTTTGATTTCAAAAGGCCTATACATGCTGTTGTTCTCGACCGTCAATACCGAACGACTAAGGCTTTCATCTCTGGAGGTATGGCAGGAAATGTGACTTTGTCCACAAAGAACTGGCTAGGCCAGAGAACTGACACTATCTTTGATTCTGGGAAGGGACCCATTACATGTATACAGATCATCGATGATCTAATTTTATGGACAAATGACTCAGGTATCACTGTTGCGCAGATATCTACAAAGACTCCGCTGCTGCATGTTGATCTTCCAGAAGACTTTCCGAGACCAGACCTGTATTGGCCCAAAGTTCACTTCACTGAGGTTAATCAGTTTGCAGTGGCCTGGGCATCTCATATTTGGTTTTTCCGTGTTGCAATAGATGCAGATGCTCAAACACACCTGTCAAACTTCGTCTCAGCTGCTTCATTTAGGGGCACGAGTGATAGGAGGATAGAAATAGAACGTGAGGCTGATCTCAGCGGTACTCTTATTTCTGGGATTTCGAGTTTGAATGATGATCTTATGCTGCTAAATTATGTACCCCCAAGGTTGAAGACAGGTTTAAATGGCGAGAGCAGGTCTGCACGAAGGAAAAACTACGAATCTCAGCCTCCAGAGTTGAAGATAGTCGACAGTATTTCACTGGCTGACTTGTCAATAGAGGAGATTCCTTTGAATATAATATCCAACCTTGGATTGAATGACTACCATCTGCATCATCATATCGCCAAGGATAAAATCAGATGGTTTCTTCTTTCAGCCAACGACGGTGTCATAGTGCAAGAGTTTACCATTCATGACAAACTAGCCTGGTACGTTTCAAGAGGAAGGTTCCTTGAAGCATGGAAAATGAGTGAAACTTGGTTGGCTGTTACTGAAAGACTCAACATAGGATTGAAACAGGTTGACAAATTCATTGAGGTGGGCAACTGGAAATCCGCAGCTGTTTTCCTGCAGGAAGTTCTTTCGTCTTCTGATCATATTTCCGAAGAGGTGAGATTCAGAGTAGTTAAAGAGTGGGACAATTGGCTATGGATATATCACAAAAGTCATCACTGTGATGCCATCATTGATCTGATACCCTATGAAGAGTATGGCTCCGAAATCGGAAGAGAGGTATATACGGAATACCTCATATCAGTTCTCGATGAACGTCACTTTGAAAAGTTTCTTCAGATCTTTGGTAAGTGGAGTATGTCTCTCTATAATCAGGACCATATTCGTGACAGGTTGAAAACTTTAATCAGTGATTATGATGACTCTGTCGATGACACTTTGGACTCTGAGATCGCTTTTGCACTGCGTTGGTGTTATATTCGTCTCTGTGAGGAATCTGATGAGCCAGAGCTTTGTGTGGAACATCTTCTGATACTCAAGGATCCATCCCTCATGAACTTTTTGAGTCATCATCACTTGCTAGTCAAGTATTTCGAGAAGCTCCCTGAGATTTTGACAATGAACCTCACCGATTCAGAGAAGCAGAGAAACGATCCGGAGGAATTGCACGAAAAGCTGATTGAGGGAGTGCATTTACTGGTGAATAACATTCAAGAAATATCTCCCGACAGTGTTGTGTCTCTGATGGAAAAGCATAATCTTGACATTGTCAATTACCTCTATCTAGAGGAGCTTTCCAAGATTGATACTTTGCTCACGAAGAAGTTTGAGAATCAAATGGTCAAACTCTATGCCTGGTTCAACCAAAGTTTGCTGCTTGGCTTTCTGACGAGGCACAAAGACTATGACATCGACATTGCCATTTCTGTTTGCTTAGAGAAAAATTGTATCTCCGAACTTGTTTATCTCTATCACAAAGTTGGACAGGATAAAGAGGCCCTTTCGTTGATTGTCGGCAAGCTAGAGGATCCAGAAAAAGCCATTATGTTTGCAACATCAGCAGGTGATCAAGAACTATGGGATTATCTTTTGGATTATTCCATGGATCGTCCACACTTTATCCGGGCTTTGATGCAAAAAGCAAGTGAGACCATGGATGCAATCCCAATCGTTACAAGAGTTCCAAAGGGTGTGGTGATTCCGGGGCTCAAAAACGCTCTTCTTAATATATCCTTCAACAACGAGATGGACTTAAGATTGAACAAAATGATCTTGCACATGATCTCCTCGGAGGTTTTGCAGGTGTCTTCTAGGTACAGAGATCTCCAAAACAAGGGTTATGTTTTTGATGTTGATACTCACGAAAAAATTGCAAGTGACACTCTGATTCGATTTGCAGATGAGACAAGGCCGTTGATGACTGAGTCAGAGCTTTTAGGGAAAGACCATCTTTGGAAGGGCCTTGCCAAACAGATATCTGGAAAGATCACGCACCTTGCTTTCATTCAACGGTCTTTGAAGATGATGCAAAAAGAGACTGAGATTTGAGGATGTTGCACATCGCGAAAGTGATGTTTCAAAAACGAAAGTTTTTATATTTGGGAAGTCGCAAGCGCATTAAAATGGTTTAGGTTTAAATGAGCAGTAGTTCGTTGCATGGGCCGATTAATGAAGTCAGTATGGTCGTGCAAAGCCGCACAACAATGCCTCAACTACAACACGCCAAGTTGTTGTATAATGTTCTGCAGCTATCTCTTTTTGTGAAACAAGACGATTTATTTTTTCCAGCAATACGTACACGCGGCAAAACAGCATTCGAAACAAAACCTTTCAAAAAAGGGACCCTGAGGCTTCAATTGGAAAAGAAAACCAAACACATCAACCAAGTTCCCAGATGCCATCGCGCTCCCCTTCGACTGTGGCAGGCAGCACCAACCCGAATGACGGAGAGCTTTACTCAGAGCAACCATCTGCGTTTACGGTCAATGATATACTGGATGCATATGGAAGTCCAACGGCAGGAATTCCTGAAAGCAATGTAAAAGAGGAAGAAGTTACGCAATCTTCTGGTAAGAATTTGTTGAAATTTGAGGATTTCCACTTAATGCTAACTTTCATTTTTTATAGGTGACAACGTTCAAGACAAAAAACAAAGTTTCACCTTGAGGGGATCTTCTTCAAAAACACCAGCTAATCGAAAGAGCATTAAAAGTCATGCAGATATTCCTGTTAGGAAACCTGAATCGGATACCAGGTCGGAAGCATCTGGTTTGGGTGATGAACCTGCCAGATCATACAGTTGGGCCTCGCATGAAAATACACCCTTAACTGCTGAGCCTGTTGTAATTGATCGACTACATACTTTTCGACAGGTAATCCGGAAATGGTTCCAAAATGTTAAGGAGGATCAAAAGAAGGTCGACTCAACCGGACTACAAGAGCTGAGTGCGTACTCAAAGATGAAGGGACTTCAGAATCTTTTCCACAAGCTGAAATATCGAGTGTCATCTCCTTATCGTATTCCAAGGGTACATGAAGATGCACATGCTTTGAATGAAACTGAAGAAGTGAACCATGCCGACGACGGAACCCAGGCAATCCGTGACCTGTTGGCGGCTCGCATGAAGACCGCTGTTATAAGAATCGCTCCACATCGTGAGAGCTCTGACTTACTGAACTTCGAGGTGGACCTGGAAGTGTGAGAGAGAATCAAAAGGATCATATACTCTTTTTACTTATACAATGCTGCTGTAACCCAATTCCAGTTGTCCTGTCTTATCCGAAATTGAAAGGGTTCAGTCTGTTAAAGATAGTTCCGGAAACGTTACCAAACATGCTGGACGCAATGTTATTGGCCTTTCCAAACTTGTCGCACTTGGTGAAGGCCATGGCGTTTATCGTAGTCAAGGATATTGCGATTGCGACCAGTATGAGCGATAAGAACTCAAATTTCAAGATCGCAACAATTCCGAGAATGATCCAGAAGGCTGGTGCTCCGTATAGTGCAATCCAAAAAACTTTGGAGTCAATTGGGTTGATATATCTGTTTGGATCCGCAGTTTCAAATACCCAGACACTTTGTCCCAGCTCATTGGTTTCATTCCACCATCTTAGTCCAACCATTAGCCTTCCGCTGATGTTCTTGACATTCCAGAAGTCTGCGGCAAGAGTCAACATCACCACGATGAACACTAGAATGAAGTTCTTGGTGAAGAGTAGGCCAAACAAGTATGCCAGCAGCGAAATTAATCTAATCCCCACGAAAAACAATAAACAGATGGGATGTGACGATTCTGAAAGTCGTTGGTAGAGGGTCATAGGCACCGAAGAGGCGCCTGTGGATTCTGTCTGAGGCAGAGGACTGGCAGTTTGTGCCGACTATAAGATAAGTCAGTAATTGAGTTTAAGAATGCGAAAATTAAATCAGGACTCTCTACCTACCATTGGATGTGTTCTTGGGTGATCGTATGAGATCTACGACTGCTTATAAAGGAGAATGAGCATGTACCGAGTTGATGATGAGACGTGCCAGTCCCAGTGAAAGTAGACAGACATGGGAGGCTCGAGATAGAAGTAGGAGGCTTTATCAAAAATTCTACTAGAAACATGGTTCAACATGTTTAAAATATAGCCCAAACTCAGTGCTTTCTTTGAAAGTAACCTTTTATTTCATTAGTCGGTCTTGAAAACTCCTAGGGGGGAGAGCTCAATCTTATGTACAGAGAATCGTACCTTGCCTGATAGAACCGGCACAACTCCAACAGCTTCCTAGTGCATTTTTCTCAATTTTTCAACTTCTTAGTGAATAAACCAGCCTATTACTCTTCGTCGTCAAGATCAATACCCAGAGCCTTGGCCTTTTCTTCCAATCTCTTCCTCTTCTCTATCCTAGCCTCCTTCATTCTAGCCAGTTCCGCTTGTATTTCGTACTTTTCCTTGGGTATCTTGTTGAGAGTAGCAGGGTCTGGCCAGAATCCAGGAACGTTGAACTTCTTGTCTGTATCTATACCCACGTAGTACATGATAGTTATGGGTGTTAACAGATAGAATGTGAACTATGAGTGTTAGTTATCCTTCGAAGACTGCAAATGGTAGTTTCTTTACCTACTTTAGCCAGCTCAAACTGAGACCGGGTCATCTTAAACTTGGGAATAAGCTTGAACATTTTGAGGCTGCAAACCTGTGCGGAGTAATGGCTTTTAAGTGCTCTCTTGATTATTAGGCAAATGGTCACTCGGGTCAGCCATATAGCAAATGCTAGCGTGGTAGTGTGCTTACTGTTTCGGCTAAAGTTGTCGCTAAACATTGGGCTTTCTACAATAAATGTTCCCTTTATTAGTCATTGTGATCATTATATTCATTCAAAATCCATGGAATCTTGATTTTCAGCGCCTCCACTTGATTCTCCGTTTAACTCTTCGATAAACTCATCTGGCTCACTCTCGGAGTCAGACTCTTTGATGTAAGGTAAGTGATCAATCAAGTTCTCTGGGGTATTACCTAGAACCAAAAAGTCATGATTTGCTCGCCTCGATAACTTGCGTGATGTGGAACTTGGACCTGGTTCTTTGGAAGCCTCTTTTGTCTTCGGCAAGTAATCAACGAGAACAGAGCCCTTGAATCTGGTATCCTTGCCGTCTAGCTGCCCTCTCAATGTAAGTTGAATCCAATCTTCATCCACCACAATCTCGCCTACTTGGCTTGTAGTCTCAGTTCCAGGCGCCTTGTTTGACAATATGTTCTTGAAATTGTTCACAGATGTTTCCCCGAAGCCCAGACTCTCTTTTATTATATCTTCTGCTATCTCCCTGTTGGGTCTTGCAACCTCTCTAGCTCTATCTGGGGTTGCACTCAGAAACCACTTCTCAAAGTTCTCGACTCCTGTGGCATTGAAAGGGGACAAATCGTAGGGATCCAGTTTTGAGGACGGCCGTATCAACTTTACTTCCACGAGCGCTTCAGCAAGATCTTGAATCGTAACGTCATCTATACCCTGGCCTCGTGTCTCTGAGAGCTTGGCCATATTCTTCACAATCAATTGCATGAATCTGATATATGTGTCTGTAAGTATGTCTAAGGATTTGTTGGAGCATTTGTCAAAGCCATGTGACCGTAGTAACTGAAAAGGTTAATATCAGGCAATCCCTCCGTGCATTTCTTTTCAAGGTCAACTTACCTGTGCTATCGATATTCTCAGAAGCGCAAAGTAAAATTCCTCATTCGACATAACGGTAAATTAATTGAGGGATTCTCGTGTTATCCCACCCAATACTCGTACTCTTATCACATCAACAACGGTCAAAGGTGAGTGGGGCCTGAAAAAAACAGTAGTGTTTCCACCAAGTTGGATTTTGAAATCGATGCCAGCTAACGTGTTTTCGATATGGAGGACATCACCTAAATTCACACTTGTCAAACTGAATTGTGGTTTGAAAACAGAATATATATACCGATACAATGCCTGCAAACATATCGTTATACACCGTCAACTCCATCATATTTTTGGACAACGATGGAAAGAGGCTACTTGCCAAGTACTACAAGCCACCTCACGGAGAAGCCGATCCTGATTCTCTTGCCGGACAAGACAAGAAGCAGGCCACTTTCGAGGCCAATTTGTTCCAGAAAACCCAAAAAGTGAATGGCGACATCATACTGTTCGAAAACCAGATAGTGGTCTACAAAGAATACTCGGATGTCATAATCTACCTCACTGGAGGGCTGAACGAGAACGAAGCGTTACTATACACAACATTACAAGGCCTCATCGGTGCTTTGGATATTGTGTTGAAGAGTTCCATCGACAAGAAATCGATCCAGGAGAACTACGATATGGTATCTCTTGCTGTTGATGAGACTGCGGATGACGGTATCATACTGGAAACAGACCCTGCTGTGATTGCCTCGAGAGTGACCAAAGCTCCAACCGATGATGTGAACATCAAGATTGATTTGAGTGAAAAGGGTCTGTTCAATGCCTTCCAATTTGCCAAGTCGAAGGTGTCTGAACGTTTACAGCAGGGGTTTTAAAGTCTTTTGTGTAAGCTCTAGTTGGAAGTCGTCATAAATATATACAATGCCATGTAGATGACTGGTTTATTTTTTCTTGCCTGTTTTACCCTTCGACTTGGAGTCCGATCCTCCTGGTAATACAATCTTCAACTTGGTTGGGGTGATAGCCATCAGAGCGTTTTGCTGGTTGGTTTGAGCAACGAGATTCTGTTTGTCAAACCATTCAGCAGAGTCCTCAGGCTCAGACTTTGCCTGCGCGATATTCGATCTCGAGAAGTAGTCAATAACATCTGAAATGGACTTTCCCTTCTTGTTATTCCCCGGCTGAACTTTGATCTTGTACTTGTATCTGTTCAGTGTTGGCCAGGGTGTGAAAACGGGTATGCAATCCAGAATCTTGTCGGATTTGTTAGGGGCAGCGATTAATCCTGAAATTGTCTCCCAATATGGCTCCCCGATCTTGACCTCTGATTCTTCACCGTCTTCTTGTGCAATATCGTCATCTTGTTCGAGCTCCTCGAGCAGCTTGCGCAAACGATTGGCTTCTTGGATCTTCTTGCTTGGAGGGCGACGAGAAGGAGCCGTTGTATCAGCAGACTCGGCTGCTTCAGCTGTAGACTTTTTTTTCTCCACCTGCTTCAAAGTACCAAGAACAGACATTCTCAGCCTTCTTTCTTCTTCATCCTGATCACCATATTTTTGTTTTATTTTCTTGAGCTTGGCTTTTTTACCACGGATCTTGCTCTGAATCTGGTCGTTAGGACCTGGTGGCTTCAAATCCAGCGAATTGATGGACTCTGATATGGTTTCAACGTCGTCCTCAACATGAGTCTGAAGTTCTTGGCCAATCTTTGAATCTTCCTCTGTGGGAGCACCAATCTTTGCAACCATCTCCTTCAACTCGTCAATTCTTGTCTGCTTTCCATTTTCAGCATCTACCAGTTTGAGCTCTAGCTCACTATCTCTGGTCTTCTTCGCAGATTTGTACTTCTTTGTTGTTTCGTCATCACCTATCCACAACAACCCAAAGCCCATAACAAGCTGACAAGGAGGTAGATACGTACGTTCTCTTGCCACATTGAGCATTCCACTGGGCAAAATTGTACCATCGTAGTCCTTTTTCGATACATCAACGCCCTTGACAAACCAGGGTGAGGTCACGATCTTGTTATCCCACGCCTTTGTGGTTGACAAACTATACACCCCCGCTTGAATGAACGTCGTAGGTGGTATGTCTTTGTTGGAATATGGGTTCTTGATGAAAACTTTCAAAGCATTATCCAGATCATTGGATACCAACACATCGTTTGAGTTGTTGAAGTATTTGTAATAAAGCAAGTCAACCTGGGCCGTATCGCGCCCAGCAACACATAGGAACCCATCGCTAGAGATGAACCAATAGAACTTCTCGAACCAAAACTTGTTTCTCAGTTGGACTAGACCAGTCTGACCACCACTTACTTGAGATGATTGTTGTTTGGTTAACCGTTTCATATCAAGGGCAATCTTCTTCTCTGTGTTTTTCAGGGCCATGTTCGCATTTTTCTCTGTCTTGGTCTGTTTTTCTTGTGCCACTTTAACGGCATCAAAGTAGCTAGTTGAGTTGGCATATGCTGATAACCCCAAATCTATGGAAACACTTACAGTTGGCTGGCTGTTTTTCTTGCTGTGGGCTGGTTTTGGCTTTTCTTCCGTCTCTGAATCCGAAGAGTCTGACTCTGACTCTGACTCTGACTCCGAGCTGTTGGAATCGTCGCTTTCGTCGTGGTCATCGTCTGCTAACGAGTCGGGTAGATTCACGTTGATCTTGTTTTCCTTCAGGTTCAGCGGAAGGTTAATCATAGCCGCAACTTCACTTCCACGATTCTTCTCGATCGAGATTAACTTCTCAATGTTCTTCCAGTCCATCTGCTGATCCAGCAAGGACTGTACAGCACTTTTGCACTGTTCAATCAGGTCACTATAGATGACAATCAGCTCTGCTTTCTTGAAGTTGAGCTGTTGTACCTCGGTAAGCTTGCTGATCTTGGCCTCGTTTTCGTCTTTCACTTGCTGTAGTCTCTTCTCGGCATTATGCTGTTGGGCTTGTTGTTTCAACGAGTGCTTTGAGGTTTCAATGGTGGAAAAAAACTCATCAATGGTATTGTTATAACCCGTCACAGTGCTGATTCTGGTGTTGTCGTTGACCTTGTGGATGGGCTCAAATGGATGGAACTCTTCGTAAATGTACTCCAAGTTTGACGATTCGTCTTTCTCAATCTCTGCCTTCCTGTATAAAGGATTCTTCTTGCTCAGAATGTAACCTTGAAATTTGTCAGCTGGGGTGTTCACCAGTTCCTCCAGCTGGGAAGAAGCGTTGTGCAAAGCCTTAGTGGTCTGTTGAAGAACAGTCTCGTCTTCCAGAAGCCTGAAACAACTGGCTCCGAATTCTATGCCCAGCTTTATCAAGTGAATATGTATCAGATCTGAAGACAGGTAACTCGCCTTGAGGAATAGCTGCTTGTGAATCGAGTAGACCTTACCTTTCTGCTCGTCAACATTTTTTTTGGTCTCTTCGACCCAGGATTTGATATCCCCGGCACTTATTTCGGGATATCCGGTCTTCTCCACAGAATTCTCCTCAAAAAGACTTTTCGTAAACATCTGGTATGTTTCAGCCACCGCGTATCTGTCGTTCGCCTGGTGTTCGCTGACAGTTCTTTGGAGGGACAATATCTTGAGATTCTCGTCAAGCAAAATGATATTTCCTGCACTGAAGAACTCCAAAACCAAATAGTTCAATCCATTGGCAAATTCGAAAACCACAATTCTGTCGTCCCCGACCTGCTTGACATTGGATAGCCTTTTCGACTTGATGTGCTTACGGAGCTTCACCACGAAATTTGATGGAAGCTGCGTAACTGGTCTCTGGAACTTGGTGGTATGGAATTTGAATCCAGAATCAATGATTAGACTCACCTTTAGGTCGGGTCTTCCAAACTTCAGCAAATAAGACCTATTGCTGTTGGCTAGTGTGTAGATGTTCTGGAGGCGACAATCAGCCAGCGATTTCTCAGCCTCAGATACGAGTATTTTTATGTCCAGAGACGTCAATCTTTGCTAAATATAATCGTGTTAATGATTGTTGATTATTCCCTGGTAATTTGAAAGGCTTTCACTTACTTTCATCTCGAATTATCGTATCTATAATAGTGGACACTGGTGTACCTGGGGTATTGCTTCTATGACAAACCATGAAAACTCTGAGCGATGCCCTAATAGCAGGCCGGTTACCCAGTTCAGCCTCCAGGTCATCTCAGCCTGGACGTCCCCATTTTTCCAGCCTTAGTTCCTAACTCCAATCTTCAAGAAACTTGGAGAGAATATTCAGCGAAATATGGAGCAGAAACTTCAGAGTGTGGTCAACACGCTTACCAAGAAGAAGAAGCCTAGGGTGGTGGTTTTGGTGAGTATATTCGATCAAACTGGAATGTTGGCTACAGACTGCTAACAGCTCTTAGTGCGGAGCAGGTATATCCACGAAGGCTGGTATACCAGACTTTAGATCTCCTGAAACTGGTTTATACAGCAATCTCCAGAAGCTCAGCTTGCCATACGCTGAGGCAGTATTTGATATAGAGTATTTTCGCAAGAAACCACAGGCCTTCTATACTTTGGCTGAGGAACTATATCCGGGGAAGTTTTCACCCACCAAGTTTCACTACTTCATCAGACTACTTCAGGATAAGCAGTTACTGAAAAGGGTTTACACGCAAAATATTGACACCCTCGAGAGAATAGCCGGTGTTAAAGATGAGTATATCGTCGAGGCGCATGGATCATTTGCAACCAACCATTGCATAGATTGCCGGGCCGAAATGTCGTCCGAAGAGCTTAAGAGACAGATGGACGACAAGGCCAGTGGTGGTATTCCCAGGTGTGCAAAATGCAAAGGATATGTCAAGCCCGACATCGTATTTTTTGGGGAAGGGCTTCCGGCTCGTTTTTTTGATCTGTGGGACGATGACTCTGAGGAGATCGATTTGGCGATAGTAGCAGGAACATCACTGACCGTATATCCTTTTGCGTCTTTACCTGCTGAGGTTGAGGCTAATGCTATCCGTCTTTTGATAAACAAAGAGCATTGTGGTGACTTCAAGCAGAATCCAAGGAAGACCGATGTTCTGGCTCTTGAAGATATCGACGAGGTTGCCGAGACATTGGCTAGGTTATGTGGATGGGAGGACGATCTTCGCAGATTGGTGGAAACCACCTCCAATGATGATGAATCCGATACTTCAAGCAATATCGACGAAGCAAAAGTAAGATCCGAAGCTATTGCCTCGAGTATCACAGAGACAGAAACCAAGGAGGAAACCAAGGAGGAAACAGAGGAATCTGCTGATATCGAGGATCTCTCTAAACAGCTTTCTGGTCTTTCAGGAATTGGTAAGCAGGGTAAGATACCAAAGAGTGATCAATAATCATGATAAAGAAAGGATGACTGAGATTTTTTTGATTTTTTTTTGTACTTCTGATATTTGGAGTTTCTAGATTTTGCGAAATTCTCAAAAATTCTACTTTTCGGGGTAGCATTTGACACTCTGACAAATTACGAACGAATTGTATTTTAATAAAGAAAATTAGAGAAGAGTCTACAGTTCACGTTCAATGAACCATACCATTGTCAATGGCATCTTGGACGTAAGTCCAGTAAGCTGCCTTGGTCCAGTTTCTCCACCGCTTACCATAGTAGACCACAGGCAAGAAGGTGAGGTTACAAGCAATGGAGATACCACAGGCAGCGATGAAAGTCTTGTTCAGCCCTTGATTATCAACCCATGGAGTGATACCATAATTCATGCCAAAACTCATTGTGTTTCTTATAAGGATGACAGAAACGATACCAAGACCACTCAAATCCTTGTAGGACTCGTAAACGTAGTTAACGGAGCAGGCACAGCCCAGCAACGCACTACCACCAAGAAGACCCATTCCAAACACAATCCCGATCCAGTGAATCTTGTGATAAGCACCAACACCCCACAAAATGAGAGAACATGGAGCTATAATAAGATAGAGTGCAAAAAGCCACAATCTGTCTTCTGGCTCAGAGATACCAGTTCCTCTGCGACGAGCAATACGCAGTCTGAGCCAGTCACCAAACCAACCAGCGTAGACACTGAAGATGAAGCAGAAGATGATTGGCGAAATATATGTCAGACCAATCATCGAGGTGGAGAAGTAGTAAGGATCGGCACTGAAGATGGTGGAAGCAGTACCGTTTAAAACGTTGAACCAAATAAGCGACGAACCATAACAGAAGCCAGCCCAGACGATACCAGGGAATCTGAGCATGGTGACAGGCCTGACTATAAGTTTCCAAAGCATGAAAGGACGAGAGCGGTCCAACAGCTTGAGTTTGGCAACGAAGGACTTCTTTGTGTACGTAGGAGCCGGAGTCCCACTTTCATCGCCAGATGACGCGGTCCCAACAACCGCATTGGCAGCGGACTTCTCGTCAACCTTCATCTCTGGCGAAACGTCTTCAACAATCTCGTCATCTGGCGCAATGTGTGGGCGGAAATAGTTGGTCTCTTCCCAGAAAAAGAAGAGGAAAATAAGAGAAAGTCCGTCGAAGATCACGGTCCAGTAGATGACCCACTTCCATTGCATACCTTGGGCGATGAATCCAGCAACGAGAGGAGCAATGTAATTACTAACACACAGGACCAGAGCGTACAGAGACATCCAGTTACCTCTTTCATGTTCAAAGAAAATATCAGCGACTGAACTTTCAGGAAGGGACTCAATAGACGACACGAAAAATCCTTGCAAGATCTTCGATCCGATCCACTGAGGTCCGGTCTTGACATAGGCCTCCCACAATGTGGAAAAAGTGACACCCAATACACTGAACAGATAAGCAGGTCTCTTACCGTACTGCAGTGCCATTGGCTGCCAGATCAAGTTACCCCAACCACAGAACAAAAACATGACACCAGTACCAGTGTTCAAATTCGAGACCGTCAGAGTGGAGTGCTCTGTGATGTCGGTGATCACCGAATACACAGCGGAACCAGAAACACCGAGGGCCATCACGTAAAGCACCATACAAAACATGTTCAGATACTTTCTGCGTTTTGACCAGTTAAGGGGATCATCGGGGTGATCACTAGGAGTGGGAACAAGCACGATTTCCTTCTCATGTATGGCGTAGGCCAGATCACCAGACTCGTCCACCAGGTGGACAGAGCCTGGGATAGCTTCGGTGTTGATGTGCATCTTTTCACTGTAAACAAAGTCAGAACTTGAGCTAACGGTTGGATTCAAGAAACCGAAAGACTTCTGAGCGTATTGAATCACCTACTTATAGGAAAGAGAGTAAAGAGACAAATCTTATCGGGTGTAGTTCTGCGCGCGCATCTCCGAGAAGTCGTTATCGCAATTGTGATTCCACCCCTTCCAAAAATACAAAAGAGAATTTTTAGATGGCAACTGTCAGACGGAAAATCATTTCCTATCAAAAGTAGGTGACCCCAAAGAGGGCACGTAAGCGCTCGTTGATACCTACTGATCTTAATTCGAAGGCTGATCTGTTTCAGGGCGGTGCTCTTTCGGCGCACCCAGAAAACTCCTACTTTCTGGCGCGGTACAGTCTAGCGATTGTTCAAAAGCAGATCACATAGTGTTAAATTTTACAAACATGCTTCGATACTGATCCCGGATTTCTGTCAGATTTGCCATATGGAGAGGTTCTCGGGACACCTTAAGACGATATGGCTTCATGCATCAGCGCTTCATATACCGCATCGGGAAATGATATCAGTACGGCTAGTATCGGGGGGTCGGAAAGTAGTCTCTCTTAGAGACTAACACAGTAATAGATGGCAATTAACAACTTAACAAGACAATATCCGCCCCAAATTCAGCTAAAGTATTAGGGGGATGAATAATGGTATAATGTGCTTGCAATGTGTCTGCAGTTCAAAATTTAGAGCTGGATCAACTCATTAAGCGACCCAGAATACAGTTTTCCGAGCCACCACCGGCCCTATTCCGACTCTCTCTGAATGGAGCAATAACCATATCTAGTGCAGATAACGCCAGATAAGAAAACACGGCCGGAGTAGTCTGATTTTTGGCATATTAACCGCGAACTGATACGTACTTGGCATGATTATCTATGCAGCAATAAAACAAGCTACATTTAAGCGCAACTATAATGGTTAAACCTCATTAAACCGTTAACAGCGGAGTTATTAAGTAAGACTGAAACTTTTCAGCAGAGCATCTCTCAATAGCTTCATGCTACACCCAAAAAAGGCCAAGAGTTTTTGTGGTCAAGGTCAGACAAAATTTCTGCACTTTTGACATAACATCTGATTGTTTTAGGTTTTCTAGTTCCGTGATTGGGACTCAGATAAGAGTCTTTTCTTATAATAAAGTGTAAATTTGATCTGGCGTGTACCATGATCAATATTCCGAATTTGACGGTGTGCGTCTCTAATGCGGTGCTGCCCTTGACTAGGCGTCCTTCCCCTTACTGAATCAGTAGCCTAACCATACATGGCGCTAATACAGCAGATATATTGTGGCCATTGTGATTATCTTGCCCTGAAAATTTCTATTTAATCATGCCCAATGCTCGAGCCAAACTGCGCAGCAAGATTGGGTGCATGCCCTGTATGTCATCAATTATAGCTCTTTTTGTTGAAGACACCTTACTAACGCATTTATCGTACTACAGGCAGGAAGAAGAAGAAGAAGTGTGATGAGGCCCATCCTTTGTGCAACCGATGTTCAAGGACACATACAGTTTGCGTTTGGCCCACTGCGGATGAGCAGATGGACAGAAGATTTCGAAAGAAGAGAGCAGCACTAGCAGCGGAAGCAAACCGTGATATTGTCATCAAGGTTGACCAGACCTTGCAGCAATTACCGGAAACGATAACCATTCAAAATGTCATTAGACCAGTTTCCGAGGACACGAAGTTAATGGAAGTCAAAGAAGAAGACGACTGGTCTCTATATCAAATCAAAGACCAGAAAAGACCCAACACAATAGAAATACAAAACAGTGGCATGCTCACTCCAGTGGAATTCTACCAAGACTACAATCCATACGAGGGATTGCATTCAAGCTCAGATGAGGAGTCAAACGAGGTCGATCCCATGAAAATGTCACTGTCGTTCTCTCCCATAAAGACCTATAAGGATTGGTTACCTGGATTGGATCTGGAGTATTTCGAAGCAAAAGCGCTTTTCCACTTTCTACACGACTATGCCTTCATCATTCTACCGCCATATTCAGATCAGCGATTCTGTTTACACAACACGCTCGTTCCAATGGCTTCCGAGCACAAGCCCCTGCTCGACATATTTATGGCATGTGGTGCACATTACGCGAGTCACTACGACAAGTCCTTTAAGCCCATACGGCAGATGTTTTCAGAAAGATACGTGAATGGTTTGAAGTCCCTCATGGCTAGCGGCGATGTCAAAGGTGACGAGGAATGGCTTTTTGGAGGTGTGCAGCTCATGATTGGACTGGATAAGCTGAAGGGAACATCAACAACAACCATCGTGAAGCACATACAGTTCGGAGCAAGTCTGGTTAGACAGCAGCTTCTAAAGAAAAAACTAACGTTGGGGATGGGAAGAACTCCACCACATGAGACAGTTGAAGGTAGGTCGTTGCTGGAGTCATTTGTGTATCACTATACTGTTGCGATTCTCTTCTGTTCCGACGAAATGCTGAAATTGCTTCCCCATTCTCATGTCGCATCCGAGCTGATCAGGATTTTGGAGACGCCTCTTTTTGAAAGTGAAATTCCTTGGGCTAACAACCCGTTGATGGGATGTGCGATTGAGATTTTTGCCCTGGCAATCAAGATACAGTGGTTGTTCAGAACCATGGAACCGACACCCGAACAAATATCCACGGGAACTGCACTCTTATTCGAACTAGAGTCCTGGGAAATGTTTGAGGACAATACCCACAAGTCGCCTTACTTTCAATATGCCATAAATTATGCCTATCTGGTCAAACACGCAATGCACATACTGTTGATCAAGACTTTGAGACCCCAAGTGCACGAGACAGACCCTGAGATTCAGCAGGATGTAATGGCTGTAATCGCCAGATCATCCACAATCCAGGCAGGAGATAGTTCTGGATCAACAGGAAATCTCATGTTCTGGCCGCTTGCAATATCTGGACTGGCCGCGGTTACAGAAGAACAGAGAAAATTTTTCAGACAGAGAATATGGTCGATGGGAGAGCAGGCCCACGGTGAAGCAAAGATCGACAGTGTTATGGTTCTTTACGAGTACGCATGGAGTATAGAGCGCAATTATCCAGGACTGAACACGCTTCACAATAGACAGGTGATGGCAGATTGTTCTATATAGTATGTTCTATATTGGACTGCTTGAACGCTTCGTTTATCAGTTTATGAACTCGCTGCTTATGATTTCGTAACCCATCCTCTCCCTCAAAACTTTCATGTCCGACTGAGAAAACGTCAATGGTTTCCCTCTAGACAGATACTCGCCAACAGTACAGGTGAACACACCACAATCAAACCCATTTTGCTGCTGTGGAGTCTTCATGTTGAACCCTTTCCAACTGTGGTAGTCTGCGCTTGCAGACCCATGAATTCTGGTGGATTCGTCAACCATATAACCAGCCAAGTTATTGAAAACACTTGGATTGGAAGCTCCCAGTGAGTCGTAGTACTCATAACACTGTTTCTTGTTGTTTATCACTGCCAAAGTCCAGTGCGAAGTGCCCACATTGACAGGGACAAAGACGTAGTCTAGATCAGTGACATCGACCTTCTTCTTCTTGGCCCAACGAGCAACAGATGTATATCCACGGCTAGCCAGAGTGGTGTAAAAATGAGTGGTAAAGGCAAACATCTTTGGCAGGGGACGTGTTTCTTGGCTGGAACGTGATCTGTCCACCATCATGGCAAAATAGAAATCCATAATAGTGTCGTTTAACCACCTACCATTCCTCAATCTTAAGAAGTCCACCACTTTTACCGTAACACCGAAGTTCTTAGAAACAACAGTATTCTCGTCCCGGCTTGTCCAAAAACGATTCACCATTTGCAAGCGATCTGCTGGAAGGGGTTTCACCACTGAAGACTCCTTCAACCTGGCAAGATTCACAAGCTCTTGTCTCTTCTTCTTCTGCTCCATTACAGCCTGATAGGCCTTAAACTCCTCCTCAAAGTTGATCACATCTGGTTCCTTCCGAGACACCCCGGTGATCATCCAATCGTCACCATGATACGTAGTAGGCTCCTCTTTTTTGAGAGGGGAATCTGGCAACATACTTCTCAGTCTCTTTGAAAACTCTGAGAACTTGTTGATAGAGGTTTCAGAACCTTGTTTGTAATTTTTTTCTTTGAAATCGGCGACTCCTCTCAGATCTACCTCAAACAAGCCATCCTTATTGAACACCTTCTTGAAGTAGTCCGCTTCGATATCCGGTTCTCCTTGGGAGACAAACTTGGAAGGGAAGAATCTACTTCCATACTCTGATTTTCTTACGGGAGCCTTGGGTTCGGTCTTCTGATCCCAAACAAACGAGGATACCACCATACTGTCATTGGCATCATCGTACAGATATCCATCGGAAGGACGAGAGAAGGAATGGCGGTCAAAAATATTGGACCTATCAAGAGTCTGATCAACTCTGGGTTGCTGTTCCACTATATCGTATAGCTCAGTATTCTTAGCCACCACTGGAGAGGAGCTTGCTGCTGAGACGAGCCGGCTCAAGAGTGAAACTTTCCTCGGAAAAGATCCTGGTACCTGTGCACCCGACGAACTACCAGCTCCCAATTCAGGCTCCTCCTCTTTGTCTTCAGTACTTCTGCCTAGGACAGAGTCCTTCAGAGCAAACAGGACAACCACCAAAAACCTCAGTATCAACCATAGAATTTTCAGAGTCTGGTTCCCTATGGTTAAGGATGCATCAATGACCCGTTTGTCAAGTGTATAAACAGAGCTATCATCTTCGAAATATTGCTCATCAGGCAGAATGTATGTATCGTCGACATTCTGAAATAACGGGGACGATCCTGACGGTATACGACGTGGAGGTACATAACTGGATCTGTTATTGCTCACCGTCCGTCTCGCCAAGAACCTCTGAAATTGTAATAGTCCTTTGTTGATATAAGCTGAAGGACTATCCTGCTGGAAGTTTTCAGTTTTCTTCTCTGCAGAGCTTTTAGGAGTTGACGAATCAACATATCCGTCGTCAGCAAGAAACGGCACTGAACCGTCTTTGTTGAACCTCGTCTGAGGCGGAAAGCTCTGCTGTGACGAACCACGGGCAAACCCAGTGAAATCCACAAACTTTGTGTCAGACTTGCGTTGAACCCCATAAGCGCCGCTATATGGATTCACCTCTCGTTTTCTGATATGAATGCTATTGCCATTCAGTTCTGCCTTTGCATCGCTGCTACTCCTCCATTGAGATGTCATCTTTCGGCACAGAGACTTGCTCCTGAAGAATAAGAATCACGTCGAAAAAAACACAGTATTAGAGGAGAAATAAAGATCTAGAATTGGTCACACCGACTAATCAGGCAAGGATCTCACTGTAAAACATACAAATCAGAAGCTTTTGACTTATCACTTTACAAGTGTGCGAAAAAAACACAAACACATGTAGTGTGAGTGTGTACTAACCGTGGTCACGCCGCACAAATCCTAAATTTTTGATGAAGTTTGATTAAAAGAAACATAAAAGAGGTTCAAACTTGTGTCAAAGTGACAATAGTTTGATTATAGTTCAACGCAATAGTTCTGAACACTAACTTTCTCCCTCGTTCTTCTTGCCTCGTAGTTTTGACGATTATGGCGACTCTAGCGTGTTCCAACAGAACAGGTTTGGTTCTTATTGTGAAAGCTCGTTACTAAGGGCGAGTGGCTGATTATGAGACACTCAACGAAGAGCTGTTTGTATTTTATCAATTGGTGTTGTAATTTATCTGTGAAACTCTTACACTCGTGCACATATGAACTCACCTAAAATGTGTTATGCATAATTCAATGCTTTCCAATTGCATGAAAATTGACAGTGAGTTACCCAAATAAATAAGACTATCTCAAAAGTTCACCAAGTGGGTTTTTTAGAAAATTAAATAGAAATTGAAGTAAAAGGTTGAGCTCGTGAAAATAGTTTCATCTGCATATCAATCCGGAATCGGGATAACCTGCAACAAAAACGGTCGTTGGGTAGGATCTTTGGCCGAGTGGTCTAAGGCGTCCGACTCAAGATCGGATCTCGAAAGAGGCAGGAGTTCGAACCTCCTAGGATCCATTATATCTTCCCAACAATTTTTTTTTTTGATTTTTTTTCGTAATGTAGTATTTCAGGCTCTTTATTATTATTAACAGGTCTTACTTAGACAGAGCCTTTATCTGCCCTTCGCAATTTTGGATAATGGTGGTGCTGGCTTCAATCTTATCACCAAGGTATTGCAGTCGCTTCTTGAAAAGTTTTGGCTCGACATCCTTAAATTTCTCAAGCTCAGCTTCAAACTTTGCAATCTTTGAAGTCTCAGCATTGATGAGAGAAGTCAGATAATCCGTTTCGAGATTGGAGAATACCCTTTTATTTTCCACCATACTCTTAAAACTTTCCCTGTAGATGGGCTTGGCAGGTTTGATCTCTTTCACGAGACCAGTCTCTCTGACAATGGAGATTAACTCGTCTTTTTCCATCGAATTGAGGATCTCGTATGGATTCGCCTTGAAAAGTGGGTGGAGTGCAATTTTGTCCCACGGAATCGACTTTTCAGAGGCCAGAATCTTGATTAGGAACCAAGCTTGAGAAGAGTTCCACACATAACTGTCCTTCTTCGCCGTGAATACTTGCGACAATTGCTCGGCAGTTTGATCCACCATTCCAGCCAGAGCCTCCTTGGGCTGTTCACCACTCTTCAACCTCCTGACAAACATTTGCAGATCAAGCATACGTCCACCAAATGGAGCAATCGCTTCGGTCAAGTCTTTCTCGTAGCTCGTAGTGACATCCCCACCAATTTGGTTTGAAACGTACTGAATAGCAGAGCTCTCTGAAGCGTCTGCCAAAACGCACCTTTTGAAGACTTGTGATGGAAGAGCATCCGACAAAGTTTGAAGACTGCCTACATCGTCAGTGATGAAGATAACGTGGGCAACGTTCATGGATATGAGATTTGCAGCCCATTCTGAGATCTCTCTGTAAATGAACGAATTAGGGTCGTGGGACCGTCTCGAAGACTGGAACCTGTCGATAACTATCACTGGTTTGACATTGGGGTTCTGCCTTAAATAGTCATCCTCCTTGACTAGTGGGTGGTTCGCATCGTCTCCTCCACAATCCAGTTTGCCATAATCCTCCAAGGCTATATCTCTGACTGCATTGGCCGCAACGTTAAGAATGTTCTTGACTTGAGACTCTTTGCTTTCACTTAGTCCAGACTTTTGGCCTGTCATACCCTGCACTGCTAAATCCACAAAAGAAGATACCGAGTTCAACCATGAGAATATCGGAAAGTACCCAATCTCCTGAGCAAACGTCTTCAAAAACTTGCCCTCAGATCGAGGTTTGATCAACTTTTCGCAATCGATAACCAAAGTGTTGGGACGGCCATTGAGCACATGTTGATCGATCATACTCTTCTTACCAGAACCGCGAGGTCCTTGAAGCACGATAAACGTATCAACGTTCTCTTCAAGCCAAATCTTCATCTGTTTTGCCTTTTCCAGTCTCTCCGACCATAAGCCTGTGATTGAAACCTCGTTGGCACCTTGAGTTGCCAATGGTTGCCAGATCAAGCTCTTCATAGAGTTTGTAGTTGATTGAAATAAGTCGAATAGCGGCTTTGTCCAGCCGTTTTTAGACAACGAATACTTCTGAGAGATCTTCTCCCGGATAAAGAAGTTTCTGATAGGGTCAAAAATCAGAACAGCCACAGTAGCGAGAATACCGATGATCACAGGAATGGCTATTCTGGGGTGTCCAGAGATATAGCTGGATAAAGAGGCTCTCTCCTTGCGGGGTTCGTACTGGATATGGATTGTGGTACCATCAACAGTCAGACCCGTGACACAATGCCTGGCAGTAATTGCAGACCTTGTCTGCCTAAATGTGACATAAGCTGATAACGGAACTTCCTTTGAGTCAGGTGCAGGGGGTTGGATATCCTCAATTATACCATAACGACGAAACAACAGATACATGTTCTCCTGGGTGAGCTGGGGACCATTGAATGACACCTTTATCTTTGAAGTAGCAAACCTTCGAAGATCTTCAATCCATGGAATTCCTTTCACCGGGAAGCATCTATTATGGGTGAGCATATGGAGCAGCCCGTTTCCAGAAAGACTGGCAACATTGCTGGTGATCTTCTTGTTGAACTCAGCAAGAGTGTATTGCTCGGGGACCCGAAACTTCACAAATGCTCCACCATCTCTGTTGATCAGGGTGAAACTGGTCATTTCCAAGTCGGATAAAACACCATCTTTACCGCAAGCCAATTCCAAAGTTCTTTTCTTCAGTGATTCTTCACTTGTCGCGGTAAACAACCTCACGAAATATTGCCTCAAATCCCAATTGGACGTACGCACGGGCAGTAGCTTGTCAAAAAACAGCAAAGTCTCCTCATTCTTCTTTTGAATCACACCTGTGCTTTCAACACCTTCATCTTCTCCCACATCTTCTTCTTCTATGATTCCGTCTTGATGTAAGAACCTTCTTGCAGCAAGCCTGGGAGCCAAAGTGCCATTGGCCGAGCGAATCGAGAGTCTGCCATTGCCTGCCAATAAAATGCCAGGGTGCAAACCAAGCAGCCTAAGCCCGGAGTTCAACTTCATCAGGGCTGATAAGTCAACTGGAATAAGGCACTCTGTTGTTTGGATGGAGTACAAGAACCTGGGGCAAACCAGATTTAGGTCGCCGCCCCATAGAACTGCGATGGGGCAGATTCCTTTATTTGGCCATGCACACTACACCTACAATGCATATCAGACTTTTAGCTCCACATTCCTATTAAATCAATAAATTAAACCTTGAAAATGGCTTCGTAATGGTTTATCATATCCTCGCAAACGAAACTCATCACTCCAAAGTATTGCCTGGTTATGTCTGGGCCAGAGCCCTCAGTGAAGGTAGCACCTAAAATCGTCGCGAGATTCGAGGCATTCATCTTGCTGAACTCCTTGTACTCGTCCACTTTTCTCAGATGACTGATAAGTCGCTTCAAAAACTGGTAGTTATGGAAAGGAAGAGACTCAAGGATTCGTGTGTAGGAGAAACACTTCTCGTCGACATCAGATATGCGCTTTCTCGCTTCGGCAAACCGAACCACCAGTTCATCAGGAACAAGTGGATCTGGAAGCTCCCTCAAAAATACTTTGATACATGCGGCAGCGTTGTTGATATCCAATACCAGATGATTCTCCATGCTCAGGTCACCATGGGCATCAATCTCAGCCTTGATAGAGTTCAATACCGTCAGCGAAGCACTCTTCCTATAGATACCAACCTCCTCCAAACCCCTCATCTCTATCTCTGTCATGAGCTTCTCCAGAACAAGTGGAACTAGAGATCCTTCTCTCACGCAAATGTACTCCAGCGGGACTCCAAAAACTTGTGTTGGAGGGGCATGTGCAACCAAGGCTTTGGAGAAAAACCAGTGCTTAGCAGAATAGCTGCTCTTGGTGATCCAGTCTTCTCTGTCCTTCTCATCAATTGCTTGGAACAGATAAGTGATATCGGAATTAGCACTGGTAATCTTGAATGACGAGGGAATATGGTACACCGGGAACACAAGATGGTTCTTCAGACATACATGGAGGAAAGGCTTTTGCTTGATATCAGAAAAGTCCGCAGCATCAGGAAGCTCGTCTATTGTGACGACTTGTTCGGGGTTCGTAGACCCAAACGTAAAAGGCTTTGCAGCACGACTAATGAGCCCCGAAAACCTAAACTTGTTGTTGGTTGGAGTTGAAACTGTGCTCTTCTTTCTCAGCGTACTGGCAAGAGTTGTTGAAGATGAAATTTGAGGAGTTACCTTCGCTGGCCTGACCGGCCTATAAGTGCTCATTTGACGTCCAAGGCGGTCTTTTTCGACTTCTTGCTTGCTCAAAAATACCTTCTTCGCATGCTCTCTTGAAAGAATCTTCAGCTCTTCATCCAGCAATGTTCCAAACAATCTGATATATTTATATGCCCCCTCCTTGATGTACTCCTTCGACTCTCGGGAAGCAGCCTCAACTAACAATTTTTTGCCATATCCCTCGGGGTTCAATCCGAAAACAAACGAAAAGTCAACAGTATCATCCGAATAGTCTCTATTTTGCAGTGCAACCATATCAACGATATTGGACACACAATTATATGCAAATCTCCTCTTGTCAAAGTTGATGAGATTCGTATTCTCCACTGACATATTAGGTATGTAATATGCAATCTCAACCAGCCTCTCCAATAGCCAACCAGGACATGCCGTCAGTGTGGATCCACTAGTGAATTCTGTAGGGATTTCAGCCGGCAAAAGATCTTGCAGTGATCCAACCGCAGTTAGATATTCTCCTCCATTGAACGATTCCGCGGCTGCGACCCATGAATGCGCAAACAGCCTAGACTCGGGGCTTATGATGGTGTTAACGATCACAGATTCCAGGAGTGAAGGGACATGTGGAGATACGCCAATCTCTTGAGCATCCTCGGGGTCGAAGAGATCCAGTACCTTCATTCTGGATCTGGTTACCGTCAACATTAACAATGCTGCCCTCATTCTCTTTACTCTTTCATCTCTAGTGATATTGGGGTCACACAATTGCAGACTAAAATATGTCTTCAGCTTCGAGTAGAGGTCAATAATTGACCTCACAGACGAAGGCAGAACGTTCAAGACTTTGACTCTGTCTGCACCTTTGATCGCCACCAACGAGGATATCCAAGAAAATACGTTCGATATGGCCAGTTCATCCTCTGGAACTTTAAGCTTCTGCATTTGATACTGAGATAGACCGGTCAGGGAGTAGGTTGCCTGCATCTCCAAAGCATCAAATGTATCCAGCCAATCATTTGTGGACGCTTGAATGAACACTTCATGAATAATTGAGTCAATGCTTGAGATGAACCCTTTGATTTTCGAACTATTGTCAGACAGTAGAGCATCCAACGGCACAATAGAAGAGCTCTCAGGAAACTGGGGTATGGCAACGGAGGGAAGAAGCGGTTTGTAGGACTGCCTGATATATGAGCGCCTTAGCTTCTTATAGAGCAATAGTATCTTCTCGTGATACAGTTCAACTTGAACAGAATCCTCACTTTTACCTCCGCTTTGATCCAAGAAATTTCTCGACGAAAGCACAGCTTCATGATCGATGATTCTCAAAACCTCTGTGAAGATCCTCTTCGCCTCCAAGTCACTTGCAAAGTGGTCAAAATGGTCTCTCACTAAAATCAGCAAGGCCTCCAAAACACCGATTCTAATTTGCAAGGTGTACTTCTGAATGATCACATCCGACTTGGCGTCTCTTTTAGACTGCCATTGAGGATAGCCACTCATTTTGAACGCTCCTGAGATACTCTTTCTCAGAGATATCGATTGAGCAGCAGACTGGGCACCCACAAAACGCGCCATCAGTCCTTTGAGAAGAGACGATGTAGAACAAAACCCACGATATGTGGCAAAGAATGTCACTGTATATACACCATTGTCCATGCGCAAGTTCACCACATTAGAAACAACGTCTGAGCTCAAATATGGTATGACATCGTCTTTCTTGATTTCTGCCGCAAATATCGAAGATGTCAAAACTAGAAGATCTATCAGACGATCCAATGTGGCAGACTTTGTCAAAATCTCCACAGAGTGAGGCTCCGCTTGACGTTTGCTGGATGTCAGATTGAGCATACCAATGTCATCCAAATTCAACCCACTGGAAGAGTAACTACTGAATCTCTTCGTATTGATGGACTCAGTAAAGAGGATACTAGAAGGGCGGGACCTGGACCTCATAGTTGACAGGGAGTCACGTTTAGACGTGCCATCAACGCCTTCCAGTCCTCTCACATGCGTTGTTCCGCTACGTAAGTTTTCGCGCTCATTCTCCTTCTCATTGTCCTGGAGGTCATTGAGAGCCTCCGCGTCTGACATGGTCTTGAAAACGATTTCGTCGCCAACATGGAAGTCAGAGGATCCAATGTTGAAAAGATCTCTTATGCTTTTCAGGAATTGGGTCCTTCCAAGATAACCTGCAGCTGGAGCAAGCACATCCTTATTCTCGTCGGACTTGACAACGTTTGACTGGTTCGACAGAGAGTTGTCATAAACGGCAATACTCTTTGAATTTTCGTTTCCACCTATGGCACCTATCAATGCACTCTGGTCATATATCTGGTACTTATCCAACGGGGAAGGGAAGATCACTGAGGCGTAGGAACCAAGAAACAAAGGACTTCTCGAGGTATTATGGAACTCGTGGAACTGACCTGCAAATGATGGCTCAACTTGTAAAGATAAAGTCATCACTCTTTCGATGTTGGAAGGCTCTTTGGAAGAGTGAAGCTTCAGCATTGCTTTGAGCTGTTTCACAATTGCTGGAGATTCAGGTTCAATAATCACTCTTAAAGGCTCAGAATTGGATATGCTAGCCCAATATTCCTCCCATTTCTGGAAAGAAACATCAAGCCTTCTTCGCCGTTTCTCACATTGTTGAACCGACACCGGTGAAGCCTTCTTGATCAACAGATCACCAAAATGTGGAATCACGCTCTCCTTAGGGTAGGATGTTCCCATGCCTTGAGGAACAATCACATGATAGGTGGATCTATGGCTATGAGCGTTGATAAGAGAACGGCGGTCTAGTTCGGAAACAACAGGAGACCAGTTTGCTGATAGGTCGTCGATAATGTTGGCGTCAACCAAAGCCCACGTTTCTTTCAATCGCAAGACCGGAAGAGAACATACAGCTGTGGCAATAGCCAGCCAACCCACCATATCACCAATACTGTCTAATGCCGAGGCAACTTCGATCCATCTGGTGAGTATCTTTGCTCTCTTCGCAGCCGATTTACTATACACCACATCAACAAAAAGATGCTGCGTAAGTAACTCACTAACGTAATGAATGTCCTTGTCAAAGCTGAAAACTAGAGGGTTCTTGCGATGGTAAGGATGATTCTCATTGTTCGATTCCATCAAAAGCGAGGGGTCTGACTGCGGGCTCCATGTGTTTCGGTATTCAAGATGTATGGATCGTATCGAATGCGCCATCAAGACCGGATCGCAACCCATGAAGTAGTCACCACTAAACGCGTTAACAGATTCTGTAAGAGGCCCATCACTGAGCCGTAACAGCTGCTGCTGCTTGCGATGTATCGATTTTTTGAGTTCATCGCTATTTTGGTGAGAGTCGATTGATAACATCAGGTCCCAAATGGCCTTGAATATGGCATCTTCAAGTAAGGCACCTGAGAACGTGTCTCTGATGTATGTCACCACAAGCATCAACCGTCTGGCCAGAATAGCGGCATTCTCGGTTGATGTGATCACCTGTCTGACGTCTTCGTCCATCAGAGTGCGATTGTCATCTCTGGGTTTGCTCTTCGTGAAAGTGTCCGAATAGACCACGAAATACTTGATGGCGAGGAGTATGTCATCAAATAATGGCAATATTCCCAATAAGTTCTTACTCAAAAGGTCGGCGTCGCCATCTTCGGATTCACTCTCATAGGTGTTGAATAATATGGAGTGGCACAACCCTTCCAAGGTAGAGTTGAGAATTGTCCCTGTCCGACTGTCAAATGTCACATCAGGATGAGGAAAACCCGAACTAAAATAAGTCAGGAAAACAGAACTGGCTTCCGAGTTCAAAGATATCGACACGCTCTTGTTAGTCGAAGGAGAACGGTTGGATCGACTTTGCATGTTCAGCGTAGTGAGACTGCTCCCATCCACAGAAAGACTGTCAGAGGATACGGCATGATTCAAAAGGGGCTCAGAATCCTCGACCACGCTACGTTCTGAGGCGTTGTTGTCCTTGCGTTCTGAGCTTTCCTTCCCCTTCAAGCCGTTTTCTGAATCCTGATCCCCTGCTCGGGAAAGCTTGAGAGCCTTTATTGAGGCAAGCTCTGGAGGAGGTTTGTACACCGACAAAAAGGATCCCCTAACCTCTGCTCGACAGAGTCTCATGTTATCACCATTTTCATCATTTCCAGATGAAGACCGGTTCAACCAACCGACCTTGATCAAGTCCCCGTCCCATTGAGGCTGCACCAGAGAGTTCAGACTGCCTCTGGAAATCTCGCTTTGATCAGCCAACTTTTCAGTAGATGCTTTATTCCGCTTCAATGAATTTGCAAGATGCGAACTGCTAGATGAAAAAGAAGATGACTTGTAGAATTTGGGGTTTGGCGTGTTGGTGTTGGAACTGAGAGTCGTCCCTCCCAATGAAGTCCCCTTAGTACGTTGATCTAGCGAGCCCAAATCTTTATCTTCATCTTTTTCTTGAATCAGAGATACATTGTCATCCTCTAGATCACCATTGAGCAATTTAAACGGCTGGTCTAACCTGCGACGCGAGTTGTCAGAGCGAACAAAAGAAGCCAGTGATCGCGTTGACGACAACCTGTGTAATGATCTATACTGTGCCGCATCAGAAACTTCTCCGTTTCCAAGATCAGAGGTTTCATCCAATGGTCTTGCTTTATCCTTCCTGGCCCAGATCTTCTTCATTGTTGTCGAAAAAAAACTATATTTGAGTGGTTAGTACCATATCAGCCAGATATCAACACCCGACAGTTTGGGACCTGTCTTTGAGGCGGTCCCGCATTCCGATCCACATACCAGTTTCAAGCTGTTCCTCAATTCGCAATCTATCAGTGAAGCTTCTTTAGCCAATCAGATCCGAATACCGAATCGAAAAGTCAAATTTTAGCCAGTGTTAGCTCCTTTTAATCTTGTCCTCGACAATTCGTTGGCGTTATCCATATGCGGTAAATGGGTTGATGCCTGCGTGAACGCGTTTCGTGTCACGTGAAGGTTTCAGGCCAAAATTTGTGAAAAGTTGATAGAGGTAAAAATAAAGTGTGGGTAAATTGGGAAACCGGATTGAAAATTTACTTAAATTTCACTTCTGAGACGAATAGCTAAGCTAGCAATTATACTATACACATACACCCACTTTCCAATAGTTTAGTAGTCGACAGCCATCTTGGCAAGTTGCAACACAGCGTCCTTGGTCTTGGCTCCTCCAATGAATCCAGCAGCGTGGACGAAAACACAACCCTCGACGTTGGTGAGCTTCGAGAGGGCATCATCTCTCACACCTCTCCAGGGCTCTGGCAGCTTTTTTCTGCTGTCGAAAGATCCAGCGGCAGCTGGAACGGCGGAAATTCTCCAATTTCCAGAGGTGTCCTCGAAAAGCACATAAAGAGCCACTTTCTTCTTCGTTTCTCTTTCAATTGTGAAGAGATGATCCTGCCATGGAACGAACCTGTCCAGGACCAATATTCTACCCTGTGGATCAATGCTGGTGCTCTCAGCAACGGCCTTCTCGACGTACTGTCTGGCTGGTAACCAAGCCTTACCATAGTCGTTCAAGACATTGGTGAAAAACATGCCCATAAATTCGGAAGCCTTTGCAAAAGCAGCATCATAATCAGCATCCTTGGGGTCGTTGATCCAAGATGGGTTCAAGTGCTGCACTACAGAAGCCAATTTGAAGTTCTTCTCCGAAAACAGAGGCTTTGCATCCTTACCATAGGCCGAAATGCCGTTATCGTTGGCATCAATGGCTTCGATGAATTCCTTGTAAATTTTCTCATACAAAAGGTCGATGCTCTCGCTATCTTTCTCAGCGTTGAGCTCCAAGTTGACGGAAATTATCTCCTTACCAAAGTGCTTGTAAATCAACCCAGCAGACGACAGCTTGCTGGAGTACTTGCTGGAGAAAGTCCCTTCAAAGTCTCTCTGATGATGGTCAAAAAACTTGACCTCATCTGAAATACCACCAACATCAACCACAATATCGGATTCTTCCCAGACCTTTGGGTCTCTGGATCTGACTACCGTAGCATCTTTGAACTTTGGTAAAGTCTTAAGCATGTAGACTGCGAGCGACTCGTCTGCATGAAACTGGCCCGAATGTGTGCAAATCTGCAAATGCTTTTGTTCTGTTGACATCTTTGGCTTCTTAGCAACACGCTCTTCTTCTTCAACCATGGAGCTTACTTGGAGAAACGTCTTCTGATTGTAAACGAACAAGCCAGCCTAAATATTTTCATATGCATCTCCATAATGACACACAGTTATTGTGACAGACTGGGGGGAGCTTACCTAACGATGAGCCCTCATTCGTCGAGGCGGCCATTTTTATAATTGTTATTTTCAAAACATCTAAAGTACTGTTAAATTCACCACAGTAGCTATCTAACTAAAAAGATTTTGGTTCATATTCATACGGCAGCAACAGGCGGCTTGTCAGATTTCCTGACAATGGCAGCGACCCTATCACCCATCGAGAGGGCCAGACCCTGTCCCTTAGTACGAATACGGACATGACCCACGATCCTGTCATCAGCAGTCTTTTCGATACACAAGTTGGCCAAAGCGTCTTCTCCGAACGATGATCTTGCGTAGAGATTTGCAGACAAAAATTGACATTCTTCGCCGATCACGGCCCCTGGGGTCAGACAGTTCATGTTCGTGCCCTTCAGCAAAGTGTCCAAGTAGTCTTTCAAAGTAGGCATGTGACAGTATTTGATGGTGATCTTATTTTCCCACTCAAACTCATTCCACAGTTTGCGGAAAGTGGCTTCCGTGCAGTTGGCTGGGTTGATGTAGTCCATGATGTCTACATGGACATCGCTAAGAATGACAATGGTGTTGTCGTTGGCATGGTGTCCCTCGTAGACGATGTTACCAAAGATGACACCGGTGTCAGCCGAGCTGACCTTGATAGTAGTTTGAATTCTGTGGAAACCGTGTGGTCCAATGTTGTGAGTTGTTGGCTTGTCAACCACCTTCAAGTCTCCCAGGGTTGCAAATTCGACGCTCAAATTCTTCAATGTATCGGTAGTCTGGTTGACTAACAACACATCGAGAACAACGTCGAACTGGTGGACCTGGACAAAAGCCTCAGCATAAACAGGATCGGAGAAGCCAGTCAGCTGAGTGATCTTCGTCAGCTTTGATGAAAGGCTAGGTGGCTTGATCGACGAGTTCGCAGCCAATGCCAGATCTTCAGCGACAACATCGGTAGATGTATCCTTCGCAAACTGTCTGAAGACGATAACATCATCGGCCTGTTGAGCAGTTTGTTGAAGATCCAGAGCATCCTTCTCGGCCTTCTTCTTTTCTTCGAGGTCAAGTTGGGCCCTGAATGCTTCTCTAGTATCTTCCAAGAAAGCGGACTCAACGAGCTTCTCGTCCTTCTGCTCTTCTGACAGGAACTTCACGCAAGAGAAAATTCTCTCCGAAGAGTCCTCATCTATTTGTTTCTTGGCCACATTAGACTCGCCAACACGCAGTATCGAAACCATTATCAGCATAGCCTCAGCCTTCAAAGCATTCAATATGTTTGTGTTGCTGGAGGTTTTTGAGAATCTGAGGATGAGCTTGACCAAAGTAGAAGAAAGCACAGCTGCCAAATAGAAGTCTCCTTGGAGAATGAGAGCACGCAATGGTGTCTGTTGGGACGTCTTTGAAGCTGTAGCTGTCACAGTAGAGAGCGCACTTTCTGTGGCGTACGTACCATCCGGCAAGACCACTGGGCCATGATGCCCGTTTTCCTTGGACTCTTCCTCAACTTCCTCGCCATTATTCTGGGCTCTTCTTTCCGAAGCCAAGATTGGTACTTCGCCGATACTCGATCTAATATGACGCCATGCATCTTGGATATCCTTCTCATCGGTACAGTATTCACCAATAATCCAGAGAGAGCCTCTATAAACCTTTCCGCTGGTAACGTTCTTCAAGGAGGCAACCAGACGTTGAACAATCGAGCTTCTCAACTCTGGGTACTTCTCAACAACTTCCTTGACGAATGTGATCACGTCAGTAGCGGCAGTGCTGTTTAATTCACCCATAAACTCAAGCAACAAATCAACCACACCCGCTGCAACCTCAGCAAATTTGATCGCACAAGTGTGAATTGCAGATATGAGTAGTTGACGATATTCGCTGGTCTTTTCTTCGTTGGAGGAGGCTGTCTTTTGCAACTCCTTCTTCAAGAGCTTGACGACATCCTCGACATTGCGGCTGGACACAAGTTCCAGGGTCAAGTCAAGAGCCTTCTTACGTACATCCATGGCCTGAGCGGAGAGAATACGCAATATCTCAAGGCACATATCATCCAACATGCCTGGGTTCTTCTTGTGCAAGTCAGTAACTCTCTCCAACGCGATTAGCTTGACATTGCTGTCAGGTTCCTTGATAGCAAGATCAATGAACTTGGAAGCAGCACTTGTAACAACAGGCTGTGAGTTTGACAAGATAGTCAAGGTAGTAGCAGCCTCATAGATGACAGTGTTGCTCGAGGAGTCCAATAACTCCGAGATGATGTGGAGATATTGGGTGTTCAAATCTGGGGCCTGCAGAGCGTCTTGACGAATGAACTCCATAAAAGCCATCTGCAAAAGTGGATCCAAAGCGGATATCAAGGGAAGGTTATCCTGAATGTAGCGCAGAGCCTGCTCGCGGTCCAATCTTCCGAGACATATGAAAGCGTTGCGCTTGCAGGTAGAGTCTGTCTCAACTGCCAAGAAGCTAGCAATCAACTCGGCAGCATCTGGTATTAAATGCTCTGAAACCTGGTGAATTGCGAACACGGCAAACGCTGCATTCTTCCTGACATAAGCGTGACGGTGCTCCAAACACTGACGACACGATGGGACCAAAGGCTCCAAAAGATCAGGCTCTTTCAGCTTCGACAAGAAACGCAAAGTATTACCACGGATGTATTCGTTTGGGTGCTGCAAATCATGCTGAATAGCATTACAGACAAGAATCATCTCTTGTTTCAACTTTCCATCAGAATCAAGCTTTGGGCACACCTCCCAGTAGAAATAAAGCAGCTTCTTCAGCTCCTTGTTCTTCGAAGGCATGACATAACGGATAACATGCATCAGCAAATCAGGCATTGAATCGCCATTGACCATACTGATAAGAATTTGCTTCATCGCGTCGATTTTGATGTCATCCTTACTCTTTTCCAGCAAGGACTTGAAGTCCTGCTGGGACGGTTTCCCAGCCGTGTTTGGCTGTTTCAATATTGGTTAGTAACGAGCAAATAAGGAGGAACAAGCATTTGCAAAATCATCTGAACATACCTCGGAAATCAAAGTATAGGCAACGTCCGTCATAAGAGGTCTCTTCAATCTGTAACAGTTAGTACGATATTCGATCAATGATCTGAGTCGACACGTAGAGGTCCATACACCAACGTGTTTTCAAACAAAGAAATTAACATACATCCTAAGGCAAGAGAAATCAACAATCAAACACGATTAGTATCCACTTCTTCCTAGCTTTCAAAACGTTTGATACGGAGAATTGATTACGATCCAGTATCTCGAGATCGACGATCAATAAGCCCAATCCATGTGTTTGTTTGGTGTGCGTTGGCAGTTGAGGTAATTGGTTCACACACTACTCTTTCAAAAAAGTCCAAATTACCTGTACTGCCCAAGGTCAATTAGAGATTCGTTTACATATTTATCCACCAATTGGCTGGAACGAAATGGCTGAGTAATGCAAAGCTCAAATATACAGTCACATAAATGGTCATTATTTTCCACCAATCAAGTGGCTTAGTAGCTCTGCCGAGGCTGTGGTGCTGTTGTCCTTAACGCCTGTGAACAATCCTGGCGGAGGAGGAGTCGCAGAACTGGTCATTTCCTTCAGTTTGGCTATGTTCACATGGTTGGAAATGGGAGTATGTTGGTTAGGCATGACCTGTTGTTGGAGTTGCACGCGGTTCAGCTGGACTGGAGTAGTGCTCAGAGGCTGCTGAGACACATTCTGGAACTGCTGCGCTCTTTGGGGTTGAGGTTGGTAGAATTGCTGTGTCGAAGTTTGTTGCTGATGTTGGCGCAACTCCTGTTCTTTGGCAGCAGCAATTGCTGAGCCCGTATTTCTGGTGAAACCGTAATTTTTCACAAAAGGAGCACACAATAACGAGTCAACCAGCTTCAGAGTGGAGAGTTGGTTCTCAGCCTGGACAGGGCACGACGTACTTTCGACATCTGCGCTGAAATGGAACAGAGGAACCGACGAGTATCCGAGACTCTTCTCAACTTCAGGAGTGAGTTTGTAGCTGAAATCGCCGTTCAAAGTCTTCGCAGCATCGGTGAAAATTTTGAAAGCGCTCGAGAAAGGGTTGGTAGGACCGCCAAGCAAGCTGTGTGGATCTTTCTTTGTAACCTTCTTGGCCGTAGGGTTACTAACTGTTGCATTTGCGCTTTCAGCCAATGAAGGGAAGGCATTGGCATTCGAGAGCAACGCTGGAGGAGAAGCAGACAATCTTGTAGTCGAAGCCGGAGCCTCATGCTTACCCCAAGCAGACGACTGGGAACCACCAGCAGAAGTTTCATCATCTTCCTCAGTTTCCTCTTCTGGAGGAGGTGGAATAAGTCCGTGAGTAGCAGATCTTTCTTCCATCTTTAGACCTTGTCTGGTAGACAGATCTTGTCTAGTATAGGAGTCTGCCTCTTCACCTGGCTCATGCAAGAACATACAGTTAGGATTTGGACATGGCTGGCCTCTGAGATACGACGAACAGTATTTGGTAGTACCGTGAGCAGCTCTGAGAACACGACCATCTGAAATAGATCCATCTACCGCAGCAATGCAGCGTGAGGCATCTTCCTTGCGGGCAAATGTCACATATACGCCGAATCCAGCGTTTCCGTGGTGAGTAGGTGGTAAACTGGGGTTTCTTCTATTCACAACTATCTTCAGAATCTTACCATACTGGCCAAAGTACTTCTCAGACCTCAGAACTGAATGGAGATCTTCCGATTGAACAGGGGGATTCAGTCCCACCACGTACACCAGGTTCTTCTGAATAACTCTCATACCAGCCAGATGGCGTCTAGAAGCCTGTTCCGCATCTTTCTTCTCTTTTTCACGTTGTTTCTTCTCGCGTTCCCTCTTCGCCTGTTTGGCCTGGTTCATTTTCCATTCTTCGGCTGAAATCACCTTATACTCCACACTGGCGTCATCGTATACCCGACGACATCCAGGACATTTGCCGTTGAGTTCCGGATTTTGTCTGATATTATTGTAACAAAACTGACAAACTTTGTATCCACATGGACATGGCTTAAAGTTCTTGTCAGATATGTCAAATTCCTCAACACATAGTGGACTGGCAGATTTGAAGTTAGTAGCTGTTCATGACAAGTAGTCGGTGTACACTCAAGTATTAATGGTTTGTATACATACCAGAAATCATCGTCTTCATCAGAGATGAATGTGTCATGAGAGTCTGCAACTGTCATTTCTTTCTTTAGATAAATCAGAGCGTGAGTGGTTATGTGAAAGTTTACATAGATTATCCGGCTTTGAAGAGTTCATCCGCGAGGGCTTGAAAGAGTCGTTGTGAGCCCCTTGGTCAAAACCGAGGGTAGTCGAGGGCAAACCGGATAGAGCAGGAATGGTGTTCCATGATGATTGATTCTGACAAAATAACTAGAATATGTTGAAGCCAATGCCAATAGATGTGATTTATAATTGATATTTGTTTGAATACTGCAACTATGTTGCTCCTCCTATGAGAATGTCTCCAGCAAGGTGCCTAGAATTTTACTAAATCATCCGGGGTCGGTTGTCTCGGAAAACCCTCGGTAAATGCGTCGCGACGCGATACCTCAGTTTGGAGGTTGTATCAACGTTTTGCTTCACTGGGAAACAAATTACTTTGCCACAAAGATTACAATGAGTGAAATTGAGTTATTGGGCCTCATAAAAAGTCAGTCGGATTCCAACAATGACACGAGAAAAAAGGCTGAACTTTCTTTCATTGACCTTTCAAGAAGAGAGCCATCCATGGTGATGAATAGCTTGATTAGTATCGGCTCCCAATTACAGATTGACTTGCCTTTTAGGCAGGCTGCTTTGCTGCATCTTCGCAGACTTGTTCCACAGCATTGGTCGCTAGGATTTGGATCGTTTATTGGACCTCCGGTTGCTCAAGATGCTAAAACATACATCCGCTCTCAGTTAATGGAGCTGCTGGGAGATCTAGACTCCAGAATAAGGAACAGTGCGGCTTATGTGATAGTACAAATATCCGCAGTTGATTATCCGGATGAATGGCCAACTCTGTTGGACGACTTGTACACTGGTGTTCTTAGTGAAGGTCAGAAGTCAGTCAATCTGAAGTTGGGTTCGCTGAGTGTTCTTCGTGATATTTTTGATGATTTGGTTAACGAGGATCAGTTTTTCGATGGAGGGGTAGGACCTGTCGTTTTACAGAATTGTGAGCAGTTGCTAGTGAACCCGGAAACGCCTTTACTAGTCAAAATTGCTTCGCTAAAGCTATTCGCGACATGCGTTTCGCAGATGGAGAACGCAGACATCTGGTCCTTTCCACAACGAAAGGCGCTCATCGAGGCGTTTGTTCCAAGAGCATTGAGTTTTCTTAGAGAACTATTAGTTCCGGGAAAACCTGAGAATCAGCTGTCAAGTCTTTTGAACATCTCGTATCTGACAGAGATATTTTCAGTCACTTGCAGCATTGTTAATGCATTCAGCAGTTCCCAGCGAGAGCTAATTGACCAACTCGATCAAATGTTTTATGACCTGATACTCTACTATTTGGAGGGAGTCTCAAGCATTTACTCCTCTCCTAACTTCCAGTTTCCAGACTTGGAGGAATTTCAAAGCAACCAGACAGAGTACATCGAGCCGAAGGATGTGGTCAGGAATATGATTATGGTGGTGATTCCATTGATCCCTCTCATTTTCCAAGAAAAACGTGTTTCGAAAGTTGAAACTCTCTCCGCCATCTTACAAGCGTTGTCGCAAATCACTGACGACTGTATCGAAAGCTGGGACGAAGATTTCAATGAGTTTGTATCGAAAGAAACTGAAATATCCATATACAAGGATGTCAGAGATGTGGTGCAGATTGCCGTATCAGAAATTTCAGGGTATTCTGCCATGGAAATGTTCAAAACTTTGTTAACCAGCTTTCAGAATGATGCTGAGAACAATTCCCTGAGTTGGAAAACTAAAGAAGCCAATCTATTTCTCATGAGTTCATGCCTTCTAAGCGACGACGACTTTCCAACAACAGGTCCAGAGCTCTCTCTTGAGGGCCTTGTTGCTGGATTTTCCAGCATGCTGACAGCCTCAGCTGGTCAAGTTGGTGGAAGCATGAGTGACCAGCTTTTCTTTGCAAGACTTACATGTTTTATACCCAGGCTTTTTGAACAGTTCAAGAGCGAGTCTTCTGAAGATCTGGCTTTGAGCACAGTGAATTCTTATCTGCAAGCATCATCATTCTTCGATCAAAACTCCATGGAGATTGTCAAGTGCTCAATTTTGATCGGCTTTTCATATCTCTTACCCTACTTGCCGGAGGAAGGACTTGGAAGAGATCATCAGCTAGCTCTGATGAAGCTGATTGAGTTGCTATTAGTCGACTCGGAAGAGGATACCAGGATCATGTTGCTTGAAACTCTGAAGAATGCCATTGACATCGACAATACGTCTTTAGACTCAAAGACTATTGGTCTGATTTATGATATTTCGTTGAAGTACGCCTCATCATTTTCAATTACCCAAAATGCTATAGAATGCATTGAAAGTGTTCTCCATGGTTCAGAAGAGCAGCAGTACCTCTCGCTATGCGATGCCGGTTTGAGTCCGCTTTTGAAAACTTTTGTGGATACCATAAACTCCACAAACGGTAACATTGAGTACTCGCCAGAGTTGGTGTTTGCGCTCGATATTTTGACCATTTTCATGAAAGAAGCCCGTTTGGATGCGTCTGGCCAGATGCCAGTACCTGTGTTCGAACAGGTGTTTCCCATAATCTCGAAGCTCACATTCGAAACATCAGATGACCAGCTGCTGCAGTCCGTATCGGAAACATACGTTCAACTCTTGGAACGCTCCTCGAGGTTGATTGCTCAGTACTCAGAGGGTGATGGTGATTCAAACGGCTTTGAAATTTTACTCAAAATCATTTCAAAGTTTCTTTCACCCGATCTCGGGGATTCGGCTATTGCAAATCTGGGTGACCTTATTATTGCACTCATTCACCAGTTCCAAGACCAATCAGCCATGGGTCAATTTTTTGAAGAAATCCTGAAAGCAGTGACGGTTAGACTGATAGCCGCAAAGAACATTGTGGCCATAGCCAGTCTTACATTGGTGTTTTGCGACTTGGCGGTCAATAGCACTCGTCAAACAATTGACTTTTTGTCTGGGTTTCAGGTCTCGGTAGCAAATGCCCCGAAAACTGCTCTCGAGGTGGTGATGCCAATGTGGTTCGACAGTTTTGAGATTGTCGCAGGTCACGCTCAAATTGTGAAAAACATCGAGGCATTCACTCAAATATTGTACCTTAACGATGAAAGACTTTCAAATCTCATTGTTAATGGTGACGCATTGCCCATGCAGGTGGACCCCAACATTATCATCACCAGATCTATGGCCAAGAACTACCAAACCAGATATTCTCAGATACCAGCTACCGTGAAGATGACAAAGCTGCTTGTTCAAGAACTGAAATCTCAGTCAGAATCGCAGAACAATGTGGATGACGCTATAGAGGGAGCAATGGATCCTAACAAAGTTGCTCAAGCAGCTGAAAATGACGATGATGGCTGGGAAGATCTGGATGATGTTGGAGTTCCTTCGTTTCAGAAACTCCAGTCATTTGCAGACGACGACGAGGAAAAAGAACACAGTGCTTTTTCTGATCAAGATACTCTGGAGCTCTTGAAACAATTCTTCAAACAATTTGCATCGAAACCGGAGTACAATTTTGAGACGATCTACCAATATTTGTCAGACGAAGAGAAGAAGTCTCTGACTGAGTATGTTTTCTTCTAGTTACTATTCAGACAATCTCACGCACAAAGTGCTCTTATAATTATTGTACATATAGACCTAAATCTCAATAGGTATGTCAAATTCGATTCTCTTCACAAGATCATCGAACCCCAAGCCCTTGTGGTCAGTGCTTTCCAGCTGCTTCTCCTCCAGATGAATCTTAATTTCGCTTTCGGTGCCATCCTCTGGCTTCTCGACTGAAGCAGGAGTCTTTGAGTCATCACTGGAGTAGTAGATTCTGGTGGTAGTTCTCAGTCGACTGAAAGGATCTGCTGTCTTGGCCGAGTTCAGGAGATCTTGCTTTCTCTTTTCAACAGCCAACATCTCAGCTCTGCGGATGCCTTCGTTATTCAGCTTGGTATTTCTGTCGTTTACCTTGGAGATGGCTGAGGATTCCTGGATAGGTTCCTCAGATGTACCATCAAGTTGCTTGAGTTCTTTGGTCAAAGCACTGGACAACTCAGCGTCGTTGTTAGCAATCGCCACGGCCAGCTTCTCTCTGAGGTTGGTCATCTTCAGGACTCTGTCCTCTTTCTCTATGGAAGATGGATGCACCGAAGCTTTCTTGGCAATCATCTGGTTAATGGCGTCATCAGTGAGAGGCTTGGAACTCATCTCCTTTAGCTCTTCATACTTCTCCTTAACTTCACCAATGGTGGGCCAGCTGTAGTGTGACTCTTCAATTCTTCTTCTGTAACGAAGAAGCTCTTCGGGTGTGATTGGAGAGTCTGAAAAATAGGTCATCGCCATCGCTTTAGTCTCTTTTCCCTGTGAAATCTCCATGTATACATTGCTGGCTTTTCCTTGGAGCGAATATACCTTTCCGTTTTTTACTCCCTCGATCTTCACCATTCTGTACTGGGATCTTCCCTTAACAACTCCCACATTAACACGGCCATACGCACCAGAAACAACACTTTCAAACTGAGGGTACCATGAAAACCTAGAGAGTTGAGTCCTTCCTATTCTGACGGTGTTCAAGGCAGTAAGTCCAGCCTCTTTCAAATTCTCCTTTACCAGCTCCCTCATCTTCCTGGACTCATCACGCTGATGACTGACTTCATCGTCGTCATCATAGCCGTATTCGTCTTCATCTTGTCCATACTGATCTTCTTCCTCTTCTTCATCATCCTCTTCTTCTTCGTCATCCTCGTAGTCATCTCTGCCTTGTCTTTCCTTTCTCGACTTCTTCTCTCTCTGTTTCTTCAACTCAGACAGCTTGCTGGTTTTCAGTCGCTTATCCTGCTTGGTTCCGTCAGACTCTATTCTGCTCTTCTCGATCTGATTCTGCTTTGCTCTCAGAGCAAGATACTTGCGTTCGCCGAATTTTTCAACCTCCTGGATTCTGTCAAACAAAATAGACTCTCTGGTGACTTCATCCATCGCCAAAAGCTCGGCTTTATCCTGCTCATTTTTGTACTTTCCTTCTAGTGGATATAAGTCCCCTTCGGGATCTTCATCGCTCTCTTCGTCTTCATCATCGTCACTTAGCTTGATTCGCTTGGACGACCCCGACGGTGACTTTGACCTCTTCTCCGTGGTGGCTAGCTCTGGTTCATAATCATCGCTCTCGTTATCAGATTCGCTTCCAGCTCCGGCAAGAGCTAAAAGGTCTTCTTCATCGGCTTCAAGATCGGACATTGTTGAAAGAAATTGTTATTGCTGAAGTTGGTTAACTGAGTAAAACAGCAACTTGTTTGATTGTCGAAGCTGGAGGGTCGGGAACAAAGGGTCGTGCATGAACCCCAATAATGAAGTCAGGTCGTGGAACATTCAAATAGATTTTATAATTAACATGTGAGTCGCTAAGAGTACAACAGACCAGCTGAGGCTCAAACAGCTTAACATATACTAAACATATTAGTTGCGAGGACACAGATTTGAACCCCTTTGTCAGCAATGTCTGAAAATACACAGCGACCGACCGCAAAACGGTCGCCGTCTATTCTGGTCACAGATGCCAGAAAAAACACAACGAAAGCGCCGTTTGCAGGTCATCATTACTCCTATTCCCAGCGCAATCCATCCGGGGCAAAGACTCCGGTGTCGCCCTACAAGATTCCAAATAGGACAAGAAACCATTCCAAGTATAGTGATATAAGTGTTACGAACTTACTTTCAAACACAAGCGATATTCCGTCTTCCAGACAAAGGCCAACGGGTCTTCTTTCTGCTGGAAGACCCAGGTCATACAGGTCGATGGGAAGGGACGATGGATATGAACCAGGTCTCAAGAGATTGCCCTCGGGCTCGATTCCAAAGTTGGCAAAGACCCTTCCTCTGCGTACGTCGAAAACTTCAGAGAGACTGGTCATGATTCCAGATCACGAGATAGAGTCATTTGACGAGTATCACCGGACTTCTACGACAGAGAATGTTTTCACGGGTGACTTGTATGTGAGGACGAAAGCCGAGCAGATGTCCAAAGAACAGAGAGAAGAAGAATATTCGAGAGTTACTGCCTATTTGATTGCGGATGGTTTTGACCTCAAGTTGACCTCAAAGTTCCTTGCCAAACACCATTCTGTTTCCCCAAGAGTGTACGATGAAGTGCTGTATATTCCGTATTCGCTCCCGTTATTGCCGGGTGAAAATGGTTACAGGGTTCAATCCAACAACTCACTCAAGATGCAAAAAGGTAACATGTTGATGGAGAATTTCATCAACAAGTCTGAGCAGAAAGACCACCATTTTGAGTATTTTTCTGGCGTTGACTACACGAAACCTCACCCGCCTGAGCGCGAACACTCAAATCTTCAGGTTATCGAAGAAGAGGGACATGCGATATCGCCTCACTTATCATCGAGTAATTTTGACCCTTATGAGCCTCAATTCTTTGCATCTCAAAGCCCCACGGACAGCATGGTTGAAACTACATTTACGTCGAGAGAGGAAATTAAGACTAAAGAAGGCATCGAAGTTTTATTGGATACCCCTCAAGCTGCCGCAGATCAAGAAGGAGCACATGCTGAGGCCAGTTCGTCAGCTTCCAATGGTGCTGACTCAAGCGGGTCTAGGTCTCCGGCATCGAGAAGTGTTCCTGATCTGTCAAAACATGCGGAGATCTTCATTTTCGACTACGGTGTGGTAGTTTTCTGGAATTTCAGCGAAGTCCATGAGAAAAACGTGCTTGCTGATCTGGTATTCGCTAAGATACAGCCGGGCGAGTTTGGTGATAGCGATGATGAAGACGAAGAGGATGACGATGAGAGTGGCTCTGGTGATGATGAGCAGGACAATTTGATACAAACGCACTCTCAACGAAATGAGGAGGAAAAGGTACGCAACATCAGTTTCATAATAAAGCCGGTTCGAGAGCAGGACATCGAGACAGAGGAGTTCCATTTTGAGTACAACAGGGATATCGCTACTCCTCGTATCTATAACGACATGATTACGTTGAAATCTGGAGACCATATGATCAAGCTCGCAATTTCACATGCCATCGCCCAGTCTACAAAACTGTCAATATTTGAATCTAAAATGTCTGGAATTCTTGCCTCGATCTCCAAATTGCCAAAGACGTTGGCCTTGACGGGAAAGCTTGAAAACTACACCAGAAAGAAACTGTTGATGAAAACGGGAAAGTTGTTCTATCTTAGAAACGCAGTGAACCTTTCATCAAATGTCTTGGATACTCCTGATTACTTTTGGTCGATTGAGCCTGGCCTGGATCCTTTGTATTCTGCGATCAGGGAGTACCTGGAGATAGAACAACGTGTGGAGGTGATTGAGGACAGATGCAAGGTGTTTTTGGAGTTTTTTGATATCATTGCTGATTCGCTTGCCGAAAAAACCATGAATAAGATCACTACGATTCTGATTGTTGCAATTGGTCTGATGCTACTAGTGACATCGTTTGAAGTTGTGATTAGGTACGTTATTCTGTCGAAGGGTCATCCTAAATAAACTTATTTAGCACCGTACTTGTTGACGGTCTTACCATCTGGAATGGTGAAGAAGATGAACTTCCCATCATTGTTCGAGTCAAGTCTGTAGTAACCCTTTCTTTCAAATTGAATGACATCGCCAACCTTCATGTCCTTGATATTCAAGTCGACAATTGCCTTGGAGTGAAATTCTGTCACTGGTGTCAAGAAGTCTTCAAAGTTGTCACCATCATCCAACTTGTCCTTGGTAATAAGATGGTCAAAATCAACCAGATCAGCCTCCAGTTTGTCATCAGTATCCGCGAGCCAAGTAAGCTTCTTCGAGGTTTTACGGAAGTCTCCCTCCAAGTGCAGCTTGGCCTCGATGGAAGTGACAACTCCTGAGTTGTTCTTGTTGACATTCTCAATGATACAGTTACCCCAGTCCATCAGCGTAACTTCCTCTCCAACCTCAAGAGCAACTGCATCGCTCTGATCTAAGAGAATATCAGGAGCATAAATGACATCCTTGACACCAACATCAGGATTCTTCTTGTGCTTGGGCTTCTTCTCAACAGTCTTAGCTGGGGCATTGGTTAAGTGGACCTTGACTGCATTCTCAGCATCGATGGCAGTGTGTCTTGCAGCAATTGGATCAATGATCTTCTTGTTGATGGCCCAAATGATACTCCAATCAAGGTTAATGATGTTTCTCGAGGGACCCTGAGAAATGACGAAGTTCCACAGACCTTCCACAGACATACCTCTTCTTCTAACTCCTCTGACAGTTGGGAATCTTGGATCATCCCAGTTACCAACGTACTTCTTGTCTACGAACCACTGCAGCTTACGCTTAGAGAGCAGAGTACGGACGAAGTTGACACGAGCGAAATCCCAGATGTGAACCTTTCTCAGGTTCAGAGCCTTCAGGAACCAGTCGTACTGGGCATTACGATCACGGTATTCGATCGTTCTCAAGGCATGGGTAACACCCTCAAGAGCATCCACGACTGGAACACAGAAGTCATAAGTTGGGTACATCTTCCAGGTGGAACCGGTTCTGTGGTGAGGAGTCAGATTACATCTATAGATGACTGGATCACGCATGGTCTTGTTAGGACATGTGTAGTCAATCTTGGCTCTGACACAGTTCTTCAAACCTTCCTCGGTTCCATTCTTCATTGCCTCGGTGAACAACTGCAAGTTCTCCTCGATGGTCCTGTCACGTCTTTCAGACTTTATTCCGTCCATTCTCTCTGCTCTCATCTTCTCTAGAGGTGTGTCGTCACAGTATGCCTTACCCTCCTTGATGAGCTGAACAGCAAGTTCATACATCTTGTCGAAGTAATTGGACGAGTATGTAATCTTATCACCCTTGATACCCAAAAGCTGTAGATCCTCAATGATAGAGTCTTGGAACTCAACCTTCTCCTTCGAAGGGTTGGTGTCATCGAATCTGATGATCATCTTACCCTTGTACATGTCCGCAAAGTATCTATTCAAAATGGCAGCCTTGGCGTGGCCAATGTGAAGGTATCCAGAAGGCTCTGGAGGGAATCTCGTGACGACCTCACCCATCTTCGCATCCTGAAGATTGATCTCAAAGTTGGCCTTGTGGCCCTCCTTCTTCGCTGGGGCTGCAATCTTAGCCTGCTTACGCAACTCAGCAACAGACTTGGTCATGGACACTACAGACTCACCGAAAGATGGGAAGGTCTCGACAAAGGTGTACCATCTGGCAACGTTGATGAAGGTGGCATTCTTGATAACTGAACCCATGAGTGGGTTGGCTCTCAAAGCACCCCAAACAGCGACATCGGCCATACTGATGGAATAACCAACCAGATAAGAACGGAAGTTCAAGCGGGTCTCCAATTTCTCCAAGCCTTCAGACAACTTTTTGAAGTCTTTCAAAGACAGTACATCTTGCGACAAAGTGATCCACTCTTGAGATTCTTCCTTCGCAGGAAGGGCAGCTGGGAATGCGTCAGCAAGAGCATTCAAAATTTCAGCTGTTGAAATAAAAGTCTTGTCACCTGACGCCAGCAAGGCAGAAGCCTTACCATCAACGGTCTTGTCATCCACAAACTCGATTTTGACGGCGGTAGCAGATTTCGCATTAGCCGTAGTAGCAGCAATCAACGAGGCATAGTCCACCAAAGGTGACTTTGCCGCAATCTTCAACTCAAAAGCCATGGCTGAACTGAGGTTTGAGTTGGAAATCAAGAAAACTACTTGGGATTGAATATGTGGGAAAAAAACCGGCGATGGTCCGATGGATCTGTGGTAGTGTGCGGGATAATTCAGTACGTGGTTAGCACGCTGCACGCCCTATCGCTAGACATTTTTCAAAGCTCTAGTTTTCAAGACTTGAATGCCTCTTGATAATACCAAGCCATAATGTCAGCGAAGGTGTATCCTATAAGTCTTCGGTCTAAAGATAATGCTTTGAAGCAGCCAAAAGAACTGTTTGCCTACTCCATGCATGCAGATGGGACAGTGACCTTTGACAACTCCAACTTGGCTTACTACTACTTCCCAGACAGCGAACTCAACAATCCTCAGGGCGTTGACCTAATTGGTGGATATACCAAGTATCAGAAGGCTGAGGAAGAGGATCCAGGTTCTCTGAGACCGTTGTTAGAAAGCATTGCAAACTACGAAAAGCAATATGGCAAGATTAAAGTTGACATCATTACATGGAGAGGAGTGATGAGGAAGATTATGACTGTTCCACACACCGGCAAAGACGAGCCTTTAAATCTTGATATTATCAAGTTCGATGGATCACTGATAATTCGTCAAAACAGGGACCATCTTTTGAAAGAAATCCAGGATGAGGAGTCCAGAGACGAATCCTTCAAGAAGCTCGTCTACACAGGCTACAAATTTGAACGGCTCGCCACGTTGGATAAGCCTTGGGCCCGTTGTACGAGAAAGGAGATAGAAACCAGAAATAAGAAACCAATCACGCCTCGTGAGCAGTATTGCTCGGTTGTGCGAACTGGAATAGGCAAGGTAAAGATGCTTCTTGGTGGGGAGATAGACTGTGTGTGGGATTGCAAACCAGACCCGGAGGACCCACTCGAAGGCAACCCAAACCCAGCAGACCACTATCTGGAGCTTAAGACATCCAAGATAATACAACATCCAGGACAAGTGAAGAACTTTGAGAAGAAGTTGCTGAAGACTTGGTCCCAAAGCTTCTTGATTGGAATCCGCAAGGTGGTGTACGGCTACCGTGACGATAACCTGGTACTGAGGTCTATCGAGGAATATAAAGTTGATGACATTCCTGTGTTGCTGAAAAATAGTCCCTTCCAAAATCCTCAACCCACTTCCGCTGCTGCTAGTACTAAGAAACCAGTCAATAAGTGTATGGACTCACTAAAGTTCTACGGAGGCTTTGTTAACTGGTTGTTGGAGACTATTCCAGATGATGAGACGAAGGTGTGGAATCTGTCCTACGATTTTGAAACTAACAGGGAGTATTTGACTCTCAAAGAGGTTAATGGCTCAGAGAACGTTGAGAGAATTCGAAGCACCATAATCTCCGAAGAATTTGCGGAATGGAGAAAGAGTCTCGTGGAAGAATCTTAAGTAATGTACATTAGCATAAATTAACTGTTGAGCTTTCGGGCTCATCTTGGTCTATACAACATCAAACATAGCTCTTTTGAGAGCAGGCAGATCGCATTAGTAGCGATGATTTTGCCTATGAGCCAGGGAACTCAATATGGGACTAGTGTTGATCTGTTTCTCTGCTTCCTGGTAACGAAGAGCTGACCCAAACCGCATTCCGCTCCTTCTCACATTCGAGCCTCTGGGAGTCACTGGTGCACGATGAGGAGTTGGAGGAACCATACTGGCTGGAGTGTTTCTCAGAAGCGGTTGAGATTTAACTGGAGATGACCGACTGGGAGATCGCACGGGCGAGTACTGTTGTGTGTGTTCCTGTTCCTGCGATTGAGGATGTGGTGGAGGATGAGCGTTGTCTGACGAAAAATTGCGGTATGATCCAAAAGCTGCATTTGTGAAGACTAACGAGCCAACTGTTAGTAACAACAGCGTAAAAATCGACTTCCACGAGATTGGTTTCACAAAACCGTTGATGATCTCTGCAAACGTTTCAGCCCCAATCTTGGCTCTGCCAACAGAGGCTGGATCCCTGTTCATACACCTCTCCCATGCCATACAGGCCTTTTCCAAGTACGGAACCCTCTTCCCGGGGGAACAGTTGTTGCGAAGGTACTCGCGCGAACATAGACTTGTCTCTTGCAACACCTCGGTTGCGTATATCTCGATCTTGTTTTCAACATCTGCTCTCACTGTTGACACAAATGAGAAGATAAAGTAGCCAATCATGGATACCAGCACGATATTGAAAAAGAGCTGCAGATAGAGGGACAAGACATATGGAATTGCGGGGTCTGAGATGATTCTTCGCCATCCCATCTTTTGTGTATAAATGTGTTGGTGAACTCTCACGCTATCTTCATCAAATGATTCCGTGGCCTCCGTAGGCTCATCGGCTAATGCGTCCATTTCTTCATCCAGTGACGGAAGTTTTGACTTCGGTTGCGAAGCGGACTTGGAGAGATCCGGTTTGTTCTTGAAGCTTTCCTCTGGCCTGACCTGTTTGGGCTCCGATTTCGGTTCTGACTTCGGATCAGTTAGCGACTTAGGAAGCAGATCTGGATGAAGGTTCCGCACCTTTGTAAACAACGGAGAAGACACAGGGGTGTTCATCTTCTGTGCATCCGTGGACAACAACATATGGGCGGCAACCACAGGGTTTTCATACTTCGTCTTTTGCTGTAAGTCAGCTGCAGATGTTTGCTCAGAATTTCTCTCGGGCTTTTTAAAACCTGCAAAATCGGGAGCCTTGATATTCGTCTTATCTAACAAAGGTCGTGAAATCTTTTTGGGCGAGGGACTGAAGCTCTCTCCTCTGGCCTTGACAGCTTTGTCAAACCTTTCTTGCAACTCGTGCTTGGGAGTTTTGTGTATTTTGGGCAGTTCGATCTGGGAGAACGATCCTTCTTCAGATAATACGTCATCGCTAAAGGAATCCACCGAAGCCATAACTGGATATTAAAAACTGAAATAGATACACTAGCGTTAAGACTTGGACAGTTGTCTACTAGATGCAATGTTCTACTGTAAACAATTAATATCGATAATTGAGTTTTTCGCACGACCTTCCTTCTACTGCCGGCAATACCCAAGACTAAACTGCTTACCACACTGTTGAACGTTGCACACGCTACAGCAAACAATATCCACTACAAAATGAGACCTTCTAACCTCAGTCTTGCCAAATATGTGCCTCTTATCAAGTTTGTTGGAGGTCCACACCCAATAGTTCGTATGTTGAAATTGCTGCCCACAAGGGCCATCGCTCGGCTCCGATGAATCACCGATGTTTTATCTTCACGACCACTAACCCCTTCATTTTAGCTCACACTGGAAGCCATCCACACCCATGTGCTCCGAACAATCTGATGCCAGGTTCGGGGTCAGCCACGCAGAAAGCCGCCGCGGTTTCTGCACCAACTATCGGTGCTATTGCATTTGAGTCCAGAGCACAGCTGTCCAAGAGATTCAGATACACTGCCATCGAGGAGCTGGAGATTGACGAGGTGAACACTGGAGGTGCCGAATATATCTTCTAACAATCAGAAACATCAGAGAGGTGCTAGTTTGAAAGAACCACTACATTTACATGTGATCACAAAAACACATGGCACCCGCAAAGCGCTTGAGATGACTCCCTATAGACATATCACGTAAGAATACGTTGAATTATTTTTTTGTACTTTTCTGGACATTTTGGACCGTTTCGTCCAATCATGCTCTACATGTTCTTTGATCCGTAACTTGCTATCTCCGTATTTGAATGGCTCTATTTGAATTGAACAGGAACAGCTCTTGGATATAGCGTGTAATACCCAATTGATTCTCTGGAGACCTGGCCTAAACGCCACTGACCAGAGAAAGGAACATTGTCTACAGATCAGGTTGCAACAACTTCAACTCAATTGATCCGTTTCTTGGCTTTAATATCATATTAATTATCACAAGATGAATCACGATCCATTTTCATGGGGCCGCCCCTCTGATGAGACTTACGGATCCTATAACAACGCCATCGCCAATGCTGGCAACGTCTCAGCCTTCCCCAAAATGAACACTCAACAGCCGATAATCACAGGAACTTCTGTCATTGCGATCAAGTGCAAGGACGGAATTATAATGGCAGCCGATAATCTGGGATCATATGGTTCGCTAGCCAGATTTGATGATATCGAGAGATTGGTGGAGGTTGGTGTTAACACTGTTGTTGGTATGAGTGGGGACATCAGTGATCTCCAACAGGTTCAGAGGATGCTTGAGCAGTTAGAGATTGATCAAAGCTACGAAGAAGAAACTTCTGCACTGAGAGCAGAGCATGTTCACGAATATCTGTCTCGTGTCTTCTACAACAGGAGGTCCAAGATGAACCCTCTGTGGAACGCGTGCGTAGTCGCTGGGTTGAGTGACGACAAGCCAATCCTGAGATACGTGGATCTTCTGGGAGTTACATATGAATCTGCATGTGTTGCAACGGGCTTTGGTGGACATCTGGCCATACCATTACTGAGACAGAAGTGCGATTTCGAGGCTGAGTACGCTGATATCTCGCTCGACGAGGCCGAGAAGCTAGTCAAGGAGTGTATGAAGGTGTTGTACTACAGAGATGCTAGAGCTTTGGACAAGTACTCTTTGTGCAGAATTGACAACAATGCCGAAAAGAAGGTGACCATCACCAAGGACGTGAGGTGCGAGGACATGAAGTGGGAGTTTGCACAGCATATCAAGGGTTATGGTACTCAAGTTGTTTAATCTGGATTTTGACAAATCGGGATGAAATCTAAGAAAAGAAAAAGAAAATAGAAAGAGAAAGAAACGTGAGGCGTAGGACAGTGTGTAGTGGAAATCCCCAGAGGACCTTCCATGCGTACTCCAGCGGCATGGCTACTACCATCAGCCTCCCATTCGACATGACATCAACTGAATTTGGGTCTAAGTCAGCAGAGAAATCATAGAAGAGAGTGCGCAATATCTACCTACCAGCACGCTGGGGAGAAAGCATGTCTGCTAAGTAGCGACGGCTTAAGTATGGAACCGCCAGCTTCGGAAGTTCACACTCGCAGAGACATGCGAGCTGGTCGGAGTTCGCAAATCCAAACTCAAAATATCAAAAAACTAATGTATGAGAATTTCAGAGTTTCAAAAAGCTCAAGGGCTTAACTGTTCGGGATGGCCTTGGAAGTCTGCGAAGAGACAACCTCGGAATATTACCAGAGATGCATATCAGGGAACAATCCACACAGCGATATCCTTCTGGAACCCTTCGGCGGCTGAACCGAATAGGCGAGCTTCCAGCGGCACGGCGGCCAAAAATATGTAGAAACTAAATCCGAATTGACATATCTTGTTGATAATGTCTGATGAGCATAGATAGAGCGATTATTTTTTTCTGGAATACTAGTCCGGGGTACTCATCGAGCGTACTGGCGCCTGTTTACGGCGCGTAGCAGCATATGCCTGTAAGCCAGCCCCATTCCGAGCACGTAAATTAGGTTCTTTCCGCACCCTAATAAGCAACGTAAATTTAACCTTCAGCTTTTTTTCCCGGATTCGCCAGAGTTGTCTAGAGATTTCACAACGGGATCCCGTGCGCGGATTCAGTTTTTCTTTGGGCTGCACCTCATCAGCGCTTCTTAGCAATTCCCGCCAAAGCAAAGCCAGCAGCTGCCTCAAACTAAGTCTTCTCCCCCTCATTTTTCTTCCTTCCCAAAAGAACTCCAATATTTGTCCCTGTCTGAGGTCCTACATGCTAACTGGCTCGAATTGTCAGTCTTGTGAACTTTTCCAAAGGAGCCGCATTATTTTGAGGCTCTAACTGCTGTTTCAGAGTTTTCATCCAAGCAGTGCTGTACTTCTCCACTTCGGTCTCCAAACTCCACGGCTTTGCACACTGTGCGGAATCATTCCGAACAGCAACACTCACTCGGACTGGAGACACAACAGGACTTATCGTGGGTTTGCATTTAATTTTCTCGTGTTGTTTTCCAAATATATTTTTTTCGGACGCGCTTCTGCTAGAACATCGCCGCGTCCTGGTTTATCTGAGGCAATCTAAGGCTTGAACTTGCAGCCAGGCGCCGTGCTACAATGGCCAGCTTTGATCTGACTGTCCTCGGATCCTCTGGTGGACCTGCTGATGGGAAAACATGTGCATTCTTGTTGAAACCTTCGGGTTTGACTTTCGACCAGATATTAGACGGCCAGATGAACGATTGCTTGTTGTGTGTGGATGCTGGTACTGGAATATCTGGATTCTGTGAAATATTGCTGCTGCATTTGCGCAATCGGCTTTCACAGCTCCAAAAGGACGACATTGACATTTTAAGTTACTACAAAGATTCTTTGGAAATCTCGGATTACACTAGCATCGAAACGGTGGTGCCGTTTGGAAATCCTCGGGAAGAGGCCGTTGCTTCCATGGGTGTCTTCGAATACGCTTCCAAGCTGTTCAACTTGATATCGGCATATCTTATCACTCATTCCCACATCGATCATGTGAGTGGGTTGCTGGTCAACTCACCTGCTTTCTCACAGCCTGTGATCACCTCTAACAGCCCTCGGCCGCGCCGTGTTTCGCTCACCAGCTCCAAGAAGATATATTCCATTCCCTCTGCAATAGACAATATACAAAACCATCTTTACAACGATTTGGTTTGGCCTGATCTTACGGCTGCTCACACGGGGTCATCCATTTCGCTGATGAAGTTGGAGCCTGAGCAGTTGGTTCAGCTCAACTGCTGGTTTGGGGTGGAGACTTTTGTGATTTCCCATGGTATTATTCCCCATGAGCATAAGGATGAGATGTTTGAGAGCTCAGCTTATCTGATAACATTGAAGCCTCCCAAAGATGATGGTGGAGCCAGTGCTGACTCTGAATCTTCTTTTCCCTCCAAACTACTCTTCTTCGGAGATGTCGAGTCAGATTCAACATCAATTAGCCCGCGAAACCATCGCATATGGCGTGAAGTAGCCCCCTTGGTTGTGAGCGGCCAATTGCGTGCGGTAGTGATAGAATGCTCTAATTACAATCTCCCCAAGACGGTACCATTGTTTGGCCATATGACCCCGACCCATCTGATTAGCGAATTTGTCACTCTGGCTAAAGAATGCTCGCTACTGTCTGGAGCAGCCTACCACCCGCTAGACGGTTTACATGTTCTCATTACCCATGTCAAGGAGACGGATAGTAGTTGCGATCCTCGGAAGATCATTCTGCAGCAACTCCGAGAGCTTAACGATTCTCATGATCTCAGACTAAATTTCACCATAGCTCTGCCTGGGTTGACATATAAGATATGAGGGCTGTCTGGTAGGCTTTTCGGGTGATGACAATTGCTTATTGGTGTCAGTTTATAGTGTTTCAACGGTTCAGTTTTTTAAGATTACGACATTCATTAGTGCACTCTTGTGAATTTTATTTGCTTCAAACAACGTAGTAACCCTCGGTAGACAAGTTGTAGTACAGATCATAGGGCAGCTCCTCACCTTCGGTGTCTTCACCCAAACTCACAATCGAGCCAACCGCAACGGTGCTGAGATTGTCCACATTGTTCTCTAATTCAAAGCGCAACTCCATTGGGAAGAGCACCTCATCGTCGTCGGCCTGTGCAACAAACTCGAATGACCCGGATGGGAACTTGGAGGCCACGTGCGAAATCTTGAAGAGAACACCATCTTCAACAAAAGTCATTTGAACATTGTCATTTTCATCAGTGTTGAGAGATGCCTGGGTGATAGGCACCAACAGATACACTTCATCAAGGGAATGCTCCTTCTGGAACCCATCATGAAGCTCGTACTCGACGGTGACTCCAATGGTCCCGTCATCGTGGTTGTTGACCCAGGTCGAAAGTGTAACCGGAAGCAATGAGGTGTCGTCTTCCTGTCTGGAAATCTGTCTCCATCTTAGAACACCCAGACTCTGGTCGTTTGAAGGAAACTGCTTGGTAGCATCCTTGAGGCCGATCTTGTTGTCGCGGTTAAACAGATTCTTATCAACAAATGGATGGGTCTTGTACTGGGTCGAAGGATTCTTCGCGAAATCAAGCACAATCTGCGAATGTGCCAAAGAAGCATCGTTTATACGCAGTTGCAGATCTCCCTTGACTTCCGACTGTTTGACTTCACCCTCCCTGGTGATTTGTGCCGAGACCTTTTCACTGATCGTGATCAATATACCGTTGTTAGGAGTCTTCTCCTTTACCGGTGATTGTTCCTGGGGCTGTTGGCGTTTCACGGGCTGTGCCAAAGGCTCTACCAAAAGAGGCTGTGAGACACCATCAAGAGGTCTAGCGGGCTTCTTACCAAGTTGAAGACCATGGGCCCTTGGAGGAGCAACTCTCTGTGGTGCTGGTTCAGCGTATTGCTGATGTTGTTGCAATGAAGGAGTAGGAGTGTACGACGGCGTTTGCGCCTGATTTAGGTAAGCAGAACCGTTGTCATAGCCAGCGCCGCCGAACCCGGAGCCAAATTGTTCCATGTTCTTCCGAGCAAGTTCCTTGCGCTGTATTTCCTTGGCACGACGCTTACGCTCTTCCGTGGCTTCAAGCTCTTTGTTCTTTTCGATGATTTCCTGGATTTTCTCCTCATGGGAGTCCATCTCCAAAAAGGTCAACACCTGTGCCGTAGTCAAATTCTCCTTGTAGCCCAAGTTGATTATCTCATCAAAAGCACTCAAGATCTCGAAGCAATTGTCAAAGATCTCGCGCTCATCAATGCTCCTGGACAAAGAGGTGATCGTCTGGGTGAACAGGTGAAGCGTGTCGATGTCTTGCAAGATATTGGATTGACGGTTTGTAATCAGAACCACATAAAGCTCTTCAAGAGGCTGATAGACGTATCTTACATGCTCGTCCTCGACAGTAGTGTGTTGGTGCTTTGCAGAATCGCCCAGCAACGAAGGGAACGCGGCCAATAACGCAGTAACCCTCTCCTTTGTCATCTCACGGAATTGCCGTGATATGATGGCCTTGCCGCTGCGCGTACAAATCGATGCTGCCAACACGACCATTGTATAATGGATATTCAGGTGATCAAAAAAGTTTTTGTGCTGGATCTGTTGGATTGGTTGTTGTCCATTTGATACGTGTTGATTTGAAGACTTCCAACGGGGGTCGTTTGCAGATCGAAAACGGTCCGGGCTTCATAACCTGTCTACTGAAATTTGAGATCAATAACTATGGGTTTCTCGAATTGGTTTAATCATAGGATTGAGTTTATGAGATTGACATTGGCAATGATACTATTGTCCTAATTAGATATTTGGTATGATTGCTCGTCGAAAGTTCTGTTTAATGGCAAGATAGGCCATACACATGAGAACGATGCGTATGTATGGCAGACCATATGGAATGTGGAGTAATCTCCAACAATCATTGTTAATCATTGGGAAAGTGAACTGAAAAATATACGTTATGGCATCAGCAGTCGTTTTAAATCAAAAAGGCAACCAAAAAAAAAAGTAGATATGACACGGACAGGAATTGAACCTGCAACCCTTCGATTGCACTGTTATTCCAACTGGAGTCGAAAGCTCTACCATTGAGCCACCGCATCATTCTTAAGAAGTGACTTTTTTGGGATGTACACAAGGCATTATTCAAAACCCTGTACATTCGGTACAATAGTGCATGTTTGTGCATCGATTGTATTGCATAACCCTGTTATTACGGGATATTTGCATCTGCACCACTGCCTATTTGGGTCGTACCACCGATCTGTGCAACGACGAGCGCTATGCTTGCCACCACAACACCAATAGGCTCCGCAGAAGTAACAGAACTGAGCTTGATGCCTCTGGTATATTTACGGTCGTGTGAACCAAGCCTACCGGCAACGTTGCATTGGCTATCCTCTGCCAGTTCGAAAAACCACTTTCAAACCCGAACGCCAGGGCTCAATCACTTTTGTGGGGGGCACACCCCGCATTGCCCAGGGGTGAGAAAGGAGGGGACGGAGCAGTGAAACTTTTCGCAGTATCAGAACATTAGTCAGTACGAAAAGTTGTTGGTTTCCCTAAAACGAAGTTGCACAATTGCTATTAAATGTTCAAGAAGTGGAAGGCTGGCTCGGATAACAAGCCGAAGGCCAAGGAAACTGCGCCGGTGCAGACCGAGAAGCCAGCTGCCCATCCGGCCAGTCTCGAGGCCTTCAAGGACGACGCCCTCCATATCGAGGTATCCCACGAGGAAGAAACTGATCCCGAGCTTGAGTATCGAGTAGTGACCCAGGACCTGAATGTTCCCTATGGTGATGGATCAGACAAGATTTTTGGTATGGAAAACTTTGGAAATACATGCTACTGTAACTCCATTCTGCAGTGTCTGTTCTACACGGTTGCATTCAGAAGGGCGGTTTTGACGTTCCCTGAGCGTGACCCTGTTCACAGGCGCAAGCGCAAACTGAAAGTGAATGGCACAAAACCTCATGCGTTTGTTCTTGGAACGCAACCGCTTTCTCAGCAGTCGCAGACTCAGGCCCAATCGCAACCGACGTCTAACGGAAAAGATGAAAAGAAAAGGCGGTCCTCGATATTTGCTCTGAAGAACGAGCCGGCTTCATCTGCGGTACCAGCAGCTCCTGCTGCGTCGGCGACTCATACCACGAGCCAACCGTTGAACATTCCCATCCTGAACTTCCCCAACGTGGAAAGGTATCTGGTTTCGAGATGGCCGTCGTTTGCGGACCTCAACATCAAGTTTGCACTCAACCAGCAGAAGAACATAACAATCGTGGGGATTGTTGGAGATCCAAACGCTAACTCGGAACAGCGCAAGCGCCAGGCGCTGATGCGTGGTCCAATAGTGAACCTGGATCAATCGTTCAATATGGAGTACGGAATGGACCAGAGCCTGTACACCGCTCTGAAAGACGTGTTTGAGTGTATGGCAGAAAACAATTCTCACGTTGGAGTTGTTTCTCCTCAAAAGTTGATTGAGGTGCTGAAACGCGAGAACGAGCTGTTCCGGTCGTCAATGCACCAGGACGCTCACGAGTTCATCAACTTCTTGATCAACACTGTTCTGGAGGTTGTGGATCGCATGGAAGCACGTACGAGTCAACATTCGAATCTCCACGGGATTTTCGAAGGCTTGCTGACTTCTGAAACGAGATGTCTTTCTTGTGAGAACGTCTCTACCAGGGACGAGAAGTTCCTAGATCTGTCGATTGATCTCCAGCAAAACTCCTCGATCACCAACTGTCTAAAGATGTTCTCGCAATCTGAAATGCTCAACGAATCGAACAAGTTCTATTGCGAAAAGTGCCATTCGCTGCAAGAGGCTGCCAAGACAATCAAGCTCAAGAAACTGCCCCAGGTTCTTGTGCTGCACCTCAAGCGGTTCAAGTATATGGAAGAACTCAATAGAAACATGAAGTTGTTCTACAGAGTGGAATACCCAAAGAACTTGCGTGTTTTTAACACCACGGACGACGCGGCCCAACCAGACAAGTTGTACGAGCTGTATGGTGTGGTTGTTCATATCGGTGGAGGTCCTTATCATGGCCATTATGTTTCCCTGATAAAGACTGAAAAGTTTGGTTGGCTTCTATTCGACGATGAAACCGTTGAAAGTATTGACGAGGATTATGTCTTCCGGTTCTTTGGTGATGGTCCTGGTTTGGCAACTGCATATGTGCTGTTCTACCAGGAGATTTCCGAGGAAGAGTTTCTTGAAAAGAATCTTTATGACGGTTTTGAGGATGAGCTCGAAACTGAGGGAGATTCTGGTCAAACGAGTCGTCCTGGTTCACAGACCAATATCAACAACTCTGGTGACTCTAACGACAATCTATCGGGGCCACAGACTCAGCCTTCCACTGCACCTACATCTGCACCTGTTTCCGCTGTATATGCACCTGTTGAGAAGCCTGAGAAACACGAGAAGGAGAAGAAAAAGCGAATTTTCAGCTTCAAGAAATGAAAGGATGACGAGAAGGGTCGAGAGAAGACTCGAAAACTGAATGTGAGCAGACTTAGCGGGCTGTGCGATAAGCTCGAAGTTTTCTGCTCATTTTACCACTGCTTACAACCACTACCTGTATCTATATGCCAACTTTCTTTAACTTACATAGGCACGTTGTTAAACAGATATGACACACTCTCTCCGTAGTGCTGCCTCCTTATGGCCTCGGCCAGGGTGCCGCTGATATCAATCGTCTCCAGTCTTCCGCACACCTCGGCCTTCGAACTCAGTGGTAGCGAGTTAGTACAGATGATCTTCTTGAGTGAGCTCTTGTTGATCTTCTCAATCGCATCGCTGCTGAAAATTCCATGAGTCACGATTGCAATCACCTCGTTGGCTCCGTTATCCAGTAGAATATCACTCGCCTTGCACAAAGTCCCACACGTGTCTGCCATATCGTCGATTAGAATGCACGTCTTATCTGTGACGTCTCCTACCAGCACCATTCGCGAAATCTCGTTAGCTCTAGCCCGCTCCTTGTGAATCAGTGCAAAGCTCGTGTCCAGCTTATCAGCAATGGCAGCAACTCTCTTGGCTCCACCAGCATCGGGTGAGACGATGATGGCATTCCTGTAGTCTATCGACTCGCGGATATACTTTAGCACATTGGGTTCGGCATACAGATTGTCCACAGGAATCTTGAAGAAGCCCTGTATTTGTGAGGCATGCAAGTCCATTGTCACCAAGTGATGGCACCCAGCGGTCGTCAGAAGGTTCGCAATCAACTTGGCCGTGATTGGAGCACGCGACTTGTCCTTTTTGTCTTGTCTAGCATATGGGAAGCATGGCATAACCACAGTAATCCGCCGCGCAGAGGCTGCCTTGCACGCATGGATCATTATCAACAACTCCATCACATAATCGTTGATGTTATCCACTCCTGTACCCGTCTGCACAATATACACATCCTCGTCTCTCACGGACTCGCCTATTATCACCGCAGTCTCCTGGTTCGTATACTGGAACGCACTCACCTTGGAGATCGGGATGCCCAGCTTGCCTGCAATCAGCCCAGTCAACTCCAAGTGCGAGTTACCCGAAAGCAGTTTGATCTGATTTGGCGATTTCTGTACTGACATTGCCTGGTCCATCGGTCGGGTTGCTGCTCGATTTATAGTTTGAGCCGCCTTTGATCATGCTGCCTGCTCCTAGCGCAGGCGAAAAATTTGGGGTTAAAGTAAGTGCGCAGGTCAATCTGCTTGAGCACACGACCTTTTGGACCAGTGTTTAATCTTCGACCAATTGTAGTTGGTAAAAATGACTTGAAGCTCTGCTAGGTCTGATATAATGGAGCTATCGAATCTTGTCTATGAATATTTGCATACATTCCATCCGTCTCGGGCAGTCTTAAGTCAAGATCTAAGGAATGCTTGGTATGTTTCGTGTCCGAATCTAATTTTCCCAATCGGGCACCATTATCGAATTCAATCAAGACTACTGATCTGCTTCTTTGGAGCTTCTAAACCTCAAGCCTTCAAGCTTCTTAGTTCTCTATTGTAAAACGTTATAGTGGGGCAGATATCTCGCATGATGAGGCCCTCATTTCGCTCAGTTGACAATTCTGGACCAGTCGCTCTCAATTCTTCCATATTGGTAATCGGCGATCCAGTCATTGACGTTCTTGGTCAGCTCACCAAACTGCTCGTTTGGAAGCAATGGAACTTGGATTTGCTTTCCGTTCCAGCCAATCTCCTTTATTGGAGACACAACTGCAGCGGTTCCGGAGCCAAAGGCCTCAACGAGCTCTCCAATGTCAGATCTGTCAGCAATTTCCTTGATGGTACAGTATCTCTCGCTGATGGTCCATTCAGCAGGGTTAAGCTTCTCGCGTGCAAGAGCAAGCACAGAGTCTCTGGTGACACCTTCTAGGATGGTTCCGTCAAGAGGAGCAGTCACAAGTTCTTTGGTTCCGTCAGCGTTCTTGAAAACAACAAAGAAGTTCATGGTTCCAACCTCAGTCACGTTGCCTTCTGGGCCAAACAACCAAAGATTCTGCTGGTAACCACGGCTGGCGGCATCAAGCTGAGGACGAATGCAAGGAGCATAGTTAGCTCCCAACTTCTTGTCACCAACACCACCTGGCCAGGCTCTAGTAGCGTAATCAGTGGCCTCGAGTCTCACAGCCTTAAATCCGGTCTTGTAGTATGGTCCAACAGGCGAGCAAATTACGAACAACAGGGCCTTGTCGGGTATTCCGACACCAAGACCCGCAGTGGTTCCGATCAAGGTTGGGCGAATGTACAGCGAATATCCCTTTCCAACAGGGATGAAGTCCTGGTCGAGCTTGACAAGGTCACCAATCAAACCGATCAGTTCCTCGGAGTCAAAAGTGGGCAAGCATATGCGCTCGGCACTTTTGTTCATGCGCTTCATATTCAGATCTGGTCTGAACATACGGACACGGTTCTGGTCGTCACGGTAAGCCTTGAGACCTTCAAAAAGCTCAAAGGCGTAGTGGAACACACACGAAGATGGGTCCAGCGTCAAAGGCCCATAAGGCTTGATCTCAGGAGCAGACCATCCCTTGGAAGCATCCCACTCGATAGCCAGCATGTGGTCGGTGAAAGACTGGCCGAACACCAACTCTGAGTTGGGCAGCTTCGCCTTTGGCGCCGCGGTTTTAGTCACCTTAAGCAAAGAGCGATCCAGCTTAGACATGGTTGATAACCCTCGGGAGAAAATTTTGCTGAACATTGAAAAATTTGTAAAGCCAGCGCCGTGGTGTTTATATAGGGAAGAGGGTCTCGGTCTCTACAATGGCCGATGGAAAAATAACGGGCGTGGATTGGTGCAAAAGAGTCATAGACTCATAGGATAAAATCGCGGCTAGCCACGGAAAGCGTGCCGTTACGGTATTGGGGTCGTGGATCTTTGAATTTTCAGGCTAACTCCAGATTTGGCCTTTAGATCTGATTTGAAGGCCTTGCTTTATGGTTGGGTCATACTTTTTACTATTTCTCAATGTCGAAAAGAGAAGTCAGAAAACACATCAGAAAAGTTCTCAATACCCTCAGTGATGCGCGACTGGAGTCTCAGTCGACTTGTGTGGCTGAACAGCTCCGTGCGTTAAAGTGCTACAGAGAGGCCTCTAACGTGTCTGTGTATCTCAGTATGCCAAAGGAGGAGCTGCGAACTCTCCAAATACTGGCAAACGCACATTCAGATGGGAAACGTGTGTTTATTCCACGGATCACATTGAGCAAAGAAAATTCTAATTATATAGGCGACCGCAGTGACCATTTGACGATGCTGCTTCAATCAGAAGCTCAGATAGCACAGCTAAGGCCTCGTGGAAAATACGCCTTGCTAGAACCACAAAACTACGAGCCATCGCTAGATGCTGCCAACTGCGGTGGACTTGATCTGGTGGTGGTGCCTGGGATGGCATTCACACAAAACGGTGCACGATTAGGTCACGGAAAGGGTTATTATGACGACTACATCAAGAGACACGAGATCATAACCGGTAGACGACCTGTGTTGGTCGGGGTGGCGCTACAGGAGCAGATTCTTGAGTCTCTACCGTTAGAGGGACATGATGAAAAACTTGACTATGTTCTTGTGGCAACGAAAAGTTGAATGAGTATATTTTTCACTCCAAACCAGGGGCCTCGTGTAGCACGTTGGCGGCAGCACTGATAGTGATGGAGGTATTGTCTGGTTCAACAAACTCCTTGATGACCTTACCATGATCTAAAACCAAAGCGTAACGCTTGGATCTGAAATTGCCGAAAAGAGCAGTAGCATCAAATAGCAGTCCAGCTGTCTTACTGAACTCGCCCGTCGGGTCTGCGAGGAACTCGTAGTTCTCCACGTTGTTGATGGTATTGAGCAGTTGAGTTTTCCAGGCGTTCATTACAAACACATCGTTCACGGAGACGAAATAGATCTTGTGGTATCCCTTGGCAAAGAAATCTGGTGCAGTCTTGAGGTATCCGGGGATATGAGTATTGGTGCAGCCTCCAGAGAAGGCACCGGGAACACCAACAACAATTGCACGGGTCTAGAAGATGTTAGCAAATAACTCTCAGGTTCATAACGAAACTCCGCAATATTGAAACTCACATTTTCAAGTTCTTTGGCCAGCTCAAACTTGTTATCGGGGGTTCCAGAAAAGAGTGGCACCGAAGGAATTACATCAAGTCGGCACAATTGGGACGTGGAAAACATCCGCTTGGAAAAAAGGTTTCTCGCAATTGACATGGCCGTGTATATAACTGTGACTGGGTAGAAGGATAGATTCAAGAGTCAATGGGAAAAACCAGTTGTTGAGGTATGGGTTATATCTATGTATACAATCTGGGTAATGGAGAAAGGCGGCACTCCAGCATGGCCGAGAGACCCGGCAGAAATGGCAGAATTGGCAGCCTTATCCTTGATGGTAGATTTGTTTCCTAGTTCGTGTGGGGTTCGGATGGGGTTAAACTTATGGAAAAGGTAGTGAAGTAAATAAGGCTATAATGATGTTTTTATGTGTTACGTTATGTATTCAAAAGCGAAGTTATTGTTTCAAAGAGGATACTGGCACAGATAAGTTGGCTGTTATTGCGGCGCCAAATCTGTTGAAACACGCAAAAACTACCACAAAAGGCCGCACTCAGCATATCAAACCACAAGTCCAGGGTAGGTGGAAGTGTACGGGTCATCCTTCTCGCGCTTCTTGTACTCTTCGGGCATCAGCAATGCGGTGGCATCCCGACCATTAACACCACCACAGAATGGGTAGCTCATGGTGATCCCAAGTGCCTTGATGGCAGTGAGAGAAAGAGACTTGAAGTATTCAAGTGGGGTCCCCAAAAGGATGTTCTCTTCTTGTCTCAAAGTACCCTGAGTCATGAACAAAATGACTTGAGTACGATATTCGCTCTCGGTGGTGTTTGCGGATCCCCCGTGATAGCACGAAGCAAGCATGAAAAAGCAATCACCTCTTTCAAGTTCTGCGTAAACTGCTTCATCTTTAAGTGGTTTGCGCATGTGTGACCACAGATGCGATCCTGGAACAAACCGGGTTGCCCCATTCTGCTTTGTTGTCTTTGACAATGCCAGAACTGTTCCTACTGCCGTTTCTGTTCCGTACTCGTACCTGTCCATGTGCTTTCTGATGTTGTGGTGAAGGATATCATCACGATGAAGGACTTGATCTGGTGCTCCAGGCCCAATCCTGAACGAAATACAAGAATTATGCTGTGCTGGAGAGTAGCCAGTGATAACCTCGTCTCCAACCCAAAAACAGTTTTCTTTTCCAAGAATTGCATCCGAAACTGCCAGGTTGAGAGGATGGCACACAAACTCTTCTGTGGTTACCAGCGACTTCTTGCACATTGCGGGGACAGAAATCGTCTGGGTTGGCAGAAACGAGCCATTGTACTTGCGGCCATCAATGATGAGGGCATCAACGTCTTGCTCAATTAGGTCCACTTTCTCCTTAGGAAGATAGTTTTTCACGATGCATCCGCCGTATCTCTCCAGCTTGGCCAGTACTTGCTCTTTTGTTGGTGAAACAAGGGTGAGATCCTCTGCAGTGCATTTGACCGCAACGTCTTCAGGGAATGCCTGAACCTCAGCGTACTTGACTCCGTCCTTCTCGATAATCTTGAAAGCGTCTGCTGTTTGCGAAATCATTATATATGTAATAATTATCGCAGATTTAATTGCAAATCATTTGGAGGACTGCCTTCTTTCCAGCCAATTTAAGTATAGCTGCGATTTGATCATAGATAAGGTGAGTTACCGCATTAGGAAGACGTGCGGATTAGCTTCCGCTCAACTGTCAAAGGCGGTTGGAACTTCCAGAAATGACTCTAGAGGGCTTGACATCCCCCTTAAGATGATAAACTTCTGGTTCTGTCATAATAAAAGATTTCTTTTCGGGCTCAAGGTAAACCTCAGCGTCGCACAGTGATGTGCCTGTCAACGGGATCAAAGTTACAGTGAAGAGTCCTAAGAAGGTCATGTGCGCAAGTCGTGTGAAAAGGTCAAACAACTAATCTCAAAATTGAACCTTTCTATGTTCGATTTTTGCAGGTCACTCGTACAGTCAATTGCCTTAGTCTTGCATACATTTTCAAATTTTTGAGGCTTTTAAAGTTTCCATTCCATACATATATGCCTAATTTCCTGGCCATAGGTCCTGCAGACCCATCACACTGGTCACTACACCGAAAAGACCAATCTTTCCGTCATCGTGACCCAAAGCACCCATTCCGTTCAAAGCAATGAGAGCATCCAAGACATCCTTTCCAAGATTGCGCTTGGCCGAGGCAAGCTGTCTGAGCGCAGCCTTATCGACCTCTACCACGTCAGTCTTCTCATTGAACTCAATTGTCGATTTGGCATAGCCAATCTGGTAGTTACGCAAGTCTTGAACCAAAGATCCAAGCAGCGCAATGAACCAAAATCCGGACGCGATTTTCGCCAACTTGGGGAACCGTTTGGCACTCACCAGTCCAAGTAGTTTAAACCATTGAAGCGAATCTGCTGAAAGATATGCAGCAAACCCAAGCTGTTTCACAATAGCTCCTGCGCGCAAATAGGCATCACCGAGCTCGTTATCGTACAACCGAGATGCTGCCGTCAGATGGCTCAATGGCTTCAGAAATCTCAATGCCTTTCTGTCGAGAGTCACTACTCCCTGGATACGTCTGACCACGGCAGCGAGCTCAACTGATCCGTTACGAACCAGATGGAAAGCTGCCAGGCGACATAGGTATTGAATCAGACGCAGACACTTTTCCCTTCCAGCACTGGTGTCCAGGAACTTGATCAACTTTTGAATGGTTGGATGGTAAGTGAGAGTATCGTAGACCATTGTTGCGCAGTAGTTGTAGTGGTGGTAAATGGGAGTTATGTTTTCTCTGTGTTGTTGATTTGTTTTGCTTAGTTGTAAGCTTCCGTTGTTTTCTCACAGCAATCAGCGGTTACAGTTGGTTTGCGGAGGGGACAAGATAGCCTATGGCTGCACGTTTTGTCAAAAGGAACACCGGGGACTTTTTATCAGCTGTAACGCGATCGGAATAAGAACCGAACTTTAGGCACTAGAGTGAGGCTTCTCAGTGGTATTTATAAGGAGCGTGCTCGGCAACAATCTACTTAGCCATACCATGTGAATAGTCAAATCACCATGTGCCGCGAGAGTTGCCTCCCCGCCCTCTGTCATTTGCGAGAGGGTTAATAGCTTATTTTGTTGTACACGAAATCTTTGTTGGTACACTTTGTTTCCCGAGGCCTCGTTTCTACGCGTATGTCTTTCCTTAGCCAGTTAGTGTTTGAGCGCGTTCAGCTGAATTATTAGCATGGAATACTACGATATAGACGACATAATTGCTGATTCTCAGGTATGTTATTATATTTCGCTTATTTACCTGACCAGTTTCTAATATCCACAGCGACTGCCTGTCAAGTTCCAGATATCCGTACCCGGACTCGGGTACCTTGAAGGCAACCCAGGAAAACAGGTTTCTAAGGACTCGCGAATGGAACTACCGCTTTGGCTAGCTCTTATCCTCGCCATTTGTCCTATTGACGATTCAGAGGACTCCGGACAGAACTTTGTGGAACTTCTTCCCCCCGAATTCCTAAGTGCCAAGGTCCAGAATGCAATCAAGTCAAGTCCAGCCACAATTGACTTGCACTCAATCCTGCCTCACTTTTATAATTTTGTCGTGAAATGGTGCTGGCTTTTTGAAGATGCACAGCTCGTGCAGTTGTGTCTAGATATGCTTCGCGAACGCGCTGCTGAAATTAATAGCAGAAGCTCCAACTCCACCGCGCGCCAAAATCTCGACCAGATCAATAAACTGGATGAATTTGAAAAGCGCATTTTCAAACTCAACTACGACAGTTTTAAAGATCTCAAGCAGTGGTTAGCGGCCCAACATCCGTGACTTCAGGTCGTGCTGGACCTGTGCGGTGGTTGTGTTGGTCTGTGATGCCTTGAGTAGGACGTAGTCCTTGTTCTCAATACTGTTGACGATGACTTGTGTCTTTTTCTGTTCTTCGACACTTTTTGTTGGCATTTGGCGATTGATTGTGGATGCAAATACTAACGAGGTGCAGTTCAGCATGTTTTTGATGAGAAACATCAGGCCTGGGGAAATATGTTGTGTACAATCGAATCCTGGTTTGGATTTCACACTACCTCGAAGGTTACACATTTGTGTTTTCTGACAAGATAGATGCATTCGTTTTGATGAAGACACCATTTTTGTTCTTCTCACATAGATGTCCGATTTATCTGAGGCCGAGAAGAGAAACTTACTGAGGCAGCGGAGGCTTGCCAAAGCTAAGATGGGTGCCGACCGACTCAACAAGATTACGGGAATGAACCAATCCTACAAGGAACCAGAGGCGGTCGTTGAGAGCACCACAAAGTCGACCGGTCAGGCCACCCTCCAATCGGCCAAACAAGCGCACGATTTCTCACACATTTCAGAAGTGGAGAGTGTATCGCATCTTACCGCGGCGGATCCGGACATGATGGATATTTCGGCCTTCCAGCCGACTTTTCACGATCACATGTTTGGGAAGTCTGATGAGCCCATGGAATCTCCAGAATTGGTAGAGTACAGGGCAAAGCAGGCTGAATATGTGAGATACCACACACAATTTGTGACGTCGGTATTCCTCTTGTTGAGATATTTCGCATATGCGATATTATTCTGTATCCCGGATCTCACCTTGAAAAATTGGCTGTTGATACTTCATGTGTCCTTTCAAATCATATATGCGTTGGTAGTTTCAAACTTGGAAAACTTTCAGCCGTCTTCAATGCTGTCTGGTATAATTTCAACTCTCCAACAATTTTTGCCTCCAGTTTGGGTTGGTCGTCTGAAGACTGTCTTCAAGTTACAGGAAGTGGTGGATCTTTCACTTGCTGACTTTAGCTTTGTTGTATGTGTCTATGGGCTCAAGTCCATCTTTAGCCTTTGAAAGAGTGTATAATTTTTCTGCATATCTAGTCTAATCTTCAGCTGTGCCGACTATCTCCATCCATGTCTTGTTCTCCTTGCGTAGCTCCTCGACAATTTCATCCTTGATCTTTACAGCCAGTCCCGGGCCTTTGTATGCGAAACTGGTGTATAGTTCTACAAATGTGGCTCCACTCTTTGCAAACTCGATTGCATCCTTTCCAGAGCTGATACCTCCGCATCCGACGAGAACAAGATCGGAGTCCCTGGTGTATTTTCTCAGCGTCTTGAAAGCCTTTAGCGCCAAAGGCTTGAGCGGAGGTCCTGAAAGTCCCCCAGTCTCACGTGTATATTTTTCATCACTCAGCAGCGTTGCAGGTCTCTTGATAGTGGTGTTAGACATGATAATTCCATCGATCTTAGCTTCCTTCGCAGAGGTTGCGATTGCTTTGATTTCGACTTCCGTCAGGTCAGGTGCCACTTTCACCATAACTGGTGGTTTACGTGTTGGATCAATGATCTCGCCAGAAAGACCATCTCTCTCTTTAACCACAGTCTTGAGCAAGTTGGTGAGCTTGTTTTCGCTTTGCAGGTTTCTGAGGCCTGGAGTATTAGGAGACGAAACGTTAATCACCAGGACGTCAGCATAAGGTCCAAATCTCTGAACTCCCAAAACGTAGTCATCAATCTCATCGCCCGTCTTATTTTTACCGAGGTTGATTCCCAACAGCTTGTTTTGTCTGAAAGCGTTGGAGTATGGGCTAGGCTCCTTTTCCAAAAACTTTTCGAGTCTCTGCCTCAAAGTGGCCAACACATCAAAATGGCCCGAGGAATTGAATCCATACCTGTTGATGACAGCATCGTCCCTTCCCAGTCTGAAAAATCTGGGCTTCGGGTTTCCCGGCTGTGGTTTCGGGGTAATTGAACCGATTTCGACGTATCCGAAGCCGAGGTCCAACAATGGGTCAATTACCTCACCATGCTTGTCAAGCCCAGCAGCGACCCCAACAGGATTGGACAAGGTCCTTCCAAAAACCTCGACCTTGAGTACCTCGTCATCTCTGTCAAAAAACAGCCTTGGGCTCAGTCCATTTTTCATGGCCCAGATCCCAAGCTTGTGACCTTCCTCTCCGTCTGTAACAAGTCTGATCAAAGGACAGAAGACATATTCGGAGATGGCAGATCTTGCATCAAAGCAATACAGTCCGAACCCAACGGCGCCTAACCCAAAAAAGAGTCCTCCAAAGATAGAAGATCTCTGTTTCAGTGGGGCGTCTACAGTTTTGGATGCAGCCCGAAACACCGAAGAGCTGAACGATCTCTTGCCAAGAGTACTGGCAAGCTTTTTTCCCAACATTGTGGATTGAAGCAAAGAAAAAGAGAAATGGATATTTTTCAGATCTCTCTTTGGGCCGAAACCTGACCTTCTGGAAAAAAGTCAGGTGCTATCAGCATCTCCTGCATGGTTTGGGTAACCGACAAATCTTTGTCAGACACGAAGTTTAGGCGAACGTTTTTGTTTGAATCCAAATGCTTTCGGTTTGTTAGTAGACAATTCAAAAAACTCTTGATTGAAAGTGTACTGATTCTTACCAAGAATATCGGGTCTTTGATACTGTTGCGCGGCAAATGCATGATCAAGGCCCTGCTTGCCCATCCAACCATATCTCCTGATCCCACCACTTCACCTATGCTTGCACTTGTGAACCACAAATCTAAAAGAATATAGCTTCTGTGACCTTTGTTGTACCATGTAAATCCCATTATTGGACCGTAGCTAGTCTGAGGGTTGATCAGTGCATCGGAGGTGAATGTCTCGAAGAACTTGGGCCAACACTCCAGCCTGTGCTTTTTCTTGATTCTAAACGTAAGGATTCCTCCGCCATCAAAAACTGAAGATTTCACACTCGGTTTTACACCGTTTCTAAACACATGAAATCTTCCCTCTGTACCGGCCCTTATGGCTTCGCTGAATTTGTCCCGGAGGTCAGAGATGTGCTATTGCGTTAGTGACCTCTTCTATTCGATCAAAACTTTTTAAACTTACCTGATACGTGATGATAGGACCTATTTCATCATCTCTGGTCACTTTGTGTACATGTTGGCCAAACCTTGTCGAGGAGAGTTTGTAACTTTTCAGAAATGTTAGTTTTGTTGAAAAACGTGCAAAATTCGAGGAACTTTCTTACTCATCCTTCCACAAATTCCAAATAAAGGGTAATGTGTGATCTTGGCGCTTTGGAGTAAATAAGTTTTGGAATAATTGACGCCGGAAAGTCATTGCTGAAGTAAAGTTACCAACTGATACTTCTTGGAAGGGTTGAGTTTCAGCCTCGCCTGCAGTTGCTGCCATCTCAACCAGGTTTTCCGACAAGTCAGGGGTCCAAACTGCTTTGGATGGAGTCTCGGAGTATTTAAGAGACTGGCCATGGGCAATGCATTCGGCAATGAACGAATCATCCCTGTAAAAGTTCAGAGATACCTCTGTGTTATTTTCGTTGGGCGAGCTTTCCGCAATGTCGTTGTGATGTCGGTGAAAAAGTCTCCTAATACTCAGCGAGCTTCTCTTCCTGGGAACATCATTTTGATTATCTGTTACCTGACCATCTGAATCTGAGTTTTCCAATCCATCTTGCAATCTCCGTTTCAATGAAAGACGGTTTCGAAGCGGAGGAAGCTCTTCTGGGGAAGGAGTCCCAGTAGTATCTGGTGTGTCACCAGACCCGTACCACCAGTCTCTCAAAGTGCGCATTGTTAATTCCAAAAAAGTAAAATTCTGAAACTGTTGTCCTGATGATGGTATAGTCTTAGTCTGTGCTCTAAAATAGTTCTACAACAAACCGCAGTGTTGTAACGCCGCATGTCTGCCATCCATCGCACGGTCGTCCGATATCTAGGAAATTTTTTGGCCTGGGAAGATTTTTAGTTTGAGCCATGATCTTGCAAACAGTACAGTCCGTCCTTTTTCGCAGAATATATAAAAATGGCCAAACCCATTCATGGGAACAATGTTGTTCCCCGGAAAACCGAGGAAAAGTACAAAAGGATGACTAGTCAGGCTCCTGTCACTACCACAGACAAGAAGCTGAGAGGCAGTCTCAAAAGGCTCAACGAACAGCACGATGATGCAGTGAGATCTGCTGCCGGAACAGATATCTTGTTACAAGAGGAGGTTGGTTTCCTTGAAGCTGAAGGAATGGAGAAGACATACAAGTTCAAGCAAGACGATATTAAAGGGGCAGTTGATGTTAGCACAGCAACGAAAGGCTTGGATTTAAGATTACCAGAACTAGGCCCATACACACTCGATTACTCGCGCAATGGAAGAGAGTTGCTGATAGGAGGCACAAAAGGACACGTTGCATCTATGGACTGGAGGACTGGAGTTTTGGACTGTGAATTGCATCTTGGAGAGACGGTTCGCGCTGTAAAGTATCTGCACAATGACCAGTACTTTGCAGTGGCCCAGAAAAAGTACACTTTTATCTACGACAAAACTGGAGCAGAACTGCACAGACTGAAGCAGCATATTGAAGCGACAAACTTAGATTTTTTGCCATACCACTTCTTGCTGGTTTCGTCTGGAGCCACAGGGTTCTTGAAGTACCATGATGTATCCACAGGAACGTTGGTTTCTGAACTACGAACGAAACTAGGTCCCACCCAGTGTATGGCGCAGAATCCGTGGAATGCAGTGATGCATCTCGGTCATGGAAACGGTCAGGTAACTCTGTGGGCTCCAAATATGTCTTCTTCCCTGGTGAAGATACAGGCATGCAAGGGTCCAATCAGATCTGTTGCTGTTAACAGAGACGGACGCTACATGGTTGTGGCAGGTGCAGACAAGACAGTAAAGGTTTGGGATGTGAGAACATTCAGAGAAGTCGAATCATACTACACACTCACGCCTGCTTCTTCAGTTGATATATCGGATACAGGACTGGTTTCAGTCGGTTGGAGCTCGCATGTCACTGTGTGGAAGGACCTATTGAAGACGAGGCAAAAATCGCCATATATGAACGAACTGTTACCATCTTGTCCAGTGGAAACTACTCAGTTTGTCCCATTTGAAGATATACTCGGTGTTGGCCACAGAAACGGTGTCACCAATCTGATTATACCTGGTGCTGGTGAGGCCAATTACGATGCCTTGGAGGTAAACCCATTCGAGACTGCCAAACAGAGACAGCAGTCGGAAGTGCGCTCATTGATCAACAAGCTGTCGCCTGACATGATTTCTTTGGACCCAGATTTCATTGGAACAGTCGATAAAAGGGCCAACCAACAGAGACTGACTCCAGCACAACTATCACAGATCACACTATCGAAAAAGGAGAAGGAGGCAGCAGAAGCAAAGGAAGAGGTTAGGCCTGATGTCAAAAGTAAAAACTCGGCTCTGCGAAGACACAAGCGTAAGATGAGACAGAACGTTATCCATGAACGTTCTACTCGTGTTGATGCCGCTCTCAAAAAGGAGAAGGAACTAAGAAAGAAGAAGTTGGATAGGGCCAGAGGTGTTCCAGAAGAAAAGGATCTTCTTGGACCTGCGCTCTCAAGGTTTGTCTAAAATGATGGATAGATGATTTTATAATCGATTGGAAGTTCGTCCAGTGGAAAACACAGTTACATGAACCAATGAGGATCAGTCAATGAATATAAACTACGCAGGCAGTGTTTCAAAATTTTATATTTCTATCTTCTTTATGGGATTATTTTGCTTCCTCTTCATCATCGCTATCCTCCAAAGTAAATGGGTCGGGCAGTGGAGCGTCAGTGTTGTTCAGCTCCCTCACTGTCTTGATACGATCCAACGGCTCACCAAACTGAGCATCCTTCAACACAACTATACCGCTTGTTCCCTTGAACTTCCTGATCGGAGTGAACCTCTCATCTTTCACGAAAGCAATGTACTTGAGCTGAGATGGAACAACCCTGCTCATGTTATTGAGCTTGTATGGAGTCTGGGTGTAATAAGTGTTGGATGATGAAGAATCTTCTTCGTTGTCGGCAACGGTTTCGTCATTCGAGAGCTCTTCGGCCACTGGCTCAGAGACTTCTGGCTTTGCGGGTTCATCATCAACATCCATCTTGTCCTCAACCTTGACCTCCTCTTCTTTCTTCTCCTTTTCAGCCTTGACCTTCTTCGCTCTGGCTTTGGCTCTCACGGTAGTAGATAGAACGGCAGTTGCCACTTTTTCAGGTTGCTTCTCGACTGCAGTCTCGACCTTTGGAGGGTATCCAAAAAGATCGGGCTTAGTGTGACAGTTGATCTCGAACTTTGGAACTTTGAAGTCTTCACGAATTCCAATAATGGATGTGGGCGTGAAAGACAGGGCAAGGAAGTGTGTGAATGGAAACCAATACCAGTACTGGGAGAACACTGTGAGACCGACGATCGCCTTCATATTGAGAGTTCCTGTTTGAGAATTCTCTAGCTGAATGGTCACATTGCGTCCACCAGCATCGATGATACCCTGTGCTAAGGCAGCGCCAAATTTAGCAAGTGAGTCTTCATTTTTGTTTCCAACAACCTTGGCAAATGATTCTTTGACCTCATTGACCTTGGGAAAGGTTTTCTCATTCTGTTGAATCATGATCATCGACATGGCTATATGAGCTCCCTGTCTGACAAAATCAACGGCATCCTTGGTCAATGGCTCCAAAACTTCAACTGCGGCTGGAAGACCACGGCCAGCACAAGAGATACCCAAAGCCATGGCAGTACCATAGCGGACATGAGGGTTATGGGACTCAGATAGGAGTTCAACGATGGTTGGAACTGTTGTGTAATCACGAAGTAGAACGAAACCCAGAGCTGTAACGGCAGCTCTTCTAACGTTGTCAGAAGAATCCGAAACTGCAATGTGCAACAAGCGCTTGATGGCGGAGTTGTTACTAGTTCCACAGTAAGCCAGTGCCAGAGTATAAGCACCACCATAACGGAGTATAGGATCTTGGTGCTTCAGCAATTGGTCGATCATTGGTTCTGCAGAAGTTTCTTTTCCGTAGCAAACAAGAGCAATACCTATCGCAAGACCACGAACAATGGTTTCATGCTGAGTCTCTTGGGCGTATTGGAACATGTTGTATAGGGCATTGTCATCACCTGAACCCAGCATTACCAATCCCATTGCCAAACCTGCTGCCTCACCTGCGACGGCTGAATCAGCATAGAGAATAGTCTTGAGCTCCTCGTAGATTTCCTCGCTTCCTAGACCCATACCTGCAACACCCACACCTAGACAAGCACCATGGAGAACAACGTCCACGTTTTTGTCATCACTGGCAGAGTTGTTTTCCACGATCTTCTCTTTCAAAAATTCGATCACTTCCTTACCGTGACCTGCGTATACCAATCCAAGTCCAAATAGCGAACCACCATTGGTGTAAGGTGAACTTGTACTTCCAGGAAGGTATGGTTTCAGAAGGTTCATACCCTGCGAAAGGTTACCTTTGTGGATAACACCCAAAGCAGCGGTAGCAGAAAATTTCGACCAATTGGTGGCCTTCCCCAGCCACTCAAGGTTGCTTCTGAAGAAAGAATCGTCAGTGGTACCAGCATGCATGAATGCATTCTGGAAAGTGATAGCCGAGTGGAAAATCGAGTTTCTGCCGTCCAACTGCTGCTTGCTCTTGTTTAGGATCGAGATATCGGTATTGTTGTTGTTGTAGAGGAAGGTGATGTCCAGATCACAGGTTGGAACACCCGATAGAACCTTCAGCAATTTTGCAAGTTCTTTGTTGGTTTGATCTAGGTTTTCGTCCTTGGTGAGGATCTCAGAGGTTTTGTCCAAAAGCTCTTGCGACGCTGAGTTGACTAGATCGAATGCCACTTGGAATGCAGTGAGGTGATCACCGTTCACCAAAAGCTCCTTGAAAATCTTGTGTGCAAGAGTGTAGTCATTCAATTGTACTATTATCTTGGAGATCATGAAGTAATCAGGCGACTTGAGCGAGAGAATTATCAACACCAGAGTGTTCAAGATTTGTACCCTCAAACCGATGTTGGCAATCACGGTGGTGACTGAAGAAAGAACATAGCCCACAAGGGACAAAACCGATTCTTCATTAGCTGAGGTCCGCAGCTGGGTTCTGATAATATCCTCGACAATGTCCAGGCGATAACTTTCCATTGCGATACCCAAAGCCAGCTTTATCTCGCCCTGGCTAATACACTTCTCCAGCATTTTCTCAAAAATTAGAGTCAATTGCGAGTTGATTTTCACACTTGGGTCAGAGAACTTTGTCTGAGACAAGGAAATGTATCTGTCGATACATTTCGAGATAATAGTCTCGACGTATTCGGTCTTCTCGTCCAAATCAAAGGCGCTTTCAGAGCACAAGGAGTACTTCACAGACGAATCATAATCACCCAAATTATAGTACACTTTGGAAGCAACGAGCGCAGCCAAAGCACGGTGCGAGAACTTCTCGTCTTCGTATAAAGCCTCAATTTCGGTAATGTTGTTGGCAATCTCAGCCCAGAGTTGATCAACAACCCCATTCAGAGATGACAAAGCATAGGACTTCAGCTCCGGGTCCTCCTCGCTCAACAATGCCAAATATGGCGCAGCAGACGTTAATGCCATGATGAAATTATATCCGAGTCAGCACAAAGATCAGTTTAATACCGACTCTTGATTGAGAAGGCGAATCTTGGTGGATACGTGAACGCAGTTGCCACTTCACGATGTCCGGGAAGCGATGTCAGGATTGGTGCTGGTGCACTACTTTTACTACTACTTAGGCTTTCCGCTTTCGGCTATCAGCTTTCTTTGTCTATACTGTATAAAAAAAGGTAGAAGATATATAACTATGCTGTGTTGAACATTAGAATTTTGTCATTTCCGGATCCTCAAATCGAATAAAGAGACTTGTGGTTGTCTTTGCAAGCGTCAAAGTTTAGTGGTAGAAAAAGTGGGACACTGGTCATTATTTGCAGGCGTTGAGCAGCAAGAGAAGTTGAAAAGATCTAGTACAAGAGTCTGGTGGCGATCTTGTAAGTGGTCTGTTCCAGCTGTTGGTACAACGACTTGATGTCGTCGACGTTCACGTGAGAGATGTCAGCCATCAAGTAGGCAACATCGCCTCTGGAGTCGGAGAACTGCTTCTCAATGTTGTGTTCGGCAAGAACGTTGTTCACAGTCTTCAAAACACCAGGCACATTCTGGTGGATATAGAGCACTCTAACGGCATCGGCCTGGTCCAGGTCAAGCGATCTGAGAGCCACTTCTGGAAAGTTGACGGCACCGGTGGAGATACCCTCGTTGATGTATCTGGTCAAAGCAGTTCCGACTTCAACACCAATGGCAGATTGGGCCTCCTCAGTAGAACCACCGATATGAGGAGTGAGAATCACATTTCTGAGGGATCTCAGCTCGGAAGCCCAGCTGTTCAACTCGTCGTTGAACAAAGGTCCGTTCTTGGCTGGTTCGTTAGGATACACATCCAAAGCCGCACCTGCAAGCTTGCCAAGTTTCAAAGCGTCCACCAAGGCCTGAATATCCACAACAGTTCCTCTGGAAGCGTTGATGAGATAAGCACCGTCCTTCATGGCCGCGAACTGTGGGGTCGACATAAGGTCCTTGGTCTCTGGGGTCTCTGGGACATGCAGGGTGACAAAGTCGGACTGGTTTAACAGATCGTTCAGAGTTGGAACCTGCTGGGCAGTACCAAGAGCCATGATCATCATCACATCGTAGTAGATAACGTGCATTCCAAAGGCCTCGGCAAGCACAGAAAGCTGAGCACCGATATGGCCATAACCGACAATTCCAAGGGTCTTGCCTCTGATCTCCCAGCATCTGGCACTCACCTTGTTCCAAACTCCAGAGTGCATCTCGATGGATCTGTCACCAAGTTGTCTTGACAAGGTGATGATCTCGGCAATCACCAGCTCAGCGACGGATCTGGAGTTGGAGAATGGAGAGTTGAACACGGCCACACCAGATTTGGCAGCATACTCCAGATCCACCTGGTTAGTTCCAATACAGAAACAACCAATCACAACAAGGTTCTTGGCATGTCTCAGCACATTTGCGGTCAATTTGGTCTTAGATCTGATACCAATGGCATGGACATCTTTGATCTTTTCAATCAGTTCCTCTTCTGGAAGAGAAGACTTGTGGAACTCAACTTGATAACCCTGCTTGTTAAAGATTTCGATTGCAGTCTCATTGACATTCTCTAGAAGTAATATTTTCATATCTCCGGTGGAAAAAGGCTTCAAGGCCTTGGCTGGCTTAGCCATAGAGTAGCTTCTTGGTCTAGCCTGGTTGATGTAGGAAGCATTTGGAGAGGTCGAAACCGCGCCTGGAGAAGTCGACAGATTCACGGCGGTTCTGAAATCCTCGGAAAGCTTCTGGATAGGTCTTGGAGATGACATGGTGTGTTGATGTGGTGAAAAGAGAGCAAAAGAGAAAGAGCTAGCGTCGTGTCTCTTCTTATATCGGTATGACTATGACTGACACGAGCATGCGCATCTAAAAAATGGGAACTCATCATCATTCATAGCCCGCGATATCACGTTTTACCCTCGGATTTGCTTAGTTAATTAGCCCTCGGAAATGCCGGTCTCGGGCAATTAATCACCCACCGTTGCAAATTTTTCACTGGCAGCAAGAACTGTTCTTTATGACTATATTCCATTTCAGTTTTACCAGAGCCGCTCAGTTATATCTCCCAGATCACAACCCAAAGGTTTTCTGCTTTTTCAAGCGTCTTTGTGGTGCCTGTGGGGTGCATTCGTAGCGCCGCACATGTTCTACTGACTCTGTCTACCGGAGCGGAACAATAGCGCCAGAGTCGCGCGAGGCATCGGCAGAGTCACCCCGATCGAATGGCCGCGAGGATGATTTTGTCCAATCAGAGATCATTTTTCCCAGGAGATTTGTCAATTGATGATATAAAAGGTGTTCACGAGAACTGATTACAATGTATTAAATTGTATCATCAGAGGGTCTATACTGCTCACAAACTCGCCCCCCTCCCTGTATGTCAGGGCCCAAGCCCAGTTTAGTGGACTCCGAAAAAATCACAGTCACATCAGTCCTCAGATATTCTTCATCCCGCTAGTGTAATTTTCATCCCTATTCGTGTACTACTCAGATGACCATGTTTCGGTATTCTCACTACTCCCTCCCACTGAGGGCCTAAATTTTTCAACTAAACGAAAACTGGCTTGAAGATTCTCGTTTGAAGTATCATAGTTTCTACTAACTAAACCATATCACTAGTTTAAAAGTATGTTATGATCACATTTTCAATAACGAGGAGACACGGATATAGTTCAAAAATTGCTTCAAAAGGGTTTAAACCATGACTGTGTTTGCCTCGTTACATCTCAAACTCTTCAACTCATACTAACTCGACATTTTCAGTGGGTGCCTACAAATATTTGGAAGAGCTTCAAAGAAAGAAGCAATCTGACGTTCTGCGTTTCTTGCTCCGTGTCAGATGTTGGGAATACAGACAGAAGTCTGTCATCCACCGTGCCACCAGACCATCCAGACCAGACAAGGCCAGAAGATTGGGTTACAAGGCCAAGCAGGGATTTGCCATCTTCCGTGTCCGTGTCAGAAGAGGTAACAGAAAGAGACCTGTTCCAAAGGGTGCTACTTACGGTAAGCCAACCAACCAGGGTGTTTCCCAGCTCAAGTACCAAAAGTCCTTGCAGACCACTGCCGAGGAGAGAGTCGGAAGAAGAGCTGCCAACTTGAGAGTCTTGAACTCTTACTGGATCAACCAGGACTCCACCTACAAGTACTTTGAGGTTATCTTGATCGACCCACAACACAAGGCTATCAGACGTGACGCCCGTTACAACTGGATCGCCAACCCAGTCCACAAGCACCGTGAAGCCAGAGGTCTCACTTCCTCCGGAAAGAAGTCCAGAGGTATCAACAAGGGTCACTTGTTCAACAAGACCAAGGCTGGTCGTCGTCACACCTGGAAGAAGCACAACACTTTGTCCTTGTGGCGTTACAGATCCTAAGCGGTTTAGGTTTATTCCTGCGTTCAGTGGGCTCGTTGTGGTTGAAAGCGTACTCGGTCTCTCCTTTCTGGAACGACTGTTGACAGGCTTTGCGATGAAGTTTTATTGAATAAACACTAGTTAAAGAATAACCCGCTTATTTTCTGACCCCAAGTTTCCAATTTTAGTAGCAAGTTCAGCCGAGGAGTTCTATCTGACTCTGCCAGTCTAATTAATGGTAGTCGTGCGCGGGCAATTGGAACTGCGTAAGCCCTCCCTGATTCATTTGATAGGAAGCCTCGTGCAACAAAAGAGTCAGCAGAGGGGCAGAAAAAAAATTAGCCGTTTTCTTTCGAGCCTTTTCAGAGCGTCCGATCTAGACCAGACTCAATTAAGAGAGCCTCAAGATGCCTGCTTATACCAAGACCGCTATCGTCTCCGTCTACGACAAGACCGGGCTGCTGGACCTTGCCAAGGGACTCGTCGCCAATAAGGTGAGAATCCTTGCCTCTGGCGGAACCTCCAAACTGATCAAGGAGGCTGGATTCCCAGTTGAGGATGTTTCTTCGATCACACACGCTCCTGAGATGCTGGGTGGAAGAGTCAAGACTTTGCATCCAGCCGTTCACGCTGGTATCCTGGCAAGGAACCTGGAGAGTGATGAACAGGACTTGGCCAACCAGCATATCGAGAAAGTGGACTTTGTCGTTTGCAACTTGTATCCTTTCAAGGAGACCATTTCCAAGATCAACGTCACCATTGATGAGGCCGTTGAGGAAATTGACATTGGTGGAGTCACTTTGCTGAGAGCTGCTGCCAAGAACCATGCCAGAGTCACTATTCTATCTGATCCAAAGGACTACGCTAAATTCATTGAGGAGCTGTCCACTGGAGAGATTTCCAAGGAAGCCCGTGACAGATTTGCATTGAAGGCTTTCGAGCACACTGCCGACTACGATGCTGCCATCTCAGACTTTTTCAGAAAGCAGTACAGCGAAGGTGTTTCGCAATTGCCTCTGAGATACGGTGCCAACCCTCACCAAAAGCCAGCTCAGGCCTTTGTTTCCCAGGGCCAGCTTCCATTCAAGGTTTTGAGCGGATCCCCTGGTTATATCAACCTCTTGGATGCTCTCAATTCATGGCCTCTTGTCAAGGAGCTGTCTGCTTCTTTGAACTTGCCAGCTGCTGCTTCTTTCAAGCACGTTTCTCCTGCCGGATGTGCTGTCGGAATCCCATTGAGTGAAGTTGAGAAGAAGGTTTATTTCGTTAGCGATATCGAGAACTTGTCTCCATTGGCTAACGCATATGCACGTGCCAGAGGTGCTGACAGAATGTCCTCCTTTGGTGACTTCATTGCCTTGTCCAATATCGTCGACGTCTCCACCGCCCAGATCATCTCCAAGGAGGTCTCTGATGGTGTCATTGCACCAGGCTTTGAGCCTGAAGCCCTGGAAATTCTGAAGAAGAAGAAGGGTGGTAAGTACTGTATCCTGCAGATAGATCCAAACTACACTCCAGACTCGGTCGAGTCCAGACAAGTTTATGGCATTACCCTCCAGCAGAAGAGAAATGATGCCATCATCAACTCCTCCACCTTTAACGAGCTTGTTTCCAAGAACACAAGTCTGAACGAGCAAGCCATCATTGACCTGACAGTTGCTACCATTGCCTTGAAATACACCCAGTCCAACTCTGTGTGTTACGCCAAGAATGGTATGGTCATTGGTCTTGGTGCTGGACAGCAGTCCAGAATCCACTGCACCAGATTGGCTGGTGATAAGGCGGACAACTGGTGGTTGCGCCAACACCCTCGTGTTCTCGGCTTCAAGTGGGCCAAGGGAGTCAAGAAGCCAGAAAAGTCCAATGCCATCGACCTGTTTGTCACTGGTCAGATCCCATCTGAGGGTCCAGAGAAGACCGACTACGAGTCCAAGTTCTCCGAGCTGCCTACGCCTTTGACTGCCGAGGAGAGAAAGCAATGGATGGACAAGTTGACCGATGTTGCTCTGTCTTCAGATGCCTTCTTCCCCTTCCCAGACAACGTCTTCCGTGCTGCCAAGTCAGGTGTCAAGTACATCGCTGCTCCATCCGGTTCGGTCATGGACAGGGCTGTTTTCGATGCTGCTGACTCCTTTGGAATCGTATATGCTGAGAACCCAATACGGTTGTTTCACCATTAGGCCCGACACTGCAATTCTTAATTTTGTAACTTCTGATTCACCGATCGAAAGTATTAACGAAAAACGTAGTTGATTGGTAGTAGTGGCTCGGGCAATCTCTCGATTGCTCTACTTAAATTTCAAAGTCAGATACTTAGTTATGATAAAAATTGTATTTGAAAGAGGAAGTGAAAGAAGAGTAATAATTGATAGAAAAAGGTAGAATGAAGAGGCCAATAACAAAACGTGAGAAAAACCAACGGTTAAACCGTCAACTGGTGACGGTGTCTAAAAAAAGGGAATCCAAGACGTTGGCTTCTCTCACCAAAACAAAATATATATGAGCCTCTTCTTTGAATGATTCCAAATAATTCACAAGTGATGGGGGTTTTTTTGTTTTGGGATTTTGCTGTGGTTTTGTGGTATGGTGATGAATGCAAAGACCTAAGCCTTGGTAGACCAGGTCTTAAGCTTGGTCTTGGTGGTCCACGAGTAAGTGGTCCACTTGTGCTTCAAGCTCTTGGTACCAGTGTCGTTGTTGTTCTGGTGTCTTGGCTGGAACAAACCATCCGCAAAGTCGGGCAAGCTGTCCAAGTCGTTGTTGATGTCTACGTGACTAGCGGCAACAGCTGGACCAATAATCAAAGCAGCAAAGATGATCAGGATCAAGAAGTACAACGAACAGTACTTTCTCACCATTCTCTTTCTGAGTTTGGCCTGCTTGATCGAGTAGATTGGAGGTCTGATCAGTCTAGAAGGCTTCAACCAGAACAGCATCATGGAGTGCCATTTGTCAACCAATGGAATACAAAGCAATGGGAATTGGCAGAACAACAGAATGTGTCCCAGAACAAAGTCACCAGCAAACTCAGACATTTCAATGATCTTGGCACAGAACTCACGCGAAGGCTGAGTCCAGGCCATGTAACCAAGACCAGAACCGTACCATTTACCAGTCCAGAAAGCGGTGTTGGAGTGATCATTCTTGAACTCTCTAGTCAGGAACAACAGAGTCATGAACTTGAAGATCAAACGCTGAATGTACACCATGGTGACCAAACCGATCACCATCTTGGCAAACACGAAACCTTCCATAACCCACATAACAACGAAGAAGACAATGTGTATGATAACGGCAACACCATGGGCGAAACCGGCAAGCACAGCACCTGTCTTCTTGCAGCACAGACCGAACAGAGGACCGGAACAACATGAGAGACCAAGAGTGAAGAACAAAACACCAATGTCAATGACAATTGGAGCCAAAGCACAGATCACAAGACGCAACACCGAGTTAACAGTGGTCTGAGTGTTGACACCAGTCTGGGCATTGATGAAGGTATAGGCAAGGAAACAACCAGCAGTGTAGATGATACATGGAAAAGTATCAGAGAAGAACACGTTACTGCGGTGAGCTCTGGCAGCATCACCGGCAGCTCTCTCGGAGTCATCGCCAATGAGCTTTCTCTTGAATCCAGTGACTCTCGATCTCGACAAGCGGACGTAACCAATCCACGAGTTTCTGTGCCACTTGGTGTTACCACGCGACAACCATCTGATGAAATCACGGTAGTCGATGAAGAAGTCTTCCCAGGAAAATTGATGTGGGTTGAACACAAATGGCGAGAACATCAAGGCACTCAAAGAAGCCCAGAACCATAGCAAAGCTGGCTGCCAATGAGCAACTGTACCGAACAACAGCATCAACATACATCTTGCACCCATGTAAATAGACGAGTCGGCAAAACGGGAGTACAGAACACTGAAAGGAATACGGGCAGTTGCAAAACCACGACCAGTAGAGATATAACGAGCACCACCAACAGCAACGTCATTCAGCAAAGAAGACGCGTAGATCTGGGCGACGAAAACCTCAAACATTGGAGATAACGAGACGAAATGGCGGGTGAATCTCTTCGCTGCCTTCCAAACACCACGCTCAATCAACTCCTGGACCACCAATGGCACGAAAGAGATAAAGAAGACGATGAAGATGGAAAGAGTGTAACGACGGATCCAGTCAATAGCTGGCATCATGTTGTAACAACCCAATGGGTACAACACATCGGTAATAGGCTTATTCCTGTCGTAGATACAGATGATACCTTCGTGAGCAAGAGAATTCAAGTTGACCAAAGTAAGCATGAACAATTGCAAGGACAGTTGAATGAACAAGTTGTTGATGTGGAAACCCAAATGCGCGTAGTAGAATGTAAGGAATCTGTCCAGAGGCAACTGGGTACCCAAGTAGTAGTATTCTCTCGACAACATCTGTTCTCCCATACCGGCACCAATCTTGGTGGTGAAGTTCAGAATAGAGCCGAAACCCAAATCACGACCTTTACCGCACTGGTAGTACTCACAGTGCTTGATTCTACCACCACGGCACATGGCATTCATACCGGCGTAAATATCTTCGTTCAAGTGCAGACCCTTTTGGGCCTTGGAAACACCACCTCTGGTGGTCATGAAAATTGTGTTCAGGAAATCAGGGTGACCGTAATGGAGCTTACCACCGATCTGAGACAAAGTACGAGCAAACAAAGTACCGAAGGTCTGTTCCTTACCGGCAGCAACATCACCAAGAACACCGGAGTTCTCGGAGAAGATGTACTCACGGGCACCGACAATGGCAACTGGGTGTTGAATGGCATTCTCAGCCTTAAGGCCAGGGGCATATGGGTTGATCTGCTCAGTTCCAAGCTCTTCGAACTCAGCAAGAACAGATCTAATCTTCAGACATTCTTCCAGGTAGTTATCTTGATTGGCATCAATCAACTGCAAGTACTCACCACGGGTAAAGATCAAAGCATGGTTCTGGTTATCGGACTTACCGTCACCCAGAATTGGGTTTCCGGAAAGTTGCACTCTGTACTTTGGTCTTCTGCGACCATTCTCCATGATTTCACAGTGGCCATCAATAAGAGCGGAGTAGATTCTTGGCTCAGCACCTTCCTCCACTGGAGGTTCCTCATCCAAGTAAGCAATCTGCAAGTCAGGGTAGGCACGGAGCAAGAACTCGGCGTTCTCCAACTCTTCAGGCTTGAACTTGGTGAGTCTTTGCATAGAAACGACAAACTTGAATTTACGTCTGGCCATTCTCTCGAGCTCTCTCTCCAGACCTTCAGCGTTACCGCCAAACATCTGGACGATCTCTGGGTTCTCAACACGGTACAACAACTTGATAGCCCTTGCGTAGTTCATGAAACCAGAAACTGTACGGTACAGAGTCTGGGATCTCAACGAAGCCCAGATTCTGGTTCTCAGTGTGTACTCAGGAGCAGCAGATTTGAAACCGATACAGTAGAATGGCAAATCGTCGATTTGGTTCTTCATCTTGTCATCATCCTTCTCCTCCCCGCCGTTTTCGTAAGCAGCCGTTTCTTCAGCCAAAATCTTCGTGTCCTTGACGAAACAGTCCCATTCAACACTATGAAGTTGCTTGAGGTACTCCAACAAAGTAACTCTCGAGAACTGGTCATCTTCTCTGATAATTTCACGCAAAGAGAGCAAAATCTTTTCAGAGTAGTGAGGAGTGAAGACGGTGAAAGTTGGCATGTTGTCAACTGGCAAAGGTTCTGGGATTGGCGTAGCCAACGACTGGGCGAAGAAAGAGATACGACGTTCAGCTTCCGAGTCTCTTGGGAAGAACTCAGTCTCAAAGTTGTTATCGTCCTGCGAAACGAAGAAGGTTGGTGCTCTCAAAGTACGCTTACCTTCAACCTCCGATGGAACCTGGTGGTAGAGCAACTTCTGAACGTGGTCAATGGCAAGAAGATGTTCTCTGTACATGGAGATGACAATGGCGTTCCAGACCTGAGAGATCAGCACCTTAGGCTTGTACTTGATCTCCATGTCAGTGGTGGCCAACACCTTCGAGTAGATTCTCTTTGGCAACCTGGTGAAGATATTTCTCCAAGGAGTCAGGATAGAGATACCAAGGTAAAACGATCTGCCAACAGAGAAGACACAGTTAACCAGAATGTACCACATGTATGTATCCAAAAAGAACAGCACCAAATCGTTGACATACATGAGACCAAGGACAATCTTGGCCTGGTTTTTGCATGTAACATCACCCCACCATTTCTCACCAACACAACGCATGGTCATGGTGGACAAGTTTCTGATAGGGTCACGCAAAGACAGAATCATGAAGGAGTACGATTCAAGGAACTTGGCCAAAAAGACAAGTACCCACAACAGATACGACATCCACATATCCAAACCCTTAAGAGAGTAGAACGATGAGGTGAAAGTCTCGGTGGCCAAGAATCTTCTGGAGCTCTTGTTCATGTAAGGAGTGAAAAGTCCACCCAATGGCATGATGGCAAAGAACAACGTGGTTACAATGGCAATGATGAAAGACACGATGGAAACAGTCAAGGCAGCCTTGGACTTTGTCTGAAGACCAGCCCAGGCAAAGACAAAGATGACTGGCGCCAAGTTGATTCCAAAGATCAGGAAGAGGAAGAGAAGACGACGGGTCAGACGCTGAGCACCTGCCCACTTTCTGGGAACAAAGATGTATTCACAGATGGTAGCAACAATCTGGATAAAGGAGGCGATGGTACCACCGAGGGCAGTGGCAGCCCATCTGGACGAAGCCAAGGGTTGGTTGTTCAAGACTTGGACATAGTTGTGGGTATACAGGGTTGGGGAGTTGTATGCTGCATACATCCAAAAGACAGAAATGTGGATGATCCAAATACGGTTGAAGTTGGTGATCAAATGGAACCAGGTTCTCATCTCCTTATAGGTCTTGAAGAACACATTGTTCCACTCAACCTCTCCAAGTCTCAGATACCTCTCCTCGGTTGGAATGTCAACCAGTCTGGTTCCATCCTCGAAAACAATACGGGAAATACCCTCTGGGTACCAGAAGAGCTGGTTGACATCGTCGTAACCAATGATCTTGTTGTGGTCCTTCTCACGCTTGACGTAACGGCCATCAACAACCTCGTAAACCTGGTCTCTGATGAAAATGTAAATCGGGGTGATCACACGGTTCAAGAAGTCACCCTCGGCAACAGGCTCAGTTCTGTTTCTGCAGGCCTCCGAGTTGAGATAATCATCGGCACACTTGTAGATGAAACACAAACATTCTGGTACAAACCTGACCTGGTTGGCCTCACCCCAAAGCAAGAGATAGAGAGCAACCTGTCTGACTCTTTCGAGAGGAGTCAAGGCATTCATCTTGGCCTTCCATCTGTAGTCCGAAGCCTCAAGAGAGTAATCGCCTTCAAGATCGTTCAGGGTTCTCTCTGTGTCTTCGGCATGGTCCTCGACGGCCTGTCTGGCCTTCTTGGACTTCTTCTTGGCCTTACGAGCCTTGCGCGAGAGCTTACCCATCTTCATATTACCGAATCCAACTGCATCATCAACGTCGAGCTGGGCAGCAAAGTACCACTTCTTGTAGTTCGAAGAGTCGCCTCCAATGTAGTCAGCATGAATAGAGAGCAAAGCCTGAGCCGGCGCCATACGCGAGGCACGCGAGTCAAGCATCACCATGAAGTACTCGAAGATGTTTCTCATAGAGTCTCTCTGGAAACCGAAACGGTTGGTCAAGTCAATGAACACATCCTCGATTTGCTCGATGGTGACTGGGGCCTGGTTATCAGCAGTCCAGGCTGGAAATGGATCCGTAGGCAGCGAAACGATCCCGCTCTGGTCGTAAGGTGTGGCTCCGTAAATGGGGGTAGAAGCACCAGACGATCTGGGTCCGCCGTAAGACATCTGCGAGGGAGTGTACTGGGTCCCGTATCCATCATATGGAATGCCGGGAGCTCCGCCAGGTCCACCATAGCTGAAGTCCGAGAATGCTTCGGGGTCTGTTCCAACAGCACGTGGGATCTGGTCATAGTATCCCTGTTGGTTCAGGTTTGGATCCGAGGCGTAGTTCTGGTCGTAAGAATCGTACACCGGCTGTTCGTATCCCGCAGCCTGTTGCGGATGTTGATAGTAAGGATCTTGAGCATTTGGCTCATAGTACTCCTCTTGAGGTTGACCCCCTTGCAACACCTCCTCTGAAGGATGGTAGTTGTCGGCGTAGTAAGCACCCTCTTGAGGGGCTCCGTTTGGATCGTAGTACTGGTCGTTATAAGACATCTTTAAAGTCTGGAAAGCCACGAGACAAACAAAATAGCAATACTAATCAGCTGATCAATCAGCCTGAAAAGCTTGGTGGTTGTTTTGTTAACAAGCGGTTTGATGGCTCAAAACACGCTAACACGAAACACAGACACGCAAAAACACGGTGATCCGAAAGTGAGTGGCTACCAAGATCGACTGGTTAGAAACAGCTTCCAAACAACCAACCTTTGATGAAAAGAGGCTAAAAAACAGAACAAAGATCAAACTTGAACTGGCAAACAAAAAAGAGAAGATGGGAAAAGGAGAAAAAGGAGTCTTCCAGCTTTTGGCAAGAAGGGCGTCTCGTCCCGAAATTCCGCCTAAAAATATCTTTTCTTCGGGTAGTGTGCTAACAAAACACGCTTTGACGGTGTGGATAGCCACATCTGGAGGGTCTCGCGCAGGGGAATTTTACACAAAAGGAAGTCTAGTGAGATACCAACAGATTACTGTTAGACAGGGTGAGCCTATACCGATCGATTGACAAGGCTGTAGTACTGGATAGTTCGTGGTAACTCGTGGATATGAAGAGCTTAATCTTAGTTGCTCTCGTAAGCAGCTCTTGCTTATTCGGCAGCTGGATTTGGACCTCTCATAGTGGGATTTCACAAAAAGGAAAACCGAGTAAGCTTTTGCAGAAGAGGCTGTGTGGTGTGAGCTGATTCTAGCTGGTTTGTAGGCCGACATATGAGAGTTCTGGGCTGAAAATTTGGTTCAGTAATTCCAGACCATTTGGTATTTACTCTGACCTTTTTTTCAGGACCACTCTACGAATCATATCTACTATTTCAACCAAGTTTAGACAACCTTCTGACTACCTTGCTGCCAACCGCGACTTACTACGGTTGAATCATCCTGTTGAGACAGGCTTTGTTGGCAAAAAAAAAGAAAAACTCGAGAAAAAAATATACCCCCTGAAACAGGATACGTGCCCTGACTCTAATGAACCGCACACTCAATGACAGCGTGTCTGTGCAGGCTCGGGCCTCACCGAGCACTGGCTTTGATCCCCGAAGATCAGATGCCTCCAGGTCGCGGCCCGTCCAGCGCGCGCGGATATCCAGATGCGAATCCAGGTGATTGGCCAGGCAGAATGCCTCGACTTGGGCGTTTCAGGTGAGTTTGCCGCGGCTCGTCTGCAGTAAAACGCCTCCACCCCGTGCAAATTTCAGAGCTACACTAACTGAGGTCTTGCAAGCCTCAAAAGACATTCTCCAGCCGGACATTTTGTGGTGGGGCGCCTCGGTGTTTTGAGTTTTGCGGGCGCACGACTTCCTTATTGGGGACCTGTTTGTAGATGGCAGAAGACTAGTCTCAGGTGAGGCTCGTGAAATATAAGTCTGGCATTCAAGGTAGACATCTATATACTGGGCCACGATGATTGTATCTCGAGGATCCGATAGGTCTGGAGTCTCTAATAGACTTCTTCTAGTGTCTACTCGCTCATATTTCATTTTTTTGACCACTACAAAGTTCAATTCTCATTTGGAGCATATCTTTTTTCAACTTTTATTCATCAGCTTGGTACGCAGGAAATTTCCTGATAGTGCACTTCAACAGCTGCTGAAGCATATGTTTCTCCCACTTGTCATTAGCAGCCTCGGCCTTAAGGCTCAGTTTCTCTGTAAAAACCTTATAGGTCTCCTCGTCCATCAGACGGTCCATTAGCTCAACCGCATGTGTCTGTCTCACAATAATCAAGTTGCTGAACAGAGAGTCCACAATATCGTTCTTGACAAGGAAACCATGTTGGTACATCTTTTCAAGGATCAAATAGGCAATTCTTGGCTCGTGATTCCACAGTCTAAGAACACTTTCAACCAGCCAACCGCGCCTTATCTGCTGGTCCTCCTCGGAAACCGGCTCGGAAGCAGTTTCGTTTTCTCCGTCCATCTCAGAATCCACAGTCTGGCCAAGAGCCCTGTGAAGTTTAGCAGCAAAGATGTCAAGAGCACCATCAATCACGGTCAGCGACCGCGAACCAATGATACACACTGATTGGCCCAACAGAGTAATCACATATCTCTCGGCATTCTCCACAGTCTCATCGTTGGCAATCTCCTCCTTCAGCTGTGCGATCAGAGCGTCGAAGTCCTCGACACTGCCAGACCCCTGTAGGTTCTCGTAGATGGAATAGCACAGCGATTGGTGGGCATGCTCAGCATGGTTGAAAAGGAAACGGCCTAACAGGTCTACGGGAGCCCCGTTTTCATCTGTCTCACTCATTCTCAACTCTCCGAAAAAGCGCGAGTCAAACTCGTCTTGCTGCTCCGAAGTGAGTATCCGAAGGTCCAGGAATTTGTACATTTCCTCGGGTAATGTGCGCTTCACAGTATCGAGGGTGCTCACACGAAGCTCTTTCGCAATGACATTTCCAACCACGTAGTTCTGAGGGTGAAAGATCGAGTCGTTGTTTGCGATAGCGTCCTCAACCCATTCTCCCCACTGCCATTCATATCCAAAGTTCGATAATTGTATCAACAACCAGTCGATATAGCGCATCCGCAGTTCAAAATCCAGAGTAACGGCGTTATTGTAGAGATGGCGGATAGCAGAGCCAATCACTTTCGCGATTGTGGTTCTGTTGAAGCCGGAACTTCCTTTGATAGCGTATATATCGTTGTTGCAATAGTCCATCAACAACACCTGGTAGTAGATACAAGGATTGGGGGAGGTGGGCAGTTGAAGCATCAGATCAAGCAGAGCGTCTGTCATGATAGTCTCGATCTTCCACGTTGATTTAAAGCCTCTTTTCCATTCGTCCTCGACTGCCGCACATAGCTGCTTGAGCTCATTGGTGTCGGCATCAGCCATCTGTTCATCGGCCTCTTCGAGTTTGGCGCGGATATCAAGTCCCTGGTTGAGTTCGTGGATCAATGATAGCTTCTCAACGGCAGAGTTTGGCAGTGCAAAGCTCTCCGCATTCAGGTTCGTGAGCAGCTTGCGAAGCTGGAACGTGCATGTCTTTCTGTTGAATTCCAAATTCTGGATCATATCCTGGATTATATCACGTAGTAATAAAGACTCGTAAGTGTGTGCTGGAGGAACCAGATCGAATCCCACAGATGGAAAGTACTCTTGAACGCGTCTGGGGAATCTCCATAGCATGTCAATGTTGCCTGGGGCCTTCGCAAGACTGGCTAGGTCCAATAAGCTTTCCAAAGAGGGAATATTTAGCTGTGGTACTGCATGTCTGGTAGATGATCCTTCTGATTGTCTCAGGAGATACTCCAAGTCCGGGAACATCGCGACTTTCCAGTTGTCTGCCTGTATGGATTTGAGAGCTGGAAGAATAAGCTTGATCGTCAGCTTTGGCTCAAATGGGATGTCAAGATCTTCAAACTTGCTGAATGGTTCCAGTGCTGGTTCTGGTCCAACCTCGGCGATTTTGAAGGTCTCAGCAAGCTCAATGAGACTGTTGCATTTGGCCTTCAGGTCATCGTTGGACTGAAATGCAGTTAAATATGGAATCGAAATCAAAACATTGAAATAGATCATCTCTGCTAATGGACACCTTTTGTCCCCGTAGTGTTCCTGGAGAGAAATGGCAGTGCTTAGGAACTGCTTGAAAAGTTGAATAACCGAATCTTCTTCAAGGATGGGAACCAAACTGGCGAAAAGTCTCAGATAGAGCTTGAGCCTATCCCAGGGACCACATTCACTCGAGCCAAACCTAACGTCCTCCGTTTCCTTTTCATCCTCTTGCGAAAGTCCAGCTTTCAGCGAGTCCAATACAGACTGGCAGCTCTGGTGGAAGTACTCAACCACATACACACCAATCTTGGGGTTCTTCGCATTGCACACCTGCAACAAACTACTCGTGTAGAAAAGCCTGTGTGGCTGTTCAACAATCATAGCTTCGAGAAATTTTAGCGTAGAAGTCCTGAACAAATCGGCAGTCTCGAACTCGTTCGCAATCACGTTGCTGAGATTGCTCAAATCCGGCAAAGTACGCGCTGGGGAGTCACCTAGCTTCAAGATATCGGTACACACATTTCTGGCAAGTTCGACCATTTCCTTGGAGAATCCCCGATCGAATCTAGGAGGTTCGGCGCGCGGTGGGGCTCTTGCCTTGTTGTCATCTCCATGCTGCAGCTTCGGCTCGTATCCCTCGTCATCTTCATCATCGCTTCTGGCTCTCTTTGTGCCATGTATATCAGACATGTTCCGAGTTTCAGATCAAAAAAATAGGCGGTTTGGAAGCAATTGATAATCGTTACTTACCGTATTGTTCATGGCAGTGTTTGAAAAATTTGGGCCTGAATTAAGCTGTGAAACCAGGGTTCCCAACCATACTTCCCATGAAGTCAATCAATCTACTAACCTGAACACTTTTCAACTGTCAAATCCATTCAAATTTGTATCTGTGGGAATATATATTGTACAGCATATGTTAAACACAAAGCATAGTATTAATGTAAGGCATCAACTTGAAAATGTCACAGGCAACGGAACCGTCAAACCGGTTGACTGGGTCTTCTCTGAAGAAGAGCTTGTCGAGGTTGTTCTCAGGTTCTGGAACGACGTGTGTATGCGCAGATTGGGAGATCCAGCTTCTGCTCCACTTCCGACTCTTCTAGAAAGGTTGCTGTTGAGGGATGACAACTTGGCAAGTCTTCCTTCGAGGTTCTTCACCTTTTCGTTTGCCAGTCTGAGCTCAATCTCGTGCTGTTCTTTCATCGACTTCATGGCATCGCGAAGGCCATCTCTCTGCTGTTCAATCATTGTCACATTACCACTCTCACGAAGATGGGCGTCCAGTTGGCTCTTCAAAAACTCGTTCTCCTTGGCTAGATCCGAGGATTCTCCGGTCACACCTTGGCTTTCCAACACTTGAACGGTGTTCTTGAGATGTGGGAGAGTAACCGTACTCAGCTCTCTGTTCTCCGCAGTCAGCTTCTCAACTTTATCCAAAAGCTCAGGATATTCGGCTTCCAGCGACTCAACCTTCTGCTGAGCCTGTGCCAGTTTCTCCTCTTGTTCCAACGCTTTCGTTGTGAGTTCTGAGTTTTGGTAGCTCAACTCTAAGGGAGATGGCTTTATACCATTCTCCCACTTCAAGCAGAATTCCTCTGCTATGTACCGTTTTTTCCTCTCTTCCACTAACTGCTTTGCCAAATCCGAGATTTGTAAAGATTTCTCTCTAAGAGCGCCCTCTGATTTTGAGGAATCCTCGTCGATGGTCGCACCTCCCGCTGAAACAGCCTTTAGTTTCTGGTCCAAATTTAGCTCTCTCGTGATCGACTCTGCAAGAGCATTAGAAACGGCTTGCAGCTCTTCCATCAGGGCCATGTTGGAATGCAACATTCCAAGTTGCTCAACTGAAAGGCCGTTTAGAGGGGTATCAGCTGAGATCCCACGCGATTGAGTCTGACTTGAAATTATGGTTGGAGATGGTTCTGAGAGATCCTGTGCAACTTCCTTTGGTTCGGAAACCGTGTGGACTGGTTTCTGAACGGGAATTTGTCTTTGTGGTTGAGTAACCTGTTTTTGCTGGTTAGCAGCTGAATCATCCTCCACAACCGATGGCAACTTCTTGTGGTAAGAATTTTGAGCGCTTATATTCACATCCGACGGAATCAACGAACTATTCCGTGAGAAAAGACTGGCATCTTCGCCAGCAAAATCAACCTCGAGCTTGTAGTTCATGATATCCACGCTTTTGGTATCAACAGAGCGACGAGGTCTCCGAGTACGACTGGCACTGTGAGCGATAGTTTTCTTTGGACTTCCAAAATCAAATTCGTTGTTGTCAGAAGGGGTCTCTGAAGAAGGAACCGTTGGTAGATGTCTGTCGTTGACTGAAGGTGACAAAACCGACGGAACTGAAGGGAGGTCTTTCTCGGAACTCTTGATTGAACCGCTAGGCAATACAATAGTGCGCTGCTCTTGTTGTGGTTGCTGCGCATAATTGTTATAGCTATGAGAATATGAGCCGTCCAAACCCGAAGCTTCAGTTCCAATAACGTTGAAGTTGGAAGAGGAGCTGAAGTCTTCGGCACGAAGGCCAGATGATGGCATATCTTCCTTGGAACCCATCTCCTTAGCCTTCTTCGAAACCTTCTTGAAAAAGTTCACGGACTTGAGAATTGGAGAGTTTCCCTTGAGCGAAATCGCAGAGTTCTTGCGGTTGACGACCTGGGGGATCTTGGGAGATTCATAATCTTGTGAAGACACACTGGTAGACGATTGAGAGAAATTAGGAACGAATCTGTTCGGAGTAGAGAGTTTCTCGGTCCTATTTGCCATCACAGCAGATGTAGGTGGCGGGAAAGAAGGTTTGCGGCCCTGCATTTGAAGTGGTGGTGGTGGTTGGTCACTTAGAAGCATCGACCTGTACGTATTCGTAGTGGGTGGTGGTGGAATCTCTTCTTTTTCAAATTGAAGAGTACTTTCGCTTGCCGGAGTGGTGGTATCAGCGGATTCTTCGTAACCCTCAACGTCTCTCTCAGGCTTGTATATGACACTTGAGTCGTCCACATAATTATCTTCGAGTCCTTGGATAGCAGTGTGTGACTTTGCATCCTCCATCATGGTGCTGTTATTTGCAGAAGAAAAATCCTCCACCGTTGTGTCGTTTGCTGATGGTAACGAATGAGATCCATGGGATCCACGAGTTGAGTCGGAAATTGCCGAATCCTGGTTTCCCAAGGTTTGGGTTGAATCTAAGCTCCTCTGTGATTGTAAAGGTCCAGATGCGGTCACCGAGTATATACTGGGTGCTTTCTCAGCCACTGCAGATGTCTCAGTGGAAACCACGCCTAATCCCATGTGGTTTTCCTCGCCGTGTTCCTTTTGCTCCAGAAACTCCGGAGCAGTCACATAAACTTCGTTCGCTGTTCCAGTGCTGAGCTGATAAAGAGGTTGTTTTGCTACCCTCAGCGGTGACTCCACATCGGTGAAAGCCGAAACAATTGAATCTCTGTTCCCATATGATCTCTGGGGCGATATCTTCTTCAGGGATTCCACGTCTCGCAATGACTTGCTGGGAGAAGAGTATACTGAAGTTTCCGAAACTTCACGCGATGATTTGAGAGATGAAGATGTATGAGCCCGTGCATCAACTGCAATGTCAACAGGTGCTTCAACGGGTGCTTCAGTCGTTGCATCCAAATTGTCCTTGATTGCCCGTCTTGCAGCTGCATCAGTCACTACTTCAGCAGCTATTTCCTGATCTTGACCAGCAGGATGCTCCTCTATCTCTTTGCCCTTAGCCTGTTCCATCTTTTCAATCTCCTCATCGATATCTTCCTCCATGTGAAAAGAATATTTATTGAGCTTTTTCTTTTGTTTGGTGTCTGGAATTCCCTCAGGCTGAGTGTGGGTATACACACTCCGCAAAGGAGAAACTTCCTTAGAAGACTCGCTTTTCATGGACGTCCTAGATTGACTTCCCATAGGAGGATTTGAATTATCCGGTGAATACTGTTTTTGCTGCTTCCGCTCAATCTGATGCCGGGAATTGGGGCTTTGTTGATTGTGTGGATCTGGCGAAGCAATTGGGATCATCTGGTTATGCTGTTGCTGCTGAGGATGCACTCTTCCATACTGATTCATAGGAGAAGATGGCCTTTGCACTTGCGGTGGCATCGGTCCACGCATGTTCTGCTGTTGTAAATTACTCCAGCTGCCCCTCTGATGCAGCTGCTGAGGAGGAATTGGGCCGCCTCTCATTACTGGAGACTGCTGGCCGTTGAAGCTCATGGTACGTGCTTGTGGAATAGGCTGCATTCCCATTCGAGGTGATTGCACCATTGGAGCCTGACCATTGCCGTAGTAAGGCTGCTGTTGGGGTTGCCATTGCTGCCATTGTGGTGGAGTACCACCCATAGACATCGTTCTAGGATCTTGTTGGAATCCCATAGGAGGCCTAGAGTTTAGACTCATAGCTCTGTCGTTCATTCCAGGGCCCATGTAAGCAGGGCCACTTTGTAGACTGTTTGCCCTCGGACCTGCAGTTGCAGTGGAGCCTTTCAAGGCCAGTTTTTTCTGCATAGTCTTCTGTTTCCGGTATTGGGTATTATCCATCTGACCATTTGGACCTTTGGGCTTGCTCGAAAGCGTGGGAATATACGGAGTCGTATCAAAGGTGGCATTGCTCATTCCATACCGACCTCTATCTCTCAGATGCTGTATATCGTCAAAAGACACATCTACACCAGGCTGGGCCTCAGTTTCTCCTTCATCTTCATCATCTCCGCCTCCGCCTCCACTGGATTTACCCAATTTGCCATGGAAAAACCTGTTCATGGACGAAGACGTCGTGGAGGTAATGGAACTCCGACGCGAGTGCATGGCGTTCATGCTTTGTCTTGGACTATTCATATGTTGCGGACTGGGGTTCCCATTCATATAAGGATGTGGCTGGTTGCCATATGAGCCATCATAGGACATATTTTGTTGTTGATAGAACCCATTTTGCTGGATCTGAGGCGAATAGTATTGATTGGGCTGTGGACGGATCGGCACCTCTTTGGTAACATCGATGAAAGCTGAATTTTCAAACGCTTGGGCCCTCGAAATCCGGGGGGCTCCGTTGGAATTCGGCATTCCGCGACCGGCTGTGGTGGACATGGCAGCTTCCATTATGTGTCAAACGCGGAATGGAGAGCCAATAGAATAAATAGGCTTTTTTCAAAAAGAAAAATCAACAAGTCTTGTTTAGCAAATCTTCACTGTTTTAGACACGTGTAAATTGTAAAGACCCTCGAAGTCACGTAGTAAATTCCAAGAAAGAGTTTGGAGTCGAAGACGGTACCTTAAATAAACGAACGTGTCTCAGAAGGTTGTTGTGGGTCTAGGATGCGTGACAAATGAGTAAAGGAATAGCGACTGGCTCCTTTGGAAAATGATCTGGTGCCGACAAAAAACGAAAGGTTTGACAGCAAAAAATAAAATTCTCAGAACAAGATTATTTGTTGTTCCTAAGCCATTCAATTCAAAGCAGAAAAAACCGCTTCGGTTGGTCCTTCAAGCCTTCCCTTATTTCCGGACTGTGGTTAAGAAGCCCCGTGAGAATGCCTGAAATGTCAGATCGGTGTATTGAGGCGGAGGAATGGCCCGGTTGGGTAAATAATTATTTTTGAGCTACGTAGCGTGCGAACTAGTTAGATTAATTACAATAAATAGGATTGGATCAGTCCACCACTTTCCCCACCACGTTATATCTGTTGTTGTTAGTAAGGATCACAAGAGCTGAAATTGATGAAGCACGCGTGTGTGCACGGGTTGCCCACAAGTCTTCACATACCTGTTGCTAAAAAACGTGAACCAGTCATCCAAGACCTTCAGTTCTTTCTCATTCAGCACAGAATAGTCGGCTGAAACAGCGTAGTCTGTATCCACGGGTTTCAAGCTTGATTTTCCAAGTGCCCTTGAAGCATCCCTGCCAACCAAGGCATGGTAGCCTTTTCCCACTCCGTAGGCATTCTGATTGAGAGAAACATCAAACACCGTACCTTTGATGCCAATGAAAATTTTATCAGATTGGACCCCTGTAGTTGTCAGTAAGACGCTCGAATGTCTATCTCCAAAAGGCATTGCGAAGATACCATACAATGCTAGTCCCAGTTCCAGCTGACCTGCAGCTATCTGCCTCAACCTCTCTACTTACCGTCACATTTCTTCAATTCTTCCTTCGATATTGGGTCATCTTTGGGTGGATCCAATTGAACTGGTGTCTTAGGCATGAACTTGCCGCTCATATTTGAAACAAAACTTCAATTTCTCAATTGATGCGTTGATAATGGATCCCTCATATTGCGGAGACTTGACGAAGTTCAAGTCCGGTAAGAATGAGGCGTACACGCATTCCGGCCCCTTACGTAAGTCTAAAGCTCGATGTCCGGAGAGTTAACATATCAGTATAAAACATTGGACTAAATTAGTGGACGGATTTTTATTTGAGAGTAGTACTGAAAGAACGTCGAGTTGCCGGATTTCCCGTTCACTGGGCGTATTGTGACCACCTTATTTGTCCTTCTTTGTATCCTCTGCGTCACCCTCCTTGACATCCCTCTTGACGCCTTCCTGCTCCTGAAGCTCCTCGTTTGTCTTCAACTTGGCCTTCTCCTTTTCGAGCTCGGCAATGAACCATGTGACGGATCCCCAAAGCAAAAGCGCAATCACCAACAGGTTGAAGAAATGGATAGACCCAGAGTAGAAGATGAGCACAACCAGCGATATCACGAGAAGGCAAAAACTCGCATGTGTAGCCGTAATCAGTGCCGGCGATGTGCCTGGCTGGAAAACTGTTTCCCACAGCTCTGTTATAAAAGAGGCCATTGGATGTGTAATGAGTGTAGGCTTTCAGGTAGAGTGGTCCTCAAAGTGGGGTCCTATGTGTGGCGCTGAAAGGATCAAACCGGTTAAATTATTCTTGCTAGTTTCCTTTTCAGCAAAACTATATTTGTTTCTTCCAAGGTGGCTTTTTCAGTCTCTTATTATGTCCCAGACCCAGCTTAAACGTGCAGTCTCGTTCGGCCTCCACTTTCCTTTAAACTCCTCGAACGCCCAGATCGGACGGGCTGCACGACCATAAAGACAGTGTGGCCAGTGCGGCGCAGCTGCCGTGCGTCACTTGTACGATCAAGGACATTCTTTCGTTTACTTTACGCCAAAAAATTTAGATTTAAACTTGAACATTAAAGGGGTGGTCCCAAGACTCACCACTCATCAGACATTATTTGGTCCTCGATTCCGGTACTGGTCGCAGACACGCCGTTAAGGCCATTGTCGATGGCCTGAAACCTGTTTTCAAACACATCTGGCTCTGGAAATCCAAAGTCCAGAACTTCAACAAACGTGTTGTCGTCTTTCTGAAGAGACACAGCACATCTGCGGTAGTCGGTCTTCACCTGCCATATTTGGCCTGTGTTTTCATCATTTGCCAAATCTCGGATGAACTCGCCTGTACGGACATTCCATAACTTCAGCATCTTGTCACTTCCACTGACAATCAGATTGTCGTCGTTTGTGAAACACGTGATGGGTCCACCGTGGCCTTTCAAAAGGTGCCTTGTGGTTCCCGTTTCCGTATCCCAGATTCTGAGAGAGGAGTCCGCTCCAGCAGAAACCAGTGAGTTTTCTGTCAGGTTGATCAATCCAACCAGCGATTGATGGCCATGCAAAATGGATATCAGCTCTCCCGTGGTCAGATTCCACACCCTAACCGTAGAATCTATAGAGCCCGAAATGCATCTGTTCCGTTTCACGTCCAGAATCACGGAGTAGATCCGGTCTGTGTGCCCTCTCAGAATGAACTTGCAGCATTTACGCTGGAGGTCCCAAACCCTAATCGTCGTGTCATAGCTCCCGGTTATGGCAATATTGCCATATCCACTGATTGATCGGATGGAGCCTGTGTGTCCGTTCAAAGTCATTACAAGGAACTCGTCTTCGTTTCCGTCGGAATCGATAGGAGGAACCGATGGGTCAGTATCGTCTTTCTCGTCCGCCAATGGCAGTTTCCAGATCTGGAGTGTTGTGTCTCTGGACCCTGTAGCCAGATATGGAACTGGAGGGAACATTACTGGTTCGCCCATGTCGCTCACACCAATCTGAACAGGCATGAGTATCTCAACACATCTGACAGTGGAAGTGTGGCCATGGAACACGTGTGTGCACCTGCCAGTCTTGATATTCCAGATCCTAACAGATCTATCAGTAGATCCAGATACTAGAGTATTGCCGATGTACTTCATGGCCCAAACTCCTCCTTCGTGACCCTTAAACTGTGTCTTTTCCTCCCCTGTCTTTACATCGTAGAGGTTGATCATCTTGTCATCCGCAGAGGTTATGACCTTGTTGCCGTCGAACTGCAGACAAGTGACCACGTTCTGGCCGTGGCCTTCTATGGCTATTCTCTTTGGCTGGTAGTTGGGGTCCATCCATCTCCTCAAAATGACTAGTCGTCTCTTGTATGCCATCTTGCTTAGCTCGTTGGAGTTGGGTTCGTATCCGAATGTGGCAATGAACCTTTGCCGCAGTATCATACAATCAGCATCAAAACTCTCTTCATCGGCGAATAGTCTTTCCCGTATAGCCAGAGGCTTCCAGAAATCCATCGTCTCTGTGAACAACGAATTCCACTTAGAAGAGACAGCAGAACCACGACAGAGACTGGTATGGTCCAAACGCCTGATGATTTTGGCAGTAATCTCAAAGGGTAGTCCCGCAATGAAGTCGCACTTCAGTGACTCCTTGATGGCGTTGTTGAAGAGAGAAAGCGTCGGCCTATCTGTCTGCTGAAGCATTCTCCATATCAACCGCTTCTTGTAATCCGCATTCTCGGGCAGCAACTCCACAAGCTTTGCTATCATATCGATCAGGTCATTCTCGCACTTGGGCAAAGAAATCAAGTGTCTGTAACCCTGTGGAACATTTTTTGTTCCCTCTTCTCCTTCCAGATCCATTTGGTTCTCGTCATCGGGTATTGGAGAAGCGCTGGGAGACGGAAGAGGCAGTTGCTGTGTATCGTCTGCGACAGCCACCAGAGCAGAATCGTCAGAAACGCTTGTATTGGTGGATGTAATAGCACTATAGGGTATCATGGTAGTGTTGCGTTTCTTCAAAGGCCGGTGAGGTTGCAGATATGCCCCCACGGTTGTGTTCTCGGTCTCGACCACCTGTGTCAAGCCGGTATCGGCGGCAGTTAGAAGCTTTCCAGTGTCTTCCATGTTGCGCTTGCGCACTTGAGGATCCAAACCGCGATAACCAGACGCAATATTCGTGATATCTATCACGGTCGCGTCGGAGAGATTAGCGTCATTTTGGGAGAAACTAAACGAATTCTGAAGCGTTTGCTGTGTATGGTCTGTGTTGCTGCTGGTCTCATCACGAGATCCGATATTGTTGTGACAGTCGGACATGTTTTAAAACGGTTGTAAAGTGGAGTAAATGAAAGGCTCGTAGAAAGCCCAGAAAATATGCAAAAAAACGAGGTATCAGCGTTTCAACTGTGCAACAGATTTGAGGCGGGATGCCTGTTTTAAGACCACAAACAAGCACCTAACGCACGTTGAAAAAACACTTGATATAGAAATTCAGGTTGTATCAAATATCAACCCAACACAAGCCCCTGTCCCAGATCAACACCTAGTAAACTGGCGAAAAGAACAACTAACTCACTTGCGGCAGCGTGGTTGGGTGATGCTTCATCCCTGTCGAGTTGGGTCAAATCTTGTTGATGCGCGCAGGCGTGTCGCGATTAAGTGATTATCTAATACGGGATCTTTCCCCACTTTTAGAACTTGAATATTCGTCGGATCTACGTTCATTTTAATCGGCCAAAACTCCTGAAATGTACTATTTAAAAGCTCAAAAATACAGTGCTGTGTAGTTGAAACAACTGGAACAGCTGGAACAACTGGAATATCAGAACCCTCCACCGCCGAAATCTCCTCCTCCGAAGTCACCTCCACCACCACCAAAATCTCCCCCTCCAAATCCTCCACCGCCAAAATCACCGGGTGGAGGGCCACCAAATCCGCCCATTCCCATACCACCCATGCCCATTCCTCCATGGTCAAACAGAGTATCGGCTAGTAGCAATCCACCAAGGCCTCCTAGAGCGGCACCACCCATCATACCACCCATTCCACCCAATCTGCTGGGTCTGGAGCTTGTCTGCTGGTACTGAGTCTGAGGATATTGCTGGTAGTAGGGCTGTTGCTGCTGGTATCCTTGAGGGTACTGTTGGTATCCTTGCTGTGGGTACTGCTGCTGATACTGCTGTTGTTGGGGTTGCTGCTGGTAGTTTGCATTGGCAGTAGAACTTTGCGAACCGTTCTTGCCAGTCTGAGCTGCTTGGGATTCGGGATTTTGCTCCGTATAAGCTGGCGGGGCCCCTGAGTCCCCTGGTGCTTCCCACTGGGACTTGCCAGTGGATTCGTCCACGTAAAACCATGTCTGGTATTGCTCGTCAAAAATTGCCTTCCATCCTTTCGGAACCGTTGGCGGATTATTTTTGTCAGCCATTGTTGGATGATGAAGAAGGAAGAATCCAGAAGTAGAGCTTCGACCTGAAATGGCAGTGTATTTGAGTGTGGCGATACGGCTGGTCGTGCCCGTTCCACATGTCTCCGTGGCTGTGCAAAGTCTCGACCCCGTGCACCAAACGATTTGAGAAAGGTCGTCTCCCAAGTGATTGACGTGTCGCAACCATCCATCGGCTCGGAAGGAAATCGGAGCAACCAGTGACCGAAAGCCGGGCTCCAGCGAAAATGTCGGACAAATCACGCAGAGCACCGCCACGCATCAGCCCTGATTAGTCAACACTTATGGAGAATTTGCCTCGGTGCTTGCGTGGCGCAGACCGATCGGTCAAACTCATTTGTAATTGCCGAGCTCCGAAACAATTAAAAGCAGGGACTTTATCAATAGAACAAATGCTAGGGAAAAAAACTTGTTGATAGGGTCCTCCTAATTCCCTTATCCCCTTTTTTCTCTCCGGAAGGCAAAAGAAAACGTTTGCATTTGAATTTCTTTCATTTAAAAGCCTAGCTGTCTGCTCAAGTGGTCCTGGCTTTACTAACAAGTTGGGATGTTCATTATCATAGGCTTAGCATAGTTGATTCTCCACACCGCCTAAATCCGAATACGCCACATGTATATAGGCCAGCGCAAACAACACAATATTCAAAAATTCAGAGAAACGAACCTCGAACAAAATCACCAGTGGCATATATATTATGGACTCCAAGCGAAAATTGACCATACTTACCAAGGTGGTGTCGTCCTTACATGACCATAACGGCTCCACTGGTACCAGCACTCAAAACCAAAAAGATACGCAGAAGCAGTGTCTACGAGCGAATCTGATGAAACGTCATTCCAGTTGCTGTTCAAAGAGCCAGATATCGGAACCAAGCTCGCCTCTTTCGCCAGCTCCAGAAACCACCACCAAAGGTCCGCCAGCCGTCCCCAAGGGCTGGGAAGTGCGGTTTGACCCTATACTGAAGCAGTATTACTACGTGAATATGATCAAAAACTTGATACAGTTGGATCACCCAGAGGAAGTTATTTTACACAGTGATTCGGATTCAACTGCTATTTCCAGTTCACCGTCTCTTGGTCTGGGTTTGGGTGATTCCATTGCAACTGAACAAACTTATTCTTCGTACACTTATGATGATGGCCTACCTGTCAAGGATAAGGCTGTGAAACGGTGGATAAATCGGTTCGGAAAGAAGAAGAGAATAGGTTCGCCTTCTGCTACTCCTTCCCCTCCACAGTCTCCTCAACTGGGCTCTGATTTCCAACCCAGGACGCTGACTCTGTCCTCAACGCCCAGTGTGCGTTCAGGCTTAGTCGACGAAGATGATGACGAAGACGACGATGACGAGAGAAACTCCGAGGAGTATAAGCGTCAACTAGAAGAGCTCAGGGAAATGATGGTTAGTGAAGCTGAGGCTTACAAAATCGATCGGTTGAGAAGCGATTGAGCCATAGCTGTGTCATTGCCGCACTAATAATACTTCATGATGTTTTATGGAGTTATAGTCCTACCTCTTGCCATTTTTGCTGTTAATTGATTCGTTCCTGCGGAGGTTCGAATATCTGTTTTTTTTTATCTTACCCTGCTTTTTTTTTTCTTTGTTTTGTCCATTTATGATCTCACGACCTATACGCCTGGCAGTACCATCTACATACATATATCACTTTCTGGTGTGTGCTGCTCTGTATCCCGTTGGCATCCACTGTTGTATATAGCTTCTACCAACGACTTTTCGAATTTGATGAATAATTTGATGAATCAACAAATTTTGTAGACAATGAAAAAACACTATAACAGTAATCCCATTTGAGTATAGCCTAAATTGCGCTCGCATGATTACCGGCTCGGGGAAGGTCAATTAACCGGGGAATATCTACATGGTGCATATTGATGCAAGGCGTAATGGATCCATGGTTCCAGCGATGTCCAGCGGGAATCTGACAATTATATGTTATGAGCAAATATAATTCAACAGGTCTTGTGGTAGATTGGTATGTTGTACCACTGATGAGCCAATTTTTTTCGTCTGAGGAAAACCACATTTGCCGGCCCTAGCTGTTTGGCAAAGCATGAAAAGCTCCACTGACTTCCCCTCTTCCATCCAAGAGATCAATTAGCTGGGGCAGACCAGACATGCTTCTAGTTAGTCGGTTTCGATACTGAAGGCTAAGGCGTTGATGTCGCATGGCTTTCGAGTTAAAGTAGTGAATGCCTAGTAAATTCCCGGTCTAATGGTGATAAGCCGCGCTCTGTGAGTTCGGCAAAGACTGTCTGGGTAGACCCTCCTGTTCGCTCCTGTCTTGACCTGTGTTCTTCCCTCCATAACTCACACATGGAATATCAAGCTTTGTCACTTTAACGGAACTCCATGTTATCTTCGGACTTACACATCTGCAGTGGTGAGAACCTTGCTTGCGTACCCCGTGTGTGATATCCGTAATTCAGCAGGGCTGTAGACCAAATGGCTCTCATGACATCTTCTTATCCAGCATAGCGTAAAATGGATATTCTTGTCGCCTCAAGAATCGTCAAAACACATAAAAAACATGGTAAAAAAGGTGAAGGTCCGAAAGAGTAAAGGGAGAAATCTCGAGCTAGTGTTTCAGTCATGCTTTCATTGAGTAGAAGTTTCCAAAATGGCTTTCCTAAACATCAACTCTAGTCTCGATCGACTTTGGGTCAAATTAATGGAATTGGCGTAAAAACAAGGGTGTTGGATTCAATTGGTCCATCGACGATCATTTCTTTGACTGATTTGGGTCCTACTGGAACACCTAGCGGAAGTCTGGCCTCAGCTGATCATTATACGCATAAACTTTATCGTAGGTAGTAGAGCCTTACAAAAATGATTTTCTACGAGAACAAACCATAATAGTAGCGGGCTGCATATTAAATAGATAGTTGACGAAACCGTGTCACCCTGTATTGGCCAGGCTCATTGCTAATTGCAGCCTGCTGCAGTAGTAAGCGTGTCTCAAAATAGTAAGGTTAACAGCCTCAACCTCATGGACCTGTTTTCTTAAACGGCCAATTGGAAACCAAAAACGTTAAACTTGTTTTAACGAGATGTTTGAAACATGTTCTAGATTGGGTTGCTGAACCTGATAACCCTAGTCACACAGCCTGCATTCGCTTCTCGCGTACTTTACATGCTAAGAAAGTTTACTGAAATTCTGCATGAATCGGACCAAACGAGTCAATCTTAGTCTTAGGGACAATTAGGCCCACCTCCCTTACCATGTGTCATTTCCTGCACAATACGAAATAAGTCCTGACCAAAAGCCCCATCCTGATTTCCTCTAGTTGTATTTATTTGAGCAAAGCTGGTTAAAGCGTGATAATAAAGAGGCTTTTGTTCAGGAATGACTCTCCCAATTGCTCGTACACTGCACAGAAGCACCCCTCCGCGGTTTCTGTTTATGCAACAGATAATCCCAAAAAGACCACGGATCTCCATAACTGGCGAAATCATTAATTAACGAGGACGTTCCATTTCCGGAAAGTTACGAGAAGCTTCTGCGGAGAGCCCGGGAAATCTCTTAATGCTGTAACTTGCGATTTCAACGGCAGTGGGGTGATTTTGATGTTTACGGTTTACGAGAATATTTACGAGAGATGCGAATTTTGTTAGCAGATCTATTGCTCTTGAGGGCTATTTTGATCACTTTCGAAACCATGTAAAGTTCTTTCCCCTGAGTCTTCCTGTGCGCATGCATATTCTTGCGCTCGACATTCTTCTTCCTAATGTTTGCTCCCTGAATAGTGGTGTATGGTGATTCTGGTGAACATAGTTTTACAAGCTTGGTAGTGCTGGACAGTTTAGACCGCAACTACTGCGGTAATTTTTGATAACACAGGATTATTTTTGATGATATTAGATTCGTATTCAAAATATTGTCCATACAAAAGTGCAATTTTTAAATGCAATTTTACCTACTTCTGACAAATTCTCAGATTTTTCAAAAAAAATCTCAGAATAATTCAAGAATACTTGAGAACTCAGGCACCATCAAAATGAACATATGCTTGAACATATGCTTATAAGTTTGATTTCATATCACAAGTGGTTGTTTTTTTCGGAAGAAGTTTTGAGCTGAGGTCAATCATCAATCTGCCTACTGATCACATGCTGCAAGTCCACAGCCGTACTTTTTGGCCATTCTCTTTGTTAGCTCTACTTTTTAGCCGCAGAGCGAACAATTATTAACGCGGTGCTGTCATCTGGATACCATTTTTTATCATTTCGGACCCTACTCTGTCATCTTCAGTGCTTTGAAACTCCGAAAGAGGGCCCTGTTAATCCAAAGGTCCTCCGGCTGAAGTGATCATCTTGCCCATCACGGCTCCTCCACCGAACTGACCTCCAATTTTAAGAAACAACAAGGTTTTGAAACGTAACATTTCTCATCAAATCCATTTCCCTCCTAAACAAGGGAATGATACAGAAAGGTGATTCAAGAAAGTGCACTAATCGTCTGGTCACATCACCATGGCCCAAGACAGAAACAACATGATCAAATCCGATGTAGTGTAACGGCTAGCACGGTCCGCTTTCACCGGGCAGACCCGGGTTCGACTCCCGGCATCGGAGATCATCAATACTTAGCCAGTATTTTTTTTGGAACAACAAATAAGCAAATTGGTGGTGAGATTTTCATAAATTACCTGACTGCATAATCATGGAGATAACAAAGAGCTAACAAAAACCCTGCATGTGATCACTGAGACCTCAAAGTATTTCTTCTACCAGCTACGATTTGAGATCTGAGATTCATCTGAAATTAGTGCGGACCCTATTTAGAGTTAAAAACAGACTGGAAAAGTATGTTGCTGTGCGCATCGGTCATGAAATAGGGATCGTTCATGTCGAACTTCCAAATGTCGAAGTCGTTATTTTGCGCCTGTGCTTGCAATGGGTGCTGCAGCGGAGGTTGTTGCAGTGGCTGATGCTGTTGACCCTGGATTGGCAGTTGTTGAGCTTCAGTCTTTGAAGTAGGCGACATCGAGTTTGCGATGACCTTCTTCTCTGAATCCTGTTGAGGCTGTGGTGAGGACACATTGGAGCTGGAGGTGGCCATCATCGGCTGTACCTGCTGTTGATGCATTGGGGCTCCATTGGGCTGAGGTGATTGCTGAAAGGCAAAACCATTTACGCTGTTTCCACGAGGTGGTAACGCGTATGAAGGAATGGCAGAATAAGTGTCTCTCGTGAGGATTTCCTGTTTGATTGCGGGTATTGCTGCCGAAGGATTAGAAATTTCAAGCTCGACTTTGCGTAGACATTCACCGAGCTTATCAATGGTGCTGAAACACGGCGATTCTTCAAAGCTGATTTTCTCACTCAAAGTTTTGTAGGTGTCACGTATCACCCTGATGGTGTATGTTTTGTCCAGCTGGTAACCCAAAGATGCAGAAACGTGCAAGAGCTTGAGCAGAAACGCTCCCGCTGTGACAAAGATTGTCGGATAAAACACAGGACTGACACTCACTAGTCTTCTGATGTCATCATCGTAGAGCATTTCCAGAATATCCATGGCCGAGTTCTTGGCCAGACCAAACACCTGGATGACTTCCTTTTGAGGGATAGGCTCATGATGTTCCAAAACCCTCACGTTCAAGAAAAGTTTCGCAAAGTGGAAAGAAAGAATCACTGGTTTCCAGGAAGAGAGTTTGACATGGGCAGTCAGCTTTCCAATCCATTCTGCAAGCCAGCCATTGAGATGGGCATTCCAGGACATCAGTTCATTAAATGGAAGCCGGCCTGATTGGTTCATCTCTTGCTGGTACATCATCATTACCGAACAGAGCTCGACGTTTGCGGTTGCCTTTAGCTGAGTTGGGTCGAGTTTTGTGGCAACAAAATCCTTCCTGGGAATGGTCTCACTCAGGAACATGGGCAGATAAAGGTCTCTCTTGGTCCTGTAATCAGCACCTTTGTACATGTATGGAACCGGGCGATCGTGGATGATTCGCAGCCTCTGCTCAATGATATAGGTACCTATGCCCAAAGAACAGAAAAGTGGTCTTAGCTCAGGGGGGAGATTGAAATCAATCTCTGAATCAGGCAGTAGCCTGCCAATCATATCGCTTGCCATGAGACTCATTCTGAAGCCGAATTCCGTACCCAGCCAAGCACCTGCGATGATAAGACCAAGACAGTCTTTCAACACTTGGTATATAAAGGCTGGGTCTGCGTTTGGTTGGATGCTATTGGGGTCGATCTCTCTCACTATCGTTTCAAATTGCGACAGAAACAGTCCGTGTTTGTTGATCATCGTGCTATCGTACAAGGACGCAACAGCCAAAATCGACGAAAACAGCAGAGGCGAGGTATGCTGCAGTGAGATATCCAGCTTAGGTATCTGGTGGAATATAAGCACAGGCAAATATCTTGCCAATCTCACAGTGAAGAAATTCAACAATTGTTCAATCTCACCCTGAGTCACTTGACCAGGGAGTATTCCTACCTGAGACTGTAGTTTGCGTCTTTTCTGCCTCTTAGCGGCCTCTGAATCTGGTAGATTTGGCACTATCTCACTCAACATCCCGGTAGCCGTTCCCGGGAATGCAGAGTCAAAATTTCTCGTTTTGGGATCTATATCCACGTCTCGCGAGTTCAAGATATACTTGATGGACGGAAGGAATGAAATCCCTCGCCTCATGTTCAACACATCCTGGCCATGCACGTTGGTCATCGGAGAATCCTCAGATTTGCTTGTAATCGTGGACGAATTTGTCGGCGAGGGAAAAACATTAGGCGAAGAGCTGCTGCTCTCATGACTTTCCAACGAATGCTGTCTTATCAATGAGACCATGAGCCCTATAGAGCTCTCAATCTTGTCTAGTCTCTCGTCTATTGCGGTGATGGCCTTTTTCTCGTCAAACTTCTCGTCAAAAACACATTCAACTCCTCTCAGCTCACACTTGTCGCAAATAACAGGCATGGGCTTTGTCTGATCATATTCGCACTTGAGTTTGCTTTTTCGGCAGCTAGCACAGGACTTGTACTTCTTGGGCTGCGACATAGCGGACTGCTGCTGATGGGTATAGGGCACAGGGTATAAAACCGGGTAGTTTGTCAGTAGCAATAAACTAAACTCCAATAAGTGCTGTTTAAACCTCTGATGGAATACAAAGCCGCTTGTTTAGTCGGAGGGGCCTCTGTGGGGGGGCTGTTCCAGTTCTGCAATCTCGTGGTCAGAACAGTCCAACAAATAGAAAAACAAAGTGCACAAGAAAAAATCAGTTTCTCAAAGGAGACCTTCCAATATACCCGCCGCGGTGTTCGCTTCTGCAAATGCGTCTGTGTAAGGTGTGCTCGTGGTGGTGTTGCTGTTGCGACGTGAGATTGAGCGAAAGCCAAACGGGTGCGGTTTAACTTTTCTTTGAGGCCCATGCGTGCACCAACCGAAAGTATTAAGGTCGTGGCTCTTAACCAAATGTTTTCATATTCGCGTTTGGATCCTTAACTATGGGGGTCATCTCCTCGGAGTTTAGATTAGGCCGATGACTTCTACGGAAAGATAAGAAGAGCCTTCGCTACTACTTTGGCTATGATTTTTTGCTTGGTTAATTGATCTAACCAAGTGCGTTCCAGTAAAAAGAACTGTCCAATTGTTCGTTCATACTCTCCCCTAACTCAATGACCCTATACCCTGCAGTTTCCCAGTCCCAAAAGAAAGTGAGTTTCTGTGGTCCTTTGGACTGTTCGCACAGTTTTGTGTAGTCATTGTTATCCACCATCTCCTGCAGATGCTCAGTGAAAAGCTCCAAGGGACAGCTGAAGCCTGGTCCCGTCTGACACCAAGGCAACGGGTAGACAGATTCGTTCATTATGATTCGGACATACTCATTTTTTCCACACATCAGTCTCTCAAGAACCAAATGGCCTGCCATTGGAACTAGATCGCTCACTTTGAAACTTCTCTGGAACTCAATCCTGTCCACTGGTAGACTATCCTGACCTTCATACAAGCCAAATGCAGAGGCGATTGAAATGATATCCGTATCGTGCGAAAAGCTCATGAAGATTTTTTGCTCATAGCCATTGATACCGTCGGAATTCACACCATCCTTTTGGTTCAACAGAGCAATCGATGCATTAACAAACAATGATCCCAGAGCATTGGACATGTTGTAACCAGGTCCCTTGTTGTAGTAAAGATATAAGTCTCTTTGATAGGAAAACCCTGCATACACGTCTGAACTGAGCACCCCGCAGATCGAAGAATTACCCTGTACATTGAGTTCAAAAGCACACGACCTCACTAAGCTGGCAACATCTTCAGCGCTAAGGTCATATCCAGGAGAGAGACTGTTCAGTCTCCTAGCTTCCCGTTCGAGATAGGACGTATCAAACCTGGCAATGTAGTCCTCGTTGGCAGAGTCATCTGCATTGACACAGGCAGCACGGGATGTCAAAGTATTCGCCCCCTGCTCTGAATTCTCCGGAATAACCACAACCTGAGCCTTGAACAGTCGACTTTCTCCCACAAATCCCCTAATGAAAGCTTTTGCACTATCAACTACCCTGGTCTGACCGGCTGCGAAAACTGGCAGCTTGGCTTTTCCACCCCACAAATGCCCGTACTTCTGATTGAATCTCTCCCCTTCGAGATGACACCTCTTCAAACCGGCATATACACCAACTGTTGACTCCATTTCCAGGTCTTTCTCTGGGAAGGCGTACTTCCAGTCTTTGACGAACCCTAACGGACCTTTGTATTCGCTGATATCAGCACTCGTAAGCTTTTTATAGAGACTACAAAGCTCTTTACCAGCACCAATAGTCGGGAATCGCTCGCCATGTCTCATCAAAATCTGGACTTGTGTGACTTCACATCCAAATGGAACATCACTGTCTATTCCGAACCCACTGAAATCAACGTACGGTCCATTAGCAGCTAAGTAATGGAGAATGTTGTACTGCTCTCGGGATGATTGATTATACGGCTTTCCAGTGGCTGCATGTAGCAGGATAAAGATCAAAAATGAGGAGACTGCAAACTCCGGAAACTTCATTGCTGTTAACAGTACAACGTATGCGGTGGGGTGTTTGCCGGGACTCTCTCACACTTGACAAAGCTTCTGCCAGACTATTGAATACTTTTCTGGGCTGGTAACACAACCTGCAAGTAACTGGGTATCCGTCATACAAAGCAAGGTGGTGAGCAGACGTGATGTGTCCCCGCTTACTGAGAACGTGCTCCAAGATTAGTTGCACTCAATGGGCCGAGCCTAGCTCTGCGGCTTTAGTGCGTCAACCAAGTACATCACCAAGGCTCCCGTCTGCGCCATAAACCTTTCTTAACGTTAATTACGCTATTAAAGAGCTGTTAGCTGACGGAAACAAGGAGTAAGTCTGTTATTCATAAAAAAGGATCTGGGTTTGAGATGTCTATATGAAACAAATTTTGGCAAGGGACTACTGAACCGAGCCAAGCAACTCTACAACTCTTCCACCTACAACACTATTACGGTTGTATATCTAGGTACCTAGTTTGTATCAGTCTATTAATCTAAAGGGCATGATTCCTGCTTCGAAGTAACAACTCAGGGTTGCGAAGCGATATGTCCATAATTTTTGCCACAGGGTATATGTCAATGGTGGTTATATCCGGTCTGTTAGGCCTTGCTTGAACTGTTTGTGGTGGAGGATTCTGGCTCCAATTCAATGGTCTCGTACTCTTCGATGTCCCAATCCCAGAAGAAGGTGATCTGCTGTGGATCCTCTTCAGGCAAGTCACAGATATCGACAAAGTCGTTCTTTGCAATCTTCTCAGTCAAATAGTCGGTGAAGTCTTCCAAGGGGCAACTGTAACCGGGACCAGTGTGACACCAAGGCAGAGGGAAGACAGCCTTGTTATTGAGGAGCCTGACATATTCGTCCTCTCCATCGGAAAGCTTCTCAATGATGATGTGACCTGCCATTGGAACAAGGTCGTTCATTCTGAAGCCACGCTTGAAGTCGATTCTGTCGATTGGTAGATCCTCAGTGTCGTCGTACATTCCAAAAGCAGACCCAATGACGGTGATATCGGTATCATGGGTGAAACTCATGAAAAGGTTCTCGTCCTGCTCTTCGTTAAGCAAGGCGAGAGTAGCATTCACAAAAAGGGAACCAAGAGCATTGGTCAAGTTGTATCCAGGACCCTTGTTGTAATACAGGTCCAAATCTCTTTGGTATGCGAAACCAACAAAAACATCAGGACTCAAGACCTTGCAAATCTCGGAGTGTCCCTGCACATTCAAATCATAAGCACAGAACTTGACCAATGTGTTGACATTTTCAGCAGTCAGATTATAACCTGGAGATTTTGCGTTAAGTCTCTCGGCTTCTCTATCGAGGTAAGTGGTGTTAAACTCAGCAACATAGTCCTCGTTGGCAAGGTCGTCGAAAATGCTACATCCAATGTTAGCAGTCAAAGTGTTGGCACCTTGCTCTTCGACCTCTGGAAGGACGACAATTTCAGTCAGGTTGAGGTCTTCTCCAAAGAATCCTCTGGCGAAAGCTTCAGCACTTGCAACTACTCTTGGCTGACTGGCGGCAAAAACTGGAAGAACCGAAGAACCGTTCCACAAATGCCCATAGTTCTCCTTGAAGTATTCACCTTCCAGACGACACCTCTTCAAACCGGCATAGACTCCCTTGCTGGATTCTGTTTCCAGACTGCTGTTTGGGAAAATATATTTCCAATTCTTGATGAACTTAAGGGGTCCCTTGTGGGAGTGAACTTTAGTGTTGTTGAGCTTTTCGTAAAGGTCATAGAGTTCTTCCCCTGCACCGACGGTGGGGTATCTCTCTCCATGTCTCATGAGGATGTGAGCCTGGGTGACTTCCAATCCGAATGGGACTGCGGGGTCAATGCCGAATCCCGAGGCCTCAACGTAAGGTCCATGGGCAGACAAGTAGCGAAGAACATCATACTGCTCCTTGGAGGCCTGGGAATAGGGTTTGGCCAATACGAGGTTGAATAGCAAACATAATGCGAGCCAAAGAGGCTTCATAACAGACATTGTGGCCATTTTGGGTCGTGTGATATGAATTAAGGGGAAACAAAAAGAAATTGGGTTGAGCAAAAGAACTTCTATTTATACTGGATATTGACAAATGCAGGAACTTATCGGTATCGTCCAATTAGGCATCAGGAGATACTGTTTAACCTAGAGAGTATAGCCGATAGCCGAAATAGGCTTGAAGAATATGGTAGTTAAGCCCAATTAGGTAATGTTCGATTTTCGGGCAGTGCATTGCAATTGCAACTTGGTCTCAGGTCGAGCATTTTTCACTCGTGGTACTCCACATAGTGTTATCAGTAGATCGTTACATCCAATGTCTCAGTTTGATTTGGACGAGCCATTGACTTCCTCCGCACGTCCGGGTATGTTTGTGCATATTTTGAGTGTTCAGAAGTCCCGAAACTAACTCATTAACCACAGCTACCAATGCCACCCTCACCATTCGCATAGTGAAGTCTTTCCCCTACAGAAACGTCAAGAACTATATCCTGCGAGATGTAAACCTTCGCGAGCTCACTGCCCATGATCTACTGGACAAGGTGGTGCAAATCATCAACACAACAGGTTCGTTACGGCCCTACAGAAATGTTGTCTACGACTCTTTGAAAATCTATACCCATGCCCATGGCTCCAAAACCATGAATTTGGTTATCAATCTGGATCACGACGATTGGGTGTTGGATGTGAATAGCAGCAAGAAGCTGATTGATTACGGGATTGAGAACGAGACTGAGCTTTCCATTTACAACAAAGCGGACTACGGGGAGTTCGCCAGTAACCCTCAAGAACTCTGGTAACGCCTGATGGTTAATCGAGCTGACGGATTTTCACTGGGTGCACGATAGAAATTATTTTCGCGAGAGCACGACTTCTCCGGTTTTGATGGGTCACGCGAGAAACCCACAAAAAAATTTCAAAGCCCTACGAAAAGTGAAAAGTTTGTCTACAACTGTTTGATTGTCACATGAGTAAGTATGTATATTGTTTTTTAGCGGATTGTGATAGCATTTGTGATAATGGGTTGCCATTGTAGTATTCGTGATTAGATCAAAAAAGGTGGAGTCTTTTCAGCGCATTACACTGAAATTCCGTTATCACCTCTATGGCATCGCGGAGATGTTTCACTATTCCTCTTCTGGAATCAGCTTGCATCTTGGATTAGCCACGATTCTTCTATTTTTTAGAGGATGCGGGATATGGCTAGAATGCGGAATGGAGCAGAATCTCTGCTGGAAATCGGGAAAAAATTGAAAAAGAGTTGAGCTGCTGTTTTAGTAACTGATAAGTTCCCGATTGCCAATATAACCAGTTGACCAGCTGACCAGCTGACTACCAACCCAAAGCAAAAGTCGAATTTTCTGATGTCTACCCCAAAATTTATTGGGTAAAAGGCGGAGGGGTCCAGTCTTTTTGATCCGTAGATCTGATGACCGCGCCCCATTCACTTAGCATTTGGGTCATCATCGAAACTTCTGTGTGCACGGCGCTAATGCAGTCTGATCCCAGCACCAATCTAGACGGCAGGCGCCTGTCCTTGAATAGCTCGATGCCGTGTGCGAGGTTAAATATTTGATACACGAGTTTCGCGGGATCACCAATTTCTTTGCCTTCCCAGCTAGTAAAGTCTGTTCGGCTTTTTTCCACAAGCGGTGCGTAGTCGGTGATGGTTGGGTCGTGGTTATGGAGCAGGTCCTGGACCCCATCGAGGTTGCGGCACGAAGCAGACTTCCTCACCATTCCCGGTTCAATAGCGATGGATCTCAGACCAAAATGCGAGATCTCGTTGTCAAGACAGACACTTAACTGACTAAGTGCAGCTTTCGAGGCAGAGTAGTAGGAAAGACAGGGAGTAAACTCGTAGGCGGATCTGGATGACACATTGAGAATCAGACCCGACTTTTGTTTCCTGAGATAGGGCAGAACACAGCGATTGACTCTAGCAGGTGCAAACACGTTTGCCTGGAATTGAGTCTCGAGATCACTAGCTGGGACCTCTTCCAGAGCTCCATAGCTGACATAGCCGGTATTGTTGACCACGACATCGATCCTATTGTAGAAGCCATAGGCCGCGTCGATCGCCTCTTTCACATTGGCTTCATCACTGTTGACATTCAGATTAACAACCATGGCACCCAGCTTCTGTAGAGAAGTTGAATGCAGGTTCGTTATCACCTTATCGCCCTGACCCAGCGCGTACTCCACAAGCTCGTGTCCTATGCCCTGGGGCGAACCGTATATGAACCAGACTTTGGACATGGGGATATGGTAGAGGGTGCTTCCCTTGATGAGATTTTACAAGATCGCATGTCTGGGGGCATTGCACTGTATATAGTATAGCGTGTATGCAAGAAAATATATTTTAGGTTTCCGGAGATTGTTATCAAATTTCAGATGAAATATTTTCGTGCGGCGGGTCGGCGGCCCGATGCGCCTTCCCAAAGAGGCAATAGAAGCTCATCTGCGAAGTTTGTTCTCTGCGAGGCAACCCCTTTTCGGTAAGAGAGGCATCATTATAGATCTCTTGGGGTGTTTCTTTTCCGGACATCCAACGGAAGAGGTAAGTGAGGCCCGCAGAAACCATAGATCAAGAAAAAAACACACGGGGATGGTCAACCTGACATATGCGCCTGCATGCAATGGAGCCAGTCTACCTCGGTTTTCAGATAAGGTCATTCTGCCCGCAGATATCCTGGAGCAGTTGGTCAGCGCTCGTGGGTTGGATTTGCCACATCCGCTGTTATTCGAAGCCCGAAGCGGCCAGGCTCGGTGTTTTGTGGGGGTAAAAGAATTTTCGTCGGACGAAGGTGAGGTTCAGTTGCCATCGCTAATAGCCGATAAGCTTGGTTTAGCAAGTGGCGACACCGTTGCAATAGAGGTTTGTGACGATGTGCCGCGTGGTACCAAGTTGAGTTTGAGACTGACCGAGATTTACCCCGAGATCATCAACTGGAAGTGGTTTTTGGAGGCGAATTTGAGTTCTTATACAACTCTCACCAAGGGTGACATCCTGTACATAGAGAAGCCCCATAAGGTGTACGAACTTATAGTGGCAGAAACTGAGCCAGCGAACTCGATTTGTTTGATAGATACAGATCTCGATTTGGATATCCAGCCTTTAAACGATGAAATGGCCCGGGAGATGGCAAGAACAAGTTCAGAGCAGAATAACCAGGATCCACCTTTAGAGCTCCAATTGGGTCGCTCCTACACTGTGAAGACCAACTCTACATTTCACGTCCTAGATGCTGATTCCTTTACACCGAGCATAACCGCAAGCCTTCTGGTAGGAGACAGCGCGGATCCGAGTGGCTTCGATCTTTTGGTTTCCACAAATAAATATGTGGCCAAGGATAGCTTCATTTGGTCTTCTATTGCTGGCCCTAAAGGCTCGGCTAACTACGTGACGATTGACCGGGCTTCTCCGCTTTTTGGCAAGACTCTTTTCGTTCTACCGGTCAGCTGGACGGGCATTAGCTCATCATTTGAACTACGCATCGGCTCATCCGAGCAAATTATGCCGACGAAATCCGATAATGAGATCATCTTGAGTGACCAGAACATCGAGTGTTCCAATTGTGGGGCTACTGTGGCCAAAAATTCACTGTTTTTGCACCAGAATTTCTGCTTCAGAAATAACATCAGATGTCCAAAGGGCTGCGGGAAGGTGTTCCTAAAGCATGTTCCTGAATCCCACTGGCATTGCGAGGATTGTAACTCATATGGAGATACTCCCGAATCTTTTGACATTCACCAGTCTTTGAACCACACGGAAATGTCCTGTGAAGACTGCGAGGAAAAGCCCTCGTTTGTGAACCGCATAGCTTATGCATTACACAGAGCAACTGTTTGTGAGGGACTGCTTCACGAATGCCAGTTTTGTCATCTCGAATTGCCTCGTGGAAAGTCTACAGCCGAAGCTAGACTCTTGAGCTTCTCGGGCCACGAGTTCGACTGCGGCTCAAGAACCACCGAGTGCCCGAAATGTGACAGGATAACCAAGCTCAGAGAATTGAAATCCCACCTACAACTCCATGACCTCGAGAGGAGCCATTTACCCGTTCCCACTGTGTGCTCCAACGTCAACTGCGTCAGAGTGTCCAATGGCACCAACTCGCCTGGCCTGTGCGATGTCTGTTTCGGACCCTCCTATGCTGCAGTTCACGATCCAGATGGAAAGAAACTACGGTCACGACTTGAGAGAAGATATGTGATTCAATTGACCAAAGGATGCGGGAACTCTTGGTGTAAGAATCCCGAGTGCAAGTCAAGTGGCTTGCAACAATATGGCAGCATGAAAGAGGTTATCGAGCACGTTACGCGCATTCTCTCGAGATCTCAGGAACATCTGGCTTTCTGTGTGGATGAAAGCACAACTAAGAAAAAGCTGCTTGTGGACTTTGTGATGGAAGACCCTGGCCTCAAGTTTGCTTACGAGTGGGTTTGCAAGGGAGTTAATGAGGTAGACTTGAACGACAGCAACGAGTCTGGAAGAATTGCGAAGCTTTACAGTTGGCTAGAGGATAATGCTCCAGAACTTGCATAGGCAGACAAAGATTTATAGCATGAGTCTCATCGAAACACTGAAATGGTATCTCGCATATTCGTAGAACTAGGCATATGAATATCTAAAGTCGTGTGCAGATCAGTTTTGCCCGTTATCTGCAGCCTGGCCTTTAACTAAAGCTTTGCCTCCAACAAGCCCTGAATCGACTGGCCTGTTTCAGCTGTCAAACAAAGGTAAACTATATCTCAAGCGATAAGGAGAGAGTTCTGATCGGAAATGAGTGCACCGATCAACACAGAAGAGCCAAGGTTTGCTCAGTTCAAACTGGTCCTCTTAGGTATGTGCGATGTTTGGGGGAAAACTTAGGGGTCAAAACGTCATTGTGTTTGCGTTTTAGTGGGATCTTTTACTAACGTAGTTGATACTACTATAGGAGAAAGTGCAGTTGGAAAAGTATGTGAATAATATCTTGGATACTTTTTTATTCGTGTTTACTAACCACAACCAGTCATCCATAGTGCATAGGTTCGTGAAGGACTCATTTGACGACTTCCGTGAATCCACCATTGGTGCCGCGTTTCTGACGCAGACCATTCTGTTGGACCACAATACCACCGTCAAGTTCGAAATCTGGGATACAGCAGGCCAGGAACGTTACAAGTCGCTGGCTCCAATGTATTACCGCAATGCTAACTGTGCACTGGTTGTGTTCGACCTCACTAAGCAAGAGTCGCTGGAGAAGGCTAAATCATGGATAAAGGAATTGCAGAGACAGGCAAACTCAGACATCGTGATTGCCCTCACCGGCAACAAGTTAGACTTGGTTCAAGAAGACGAAGGTGCTAGAGAGGTCAGCGAGGACGAGGCCAGGGCGTATGCCAACGAGCTGGGATTACTGTATTTTGAGGTGAGTGCGAAAACTGGCCAGGAGATTAAGGAGTCTTTCAAGTCCATTGCAGAGAAGCTACCGATCGAAGAGAAAGTCAATCCCAGGCAGGGCAGAAGGTCTCGGAACGTGGACTTGTCGAGGCCAAACACAAACGACCAACAAGCCTGCGGTTGTTAACGTTAGATAGCTTCTTTCATGTTTTCATCTTATAGTGTTGGGTAGGTTATTTGATCGCTGAAATTTCAAGTCATAGCTATGAAGTAGTTCCAAGTGATCATCAAATAATAGTCATTAACACCTAATCATCCAATGCTGGGCTCACTTTTTAGCCTTTTCTCCCTTCTCTAGTTGCTCCATTGTCTCATTTACGCTTGCAGTCAACTCCTTGGAATCAACAGTTCGCGTTTTGCTATACTTTTCAACAAGTGACAAGATCTCTTTATTCCTCGAGTTGGTAGCAATTGATCCTTGCAATAACGCAGCCATCTTACCTTTATTCTTAGTCAAAATTGTAGGATCCTCCTTAACTTTCTCCTCTACAAGCTGTCGCAACATATGCTGTAAAGTCTCGTGTTCTGACTGCGTAATTTTTGGTTAGAGCTCTGTATTTCTTTTAACAATGATAACACTTACACTCTGCTTGAAGTCTGATAACAGTACTTTTCGCTGCTGGTCGAAATATCCCTTTCGCTTGTACAAGCTACTCAAACCCTTTGCATCCAAATCTCCCTCTGACATACTGAACCTCTATTTATGAAATGAGTAGTGGATGGCATCAGGCTTGTTGTAAAAGGTTCAACTCCTGAGCTCTCTTGGTCTATCTACATTTCAGGGTTCCAGTACACGCCCGGGGTGGTTGCACGCGTCGCGTTGGCAGCAGATATGATATTGTCTTTATCTCTAATGATCTTTATGCATTCACTGCAGATTTCACTCTACCAACACAAAAATGTCTGTCGAAGAACGTAGATCAGAATATGGATCTCTCAGTGATGTTGTTGAACGCTCTGTTCTTCTCAAGTCTCTTCGGAGATGCGATGTGCCTTCGGGGCAAATGTTGAACACCATCTCCTTCCCGGAGTATCACAACAAAGAGCGTTTGGAAACTCTTAGGGACATGATTTCCTCTGTGTTGTACGACGATGGATCTGATCTGGATCACTCATTCGAATATTATGCTCAACTAGTTGTGCGGCTTTGCAAAAGTGGTCTGGCAGAAGAAGTCGCCAGTACCCTGTTTCGCCAGCTCCATGATTATATAGAAGAACATGGTGTCAACGATCTTGCTCGCAAAGCTGATAGCATGGAGCCACAGAACACCCCTCGCGATCTGGCAAAAAGCTGGGAAAATCTCAAGAGAACTTTGGATAAGCTGAGCAGGATCTTTGTATACTTGGAGATGAACTATCTGAGACCGAATACTGAGCTCAATAAGGATGCATGGGCCACATTGTTGCCATTACGTGAAAAAGGGTATCTCAAATATCCCAGGATTGAAACCTACGGACTTCTACTTTACTCCTCGGCGTTTGGACCTTCCGAGAGTGGGCTTTCAGTTGAACAGATGATGGGCAGAAACTATTTGGATCTGGTGTTCCTGGGACTGGCATATAACGGTTCGGAAATGTTTCAGCAAAATAATGATGTTACACCCGAATCTTTCTTTGAATATCTGAGTTCCGTGAAAGAGATTGACAACTACCAACGACTGGAGTTGTACAATCGACTGCCTGATCTGTTTGAAAAGATAGGGTATAAAATGCACTTCCAACTAACTGACGAGAACCCATTGGAGGAATATATGACCAAGACTGATGCAATTTTGAGGAGCATGTTCATGATGGCCGGATCAAGGTCAGTGTTAAGGGCTTACCGGCGCGATATTGTTAACGCGATGAGAAGAAGCATGTTTGAGAACGTATTCGACGCTATTGAAGAACAGCTTTTGCCCCAGTGGTTTGTCAGCGAAGACCCACAACTGGAAATTGTATATAAATATTGCATGAGGGCTGAAGGTTTGCTTCCAACGCGACTTTTGGACTCGTTCACGGACCACGTCGCGCGACTGATGAAGGAACTTTTTGAAAAATACAACGGGGATAGCGACTATGCCGAAAGACACAACCTGCCATTGAAACTCAACGAGATGACTCAGCGTCTGACTTCTCTTCTGGAAAGTTATTTCGTGGATGCAAGACCTGATGCCTACCACGAGCCAAGACGGAATGTCTTTGACCATAAGCTCAAGATGACAGTCAACGACATGCTGGAATCTCAAAGCGAGCTGTTCAACGATTGTCTTTTGAGATTCTTTGACCTATATGCAAGAGGGCTGATATTCAAAAACGGCAAAGAACAGGAAAGCAACGTTCTCCGCGGATTGGAACATTTTCTGTCGCTTGGGTTCCTCAAGGACTCACTGGTGCGTAACTATACATCCCAACTCTCCAGAAGAATGCTGATGTCTTTTGGCACCCCCACACTTGAAAACGAGTTTAGGATTCTGGAGTTGTTCAAGGAGGTTGCAACGAGAGAAGAATGGACTGGTGTTGAGCAGATGTTGAACGAGATCTTGGCATCGAAGCAGCAGTTCGACTCGTTTGAGAAATGGAAGTTACATCAGAACATTCCCTCTGTGAAGAGCTCTGATCTGACCATACTCTGCCTCAATCCTGAAAGCTGGCCTCGTGTCCAGTCATCCCCAATGTTGAACCTCCCGGAGGAGATCTCAAAAGAGCTGGATAACTATAATGTCTTTTTCAAAGGAAATTTTGACTCCAAGTCGCTTGCTTGGGCATATTCGTTGCACAACGTGAGCATAAATGCTAGATTTGGTTCTGGGAATCACCTCAAACAGATAGTCTGTCCCTCGTTCCATGCAGTGACACTATTGGCATTCAACGATCATGAACAGCTTGCATTCGACCAATTGTTACAAATCACCGGAATGGATCCACAGATGCTTCGCGAAGTGATAAATGTGCTTACGACGGGCCGCTACAGATTGCTGTTGCGATTGGAAAATGGAAGCTACAGTGCCAACGATGGATTCAAGGAAAAGGCCAAGCGGATCACGATCAAGATGACCAAACCAACAAAACGTCAAGATCACTCGAAATCAACCGCAGCAACGACGAGCCAGATAATAGAAACAGACGATTTCTTGCGTGCAAGTATTGTGAGGTTCATGAAGGCACGGAGAACTGCCACTCACTCAGAGCTGATGGAGGGATTGAGAGAGCACTTGCAAGAGCGTGGTCGTACTATCAACGGTATCGAGGATGTCAAAAGAGCTATCGAGAGTCTCGTGTATCAAGAATACATCACGAGAAATGGCTTGGATAGCTATGACTATGTCGCTTAACAGTGAGGACCTATGTGAAGAGACGATCTTGTTTACGTCTTCCAACGAAATGTACTTTCAGTGGTATTTGAGGAAAATATAACGAATTTAATTTAATTGATATACACGTACAAAATACAATTCATTGGTCAACAGATGGGTATATCTGAGGCGCAAACTCTATCAGTTTGGCCAGACTGGTAGCCACTTCCGGCTGAGATGGGTCATAGTCTAGGATGTTCAATCCCCAAACAGTTCCTAGGTTCATTGCAGTCATTCTGTTTCTGTCCTTGAGCAAAGATACCTGGCGCAAGTGCTTGAGAAGATCTTCGAGAGTGAAGTATTGTGGATCTGGCAAGGAATCTACAAACTTCTGGGAGCTGGCGACGAATTCTTCATCAGTGGGTTCGCTTGCGAGTTTCTCAAGATGAGGTTTGAAAACTGCTGGAATCAGCTTTTCAGGAAGAGACGCGAAAAACGACTTGAGCAAAGTCGAAATCGCATAGACATCATCCTCCACATTCTGAGGATCGGCGGGAGTCAAAATCTCGCGAGTCTGGGCTGGGTTCGCGTTGATTTTGTCACGCAAAGAATCGACCTTTGACTTGTTGGCACTCTTGCGGTAAATACCCTCAACAGTCAATCCATATTTCTCCAAAAGTTCAATACAGATCATCACAAAATCAGGGACACCACTCTGGGAAATCGAACACAGAGTTTCGAGAGGCACTCCGTAAACACCTTGGACTGTACCAACAGACCCATGATTGGTAGATGCTGGAACAGCAGTGTGAGTGGAGACATTTGAGACATTGCCAACAGAAGGAACCGGACTCGCAGGTATGGTGGAAGCGTCTGGATCTAAAGGCCGTGGTCCCCACATATTGGCGTTAGTGGCCTGTGGAGTAGGAGAAGAACTGGCAGGGTCCAGTGAAGAGTAAACCGGCATTGCCGCAATTTCTTTATCATCACCAGCACTTGACAAAGCTGTTTGAGGAACAACCTCTGCAGCCCGAAGTTGACTGGAATGGCTTGGGGTAGTCGGAATGGGTGTCGAAGGTGTTGCAGTCGCTACAGGAAGCGATATAACGGGAACTGGAGGTTCGATTGACGAAGCGGAGGCCTGTCTTGATCCCGGAGCAGATCCAATCGCCGAAGCTGGTTTCCTGCCGCCCTTTGAGTTCGAAACCAGATGATTGTACAAGTCCTTCTCGTTATCAATGCTAACAGCAGAGGTCATCATTGACTTCGACTCATCAACTGGTAGCACTATCCTTCCCATTCGCATGATGGATGCCTCTGTGAAAGTGGCATACTTTTCAAGCTCAAGACTCACCGCGGAATCAAGCTCGAGAATAAGGTTCTTGAGCCTTTCATTAGTCTTAGGCCTGTGGATTAAAGTGAGGTCTTTGATCAGTTTTTCAGCCCGATCCTTCAAACGCGAACATTCAAGCTCAGCATCTCTGAGTTTTGAGGCCGTCTCATCTTCAGCATGGGCACCGGTCCGCGTTCTGCGCGTAAACCTTCTCCCCGAAGGATCGCCATTCCGGATCTTCGAAAGCTCCTCGCGCAAATCGCGAACACGTTTCGTGGCCTTTCCATAGGCCTGATTTGCATCCTTATAGTCCTGCTCGCGCTTATAAGCTTCATCTTTGATGCTTTTGCGTAGTCTCTTGAAGCCATCCTGTAGAGACTGAACATCGTTGGCAATCTTGGTCAGACTGCTGACGTATGGATCGTACACGTCTTTGCCGATCTCTTGGTCTAAGGAAATGATAAATTTGAGGTTCTTCATGAGCGTGTCGGTATTTCTGAACAAGCCGATTGCCTCAATCGTACGCGTGGAGTTCTTCTTCAGCTCCATGCTTGAATGTTGTTCCAGCTGAATCTTCTTTTTGAGAAACTTGGAGAATTTCTCACACGAGAGAATACCCGTCTTAAGCCGAGCCAAGAGAACATCCAAGGTTGATTCTGAATTCAATATTTGGGATATTTGGGGCGTTTGGAGAAGCTGTTTTGAGCTGGGAATCTCGCCAACGGTAGGCTCAGCCATTGTTAGAGTAGGGCAATGAGAAGCGAAGGGAAAACACAGAAAACGGTGAAGTACACAACAGAGGCACTAAACTAGTGGGCCGGAGCAGTGTTCACGTCGTTTAATGGGCAAATTGTAACCGCGACAAAGTTGATGGTGGCTGAATACAGAGAGGTAGGAGCCGCGGTTGGTTTTGTTGTACAACAAAGGGCCACTTTGATTGATAAGTACACGACAAAATCTAGGCCCTCGGCAATAGAGAAAGCAATGTGAAAAAAGGCATGAGTAGGGAATGGGATTTTGCCAAAATTGAGTATTAGAAAGCCCACACAGAGATTATGAGCCTGGTGAAGCAAACGTAGTAATCATTTCGAAGATTGCAGCGCGGCACCAAATCAAATTTTTACCCGTGGCCTACTCCAGCTCCATGCGTCTACACATACATCGCCTTGTCATCGCATAGAGTGTCAACGCAACCCGGCGAGGCGCAGGACGTGTGTGAGCATAGAAAGTTCAGTGAAGGAGCTACAAGAAGAGGATAGTACTGGCAGTCATCAAGGGTAGTATTACTACACCGGCAACATATATAATACAGAAATTCCGAATTGGTTGCACTCAATTGGCTTCGAAACACAGAATACAATTCCTCATGCTGAAACATGGGTACACTGTGATTCAGGCAGGCTTACGTGATCGTTCACGGAATTGGTAGCCCCCAGACCCCGCGCATATCCTAGTCCGGGCCTAGATGTACCTAACTTGATATCTTCATAAGGCGGCCGCCTCCCTCTCACTCTGGCCCATCCCCTACTACCACCTTTCCTTAGTTAACACTGTTGCTTAACAACTAGCTGCTACCACGCTAAACACAAAGTGTAAGTTCCCCATATTTTTTTAGTGACGGGCTCACGTCTGCGTCAAGCGCACCTTCTTTCCAGCAAACCTCTCCACCACTTTTCTTACGCTGGGATTTCCCTAAATTGTCTCAATTGGCCTTCTTGACCCCTTTGCAATTTTAATTTTTTTACTTCGTCTGGTTACTGGTGTCATGGATCACGGTTCCACTCGTTTGGGTGTGTCACCCCCGGATTCGTGTTTTGGACCCTTGGCCTAATCAAGTCATAAAAGAATGTTTAGCGGTTATTCCAGGTATATTAAAGTCGTTGTTGATGTTTTTTTTCGAGATTCTGCTCCAGGGGTTGAGCTAGGGGTATTCGAAGAAGGAATTGTCTGGAGATGCTTGGAGTCTGATTGCCTCATAGCCACGACCTGATACTGCCTTACTTGTTGACCACCCACTCGAGCAATTTTGGTTCTAGTACACCTCAATTGACCTAGTGATGGTATCCTGTACTGCTTTATCTGGCCATTTGCCCGAGAGCAGTTGGGTATTTAGAGACTTCGGCTCTGTTTACTATCCTTCCCGTCTGGGCTTCCAGATCTGGAAATCCGACTAGCATCCTGAAATGAGTTACGCACGACATCACACACCCCTTTCGCAGACGCGTTCTCGAGGTTGTTTATCTCCCGATCTTTTCCAAAGCTTGCTGTTTTTTATACTAATCACAATTGCAGAACTAAAAATGTCTGAAAGAAGAATCAGAGGTACCAGAAAGAAGAAGGGTAAGTTATATTTTTGGCTCAACATGACTGTCGATTGAATTGTCTATCTGTTGTCTCATTGTTTACAAATGGGTGTCCACTTTTCAAAAACGCCTTCAGTCTTTGAGGTTGCTACATTTTGCGCTTTTACTAACATTTTTCCAGATCCAAACGCACCAAAGAGATCCTTGTCTGCTTACATGTTCTTTGCCAATGAGCAAAGAGATGTTGTCAGAGCCGAGAACCCAGGTATTGCCTTTGGCCAGATCGGTAAGCTGCTCGGTGAGAAGTGGAAGGCCCTTGACGCTGCTGGCAAGGTTCCATACGAAGCCAAGGCCGAAGAGGACAAGAAGAGATACGAGTTGGAAAAGCTCGAGTACCAAAAGACACTTGCCTAAGAAGCTTCTCTCCTCCTTGGTCGCTTCGCGCCCTCAATTCCTTTTTTTTGAATTTGATCCTTTCCTCCTTTTTTGTGTGTGCCAATGACTCTGGAAAATTGGTATCTTTGCGAGCTTGTTCTTGCTGAAATACCATATTTTTATCTCTTCCAGAGCTTCAAAACGGCTGTATATTAAGTTCCGATATCATTTCTGCGAACCTTATGTATTTCTAACTATCTTTCTTTTCTATGTACACTGCATGTTTGAAGGGTGACTATCGGTTATTCGTTGACTTTGAATTCCCCCTAATATCTCAACTTCTCGACTTGTCGGTTCTCGATTATCGGTTCTCGATTTTTCACTTTCATCTTGGTTATGAGTCTCTTTCGCCGTACCCTCCAACCTCAGCTGCTCTCACCCTTACAATACTTCTCCTTTATTATCTCGTGAGCTTTGAGAGAGTCCACGTCCAATCGCACCTTTTGAGCATACAACCCTATGATCCGGTTTGCGCTCATGAACTTAATGACACATCTGTCTATACATGTTTGTTCACCCTTGTGGAGATCAGCTTCCCCATACTCTCCCGGTATACACTTAGTTCTGCAATTTTTTGTGATCCTGGAAAAAGTTAGCATGCCGGACCTTTACTCAAATCCCCAATTTTCAAAACTCTCAACTTACATGTCAAAGGTGGCCTTCATTGCATCGTATTGAACCTCGGCCATGGCGATCTTCTGTGGATTCGCCTCCACTTCAAGGCCATTATTGTTCAATAGGAAAAGTGACATTGCGTATGCACAACAACTTTATGGAAAAACAGATAGAATTAGATATCCTATGATAAAAGAGAGTGTTCGTTCCTTGCTGAGGAGGTTGGCTATGAAGATTCTCTGGACTCGATGAGAAGTCACGTGATCTGAGAATGGCTTCTTGTCTACGAGTACAGGGTGCTGTTTTAACTCCTTAGACGATATCAAATTTGGATGAACGTTTTTCGAAGAACCGGCTGACAAACGGCTAATACTTGAATCTAAATTTATGCAATCACTTGGAGGCTTTTAACCGTGGCACGTTTGCCATCAATTTCGACGGGGGAAATCGGGCACGAGGGTCGTGCATCCAACCTGATTTCTAGCAACCCGCGTTCTTGTTGAGGAAGGCAATCTCCTCTTATCTCTCTTCCTTATTCCTGCCCAGACACAGAGATGATGTTTTAGTGAGTTTTCAGTGGATTTCAACCTCTATGAGTCTGCGTCTTATTAACACAACTTTCCAGAATTGCGCCTTCAGCTCCATAAGCTCCGAACCATACGGTTCGATCAAGAACCTATCGACTTTATCGAGCGATGACCTCGAAAAGAGAGATGTATTTGGAAAGACAATTTTACACCATATTTGCATCAAAAACAGACACGACCTCCTTAATCGACTTATCAAGAACAAGAACCTCGATTTTAACGTGACCGACTGGGAAAATGACTGGAACTGCTTGCACTTTGCACTCTTCAACAACAACTTTGTGCTTGCGAGGATTTTGCTTGCCAAAGGCCCCGAGAGCCTGCTTCGCCATAGGGATAAAGATGGATACACGCCTGTTGATCTGCTGAACAGCGAGATTAGTTTGAAAAGAATGGTACGCTTTCCCACCCATATCTCCATGCCTTATGATGGGAAGATCGCAGCTGTTTTGGACTTTTCAGAAGGAAGCATGAACAATCTCGCGTTGACAGAACGAATCACCCCAGCGTCGCAAGAAGGAGTCACATCGACAACGGAAGAATCTTCCTGGTTTGACCCTTTTTCTAGAGGTGCTTCAGACCTCGTGTTTTCAGGTTTTCACCTGAAGAGCTCTATTCAGGATGCTCCCGATCAACTCTACCACGTTCCTCTTCAAGACATGACCACACGTGTTACTGGATCTATTCGCGAAAGACTAAGACCTCCACGTCTTTCCAAAGTGGTGATTTCCAAAAAGCACACCATGGCTGTGACCAATGAACCGACCGGTAACCTTTTCGTGTGCGGCTCCGGGTCATCTTCGAGACTGGGTCTTGGCAATTCCCACAAGAGTCTGGACTTTGTTTCCATTCCAACGTTTGAGTCCGCGTGCATTGTCGACGCCCACTCTTGTGATGACCACTCGGTATGTTTGACCTCTCAGAACCAGGTGTACACATGGGGATACAATGAATATCTGGATGAAGTCGGGTCCATTCCCACCCTCATCCCCAAATTGAAAGGCACCATTATCGGAGTCTTCACATCAAAAATCCACACAGTTGCTTACACTCATGATCAAATCATATCCTGGGGTCTGAATGTTGGTCAAATGGGACTGGCGTCTGCGGCCTCTTCCTCAATTGCATACAACGGTTTGCACGGGACTATTGTAAAGAGCCCGAAAGAGATGGAATTCAAGTATGGGACTGTCAAGTGTATTGTTGGAAACGAGACGTTTATGTTGGTGCTGAATACAGATGACGACCTTCATTGTTTCACCGGCGGATTTCACGCCAAGGTGCCAATCACGGTTTCGAACAAGCTCAACTCAACGTTCAACGTATTTGTGCCCAGATCACAAACTAGGCGCAAGTCCATCGTAAAGATGATTGCGCAGACAGGATGCCCACAAGTGTTGCTCATCTACGACTCAGGTGACGTCTCTGTGGTGAGCATTCCCCAGAGATGCGCCTATTCTAGTGAGTTCTTGAAAAGGGTAAAAGTTTCCCCAGTTTGGAGAGTATCAAAAGACCACATGAAGTGCATCGATGCTTGTATGGGTTCTGATGGATCTGTGATGATCTGTCTCGCAGATGGATCCGCATACAGGCGTGTTAAGAGGCAGCAGAAGAAAGCCACTTCCAAAGACGGATTTCACGACGTTTTCACAAAGGAGTTCAAATTTGTCAAGATCTTGGGTTTGAACAAAGTTGTGAGAGTCTGCTGCGATCCCAGTTTCCAGTGCTTTGCGTATATGAGAAATGATGTGGATTTGATACCGTTCAAACTCAAGCAAAGTCAGATACTAAACGATATCGGCGACTATTCTCCATATGTTTCTTTACCTGCTCAGCAAAAAGCAAAATATTCACTGGCAAGTACTGCGGTGGATTTCATAGCAAGTTCTAATGAGGAGAGTTCACAGCCATTCGAGCTGGAGGACAAGCTTCTTGAAAATGTTTTGAACCGATGGTCGCAGCCCACAAATGACATTGTCAAGTCTTGGAGAGAAAAGGTCAAGGCACCGGTCTCAAAAAGGTTTGGAAACGATGCAATTAGAAAATTGGGGTGGATGCAGCTGATAAAAACGGAATCAAAACTGTCGGATGCCCATGCTGTGGTGATAGGTAGAGGCGGAGCAAAGGATGTCTGGATCCCCATCCACAAACACATAATTTGCTCGAGATCCAAGGTACTGGCAAGTGTCATTCTCGAAGGTAGGATTATCAATAAATCCGGAATCGGAATCACGTATGACCCTTCAAGCGAGTGCCTCAATTTTGAGGGGGATAAAGTTGATGCCAGAGCAGTTTTTCTTCTTATGCACTATCTATACACCGACGAATACCTCACATATCCAGCAAGCATTTCGGAAGATCTTTCACGTTCGCGGAAGATGTTTTCCATATTGACAAGCGTTGTTCTGACCTTGATGCCTCCGCTAGAGAAGCAAATATGGAAAGACGTGCCACAATTATACGACACGGTCGTGCATCTTTCTGATGGCGAGATCAGATGTCACTCTTTGTTCTTGGCTGCCAGAAGTGCATACTTTGAGGCCCTGTTTTCGAGATGGAGAGGCTCATCAGAACGAGAAGTGACACTAACTCATATTCCCAAGAAAGTTTTTGAGATCGTGCTTAGATATTGTGTGGGATATCATGCCTTTGATATCTTCGATGAAATTATGGGTATCTCCAGCAGTTCTGAGTTTATGGATCTGCTATTCGAAACTGCAGAGGTTGCCGACGAGCTGCTAATTTCTGACCTTTCAGATATCTGCCAGTTTGCCATGAAAGACTTAATCTCCTTGGATAATGTTGGCTTGATTTTGATGAATGCTTATCACCTGGGAGCCACCCCACTGTTTATGAACTGTCTTTGGTTCCTGTACAACAATCTGGATGTTATGTTTTTCAATGGCGAATTCAATGAGTTGATTTCAGAGTGCTGGAGTAACCAACACTTGGTGACCCAAATCGATGTTGGTTTGAGGTGGTTCAAATCTCTGAATAGGATTGCGGATGATTCAAAAAAGACGACCAGTCTATCAACCAAGGAGTCACAAAATTTCTTCAACTGCTTCCTAACAGATATGGATAAGTTCAACGAAGACTTCGTTGCCGGAGAGAATACCTGTTCCTTCAGTGGTCTGGCGTCAATGTTCAAGACACTTGAGAAAAAAAGACGTTCTTCCAGTGTTGTCAAACCAGTGAATTCTACAAGTTTTCCAAAATACTCACCACCAGTTACATCTTCTGAAATCTCTCCTTCTAGTTCGTCGTTGGTTAACGAATTTGCTTTAGATACTGACGACTCATTATCTAGCATCTCGGACTTCATTCCTGTTTCGAGCAGAAGGCGAAGCTCAAGGAAATCGTCAGGCCCAAACCTGATACGTCCTGAAATCTTTCCTCCTGCAATGCCTGAAACCATGGTGTCTACTCCTCAGCGAAAGAGTCCCACACCCTTGGACATTCCCAAGGCTTCGAGCCCCTTTTTGAGTTCAAGAACGCCCGCGAAGAAAGCGGTTATTGCGATACCAAAACTGTCACAGAAGGAACGGATGAAGCAGAGACAAAACTCGGGCTCCTTTTTGGCTCAGAGTCCACCAAAGACGAGCACACCTCCCAAACCTACAACCCCATTGTACAAAATCCAGCCAACAGGCTCGGCACCGGCTGCCTCATCTGCTCCTTCGTTTGAAACCATAAGACTTCAGGAACAACTGGGCAATATAGAAGACGATACGCCTGTTGCGTCTCTGGAGGAGATTCAAAGGGAAGAGGAGTTTGCACGTTGGTGGGAACAGGAGTCTCTGCGTGTTCAAGAACGCATGAACCAGGCTGCTGAAGAAGGTACTCAAGCAAGGAGAAATTCTGCGCAGAATAGAAGACGTCACAAAGGAAGAGCAAACAATACTAAAACTGGTGAAGGCAATAATAGCAATCGACACCGCGGTGGGTCCGTGATCATCTAGTGGTTGCCATTATCATCTCCATATACATACATAGTTCACTCAAACAACCCCAAAGGACATAAAATCATTAACTATACATATTTTCACAATAAAAACATCAACGATTCCAAAACACGTTGGAATCCCCACTAACCACTTTTGCCTGAACAGCAGTCTTCGCACCAGTTCTTCCGATCAAGGTTTCATCCAATGCTTCTGCCGGTTTTTGATACAGCCTTCTGAATTTTGTTGGTCTTGCAAAAGCCAAATTATCAGATTTGCTGGGTCTTGGACTCCCATTTTCTTGGGCCTCTTTCTGCAACTGCTCTTTCTGTAGCTGTTCTCTCTGCCTTTGCTTGGCTCTTGTGTTAGAAGCAGGCGTGGACAGCAAATCATTGCTGAAACTGGGAATACCCCATCCTTTACTAATAGCCAAAGAGGCCAGTGCTCTACTTCTCCCAGGAGTGGCTGGAATTAGTTCTCCTGTAGTTTTGGCTGGTGTGACGTACCGTGCACTCGACAACAGTCTCTTTTGCCTCGCAATTGAGATCGGCGTCATTGGAATCAGCCCCATATCAGGAATTTGCTTCTCCCGAGGAGTTTCGAATACATTTGGTCGTTTGGAGCTGATTGGGGTCTGTGGCAGTTGTACGTGTTGTTTGAAGGTGGGGGTCCTGGGTGGCTTTTGCAAACCCTGTTTGGCCGAAATCCTAGACATGGAAACCGGGGTTGCCAGTGGATATTCAGCTCTACTCAGCGGTTTTTTTGAAAGTCTCAAACCTTTTTTCTCGCTATTTGCTCCAAGCAACAACTTCCGTCTAGCAGGGTCAAGTGGAGTAGCAGGTATAAGGGCACCTCCACCAAGCGAGAATTTCTTCCCCAATCTCTTCGTGGTTGTTGGAGTGGATGGTATCAGCTCATTGGAAAAACGAGGGGTAGCTGACTTGAATTTGGATCTCGGCACAAGGGACGAAGGCCCATGCAAAGAGGCAGACGACAAAGCCATGTTGATCTTCTGTTTCTGCACCCTAGATAGAGGCGGTAACGGCTTATTTGGAATTAAATCATCCTCATAGTCTGAATCCACTAAAAGGTCAATTGAAACGGAAGGGGCCTTGAATCTGGACCCCATCTTCTTCTTCAGGCGGTATTCTGTGCTAGCTATCGACCGTTCTTCCTGGTCAAAGTAATCGTGCCACACAGAGATATACCCGGAACTCGGGTCTCTCATCGATTTAACATGCCCAGTATCGTCGACAATCCTGCCCGTTGACAAATCGATTAGATCGCCCTGGTCTTCCTCGTCGAACGCGGAATACTTCTCGATGATCGAGCTCCACAGAGACCTTATCTTGTAGAGGGACCCTGACTTTCTTTTTTGGTACTCCAGATGGTCCAGTTCTTCCAGCCTGTTGGGGATTAAGGGGTCTTCCATTTCGTGTGAATACTTTAGTAGAAGTCAAGAACCCGCTTAAAACTCTTCTTCTGGTGCTCTCATACATCTGTCTTGTTCCAGCCCCCCTTTGAATTTTTACGTGTATCGCGGGAGGAGTGCGCGTGCAATTAATCCCAAAGTGGAAACATGTGTGCACCGTTAAATATTGCGCCGCATGTATTGACTACCAACCCTTTTTTAGTTTGTTATGCGCGTGTTCGATTATACCGATATGTATGAGGCTGTGTGCTTATTAGAGTTCAGAAAGCGGGGGCAAATATCTCTTTGAAAATATCCTTGGCAGATCTCTCGATCAAGTCTCCATGGCACATGATTATCCTGCTGAAATTCCACTTGTAGATTTCCTGAATGCCCACAGCGGCCTGTGGGCCACTCAGCGTCGCACCTGCCAGCTTTTTTACCAAGAACCCGTTATAAGTAAGCTTACTAGAGATGAATCCAGTAGGATCCTTACCACCGTATGCTTCCTGAGAATAGTCTGTGAAAGGAAACTTCTTCCCACTGGATTGCATGTTGAATAATAGGTCTCCTACCACCAAAGAACCGGTTGATTTTTGGAACACCGTCAGTTCCTTATTTGGATGACCTGGAATGTAGCAGAAACCAAAAGAGTCGAACAGTTCGGAGTCTTTTTCGTCCATTTTGGGGAACACATCCTTGAGCTGTTCGGCGGAATCGTATGCCTTGTTGGCAGTCTGGGCGCCAAACTTGAAGTCAATCAATGGATCAATCTTTTCATTACAGCTTTCCATTCCGACTATCTTCACATTTGGCAAACGCTCTTTGTAGCCAAGAACGGCCATTGTGTGCTCGGTATCAGGGATGATCAAATGGGTGATGTTCTTAAACCAATCAGAGTCGCCAATCACACTAGTCAACTTTCCAATCATTTCTTCGTCATAAGGGATAGCAGCAAAAACAACATAATTCTTAGAATCAGCTGAAGCTTTCATAACAGACATTCTTGCCCCGAAAGAGACAAAACGAAACCTGCTAAAGGGCGCAGAATGGATCCAGAGCAAGCTGTCGACAACCTTTCTTGATTGCCCTCCTATAGGCGAAGAGTATCCCATTGTCAAAATATTGAATTAGTGGAAGAATATGCGAGCGAAATGTTGTTGAATGCTAAAAAAAAAACACATAGGACATTGACAATAAGAGAGGAGGAGGATCCAGGGTCTTTATAGAACATCCCGCAATATGGAGATGTCAGCCCAGATTGAAACTGCATATACGAGGCCCACTAATACGACCTTGCTCCCCTGGCTTACTGGACCGGACCGAAACTCCAATAATTGCCATATGTGCAGGTTTACTATCAGTTCAGCACAACTTACTAATTCGAGATCCGCCCAGAACTCCCGAGGTTCGGGGTGTCTATTGTATTTTTTTTGCAGATTAAGGTGTTCTAGGTTCTGGCATCACCGGCTTAGAAATATTGGTTTCTTTTTATTCCACCCTGCATTTTGTGTTCCGATAGTCACCGAGGCTCAGTTGCTCGGCGCATAATTTATGAGAAGTAATACAAATAAACGATAAGCTATTATATACCGAGCTGATTATGCATATATGCCAAAAAAAACTCTTGCTCTTCGTGCTCGTTAATAGCGTTTGACGTGAGCCCATCCAAAGAGCAACATCGTTTTAAAAGCGGGATCCATCAGGGTAGTCATTCTCGATTGCGTTCTTATCACCGAAATGACTCCTTTTATGCCACTAGAGAGGCTGAGTTGAGACATAATTCATCGGGACGGGCGGGCGAGCCAAACCTGATTCACATGCCAATCCACTCACTTGACTGTGCGGCTTGTCTTGGTCAATGGAAGCAAAAAGAGGGAATAATCGTTTTGGAAAGATTAAGTTCCATTTGTCACACTTTTAAGTCCATCTCCAAACCCTCAGTTTCCAGAAATCTTTGGAAATCGAGTCCTTCACTGCCTGAACCAGGCAATTCGGCTCGGCTGACAAAACGGGATGACTCAATTGCAGCCCCGGCCCCCGATGACACAAGCCTAACGGTTTTTTTGATATGTACGGTTCTGTACAACTCCACAGTTTTTCTCCCTGATGAAGCTGTTTATCCTGCTCTTACTACCCATTATTTATTTATAGAGTGAATACAAAGATAATGGAGGAATTCGAACTGGATACAGCTGTGCATCTGAGTGCTAGTTTAAGCCCCATAGAGTTGAAACAAGCGACATTGAAGATGAATGGCAATTCTGACGAGGATGAAAGACAACGCGGAGGTGAGGAAATACAACAAAAGGAAAAAACACTTGAAGAGTCTCTTAATGACATCAATGAGGGTCCACCATATTCCATATACTCGAGTTTTGAGAAATATCTGATCATACTCGCTTCCTCTTGTGTCGCGTTCTTCAGCACGATATCTTCTCCCATTTACCTTCCCATTCTTCCTCTTCTTGAAAAACAGTTCAATAGCTCGGAAGAAGGAATGAACATAAGCGTTGTTGTGTATTCAGTATTTCAAGGCATAGCGCCTACTCTGTTCTCGAATCTCTCTGACCAATATGGAAGACGACCAGTGATATTGGCCTGTCTGGTTATATACATTCTATCCAATGTCGGACTGGCGCTGAACAACTCATATGCTGGGCTGTTGTTGTTGAGATGTTTGCAGGCTCTAGGGATTGCCTCAACTGTCTCCATTGTGTCCGGAGTTGTCAGCGATCTGACCACCAAGAGAGAAAGAGGGTTGTACATGGGTACATACACTAGTTTCTCCAATCTGGGTCAGACTTTTGGAGCACTGATCGGCGGGGCTATTGAGGTCTCCTTCAACTGGCGTGCGATATTCTGGGTCCTTGCGATTGCCTCAGGTACAGTGGGGATACTGTTTTTTTTGGGTGTTCCTGAGACCAACAGGTCGATGGTGGGCAATGGGTCTTCCCTTCCACAAAGATTCAGGATCATTAGCAGACCTCCCATTTTGACCTTACCAACCTTCAGGCGAAGGAGAATTAGACCGGGTGAACAGAATCCTACTTTGGAGAAGAAAAAAAAGTTCGACCTCCTATCGCCCATTAAGACCCTGGCGAACGCAGAGGTAGCGTTGATTCTAACACCCAGCTCTGTGTCGTATTCGCTGTGGTTAATGATGCTAACCACATTATCTGTATCCATTCAAAAAACATACGGGTGGACATCTGCCCTCAAAGTTGGCCTCACTTACATCCCTGCAGGCGTCGGTGGAATGGCAAGCTCCATACTTTTTGGAAAATTGTTGGACTACAACTACAAAAGGGTTTACAAGAAGTTTTTGAAAGAAAACGAAGCTCTGGATCAGCCAAGAGATCAGGCAGAATTTGATGTGTTACAGACGCGAATTCCTGTTTTTTTCGGTCCCGTTATTCTAACTATTGTGGGTACTTTACTGTTCGGATGGTCCATAGACAATGAAATTAACGTGGCGTGCGTTATTGTCGGTTCTTGCCTCCTATCAGCAGGTGCAATGCCATTTGTGACTGTGTCAACAACAATTCTTGTGGATATGTACCCAAACAAGTCTTCGGCTGCCGTTGCCTGTTTAAATCTTACGAGGTGCCTGACTGCCGCGGTTGGCCTGGCAGTGCTTAGTCTGATGAACCACAGCATGACCATTGGGGGGACCTATACTTTTCTGGCAGGTCTGACACTCATTTCAAGCTCTTCATTGCTGTTTTTATATGTTAAGAGAGACTTCTTTCACGAGCGGCGTATGCGCAGGATTGAGGAGCACCGAAGCGGGTAGGTCCAACAGAGTATGGACTGCTGGGCTCCCCGAAATCCAATATTTAGACGGCTGAGACAAATTCAAATCAATTGCATAAAAAACGAACTTCTCGGAAGAATAGTTTATTAGTACCAACCAATCATTGAAGGACCACATTGGTCCAGCCTAGACACCCGGCTTGACCCTCATCACGAGATATGCACGACGGAGTTTTTCATGCAGGCAGGAGAATGCCCGTCCGAATTTACCGAGTGACAGAGGTTTATGAAGGGCTGAAGGGACAATATCAACGAGAATAGTATCCTCCTATTGGGAGCCTTATCTGATTATATTATATCTCCAAGATCATGACTCGAAAATCTGAGAAACAAATGGAGAAAACCGGGTAGTTTTGAAGTGCGGCAGAATTTATCCGGCTTTGAGTCAGCCAGTCAGTCGTTTAGGGGAAACACCCGTCCAGACTAGATATAGTATAATTAAATTTCATCATGGCAAAATAGCATGTAGATGGTTTTATAAGGCAGAAAAACCTATTTCAATGAGTTCGGATAAAATGGAAAATGAGACAAAGGTTGGGTCTAAAGACTCCTCAATGACTCTCTCCAGCTTGGGCAGGGAAGAGACAGTCGCATTGCCTTCTAACACTTCATCTTCCTCAGATCTTGAAAGATTAGCCATAGAGGCACAGTTGGAAAATGACAACTCTAATTCTTATTCAGTATACTCAACAGCAGAGATATACTGTATTGTTCTGTTGAGCTCTTTTGCAGGTATGTTTTCGACCATCTCTTCTCCGATATACCTTCCTGTATTGCCAGTGTTGCGCGACTATTTCGGAACTACAGAAGAACATATGAATTTGACGGTGGTAGTGTATTCTATTTTTCAAGGTTTGTCTCCTTCGGTATTTTCAAACCTAGCCGATCGATACGGAAGAAGGATAATCATCATGATGTGTCTGCTGATGTACATGCTAGTCAACATAGGAATTGCGTGTAACAACTCGTACGCAGGTCTGATGGTGTTGAGATGCCTTCAGGCAGCAGGTATTGCAAGCACACTGTCTGTGTCTTCCGGAATAGTTTGCGATCTTACCGTCGAATCTGAGCGCGGACTTTACATGGGTATCACAACCGGAGTGACGCTTACTGGGCAGGCCATTGGAGCCATAATAGGTGGCTTGATCCAAAATTCACTGGGATGGAGAGCTATATTTTGGTTCCTAGCCATTGCATCTGGATCCACATTGGTATTGATAGCGATGCTCTTACCAGAAACTAACAGGGCAATTGTGGGAAATGGGTCTACTCTTCCTAACACATGGAGAGTGGTGGCCATTCCGCCGGTGCTTTTGCTACCATGCTGGAAAAATAGACGCCTGCAGCCAGGCCTTGAAAACAACACAATAACCCCCATCAAGGAATTTGATATAATTGCTCCTCTCAGAATCATGAAGTGCATAGAGGTGCTGTTAGTGCTGGCGCCAGCATCAACGGTGTACGCTGGATGGCTGATGATGCTCACCTCCTTATCAACGTCTCTCCAGGACGACTACGGATACTCGACCATACATGCAAGTATTTTGTACATTCCCAGCGGAGTTGCTGGAATTACAGGTTCAATTCTGGGAGGAGAGTTGTTAAATTGGAACTACAGAAGGTCTTTTGAGCACTATGCAGATTGCGTGTGTGGTTACACTCGATGCCCTAAACCGTTCAACTTTCTGAAGGCCAGAATTCCATTTTTGTTTGGTACAGTGATATTAGCTATGGCAGGGTTAATTATGTTTGGATGGTGCATTGATAAAAAAGTTAATGTGACTGCCGTTATGGTTGCCTCGTTTTTGGTGGCTTTCGGTGCTATGTCTGCAATGTCGGTTGCGTCTACATTACTGGTTGATATGTTCCCAAAAAGTCCATCTGCCGCCGTGGCCTGTTTGAATCTCACAAGATGTCTCTCAGCTGCTGTTGGCTTGGCAATTCTTTCACTTTCAAATGCTCAGGTTGGAGTTGGCGGGACGTATAGTTGGCTGAGTGGGTTGGTGACCGCGTCAAGCTTCTGCGCAATAATCGCATACGTATACAGCGAGAAGTTCTGGTTCAGTGGTCATACCGAGCAAGCATAGGAACATTGAGGTCTTGCATTTCTTACATTTGCTTTTCGTTTGGAACTTTATAAATTTATAGATTAATCTCCAATGGTGGACTTTTTATGAGCCGCACCTCATGGTTGGCCGCGTCTACTGGCAGCACCTTGCAGCTCCCGCTGACAGAGGGTGTCGATATCATCCCGTTTGTAAAGGGTTGATTCGGCTGAAGCAAGCCGCCTGCCCAAAGCATAATAAGTGAGACTTTCAACCCAGTACAACTGGGCTTTTCTTGTTGCTAATATTGTTGGAAATGCACTCTCATCATTCCCATAGTGGCCAGTATATCTCCCATGGGGATGGTCTGCTTGAAGACGTAGTCGAGCAAGCGGTGGAGATAGGGTTCCAGACATACTGCTTGACAGAACACATGCCCAGGTATAAAGAAACATTATTGTACCCCGAAGAGACCGAAAAGGGTTTGTCTTGTCGTGATTTGATGGAGGACTTCAAAACTTACTATGGCCATGCTAGGAAGATTCAGGAAGCAATCAACAGTGATTCAGCGACTCCCACCACCATCTTGGTTGGGTTTGAGAGTGAAGGTGGTATCGGTGATGAACATTTGGAAGCTGCTATCAGAATAAAAGAGTCTTTAGAATTCGAGTTTGTTGTTGGGTCGGTTCACCACGTTAACTCGATTCCTATCGATCTGGACAGAGAGTCCTGGATTTTGGCCAAACAATCGTGTGGTGCAGGCACTATGCGAGAGTTCTTCCTGAGATATTTTCAGGTGCAGCAGAGAATGCTGAAAATTCTTAAGCCAGAAGTGGTGGCACATTTCGATCTGATAAGATTGTTGCTCACAGATGATGATGTTGACGAAGATGGCAGAAAATATGCAGACTATGATTGGGCTTTGGATTGGCCTGATGTGTGGAAGGTGGTGGAAGAGAATATCGAGATCGTTGTGCAAAACAACTCTCTCATTGAGTTAAATTCTGCTGCAATACGGAAAGGCTGGGACTCTCCTTATCCCAAATTGGATGTCGCAAAATTGATGATCTCCAAAAATGCAAAGTTCTGTCTGAGTGATGATGCCCATTCTGTGAAGCAGGTGGGATTGAACTACGCAAAAGTGCTGCAATACGCGGAAAAGTCTCTTCTTTTGAAGCAAATCCACTACTTGGACTTTGACAGTGATGGAAAGGTAGTCATTAAGGAAGTAGATATGGACGCGATAAAAGAAGACCCCTTTTGGACTCGTTGTGGGTCCACATGACAGCATTACTTGGAGCCAAAAACCTATAAAAATACGGATACGATACATGATAAAAAACTGCTAAGGTTGAAAATCTATTCAAGAACCTTAAGATCAATTTTCCCGTCATCCAGCTGCTTTAAACTGGAGCTCATGCGTTCCACCAATTCGTACATGGTGTACGGATTGTTGGCTCTGATGCTTTTCCACTTGTAATCATTAGCACCAAGGTCACTGGTATAAAGCATCTTCAAGTAAAATGAGATATCGTTCTGTAGTCTCTGTGACTTTAAGGCGAACCCATACTTTTCGGACAGTCTCAATAAATGCTCTAAGGGCAGCCAAGGTTGATAGTGCGATCTCACGTCCTTCTCTTTCACAGCAGATTCGATGTTCTCGAAAGCAGCTGGGTTCAACACTTCTTGCAAGAAACCAATCCTGATAAACCTGAAGACCGTGTTGTCATCAAAAATCACGTTCAGAGGGTGATGTGAGCCGCTGATAGAGGGCAATGGAACACCCGAGGGTCCTTGGTCTTTGAAGCTCTCTGCCAACCATTCGGAAAAAGTGAAAGTCTCTTCGAAGCTTCTGGTATAAGCAACATTTAGTAATAATCGTTTCCAAGACGATGGTCTAACCGATTCTGAATCGAGTCCCCGCATTCTCAACAGCGTCTTCATAACAGTGTAGGGCCGTGTCTTGCGGTCCCTCCTTGAGACCCTTTGCTTTGCTTGTAGAGTGTAACCGTCGATCAAAGTATTCACGAGAGATTTCGCTAGGAAAGGTGGTATCAGATTGTCATCATCGCTCATTGACCATTTGAACTGGAAAAGCCTGGGATTTGCAGACTTGAAAGTCTCGAGTTCGTCTAATAGATTATCCAGCAGAGCAAGACCGTTTTGAAACATTCCCAGTCTCAAGTATGCCACAACAAAATTTACATCAAGCTGGACAGCTGTTCGTAGATGAGAAGCGGAAGGTGATTTTGGCAGCACTTTCAAGCCACTAGATTGTTCTGTTCTCATAAACTCATGGAGTCTGCTCAAAAATGAAACCTTTGTATCGAGAGGGATTGTACTTGAGCTCAACAGACCATCAATATACCCTCGCACAATTTGGTTGTTGTAATTCAAATCTGCCTCTTTTAGGGGAACGGGTTTGGAGAACTTACCAAGCATTAACAGAGACTTTTCAGCTCTCTGAACTCCAGTAATGTCCTCATCTGGCAAGGAGCCCGATAGGTAAACCTTGAAAAAAGAACCCAAGGCCTTGGGAGAAAATCCAGCTCGGTTTCCAGCCCCTATCTGATCAACTTCTTGCATGAAGTGTTGCTCAAACTGTTGGGCAGACTTAGTGGTCTTGACCAAAAATGCATCCATAAGCTGCGGAGAGTCAGGAACGCCACGTTGCTTTATGATTTCTCGAAGTTTTTCAGCAGATAGTGCCTTATCGTAAAGCTTGCTTATAGAGGGAAGAGACTCTTTAAGCTTGTATTTTCTAACAACAGCAGACCAGCAGTTGGGGGTGTTCATAAAGTCGTTCTTGGAAAAGCGGTTCAAAAAAGCTTTCATCTCCTTTTCTTGATTACCGCTGAATCCAATCGCCTGCAATAACAGCAGTACAGATCTGCTTGAGAGCCAGTTGTCTGATAAACCATGGAGTCTATCGCTGGAGCATAGCAATTCTCTCATCGAGTTCACATTGTTGTACATCTTGTTCTTCATCAGCATATCCAGAACCATGTCTAAATGCGGAGCTGAGCTTCGTGGGAAATCTCCTGAAAGCAGCAAGTTTTTGCTGACTCTATATATTTGGCTGGCATTGCATTCACTTTCTATGAGAAGCGGTATCAGATGCTCGTAGAACCCATGTTTCTGCAGGTTTATATGGGAGTGCAAAATATGAAGAGACGCCTTTGACTCCAGCTTATTCGAGGATAGTGCTGCTCTAAGAATGGGGCTCCAGTTTATCTGTTTGTGGAGTTCGACGAGTCTTGGATATAACGCTTTGTGTAGCCGTTGAAACAGTAGGGTCTGTGGGGATTTCGCTATGAACTCAGACATCAATATTGTGTAGATCTTGTCTAGGTCCGGGTCAAATAACACACTGTAGTCACTTAAAAGCTTCACCACCCCAGTCTCCAAAAACGCTTGGTGGCTCATGCACCTGTGCGCGGTGGATATCCAGAATTCATCATCTGAGACCTCATCATCCAAACCCTTTATAAGAGACTCAGCGCTCCCCAAACTCTCGTATTGCAGCCAGTTGAAATCAGCAAGTTCTTGAGTGGCTCTGTCCACTTCTTTCACTGTTATTGGAATTTGGGAGTGCTTTATGCCCTCGAACGCATTTGGGACAAGCCGGACTTGTGGCTCTGCATGTAAAGTTGAAGTACATCGTACACCCAGAAGGCGGTAGGGACGGACCAGACGCAGACTGTTAATACAGCATAGAAATCTGGACCTCATATAACATACAAAATCAGTGGTTCAGCTTTTATTTTTGTCTCCAAGCACATCCGTCGGTAACGATATTCAGCTGGATCTGTATGCAATAAAGATTACCGAAGTTTAGTGAGCCTGAGTTTGACCAGTCACGTGATAAAACTACATGCAAGGTTGAATATGCATGGTGGATATAAACTATGAACACTAGTCAATTGGTACAGATCCTTCATTGACCACCGAACCGCCGCCCGCGATTGCATCATGCACGTCTACCAGATTATGAGCATTACTAGCCGCTTCACCAACAACCTTGGAAACGTCTGAGAAGCCACCTCCCACCTCTGAGCTTGGAGAGGTGAAGTAGACCATAAAGAGAAACACAAGAAAATGCAGACCGATGCAGTAGGTGACAAACAAAAGTCTTGTGAGCTTCGTACTCAATACAGTCCTGGTCACAGAAACAAAGATCCTTTCAAATGGTGACATTTTGGATGAAATTCTTTTGGACTCGGCCATTCTGAATTGTTCGATTGGGTGCAAACCTTGCTCGTATGTGTTCCTGTATCTCTCTTCAGGTTCGCTTGAAGATGCAGCAGTAGTTCTGTTTCTGCTATTTTCGAAAGATTGGAGGAATCTAATTCTTTCATATAACTCCCTGTTATCGTTCTTCAGGGATGTGATCTCCCTCTTCAGCTCCACAATCTTTGAGAACTGCTTCTTCGTCTCGTCTTCCAGTTCTTTGTTCCGCAATCTGAACCTGTCACGCTGTTGAGTTATTATAGGCAAAATAGATGAGTCCTGTTGCTGTTGCTGTTCGAGGCCCTCACCAGAGAACCCACCCGCAATAGACGAGGCTGGGGAAACTCTACCTCTGATTGATGGGGCTCGGGAAACACTGGAAATCATACTCATGGCTTCCCAGTTATCAGAAGAGTGTTGCTGGACACTCGAAAGATCGGTTTCAAGCTTGAAGTTGAGTTCTCTGAGACGTTGAATTTCCGTTGATGATTCTCCCAACCTGTCCTCCAACAGTTTGCACTTCTTGTCAAGTGTTTCCTGGTTTTGTCTAAGAGCAACCAAATCTTCCGTCAATTGCTTATTCCTCTGCAAGACAATGGTATCCAGTGTTCCGCTCTCATCGCCAATCTCGTCGATGGAACCACCAAACTGGACACTTTTTATTATCTCCAACTCCTTTTTGATCTCATCATAGTCAACCATTTTCAACGAGTTTTCATGCAGCCTTTTAAGCTCTGTCTGAAGATTTTCCACTTCCCTGGTGAGAGATTCAATTTTCGACGATGTGGCTGATTTCAGACTCTCCGCAGTTCTTCTTTCCTGCTCCAGGCGCCCAACCAACAAGGCTGTTTCAGACTCTAGCTCGCTGATCCTTTTATTACTGAGCTCCTTGGCTTTGTCCTTCTCCACGTCCGATTGAGCAATGCTGAGATCTCTCCTCAAATCTTCGTTTCTCTTCTCCAGTTCAAGCACACGCACCTTCAATGTTTCAGCATCGCGGCTGATCATCTCCAGCTCTATCATACTGCTTGCAGTCTTCAAGGTCGCTCCACTCGAGCTTTCCTCACCCAATCCGCTGTCATCGTTCAAAGTCCTCTTCTGAGACTCCAATTTCAGCTTCATCACTTCACCGGATACTTTCAGATCCTCCAGGTCCTTTTTATACTTGGAAAGTGTCTTGTCGGACTCCTTTTGTTTTTGATTCCAATTCCTCTGCTTTTCGTCCACCAAGGCCTTCCACTCTTCCTCTTTTGCTCTTACCCTGGAGTCAGCTTGCTCTTTCAGACTTTTTTCAATTTTTTCCAGCTTTGATCTCAGCTGATCATAATCAGCAAAGTTGAGTAGCCTTTGTTCCAGAGATTGCTTCTCTTCCTTCAGCCTATCTAACTCTGGCACCTTGTTGATGGCATCAAGAGAAACACCCAGTAATGGTTTGGGATCTGGAGCTTCTGCCACTGATTTGTAGACCTGGTAAAATATGTTCTCTATTTCCTTGTTTTTCTTGGTCAGATTGTCGATCTCTTTCTGGTACGCCTTCAGCAATGGGTTGATCTGGGACAATTTTTCAGGTTCCTCCAGCTTCTTGAAAGACTTGGTTTTCGCTGCAAGGTCTTTCCGATTCACAACAGACTGTGACTGAAACTCCTCAATCTCTAAGGCATTCGTGTCCATTTTTTTCTGCAACGAGGGGAGGTCGATCAGAGTCCACGAATTCAAAGCCTTTTCAAAGGATGACGACCCACCAGGGGCTGGACTGCCTACTCGTGCCAATGGAGTAGTAGGTCTCGCACCCCCAGGGGACTTTATTTGTGGAACAGCCAAAGACATGGTGATTGTATATCACAGAAAAGTAATTTCTGCGAACTTTTGAGACGCAATAACGGTGATTCTCCAAGGGGTGAGTTAACGGAAGATGAAGCCCGACTGTTATGTGACTTCAAGTCTGCAACAAGCTTATATAGTGACAGGCCAGAAAAAACACAATTACCTAATCGTATTCCAAATTCGAATAATCAACAGTCGTATATCCAGCTCAATATTCAAATTGTTGGTTGAAACCACCGTTACAAGTACGCAGCCGGAAACCTTGTAAATCGGTGACGTAGTGTTTATTAACCAAACACGTCCCAGATTTGTGGGAGGAGCCTTGGCCAGGGTACCCCATAATAGAGGGACAGTAGCAATGGCGCATCTATTTAACGAGCAAATAGGCGAATACCTTGTTAATAAAAAAAGTGTATTATTACATTAAACAATTTTTGCTTCTGATTTATTTTTGATCATCCGGACCAGTATCTGTACAACTGAGGAGACTCGAAGCTGACAGGCTTCACCAAAACCTCCTCTCCATTGGCATCACCTTTGGAATCTCTTTTCGAGTTATCATCGCTCTCAGTATCATTACTGAGATTCAAAATATTCAAAGAACGCCTTGGAGGACTCAGCAGCTGTGCCTTTGCCTCCTCGATTAGTTTCTTTGCTCTTTCAGGGTCGGTACTGAGGATGTCACAAGCACTCATCAGCTTAGTGGAGACATTCAAAGAAGATTTTGTCAGAGCCAGTCTGTCCACAAAGTTGGTTTGCTGTTGCCTCTCCAGTTTCTTCTTCTGAAGCTCAAGTTCGCCTTCGAGCTTGGTCAATTGTTGTAGCTTGATATCAACCAGATTCAATTGCTGGTTGACAATGGTGGACATGATTTTGCTCATCTCTCTCTCCTCATAGGTCGCAAACATATGCGATCTGGCACCCACAATGCCCATCGCTGTCACCGCTGCATCCTTTATATCAATCAAAGGATCTTCCTCTTCTTCCTTGGTGATCTCTTCCTTGCCATCGTTCAACTTCTTGGTCAGCTCTTCATCCATCACTTTGACTGCCCTCCTGGATGCAGCTGCAGCAACTTTGGGATCGACTAAAGCTGTCAAAAATGCAACCGTAGACATCACTGGATTGTCAGTTGACGAAAATGGCAGTTTTGGAGCGTACCTCAGAGGACCCAACAGCTCAGGGTGCTCTTCGAGAAAGCTGTCTTCAATTGGCAGCTGAAGAAACCTGAGAATACATTGCTCTGGGGTATGAGACCCAACGTGCTTTGAAATGGCGTTCCAGTCGCCTTTGTGCTCTTCCACGCCTTCCAACAGCTTCTTCAAGTCTTCCTCAGTCCAGCCGCTGTTGGCATTCGTAGCGGCAATACGCGGCCTCTTCAACGGTCTTGCTGAAGACTCTTTGCTTCCATTGTCATCAGGCTTCGATGGGGTTTTAGCCTCATCCTCCTTCAAAAGCGCTCTCACCTTGCTGAGGTCGGGCAATTCAGTAGAAGGCTTATAGCTCTGGAATGGGAACAACCCACGAGGCGTGTCGATATCCACAGAGTAGTCTCCAGTGAATGGGGGTTCCACTGGGATTGGTCTTGATTCAGGGTTGACCTGGTAATTTATCAATCCCCATTTGGTCAAGAATTTGTGAACCCTGAGAATCGTGGCAGCATCACCAATCAAATTTCTCCTGCACACGGTGTATGTGAGATATTCGTTGGGATTCAGTCTGTATGAGTTGATCATGAAATTTCTATATTTTGCATACACCTGAGGAGTCTTGTTCTTGTTGCGCCCATTGAAGAACTCCGCAAGGGATTGCCTTTCAATCTTGTGGACCCTGCTCATGTCGAACCAGGCGGAATATGATGGGATAACAATCGTGTGGGTCTGCTGGGTTACCACCTCCAATGGTATATCTGACTCCACCTGTCTCTTCGTTATGTGCGCGCTACCATTCTGTTCTTCTATGAGTTCATTTCCTGACATCGAAACATCTTCTCTTTCTTCGTCTTCTTCGCCGTTATCCGTTTCTCCCTTAACAGACGGTTGCAGAGATGGATCCCGAGAAGGATCCGCAGATGGCTCAGAAGGCTCGACAGATGGTTCAACGGATTGTTCTGCGGATTGGTCGACAGACGGCTCAAGAGACTGCTCAATTGATGGATTAACAGATCCATTCCCGCCTTCTTGTTTTATGATTTGGTCTGTTTCTTCACCCACGCTGCCCACATCTTCCATCTCTACATCTTCATCATCCTTTTGAAAGTGGTCTCCCTCTTCTTCCCCCTTTTCCGGAGCATCTGGTTGTACGCTCTCAGTTTCTTGCGGTGAGTCTCTTTCAGATGTAGGATCCACAGCTGGAGGAATTGCTGATTCTGATGGATCTGGATTTTGATCATTCGGTGGAGATAGCAAACCCGTTTCGTCGGGCACCGCCTCTCCAACTGACACATCAGCCTCTGCTTCCAACTGAGGCTCGGCCGCAGGATTTATTAGCTCATCAAAATTCTCGTTGGCTTCTTCTTCTGTGGTTTTCAATTCATCCAATGCGCCATTTTGCGCATCTGTCTCCACTTGGGGGAGCTCCTCTTCTATGGCAACTGGCTCTTCCTGAACTGCAAACTCCTCCGCCGGACGCTCACCATGAGAAGGGGTCAATGTCTCACTATCTGACATCTTTGGTTGTCTCTCGGGGATAGCAATTGATTGATTGAACAAAAACACGGGCAATTTTACGTTTGAGACACAAACGTGGGATAGAGGTCGTCAATCTATCCAATCCCGGGCAAATATTCTAGTACAGTAACTCAAGAGAACAACCTAACAGTTCTAGCTGAGCAGACGATTCCGATAAAAAAAAGCAGGAATTTCAAAGCTTAGACAGTCGGATTGGATGTTTATGGGCCTATTCCATAAATTGGCAAGGCTAAGAAGCATCTCCAACAACAAAGAGTGCCCAGGCGAAATCTTGTGCCACACACTATTTAGGTGCGTTCTGAGTAGAACGATCTATGAGGTTCAATAAAGAATAATTATACTTTACATTGTCACATTAAAAGTCGTTAAATAAAGATTATGCTTGCAACAGCTTAAGAAATTGTTGCGCCGTAAGCCGTTTTTCAGGATTGATATCCAGACAAGATTCGATCGCGCTAAGAAACTGGGATTTTTCACTCTGGAGCACATTTCGCATCAGATCCACATCATACCTACCACTCAGGATCATGGCACGCAATCTTGGCTCATATTGATGTTGAAAAGGCAAATTTCCAGTAATCATGGTATACACCATAACTCCGAACGCCCACATATCTGTTTTATAATCCAATTGGGGCGGTGTAGGTTTGAGGGTTTCGGGCGCCGCATATGGCAAAGACCCGATATGGCTGTCTGGTTGAATAGGCTCTTCCTTAGCAGTCTTGGATGGAGCATTGGATCCAATTGTTGCAGTCGTAATCAAGCCCTCAGGCTCGGCTGTGGTGGCTTCCGAGGAAACAGGTGCGTACGGCCGCCGGGCCAGTGTGAGAGAACTTGGTGAAGGGCCATACCATCTGTCAATCGAGGATATCCCAATGGGGTCATTATTTTGGACAGCCCTCTTGTTTTGCATCAGCCTTTGCAACGAAGTATGTGAGCTCCTGTCGTGGGCGATGTTTAGAGAATTTGAAAGGTCTTCTTTTCGGTCCTCGTGATGATCAACAGATTTGAAATTGGAGAAAGAACTGGACTTGTTCACCGGCTGACGTAAAGGCGAAAGGGCACTTGGATCAGCACTATCATAGAATCTTGCCATTCCAAAATCACAGAGAACAATTTTGATCTTCTCTTGGTTTTCGGAATCCAGATATCTGTCCATCAGGCAATTCTCAAGCTTAACATCTCCATGCACTATACCCAATGAGTGCATATACGACAATGCCTGTAAAACATCAATGCAGTACTTTTTTGTCTCGGTGATTCTCGTTTCCAAAAGAATAGTCGCACACTTTGAGTCTATCTCTCCCCAAAACCTAACCAGCTCGAAAAGGGTTCCACCGTGAATCTTGGTGGTGAGCGCAAAGATAGTGTTGTTTGCCTGTTTCCAGTTCAATAACGGTAGGATGTTTGGGTGGTGCAATAACGACCACATTTCAATTTCTGCACAGAACCTCGACCTAATTTCAGGCGATGATACGTTGATGATCTTCATGGCTTTGATCTGATTTTGGATGCTCGCATTGACTGCGGTATTGGTTATCTCCCCATTCGAGTTGTAGCTCACTGCCAATGAACTTCTCCGCGTGGGAGCAAAAGAAGCTGGATGAGATTCCACATAACTGGATTGGTGAGAAGCATCACGACTAGGTAATGATTTATCCACGGGGAGACAATCTCTTATGATTCCCCAAGCCCCAAACCCTATGATATTCCCAAGTCTGTAGCCCATTACCACACTTCCCTTATCGTTGATGTTATCGGGTTTGGTCTCAAAATCCAGACTCACACTCGCATGGCTCATACGAAATGCTGGAGACGTAGCTTTCGAGGAAACAGACTTCTTTCTAAATTTCGATTTGATCAGCTTCCCCAGATGCTCTCTATAGTTTTCATTGGCCGCTTCCAACGGTATCAAATCCGCCACGAGCTTCTTCCTTTCGGAAAACGATAGATCATAGAAGTTTGCTGGTATCGCATCTAGGATCCCTCTGTCGAATTTGCGTTCGGGACTGCTGGATGATTGGCCGGTCCTCTCGAACGATGAGAGGTTTGCTCGGGGTGACCTCTTGGGAACATGTATTGGGTGAACCTGGTTGTGAAGCTTGTTTATCAGAGCTGCTTCTCCTGTTAAAACAGAAGAAGCTGAGTTTGCGCGGGAATCCCTCGGACTGGTGTTCAATGAATCAGTGACCTTTTCAACATCGGTGCGGCTGTAGGTGAGGTCGTTGAAGTCAAATAAATGCTCCTCTTCTTCGTCTTGGAACCACTTACTAATGGAAGCTGCAAAGTTAAGTCCTGGCACATATTCATCTTGCATTCCATCGTACCCTGAACCGTTGGTATGGCTTTTGGAGAACCTCAAGCCAGAGGCGTCGTTCTCCTCTCCAGTAGGAGTTTGCCCTCCCGAACTCCTGTTCTCGTTGTAGTGCAGCGATTTCGATGGTCTGTACTTGAAATCATCATATAGTCTCACTCCTGTGATATCGTGGAAGTTTGCGCTCTCGCTTTCGGAGTATGTCCTAACCAGAGGCTTCTTCTCCCTCTCTGTCGAGCTCCCCAAGGTGGTGACGCTTTTGAGAGTAATGTCCTCAGAAGCCATACAGGTGTTGAGAACGAGAGACTCTGCGTGATCGGTGAGAACTGATGAAATAATAAGTTTTTGATATGAATGAGTTTGGCGGAGAGACCGTGAGGGTTGTAAATGACTGGCTTTCTGATCTGGACTGCAACTGGTATGATCACACACTGAGATAACCTATGAGATATCCTGAACTATGATGTGGAACAAGAATATCGAGGTGAAATCCCACAGTCTTACTCTCCTTATATTTCTCCCAGATGGAGATTTCGCGCTTGTTCTGTCCGATCTTCAGTGAGAGAGCTTAAAGTTCTCTCCGCATGACATGTTCTGTGAGGCTCAAGGAACCTTGCCCACCTTGGCAGTGTGATAGGTGGGCTGTCGCAGGCACGCCTTATTTTAATTGCTTGCCATACCGTAAGCTTAGAAATTGTGAGCTTATGTTGAAAAATATCTGTTCAAAGCATATCCGAGTTTTCAGACTATTTTTCGCGGCAAACAAGCTGCCTCCAGATATAGTATTTGAGCTTACTGGTCAGCCATAGCCAATGTTAGGTCCCACATTTACGCTTACCTCTGTGTAAGTATAAGCACTAGTTACATCCAGCCAATCTCGTCAGCTTGAATTTGGCTTAATCAACTGCTCAGACTAACAACTACCGTTAACGTTACTTCTAATCAATTAAAAATGGGAGGACATCCAGGTGCTTATATGGGCTGGTGGGGTTCGATGGGTATGTAATTTTTTTGATGAGGCAGTGATGCTTCGTGACGCTGGTTTGGAGACTTACTAACACTGGACAGGCTCCACCAAGCAAAAGGGTATCACTACTTACAGTGTGTCGCCATACGCACAATCTCCATTGAAGGGAGCTTTGAAATCTGCCGTGTTCAACACCTACAGAAGATCCAAGGCTCAAATCTTGTACATTGTCATTCCAGGTGTCATCGTTTGGAACATCTGGGCCAAGGCCAGAGACTACAACGAGTATCTGTACACCAAGGCTGGTAGAGAGGAGTTGGAGAGAGTCAACGTTTAAATGACGAAACTACCTCTTATTGGTTCCCGCATGTTGCATGTTTACGAGTATTTAAAGGAATCAAGTATGACATTGACTATACAGAAAAATCCGTTGTAGCATGAGTATCATTATACTATTAGTTGAAACCTCTTTCTTCTCCTTCTTTTTGGTATTCAACTAGTGGAGCACTTCAACGGTGTAGTCCTCCTCTAAAAGGCTCTATTTTTGACGCTTGTAGATCTTGTTCAAGAAAGCCGTGAGAACAGAGCCCTTGAAGCCTCTGCTCTCGTCAACGTTGGCAATCTTGGTTTTCAATTCACCAACAATTTTCTCCTCGTACTCGAGATAGAGCTCTTTGATGCCCATCTCGTTGAACAAGTCCTTACACTTCTTCTCAGCCGTGGCGTCCTTTCTGCCATAGTTGTTGTCAAGGAGCTCTCTCTGTTCTGGGGTGGCCAGTTTCAAAGCGGTGTTCACAACCCACGAACACTTGTTGTCCAAGATATCCGTTCCGATCTTACCAATATCTTCTGGCTTACCAAAACAATCAAGGAAGTCATCCTGAATCTGGAAGTATTCACCCAGTGGGATCAGAACATCCTGTGCCTGCTTCAAGTCCTTTTCACCACTGACTCCACTCATGTACATGGCCAAGGCAACTGGCAGGTAGAAAGAGTAGTATGCGGTTTTGTAAATGACGATGAAAGAGTGTTTGGCCAAGGAGAACTTGGACAAATCAACATGGTCCTCAGGTGCCGTGATCAAGTCGAGTAATTGACCAAGCTCGGTCTGGAAAGTCACCTCGTGGAACAATTCCAAGAGATCAACGTAGTAAGCGTCAGCCTTGAAATGGTTCTTCAAAAGAATGTAGATCACAGCCTCCAGCATGAAAGCATCGTTAATAGCAATTTCAGCAACACCATCGACTTTGTACCAGCATGGTTGGCCCCTTCTGGTGATAGACTTGTCCATCATGTCATCAGCAACCAAGAAGTATGCTTGCAACAGCTCAATACACCAGCCCAAAATGGCTACCTTCTTGTATTCCTCGGCCGAAAGGTCATCGTAGCTGGAGTAACCCTTGAGAAGAGCATACGTATCCACAACAGATATTCCACGGTTCAGTTTTCCACCTGGAGTGTTGTACTCCAAATTGCGGACGAACCATTGAATGGCATCCTCTGGCATACCGTGTTTCTTTAGCTCTCCGACCAATTCCTGGACCAAGTCCGGGAAAACTCCCAAAAACTTTTCCTTTGCGACTTTTTTGTCCATTTCGGTGTACTTTTTTTCGTTTGAAGAAAACCTGTTCCAAAAAACTCAAGCTATTTCCAACTAAACTCTACATCGTTCCGTTCTCGTCCTCGTTCGTTTAAGCTGCATTCGCGTGTCCTCCGTCGTGCATCGGGTCCAAAAAATATGCGCTATAGAAAAAAATTTCAATCTCATCTGTATGCATGAGATATGAACTTTTCTGAGAATAGCCTTTACAAACTCAGTATATAGGCAAATTGTGATGGCGAAATCATATTCCAAGAAGGTGAAGGCCAAGGTCACACCAGTTGACAAGCTGGCGGAAAACAAGCCTTTGAGCAACAAGGAGAAACGTCAGCTCAAGAAACTGCAAAAAGAGGTTGAATCTGAAGAAGTCCCAGAAGCTGAAGTCTCTCAGGAAGAAGAGGACGATGAGTCCGATATCGAGGCCATAGAATCCAGACTTGACTTGGATATTCTTGCGAATAGTGACGAATCTGATGATGACGAAAACGATGAGGATGAAGCCAGTGTCTCTGAAGACGATGACGAAGAGGTTGAGGAAGGTGAAGATGAAGAAATCGAAGAAATCGAAGAGGAGGAAGAGGAGGATGAAGAGGATATACCACTTTCAGACGTTGAGGTGGATTCAGATGCGGATGTTGTTCCTCACACCAAGCTGACGATAAATAACACTGCTGCTTTGAAAGAGTCCCTGTCCCGTATCCAGCTCCCATGGGCAAAGACGCAGTTCGACGAGCATCTGTCCATTGACTCTACCACTCCTGTCGAGCCCCAAATCAAAGACATTTACGATGACACAGAACGTGAGTTGGCATTTTTCAAGCAAGGTTTGGACGCTGCCTTACAGGCACGTACCAAGTTGCAGAAGCTGAAGCTTCCGTTTTCTCGTCCAATGGACTACTTCGCAGAGATGGTCAAGTCCGATGAGCACATGGAGAAGCTGAAGGCCAAATTGGTGACGGAGGCTAGCGAGAAGAAGGCCATTGAAGAGGCCAGAAAACAAAGACAGCTCAAGAAGTTTGGAAAGCAGGTTCAACACGCTACTCTGCAGGATCGTCAAAAAGAGAAGAGGGACACTCTGGATAAGTTCAAGTCTTTGAAGCGCAAGAGACAAAACAACGAAATAGACCAGGATGAGTTTAGCATTGCTGTTGAAGAGGCTGCCGCTGCCAAAGACGAACACGCTGACAGAAACAGAGGTAAAAGTTCGAGACGTGTAGCCAAAGACAAAAAGTTCGGGTTTGGAGGCCAGAAGAGGTTCAAGAGAGTTAATGATAAGGAAAGTTCAGCTGACGTCTCTGGTTTCAATGCAAAGAAAATGAAGGGAAACTCAAAGGCTCGTCCAGGCAAGAGTAAGCGTTCAAGAAGGCACTAAGGCATCCCAATTTTTCATCTTTTTAAGTTACAAATTCGTAAATACAATCTAATGCAGCTCGAGAGCAACATTCCATTTCCGATATTCTATTGTACACAACTTTTCATCCATCGATAATACCACTTTCCTTCAGCTTGATGATGAGTTCCTCGTCTATGTATTTCTCCAGGCTTGGTTCGCCGTCAATTCCCTTCCTCTTTCTCGTTTTGGTGGTGAAGTCTCTGGCCAACGATTGCACTGGCGCACGTTTCAACACCGGTATAAAAGCGTCCCTATCCAAAGGATTTCCTGGGACCAATTGCCATTTTTCAAAGGTGAAGAGACACATAGCCTGTCCTTGAGTTAGGAGTCTGATATCCGTCTCCAGACCAACAGAGTCTATCACTGGAACGTAACCTATAACTTTGTACAATGGCGTACCACCTATTGGGTAATCTCTCACGATCGACCCACGTCTTTTGTCCAAAAATCCTGAAAGCTTTTCGGCCACAGTAGTGGTGCAAGTTATGTCTACCTGATAGACCGGTTCCAGGAGCTTCGGAGAACTAGTCATCAATGCTGCATAGCATGCGTTTCTGGTCATCTGAATGATCTGGGCTCCATTGGACTCAATTGAGTTTGGAGAGAGATCTATGCTCATTATCTTAAACGCAACGTAACGAATGGGCTCGTCACATAAAGGTCCCTCCCTGGTGGCCCATTTGAAGCCTTGGATAATGAAATCCTTCACCTGATTCAGTCTCTTTTTATCAACTTCGTCGGGTAAAGTGTCATCAAGCAGTATGGTTGAGCCATTCTCGTCAGAACCAAACGCCCAAATAGACCTCGCTGCAAGGGAATCCCAACCGTACTCGTTTCTGAAAAACTTGGAGATCTCCCTTGTAGGTTGGGACTGAGAAATTTTGCCATTTTCAATGTCTTCACCAATTTTTGGATCCAAGGGCTCTGCAATAATCGACATTTTGTTCTTTTTGTTACTGGAATCCACCGTGATCTTGACAAAAGATGACTCAACACATGTTTCTGCAAGCTTGGTCATTGGGTCGCTCACTTTGATTTCAATATCGGTGTACAGCTTCCTGAGATCATGAAGAAGGCAATCCATGTATAGCTCACCGGATCCAAGAACAACGTGCTCACCGCTTTCCTCCACACGCACTTCACATCCAACATATGACCGGTTGATCTTTTTCAGTCCAGCAGTGAACTTTGGAAGGTCTGATGGATTCACAGGCTGAATGGCAACTTTCAGCACTGGCTTGAATATGTAGTTGAGTGGTTTAAAGATGAAAATGGGCTCTTCATCCGACATTATGCCATCCATGTCGTAGATGGTGGCAGTCTTAGTGATGAACGAGTCTATATCGCGTCCAGAAACGAGACCAATGGAACCAGCAGGAATTCCAGCAACTGGAATTTTGTATCTACCAACATTGTAAAACGTTTTCTTCGCATCTTGGTCCTTGAGATCCTCGTCAAAATCATCGGTATAGGTCTCCCCCAATAACACAATCTGCGAGTTCGCCTTCAAAGTCCCTGATAACACTCTTACAACAGCATAGAATCTCTCCGCATCACTTGTGTCAACAAGCTTTGCAACATACGCAATCAGCGGTCCCTCTGGATCACATTTGAGAACATTCCGGGATACAATTCCAGACTCAGGACCCGTGTAAGTATCCGATAACTTGTACGAAGCAGCTTCCTCTGGTGATGGAGCATGCTTCTCGATCATATCAACTAGTGCTGCTGAAAATCTTCCAAAAAAAGCACCACAGATATCTTTCAGGAATATCTGGGGATCTAACTCCAAAGTAGCCTTAGGAATAGAGTTGATATTAAGCGACTTTTTCAAAAACCTGTTGAGCTCCTTTGGGTCCTTAGAGAGAGAGATGGTTATGACCTTGTAGAGTGGTTTCAATATGAAGCTCACAAAACTTCTCTCCAAGGATCCAGTGTTGGCAGGTTTCTTTGTGAATCTCCTAGTGGTTGCTTCATAATAGACATCACCCCACAGCCGTTTGGCAAAGGCATCTGTATCCACTTGAACCCCCAGTCTCTCATTGTAGAGCTTAGCAAAACTCCTCAAACTGAAACAAAATTGTAGTGTGGATGATGCAAAGCACACATTTCCTAATGAAGGAGATATGAGAGCGTTGTGAGGATAAGAGCTCAAAAAGCCCGACTTTTGAATGTGTTCATTAACCTCGTCAATCGTGTGACGAATTTTGAGATAGGCATCTGCCGGAGGAATTCTCAGCTCCAGCACAAGTCTATCAATCTTGTTGATGACCAATAATATGGGCAGTTTGTGTTGCAAGGCATGTTCAATTGCAATCTCCTCGCCTCGTTGAAGGCCCTCCACCACGTCTATAACTAAAACCACAGAATCTGCCAGTCTAGCAGCAACAGCCAACTCATCGCTAAAGTTGACATGACCAGGCGCATCCATAATGTTCACAACCATAGAAGCGTCAGAAAGATCTTCTAGTAGGAGAGTAACAGGGGTCATCTTGACAGAGCATCCTCTTTCAACTTCGAGGATATGATTGTCTGTGTAACGAGGCGGCTTGAACGTTTTCAAGCTCTTGCTCAATTTCAAATCATGAGTTTCTGCTATCAGAGCATCGACCAATGATGTCTTGCCCGTATGGAGGTTTCCTGCAAGAACTATGTTGCGTACTCTTGATGGGATATTCGATATGTTGACCATGTACTCTTTCGAGTAGGTGGTGGTTGGCAGTTCTTTCTCCTCAATCTTGAACACCTTCTCTTCAATAGGTGCCACAATCGGCACGTTTATGTCTTGTTCATCAGAGGTTGCTATTATGGTCTCAACATCTGGTCCAAAAGTCTCGCTCATGGATGGGTAGAACTGCTTGTCCTCGTAGAGAGCCACGGTGGAAGACTCCACTTCTTCCATGGCATCATCGTTTTCAGAATCATCGCTGCCGGATTTGGGATGTTTGCCATTTGTCTGGCCTAGAACTTCCTCTTCGCTATCACTTGCTGAAGATGCTTCTGAATCTACAGGCTCGTTGATGAGATTACCAAATCTGTAGTCCTTGTGTTAGTAAACCCGAATTGGTTGCACATAGCTTGAAAATATGACTTACTCGTCATATAAATCATCCTCGTCCATTTTGACGCCTATTTTGCCTCTCGAATTTCAGAGCGTTGACTCTTCATTCATTACATCTCTAAATACATTCAATACTGAGGTCAAAAAAATATCAACAGTCACGTGACTTTTCAGGTAGCTCGAAGCTCTCTCCATTTTCATGATGAACAAGATCGAGTTAACTTCTCTAAGTTTTGACTAGGAACGGTTTTTAGTTCGCAAGCTTGCAGATATGATGCAACGCTTAACGATTTTTGAGGTGTCCGCTCGTCTGTTGGGACGTTCGAACACCTCTCTGCGGTATGCCTCCACGTCCTCTTCGCCTGTCCCGGAAGACATCCAGCATAAATACTCGGAAACCGTTCATTTGCCAACGTCCAGCTTTCCAAACAGATCGTCAAAGGAGTTGGTTCAGGACAAGTTGATTCCACAGACATGTACGGACCTTTACACGTGGAACTATGAGCGACCACTCAAAAACAATGATCTGAAAAACCTGTACATATTCCTTGATGGTCCTCCATATGCCAACGGTGATTTACACGTTGGTCACGCCCTGAACAAAATTTTAAAAGATATAACTACACGGTTTCAGCTTCTGCAAGGAAAGAAGGTATTTTACAGGCCAGGATGGGATTGTCATGGACTGCCCATTGAGTTGAAGGCTTTGGAGTCTCTTCGCAAGACGCAGCAGAAGAGAGAGAAGACATTAAAGAGCCAATTAAAGAAACTGGACAAAAATGGCACAGAGGCTCAAGAAATCGAAAAGGAGTTGTACGAATTGAAACACAAAAAGCTTTCGCCCTTGGAAATCATTCATCTGGCCGAGAAACATGCCCAGGATACCATGAAGTCGCAGAGTGAGACTTTTCAGAGGTTTGCCATTATGGGAGACTTTGGGACTCCCTATGCCACTTTACACAAAACATATGTTATTGATCAGCTCACTGTCTTCAAGAAGTTCTTTGACAATGGCTTAATTCAAAGGAAAGAAAAGCCAGTTTATTGGGGATGTGAGAATTTCACTGCCTTGGCAGAAGGTGAACTTGAGTACAATGAAAACCACAAGTCCACATCTGCTTATGTCAAATTCCCTCTTAGTTCTGTTTCCGAGAAACTGAGTGATATTCTTGAAGGAAAGAATGTCTCCCTTTCCAATGTGAGCGCATTGATCTGGACAACCACACCTTGGACTTTGGTTGCGAATAAGGCTATATGTGTGAACGACAATCTGGACTATACCTTGGTGAAAACACCTTCAGGTGAGTATTTGATTATTGCTGTTGATTTGGTCAATAGTGTTCTCAAGCTCGAAGGTGTTGATCATTCGCTCGAAGACGTTGTGTTCAAAGGTTCGGATATCACAGGCTCTACCTATGTGAATCCTCTCTTCACCACTTCGACCGAGACCTTCCCAATCATTGCAGGTGTTCATGTCACCAGCACTGCTGGTACTGGTTTGGTTCACACGGCTCCCGGTCATGGTAACGATGATTATCTGGTGTGTTTGAGCCACAACATTCTACCCTACAGTCCTGTTGACAACAGAGGTAGATTCACAGAGGAAGTTGACGTTTCTCTGCGTGATCTTCTCAAAGGAAAGGCTGTTCTGGGTGAGGGCTTGAAGTTGGTTCTAGACGAACTGAAAAATCGTGGTATGGCTCTGGAAATCAATCCTAATCACATACACTCGTATCCTTACGATTGGAGATCGAAAAAGCCCATCATCGTCAGATCGACCCCACAATGGTTTATTAACGTTGAACGCATCAAGGAGGTCACTTCTGAAGCTCTGGAGACGAAGGTTGATTTCTTTCCTCCTCGAGGCTCTAAAAGGCTCATAAGTTTCATCAATAACAGAAACGAATGGTGTATTTCGCGTCAAAGAAGTTGGGGTGTCCCGATTCCAGTGATATACCACAAATCATCTGGAGAGCCTTACTTGAGTGACGAGACCATTGGATCCATTATTGAGGGTGTTGAGAGATATGGCCTGAATGCTTGGTTTGACTCGAACTCTCCAACAGCAGATTGGCTACCTGAAACAATGAAAGAAAATTCAGAGGACTATATTAGAGGTTCTGATACAATGGACGTTTGGTTTGACAGTGGTACTGCCTGGAACGTGGCTTTGAAATATCTTCAAGATGAAGGTCTCCTCCAAGATGCCATTGAGAGGGGTTATATTGCAGACACAGTCTTGGAAGGTAGTGATCAACATCGTGGTTGGTTTCAAAGTTTGGTTCTGACCAAAGTGGGCTCTGCCCCAACAGGAGAAGACGGGCAGCCAAGGATACCTGTACTACCATATAAAGAGGTAATAACCCACGGCTTCACTCTGGATGAAAAGGGGGAAAAGATGTCAAAGTCCTTGGGTAACACTATCGGGCCATTGGCTGTCATTGATGGTGATAAGGCTCTCAAATTGCCTCCGTTGGGTGTTGATGGTCTGCGGCTTTGGGTCGCATCAAGTGACTACAGTTCTGACATTGCCATTGGGCCTACAGTGTTGAAACATGTGGGTGATACTTTAAAGAAGATCAGATTCACTTTCAAGTTTTTACTTGGAAATCTCGAGTCGGAATTTACGCAGAAAGATGTTGTTCCTTACGAGCAAATGGCCCCATTGGATAAGTATGCATTGTCCAAACTATACAAGTTGAATGCGTCTGCTCAAGCAGACTACCAGAACCACAATTTCTCTAAAATTGTTAGGGAGATCAACCACCATATGAATGTCCATTTGTCGTCGATCTACTTTGACTTGAAGAAAGATATTTTATATACAGATCCCCTCGATTCTTTTAGAAGAAGGTCGGTGCAAACTGTGTTCGTTGAGATTCTGAAGACGTATGTCTCGGTACTTGGTCCAATGATACCTATAATCACCCAGGAGGCATGGAATCACTCTGGTGAGCTAGTTCAGCAAGGATTTGACTCTCATTTCAAAGCAGGCTGGTACCAATTGCCCGATGTCTTCGAGAATGATGCTTTGGAAACCGAATTTGACGTGATCTGGAAGGCCAAGGATGCAATACAATTGTTGCTTGACCAAGCCTTCAGACTCGATAAGACAGTGAAAAACTCACTGGAGACTGCAGTGTATCTCTCCGCAGATCCGTCATCGGGAGTTTGCGATATTCTCAAACGGCATGAGCATCACCTGCAGGAGTACTTCATGGTTTCTCAAGTCTTCTTGAATCAGCAGGAAGCACTCACTGCAAGAAGTTCGGATACCACGATGCCTTATCATTATACCAGCGCGGTGGATATCCAAGGTGAACTAAATATCGCTGTCTTTAGAAGCGATAAACACAAATGTCCGAGATGCTGGAAGTTCGATTCTGCAGAGGAGAATGAGCTCTGTCACAGATGTGATCTCGTCGTAAATAGCAAAAACCCAACAGGTATATAGAACTCTTGTGAATATCAATTTGAAGCCACTCTCTTCACGTGGCGGATTTATTCAAGTTCTGTAATCTTTCTCGCACCATAGAGCCTATGGCTAAATCTGTTCTTGCTTTGAGAACTCTCAATTGAGGTTCAAGATCTTTCTTCAGATCTTCCTCGAGGCAGACTTTTCGTGGCTTATCAGTCTCATCCCGACTCAGCAAGGATTCGAATCCTTTCTTTGCCCTTTCTTCGAATTTGGAAAGAACCTCACGCTCCAAGTTGTAAGAGACGGCCTCCACAGTTTCGTGCTCGTTCAGCCTGAGAGTAGGAGGAGCTGTAAACCCTGAGACAGCATCTTTATTCACTGGATCATAATTTCTAAATCCAGTAGTTACTTCTTCGGTGGCTGTTTCGTCTTCTGGTATGCTGTCGTGGGCTTCTGCCTCGGTATTGGACCTCTTGACCTCTCGCTCTTCCTGAACTGAATCGCCTGGTGCCTTCCTCTTGAGTTTAAGAGCAAGAAGCCTTGCCTTCCTATCAGTTGCTTGTTGCTCCAAAGAAGACATTTGAATATGTTTGTTCCTGAGTGGATGTGAGGTTATGCAAAATCTATTCTTCATCAGGCCGGAGTATGCAGATTACCACAGCAGATGGTAGAAATTTCGATCACGTGACATCCATTAAAACTCCATATAAACACCCAAAAAACGGGATTAAACATTTAAGATATATAAATATAACATAGATGAAGAAAGAAAAGACCATTTTCTTTTCAATTCGTGCTTATTTGGATGGTGCGATAATTGTTAGTAGCATATAACTCAGCTGTCACCACCTTTCGTAAGTTGTACATTCTTGCATAATCGTGAGTTCAAGCTTAATTTTTGAAAAACAGAGTTTTTTAGATTTTTATGCAAAAATTCTTTATTCATACAAGTTCCAAACAGGATCATTATTTGCTTCTAATACTTCATTTCAGTGCCTTGATAAACGAATCAAGATTGTATTCCTCTTCGTATTGAGATTCATCCCACAGCTCCGATAGCTCACCCATTGCTGCTGTTGCATTCTTGCCCAAACCAACTTCATCGGGTAAATCTGGTTTCTGCTTGTCAGAACCAGCATCGTTTTTGTTGGCATACTCTCCAGGATCAATTGCAGAAGCAGAACCTCCCTTATCATCAACATCGAACAAGTCCAGCAATTGGCCGGTGTCCATGGAGGCCAATCCTGCATTCTGTTGGTTGACAATTGTAGAAGCGATATTCATCTTGAACTTCTGCAATCCCATGATTTTCTCTTCCAGAGTATTCTTTGTGATTAGCCTATAGACATTGACCACTTTCTTTTGGCCGATTCTATGCGCTCTATCCATGGCCTGAAGATCATTCATCGGATTCCAATCGTGCTCTACGAATATCACGGTATCCGCACCCGTCAAGTTCAAACCCAAACCACCAACTTTGGTTGTAAGTAACAGCACATCAATGGACGGGTCGTTATTGAACTTGCGCACGATGTTTTGTCTCTGTCTTGGATCGGTTCCACCATCTAATCTGAGGTAAGTCACAGAGGGCATGTATTTTCTGAGCAAGTCGTTCTCCACCATGTCAAGCATATCTTTCAACTGGCAGAAGATCAGTGCTCTATGCTGGCTGATGACTCCTTCTGATGGCACCATTTGTTTTCTGGAATCTAGCTGAGGTTCTGTCGCGCCTATTCCACATTCTTTGAGGAGGATCTGCAGCGACATCAACTTTGGGGCGTGTCTGATATCACGGATTCCCATGTTTGATGCAGCAAGATACTTCATCACATCATCATACTGCGGATGTTTCGGAGATAACACCAGGGCAGGATGATTGCACAGTTTCCTCATGTATTGCAACGCCTGGAAAATATGCTGTTTCCCCTCCTTCTGAGCCTCGGGCTCTTCTGTGTTCTTTTGCAGATCAGTAGCGACTGTATCCTTTTGCTTCTTTGCAAAATCCCTGTAAAGTTGCCTCTGCAAATCACTGAGGTCACAGTAGTAGTCTTGAATGATCTTAGGAGGTAAATCAGACAAAACATCTTCCTTCAAACGGCGCAACATGAATGGCAGTACTTGTTTGTGTAATGACTCAAGAGCAAGAGCACCTGCTTCCTGTTCTTTGGAAGATGTCTTTCCATTCCTGCTTGCCGCAATAGGCTTAGCGAACTTTTCTTGAAAGACTTTTTCGGTGCCCAAAAATCCAGGCATCAAAAAATCAAACAGAGACCAGAGCTCCAACACATTGTTCTGGATAGGTGTGCCCGATAGTATGAGACGATGCTCCGCCACAATCCGTTTCACAGACTTCGTCAGCTTTGTGGAAGCATTCTTGATAATATGTCCCTCGTCCAAGACACAATAATTGTAATCCTGACTGGACAAATGCTCGGCGTCGTTTCTAGCAACATCGTATGAGGTCACAACAACATCAACATCTCCCAGCTGGGATCGCAAGGCAGATCTCACTGAAGGCCCGCCTGCATAAACCAACACGCTCATAAATGGAGCGTATTGTTGAATTTCTTGTTCCCAGTGCCCTGTTAAAGATGGAGGACAAATAACCAAAGAAGGGAGCTTGCGCGAATCCGAAGATCCTGTCTTGGCGTGTACTTCTGCCCTCATATGGTGGTCACTAGAGACGATACATATAGTCTGCAGAGTTTTGCCCAATCCCATATCATCACACAATATACCATGCAGATGGTACTTGTTCAAAAAGGCCAGCCAATTGACACCTTCTTGCTGGTACTTTCTCAAAGTGGCTTTGATAGAAACAGGCAGTGCAAATGGCTTGATCTTCGAAGGATCCATCATCTGCTGGATAAACTCTCTCTCCCTGTCCCTGCCTTCCAACAACTGCTTTGGCATTCCTGGAGGATCAGGAATACCTGCTTCCAAAGGAACCAATTTGATGATAGAGGCAAACGTTGTGGTTGCCAACAGACGAACGTCGTTGTTGGAATCGCTCATCCTACCAAGGACTGGAACAATCAGAAAAACAACGTATGGCAGAATCTCGGCACCCATAGTACCTGACAAATGGTAGATACATTCGATCGCACCTTGGCGCTCACGCAAAACCCCAGCATTATTCAACATTGTCAAAACTTTCTCTACCAAAAAGGGGAAACCCAGAGTGGGAACAGTAGCACAGAGTGTCGCAAAACATTTGGCAGCGGAGTACCTAAAGACCGAGAAATCCGATTTCAGACATTCCAACACGGAGTCCAATCTGTCGAAGACTTCCTGGAACAACGATTCGTGTAAGTTTGGTGTCAGAGCTCTTATCAGACCCAAAGCATCAATGATAGACTGTCCTTGCAAATCTTCGATAGCAATTTTACCTTCACCAGAACTTGATTTGACAAGGGACAATGACTCCAACATCAGACCCTTTAGTTTGGGTATTTCAATGAATAGCTTCTCCTGATACATCTCCAATAAACCATTGAGAGCAAACTTGGCACCACGCGTCTTGATTTTGGCTGAGTGAACTTCCTTTTCGTGTCTTGCGATGTCAACAGCATCAGTCTTAGCCTCCTCCTTTCTGAGTGAAAGAACAATGTCAACGAAACTCCTATTAGGAACAAACTCTGGCACCTCCGATGTATCAACGCAGATGAAACCGCATAAATTCTTGATCATCTTATCAGAAGCACCTTGTTTTCCAGATTTTATGAGCTGGTATATGAGATGATCCACAGATTCAGCCGATCTTTTCTGCAAAAGATCTGACTCTTCCATTTTGATGCTTTCCATCAAAGACCTGATGACGGGATTAAGCTTTTTGGGGAGTCCTCCTAAGACAACAGAAGCACTTGCATGTGCTGCCAAAATCGCGTTGGACCTTTCACCCCTGGAGCTTTTAGCTTCTTCGATTGCAAATACGATTCGATGCTTGGCATCTTCCAGAGCGGTAATATGTGACATTCTAACCATTGGACTCAAATTCTTCAAGATCTTGGGGTATATTTCCTCTACCACCTTCTCCGCCATCTTGATATCGAAGGCGTCAGGACCGGCTTCAAGTTCACCTTGAACAACCACTGCTAATTGGGGCAGCTTATGAAAGGAGACCTTGCATTGTTCTGTTAACAGAGAAAAGAGCTGAAGACATTGCATCCTCAAACTTTTCAAAATCGGCGTGAGTTCACGGAATGCGGGAAGATCCTCAGGAGAAGCCAGAATTGAGTTGAGAAATGGCAAAAACGTGTCCACGACGTATGGTTCTTGTACTTTACCCGCATCAATCAAGCCACGGCCGTATTTTTCAAGAATTAAGCCCGCGAATAAACGAGAGGTCCCGAATACATCGTTCAACGCACACATGATATCGTTGAAGATTGGCTTCAGGTTTTCCAGATATGTGAACGAAGCCAAAGTGCGACCGTAGGCATCGGCTGCTGCGAGCCTGGTGCGTATAAAAACGTCGACACCAACAAGAGTCACGTCACCATTGTACATTGGTGCATCAATATTGACTCTCATATCGTACTCTGTTTCCGGAATACCTTTCTCCACCGGAACGGCACCGTTCGTTGCAGGAGGTGTTTTTCTCTTTCTTCCACGTTTAAACTCACCATTGCCATCAATCGAGTCTGTTGGTAATGATAGCGTGGTTCCACTTGGACGAAGAATCAAGGAAGAGTTCATGGCAAAGTTATGCCTGGCAACTCCAATAGGAGTCAGCACGAGAGATAGAAGAGGACTGGCGTGATCTTTGAAGATGACGTCCATGGAACTGTGGGTGTCTTTTTTGTTGATCTCATCGACAAGGCTATTGTACACTTCTTTTGAAAGATTCAAAACGTCCACATTCTGTTCCACCAATAAATTCTGAAACAGCAGACGCAAAATCTTTCCGTCCACCCACCCTTTTACACCATCATCTTGAATCGACAAGAATGCCTGCAGAGTTCGAAGTACTGCCTTTCTCACATTGGTAATAGAATGCCTTAAAAAGGGGTAAAGCCTTGGAATGAGGTGCTTGAAGTTGCGCGTCTCGTCAACCTCTGAGTCTCTCTTCATCTTGGCCAAGACTTCCTCATGAGAACAGAGTTTGGCCAGTAAATCCATGACGGAGCCAATAGAAGCAGACAAATCGTCCTTTAGTCCAGAGAGATCTGCCCAGATGGCGTTAACGATTTCGAACACGGAGTCCAGCTTGAGTCTGACAAAGTCTTTCGCTATAGGGATCAAGGTAGACGCTGCAACACTTTGGACATCATCGTCGGATTCAGTGAGCCCGTGCAACACCATTTGTATTGTTTTATCCAGCAACTCCGAGTGGGCAAACAAAGTATCGGTCCTTACACTGACAAAGTAACGGAGACCTAACATACCACCATGCTTGGCTTCCCAACAGGGTACAACAAGTCCAAGCTCGACAGGATTCTGTAGTACCAGCTGAGTCAAGGCATTGAACGTCTTGATCACAGTGTCATCAGGAAGATGGATCAAGAGAGCTGCAAGCGTTTGAGCCGCATTCTCTCGCACTGGAGCAATGACTGTATCTGAGACGTAGTCTCCGAAACGATCGATTGCAAAGAGAGTTAGCAATCGCACACTCAAATCTTCCAGAGTTCTAGTATTCCGTATATCGTTATCGGATTTTGATTGGCCACGTACGCGACCAGCGCCAGTGGCATGTTTCTTCAGAAGTTCACGAAGTCCCATTGTTGCACCGTGACGGATCTCCCAGACGTCATTGAAGAGGTCTTTGACCATGAGCTCAAAGACACCTTGGAATGGCCACACCCATCCAGTAACATTAGAGTGCTTGGACAGAATCGGAGATATTTCAGGAACTTTGTGCTCCACCACAATCTTGGAACCGTCTGCTTGATCCGTAATATCAACGTCTGCAACAAGGGCAAGATCCTGTTTGGAGTCTTCATCTTTTATGGTTCCGTCCTCGACGAGTCGTCTGCTGACGGAACTCTCAGAGAGATCAATTGCCTTGGCCTTATTCAAACCACCCTTTGCACTTGCTCTGGCCTTTCTTTTCGCCATTGCTCTCATCCTGGCACTCTGTGCCTGAGTCGCCGGCTGGTCAATCTCGGGCTTGACCTCCGATTTTATCTCCGATTTGACCTCTGGGGTATCGGAGTCAACCTGGGGTTCCGGAGAAACATCAAATAGACCAAGCCGAGACGAAAGATCTGTTTTCCTCTTCTTCGAGTCTGGCATGCCCTGATCCTCCAGTTTGCCATTGTAATCGTTGACTGCTGTGGCCAGTAGCCTACGACCACTTTGTATGACGTCAACCAGATTCCACTCGTCGAAAGAAACAAGATGACCGTCTTGGTCTTTGATCATGTCTTTCAGCTCCGCAACGGTTTCTTCAAGTTTCACGGGTACCAACCCATCTTTGGCCTCTTCTTTCACATCCGTTTCCTCATCTTTCGCTTGACCGGAGTTAGGATCCCACTGGTCTGCGTGGTTTACTATTCCACCAAATGCCTTAGCGGCAGAGACTCTAGTCTCCCATTTTTTGCTCTTTAGGAAAGGGTATACCCTCGTCAGCAGGTTAAGACATTCTTCGGGATGTTGCTTTGCGAGGTCAGCCAGTTGGTCGGCTGCGGTGTTTCTGATAAACGCAGATGAACCTGTGTCCAGCAAACTGTGGTGAGTTAGTAACCGATATCAAATTGATCAAAGTGAACGGAGCACAAGTGGAAACTCGGCGAACTCCAAAGTCACGTACATCACCAGCCGCTCCAGCCTGAAAATCATGTTAGTATGAAGTCCATGAGATCGATCTCATCCAATTGGAAAAACTCTATTCTAGCAACTCCAACAAGAAAAGCAGAGAATCAGAACACGTACCTCGACATTATGCGTATGAATCAAATGCGAATAGTATAAAACAGAACAAGCGTTGTATGAACAATAACAGCGGGGGCAGAGAAATGAGCGAACAAGGCAATTGGCAACTGCAATGAATTGGAAAAAAATAACAATGAACAGAAGATCAAATCAGAACAGCACAATTAACCTCAGCTCAACCTCGAGACCTTATTGTATGAGTGTACGCCGTTAAACAACCAACGCGTACTTGCCAGGTATGCAACTAACTGAAAAACGCACACAACTAGTATAGGAGATGGGATGGGGAACGGCTCTTCACGTTCCTTTATATAATCCATGAGAGTTGGCATGAGGCGTGTGCCCACCGTATTAGGTTGTGACGTGGAGAGGCTCAGTCTGGTGTCATTGTGCGGATTTCTGAATATTTTTTGAAAATTGTTTCATTATTTGTAAGTGGGTTATTGGATTGATTTAAACGCAAAAAAGCTGAGTTTTGCGCGTTTCTGCTCGAAGAAAGGTGAACTGCCATCTTACAGGCCCAACAGGCGCGTTACGCGCAGCGCAGATGAGAACGACGGAGAAACTAAACTGAGAGAGCAAGGAAGAGGACCACTCCGAAATATTCGGGTATCGAGTTTGAAATTTCAATGGAAAAGGCATCTGATTTCTCATATTCAGAAGATTTTATAGAGCTTTTTTTTTGCAAAATTCCCGAGATGCCTTACATGGACGTAGTTCTTTCTCCAGGCTGGGGTAAATAGGACAGACTCATATTTGAGCCGGCCCCGTCTATCAGGAAAACCTTAAAAGAGCAAGCGCTTAACGGCCATTGCTTAAAGCCGGAACCACATTGGCTAAACCCTCGTATTTACCCCCATTATCCCAAATATAATACCTTCAAAAACACAATATTTTAAACGTAATACGTTTATGAGGTCATAGTTTATGACTATGCTCAAACTATTATTTGCTGTAAAAAGTTAAATTCTAATCTTATATGCTTGTGTGATTCACCGGGCCGAAAAAGGCAATGACTTGGCTGAAAAATTCAGTCGGGCCTTCCTGCGTGACTAATTTAGAAGCGTGAGCAAAAAAATTTTGAACAGTCATCTTGAAATATATATACATCCCTCTTATTTCTTCTTTTCTCTTTCAGTCTTTTGGAGATAGAAATCTTTTAAAGAGTTTATTCAAAACCTACATTAAAATGTCCAATCCATACGGCCCTAACCCAGGCGATTACCTCTCCAACGTGAGAAGCTTTCAACTTATCGAGTCTACCTTGAGAGAAGGTGAACAGTTTGCCAATGCATTCTTCTCCACCGAAAAGAAGATCGAGATTGCCAAGGCTCTGGATGACTTTGGTGTTGACTACATAGAGTTGACATCTCCAGTTGCCTCCGAGCAGTCGAGACTGGACTGTGAAGCTATCTGCAAATTGGGACTCAAGGCCAAGATCTTGACCCACATCAGATGTCATATGGATGATGCCAGAGTTGCTGTCGAGACTGGTGTTGACGGTGTTGATGTCGTGATTGGAACATCTTCGTTCCTTAGAGAGTATTCGCACGGTAAGGACATGTCCTACATCACCAACAGTGCTGTTGAAGTGATCGAGTTTGTTAAATCAAAGGGAATCGAGATCAGATTCTCGTCGGAAGACTCGTTTAGATCCGACATCGTTGATCTGCTCAACATCTATAGAACCGTCGACAAGATCGGTGTGAATAGAGTTGGTATTGCGGACACCGTTGGATGTGCCAACCCAAGACAGGTGTATGAATTGGTCAAGACTCTCAAATCGGTTGTCAGCTGTGATATTGAATGTCATTTCCACAACGATACCGGATGTGCCATTGCCAACGCCTACACGGCGCTGGAGGCTGGTGCTAAGTTGATTGACGTTTCGGTGCTGGGTATCGGTGAGAGAAACGGAATTACCCCATTGGGCGGTTTGATGGCCAGAATGATTGCTGCTGACCGTGAATACGTCTTGGGCAAATACAAGCTCCACAAGCTGAGAGACTTGGAGAACCTGGTGGCCGATGCTGTTCAGGTCAACGTTCCATTCAACAACCCAATCACGGGTTTCTGTGCCTTTACCCACAAGGCTGGTATCCACGCCAAAGCCATTCTGGCCAACCCATCTACCTACGAGATCCTCAACCCAGCTGATTTCGGCTTGACTAGATACATCCACTTTGCCAACAGGCTCACGGGCTGGAATGCCATCAAATCGAGAGTTGACCAATTGAACCTGAATTTGACTGACGACCAGTGCAAAGAGGTCACTGCCAAGATCAAGCTGATGGGTGACATCAGACCCTTGAACATTGACGATGTTGACTCCATTATCAAGGACTTCCATGCCGATTTGAAACCAAGCGAGGACAAATCTGAGCAATCCGAGGAGCCAGAGGTCAAGAAGCAAAAGGTTTAAGCCAAACCCTTTGCCTTTGCTTTTGCGAATTGGTTTCTCTATTCCAATCAAAAAACAGAACAAAAAACTCAAACGAGCATGTCATTACGCACACATCAGATGATCGAACAACAGTTATTGATGTAATTTATAGTCTTACCATATTCGAGGAAAGTCACGACAAAAGGGGTATTTTAGGGATGTGAGAAGATGAGTTCTCACTAATTTTTAATATTGTTACCGGTTTTATACTTCACTGTTGCCGAACATAGAACAGTATTTGAACACCTAAATGTAGGCTACAACAACAACTGGTCTGTGGTAATGGTAATATAGTAGTATCAGCCAGTCGTGTCCGCCAAACAAATCTCCCAGATCTGGAAAAAACCCGTCACCTGCTCGAAGGCGCGTATATCCCAGCCCAGTCCAATTATTACACCGAAGACTTACCCGCGACCAAACACCTAGGGTCGTGTGCACAGCACCAAAAAACTCAACTGCGTTGGGGATGAAATATTTCAAAAGCTTTCTTCGACTAGTAAAAGCTTTCTCTCTTACATTCGTTATCAACAACATAAGTCAAAATGCCTCGTATGTCTTGATTTTTTGTTCAGTTATTCTGCATCATGATCACTTGAATAAGATTTTGGCAATCTTATTCATTTTATTTCTCGTTCACAGACTATGTGATAGAGGTTCGGGTCCTCGTTTAGAAGAGTCCGAAAGGGTGGAAGTCACAGGAGAAATCCTTTCACTTCTACCTTTTCAGAATCCTTTGAACATTTCCAACATTGATCTCTTCTATTATGAAAAGCTTATTTTCTTTGCTCTGAACTCCCGACACTTCAGTTGCAAAGCACTTTGGATGGATGTCATGGTACTTCGAAAGGTTTGACTTTTCCTTGAAAAGTCTTTCATTGGAGCACTATGGTACCTACGACAACGGTGACTAATAATGCTTACTGATAGAAAACTTCTATGTGTGGAAAAAAGGACTGGAACTTCGTAGAGTGTGATTGATGTAGAACTTCTGATTTTGTCTCTGAGAATGAGAATGCTAACTTTTTCCATCCAGTTGCCCCAAGAAACCACTCCAAGACTTACTCTGTCCCACAACGTCCTTACGAAATTGCTCGTTTGGACTCCGAGCTCAAGCTTGCCGGTGAATACGGTTTGAAGAACAAGCACGAAATCTACCGTATTGGTTTCCAGCTGTCCAAGATCAGAAGAGCTGCCAGAGACTTGTTGACCAGAGACGAGAAGGACCCAAAGCGTCTGTTCGAAGGTAATGCTTTGATCCGTCGTCTGGTCAGAGTTGGTGTCTTGTCTGAGGACAAGATGAAGCTCGATTACGTCTTGGCTTTGAAGATTGAGGACTTCTTGGAGAGAAGATTGCAGACCCAAGTTTTCAAGTTGGGATTGGCCAAGTCTGTCCACCACGCCAGAGTCTTGATCCAGCAGAGACACATTGCCGTTGGTAAGCAAATTGTCAACATCCCATCTTTCATGGTTAGATTGGACTCCCAGAAGCACATCGACTACTCCGTCACCTCTCCATTGGGCGGTGGAAGACCAGGTCGTGTTAAGAGAAGAAGCCAGAACAAGGACTCTGGTGAGGATGCTGAGGCTGAGGAGGATGACGAGTAAACTTGTTCTACAATATCATAACTTGTTTAAAAAGAATTACACCATTAGGATAATACATCAATGTGTGGCGTAAAGCGATATGGACTTCTCCATATTATATGCACAGGGTCTTTTGATAGGAAGAGTAAAGTAGTGCAAAAGCCAATCATGAGTTTCTCAAGTATATCACGTGATATATTAAAGGGCTAATACCCTCCAAAAAGAGAGATTTTCTAAATGGGGGTGATCCACAAGATAGTGTACGGCTCAGGTATTTGCATTGAATTTTTGAGAACTTCAATAGTGAAGCTTTAACACTCTTCGAACAGAAACTTTGTTACAACCATCTTTAACAAACATAATCAAAAATGGGTAAAAGGTATGTTCAAATGTGTTTATTGGGAGCTCTTGAAGCGAATCGTGGTCTGGTCTGTTTGAATTACCTAGTTGGTACCGCAATTATTCTACTTGGCCAGTCACCGAACGGTAGTGAAGAGAATGGTTGATGAAAAATCAAGACTGTGAAAGAATATACCAGGGTATCAAAAAGAAACTACCAAATAAAGATGCTGATGATCACGAATAATGCCAGCATGTGCCATTGAAATTTACCAGAACCGTCAGAAAAGTTTTCAGCGTACATTATTGAAGTTCCAGTGACCGGTGACAAGCAAAAGACATTTTCCAACCGTTCCATAACAACCACCACAATCAGACAAGCTCACCCTTTTGAAATCCAATCAGAACGTTCGTTACTAACTCTTTTAATTTAGTCACGGTTTGAGATCCCGTACCAGATACGCTTTCAAGCGTGATTACAAGACCAATGGTGTTATTGCTTTGTCCACCTACTTGAAGGCCTACAAGGTTGGTGACATTGTTGACGTCAAGGTTAACGGTGCCGTCCAGAAGGGTATGCCATTCAAATACTACCACGGTAAGACTGGTATCATCTACAACGTGACCAAGACCGCCGTCGGTGTTATCTTGTACAAGGTTGTCGGTAACAGATACTTGGAGAAGAGAGTGAACATCAAGGTTGAGCACATCAAGCACTCCAAGTGCCGTCAAGAGTTCTTGGAGAGAGTCAAGGAGAACGCTGCCAAGAAGGCTGCCGCCAAGGCTGCTGGTGAGGCTGTTTTGTTGAAGAGACAACCAGTTGGTCCAAGACCATCCAAGGTTGTGTCTGGTATCCCAACCACTTTGGCTCCAGCTGCTTACGAAACTTACATTTAAATAATCCGGCAAGAAAAACTGTTCACTATTGTTTAAACTACACTGTTTTTAGAGAGTAACGTACCTAAGGAAACATGGTGTCTTGTCATGCAAACACCACTGATACCGCCTATCAGTACATATTCTGGCATATCAGTCCTTTACACTGAAACTCGTAGTTATATGATGCAATGCAGTTTATTTCCTTTGGCTATCTCATACTGACTGATCTGGTAAATTCAGCGCAATATTCCTCGGGCGTCCTTTTTGAACTTGGCACGTTACTGCGGCGATGGCCTCTATTCAAACAATTTTAACAAGATGTCTAAAATTATTTCGAGGCTTCACTACACTGTTTTGGACCGAATACTCGAGGTAATTTGTGTGTTCAGGGGTTTAGGATTGATTTGGGTCGTCATTTATCGATAATTCCTAGGTATTTGGACGATGACAATCGAAAGGGACATCGAGGAATCGATACCTTACCTGGTGAGCGATGAAAAATCCGCCGAGTTCAAACACCAGGAGCCTACAACTCCGGATACGGTTAAACCGTGGGTTCATTTCGTTGCTGGTGGTATAGGTGGTATGGCAGGTGCTGTTTGTACTTCTCCGTTCGATGTTGTGAAAACTAGGTTACAATCAAGTGTCTACAGAGACCTGTACATGTCGCAGAATACGCAGGGCAACTTCATCACCAAGGGGTTGGGCCATTTTAGAGAAACAATCACGATATTGAGAGATGTTCGCAAAGTCGAGGGCTCGAGGGCCCTGTTTAAAGGTTTGGGTCCAAACCTGGTCGGTGTGATACCCGCAAGATCCATCAATTTTTTCACGTACGGCTACGGCAAAGATGTGTTGGTGGAGAAGTTTTTTGATGGAAAAGAGAATTCTGTGGTTCATCTGCTAGCAGGTATCAACGCCGGGTTTGTGACAAGTACGGCTACTAACCCAATATGGCTAGTCAAGACGAGACTCCAATTGGACAGAGCCACGAAGAGAGAGTACAAAAACTCCCTCGACTGCATTGCCAAAATAATGAGAAACGAAGGAATAACTGCATTTTACAGGGGACTGACTGCTTCATACCTTGGGTCTGTGGAGTCCACTTTACAATGGGTCCTTTACGAACAGATGAAAAGTATCATCAATAACAGAGCCGAGAAACTCAAGCAGTCAGGAAGAGAGAGGACGGCGATGGACTCTTTCTTTGACTGGTCTGCTCGTTCTGGAGCTGCTGGTGCTGCCAAGTTTGTGGCCTCCATGATAACGTATCCCCATGAGGTTGTTAGGACCAGATTGAGACAGGCACCTACCGAGAACGGCAAGGCGAAATACACTGGTCTGATCCAGTGTTTCAAACTAATAATTAAGGAAGAAGGTCTGGCCTCAATGTATGGAGGATTGACGCCCCATTTGATGAGAACAGTCCCCAACAGTGTTATCATGTTTGGAACATGGGAGGTGTTCACCACGTTGCTCAGTTGATGGTAACAAAATCCACATTTAAAAAAATGAGGGACACTTTCACCGCTTGTCTGCATGATACCCTGCCCATATCGATTTGAAATCTATAAATATCAACGTTTTCTGTAAATAAGAAAGTCTTATCTCTCTATGCTCTATAAACTTTTCAAGCTCATCGCTAAAGCTTCGGACGGTAACTACCCTCTTTTCCTCCACCATTAATGGTTAATGTCTTTTCGATTTGCTTTGAATAGCTACATATTGAATCCAGAAAAGCACAAGGAGAGCGTGGTGTTTGAAGATGACAACTTTGTCATCATAAAAGACGCGTTTCCGAAGTCTGTGATTCACTACTTGGTGCTGCCCAGGTCCCCCAAGTGGACCTCACTGCACCCTTTGAAGGCTCTCAAAGACGATGAGTTGCTTGCATTGTGTCTCGAATATGTGGAGATAGCCTTAGCCAAACTCGAGGCCGTATTCAACTCAAAGTATAGACATATAGGATCGGAGCCATTCAGCGTGCGAGACGATTTTGTGCAAATAGGGGTTCATTCAGTACCCTCTCTCAACAACCTCCACATCCATGTCATGACCAAAGATCTGTGCTCTGCCCGAATGAAGAACAAAAAACATTATAATTCTTTCAAAACAAGATTCTTCGTTCCATTGGAAGACATTTCCTTGATGGATAAGGACGATCCCAGAATGAGTCCCCGCCAAATGGAAGACACCATCAAGAATAGCGATCTTATTTGCCATTATTGTGGGGAAAATTTCAAGAACAAGTTCGCCTTGTTGAAAAAGCACATTGACCATGAATTTTCCAAAAGCTTCAAAAAATTGGGAGTGTGACAAAAATTATATCAATAAAGGGCTTTAATGATCCGATTTACTGTAATTATCATAAAAGTTCTTAAGATTGAAGATTTCTCAATAATTAGAAAATATCACTTTTGGCCTCTAATTCACCCTCGTCTTCGGACTCGCTTCCCACCAGATCGGGAACAGACTGTTGATCTTGTTCATCATAGTCATTTTCATCATCGTCAGATTCTTCTTCGTCATCGCTCGAGTCATCATGCTGTCTGTTTGGATTCCCCATCATCCAGATATCCACCGTAGCCTTCTGCTCCTTTCTTTCCTGTTTTTCCCTAGCAAGAGTCTCTATCCAATCTTCTTCGGCCTTCTTGACTGATTCTGCGTCTGTACATTGCTGGTATATCTTGATAATGTCTTTGTTGATCTTCAAAAACGTAGGACCCCATGAGAAGTGTTGCAGCAGGTCTTTGGCCCAATCCAGATGACCAACTATGGCAAAACATGCAGCCAAAGCTTCTACACAATTCAATCTCATGGGCTTACCATAGTTAACAGGATTTGCGGCCAGCAGATAGGGGAGCAGTCGCTCATGCTTTCCTCCGATCCTGTTGAAAGGTATCTCCTCAATCCTGGCCCAAGAGCATTCAACCACTGCCGCACCCTGGGTTTCCACGATCTCTCTGTCGTCAGGACACACAAGGCCTTGACCATTAGGACTAAGTAAAAAACAGTCAGTTAGTATACTATAAGCGCAAAGTTCTGGATTTGTCCCATTTTCAACTTACCTAACCACCACTCCCTGGAACTTCTGGCCTATCCTCAAGCTTCTGATCAGGCCCAATCTCTCAAGCTTTTTCCCGCTACACCGTTTGGGGTCACAATGGTCAAAATCCTAGTAAAATGTTAGTCATCTAGACCTGATACCCAGATATTTAGCTATCTCAGCTCAATTTTTTCTACTTACCCACATCGCCATCTTGGCTGGAAAGTTGAGATCTTTCTTCACAGAGTACTTGGTCTCCTGAAACCCTTTCTTGTGGAAAGTCTTTGAATGGTGTCCATTCGAGCCCCTACTGCTCTTGACCTTATCATCGTGATCTTTGTTTTTTCCCTTTCCCATTATAAGTGTTGTGTGTTGTTGTATGGGTAAGAATAGATTATTAACAGTAACGATGGAAAAAAATTGAGATGCGATGAGGCTCTTGGAGTGGCTCACCTAAGATAACAAGCTCAGCTTTCGATTACTTATAATAGTCATTTATAGGATATCCACACTAGTTGAGATAACTAAAATTTATGAAATATTGGAGATATCTCATGATTTTTTGTCTTTAATACGTTGCATTGAAATTAAATAACCAAATTCAAGATTGGTCACAATGACTTCTAGGCAGCATATGCCCCTGTTGTTCAACCCGTTTCTGAACGCAGTGTTCAACCATCCCAACCCGTCTGCATCGCCGTTGAAGAATGTCATGAAAGTGCTGAGTGCACATCCGGAGGATTATGCTTTGTTGGTACCAGAAAGTGAAAGTTTATGGCTGAATATAGAGGAGGGATCGGGAATACCATATAGAGACTTCTGCCACCATACGGAGTTCGTGGAAGCCCATGTGATTAGTCTGAAAGGAGTTCAACCGGGGAAATCGAACAGGCGGTTCAGAACACTTAGTGGACGCGAGGTGTCTATATACGATGACGAGGTCATTGGAATGAAGGGATTCCAGCATGGAGTGGTAGCCAAGATTGCATCTAAGGAGCTCTTCAGAAGCTTTTGTTCATATTTGCCATTTGGATCTAGATTCCAGCTATTTTACATAAACAGACCGCTAGTTGGAAATCCAATACCGAAAGGTGTGCCAAGGACAACCCCACCTGGGCTGGAGAATGCGGATTCCATCAAAGAGAGCCCCCCACACCATTTTGGCCAGACCCATCAAACTGACAATGAGGATGTCAAGTCGCTGGTCAGCGTCTTGCGAGAATCACCAACTTTGTCGCAGGAAATAAACACGAAGTTCAAGGACTTATTTCACGATTTCAACGTGCGAAATGTCGAACATGAAGACCAACTTGCCGACGCTTTCAACCACACTATGAAAGCCGGGGTCGCTATCTTCAACCAGGCTACTTTGAATGCCGACGAGATTGACAAATTCTTTACTGACTTTTCAAAAGCGCATCCTTTGCTGGACATTAACGAGTGTTTCTACACTTATATTGAAATGAACATCTACGACAAGATCTGGCCGCAGTTTAGAAGGGTCAGAAACGAGCATAACAGAGACCACGATGACATGTTGAATTCAAGCTACGAAAATCTTAACAGTATGAGTCTTAATCAGGTTGGGATCCCTGATTATAGTGCCAAAACTGCCCCTTTTACAGAGAAAAAGATACTGCAGGCAATAAACGAGTTCAAACAACTGCAGTTTGCAGACTGCGCCTGTGAAAAAAGATCAATCCTGATGTCTACTTTCCGGGCTCTTACTTCTGAGAGCTCAGAATCGCCGTTGGTGGTGGATGCAGATACTTTGGTTGGACTGTTAATCATGGTGATTGTACATTCCCAGGTCAAGGATCTCCACAAACACTTGGCCTACATCAAAGAATTCTCATTTGTGGTGGAGGATCTAGAATCGGGAGTAGATGGATACGTTATCTCAACCTTTGAGGCAGTCCTGGGTTATTTGAGCGACAGCCAGAACTTGAAGAAGCTGATATCCCATTCCAAGGAGAACGCAGAGTTATGGGGTCTGATCAAAGCAGCATCTGCTGATCAAAATGTCAATAATGATGCTAACGATTCGTCGCATGACAACGAAATAGCTAGTCAGATAGAAAAGCTACTATTGCCATTTGAGAATGGAAATGTTACTACGGATTCCTTCATCCGGGCTCGTACCCTCCAGGGTGAGTCTTGCTTGATGCTGGCAGTACAACAGAATAACAGGCTTATTTTTGAGACACTGATCAAGTTTGAGAATGTCTTCACCGTGGATGATGTTTTAGAGGACAGAAACATCTTCAATACGAATCTGTTGATGGCTGCACTACAGTGGAAAAATAATGAAGTGATTGACGAGCTTGCCGACATCTTACTGCAAGCCACTGATGAAGAAAAAGTGGAGTTTTGCTCCACGCAAGATACACATAAGCGGAATTTGGGCCACTATCTCATCCACAGACATGAGCTGGTGGAGGAGTTGGGTACCTACATTGATTGGACTGCGACAGATACCAATAAACAAAGTCCTTTCTTTGCAATCACACGGTGCTATGATCATCCCTTTTACTTTGAACTCCTACGGGCCACAATAGAATCGGTGAAGGCATGGTACGACCTTCATGGTCGGAGATTCGATTACCGAGACCACGTGGATCTGAAAGGGAACACCATTCTTCATGCCCTTAAAGACGGAAAGGTTCTTGAATTGGTTCTGAAGGTGTTTGAGTTTGTAGACGTCAATGCACTGAACTCGCTCAAGTTGACCCCACTGATGGTGTATGTGAAATACAGTCGTTTGGAGAATATCAAGGTTTTGCTCGGAGACTCCAAACTGGACATTAACCGATACGACAATAAGTATTGTCTCACTGCTGCTGATTATGTCAAGATTGATAAGGGGAAACTAATATCGGATGTTGACCAAAAAACCACAAACGAAAAGATTGAGGAACTACTTGACTACACGTTCTTGAAGGAGAACATGCCCTGGAATCAACCTGGGGCCTTTGGTACTGTAAGAATGAAGTACGATTCCAACCACGAGCTATGTCTTTTTTTGAAAAGAATTTCCTCCAATAGCGAAGCCCATATTTTGGACTCAGCATGGCACAATTTCTACGATTTCAAGAAGACCTTGAGGCTGATCAAACTTGAATATCCTTTCACCTTCTTTGGAAGCTCGAATGAATGGTTTCCCAAAGTGCTGGATGCAACGCAAAAACCCAACATAAACTACTCTGCTCGCTTCAAACTGAATTATCACCAGGAATGCATCAACACCATTACCTGTTTCCTTCTGTTCAACCCCAGCACCGCTCAGAGTGCAACTTTGCGAGAGTTTCTTCTTACCTCAGGTCCAATCAACGAGGCAGAACACATGAAAAGACTGAATTTGGCACGGAAAAAGCAGGCTGAATTGTTGCTATCGGATAAGGCTGATCACACCAAGCTTCTGAAGCCAGACAGTTTGGGAGACATTCAAACTTTCATGAAATACTCTCTGAATGAAATTCTCAGCTTCAAGACGGTGTTTGAGAGGATTTACCGTAGCCTGGTGTTCTATGAAACGAAGGCTCGCGATCTTTCAACTTTGAGAGGCCGGATGCTAAGTTTCGCCTCAGGCGATCCGTCCTCTGGAGACGTATTGTCTCATCTTGACAAGCTGCCGGTCCAGTTTTTAGCAAGCCTGCAGGATACTTTGAATGTGGTTTCTGATTGGGAAGGAACCTCCCTCTGCTCGCAAGATAAGTTGTCAATATATGTTTATTATCTTGCAATAGCCACCACCGAATTGGTATCGTCTATTGAGCATTTCATCAACACCCACGTCAGCCGTTGGTGGGATGTTTACAGTGAATTACTGGGTTTGAACGAGGAATTATCGAGGTTAAAACAGATAGACGAGAAGGCACGGAGCAAAAAGCCGACTGGCGAAGATTCCAATGGATCTGCGTCCGAAAATGATACATCGCTGAGTCCCCTATCTTCGATATCTTCATTGATTGGATATATGTCGGGGTCAACTGTCAACGATGTATCTGGAGATGGTACCGTGATTTCACAAGTTAGCACAGAGGCCATGGTCCCAAAGAAAACTAGTGATCCCTTGAGTGGAAGCTTTTTGGCAGAAATCATAGCTGGTCGCCGACAGAAGCACTCCAAAAGAGTCATGGAAAAGCTCGAGGCTCTCCAGAGTGAATTGGCGGTCCTGAGTCCGGAAATTAAACACACTCACGAGAGTCTTGCGGTCGAGATCAGCAACTATTACATTCTGAAGCAAAACGTGATGAAGCTGATGCTGCAGCAACACGCAAGACAGAAATTGCGGGATCTCAGGTTCAAAAACTTAGCATTACAAAAAGGGTTTGAGGATTTTAAGAGAAGTTTTATATAGACATGCATGAATAGAAGCTCCCATCATTAGCATGGGTGTTTTAAACTTATTGAGAATTGTTGTTTCCACCCATGAAGTTCTGGAACATGGGATTGTTCATAATGTCACCTAGGCCACCTTCACCTTCTCCTCCCGCACCACCAAGACCGAAGCTCTCTGCCATCTGTCTTACTTGAGGGTTGCTCATCAGGTTTCTAAGAGCATCTGGGTTCTGCATCATTTGCTGAGCAGCTTGCATGATTTGTGGGTTGTTCATGAGACCAGCAAGACCACCAGCACCACCGGCACCAGCACCAGCACCGCCAAACATGGAAGCCAGATTACCAAGGTCAGGAAGACCCCCAGCACCAGCACCTGGAGTTGAGGCACCTGGAGTAGAAGCACCCCTACTGGCAGAATCAGTTGGGGTTATCGAAGACGACGCCTTCAGCTCATCCATAACCTTCTTCTTGGCAGTCTCGTAACCTTTCTTCATAGCATCACTCTGTTTGTCACCCTCCACCTTCAAACCTTGCTCGTAAGCCTCCATTGAAGCCTTAGCATCTCCAAGCAGGTACTTGGCCAGTCCAAGTCTGGAGTAGGCCTTCGCATAGCTTGGCTCGCTCTTGATTGCGGCCTCAGCATCCTTCACGGCGGACTCATGGTCGTGGAGGGAAGAGTACGCGGCAGCTCTATTGGAAAGGTAGACGGCATTGGTTGGGAACAAGTTCAAAGCCTCGGTGTACTTTTCAACAGCACCCTGGAAGTCTCTGTCACGCATAAGAACGTTTCCCTGGGTCTTGAACTTTTCACCCTCAGCCTTCAAATTGGCCTCGTCTGCATCGATATGCACTGGGACTGCTGATGAAGATGGGGCTGCTGCGACAGGCACAGGAGCGGGAGTGGAGATTGACACGCTCTGAAGGAGCTCAACAAGGTCCTTACCTCCAAACTTAGAGTCAACAATTGCCTTCTGGGTAGACTTGTCAACCTCAAAAGCATCTGCAATGCAGTCGACGGCAACATCCAAACTCTCCTCGAAATCGGGAGCAACCTTTCCCTTAGCACTCTGCAAAAAATTTATCACGGCCAAAGCCACATCCTGGTGTGAAACACTCATTGTAAACTTTCTGAAAAGAGCTTCTATATGAGATCAGGGAAAAAGATCTGGGGTGACGATTTATTCTGATGGCGAACGCGGAGATCAATCGCTTCCAGACGGTTCTACAGATATTCTACAGACACGTCACATAAATGGCAGTCCCGATAAGGCTGTGATATCGAAAATGGGAACTGCATGCTAAACAAGATCTGGTGGAGTTTATTCGGTTGCCGAGTCGTTTTCATTTTCATTTTCGTTTGCGACTTCGGGGATATTTTCCATGTCGTCCTTGAGGGGAGCATCTTGTTCGATTTTGGTGCCTGTTGTTTCCCCTTCTGGCTGTGAGGACTCCTCCACACCAGCCACAACATACTCCGCAAAACTGATGGACCGTCCACGATAGCTGAACTCTTTGTTCCCCTGCTTCACGAGATTTGTTTCAGAGACATGTGCTGATTGATCATAGATATGTGTGTCATCTTTGTCGTCCCTAACGGCCTCAACTTCTTTGGTGCCTGTCAGATCAAAGTCCTCCAAAGTCAATGTGCTCTGAAAGCAAGAATCACCCAGCTTGAAAAGATAATCACCATCTTTGCTCTCCACCAGGTACCGGACCCACGGGAAACTCTGGAAATGAAGCTGAGGTTCATCGATCTTTAGATATTCCACCTTGAGACCAGAGTATGTCATCGCGGTCAACTCAAATGACACTCTCACCAAGTCCTTCTGTTTGCTCTTAAGAGACTTCTCTTTTTGATTGACAAGATCACCCAATGGCTTGGATAATACGACTGGTGAAAGCGGAACCTGTATCTCAAAGTCATCGTGCGCACTGGTGTCCGAGGAATGCCGATCTGCACGTCTTGACTTGTGCTGATCAGGTGATTGAAGCCCTTCTTGACCTCTGAGCTTCATGAGCTCGTCTTGAATTTCAACGTAAAAAAGAGCATTTTTGTCCTGTTTGCCGTGATATTCGTTATCCTTCAAAGTCTTCAAGAAGGAATCTCTGGTCATCAACTCGAACTCACAGAGCATTTTGAATTCGTCAGATGTCTCGCTTGGTTTGATTCCACCATCCAATGACGGTATTCTCCATTCCACCGTCTCACCTTCCAAGTTCAAAACGACATTTCCCAGCTTGGTCTTGAACTTGGGATTGACGTTATAATTGATTAGCAATGTGGTGAGATCTTTCAATTTTGGATCAGAGCACTGTATCTGTCTCACCAACAGAGGAAGCACCACATTCACCTTCTTCATGGTATACTTCCTCTTGAAATTTGTCTGTAATGATACAGCAATCTGCAGCTTATATTTTGTCTGCGTGGTCTTCTTCTTCATGCTTTTGAAGATTTTGTAACTTGGTCTCACCAGTATTAGAGGTTTTAAAGCTTTGCTGCTGCCTGTAACGATCTGATAATTCAGCAGCGTGAAACCACCATCCGGAGGAATGAACGAGATCGCATTGTTCGTCGCAATATGCGATAACTCAACGCACTGGTGAAAGTTAATGTTATCAAAAACGAGTTTGTTCTTGGTGGTCTCATCATCTGCACTGTAGAAGTTCGTGAGCAGTCTTTCGTTGAGGCCCAGAGTCAGCGTAGGCATACCAGATAAGTAGCTTCTGCAATCGACGCCTCCAGAAATGAAGTTGACCATGACTTCATCGGTTTCTAGGTTATACTGAAACCTCAACAATTCGTTAAAGTTGATGAAGATCTCGTTCTTTTTGTAAAAGATACCTTTCGGCCTCCATGAGATCTTCGTCGTTGAGGTTCTCGAAATGCTTGAGTTGATAAGAGTTGAGGTCGTAGTGTCTACTTGTTGCTGGGCACTGGTCTTCCTCTGAGTGACGGTCGAGTTGCTTCTCTTCTTCAGAATCGAACTCTTTGCGTCATGCAATCCGTCTTCGTAGTCGTTGTTTTCGGCAGCCGAGTCTTCTCTGTGATGCAGTTTGATGTACTCTTTGAGAATGTTAAACTCAGTGAGCTGCGGGACCCCGAAGTCAAGTATCTCATCAAAAAGCTCATACACCAGTATGTAGTTCTCTCTTATAATGTCACCGTTGACAACGAAGGAGCCAGGATCGTCAGCTTTGACTTTGAGACCGAGCTTCTCCATTCGGCTCCGAAAAACCCCGAAAGTGATGAAGTAATCTTTCAAGAGCCTGGCAAACTTCTGCAGAAAAGAAGCCAGTGTCATTATGTTGATGTTGTCGAAACAGACTGTCATAATGATTATCTCGTCATAGCTGAGATAAACGAAGTTGAAACCTTCGTGATGAAGAACTGGCGAAACGATGGGAGCCTTGGCAAGCGCATTTTTGAATCTCGCCACCACTGAAGAAGAGTCGAGATCGTATTTGTACTGTCTTGAGATCAACTGGTTCAGATTCTCGTCGAGAATGTAGATAGCTGATGCCATTGGGCCAGTGATCTACGCCAGATACACCAAGACACCGGGAAGAACTCGCAGCAGGTCAACGTTGGCCAAGTATGCTCAATTGATCCAAGGATGGGAAATGTCCTTTCCAGAGTTTATTTCTTGGATATTTTCAGTGCAATGGCACGGGTTCGATTATTGAGGATTGAATAGATAACGTGTTGGAAATGGCAGGGCTCGTTTCGGGTGCTCATCTCGGGCTCTCCTTCTACTAAGGCCCGATTACTTGGTGATAGGGCCGCACAGAATGGTGAACATAATAAAGCGAGTTGGGCTCGAAAAGTTGTCACAGGCAGAGATTCTGCTCAAATTGACAAAGCTACAGGTTGATTCCAGAACTGTGTGGACTGGAGTGCAGACCAATGGAGATGCCGTGGACTGTCTGAGTGGAGATTTTCGATTCAAGAACTTTGAGGACACATGGGTAAGTTACTGTGGAACTTTCCTGCCGAAGAATTGTTACTAATATCAGCTTCAAGTCGTTTTTAACATTGGTAGCCATGAGGTCCCATCTCAAGGGACACCATCCTACCATCACCAATACCTATAACAGGGTAAAGATAGATCTCACTACCCACGACGTGAAGGGTCTTACTACCATCGACTTTGAAATGGCTGAAAAATTCCAGGAGAACTTTAGGAAATTCCAAACGAAATCAGATAAATAAAAATTCCTATGCAAAAACTATTGAAACTACAAAACGCCGTCACCTAAACGTGGTGATGATGAAACCTATCTGGTTGCTGAGGAAGCCTTCAACTTGGCCTCCAACTTCTCAAACTCCTGGAGACTCACCTCTTCCTCCAAGTCAAGTATTGGCTTTACCTCATTGACCTCCTCAACGTAGTACTTGAGCATACTCTCAATTCCATTCTTGAGTGTTTCCTCACTCAGACTGCACGATTTGCACGCACCCTTAAGCTTGATATACACGGTTCCTGTGTGGGGGTCGAAAGATCTGAAATGCACATCGCCACCATCATCTTGAAGTGCGGGTCTGATTCTCGTATTAAGCAATTCTTTGATTTCGTATGTGACATCGTCGTCCTCGTCCTGGGGTTCCTCCTGGGTGCGTTCCAGCTCTCTGATGTATTCTGTGGTCAACACTGGAGTTTTCTCCTTGAATGCAGTTTCCAGAGTATCAATGATCTTTGGTTTGAGAGCAGGCCACTGCAGTTCTGGGTTGTTGGACAAATCGTCTTCCACTTTATTAACTGTGATGAAATCAGGACCGATCAACAATGACATCACCCCGTTTAACTTGAACAGGGATACCGCCAATGGCGACTTATCAGATGCGGCAGGAAGATCTTCAACGTCCACAGAATGATCCACTGATGGAGGTAAGAAGTGGTGATCTTTGACGATGAACTTAAGTGAGTTCTCGTTTGGAGTGGTTGCAGTCTGTATGCTCAACCATCTTGCTGCCAGGGTAAGTTTTGCGAAACGCGGAAATGCGCCCTGGAAACGTGGAGTTAGACTCCTGGTTAAACTCAACATGTTTGAATAACACCAAAAGTATTGAAAAAATGAAGTACTGGAATTATATCTTAAAGAAGAGCAAACATAAAGGAATGCACATTACTACCGCACGGTCAGTATCCGGTGGGTCAGTTAAATTTTGGCTTTTAGTCATCTCACATTTGGTCGTGCTAGGAACCAGAATTGCCCCGAGATCGGAGGTTCGGAGTACTGAAAGGAGTCACAAGCCACAGGTGGCGGGGCCTCTTGTACCTTTCAAGCCTGATCAAATTGGTTAGTGCACCAAAATATAAAGAGTAAGAGAAGATACGCACTTCTCGTGCCTTCTGTCTTGTTCTGCTATATAAAGCACCCACAATTTTGTTCGTCGTTCTTTATTCCAAATTGACCTTGGTATTATTATTGATCGCCTAGTCTTTTTCACGCTATCTTAGAAAAATGAGCATACGAATCAATGCCCCAAGATACACCTTTCAAATCACGTGATTATTGATCGTGCAAGTGTCAAGCTGGGTGTCAAAGATGGTATCAGAAAGGGTCTTTGATACGGGTTTTAAGCGTTGCGTGCTACATACTCCATCAATCATTCTGTTCTCAGCGAGGTTAGGGAAAATTTCCCGGAAACCATGATCAGCAATATAACGCCTCATAATGCTACCCATACCTCACTCTCGTTATTGCTTTTCCTAGTTCTCCTTGTATCTCAGAGTCTGGTAAAGGCATCCTCTCCTAACGACGGCCCTCCTACCACTACGGTGATTGACATTTTGTCTGAAAATGCCGAGTTCAGTACATTTCTGTTGACTTTGCAGCGGAGTGGGCTCATTGAGTCCGTGAATGACCTGGCGAACTTCACTCTGCTTGCGCCAATCAACAGCGCCTACAGCCTTGATTCCGTTGCGCTTGCGCCAAAACTTTCGCTGCACGATCTCAATCGGTACATAATCTCCGAGCCTTTGGTATCATCGGATATAGCCGGTGTCAAAATAAGTGCTGATATGAACCAATCACCGATTTTGCTTGACTACACGACAGACATAATGATGATAGACCAGGCTACTGTTGTGGAGGCCGATTTGGAAGCCCGTTCTCAGGACGCTGTTGTGCAAGGAATCGATATCCTTCTACAAGAACGACCAAATTTGTGCACTGTACTGCGAACATTGTTCGATGGAGAAGAGACCAAGTCATTCAGTAAAATCTTGGGGTCTGACTGCTTGACTTTGGAGAATGTCACGGGACTGATACCTCTAGATTCGGTCTCTCTTTTTGATGAGCACGAGATCTCGTATCTTTTGACTCACGAGGGAAAGGAGGACAGAGAATTGTTTTTGAAAAGCCATTTTCTAAAAGGATATATTGGAGGAGTGCTGGAAGGAGATGAGAGTACCTACCAGGATTTACTGAACCAAACGGTTCAAATACGGAGCCATCAAGGTGGGCAATTGATCCAATTTGAGAACTTCACCACGGATCTGACAAACTATCCTTCATACAACACACTGCTCCACTTTTTCAACGAGAGCATACTCCCTGACCTGGTTCACATCACTCCAAGGAAGTATCTGCTTGGGCTGAATCAGTCGGATTTCGTTCAAGAACTGGATTTCAGAGATCTCTCGTACTTGATTGACGATTCAAGTATCAACCAGACAATCTTTGTTTATCCCAGCAGTGAGGATAGCGTGAGAGATATAGGCACCATGGGTGTCCACAAAAATAGCCTGATGTACCAGTTTGTCGGGGAAAAGGTGGACATTCATACTGATAGGTTGGTAGATTCAAAATTTTGTGGTGGAAAACTGGGCAAAAATTGCCAGAGAATCAAGATATCATCTTTTGGGGATGATGGCAGCTTTTTGAATAATCACGTCTACGTTCACCACGAGAAGTACGAGGCTGATAACACAGTCATTTATCTCATCGACGACAATCTGACACTACCTCCTCGTTTGGAGGTTTCAGTGAGCCCATTTCTAGGATGCTCGAAAGCATTGAGGTATTTGAAGGATTTTAGTCTGCTATCGTTGCCGGACAACAAGCAAGGCTATACGGTGTTTTTGCCCTGTTACGATTCTTGGAAAGATCTTGGCCTGACATTGAAATACCTCCAGTCTAACTCGACGGCCATGAAGATGGCTATGCAAAGCTTGGTGCTGAACGGGTTAGTGTATAGTGATTTCGATGGAACTTCTAACCTGACCAGCATTGGCGGGTCAAAAACCCAGGTGAAGTCATCAATTAAGGATGAGTGCATGCAGATCAACAACGTCAATGTTCAGGTTGAGCATAACTCCGATGTTTTGTTTGCACAAGGTGTTGCTCATGCGATCAACAAATTTGTGTTTCCAGATGATCTAGAAATCACCTTGAAGAATCTAGTGGACTCGACCGACTCTGAGCTGTTCTCCAAAGTAATGGAGCTGACCAACTTGACGTATATTTTCGATTCAGGCCAGGACTACTCATTGCTTCTCCCCACATCGAGGTCTTTGAAAATTGACAACATCACCACGACTAGAGATATTGACTATCTCGAAAAGCTGGTTAAGCTGCACATCCTTCCAGGTGATGCTGCCGAGAAGCTGAGAAACTGCGAGTCAAAGATCCCAACGTTGCTTAACGGAACGCATCTTTCTTGCAGAGAACTGTCCACTGGCAACTACATGCTGCAAATAGTTGAAGGATTAGACCACGAAGTGCGGGTCCTCCAGCACGGTTTTACAACCTCGCCGAATAGGACAGGAATGTTCTTAATAGACCGGCCCATATCGCCGAGATGGCTAGAGAATCCAGATGGTGATGGGAAGCTCCGTATTCATCTGCCTGGTTTTGCCATCGCGATCGGTGTCATTATCGGAATGATTACTTTGCTTTTACTCATTTTATGCTGCTTAGTGCTGTCTGCAGGCAAAAACAAATCATTTGACGATGATGATGGAGAACGAGACCCTCTGGTTTCGGGAGCTTCAACTATTCCTGGATCACCACGGACTCCCCGGCCATATGCTCAACATAGACACGGACAGGGTAATAGACAGTATGGTGCAGCGACGACAATCCAGGAAGAAATCGCCGAAAATACCGCTTTCAACGAGACAGGATATTCAGGTAATGCATCCACCAAGCCTATTGAGGTTTCGAGGGAGGGTTAGTTCGCCATGCGTTGACATGAGGCTACTCCTTTTTGAATAATAACTTTGCGGTAGCCACTTCGATAGTATATGTTTTCAAATAAATCGATAGAGATTTGTATAGATTATGTACACTTCTGATGATGAGCCATGAACCAGGCATCTCTGCCAAGCGTACTAGCTGCAGCAACACTATTGCCGCTGTTTCTTGTCGCTTATTATTACCAAACGACACTTATAACATTCCCACGTATTTAATGGAATGTACAAGAACCTATTTACACTATAATTGTTATAAGGAAGCCTTAAAAAGTCGACTCCCTGAGTTTGGAGGTAGAGCAACGATAGCAATCAGATAAGGAAGGGCCAGACCCAAATCTGCAGTCCTGCAGCTAAGAATATCAGGAGCATGCCGAAGCCTGGAGGGACGCCAAAAAAATGCCGGAGTTGACAAATATAGGGTCAAATATCGGACTCGGATATTGAGTAAAACAGAATCCATAAGTAAGTGTTTTCTACGAGTCTTCCCGACTTGCAGTGATAGCCGTAATGGCCGTAATAGTAGTAATAGTAATAACGCAAAAAGCAAACCGATAGCAATATACCCACGAAAAGCAGAGCAGAGCTTTAATTAAGCTGCCATATAAGTAACCCTCGATAAATAAATAAAAACTAAACCAAAGCGCGTGGTGTGCTTTCCCGGATCCGACAATAATAAGAAGTAAGTAGCAAAGTTAGGCGATGAGCAGCAGGATAGCCGTCCGGATGCCCACATGGATAGCGAAGCGATAGCAGGAAATCCAGTCCTGATCATGATTGTGGTGGAGATGTAGTGTACTTCGAATAGAACTTAGTGGGAAAATGTGCCACCATGCCGGATGACTTAACCTGAAACCACTGTCTCGTACACAAAGTTTCTGGGTTTGGCGGGAGTCATCCTGAAAGTTATCGTTTCGGAAAATTCCTGACGAGAAGTTGAAGTAGAATCCTTCGTGATCGCAGGAGACTCTTTCCCGTTCAGCGTTTTCTGCTTTTCTTGATTTCCATCCCGCTTCACTTTGCTAGAACCCAGGTGTTTACCGGGACACACCAGAGGATGGAGAGTTCGATGCGCTATTCTGTATGCGTATAGCACGAAATCCAGCAACAGGAGCATCAATGTAGGCACCAGGAATACAAGAGCCATGGTGAACTTGGGTAAAGTTAGTAAGCGAGAAAACCACACAGAAGGAGCACACGGACTTACCGATGAGTACACAATCACGTTCATTGTCCAAAGGGACGCCGAGACTAATGACACTTCGCGCATTGGAACCAAAGGTCTCACAAATAAAGCAAGCTAACTCTCAGAGCCTATGAACAAAAGAAGCAGAAGAATGGACGGTAGGAAAAGCGATACAAAATTATGTTCAAATGTGTCAAGGGGATCAAAAAAAAGGCTTCAGGTCGTGCACATGTCTCGAGATTATAGTTTTCCGCCGGGACACGTCAAAAGACTAATTTGTGGGAAGTTTTTTTTCTTTTCTTTCGTTTCTCTTCCTCCGGGTCACAGACTGCTCCAGACTCAACTATTCATGCTTATATTATGCTTAAATAGATGAAACATAATATTTAGAGTGGCAAGGGCAGTTTTCAGCGGCTCTTTCAAGTTTCTGTTTCAAGATTTTTCCGCCATTCACTGAAGGCGGTTTCACCTTGAAGCAGTCACTCGAACGAGGAGCTCAATTGGCCTAAGATGAGAACGATTGACGATCAAATGATGAATACACATTACAACCTTATCTACATTATCTGAAAGGATAGAAAACGAATAATTTTCTTGAAATTGATAGATTCACAGTTAGTTCTGATCATCGACAATCAACCTCATACAATGCTGCTTCCTCTTATCTTATAGCAAATCGTTGAAGTCACCATCTTGTAGAAACGACAGCAACTCCTGCTCTCTCTCTCTGGCCTCTATATCAGCCTTGAGATCAATTCTATTCGTGCTCATTGGGTAGCGCATCGCCTTGACGCTATCGTTGTGCAACGACATGCAGAACTTTATACGCCTGTCAAACTCGTCCTGTGGTTCTCTAGTGGAGTAGACATCGAGCAGCTCGTTGCTCTGCATGAACCCGTTCTCGTGATCAATTGTAGCTTCAATTACACCATCCCTGATGGCCTTTGCAACTATGTATTCCGCGCTCAGCTCGCTGTCTAGGTGCAACTTGATACAGACGTCCTTCAGGGAGATCTTCTTGTACGACAACGAGATGATTCTGATACCTGTCTTGATAACGTTTTGGCGCAATCTCAGCACCAGGTTGTAATTATTGTCCTTCTTTAAAGATTCGCCGAAGCTTTCCAGAGTTTTGGCAAAAAGAGTGAGATCTCCCAGTCTGACGGCCCTAGTCACTGCTAGGTACGGAATCAAAGACTTCTCCAAAGTGGGCTCTCTGAAGTAGGACAGTTCTGGAATATCACCCATCAGGAGCTCAATGAGGATGTTAAGTTTGGTGGCGGCCTGTAAGAATCCACCCGCAAAAGTGGATTGTGGAGTCTTTCTTATCGCAGTCAGGGCACTGTCATGGGCTGCAGAGTAGTCCAACTGAACGGCCTGGATCCTGGCCAAGTAGTAGAAATAACGGGCAACCAACGAATTACCAGCATTCTCTGGGAACTCAACCTTTTCAACCAGATTGAAAGCCTGATTGATGTCGTTGGCCAAAAGATAATTTCTCATAAGCAAGGTGATTGTGGACGCTCTGGTTTCAGTGTCATGGCGTAACGTGGCAGTGCGCAAAGCCATTAACAAAGGAGAACGTACAGACACATAATCACCGGATACTTCTCTCGCTCTGCTAATGTAGAACCATATCTTGGCGGATATAAAATCAAGCGTACGACGGTTGTAAGACTTCAATGCCACGATCACCAACTCGTTGAACTGGTTGAGCTTAGTCCATTCTTTCTTGTCGTGCAAGTATACTTGCACCAGCAAATGCACAAACATGTCCACTTCAGGAGTCACTGCCGAGCCAGTAGTTTCCTCAGTTGTGTCCATCGAATCATCCTCAACGAACGACTCCACAGCTGACACGAGCGATGTTTGGTGAGGATGGTCTTCTGGATACCTCTGCTTAATAACGTGAAGCAATGTTTCGGCGGTCAGCTTTCTTCTAAGAGGGCCCAGTTCACGAAAAACCTTCAACACGTATCTTGGATCGAAAGTGGTGGCCGATTTCTCAATCAATGCCAAACTGCTTAACAATGCTGATGATTATAGTTAGTATACGGATCTGGTGTCACGGATGGGGGACTGGAACATACCTGTAACGGGAGAAGCATCTTCCTCGATTACCGGGGTGGCTTCGCCATTAGCAACAACAGCTGATTCAACGGTTGCCATTTTTGCAAAAAAACAATCAAATTATACGAGGATTGTGATTAAATTGGTGGTATGCTTTTGATTTGGATGTCACTTACTTCAGAGGTGGCGATTGTGGTCGAGGTGAGATTTCTGGGTCCGGCACACGACTCAATGGGGTTCACCTCTTGAAAAGTCTCAAAGGGCTATTTATGGGTAAGAGTTGGGTAGATGTTACCAGTGAAAAATTCATTACCAATTCCGTTTCATAATTTAAAGTCTTTTTGGGGACTATGACTATGTAGAAATTTCCACGACAATGTTTATGAACGTGCCAAAAAACCAGAATCCAATGATGGACATGCCAATCCATCTGTCAAACTTCCATGAGTTCAGAGGAATAATTATTAGTAAAAAAACCAGGTTCAAGAGCAATGAGAGCACAGAAATCACTAGGGTCGGTGAAAGTTCAATCTCCAGACTTGTAGACTTGGCAACTCCCATGGTTATAAGGCCATTAGCACCAATCCCTAATAAGATGTTTAGCAAAGGACCGCCAAAACATGCAGCCAATGCCATTAACGGGTATCCCATGCGCGCAACAGTTATATTTGAGATAAGATCTCCAACACAATTGCCAATTGCAAATATTGTGAGTCCAACAATAGCCTCCGACAGGTTCCACAACACACTGATGAATCTCAAAACATTGATTAGCTCGTTGGCTATAATGGAGATCCATGCGATAGACGAGGCAAAACCACAGAATGCAAGTAAAATCTGGACCTTCGAACTATTCCTGTCAAATCTGTCCACCAGATTATTTGCAAGGAAAATAAGGTAGACCGAGCTCGCGATAACCAGGGAAATCCCTAATGACAGCACCAGGTAAATCATGTAGTTGGGCGAGTCTCTGAAGGCAGAGAAGGAGATCACAAGAGGAGACAGAAAGCTTTGAACTAGCAGCAGATTAAGTCCATAAGCTTCTGTAAAGCCGCCAGATTCAAACTCGTGAATGACAGGGACTGTCATCTGTAAAATAATCTTGGGTGGTATCGTGACTGCGCTTAGTATCATGACCGCAAATTCAGTTGGAGTTTTTTTTTGATAAAGTTTATCCGCCAGCACTTGGGCAAATGTGTCATCTTCAGTCTCACCAATGTTTTCATGAAATGGGTTGGTCCTAGACTCGTAATCTGCATCACCATCCTCGTCAGACTGATGTTCACCTTCTCTGCTATGCAAAGTATGCAAACTCATTTCCTCCTGGAACCCGGAAGTCGTCGTCAGCGACTGTCTTCTTTGCAGATTATTGAAGACAGAATTAAACTCCAGAGCCTCCAGGATGGAGGCTCTTGTACCTAACATTCCTGGAATTCTGGGTTGTGCGCGTCTTCTAGATTCATCTCCCCACTCTATATCATCCTCTTCGAACACATGTGCAGAGTCGAAGGTGGCCTCGTTATAAACGCTCCGTATTTCCCGGTCGATTTGAGCATCTTGCCTTCTAACTGTGACAACCCAATTCCAGAATACCACCACCAAAACGTACGCCACATAGAAGGCAATAAGCAAACTGCACTCGAGCACAGTCAACTTACCATCGAACAAGAACCCCACCCCTAGTAGTATAGACACTATGAAAAACGACAAGTCTCTTAAAAAGACTAACTTCTGGTTCTTTGTGTCATTCGGCAAAGTCTCCGAAGCCTGTTCATCATCCATATCATCGATTACACTGAATGGGTGAATCAAAGTCATCAGTCCTATGATGAAGGAAGTGATCAGAAAAGCCGCTCCTACCAACTCTCCAATTGCCAATGAAGGCTCTCCAGTCATGAAAGAAGTATACGTTCCCAAAATGTCAGGAGAACCATTTCCAAACGCGAGTAGCGTTAATCCGGAAAGGTTATCAGGGATGTTGAAGAATCTGGAGATAGTGGACAGATTCGGGCACAGGTAGTTTGAGCTGGTCATTCCCAAGCACAGGAACAGAATTGTCAACGAAAGCAAAACTATCGGTATCACCACCAGATCTCGCACATACCAACCTGAGAGCTTGCAGTAGTACAGCGTGAAGAACTTGACCATACCAGTTTGGACATCGCTGCAAGCTGAGGTAACAATGGCACACTGCTCTTGTCTTGGAAACGTGTTGATGAGCTGGCACTTTTTTGCTTGATCACCAGCAACATTTTCTGCAATTGCATAGGGCACAGCTAGCCCTAATAGAATAAGAACTGGTATTCTCGGTATCATGGTATACCAATACCAGTTACAACAGACGGGAACTATCAAATAATAAAGATATCTTTACTATGGTGAGGCTGATGCGATTGTTATCATTGGCACGTCTTCTGCCATTTGGCGATTTCCAGCTCCACACGTTACTTAAGGAAATAGCCAGGAGAAACTTTAATTAATATATTAGCTTTTTTATGCATTTATTAGGACGAATACTGCTAGCGATGTGAATCCGAATTATCAGCAATAAGTTACGCGCGAGCGAGCTTCATCAGGTAAACCCGTCAGTTAGCTGCTAAATTCTCCCCATTTTGCACCTCTTTCTTAATTTCTTCAACTTTTGTAACTGGTTTGGCATTTGTAATTTCAGAAACCCCAACCGAGGGTGGAATCCGATCTGCGACTATTGTAAAGACCCTCCTGAAATAAGGGAAGGCGAAGGTAGTTGTTGCGTAACCAGTGAACAAGAACAACGAAAAAGACAGAATTACAGCAGATCCCAAAATTATCAGAGGAGTAAACAGCAGCGCTTTGTGTGTTAGTACTGGAAATGATCAGGTGGAGTGTAGAAGGAGACACGTTATGAACCACGGAAGCAAAACACAACTTACTGACAAGAACGAAGGAAATAGTGAACACTATTGCAAATGCAATAATGCTGATCATCGTGTAACCAATCATCAGAACGAGATAAGCTGCAATCAGAGTCAAAAATGAAACAGGCGGCAAAACAAAAACTGTCTTTGGAGAAACAATTAGTTAAAGGTTGGAAGAAGGCTATTTGAGGTTTTGCGTACAGCCACCATTGGATTCCGACCGAAAAAGTCTAACAAGAGGATCGTCCATCTTTTCACATATTCAAGGCTTTCCAGAAGATTCCTGATGATGATAATGTTAGAAACATGAACATAGAACTTTTTTTATTAATTTTGACTCACAACAGCAGCACACTGCGGTTGGTGCTTTCCTCGGGCACCATTTGATCCATCAGCCAGGTACAGAAGAACAAGACATTTTCGTATAATCGCAGCCAAAATTTGTGGCCGTAGATAGTAGATGGCTTCGTTATTTCAGGGGAATTATACACAACTGTAGATTCATGAACTGGAGTGTGGAAGTCGGTGGTTTCTTGAACTGGTATCTCTTCATGATCTACCATAGAACCATCAGAACCATCAGATTCTTCAGCATGGTGCCTGCGAAAAGTATGTCTGCCACCGGAGTGCCACATGTGTTGTAAAGCGTTTTCTGCCTTAACTTCTGAATCAAAATCCTGCAAAACCCGAAACAATCCAAGTCATGTTCACGCTTCAAAGTATAGATTTAACCTGTAGTCAGATCTTCTTTGGAAGGTGCGGCTCAAAATTGTGCCTAACACAAACACGCAGGTGCATATTTCATAATGGCCAATGTTGACATTTCAAAACATCAGTGGGAACTGTCTTTGAGTAACTTTCCAATGCAATGTGCTGGAATAACAACAAAAGGGGTCAGATGCAAGCTACGAACCACCGAGACTTATTGCAAACACCATATCTATCAAGGAAAGCCACATCAACAACCACCACAGCAGAAAGGCTTGATCTATGTGTTCACCTTATCGCATCTACTTCTGGAAAAGCCCCCCAAGACGAACTGGCTACGGATCAACAAAGGTGGTTACGATATAAAGCAGACTTCCAGCTACGATGTTTTTAATCCAAGACGGTGCCTGCTTATAAAAGTTGGATTTACCACACAGACCATACCCACTAGACTCAAGCAGTGGTCCTCCAAGTGCAGACAGGACTTCAAACTTCTGTTACCAAACACCAAACACATCGTGATTAGCAGAAGAGATAGGCTATCGGATCTTTTCTCCGGCCTGAGTTTGGAGCCTGTATATCATCGCTATGACCCCGCTGAGTATGGGTTTGTGTGTTCAAAGAACGTGATCAGTGTGGAATCTGCTATTCACAAGTATTTACACAGCAAATACGGCAAGGGAAACCTATACTGCCAGGGCTGTTCAAATGATGTTAAAATACACACCGAATGGTTTCTGATACCAAGGAAGGAAATGAACAATGTTTTCAAGGATATTGACAGGATATGTAATGAACTGGGGTAATGATCGAAACTACAAGTTGATTTTGTCGTAAAACGTAAGGCCCAAAGATCCTCACAACATACATTCAAGACTAAACTATACACGTGATACTCAGTACCAACCTCTGGCGTTGGCGTTGTAATCATTCATGTTTGGATAACCCTGGTAGTTTCCGAAAGGAACTTGTTGGGATTGGTTCTGTTGAGCGTAGTAAGCATTGTACTGTTGTTGAGGGATTTGTTGACCCGGAGCAGATACGTTTGCTTGAGAAGTCTGGGACTCTTCTTCACCAGCACCAGAAGATTGAGCTGTCTGAGCTGGGTTACCTTGCTGGTTTGGTTGTTGGAAGTACTGACCATAAGCCTGTTTGCCTGCATCTTGAGCAGCGTAACCTGCCTGAGCAGAAGCACCACCAGCAACCTGCTGAGCGTTACCACTTGCATTCACACCTGGCTGCTGGAAGTAGCCGGAGTAGTACTGTTGACCATTTGGATGAACGTAGTAGTATGGGTTGTAATAGTAGAATGGGTTGATCACGTTTGGCGCGGCACCTGGAGCACCTGGGGCCAGGTTGGTACCAACAGCAGGAGTCGATGCAATAGACTGTTGCTGAGGAGCAGATGGAGAAACACCCTGAGCCTCTGGATTATAGGCAACGTTTGGAGCAGACTGTGGAGGAGCATACTGGTTGGAAGCCTCGTAACTGTTCTGGGATGGGACCCGGGCAGATTGGTTCTGCAAGTAGCTGTTAGCTGCCAAACCTGGGTACTCAGCAGTGCCTGGTTGAGCGGTGTTGCTAGGATAGTTGTAGTAGTTATCATAGGAAGGCTTGCTCTGCTGTTGAGGTTGTTGAGGAACAGCGTTGCTCTGGGATTGACCATACTGTGGCTGAGGTGGGTAGTAATTCTGGTTGTAGTTTCTGTTGTTGTAGTAGTTCTGGTTGAATCTCTGGTTGTTGTGGTAATCCTGTTGCTGTTGTTGTGGCTGTTGCTGTTGTGGTTGGTCTGGCTGAGCCTGCTGCTGCTGTTGAGGAACAACCTGTTCCTTCTCCTGCAAAGACAAAGAGCCAAAAGAGATACCGGTAGAGGATATCTGACTGGCAACATTAGGCAGAATTACTGGAGCATCCTGTTGCAATCTCCTCTGGGCCTTAGCCTGAGCTTGCTGGACTGGTTCAGCAGGGGTCTCCTGAACTGGGGTGGATTCCTCTTCCAGCTTCTCAGAGACTTGCTCCAAAACCTCCTCGGACTTGGCTGGGACTTCTTCCTCGGCAACAGCTGGGGTTGGTTCGGGCTCGGCTGGGGTCTCCTTCTCGATCTTAGGCTTTGGCTCGGCTGGCTTCTTTTGAGCAGCGGCTTTTGGAGTGGCAATGGCAGCCCAGGAGATTGGCTGAGGAGCCGCACTCTGAGTTGGAGCGGAAGTAGCTGGTGCAGCAGCAACAGCAGAAGGCTTCTGAGACGCCTTCTTTGCATCCCTCTTAGCATTTTTCTTAGGCTTGGGCTCCTGCTGAGGGACCTCAGGCTGAGGCTCCACCTGCTTGGGTTCTTCCTCCTGCTGAGGTTCTGGCTCAACTATTTTCTCTTCCTTGGCAGCAGCCAAAGCCGATGCCCAGGAGACAGTGCCATCGGGAATCACAGCTTCCACTGGGGCAAGGCTTTTCTTCTCAACTGGTTTTTCAACTTTCTTTTCCTTCTTCACCACCTTGGGCTTAGGAGCTGGAGCAGCGGCCCTGGGGGCCTGCTCTCTCTGTGGTCTTCTGGTCTGAGCCACAAAGGTCTCTTCCTTCTTTGGCTGTTTCTTTTCTTTCTTCACCTCGTCCCACTTGTGGACCTTGCCACTGACAATCAACTCAAAGATAGAGTCGATGTCCTCACCAGAGTGCTCTTCTAGCACGGCAGTCAGATCATCTATGGACCACGTTGGCAGGAGCTCTGTGAGTGTTTCCAGAGATTTCTTCAACTCTGAAGAGACACCTCCGTTCTTCTGTGAGCGTCTGTTATTCCTGTGGCCGTTCTGCCTCTTCGACGAGGGAGTCGTTCCCGAATCCACCTGGGCTGACGACATTGTGTATGATATATATGGAGGTTGTGATGTCACCTTTTTGAATATTGGTCTCTTCCAATTAGATAACTATATGGCAGAGAAAGTGACACGGACTCAAGTTTCCAGAAGCTGATATTTCTTGATTCTCTGTCACACACAAAACAAAAAGAGAGCGAGATGGACAAAAACTAACGGCGCTTTGCGGTTCCTTCGGTTTTCGGTTAGTTAAAAAGGGAGGAATTTTTAGTTCGATGTCTAGTGAAGTCAGGTAAAGATGGCATTCGTGGCTCCCCATGCGAAAAAAAAGTCGTCGACGTTGGAAACTCGGATGTTCCCGGGGCTACAAACCATAATTAGATGATGAGGGAAGTGTGGCTGAGGAAGGGACTGGGAACGGATAGTTCTAGGTGATAATACTTGATTATATATTGGCAGTGATCAGTATATATAGTTATATATTGCGGTGTCGATTTTCCAGGTTCTGTGGTGGAAAGCACTCCATAAACGCAATCGAAGGGAATACACAATGTCAGTCTGCGGCTTTAGACAGTTTGCAGATGTCAGCACTCTACCCATTATGACTACAACTTTTTCCAAATAGAAGCTCAAATATTTATAGTTTTACCAATCAATTACCTACAATTGATCCTTGGTGTGGAAAACTTCCAAGGCCTGGGATATTCTGGCAGTCATGGTCTTCTCACCCTCTCTGACCCAGACTCTTGGGTCAAAGTACTTCTTGTTTGGCTTGTCAGCACCGTCTGGGTTACCGACCATGGACAGAATGTAGTCCTTCTTGTTGAGGACGTAGTCTCTGATACCGGTCAAGTAAGCGTATTGGCAGTCGGTGTCAAGGTTGACCTTCACAACACCGTTCTTGATAGCGGTGTCAAACTCAGACTGCGAAGAACCAGAACCACCGTGGAACACGAGGAACAATGGGTGAGGGGCAGAGACACCGAGGGTCTTGGCAGCGTAAGCCTGGTGGTCTCCCAAGATCTCTGGCTTCAACACAACGTTACCTGGCTTGTAAACACCGTGCACGTTACCAAAGGCGGCAGCAATGGAGAAGTTTGGAGAAATTGGAGAGAGGGCCTTGTAAACGGCAAAAACGGTCTCTGGGGAGGTGTACAAGGAGTCCTTGTCGACGCTCTCGTTGTTCACACCGTCTTCCTCACCACCGGTGATACCGATCTCCATCTCGAGCCATTGGTCAATCTTGGCCATTCTCTCAAAGTACTTGGCACACGTGGCAATGTTCTCGTCATCAGTCTCCTCAGACAGATCCAACATGTGCGACGAGAACAAAGGCTCTCCGTGCTCCTTGTAGTAGGCCTCGTCGGCCTCCAGCATACCATCGAACCATGGCAAAAGCTTCTTGGCACAGTGGTCAGAGTGCAAAATGACTGGGATTCCGTAGGTTGGGGCAATTGCTCTGATGTAGCTGGCCGCAGCAACGGCACCGGCAATGGAGGCCTCCTGGTTCTTGTTGGCGACACCCTTACCGGCAAAGTAAGCAGCACCACCCTGGGAGGTCTGGAGGATGATTGGAGACTTGGCATCTCTGGCAGCCTCCAAGGCAGCAACAACAGTGGAGGAAGAGGTCACGTTGATGGCTGGAATGGCGAATCCCTTCTCCTGGGCGTACAAGAACAGGTTTCTGACATCATCACCGACGATGACACCGGACTTTCTTTTCAAAATATCAAGGGCAGACATGGCTATAAATATGTTGGAATCAGAAGTTAATAAGCAGTATTGCTAATTGTACTGGGAAAAGAGAGCAAGAAGAGCAGCTGGGGAAGCGATGCTGCATTTATAACGTCCAAAGTCATCTCCTCTCTCTCATCCCGGAGGGCAACGGCGCGTGTGGTGACCGGGTAGTGTGATAATGAATGGTGTGACCCCAAATGCGGAAGGAATTTTTCAAGAGGTTTGGAGGATATTTTGGGTTCGAATTAAGCTGGTAGTGAAGCGTTTACAAGTTATAAATGGGGTAATTTATGTTTTTCACGGGTTAAAATGCTTGAGTACTTGCTGATTATTCGCGGAGAGTTTGACATGACGCATTACTTTTGTGTCAAGCGTGAGTGGTGAAACTGATGTAGGCTCTCAGATCCCGAGGCGATGAGTGTAGGCTAGACGGCTAGAGTAGTTGGACAACGGAATGGAAGGGGAGCGCCCGAGTTTTGTAATTAGAGGTGGTGCAACGTTCAATCGAACTCTGCTATACCATTTCTGCCGTTTTTGATGGTCGAAAGAAGCACTTTTCAAGGCTGAAACGAAATCCTTGCTAATTTATGCTAATTACATCATAGGCCTCAGGTGAGTTTATCCGTGATTGCGCACGTCGGCTGATTCCGGTCGTGCTGAGGTGTATTTCGAGGGTAAACTAGTTGTGAGTACTGGGGCGCAAATCTACGGTTTTTTGAGAGCTTGGATCCATTTTGAGAGTTTTGAAGCTACAAAGCGAAAATTGCTGGTCATGTGGGGGGTATTGAAGTTTGTGCATTTATTGTAAAGGTCCGGGAAGGCTAGCCTACATCCACTCATGACCTTCACCACCCCAGTCCCCAAACCTACCCGGAGATGAATATAACGTCAAGAATGCGTGATTTGCAAACTTCCTGCCATCCGTGTTCCCCGTGGGGGCAGCGTGCGATTCGCTGTGATTTCGTGTCTTTTCACCGATACGGGAAAGACTGTCAGACACAACTTCTCCGGCTATTTCACACGCGAGAATCTCCGGGGTCAGCGTCGGATAAGTTTATGAGTTGATCAAGTCTCCATTGCCGAAAAAGCATATTGGCAATTCCTGGAGATGTTACCACATTAAGTTGTCCCCCCGCTGTTTTCGGCTCACAGTACCAAGTTTCGTTGATTCTACTGCTTGAAGACCGGCCGCTATATATCACCATCGCATATTGTAACCCCGGGCGAAATTTGTACCATATGTCGGTGATCTGCACCACGCACTACTCCACATATTCGGCACAGACTTATCCATCGGACAATATTAGACTACCTTTAGTTGTGATCCAATTCATAAATCAAAATGTCTGGTATGTTCACCTGAATGCTCATTTCAATTGAGACCTTTAAGATTTCTCTATCAGCTTTCGAATGACTAACTTTTCAGTTCCTGACGTATACTACAACAACGATCCGACATCGTTTGCGTTCTCCACCGCCCATGCGCGTTGGCCCAAGATTGTCAAGGGAACAATTGCTGACGTATTGCTGGAAATTGAGTCTCAGCACAATAAGGATGCTGAAGTGGTTTCACAAGCAAAGTCGATCCTTCAACTTCTAGAAGGCTTGCTTCACGACATCACCAACGATGGCCCTATTGAGCCATTCACCGCCATCCTTCCTGGTCTCGACTCCTACAACGAGGTGATTGGCTCGTGGGATTCACCAAAGACTTGGCTTACCGGACCCTGGCTTTTCACAGAGTGCTACATGTACAGGAAAATTGACTCTTTCTTCAAGTCCAACTCCAAGTTCCAAGAGTACGACGTGTTCAACCGTCCTAAGCGTGAAACATTCAAATCGTCCACCCTGGGGATCTACGAGTTAATTCTTCGTTATCATCAACTTCACGACCAGATAGTCGCAAAAGGAGCACAGAATTTGGACCAGGAATCGTTGAAGCTGCTCTTTGAAGAGTTTGTCGATGTCTCCCTGTGGGGTAATGCCACTGACCTTTCGTTGCTTGCAAATGCCACCTTAGATGATATCAAGGCGGTTCAGGGCAAGGAGGCACGTGCCAAGTCTGCGAAGAACATTCTGGCCAACGATCTTGATCAAGCATGGTCCCAGTTGTTGTCTGTTCCTTTGGAGAAGAGAAGGGTCGATTTTGTGTTAGATAACGCTGGATTTGAGCTCTTCACTGACTTGGTCCTGTCATTATTTCTGCTGGATTCTCAACTCACTTCTCAGGTAGTTTTCCACTGCAAGACGAGACCATGGATGGTCAGTGACACCATGATCAAAGATTACCATATTTTGATAGACGATCTTCAAAACCCTGAGTTATTCCCCGACCATCTTGACGAGGTGAAGTTTTTTGTGGCACAGTTAGAGAAGTATAGAGAATCTGGCAAGTTTAAGCTTGTGGACTCAGAATTTTGGACTGTCGGACTGGATTACCAAAGTTTATCTCCCAAGGACACTAAGCACTACGGAGCGCAGGCATTTGAGCTGGTGAAAGATTCTTCTCTGCTTATTTTCAAGGGAGATCTGAACTATAGAAAGCTCACAGGTGACCGAAAATGGCCAAGATCAACACCATTCACGACGGCTATTGAAAACCTTGCCAAATCTGGACTCAAGATTTTTGCTCTGAGAACTTGCAAAGCTGATGTCTGCGCAGGGTTGGCTCCGGGCAAAGATGAAGAGTTGAGCGAATTCTGGAGATCACAAGGAAACGAGATTGGTGAACTCTGGTGCTCTTCTGGAAAGTGGGCTGTGATCAGTTTCAGCAAAGGCGATCTGCAATAGACGAAGGTGATCTACAATGGACTACTCTTGTTAATTCGTACTAGATATATAACGTACGGGCAATAATCAAACGTTCACCATTTCTTATTCATCTAACTGCTATTTTACATCATCTCGTTGGATTCTGACCCATCATGTTGGGCATGAAGGGAAAAGGTGCCATAAACGGCATACCCATGGGGGCCATTCCCATGTTTGGCATCATTGGAACCGCTGTTGGAGCAACGCCAGCAGAAAACAGCTCTGTTTTTTGCTTTTTGGAATCAGGACCATTGTCGGAATCATTGCTTCTCTTCAATCCATTAGAATTGGCCTCAATGAACTCATCTACCCTTTTGCTCATCTCCTCGTCCTTGGTCAGTGTGTCTAGCAGCACATCCTCCTTTTCACAGTTAGGACATACAAAGTCAGTTTCCAGTAGAGCATCTTCAAGAGCCTGTCTTGAGTATGTTTTGCCGCAGCATGGAGTCTTGACAGGATCTTTGAACAGCTTATGACTCAGAGGATCCAGCAGAGTCTCGTCCTTGACATCGTACTGTTCTTCTTGCACCTGTTGCTTTTTCTGGTAAGTTTCCCAGGACTTTTTATCGGCAACCGCAACCACGAACTGTCCCTCATCATTGACCATGACGTTCTGGTTATCATCATCTTCCGGTTTATCAACGGTCTTGAGATAAGACTTGGGAATACCCGTAGTTCTCTTGACCCGTTTCGTTTCCCAGTTGGGGTCGTTATTTGTAGGACAATTCTTGATAAAATGCGTCTTGGAACCACATCTGTAGCAAATATACCCGGGAGGAGGCGCCTCGTCAGTACCTGTGGCTGTTCTCACAGGGTCAATTCTGGTGGCACCGGCTAGCGAAACCTGTTGTTCTTGCCATTGGTCATCTTGCTGGTTGAACATGGCTTTGATCATATCTTCTTCAGTCTGTTTTTCACCATTTCCAGCCTTTGGCTGAAAGCTTGACGCAGGGGCTGCCGTGGGGGCCAATGCTGGGTTCTTTCTGTTCACTCTTGGTTTTCCAGTGATATACCGCGTAGCTCCACCTTTGCCTTTCCTATCAGCTGGCAATCGTCTCACCACTACGGTGGTAGATCTGGGTATCACCTCCGTGTCATCATCATATTCAGGGCCTTCCGGACGATACATCTTCAACTCAATCTCCGAAGCATTAGTCAACCTGTTTGCCAGCATGATCTCCCTCTTGAGATCGAACACAGTAATTCCCGTACCATCAAACAGGACACGAGATAGATCTCTCTGAGACCTAAACTTGTAGAAAATGGTAGACGACATTTGCTGTTTGGGTCTAGAATCTAGGTGAGAGTTTACACATCACTATGAGAGTTGTGGTTTTGCTTCTTTGTCTGAATACATGTGCATTAACCAAAAGTCTTGAGATGGTCACATGACCATGCGGCTTATCAAGAGTTTAAGGCCTGATCGTTAACGGTATTACTTCATTATACATTATTCTAGAGACACTTGTGGTCACTTCACCTATTTTCAACAACATAACCCTCCAAAAGATCTCTCTGCCCAAAAAAATCGCCCACCGCAGAAATTATGCTTCGCATGACCTCTTCATGTTCGTTCAACTCATCAGCCCTTTGTCTCAAAGCTTTCTTTGCAAATGTCCGGAGAGTACTGATATCGTTAGCCTCGAGCACATCGGGAACGATAACCAATAACAGAATCACCCAGTTTGCAAAATGGGCATTGATACTCTTGCTGAGCCATTTCGTGGAGTAGTTGATGAGCTTCAGAATCGTAACAGTGTCGAGAGCCAAAGCATACTCGTCACTGGGGTCGTTGTTGAACATGAACGTTCGCCACGTTTTCATGGTCTTGGGGAAATCAAATACCAGAGTTTCATTGGTGCGAACCATTTCTTCGAATTGGCTTCTCCTTTGGACAAAACCTTCCATGAACTCAACGTGCCATCGTAAGGCTTCTTCTTGAGCTTCTGTTAGCCTTTCCTCTTGAGGATCCGCAATAACATTTGCTGGAGAATCTTCTCTCGGCACGAAAGCAACAACATCCATTTTCTCAGCTTCCATCCGAACCCTGGCTAGATAAGAGTTCACATCTGCTGGTGGCCTGGACTCGTCTAGATCAGATATGTCTATGTTAATAGGGAACGCGCGGTGCTGTCCGAAGATTGGATCCAACGGTCCGTTGACGTATCCTTTATCACTCACAACGGAGTCTGTATCTGATTCTTCATCGTGTTTGTCATTTTTAAGACTTTTATCGGGCTCCTGTTGCTGCTGTTGCTGCCGATTCTTCAGTTGCCTCTGCTTGAGTGGATTCTCGATGTGTGGTGGAGGAAGTGAAACCCCCATTAATGCCAACGGATATGGTTGCGCCTTTTCCAGCGTTTTCTTTATGGCGCTTTTAGAATTCTGCGATCGTCCCATTGAGAAGACTGTGTGCGTATATTATTGATAACAACAAGCCAGAAAAGAGAGAGGAAGTGAAAAGTTTAGAGCCCCAGCACCAAGAAGCTCATCTCTCAGGCTCGATGAGATATGATGAATTTTAGCTAGGGCTTTAACTGAGCGTGGCTCTCTTCACTTTCTTCATTCCCGCAATGGGGAAACACAACAGAGATTCAGACTCAGATTTGGACTCAGATTCGAATTCAAAATTGCAAGATTCAAATTATTCTGCATCAATAACATGCACTCTCCCACCAACGTGTATTAAGAGTCCCGTGCACTTTTCCAGCCAACATGGTTTCGAGCTGCACTACACTTCTACCCACACCAACATTTGCATACAATGCCACAAAAACTTCCCGAATGAAAGATTTTTGAGTTTACATTTGAACGAGAACCACAGTCCATTTTTCAAAATACGACAGGAAAAGGGAGAGAAAGTATACGAGTGTTTCTTCGAGGAGTGCGATAAGGTTTGCTCATCACCACAGAAGAGAAGACTACACCTGATCGATAAGCATGGATACCCAAAAGATTTTTTGTTCAGCGTTATAAATGCGGGAATACAAAGAGACCAGACAAGTCTTTTGAAACAACATTGAGGTTGTAAATTTGTCATCTCTTCATTTGGCCGGGGTAGCTGCTCTACTGGTATCTGTCTCCTCACTAGCACCAGCACCCGAGTCCAGTTTCCTTTTCTTTCGTATTAGTGGGAGTGTCCGGGGTTTTGCTTTGAGAGTTTTCACGATTTTGGGGTCGAACTGCGAATGACAGATTGGGCACTTTTCGTCGTGCGGCACGATACTGAGGATGCACAGACATACCGAGCAGACAAAGCCTATGTCTATGATTTTGCTTGTCAGAAAGCACGAGGCTCTGAAGTCGATATTCGTGTTGGTGGGAAGCACCATTATGGGTCTTAGGGATGGATCAATAAACAATGCGGTCTTTTCGAATGAGTGTTAGTAATTTTCTTGAGACAACAAAAGATGAAAAGTTCTCAGACTTACCGTAAGATATTGTATGAGACCTGAAGGATGGTTAATGTACATGTAGACTCCATTGGTTGAATCACACGCCTGTTGTAGAAATGTGGAGTCTGTTCCCAGTTTGCATACATCAATGGAAACTTTCATTTTTTGAGCTGCAAATGTGCAGTTCATCATGGAGATATAGGGCAGTGTCAAGTCATCACTGGTGCTCACTATGAGAATCCTGGACTTGATGGATGTGCTGTCGTTGGTGTTCTGAACACGGTTGATATAGGTCAATGCCATTGAAAGCGCACCAACCAAAGTGCCCTTGACTTTTCCCTTAGAATCATCTTTTCCTCTCTTTCCTATATCCTGGAATCTGTCTGGCTCCATGTCAAGAATCGAGCTGATTTCCTCCAGAACCGAATCGTTGATTATTCTGAAACCACGGTACATCGTGGGATTCACGAGATGCGCATGAGATCTTTGTTTTGCTGTCTCTGTGTCGTCCGTCTCAAGGGGTTTCGGATATATCCACTGGGCCCCACTTTTGTAGCTGTTCGAACTAAGCACAGCTACAGTGTTCGAACTGTTCAAAGAGAGATGCGAGTTCAACATAACAAGCAGAGATTTCGATATGTCTTTGAGCGTAATGTCTGCCTTCAAAGATCTCCATTGTAGAGGGTTTAGATCCAAGATCACCGTTAGCAAAGATGGCGTCTCGTCTTGTTCTTGTGTTAGTCTTGATTTCCAAAGAGTTGAGAGATGATTACCCATCAACCTTTACCTACCCTTCAGCACATTTCCAGAAGGCACATTCTCAAAGGCCCTATCAGCAATGGCATCCATATTCGAAATTCAGCCAAAGCGATACAACAGCCCGAAATACACAACTTCTCTACCTTTCAAACTTGGATAATCGATGCACATAATGCAATATTGCCTGTGCACCACTCAATCGAAAACGCTTTGCGCACGCCTTCTTCGAGATGCTTCCAAAGGTATAGTATGTGAAACTTTTATCGAAGGTTTAAAAAGACACTGGAATCCCTTTTCCACAGCCGAAAGAAATCTCTATACAGAAAATAATGGAAAAACTACTAAAGTGGTCTATTGCTAACCAGTCGGAGGACAACTCAGTGAGAGCCCAAGCAGGGGCCCCAGATCCAGAGTTATTATCACAGCTGTTTGGAGCTCCAGATGAAGCCGCTTTGATGGTACAGAACATGCAGGTGATTGTGAACGAGGAAGCCACCTTGGAGAACAGAGAGATTGCATTTGATAACTTTGAAATGCTTATAGAGAATTTGGATAATGCCAACAATATTGAGAACTTGAAGCTTTGGCCTGCCCTGATATCGCAGCTCGACTCTTCGCAGGAGGCCATCCGCAAGTATGCGTGTTCTTGCATCGGGACCGCCCTCCAGAACAATACCAAATCACAGGAAGACTTTCTGAAGCACGACGGAGGCATTAAGAAATTGATAGATATTGCCGAACATGACAGTTCCGAGGATGTGCAGCTGAAAGCACTGTATGCTCTCTCCAACTCCATCAGACACGACGATGCGGCTTATGCGGCTTTCGAGAAAGAGCAGGGCTGGAAGCTGGTTTCGCCATTACTGGCGCCTTCAGTGAAAGACAAGGTCAAGCTTCGTGTGCTTTCGCTGTTGTCGGCTTTGATATCAACGGGTGTCTCCGATGAGAAGAAGCAACAGATACGTGATGGAGACGTCGTCAATGGTATAGTGGTGCTTGTTCGTGCGGATGGTCACATCGGATGTGTTGATAAGGCACTGAACCTTCTGGCTCAACTCGTTGCGGCAGGTTACAAGTTTTCAGAGTCAGAGGTCAACAGCATAGATGATTCCGTGAAGAATGTGAGCTCCATCAGAGACCAACTTTCCGAGGAAGATTTCCAGACTATCAAGCAAGTAACTCTACAATGATTTCCATTCACGGACACGAACTGACCGATTCATATAGGACCTTCAGCAAGGTGGAATACATCAAGAAACTCAAAAGGAAACGTGCTGTTTTGGGGTAGCGGTGTGCTAATTAATGATTATTTTATTTCCTTTCTTGTCATGAGACAAAGTCTGTAGGATTCCTCGAAGTAAGGCAAGCAAGCAACATCTTTTCCGTATCACTGCGCAGCAACTTCTCTCCATCCGGCGATGCAATTGCTCCCGTTCTCCGGGCTAGCTTCACGAGCTCGGCCATACTGGAATAGTGCTCCGCAACAGTTTCCGAAGTACTACCTGTCAGATTCTTTATTTGCTCCAAGGACTTGGCCACACATTCTTTGGTGGTGGTACCGGATTTGACAGGCCCAATATTGGAGTTATCTGGTCTTCTGTGAGCCTTATCGTATATGCTTCCAGCAACCGTATACGAAAACGATCGTATCCAAGAAGCGGTATCCTGTTCGCCTTTTGTAGGAAACACATGTATACCGTATTTCACTTCGTAACCAATCAAGGTCTTGCGTATCTGCTCGGCGTTGTACTCGGCAATATTTATATCATCCTTTTTGCGGCGCTTTGAACTTTTTGATGGCTGTGAGTCCGAATCCAAATGGGATCGCACCTTCTCCACGAAGTTTCGATTTTGAGCCGTTTTGATCTTCTGCATGAAACTGTCAAATCCAATTAGCACAAGAATGCAGTTGGTTCCATATTTCTTCAGCAAGTCTATGAAGCCCTCTTCTTCCAGTTCTGGAATTAAATCCTCCGTCTTGTAGACCAAAGCAACAAACTTCTCGTGTATCACCTTTAGATCACAAGGCACAAACATGTCTCTGTAGGGATAATATAAGGCCTCTGCATGGCGTCTCCATCGCAGACATGGTTCGGTAGAGTTGTAGCCAGTAGCTCTTATAGGTCCAAACAAGCTCTCATACCTTGATTCGTCAAATGTCTGGGAAAGAGCAGAGCTCACAAGAATCGTCATCTCCTCGAGAAGCTCCTCTTTGGGTCTATGAACACGGTTAACCTGTTTGAGTCTCTTAGGATGTTTCTCCTTTGCAATATTGAGCAGTTCTTCCAACTCTGGATCAATTGTGTACAATGTGGGATTTTCAGCAGTGGGTTTATCTCTCACGATAGCACTGGCCTGGTGGGTAGGGGTGCTGTTTTGAATTTGATGATGCAAGGATGAACAACTAGAGTGAGTGATCTCCGAAGAAGGGGACCGTCCCACAGACATGGGCAAATCATCAGATACAATATCGACATCATCTGAAGACAAGAAGAGTTTGGAATGCTCCAGAATTCTTTCACTGAGACGATCTGATGTGGTGAAAATTCTTTCTTCATTCGGCTTCGAAGGGTTGGTATTCGTCTCCTCAGCCGATTCGTTACTGGCTTGTACCACCTCGATGCTTCCATGTGAAATATCGTCAGATGAAAAAATATGACCAAAGCTTGGCCCTTGGTCGAAAGAATACTTTGGTGGACTCGTGCTTTGTCGCACCACATGGCTTTTGAGAGGAGAGTCTGTGCTCTTTGGAGGTGTACTGAACTGGTGACTCCTGTCCCAATTACCCTCGTCGAAATCATCTGATATTAAAACAACCTTTTTCAATGGAGAAGACGCCATTGATCTCCATTTCGTGAGCTGTTCCACTTCTTCAGTGGTGCTATCGCCGATTGAAATGACCTCGCGATCATCACTGCCACGCGTATGTTAGTAGACAATCAACTAAAGCTGTAAGCCTCGTGACTTACCTTTCCCCTGTTATGGGATCCGAAGGTTTCCCCGTTGAAGATGATAGAATCTCTATCACATTCATATTACCGGTTGCCCTTGTTGTGGATGCAGGTGAGCGTGATAAATGGGGATGAAGACAAGAGATACATGGATAAACATTACAGGCGATGAGCTCTACCCAATGCGGCTGTGAAATCTTTTATGGCGTATTTTGAAAAATTTATAACGATTTTCAGTTTACCAGAGGTTTGTAGATTAGACAAATCTTATAAGTTATACGCTGATTATGATCGTCTATTTTGTTTTACCACTATATATATCGTGCAACTTGTTGACCGCATCGGAATACCGCTTGGTAGCGCTTATAGAGGCGGTTTGGTGCCGTATTCCTCTAGACAGCTCTTCACTGAAGAACAGTCTGATCATGGTCTTCCGCTCTTCAAAGCTGAACTGGTAGAGATTATTTCTGGCATTCTCGAGTATTCCTTTGTCGGTCGATTTGAAAAGCTCAAAGTATTCCAAGGCCCTGGTAAAAGTAACATCGTCTGGCTTAGGCAGAACACTCCTCAACATCTGCTGTATGATAGTGATGTTCAAGTAGATTCTGTCAATACCATTTGAGTTCAGTTTTATGATTTCCTTAGCCTGTGACACAAGGGCATGATCAATGAGCCCAGATATTCCGCTCAGAATGCGTTCCTTGCCTCTGGCACCTAAGATGGTCTCAAGAGAGCTATCCGCCTCAACAACAGCTCTGTTCAAAGCAACAATGCTGGAGTCGATATCGTGGGATTTGAAATCTGGCATCCAGGAATCAGAGCCATAAGCAGTATTGATGTAATAGACGATTTTGGAGCGTAGGTCATATCTAAGAGTCAGTTGAATTCGGCTTCTCAGTTCTTCCAGTCTACGAACAACCGAGTCGAATACTCCAACAGACTCGCCTTGAAGAGTTAGGAAAATTCCAGAAGTGGAGTCAGCTGGACGAGAGATTTGCTCCTCCATGAAGACCCAATCATCTTTGAGCTTATCAATAGGAGAGTCTGCCACGCCTTGGTTGACATTAGTCACAGAAGTTTTCATTGAGGGTAACCAGCTTAGAGTGAAGTTCAAACTTCCAAGTAGCTTTGTGAGAGATTCATAGGTGTAACCATCAAGAATGTCATGTGCAGAGATAGAACTTGGAACATTTTCCAAGATTGTCGATGTCTCCTCCTGCAATAGATAGGCGTCTTCACCCTTGGTAATCAGATTCAAAGAAACCTCATAAAGCTCTGGCATATTCATCCAGTATGAGCTCAGTCTCGGCCTTGTATTTGTTGATTCGTCAGGGCAAACCTCCTTGTATGCTTGCTCAAATCGAAGAACCATTTTTTCGAGGATTCCGAAGACAATATCCACATATGATCCCCGGAAGCTGAGAGAGGTGTTGAGAGAATCACAGGTATTCAAGAAGAATGATTTGAAGGCCACAGAGTTCCTGGATGCTCCATGTGCAGCATCTAATTCCCAAGGGTTCCCGACAGTAGAGATCTGCTCAAATTGATGATATAGAATATCACGCAATTGGACATGAAAGATGTTGCTCATAAAGTAATTGAAAAAAGTTATCGGCACTGTCTTCTGCTGGCTTTGGGGATAACAACGCACTGCACTGTCAATAAACACCAGAAGTGAGGGCAAGATGATTTTCATGGAGTAAACATTTGGCTCCACCAAAGTCTCCTGATGTGTGAAACTTTCGCTCTCAATGTACAATGACTTACCGGTAGGATTTCTCAAAGTGTATCCGGGGAACATGTCCTGAAGGACATTCTGTAAGTTGCTGGCAAGAGACTCTGCTTCCGTATTTTTGAACGTGAGCTTGGAAAACTGAAACATCAATCCTTTGGCCCTATCGTCGTTTTTGATCCATATACTCTTATCAGAGTCAGACATGGCATCACCCGTGATGTCCTCATCGATAATGTAGTTATATATGATTCCGCTGATCTCTTTTTCAATGGCTTTCCAGGCAGATTCAAAAGTGAACTCCGTGGATAAGAGTACAGCAGGTCCATTGCTTAACACACTAACTGTTTCAAAGATAACACGATGTCCCTGCAACACAGATATACACCTGGAGAATATGTTCCAAAAGAGGTCTTCCAGTATGAGGACATTCACGTCACCCAACGCAATACTCAACATCAATGCCGAAGGATCAAGCTTCTTGAACCCGGTAGCAGATTGGGAGTTTTGCGGATGTCTTAAACGTGTCTCCTCCGTGGATCTGTTGAGAAGTTGTTGAATTTCGCTGCTCATTCTTTGAGAGAGGGCATTTAGCGCTTGTGGGAGTTTGTCCAGAGCTGAGATTGTATGCAACAGCTCTGATATGTATGAATACCTCTTGAAATCAGGGTTTTTGGGAATATCCTCGTGAGACTTATGTTTTGATTTCTGGAACTCATTCATGAACCTGTCGAACTTCTCAAACAATGGGGTTGTCCTACTGGATACATCCATCGAAGCCATCGAGTCAAGCAGTTTGGGTTTGCTGGAGCTCGCAGTGAAGTCCTCAGAAACCTTCAGGTATATCACACTATGCAGTTCTTCCACCAAGACCTCAAATAAAGCCTGAGATTGAGATGCCAAATATTGCTGGATTCCAGCCAGCGAAGACAGACGCCACAAACCGTGTGTATCAGCGACTTTAGATGCCCTGGTAAGCTCTTCTTGAGCAGCTTGAAAGCGTTTCTCGGCTATCAGCTCGTCAATTGCATCCGGAATTGACTTGAGCTCGATAATTGCATCAACTATCTCAACCATCTCCCCATACTGAGCCGAGTTGTTGTTGAGATCATCCAACATGCTCCGTGGTGCCGATATATGATCTGATACATCCTGGAGACTTTTTCGTATACCATGAACAATCCTTTGCGAATCAGCAACAGTCTCAACAGTAATACCGTAGGATCCCACACTATCATTGAATGCCTGGTAGTGCTCGTTTACGGCTGCTCGTAGAGTCTTTGAGAGCTTCTCCTTCAAGTGCTTGAATTCAGGATACCTATGGGCCATACCAACAGACGTGTCGTCAAGTAATGGCAAAGCTGCTTCAAGGGGATTGGCACTTGGCCTCATGACATCAGACCATTCTCTTTCCACAAGATGCAAAACGGTTCCCAATTGATCGAGAGACCTAGCCATTCTATCATCCTGATCTGACGTGGCATGGTTGATAGAATAGCCACGCGCACGTGTTGTTTTACCTCCCACTGCAAGATTCATGCCTATGCTGATCAATTCAGTATGAACAGTATGGGAGACTAGCAAGCTTCCGTTACTAGAGTTTTTGGTGGTGTAACCGTTTGTGTAGTTGCAGCATTAGGAACAAGCCCGCGAAGTGCGGATCAATCGTCTATGACAAGCACTGGAGCTGGTCACGTGCCCGGTCACATATACACTCCCCGGGCTTTTTCAGTTTTATTGAAATGGATGAAACTAGCATCATTCTCAAAGATTATTAATGTTCTCTTCTAAAGAAAAATTATTCCTCTACTCAATGACCCTTTCCGACCGGAGTTTCACCTGTCAGTTTGGCAACGAACTCCTTGGCAATGTCACCCAAGCCTACCATGCACACAGTTTGCCAGACACCGAGAGCAATTCTTGGAGTAACACCTCTATATAGACCCTTGAATCCACTTTGACCGTAAATGTATCTGAATGTAGAACCAACGGTCAGGTTTGCTGGTCTGTTTGGATCTTTGGTCTTCGATTGCATCTCAATACGAATGACCTCGATAGGCTGGTTCCATGCGGACAAACCACCACCAATCACAGAAGATGCAATCTTCTCAACAGCAGACAACTTTTGGTCCTCTTTCTTACCGGTGAGAGACTTAATAGAGTCCTCGGCCAATCTGGAGAGACCAAATCTGGATCCCCAGTTCGTCATCTGTCTAATGGCAACGGCATTAACACCTTTGTTAATACCTCTGATACCTTCCTTCTTGTAGATATCAGTGAATACTTGCCAAGTGGTCAACTGAGGAACTCCTGGCACTCCAGCAGCTTTAGCTCTGGTGATTTCAACAGTCTTCATACATGTACAGAAACCAACAGTCAGGTATGCCTGTGCAAAACCGCCCAATACACCACCTCCAATACCCGCACCGAATGCAGATGCTCCAACCTTGCGCAATTGATATTCGGCTTCGGCAGAAACAAAAAGCAAGACGGCACCTTTGGTGGAGGCCTCAACCCAAGCCCATGGGATCAGACCTTGGTAAAATCCAAGCGCACCTCCTCTTGACCAGACCAACGAAGCTGATTGGGCAATGGTAAGACCACGGTTAGCAGCCATCGTGGTCTTGACGACCTCCAGAGGCTGGCCCAATGTGGTGACCCTAAGAGGTTAGCAGATGATATTTAGGAAGGTTTTCGGAGTACTTACTCGAACATGTTCAGACCAGCTCCAAGAAGGATGTTGGAGAAGTTGACTGGTTTCTTTTCAAGCGTAGAAGCAGACATAATGGAAATTGCTCTCTATGAAGAACTATGAGGAACTAAACAGGACCTCTCTGATGTGAAGTAGAAGAACAAGAGTAGAAGAACTCAATGAAATATCTCGCTTTGAACTTCCTCCAGATACAGCTTAGGCTTTCCGATCTCGTCAGATTGTCATGCACAGTGCTCCATAACCGCTGCGATGAGGCGCGTGCCCGAGATGGGCTGAATAATTTGGTGGACCTCTCTAAGATGACAGGTAATGCTTTAAAGGATAGATCTGTATGAAAATGATCCTGTTGAAACTGGTTATTGCCAGTGTCCTTTTGGTCACTCGCATTGAAGCAGCAAATACGTTTCCAGCATTTTTGTTCTCCCACAAACTGTAAGTGTTGAAATAGCCTTACCAAGCTAGTGTCTCATCTGCCAATACTAACTGACATCCACAGCGTTCCATCACTGAGAGCCAATCTGCCTCATTCTGAGCAGGTTCCTTTCACATTAGCCGAGGCAACAGAAATTTTTAACCGTCTGGCAGAGCAATGCCTTTCTAATGCATACATTGTCGTGAATCAGCCCGGACTCACGATCCAAGATCTCACTAACTTCCAAGGGTATCCTTTCACAAGAGATATGATGACTGCTGCGAGCACAATCGTCACTTTTCCCAATGTTATTACAGAAGACTCGACCACTTTCAATCTGGATAGTATCGAAAGTCATCTGAAACAGAGCTGTCACGTCAAGACACACCAGGTTCTCTATAATGACGAGAACGAGGTTCCTCCGTACATTGACACAAGGCCGAGATTGATAAAAGTGATGCTTCCAGCTCTTCCTGAAGAGGAAATACCCAGAACACAAGCTCTGTTGGATCATGACTTTCTTTTGAAGAAAATAGCAAGGAAGTTGCCTTCGCCATACATTACTGTCCTCTACACAACCGATACAGTATCAGAGTTCAAGGAGGGCAGGAGTTTCGAGTATTCCTTTGAAGACATACCAGACGATCCAAGGATGATAACAACAAGCCAAATGAAGGATGCATTGTACAGTTACGACACTATTTTCCCGGATATAACTATTTTCGACAAGTCAAGATGGTTTGAGTATGAACGAAACGATATGGGAGAACTCGACAATGATCTGGACAGTTCGGTATGGGCTAAAGATGAAGGTGGCAGAGTGGACGACACCTGGTTGGAAAAGAAGACGAAAGAGATTCTCACGGAGAGAAAGTACACGAGGTTCGGGGAAAACGATGACATGTTGGATTCATCCATCATCAATAAGGATCTGTTACTAGAGAATGCTCCTTTGGTGTTCGGGATTGTACTGACTGTCTTTGCACTCATTGCTTACAATATACTGCGGTTGATCTTGAGATGTGCTGTGGTTGTTTGGAGGTTGGGTTTCAAAGCGAAGGTCAACAATGAAAAGAAGGTCCAGTAAGTGACAAATTTCATACATATAATTCACGTATATAATATGCGGCGTTGAATTGATCATTACACTACGCATATAGTTTCAATGATGTGCGGTGGCTGTAACTTAACAACTCTGCCCATTGAGACAACATTGCAAACATTGTGTTTGGTCTTATAATATCATGGCATCTTCTTATGATGAGGCCATTGCCTTAGAAGAGCAGCCCATATATAGGGATGTTCCTGAATTCGATGGGCTGGTTGAAAAACTCTCAAACAGACTGCTGGAGATTAACAACAGCCTGAACAATCTCTCGAGGAATGTGACTTTCCTGGAGGAGAAACTGAGAGATATTAGATCTCGGGACGATACCACGGAGGAAGTTTCTTCCACCGTTAACAAGCATCTGCAAACAGGTATATCACTAATCAACAAAATCATGGCCTTCTTCAAGGAGATAAGCCCCTCCAGTAAGGAGATCCAAAGTATAGATGTTGGTGATCTAAACGTTGCCCAGAAGTTTGTGAGGGATAAGCTTGTTCAAAGTACCGCATCAGCGCTGCGGCGGTTCAATGAATTGCAACAGAAGTTCACAGATTTGGAAGAAATGTCAAATGTGCAGGATGAGCAAGCATTCGGGCTAAACCAAGAAAGTCATACTAATGGGTCAAATGGCTTCCACCAACAGCAGCTGCAGCAGGAGCAAGAACAGATAATCATAAACTACGAACCTATAAATGCTGAAGAGCTTGAGTACCAGCAAAATCTCATTGCTGAAAGAGAGACTGAGATCGAGAACATTGCCAACGGCGTGGAAGAACTGAACGAGCTTTTCCAAGATCTTTCAACCCTGGTTACTTCTCAGGGTGATATTGTGGATAACATAGAGAGCAACTTGTACTCGGTGGCTGCAGATACGAGGCATGCACACAAAGCTCTTTTGAAGACCGAGAGATACCAAAGGAGATCTAGAGGTATCTGTCTGTGGATCATGATCATCCTGGGGGTGGTACTCCTGTTTTTGATCATGATAATATTTGCTTGAATTTGGTGGCTTAGGCCAGGATTGGGATAGGTTTCGGTTTCACATACTAATGCATTCTGTATTCTATATGCTAACTTCTATTAGAATGACCATACGTAGATTCACAGGCTTAAAGACCAAAGGTTAACGTTGCCATCATCACCGGCACTCACCAACATCTCTCCATCTGGCGAGCTCCACCATTCAATCGAGTTGACCTCGAAGATACCATGAGTCGTCTCCTTCACTGCTACCACCCTCCACACTCCCTTGGCTGTCTCTTCGTAAACAACGATTCTGCCATCCGCGCTTGCACTTGCAATGAGTCCATTCTTGTTCCAAGAAACTGAGTACACAGGACCGGTATGCACTTTAGGCAGCATGGCCTCCTCGACCCACTCGTCTGAATGAGAATCTTCACGAACCACTGATGGAATTGCTTCACCATTCTTTTGCTTGCTCAATTCCGCTCCTGATACTCTTTTCCATATTCTCACAGTCTCATCGTCACTACCTGAACATAGCCTTATGCCCTGATCGGGGTCTATCTTTTCGAAATCACTATGCCACACAGTCCCTTGATGGCCGGTTAACACGGCAACGTTGATCCAGTCGTCGTAATCATACGAGTCTTGCTTGTATAATCTGATGGTATCGTCATAGCTCGAAGTGGCCAAAAACTTCGTAAACGGATGCCACACCACGTGCTTCACATCTTGTGAATGGTCCTGTATTACATTGATACACTCAAACTCCTCGTTGGCCTCATCAGTCTCCCATAACCAGACAGACTTGTCCCTGCTGCAAGAAGCCAGATACTCTCCATCACATGACCAGCTCACCGCCTTGACTTCGTTTTCGTGTCCCTCGATCACAGCCATCAATGACCACTCGGATCCAGATGCTGTGGCCGCAGTCACACTGATCTCCATCTCGTCGCCATCTTCATCTTCTCTACCCCATATAGAAATCGTAGAGTCAAAAGACCCAACAGCAAGCGAGGGAAAATCCCCTGTTGGTTTCCAATCAACTGTCCGCACAGCTTTAGAGTGAGTGTCATCGTCCAGAATAGCTATCAGCTGCTTAGTATTCAGATTGTACAACCGACATGTCTTATCGGAGGACACCGATGCCAGCAAAGGGTATTTCTTGTGCACCGAAGTGGACCAGCACTTGTCCGAATGGCCCTTAAAAGTATGCGAAAGTGAAATCTCAGCCATGTTCGATGCCTTAACTGATGTGTCATGCTTTAAAGGCCATCCAAGATGTTGTGGATAGTCATCTGAGGATTTCTCTCATCGAGAGCGTGGGAAGCTCAAAATTCGATTTATCCGATATATTTTCCAGTCTACAACATCAAACGAAAAATGATCTTGTTCTTCCTGGTTTAGACTTGTTCTAAGGTGGAATTTCAAGCACTCTGTTTGGCTGGCATGATAAGGAGTAGCTTGATATTCCGCTACTCTGGAGCACCCAACTCTGGCAGTCGGCGTGGTGTGAGCTTTGCATTAGGCAGTCGATGGTACTCTTCTGGGAAAGGTGACAAAGTCAATCCAAAGGACAAGAACCAGGGTGATGACGAGAGCGACAAGAGTTCAAGTGATGGTAGCGAGGCCTTGGCTGCCCCGAAAAATTCTCCACACCCACTGGTTTCTGATTTCTCAGCACCTCGCCCAACCTCTGGTCTGGCTCCAATGCCCGACGGTATACAGCTTTCCAAGCCTAAGAGAAAGTACGTTCCAAGACCAGAGTACGAAAGAGTCACATTTGAGTACCCCAGACCAGAGCACCCGGCTGAAACCCTGAGAGAAACCATACGGCAGAAGTACACCAAAACTTCATGGCACAGAGTGATGCCGTCAGTCCTAACGGCTGTGGTATTTGGTTGGATATTTTACACAGGTTATTCGGTGCTTCCACACGACGATCCACACACAGAATTGTTGAACAAGGATACGTTTCTGAGATACTATGTTACTTACAAACAAAAGGTGGATGACGACCATTACTTGATCGAATTGTCTAGAGAGCTGAGAAGTTCTGTCGTTTCCAAGGTCGGGTTCCGGTCGTCTATGTGGGATGGTAAAAACCTTTGGAGTGTCGAGATCGCGAAGCCTGATATTAATGTCACAAGGAACTACACTCCGCTTCCTCTTTATGTTGCGGGTGTTGACCCAGACTCTGGGGAGCCTCATATGAGAATGGCCCGTAACGAGTTGGAAGATGGAAAATTCATACTTTACGTGAAGAAGTACGGTGACGGGGAAGTATCCAAGTGGCTGACGGGTTTAAATCTTCTCGCCGAAGTCCAGGTCAGAGGGCCTATTATTGAGCATGAATTTGGTTTCCATCCACTCGACAAATTTGACGAGAGACCTCAAATGAGTTACATTCCTAGTGAGACTCCACCTGATCCTGAATACCCTACCCATGTTCCCAAACCAGATAAATACGTATACTACGGTGCCGGAACTGGAATTGCCCCGATTCTTCAAGCTCTTTATTCCAGGAATCCCCCAAAAGGTTTCGTGGAAGTGTACTATTCATTGCGGAAAGAATCTGAGGTACCAGCTCAGATACGGAGATTCAACTACTTCTTGGAGAAGCTGGGACGTGCTAAGTTTCACTACATCTACAGCTCTGAGGGAAAAATGCTCATGCCAGATGATGTTCCCAAACCGACTCTGTCTACTTTCAACGGATACAGAGATCTTACGGTGGCTAGGGAGATCCTGAAACAGAAGCTGTTAAAGGAGAAGCTGAAGGAAGTGCAGAGCGAGAAGGAAGCAGGTGGTGTCAAAATGACCACAGCAGAGAAACACGATATAGAGCTTCAGATCAACACAGACGTGACGAATACGGCCGACACTGAAGTGATCAAAGCTACACTCCCTCCAAGGGTGACAACTGAGGAACCATTGGGTCAGGAATCCATTGAACAGAAGGGCTCCAGGTTCGGGCTCTCCAATATCACCGCGTCCATCTCCTCATTGCTACATATCGCACCAAAACTGGATCCGAATGAGCTGCCTGAGAACGCATTGCAACAATATCATATTGAGAAGAGAGAGCTCGAGCGTCGTAGACCTGCGTGGGCACTCGTGTGTGGTCCTGCTGGTTACGTGAACTATGTTAGTGGAGAACCACATATCAACCCTGAAGTCATGGAAGATGATGCGGAAATCGGTGGCCTGTTGAAAGACAAAGGATGGGATAAGAAACACGTGAAAAGATTGGTGTAAATATAACAGAATCTGTATATACTGATAGAACTACTATAATGAAATTTTATTTCAATGCTGAGAAAATTAATGTGGAAGTGTACGCCCCAAATCGAAAAGTAAATAAACAAAAAGATACCATAAAGCGTTCTTCTGAAGCAGGTTATAGGCACAAGGGAAATCGTGATAGTGTCCACCAAAATGATACCCAGAAACGAAGGTCCATTGACAATTGAAAAGATCCTTGGCTCCTCTTCGCGGAGCTCATCTAACTTTGTGGTCAGAGGCAACCTTGTGGGCTACATAGCTAGTGGAGGCGTGGTTGTTTGCCAGGTCAACAAGTCTACTGGTGTCGTTCAATCGCAGAGGTTTTACTGTGCAAACTCCAAGTCTGCTGCTCAATCAAATGCTGCTTCATCTGCAAATGGCTATTTGAAGTTAGCTGGAGTTGTTACAGAGACAAGCAAAAAAACTGACGAGTATGGTTTTCCTGTGGGGGCCGAGCCTGAAGTGGTGAGCCGTTCTGGATCAGCCGGTAATACCTCGGAATACTCCAACAGCCCCAGCGCAAATTCTGAAGTTCCGTCTATTTCCTCAGGTCCCTCAAAGGGACGGAGATTAGATGACAATTTCTCTACGAAGCTGTCCAGTCGTTTGAGAGCCATCAACTCTATCGAGATATCACCAGATAGAAGGATTTTGGCAGTGGGAGAAGTCGGCTACCAGCCCAGAATTTTGATATACTCCCTGGCTTCGGATGCAACGACAAGACCAGTTATAATCATCCAGGAACATCAATTTGGTATCAATTCATTGTGTTTTTCTCCGGACTCCACAAAACTTTGTTCGTTGGGTCTCATGAATGATGGATTTCTGAACATCTGGAAGATCAAGCTTGAAGGGTCGGCCAAAACATTAACCTTTTGGGGTAGCAACAAATGCTCTTCCGTCGTGAATAAAGTTTTGTGGCATGAAAGTTGGATCATTACGCTGGGTCTAAGGCACATCAAGGTATGGAAGATTGTTGACGATGAGACCAACTATTCCAACACAATCATAAAAGGCCGCAACGTTTTGCTCAGGAACTTCTTGAACAGTTCATTCATTGATGCTGCTTTTTTGAACTTCCACCAGGCATATGTTTTCACTGATCAGGGAGAGCTGGCTACTCTTTCATTAAATGATGAACCCATGCATGTCACTAAAGTTGGGGAAGTCTCTCATGCTGTGAACAAGATACTCATAGACAGTGAGACCGATGAGCTGATTCTGGCAGGCTCTGGCTTTGACACTTTGCCCATTGACACCTTGATACCACAGGGTGTTCTGGATATCGATTCAGTGGAGATTAAGCCTAGCCCGAGCTCCCCAACCAAAATCGTTCCAAGAACAGGTGTTTTAGCAATGCAGTTTCTGGGATCGAACAAGATTGCTTATTTGACAGATAATGAGGAAATCCGTATTCGGGATCGCTTGACTGTGAAGACCTCAGCTTTCAATTTGCTCATAGAGCCTCTGCTAAAGAACCTGGGTGGATTAAAGAAGTGCTCGGATGGTTCTTTGGTTTTGTGGTCAAAATTGGGTGCTATCAAGACTTTGGGAGATGGGGTTACGACCGTTCATAATTTCATGCTTCCCGGAAACGAACTTATTGAGAATTCATTGCTTTCGCTCGATATGAACTCGCAGGGCGAGCTCTTTTTGGGTGACAAGTTTGGCACTTTGACGATTTTGAAACGTTCTGAGGACGGCATAATCCACGGATACCAGTCTGAACAAACTATCCGTGCCCACGACTCTAGCATTAATTCTGTGTGCTATTTTGAATTTGCAGGTCGAAAGTTTGTTGCAAGCGGAAGTAGAGACCGTACCGTTCAAGTTTTCATGAAAGATGACGTTCTCAACGACTGGGTGCTTCTCCAGACTCTGGCCATACACAAGGGTAACATACATGATGTCATTTTCTTCCAGTCACGTTTATTTGTATCCTCGTCGGATAGAACCGTGTCCGTTCATGCTCTAAGTGAGATGGATGGTGTTGTGAGTATCATACAAGAAAAGCTGATGGCCCTGAAGAACTCCCCTACCTGTATGAAGATTGTTGATGAAGACTTGATAGTATCCACCAGTGACAAAACCCTGCAATCGTATTCCATCAAAGATGATGGTGTCTCGCTGATACGTACTTTCAAACTGCTAGTCGGCAACCAGGAGTCGATTCAGGTTGAAAATGTGATTATGCATTCTGGAATCTTGGTGGTTACATCTAGTGATAAGAGTATCAGATGTTTTAACTATACCGATTTGAAACTGGTGTCTTCTGGGTGGGGGCACTCAGAGAGCATTCTAGGTCTTGAGACTACCGAAGACGGTAAGATCGTTTCTGCTAGTGCAGACGGATGTCTGTTCGAGTGGACCTTCAAGCAGCAACAGACAAGCTCCAACACTAGCTTAGCTGATTCTAGTTTGACGAGCATACCAGGCTCTCCGAGCAGCAAGGTGTTGCGCAAGGTTCTTCCACCACCGGGTTCACCATCTGCTTCCTCTACGCCTCTACGCAGACTCGCTTCTCCTTCTGCAAGACTTAATCTTTCTTCACCGGGTACGCGGCTGAGCTCGCCAGTTCGGTCGCCAGTCTCTAAAGCAACTTCACCTAGATCACCTTCTCATGTGTTGTCGTCGCCTCCACGGTCGCAGGTGCTTAGGACCAGAGTCAATTCTGCGAGCATTGGCGGGCACGATATTGACGATATCATCAATAGACTGGTTAAGTTGAAGATACCAGTGCAAAGCAACGATAATTTGCTAAAGCTCAAGAGCGAGCTAGACCGGGTCTCCAACGCTGTAAGCCAGCATCTGAACCTGAGTCATGATAATGACCAGAGTTTACAGAAGATCATCGAAAACTGCAGTGAAAAAATAGTGGAGAGTGTCTTGAAGAAAATCGATGTTTTGCAAGCCCTTGAGAACAAGGAGAATGAATAATTGACTATATACAAATTGATAAAGGCATCACAGCAACCAATAACCGTGTAGCCATGTTTCCTTCAAAGATTATTTTTGGTTCTTTTCTCCGATTCAGATTCAATTTCCGTGACTTTACCTCCTTGGTTTCAACGAAGCCTTTCTGATTGGCTCTTCAGTCTGACTTCTATGAGGAACGGCGGTTTCAGCCGCCTTTCTCCTTGCTTGTTCGATTTTGTCAAGCTCCTCTTTGAGATGAGCATTTGTTTGGCCCTCCAACTGTAGCTTTTCCATTTCCCACTTTTCGTCCGATCTCTTTGCCAACTCCTTGATGGCCTCTTGACGATGCTTATCAGCTAAGAGCTCTTGGATGGTGGGCGGATTATTTCTCACGAACCTCAGCCATTGGTGCCATTGCGGAGGAATGTTCTTGTAGTAGTCAACGGTGAACTCTTTCCTGTGATGTGGTTGAATCTTGCGTCTGAGATTCTGGAAGTTCCTGTCCATGGTGAACTCCCAATACGTGTTGCCTGACAAGTCATAGCCTGGATTGTTAGCTTAAGAAAACGATTGCAACGGCACAAATCAGTACCTACCAACAAAGAACTGGGATCTGAAGGGCACCGTCCTCAGGGCCTTCCACTTGTAAAAGAGTCTCTTGGATAAGGGAACCAGCTTTTCAAGAGGGTCCATTGTGAAATCAGCGAAATCTATCAGCAAGAGTTCAGCCTTCTGCTATTACCCACACCTTCCCTTCGTTATTGAGCCACTATCTGGAGAAACCATAAGTATCTTTCCGGTTAGTCAGCACTGTTCATCACGTGATACATATTAGCTCAACCCGAAGCAAGCTCCACAGGCTTTCTAAGTAGCGATGAGATGAGATGAGCACAAAGGGATGTGGGCAAGGCTGTAGAAAGGTCGTGATCAGCAGAACAGAGCAAGTCATTCACTAGAGATTTCAAGTTTTCGGCCATGCCGGATCTCATTAACATGGCGCCGTTGCCAATCACGATGATGGACCACGAGGAAGATGATAGCTCAGGCATAGATTCCAGGAGCCTCGGCGATCCGCACCCGCATGTATGGTGCAAGAACTGCTCAATCGGCGAACCCACGGTAGTATCGGGAAACGTGGGGTTTAGCTTTGGATCTACGAAATACGTGGTGTACTCGATACGGCTGGAGACAGTTCAAGGCACCAAGATAGTCTTGCGTAAGAGATTCAGTGAGTTTGTCAAGCTCAGAGAAGAACTACTGCAGATCCAGCAAAATGTCCCCTCTCTACCAGCCAAAACCGTCGGTCGCCAATTTGATAACTCATTTATCGAGCATAGAAGACGAGGCCTCGAGTTCTTCCTCACTGCTGTTCTTCTGGATCCCACTTTGAGTAATACGGCCCCGATAAAGCGGTTTGTCCTAAGGTAGTGTACCTTGCCCGGACCATTTCTAAGCTCAATCTAGGCCGAAACGACCTATATATAATTACATAATCTTCGCTGGCGAGATTCGGAGGAAATTGGTCAGCCCTACCGAGGCTGTCTGAGATTTGGGCCGTTTCGCAATTAATAAATAGTCCTACTTCCGCCTTCCCCCTTAGTCTTTTGCTTTTGAAATTTTATGCTAACAAGACAAATATTCAAGAGAATGGTTCACAACAAAGTTACGATTATCGGCTCTGGCCCAGCTGCCCACACCGCTGCGATTTACCTTGCTCGTGCTGAGATCAAGCCCACCCTATACGAGGGTTTTTTGGCCAACGGCATTGCAGCCGGTGGACAACTGACCACCACCACTGAAATCGAGAACTTTCCTGGTTTTCCCCAAGGAATCGATGGTTCGGGATTGATGGACAAGATGAGAGAACAATCGCTTCACTTTGGCACTGAGATTATCACCGAGACCATTTCGAAGGTGGACTTGTCACAGAGACCCTTCAAGCTTTGGACCGAGTGGAACGAGGATTCCGAGCCAATCACCACTGACGCTGTCGTGATTGCCACTGGAGCTTCTGCCAAGAGACTGAACCTGCCAGGTGAGGAGACCTACTGGCAACAGGGTATCTCTGCCTGTGCTGTGTGCGACGGAGCAGTGCCAATTTTCAGAAACAAGCCTTTAGCCGTCGTCGGAGGTGGTGATTCTGCCTGCGAAGAGGCCTTGTTTTTGACCAAGTATGGCTCCAAGGTTTACTTGATCGTGAGAAAGGACTTTTTGCGTGCCTCCACGATCATGCAGAGGAGAGCCCAGAACAACCCCAAGCTGGAGATCGTTTATAACACAGTCACTCTCGAGGCCAAGGGAGACGGCAAACTGTTGAACTCTTTGGCCATTAAGAACGTTAAGACGAATGAGGTTTCGGACCTTGCAGTGAACGGTTTGTTCTATGCTATTGGCCATACACCAGCTACCCACGTCTTTGCCGGTCAAATTGACACCGATGAGACCGGATACATCAAGACCGTGCCAGGTTCTTCGATCACATCTGTTGAGGGTGTGTTTGCTGCTGGTGATGTTCAGGATAAACGTTACAGACAGGCCATTACCTCTGCCGGGTCTGGCTGTATGGCTGCCTTGGACTGTGAAAAGTTTTTGTCTGAGCAGGAATAATAGATGTATAGAACAAAATAAGCACAATATACACTACAATAGCCTTGAGTGGTAAAAGCAAAATGCAAAAATTATATAGAGAGGTTCCAAACAAATTCGAATGATAGCAGAATAAAGAAAGAGCGCACAAGCAAACTCTCCAAGAGCAAGCATAGGTTAATGGAAGTTTAGCTGGCATCTAACACTAAGCTTGATTCGCGTTTGAGAAAAACTTTCTCAAAGTCTCCCTCAATTAGTCAACACCAGCAGTTCGTCGATATCTGATCTCGTGGCCATCAAGATACGCGATGACGTCGTCTCTGGCCATAGCACCGATCAAATCATTATTTGTGAGCTCAGGAAGCGATGCAGAAGGTCAAGTTCCATCTGCAAAAGGAATAACCGGGAAATCGCGTACACTGAAGAGGTGAATGGTTACAATTCCCATAGAGCGAGTAAATCTATTCCTTGCTTCGACTTTTGCATCCACCTGGTCAATTCTGCCTCCAAGTTCTGCGTTGCCCTGGTCAATTGTGTCTCAGAGTTCTTCAAATAGCCCCCGGATTGAATTCAAGAGACTGTTCTGATTATCGATGTATGCTTGCAAAGCTGATTGCTCTGCTAAAGTGTCACAACGCTGGCGACGTTCTGAATATATCGCAATCTGCCGTGAAACCATATCGTGGATGTGCTTAAACGGGTTGTTAGAGGGAGAAAAGGATGGGAGATGTAGCTCATCACCCCCACTCATGGGGCTGGGACCGATGCCAGGAGTTTCCGACTCGCCTGGAGTCGCAGCTGAGTGTGCATTCCGGGCCTGTCATACGATCCTGTTGTTCATCTGCCACGATTGATCTCCATTTGTCGGTCTGACAGGTGACATTGTGAGTAGTGCTTCAAAGAAATTCTCAAGGCGGGGACTTTGTATGCGGCAATGCGATCAGAGACGACACGACCTTCAGTGCTAGGAAGAACCAGAACCGGAGGACACAAGGATAACACGAAAAGAAGAATAGGGAAACAAGACAAGAGGGGAAACATCAGCCCTGTATAGCAAAGACTGGGAGGCGAAAAAAATAAATTCTTTTTACCCTGGAATACACATGCGTCCGCTCAAGAAGTGTGCAAAGCTTCCTTCCAAAGGGTGCATAACCTGTACTCTCAGCATTTTGTTCGACTAGTACGTTGACCAATATCTCACAAGATCTTGATTCAGAAGTAATTTCGCAATCTATTGCTTTTATTTGTGTAGTTTTGGCCACCTCTGAAATTTGTCCTTGTTCCCTTTGTTTTTGCATCGTGCAGCTGTGTTTTGACAGGTGCATGAGGCTGAGGATTCTGAATTCTTTGTTCTCCCAATAAATACAGCATCTTCGCTTATTCCGTCATCTTTGACACTTTAACTCCAGGATATTCCATCTATTTTTAGGTCAAAATCTCCTGACGCAGCGTTCTCAAATCAGTGAGGTGCACCTAACTCTCGACTGGATGGTTTTCACTATTGAGTGACAGATCTCAACAGAAGGTTGAGTGACCAATATCAAGCTTGTTGAGATAAAAAAGAAAAGATACCGAGGGTACAAAGTGGCACAGATGATAAGAGATGCGAATAGCGGGACCACTACATGACAACTAGTAGTGTTACCCCGCATGAACGAGATCTTGAAAAAGACCCTGACCCTGACCAAGACAATGAGCGTCTGCAGCAGCAAGGTCTTGACGCAACATTTCAGCCATCCACAACAGGAGTACTGTTGTAATCGGTACATGAAGGATAGAAGCTGAAGGAGAGAGCAAATGGCGGATGAACTGGGTGTGGCCATGCAAAATGGAGAAGCATAAAGACAACGACGCGAATCAAAAGTATTTCGATATTCTCCATGAGGCTAGTGGTCAAAATTATTGACAAGACACCAAAAATGAAGACGAAAAAAAAAACAATCGCAGCAAATCCTAAACGTCAGATCATAGCCACGGCCTCAAATCCAAACCTTAGCACAATCGAACTCCGCGTGGGGACGAGAAGTGATGATATCAGAGAAAGCTTGATGGTGGTACGAAATTTGAACAGAACAGTCCAGAAACAGTTGCGCGGGATGCAATTCCTATGTTGATTTGTGGTGTGCCATAGATCGCATATGGTGAGCAAATCTCTCACTGTGGTTTGAGTAGATACGAAAATTCATGCCAAACGTATTTTGTACCACATTATCACCAAGTGGGTGATTATGGTGCCTATTTGTTGAACCACTGGAGGGAATATGTCATACAATTCACATGCACTGATTCAATAACTATGGAAATAAAACACCAAGTTAAACTCCGTCAAATGTATATTCAAGCACAGGCTGGAAGGGGGGTCTCAGCAAAAGCCTTCCATGTCATAACCTCAGCTCCATAGACCCAGTCTCAATTATCGGCCCACTTTCAGCTCCTTCTCACCTTTTACCGGTGGGCTTTTCGTCGGTGTCTTCAACATATCCGCCCGGTCCGCTGAGATTCACATTGTTCTCCAAAAGATTCTTGACATATTTATCGCGTTGATGCACCCTCCATCTCGTGAGCTTGGCGTGCTCGTGGAGCTGGAACCCAAATACTTTGGGGATGTAGATCTGTGTGCTGTGAGTGGGAACCAGTTCTGGGTACGCCTGCAGAAACATGGCTGGGAAACTGGTACCAAAAAACGCACCATCAATGGAATGGTGTCTTGAAGATTTGGGATTGTAAAGGTCCTGGCATGATGGACAGTATAACTTCACGGGATACACTTTGGGAACGTCGCTTATACCCACCGGCAGCAGAGCCTGCAACTTGCAGTACTGTCTCTGACAGTATCCAAAATCGCCGCTCTTGAATTTCTCAGACATCTTAACCAATCCTCTGGGAGTGAGAATATAACGGGCATGTATCAGTGAGTAAAGATATTTGGCATTTTCCTCGATTCTCAACTTCACGGCCTCCGGCTGGCTCTCGTCAATGGAGTGTGCATCCGTAATCACGTCTATTAAGTAGGACAATCTGTCCACATGTTGGTTCAGTCCGGTGAGGTTGAACCGATCCTTCACGTACTCGATGTCTATGTCACAAAAGTATTCGTTTCCTCTGACTCCAAGGAACCAGTCTATCCAGTATTCGGTGAACTCTGAACCGGATCCTGAAGAAAACGTCGCTTGGGCCTCGTCTTCCATCTTTGCTAACTAGTCTTTCTACCTCGTTTGTGATGTGCTAGCACTACCAATCTGGAAGTATAAGGATGTGTGTATATATATCCAGTGGATTCAAGCTTGTAACGAATGGATGATTGCTTCAGTCCTGTTCGTTCATCCATCATTGTTTAGGATGTCTGAGAAATCCGCCGTTGCTGACACGTCCTTCTCGTGGCAGCACGCCTACACCCAAACACCACGAGTCTTGCTTGTTTCTCATTTCCAACGAATTAGGCCATACCCCGGGTCTTCTCTATTTTCTATTGAATGCATCTCTTCAAGTTCCCGATTCCGGTGGAACCCTCGGAGAGCGGGCTGGCATGTCCTGCGGTGACTGTCAACCCTGACAACACGAAAGTGGCCTTCGCGAGACTAGATGGCCAGGTATGGATATACGCACTGGACAAACTGATGGCCACGGTGCCCATAACGGCTCAAAAGCCCGATTTCACTGAATTGAGTGCTCCTATGTCGAAAGTCATTCCAGATGAGGGCCGAAGCGAGATTACAGCAGTGCGATATGGTAACCTTACTGACTTCTTAGCCGTTGGGTGCTCCAACGGAGAGGTCTACATTCAAAGAGACGGAAAGCTCGAACTGGCTGTTGAAGGAATCAAGTCCTCGGTTTCTGATCTTTCTTGGTCTGCGGAAGACGAATTGCTGGCAATCGCGACTCTTGGCGCTGGAATACTGATCTACGATGTCAATAACCAAGAGGTGATTTCCATCATCAACCAAGATGCCACCAGCATAAAAGGTATCGCTTTCGACTGCAACATGGGCAAAAACTTAATATCTCTTAGTGATGATCGTAAAGCCCTGTTGTTTGAATACACATTAACGGAGGACAAAGATGGAAAAAGACACTTTAATTCTTCGGTGAAGAGCTTTGACGGTCTGGTGAACATTTCAACTCTGAACAAGTCAAGAGTGAGGAAGTTATCTTGGAGTCGAGACAACCGCATTGTTACATTTCCCAATGCCTCGAAAGGTCCTCAAACGGCTTTGGTTACAGTGATGCGCAATCCTGAAAACCCACCCAAACAGCCTACCGGTGCGTCAGGCTCATGGAAGTCCTGGTGCAGCTTCGTAGGACACGGCTACCAATGTTCAGTGACTTCTGTTTCTCCAGTGACGTATAGAAATCTGGACTGTTCACCTCAGCAATTGGAATCGGCTGGGTTGGATATCATAGTGAAACATTGTCCCACTGCTCTCGATTACAGGTATGCCTATATCGTGGCTACGGGCTCGTTGGACTCCACCATTGCCATCTGGAGTACGTGCGCTGATTCCCCGTTGCTTGTGGCTGAAGGAATATCCAGCTCTGGTGTTGTTGATATGAGCTGGAGCAAAGATGGGTCGAAGTTGTTTTTCACAACCATCAACGGTGAGTTTTGGGTCATGGCGTTTGAGGAGAACGAGCTGGGTCCCATAGTTGACTCTTCCACAACAGGAGTCATTCCGGCATCTTTGCTAAAAAAGAATTTGAAAGAGAAGCTGAAGTTGTCGCGGGAGGAAGCCATTTTGGAGGAAAAGAAAGCATCTACGCAAGATGACACAGCAAAGTCGGTAGATGACACGGTTGAGACTGTTGTTCCACAGAAGACAAATGGAAATGCCATTGTATCTACAATGGTTGCAAAAACTAAAGAAGGCAAGAAGCGGGTACAGCCGTTGCTTCTCTCGGGTTCGACAAATGCAAATGGAAACTCTAATGGAAACGATAAGAACAAGGCCGATCGTGCATCGGCTCCAAGACCTGTTTCCACTATGGAGTTTGATCCCCCATCGTACTCTGTTGGAAAAGAACTTCCCGGGAAAGTCAACAAGCTAGCGAGGCCGGCTGACCTAGACGGTGATTCGTCAACTAACCATAAGCAACAGAAGAAGAGCATTGATGCTATTGAGATCATAGGATCGGTTGTGCTGAATCCTTCAAACGCTTTCAGTAATGTTCGCATTTCAATTCCAAAAGTGAGGTCCGTGATTAAGCAGGTCTCTCCCACCGACGACTCCTTGGAGTTGGAGATTATCAATGGAAACGGTAACGAGTCTACTCCTAGCAGAGTATCCTTAACGAAAACATATCTGCCGTTCCAGTCTTCTGAGGTGGAAAGGAAGCAAGTCTTTGTGGACTTTCTACCGAAACGGGTTTTGCTGGCCACTGGTGGTGACGGCGATTTCTGGGTGGTGGCCACAGTTGACGGGAATATCATTGTCTACAGCGATGTAGGAAGGCGTCTGCTGCCTCCCATTGTTTTGGGTTCTCCTCTCTCGTTTTTGGAGAGCAAAGGGAAGTATCTGTTGGCTGTCACATCCATAGGAGAGCTGCACATTTGGGATGTTCCAGCAAAGAAGAGTTTGTTTGGGTCGACTTCGCTGTTTCCTCTTCTTCAACCCATATATCGCTCAAATGCAACAGATTCCTCGAACAATGTCTATTTTACAGGTGAATACCTCTCAAGAGCAGAGAACCTCACTCTGTGTTCTGTTACTGCCACGGGAATCCCAGTGGTGACTCTCAGTAACGGAAACGGGTATTTGTATAACCAACATATGGGCACGTGGAGTTTGATAAGTGACTCATGGTGGGCATTTGGGTCCCAGTATTGGGACTCTACAGCTGTTGGATCTACGAGCAATGACAAATCTGCTGATGTCGATGGCGGTTCAGAGAACATCGTTTCTCTTCTGGAAAGGCATACCAACGAAGAGGTTATGAGAAAAGGCAAGGGCAGACTGTTTTCCAAGATCAGCAAGATTATGCTGATGAAAGAGGGATATGAGAATCTGGAAGTTGTAATCTCTCTGAACCACCTCGAAAACAAACTTCTCGTGTACGAGTTGCTTGGAGATGAGGCCAGTTTCAAGAATCTATTCATTGTCTATATGAAGAGATTGAGTGAGATTCCTCTCAAAGCCCGAATCTTGGAGATTTGTGCTGAGCTGTATGGGCCGAATGACGTTACTTCAGCTCCCTGGGAGCCTAAGGTTTGTGGAATTGATAAGCACAAGCTACTCAAAGAGATCGTGCTGGCATGTGCGAAGTATCGCGAGGTGCAAAGAATCTTGGTTCAGTACGGTGAAGCAGTTGACGTGATTGGGTAACTGTATGTACATTGGATTTTTTAGAGTCTATTTATGATTAATTCAAACCCATTAGCTCGTAGACATCCTTGATGGTTTTCGATGCAACCTCTCTGGCCTTTTCCGTTCCTTCTTTGGATATACGATTAAGTAAGGCGTCATTCTTCATTAGTTCGCTGAACCTCTCACGTGGGCCCTTGATTTCGGTGGTGAGTCTTTCCACCACCAAGGCCTTCAGCTCCCTCTTCTCAAAGTTCTCAACATCATTCAAAATTTGGCTGACGGGACGGCGCTCGATAGCACTTATGATAGTCAAAAGATTGGCAATTCCTGGACGCTCTATGGGGTTATATGTGATTTTTCCATCTATGGAGTCTGTTATGGCTTTGTTAATCTTCGTTTTGATATCTTTGTCGCTATCCGTGATGAATATCTTGGACAGTGGCTCCGGGTCGGACTTGGACATCTTTTTCAGAGGATTTTTCAGCGACAAGATTTTGTTGGTTGGGGCTAGCAGGGTCTTAGGCACTGGGAAATAGTCTGTCCGCAGTAACTTATTGGTCTTGATGGCGAGTTCTCTCGTTAGTTCCAAATGTTGTGCTTGGTCTGCACCCACTGGCACATGCGTAGATCTATAAAGAAGAACGTCAGCAGCCATCAGTGTGGGATAGGCCAAAAGTCCTAGCTTGACTCCACCCAAGCTCGCATCATCAGCAAGCGATGCACCAGAACTGAGGTTCGCTTTGGATTTCCACTGGGTCATTCTGTTAAGCATTCCCACTGGGGTGGAGCAGGATATCACCCAGTTAAGCTCGGAATGTTCCGGTACCGTGGATTGGTAAAATAGTCTCGCCTTTGCTGGGTCCACACCACAGGCAATGATACTGGCAAGAGCCTGCTTGCGCATGGTTCTGAGGTCTGAAGCTATTTGAGGAACGGTAATGGAGTGCAAATCGGCCACCATAAACATGGGCTCACTGTTCAATTTTTCCTCGGAAATTCTCTCTGTAAGATCACTCCAGACCCTTGTTGCCCCGAGATAGTTGCCCAGGTGAAATATTCCTGTGGGCTGGATCCCGCTGAAGATGGTGGCATCACCTGGTATGCGAAATTTGGGATCACGCACAGATGCTATCAACTCCACGGATGCAGCCGAGCTGTATGATCTCCTGAGACATCTTAGCATTGTAAGCTGTTTGAAGTTGGTCTATGAACAGGGAGATCCATTGATAAGGTTGTGCGACCCGGTATCAATCTTCAACCGGCATCTGCCATTTTCCAACGGTACCCCAGATTAACCCTTTTCTTAACGCGCGTAGCGAGATCGTGTTCTGTTTAGCTCTGTATCAAGGACATTTTTGCTAACACTACCAACTATACATTATCTTATGAGTGAGACCAACTTGGGTGCTTTGCCGAGTTTGGGTTCAGAAAAAGACGGTCCGAAGTCAGACATATTTAACGATTTCTTCAGCTTGGCGAGCACTGTGGACCCCAGACCTAAAAAGAAGAAAAAGAAGTCTAAGAAGAAAGAGAAGGAGAGTAAGTCCGATGTTGGACCAAGTCTGGATATTTCGTTTAGTGATCTGAGAAGTTCCCCGAAGGTTTTTACGGAACCCATAACGCGAGGGAGAAAGCGTGAAAATGAGTCAGATGATGAATACAGAGAGCTGACTCCCCCACCCAAACTGAAACGGGTGCCCGATCGGAGAAAAGAGCGTGGTTCCATATCGGTCACTGATGAGCAAGAGGATGCGTTTCTGCAAAGTCTACAGAAATCAACTCAAAGTTTCAACGTTGTTGATGTGGATGAAGTCGAGGCATATATCCCTCAATCTTACGAGTTCCAGACGATGAACGAAGATGATCTTGCTGAGCTTAAAAACTCAAAATTTCTAATAACGGTGCAGTCTTATTTCAATAATTCAGGTGATGAACTCACAATGAGGACAAAGGCAGACCACAAGTTCAGCAAAATCAAACGCAAGCTTGTATCGCATTTCCAGTATCCTCTACACAGGGCTGATGATTTCGTGTTTTACGAGCCCAATCTGGGGTTGACATTTGCAGATGAGCTACCTGTTTACAGTGTTACAAAATCGATGAAGAGACTGAGAACCAGTGTGGACGGAGACTATGTGTTATTGCTTCAACTGCAGGACAGAAAAGAGGCACAGCGTTTGAGCGAGAAAAGAATGCAGGAGAGACTTGTGCGGAGAGCAGAGAGAGATCAAGATAATGAAAATGATAGTGACTTGGAGGTCATAGATGAGGGTAATTCAACCTTCATTGATGAGGTTGAAGGTGTTCATATTGTCTCGTCTGCGGAGACCCAAGACGATGCTGTCGAAAGGTATTTCAGCATAGAGGTTAGAGGAAGTTCTACAGACAGTGTGAAGATTGAGGTGAGTAACTCAACTGAAATATCAAAAATCGCAGAATATTACAAAGAGAAGAAAGGTTTGAATCCACGTACCAAACTCTCGCTCATAATGGAGGATGAACTGGATTTGAATAGCACTGTTGGCGATGCAGAGCTTGAGGATGATGACATATTGGATGTAAAGATATTATAGGATGATCAATGAAACAATTGAAAAACCAAGAACCCTCTGTTTTTGTATCCTAATCCTTCTGTCTGCATATACCATAGTCCTCCAAGATGCGGCGTCCGGTCACGTGAAATTTGATCTGGCTCGAACTCATCGAAGCCTCAATTACATATTCAGAGAGATTCCCATTTGTCGCTCAATCTCGGAATTTTGAGAATTGCTTTGAATTCAAAAATGGCAGGTATCAGCACTAAGCTCATTCACGACGACGACTCCACAGCGCGTGTTCCTGACGTGGTCCAGCCGATTAACGTCTCTACCACCTATAGATATTCCAACAACCCGGATGATCTAGTTCCAGTCACGCAGCGTTCTGATGAAGAACAACTGTCCGAACTGATCTACTCTCGTTTGAACCACCCGAATTCGGTAAAGGCAGAGACGATTTTGGAGGGTATTTTGGGGGGCCATGTTGTGGTTTACTCCTCTGGTCTTGCGGCTTTTTTTGCAGCTTTGACGTACTACAACCCAAAGACATTGGCAATCGGAAAGGGGTACCACGGGTGTCATGGTATTGCCAACATCTTTTCAAGATTGAATGGGTTGAACCAAATTGGACTTGACGACGATTTCAGTGTTTTGCAGAAAGGAGATATTGTTCATCTCGAAACCCCCGTCAACCCAGAAGGTACTGCTTTCGACATTAAGTACTACGCTGATAAGGCTCACGAGAGGGGTGCCTTCCTGACTGTGGATGCGACTTTTGCCCCACCACCTCTGCAGGATCCTTTTCTTTGGGGTGCTGACTTAGTGTTGCATTCTGCCACCAAATACTTTGGAGGACATTCTGATCTTTTGGCAGGTGTTCTCGTGACCAAGGACCCCAAGGTAAAGCTCCAACTATTCCATGATAGAGTCTATTTGGGTACCAATATCCCCAACTTGGAGAGTTACCTTCTCAATAGAAGTTTGAGAACGTATGAGCTTAGAATTTTGAAGCAGAGTAAGAGTGCCGAGGAGGTTGTCAAGTATCTGAACGATAATATCGCAAAGTATCCAGTCTTGACAAAGGTGTACCATGCTTCTTTGCAAACAGATGCGTTTGTCAAGGAACAGTTGACCGGTGGATATGGACCCACCTTTTCAATTGAAGTCAGTGAGGCCGAGATCGCCAAGACGCTCCCCAGCAGACTCAAGTACTTCCACCATGCCACTTCTCTCGGTGGTGTAGAGAGTTTGATCGAATGGAGAGCTCTCACTGATGCCAGTGTCCAGCCTACTCTTCTGAGAATCAGTATTGGTATCGAGGACTCCAAGGACTTGATCGAGGATTTAGACCAAGCTTTGAGATTTGAATATAAATGAGCGAATAGAATGTATCAACCCAAATTATTGGAGAGCGTCAAGTGCGAATAATAAAAATTTCAATATTATGTTGTTTGTAGTCACCAGCCAATGTTCAGTGTGGAGAACTTGAGACTGTACACACCCTTCGGGTGGCCAAAGTGAAGCTTCACTCTTCAAACAAGTTGTCAATCAAACCCAACCATCCAGTGTGCTTTTGCAATATTGCCAATTGCACTAAAGTTTTAATATCAGATAGATTATTGGACAAGTTTGTGAATTATGGATATTGTGCTCGGAATCCAGGTGGAAGACTCGGTCATCATTGCCACCTCCAAGGCGTTTACCCGTGGTATCTCTGTGTTGAAGACCACGGACGACAAGACTAGAGTCTTGAATGACCACAATCTGATGGCGTTCACTGGTGAATCTGGTGATACAGGTATGTTGAAAGATCGTTTATTGATTCAGTTTTGCACTTTAGGGTGAGAGTCTTGAACGTCCACTAACTTTATCTGTTTTAGTCCAATTTGCAGAGTTGATGCAAGCAAATATACAGCTACATGGAATGAGAGAACAGGTGGATCTCAGACCGAAAGCAATTGCGAGTTTTGTAAGAGGTCAACTGGCCAAGTCGCTCAGATCGAGGGTAAGTCTTGTCGCAAACACGCTTTCTTTGAGATCGAATTACTAACAATCTTTACCAGAAACCATTCCAAGTCAACGTTTTGCTTGCCGGTTTTGACGAAACGACCAACCTACCAAATTTGAGCATGATAGACTACCTGGGAACTAGAGTAGACTTGCCTTATGCTGCCCACGGCTACGCCGCTTTCTACACGATGTCGCTTCTGGATCATCATTATCGCTCAAACATGAGTGTGGACGATGGCCTCAGGATTCTCAAAATGTGCTCCAAAGAGCTTTCAACAAGAATGCCAATAGACTTCAAAGGATTGTATGTGAAGGTGGTTGATGCCAATGGGATCAGAGAGGTTGATTTTGAGTAAGTAAAACCTAGCTGAAACGAGCTGAAAAATCCTTACAAAATATAAAATAAGTAGAAATTGTAGCATGGTGATTTCAGATCATGAAATCGGTGCTTTTATTTCATAAATTCATTAAAACGAAGACTTTTTCCAACAAGGCGAGAGTGCCATAGTAATAACGGCTGATAATGGGAGATGATAAGATGGGGCATCACCGCAGAGCTGAAAAATTCAAAGGCTCTCCCACACTGCAACACGTCTGTCAAAAGGCGGAACCTTCAAACACGTCGCATTTTTTTTGCTAAGACCATCTACAATGTCCAGCAAGGCAATAAGCCAGATCTGCAATGTTGTTGCACGAATAACAGGCATGGAACCGGCTGACGAGGATGTGTTAGCGATGGCAAACTTCATTCAAGCTCTACACGAGTCTTCTAACAACAAGACGGAGTTCTTGTCGAAACTTGAAGAGACCGGAGCAAATGAGTTGGCAAATCTCACTTTTGTGGATGAAATAGATAAAATCCTGAATCCCGAGTTATTGACTGTCAAAAAAGAGGAAACAGAGAGCCCTGTAAAGATCAAAACAGAGACACTGGAATTCAGTGGGTTGGCATTGGCAAATACTGAGGCAGTGGCTATTAAGGAAGAGAATGATTTCATCAAGAACTTTAAGGTTGAGGAGTCAAAGGATTTTATTAAAACAGAACGCAAACCCAAGGTGGTGCGAGAGAGGCCGATAAAGAGAGAGAAAATAGAAGACCGTGCTGACTGGGATGACGAGCCTCTCAACGGTAAGGTGTACCCAGGAGAAGTGCTGGGAATCAAAGATTACGGTGTTTTCGTGAGACTATTTGGTATCAAGTCGAGGGATAGGACAGGAGCTCCAAACAAGACTGAGGGCCTATGTCACGTATCTTGCATGGCCAAGCACAGGGTCTCGCACCCTTCAGACTTGGTGAAGATGGGCCAAGAGGTCTACGTCAAAGTGACTGGAATTTCGTCTGATAAGAAGATATCGTTGTCGATGAAAGATATAAATCAAATATCTGGTGAGGAGGAGCAAGCCGAGCGTTTTGGAACTGGCTCGAACAACATGGCTCTGGGTGGAAGAGGCCGGTCGCCCACGCGGGCTTCGTCGAGTCTCAGCAAAAAACACAAAAGGTCGACCTCAGAGAGTCCTGATCTGTGGGAATTGGCCCAAAGCTCCAAAGCATTCGGGGTCAAGAGACAGGCCGTTGATCTGGATGAGATGCAGGCAGAACTCCTGTATCAGCCCCCAATGCTAGATGAGGAAGAGGATGAGGAGATAGAGATCGAAATAACCAATGAAGAGCCCCCATTCTTGAGAGGACAGACATCCCGAAGTGGAATCGAACTACCCCCGGTAAAGATCGTCAAGAATCCAGAAGGGTCTTTGAACAGATCGGCCATGCGCGGATCCACATTAATGAAAGAGGTAAAGGAGAAGAAGTACGAACTGGCCAAAGAAGAGCAACGAAAGCTTCGCGAAGAAAAAAAGACAGACACCGCAGAAGATCCTTTCAACCAGCAGCAGGTTTACTCAAGGACAGATATGGAAAGGCGAGCTTACATGGGCCAATCATCTCGATTCGAACAATGGCAGAAGGAGAACAAGTCCGCATCTCTGGGGAAGAGAACAGACTTAAGTATAGCACAGCAAAGAGAAACACTTCCCGTATACTCAATGAGGTCCAAGCTGGTGGAAGGTGTACGCAACAACAAGTTTTTGGTCATTGTGGGTGAAACAGGCTCCGGAAAGACGACCCAAATAACACAATATCTAGCTGAAGAAGGTTTAGCTGATAAAGGCTTGATTGGGTGTACTCAACCACGCCGTGTGGCTGCCGTCAGCGTTGCTAAGAGAGTTTCAGAAGAGGTGGGCTGTAGGGTGGGTGATGAGGTAGGATATACCATCAGATTTGAGGATGTGACCAGTGCAAAGACCAAAATCAAGTATATGACGGATGGTATGCTTTTGAGAGAGGCGATCAATGATCCTTATATGAGACGGTATTCCGTCATTATGCTTGATGAAGCTCACGAAAGAACAATCGCTACTGATGTGCTTTTTGCATTGCTTAAAGTCGCTGCTCAAAAGAGAGACGATTTGAAAGTCATAGTCACTTCGGCTACTCTTGACGCTAACAAGTTCTCGACTTTTTTTGATTCATGTCCCATTATGCAAATTCCTGGTAGGACTTTTCCTGTGGAAATTTATTATTCTGCTGAGCCCGAGATGGATTATGTTGCTGCATGTCTTGACTCCATCATCTCTATCCACCTGGAGCAACCTGCTGGGGACATTCTGGTTTTTTTAACCGGAAAAGAAGAAATCGATACCTGTTGTGAAACTCTACTGGAGAGGATGCAAGTATTCTATGATCAAGGGGACACGCCCGAGCTGTTAGTACTTCCCATATACTCTTCTCTGCCTTCGGAAATGCAGACGAAGATTTTCGAGCCTACTCCTGCAGGTAAGCGGAAGGTGATTCTTGCTACCAATATCGCAGAGACCTCTCTAACCATTGATGGTATCTACTATGTTGTGGATCCGGGCTTTGTCAAAATTAACGCATACGACCCCAAGCTGGGAATGGACTCGCTGATAGTGTCGCCTATTTCAAAAGCCCAGGCCAACCAGAGAGCTGGTAGAGCAGGAAGAACGGGACCAGGAAAGTGCTATAGGCTCTACACAAAGTCTGCATATGAAAAGGAAATGAATCCGAATACCATACCCGAAATTCAGAGGCAAAATTTGTCCCACACTATTCTCATGCTGAAGGCAATGGGCATCAACGACCTGTTGAATTTTGATTTCATGGATCCTCCTCCTGTAAACTCTATGGTGACGGCTTTAGAGGAGCTGTACACTTTGACAGCGCTAGATGCAGATGGTTATCTAACCCAGCTTGGTCGAAAGATGGCAGACTTCCCCATGGAACCAGCCTTGGCTAAGACTTTAATAGCATCCTTCGATTTTGGATGCTCTGAAGAAGTGCTTTCTATTGTTGCCATGCTTTCTGTCCCAGATGTTTTCTACAGTCCGAAGGACAAGAGGGAGCTTGCAGATAGAATGAAGGCCAAATTCAATGATCCAACCGGGGACCACATTACGTTGTTGAATGTCTACGAACGCTGGATTGATAACAACCAGTCCAAGATTTGGTGTCAGGAACATTTTATTCACGATAAGAGTCTGAGAAGGGCAAAGGAGGTCAGAGGTCAACTGTTGAAGATTATGTCCAAACATAAGCATTCTCTCAGCAGTTGTGGTGGTAACATCGACCTAGTCAGAAAGACGTTTTGCTCGGGATTTTTCAAGAACTCTGCAAAGAAAAGCTCTGAAGAATCCCTATTCAAAACGATTATCGAAAACACACCTGTTCATATTCATCCTTCATCGGCACTTTTCAAGAAGACGCACGCTGAATACGTTATGTTTCATACACTGGTGCTCACAGCGAAGGAGTATATGCGGTATGTTACCAAGATCGAACCGAAGTGGCTTGTTGAATTGGCACCGACATTTTTCCAAGTTGCTAACCCCCAGGAGCTTAGTGCTAGAAAGAAAGCAATAAAAATCCAGCCGTTGTTCAACAAGTTTGATGAGCAGCAGACGTGGAGAATCAGTAAGCGGAGAGGATAAGCTAGTGTACATTAGTTGGTATCTATATATATGTCTATATGATTTTTGTGGTGGTTTCATACATCAGCTCCCATTTTGTGTCTCTGTAGAAAACACTTCGATAGCTTTACTCGTTTGTCTGGCAAATTCTATACTCAATGGTTTGCCGAAGAACAGGTCGCCTTGCAAGCCCTTTAGTGCCAAAGAAGCATCTTCTATGCTGCCAAACGACACAAAGGCCTGACCACGCATATTCTGTTTCGGCCTGTATTCAATAGCAACAACATCTCCAAACGTTGAAAACATCACATACAGCTGCTCTTTCATCATCTTCAAATGGAGCTTATCGTTGAGGTTCTTCACATACAGGGTCCAGTTTGGGTCCTGAGCAGGCACCGAGTCCGCTTCGATTTTGGGTTTCTTTGCAACTGGCGAATCATTCAAGGCCACATCTACCTTCTCCACGTCTTGTTTCCTTTTTTCAGGTACCATTATTGATTGGTGTACAGGATGTTGAGGAGCGTGAGAGCTAGTCCCATATCCATCTGCATAATTTTTGTGAAAGATACGTGGTCGTGCGTTTACGCGGCCACGACCTCAAGTCGCCATAACAATTGTTTTAGATTTATGAATATTTGAGACAAATATAGTGACATTTGTTAAATTATCAAAGAGGGATAGCTATTATCAACCCAGATTTGCAGTATTTCCACTTCCTTTGGGGTTGGCCTCCACGAACTCGTCCCAATCTCTCTTCTCATAGGTCTCCTTATCAGCAGCTTCCATATCGTCTTCGTCTACTTCTTTTTCAGGCTCTTGTGGCTTGACCATTCCGCCATTTGCCAGCTCGTAATCCAAATATTCTTCAACTGTCATACTGGGAAGTTCTTGTCCTGTGCCAAATACCTTTTTTTGTAGTTGCTTCCTGTCAGAGACAATTGTGAACGGCCTGAGAACCTTACCTTGCTTGGACAAAAGTGGCTGGCTCAGACTCTCCAGCTTATCTGTGAATTTTAGATTGGCTTCTCTGGACCCTTCTCTTTCCCTTTCTCTGTCATCAAGTTCTTTCACCTCCGTCAATCTTGGTTGTGGCATGTGTTTTAAAACCTCCAACTCCATCATGTTGGCTTCGATATGCTGAAAGGCTTGCAGAGTCTGCAACTTCAATTGATCTGTGTATATTTCTCTGACAACCTCATCGTCCATATTCTCTAGATTTGTGGTTGGGTCGTTCAGTACGGATAGTTTCAAATTGAACTCTTTCTCTGCTTTGAAATTGGCAATCTTGAGTTCTCTTCTTTTAACTGGATCGTCAGGTCTCAGCTCTGATAACGTTGGATTAAAGCTTTCTTTGAAATTATCCAATCGTTCCTGCTGGTTTCTATCCAGTAAGCCATAATTTTCCAAGCTGTGCAAAAACTGAATGTACAACGTTTGACTCGTCTGCAGAGCCTGTTGTCTTAGCTTCGTAGAATTCTCCAAAGCTCTAGCCAAATAGAAGTCAATAGCCAAATATTGTATATCTTTAGTATTAACCTCTTCAATCTCCTCATTAGTACTAAACATAGCCAGTTGTTGAATGGTCTTCTTCACAGACTCAAGATCATTGATTGTTTCAGACAGTTGATCTTGGAAGGCTTTCGAGTCCTTCCGAAGCGAGCTGCTCTCAAGTTTTTTCACCGAGTGGACCACATCCACAAACCGTTGTGAAAGTGGGACTTGTGACATTTTTCTGTGAATATCTTTTAATCTTGATGAGAAAGATATACAGAGAAGGAGATAGGGAAGTTTTGTGGGTGAGAATAGGCGAGCTCGACCTCATCGCCTTCAGCCAAAATAAGCAGGGAAGCCTCGCAGGTTGAAAAATCAGGCCAAGAAGTGATTACGTTATGTCGATTCCAACTACAAATAGATTGCTGGTGTCTCCAGCTGGACCACAATGGCTCATAATATCAAAGTACTTGTGTTCAGGAATCAAATAAATAAAGTACAAGTAGGAGATTGCAATCGAGAGCAACCCATTCGAGCCCCGTACTTTCGGTCTTGATCTCGATTCATCACAATCTCCACAAAGGAGAAGGGCTCTAGAAGCCACTCAACAGCTTAAACGGTGTCCGAGAAGGCAGAGTCTGCAGGTTTCTCTAACAAAGCTGCATGTCCAAGTATCACAACAGCGCTCGCACTGGCGAGCCAAAACAAAGTGGAAACAGGAGAAGAGATAAACAGAATTGGAATGGCGATAAACAGCACCAGAGTATACAGCTGGGAAGTGCTTATTCTGACAAATTGCAAGTTCAGTTCCCCGCCCTGTAACCTTTGAATGAAGTAAATGCTGATCAGAACAAACGATAACACGAACAACAATGGCAGGTTGGTGATCAGGCAATAAGCGCTAATCACAAGGAAAACCGCTAGATAATTGGAGTAGAAGTAATTCAAGTTGAACAATACTCTTGTTTGGAGGTCATAAACGGATCGTGGTTTCGACAGTCTTCTGTAGTCGAAGAAATCTTGTGGCGGTCTCAAGGATCTAATTCTCATCTGCAATGATGAGCTTGTGTCAGTCTAACAGTTGGTTAGTGGTGATTCCAGGGGGGTTTTCATAGACAAAACAGTAATGTGTCAACTCTTCATATTTCTGAATTGATCATTCACGTAACCGATCCAAAAGTGTTCATGCAGTTCTGAAGCAAAAAAGACTTACCCGTAGTCTCTCAAAGTCGAAATTTTGAGTAAATGATCCAAAATGGGCAGGCACAAATGAGCTCATTATGTTGATAGAACTCTTAAATATTATTAATTGGCGGGATCTTTCACTTGTTTTTTTCAATTCAGAATGGGGTCTATGCCTTCAAAGTGATCCAACATGTCATAACATGTGGCTCCCTGTTTGATAGGACCTAGTGCACGATCCGCAATGGCAGAAATCATGCCGAGGTCCTAAATAATGCCTAGTTATTCTTATTAAAACACAATAACTATTATATTACATTTCCCAAGCGGACTAAATAAAGATGCGGCAAACAGTGAATAATTCAAGTTTCACCAGGCCGTCTGCTATTACATGCCACAATCTTGAACTTATCGACGGTAACGGACTCGTTCTGATCCAGCTTGATGTTAACATCCTTGATTATAAAGGTCCAAACGTCATCACAAAACCTGTATGTGTGCAAGTGGCCTTTGAATGCCAACTTTGCCTTAACTCTATCCTTCAAATTGTCAGAAACAACTCTGTCAAACTGAAATACGCATGAATTAGTAACATCCTTGGATGGCAAGAAGCCTGGCTCAATTTCTGATGAGTTCAAGCGAAACTCAAAATTCACTCACATTTCCCAATACTCTCATGGCCAACTGAGGCTGGATTCTCTGGTCTCTGTGGATGGTGTTAGTAGGTCTCTTCCTAGAGCATCTCCCCCGTGTATCACATGCTGCATCCATATCAGCACTCATCTCATCTATTTTTGAAGACTTACAGAATCAATGTATCCAAAGCATCAGCAAGAGAAGCCCCGACTCTGTAAAGGTTAGTACTTTGCGCTGGCTTTCAGAGAATAGAACTTGTGGAAATCAGTCCTGACGAGATTGCAATCACTTACGTGCTCCTTCTGTAGAGCTCATAATACCCTGGGCCATTCATCACTTTATGGCTCGATTGTCAACAAGATAAATCTGATTATCTGGTTACTATTTGATTGGTAAAACAGAAACAGTTCTAGCAGCTTCGGGGAATGCCTCAGTTCCTGAGTGTCAGACTAAGTGTTCCTCTCTTTCTCAAAGGACGTGTGCACGGAACAAACTTATTCCAGGCTGTGCAGTGGAGCCTCAGAAAATGCTCTATAGGAGTTGAACATACTGGTCTAAGAGTAGAATAAAAAAAGTTGATTAAATATACAGCCTTTTCTTTAGTGGTGCTCATTTTCATTTGCAATATAATTCATTAATAGATGTATCTACGGTTGAGAAAGGTATCTCCTTGATGGCTAAAATTCACCCATTTGTCTACAATTTTCCAAAATCTCAAAATACCTGTTTAATTAGACTAATCTATAGTACTATGATAGGACATAATTGTTTATTCATCGGGGCGGTAAAAATGATGCGTTTTGAGAAACTCAAGAGAGTCAGAGATCAGCTCAAAGACACCGTTTGTTTCTGTCGCATAGTTGGCCCTGATCTCACTTTCAACCTTCAATACTCCAGCATCATCAATCATTGAAGCCAAAGCATCCAACAACATTGGAGAAAACTCAGAGTACCACCTATGGTTCCAAATACTCAGCTTCACAACCAAGTCCAGAATCTTCTTCTGAAGCGTCTGTTTATATTTGGCGATTTCCTCAGATGTCATTGAACCCTCGTCCTTCTTTTTCTGGCCCGATTCGATCCTCTTGATTCTCTTTTTCTCCCCCTGATAGTAGCCAAGCAGCTTCTTAGACGATCTAACCGAGAACCTTCCCGATAGTGCAAGGTTATAGGCTTCGGCTGCTTCCTTTTGATGGCATAGTCTCGAGGAAACCAAACCCAATAGCTCCCACTCCAGAGTGCTCTTCTTGAACTCCATCTGTTGAGCAGTGAAGTGAACCAATTCGGCACGATACATGGTGTAAACCCTCAAATCTTCGTAGAGTAGCATAAATAGATTGTCCAGCCACCTCTCACAAAGCCTCTTTTTCCTGTAGTCTTCTTTAGGTGTCTCGGAACCGCCATTTGCAGCTTCCACATTGCCATTAGTTGCCAAAGTTGTAGACGACTCGCTCTTTTCTTTGCGGTATTCCTCCTCCATGACGAAAACTTTGGCTCTAAATTTCAGCAATGCCTCCCAACCAGTCTTGCGTACAATTTCTGTCAGCAGACCATACGCTATTGCAAAAGTAGACTTGAGGTTACCAGCTGGCAAGTTCAAGAGGGTCTGGTCTACCTCTTTGTGTTCGTTGGCCACATCTTGGGAATTCAACGAGGAAACCTCGGGCAAGGTTACATCCACTGGTAACGGCAAGTGCAAGTTTGATGTTGGTGGAATTGTAACTCTTCTGAGGTGATATTTGTCTTTGTGAGTCACAATTGGACACGAGTTGAGGGTCAATAAAGCTTGCTCGTAGTTTCCAGTCGCAATATAAACCTTCACCAACAACGCCCATGGTAGGAAAGCAGAAGGAGAAGAGTTAACTGCCCTTATCGCAACAGGAAGTGCAAGGTCAAACCTGCCTTTCTCGTAACAAAATTCGGCTTGAGTCATCAATAAATTGCTGTCAAGTGGCCTTTCTCTTGACGTCTCGTATAGGGCCGCAATGCCGTCAACCTCATGGGAACTCATGAAGTGCAACTTTGCAATCAGATAGGAAACAGAGGGCTCTTTATGTGCCAGTCTAGTCAAAATCTCGAGTCCCTCCTGATACTTGCCCGTTATTGAAACTGCAATCATGAATGCATCCACCAAATAATTCGAGGCAAGTGTTGGGAGCTGAATTGTCGGAGCACAGCCCAATTTGGGACCTTCAAAAAACAAATCCTCACATCCCTTCAGGAAAATGGTAATGGTTTCCTCGTTTGGAAAAGGATTGATCTTGCGGATTTCAACAATTGAGGAGAAATCGGCCTCATCGTCATCAGCGCTAATCAGAGCTCTGACAACCGAGCTCACTGCGGTCTCAAGCCAGTATCTATCTTTTTCAATGACAGGATTGCCCTCAGCATCAAGCATGGAAGAAGAAACTCCACCTGGAAAATGGACATTGACTCTCGTGTCCAGCTTCGAAAACGCATTATAGGCACAGTACGTGGCTTCCTGCACTTTCCAAGGCTTGTGCTTTCCAAACCACACTTGTGGAGTTTCGCCTATGATATCGGCAATCGAATGGAGAAGAGCAGCAACGCACGCAGAGTTGGAAACATCACTGCCTGTGTAATATAAATAGGTCCCGATCTCGGTTTTGGTGCTTGGGTTGTGTTTTATCAGGTGCACCATATCTGGGGGGCCCAGATCTTGGATATCGCTCAGACATTGCGTTCTCTCGGTCAGCGAATCATTCGCATTCGTTTCCAAAACCCTTTCAGCATTAGTTAGTAGTTGTGATTATGGATCAATTGTATTGATCAAACCGAGCTAATTGAACACTCACTCTGGAATGGAACCTTGCGTTACAAAAGACATCTGCGACAATCTGTTCGTCACCAGCACAATTGCTGCGATTTTTGCTTCGCTATATCAAAGTGGGCAATATGAGACAACTGCTCTTCGAGCGATTAAACTGATATCTTGTGGAGAGCTTTGAAATGATAACGTTAGCTTCGGGATCTGCTAACCGTGTTTCTTTAGACCAGCTGTTTAATTCGCTGGGGCTTGCAATCTGGCATGTTGGTGCACTACCCGCACCAAAAAATGTGGATTCCCCACTTCAGAGCGAGTGATGTTTGGTTTATTGTTTTTATTTGCCATCAGAGCAATTGCTGATATCAAACGAGACAGTGTGTGTTACAAGGGCTTTGTCAGTATTACTAGGCATCATCGTGATGTTCATCTGGTGAAGGGCGACTAGGCAAGAGTGTCAACGTATTGTAAATTAGCATTGGACAATATTATACAGGTGGAAACTGAAATTTTCAGCCATTTCAAAGATTCTGTTCAACATGAGTGGCTACTTCTTCGGCGCTTCATCCTAGATGGTGTTAATACGTGTGTTTCATGTGAAAAAACTGTCATCCCATATTCAACTTACTTCACTCTCCTCATCACTCAAACTCCAATCTTTCGCTGTGAGACAAAACTTCTCAGGAGGGAGCCGTATACCCCATGAAGGCATCACTGGAGGCAACGGCTTTCTGTTCTTTTCAGCCGCAAGCTCCAGCAAAAGCTCTTTAGGAGGCACGGGCTTAAACTGGTAGTTTGTCCTTGAAGCAATCGCCAGCCTTATATCTTCGTTGGTCAGCGGCGAGTTAGTTCCAGCGTTACCCGCATTTGAAACATGAGCTCCAGCGCCGTGAGCGTGATCGTTATACAGTGTAGCATCCTGCAAAACACCAGTTGTATACCCTGATACGACAGTTAGTAACAAATATTCTGCACACTTGGAGCAAAGTGCTCTGCAGAGACAATATATCAAAGCAAAATCGAAAACATACTGAAAGCAAAATCCATCAGTTGTATTGGAACGTGGTCTTGGTAACTAGATATACCTTGCGTTGCAAAAATCAAGTGCAACAATCTAACATCTCTTGGAACAGCCTTCTGCTCAGATGATGCATCTCCGTTTTGCTTTGCCGAATCACCAATTTTCGAAGACATTCTGCGAATAAGTGATGACTTGGAAAGGGTCTGAGATGAGATAGACTCAAAGTCGCCAAAAAGCAGTTGATGGTGATGTCAATTGAGGTGATAGAGACAGAAGGTAGTGCACCGTACACATTACTCTCTTGGGACACAATCCGGGGACACTTCTTCACGGACTTGTTTAAGGCTTCACTTTTGCTTGAAAGAACGATAGTCTGATGATTGTTTAGAGGTGTTTCAGACAGATTCCAGTAATATTACAGTTTGGCACCATATTTATCTCACATTTTGGACCAGAATGATAGCTCAATTGTACTGTATTGACTGAAAACAACTCCAAAATGAGCCCCACCTTTGCATCTTTATCAGAAGATCTTCTATGGAAGCTCGAGAATGCACACAATAATCCTCAACCTTTCGGAAGAGTTACCGATCTGAGAAGAAACATCATTCTCGACTTCTTCTCCTCGTGGCAAATGACGGTTGGACAAGACGTTTACCCAGCTGCAAGGTTGGCACTGCCGTCTAAAGACAGAGACAGAACATTCTTCATCAAGGATAAGACCCTTGGGAAGTACATTATCCAGATCTCTCATATACCGGAGGATTCTGATGATTGGAAGCAAATAAATGATTGGAAAAGTGGGTTCCGTGACCAACTGCACTCCACAAAGACTCTTGCCGATATCTTGGCAACGATCGTTGCCAAAAGAAAACTACACCACTCTACTGGAGGATTATTAACAATTGATGAGGTAAATAGTCGATTAGATGAGCTCAATAGTGGGGCATCAGCAATCCATTTGAAGATCATTGAAGAATTTATCGACAAGATGAATCCCAAGGAGTTGAGGTACATTTTCAAGATCATCTTGAAACAACGTGTTCTCGGTAGAATGGAAAATCAGTTTTTTGAGCTGTGGAAACCTAATGGCTTACGTCAGTTCAATGTTACCAATGATTTGAAGCAGATATTTAAAAATCGTGAGATTCCCGATCAAGACTCTGCTGAGTCCATGCCTTCAATCCAATTGATGAATCCATTTGCTCCACAATTAAGCCCATTTCCTCCCGAGAGTTACGAGAAATTGGCTAACAGACTAAACAATAAATTTTGGATAGAGGAAAAACTTGACGGCGAAAGAATACAGATTCACATGGACCTCAGGACTGGCAACTTCAAGTTCTTCAGCCGAAGAGGAAAAGATTATTCTTCCATTTATGGAGAAAACGGAAGTGTACCAGGATCTGTTGCATCTTGCATAATACGGAACCATGTATTTGTCCCTGGAGTCAACAACTGCATTATAGATGGGGAGATGGTTGCTTGGGATGAAGAAAGGCAACAGATACTTCCCTTTGGAACATTAAAAGGTGCTGCACTTCTGCAAATATCAGAGGGCGCAAAGGGAAATGAATCAAGCTCTGTCCACCCATTTTTCATAGCTTTTGATTTAGTCTACTTGAATGACAAAAGCTACGAAAATTATACTCTCAGATCAAGAAGGGATCATCTGGCGACAATCATTCGAAACCCTGTCAAGTCTTACTTTGAGGTGCTTGACTACTATGAAGGTGAATCGGGGACAGATATTGGGTCAGCTCTTGCTCAGGCCGTTAGGAAAAACTCTGAAGGAATTGTGATGAAGGATCCTTTTTCACCTTACTCTGTTGGGACCCGTGCCTTTTCATGGATCAAGGTCAAACCCCATTATTTTGAGGAACTAACAGAAAGCTTGGACCTGGTAGTTGTTGGCCGCAGTGTTTCCTTGAAGAGTACGTTTGTGTGTGCTTTGTTGAAGAAAGAACCCGAGGGAGCAGAAGGATCGCTTGCCCAGTTTGTGACCTTGTGTAACGTAGCTAATGGACTTTCCAGGGTTGACTACGAAAAGATTTCTCAGGAGACAGAAAAGTTTTGGCGAAGAACAGACAGGAAGCCTCCGCCAACGGATCTCATAGATTTTGGGACAGTCATTTCAGACGAATGGATAGATCCACGTCACTCTGTTGTCTTGGAAGTGAGGGCCCGCTCCATCAATACTGAGATTGGTCTCAAGTTCGGAGCAGGAACGACATTGATGAATGCATACTGCAAATCTGTCAGGTCTGACAAAGACTGGAGAACTGCAACGACCCTGGATCAATATCAACAAATGAGGATTCCTATTGCTACGGAACTCGAAAATAAGAAAACCACGAGACGAGAATTACCATTGACAAAAAAACAGCTGTTGCACAAAAAGATGAGAAAAGGCCTGGATGTTGAGGTGGAAGACTCCCTATTCAAAGGATTTGTGTTTCACATTCTTTCTGATTATAAGTCTGACTCAGTGAGAATCACCAAAGATTCGCTCTACAAACTTGTCAGACAGCATGGGGCAGATATCACTTATTCACACCTAGATGATCTGCGGAAGGATATAAGGTACATGGTTATTAGTCAGGTCATGACTAGAGACACTGCACTAGGCCCAGTAGATCATGGCTACCTAGTCTTCCGACCTCAATGGATAATTGATTGCATAAATGCAAAGACCATAGTGCCGATTGAAAATTCGCATTTTTTTTATGGTGCAGCTATGGGGTTTCCGGCAAAGATGCTTGATGAGTATGGAGATAGCTATTATCGTGGAGTCAGTGACGATAACTTGAAGGAGTTCTTTGATCATCTCAAATTTCCAAAATCTCAACCTTCAATCCCAAGCTTAGCGATTTCGCAGCTGATGTCCTCGCTCCTAACAGGTTTATCATTTTACTTAATATCTGCCTCTTCGACTTGCGAGCTGACAATGGAATTGGAGGATACTATCATACTGCATGGTGGTGATGTTGAGAAAAAATACACAGACGCCAAAATCATTGTGGTGGTAGATGAGTACGCAAACAAAGCCGAAGAAGCTGACGTGATACAAAAAGTGGAAAGAATCAGGGATGCCCTGTCAAATCCCATTCCTGATCCAGGGACAGCCTTTAAAATTTTTACAAGAATGGTGACATACTCCTATATTTTATTATCTATAAGGGAGGGTCATCTTCTACCACCTGAAGATTACGCTTTTAGGCCACATGCATAAAGGCGATGCATGTGTGATCGAGCCGCATGCAAACAGAACATGGATCTCGAAATCATGTTCTGATCCAAAACAGCATAAGTACAAGTGGAATCCCTTTGATATAAGTATAGAATTTGTGTCGAAATTATTTTTTCGGCACTTCATGCCTCTGACATTGACCGCATCGAGCTCATCACAGCACTCTTCTGCTAGAAAGGCTTCCTCTGAAAATGTCACGACGGTAGATTCTTCGAATTCTGGTGATTTCCCGCAGCAGCTCCTTTATGTAGATCTCGAAAAAGCGCAGCCAAAAAACTATTTTCGTCGAGCGTGTAACTCGTTCAAGCATTCTGAAGAAAAACAACCATCCTTGAAGCATGAACTGAACAACTTCCAGATGCAGATGATTGCAATTGGAGGATCGATTGGTACAGGGCTATTTCTGGGGACAGGAGAGGCCTTAAGAGTTGGTGGCCCAGCTGCACTAATTATTGGCTGGACATTAATTGGAACAATGATATATTGTACTGTGCACTCGTTGTGTGAGTTGGCTGTCACCTTTCCAGTTCCCGGTGGATTCAGTTATTACAGTTCTGTTTTTATCGACGGCTCATGGGGTTTTGCGATGGCTCTCAACTACGCTATGCAATGGCTTATTCTCTTACCTCTTGAATTATCTGCGGCTACCATGACATTCAAATACTGGAACGACTTCCCTATTCCTGATTGGGCTCTCATTACGGGCTTCTTTTTGACGATCATTGCGATCAACTTGATGAGTGTAAAGATTTTTGGTTACGCTGAAGTGATCTTCTCTTTGACAAAAATCGTTGCCGTTATTGCGTTCATTATTCTTGGACTGGTGCTTGTATTTGGGGGACTGCCCGCAAGAGAAGCAATCTTGGACAAGAATTGGAAGGATCCCGGTCCTTTTGCCAATGGCTTCAAGGGTGTAATTTCCGTGTTTGTCACAGCTGCATTTTCCTTTGCAGGAACTGAGATGTGTGGTCTGGCAGCAGCAGAATCTAAAGATCCAAGAAAACATGTTCCCAAAGCCACGAAGCAGGTGTTTTGGAGAATTTGCGGGTTTTACTTCATCTCTCTTGCTCTGATTGGCCTTCTGGTACCCTCTAACTACAGCAATCATACGAAAAGATCTGAAACAGATACAAGAATGAGTCCTTTCACAGTTGCTCTCGAAGCAACTGGTGTCAAAGGAATAGCATCTGTTATGAATGTGGTAATTCTTATATCCATTCTGTCGGTTGGTAACAGCGCGATCTATGCTTCCTCCAGAACACTCCTGGCCCTTCACAACCTGGGTCACATCAAAACCTTCTCTTTCTTTAACATGGGTTATATTGATAGAAAGGGCAGACCGTTGGTTGCGATTGCATTTACGCTTGTATTTGGAATGATGGCTTATGGAACACTCATTAGCGAGACTGGTGCCCTGACTCTGTTCACTTGGCTTATGGCATTGTCTGGACTATCGTCCCTATTTACATGGGGTTCTATTTGCTTAGCTCACATTAGATTCAGAGCTGGTCTCGTTGCACAAGGAAGATCCCCTTCTGAACTTGGCTATATCTCCCCGGTGGGAGTGGTAGGGTCATACTACGGTTTGGCCATGAACGCCATGGTGTTGATAGCCCAAGTATGGATAGCAGCTTCACCAGTGGGGCACAATGCCTCGATCGAGTTATCCTTAAAGGCTATTTTAGGACTTCCCATAGTGCTTCTCTCATACCTAATCCACAAGATTTACAAGGCGTTTGTGACAAAAACAGACAAATCGTTCTACATCAGCTCAAAAGATATGGACCTGGATAGGGGCAGACAAGAAACTGACATTGCGGCCGCAGGTATATGTTACGAGGAAGAGAGACGAGAAATGAGGCAGAGACCTCCTTTGACTCGTCTTTATAATTTCTGGTGCTGAAAGAATGGGGAACAAAAATATATTAACAGAAAAAACACAAAAATTGTATATCTGAATAGTGAAACAAAAGCAGAAACATTATGCGTGATCGTAAGCCTTGGTAGGCTGTATTGCGTGGAGCTACCTGAAGTTCATGCATGGGAAATGCATGAGTTGCAAAAAGTGTGCGGGTAATAGCTAAACACTCGAAGTGCTCAGGGTTGGCGAGTTGGGTATCATGACAGATGGGTTTATCATATCAACATCTGGAGCCTGACCAGAGTCGTAGTAATTCTTGAGCCAGCTAACGTATTTCTCGACATTCTTGTAGTCGTCCGCTGACTCCTGCGCTGTATCAGGCCGGGTTTGATTATCTTTGTAGCACAACGTCAGAACTAGCTTTTTTGCAGTCAACACATAGTTTTCCGCACGAGATAGAAAACGGCCATCTTCGTACTTGATTATGTCTCGCGGCTGAAACGTGGCTGTGAGGACCACGTTGTAGATCTGTTTTTTGGTACTGGCCTCACTGTTTGCAAATAAACGCAGAGAGCACAGCTGATTTTTTGCTATGTTTTCAGTGAATCTACCCTGAAGTATTGTGCTGTATCCTATCGGGGGAAGCTCGAAACTGCTATCGTCCCCGGTGAGCCGCACGACGCATATGAAAGGATACGCTACCGACTTCGTGGATGTTCCTGATTCCTTTGTAATGGCGCTAGCCTTCTTGTGTTTGGCCAGTGGATCTAGCCTGCACAAAGCAATGTGGGCTATCTCAAGATCCGGACAAATTTGAAGATCTTGACCAGCAATAGCACTTACAGCAGCAATGGATTTCGGATGCGTCAGAGCACTGTAGCAGAAGGGCGCCACATCGGCGCATTCGCGTAGCGTGGGTGCTAGGCATGAAGATTTGAGAGATCGGTCATCAGAAATTAGTGGCGTGACCGAGCCTCTATGACGATCACCCAAGTGTTTCTCATTATACTGCTTTCCATGTGACAGATAGCGCAGTGATGATTTCTTTTTGTTCGTCCTTTTCAGTACTAAAGCTTGCTGGCAGTTGATAAGCTCTCTTCTCATAATCTCGCAGCATTGTTTTGTAAAAAGGGGCAAAGCTCCTTCGCCCGTAATGTCCATTTGGTCAGACTCCTCTACTCCCAGCGATAAGAGCTTGACTTCCTTTGAAAGATGTCCCTGTCGATATCTCAAATGCGTCGTGGGGTCAAACTTAGGATAACACAACTCTGAAGAACGAGACAAGTCTCCTGCCATTGACCGGCTCGGTGACATTGGTGCAGAAGATGGAGAGGGAGCTCCCAGTGTTGATGGTGAAGATGGCGACTCAGGCAGAGCTCCAAGCCATGCCCTCAGTCTATTCGAAAGAGTCTCTGATAACCCGGCGTTGTCCGAATCCTTTTCGGGGTCCCTTTCTCCATTGTTATATCCACTATCCATAGGTCTGGACATGTTGAAGCTTGCAAAAGCTGTTCGCTAGCTCAGTAAGCAGAGCACGATAATGCGATGGTCTCTATGATATGGAGCCTGCAAAGCATGCGTGTGCGACGATAGATTCCGCTAGCTGGCAATGAACACGTTAATTTCGAAGTAAAGTGCAACCTTCAGAAGTTGAGATTTGCAAATGCCACAGCAACAAGATGATACATGCAATGCGATATCAGCGTAATTCCATATCTAAATTCTTTCATCGATTTCAAGATTGCATCAAAGTTGCCCAAAAGGGACATTGTTTCCTTGGTAGTGTACGGCTTAATCACGCTCTCACCAGACTTGCTTATTTAGGAAAGGTGTTTCAGATAAGATAGGGAGGATCGAAGAAAGCCTTGGATAAAGTGTCAAAAATGGGGAGACAGGGAGCAACTAATAAGGCGGAGAAACGATTGTGTGGTTATCCCGGGGAAATTTGACGTTTTTAACGTCCCTGAGTCTACGAAGAACTCATGATTTAGTTCCATACTTGCTAAGATACCACTGAGATCCTCACATAACGCACTAGTCTGAATATACTGTAACCATAATTTTCTTAATTTTTGAATTAACACGTGGGATTGTCGTTTAAATACGAATAATTGCTCGTGAGAAATTGAAAACAAATTCCGGTCCAAAAGTCCCCTCCCCCAAGCTGGATCTGACTTCTATATCGGCATCGGCTTACCGCTTTTGCGTGGCTTCTACAACTCGGTATACGGATGTGGGTTTTCGGTTTTCACGGAGTTTCCAATCAGGCAAAGCTATACTTCCGTTTAGGTCTCAAAATTACATGAACATTACGGTGAAATAGACGATCTCTGGGTATCATTCAAAGCGCAATGGCATTATCTCCAAAGAAGTTAGATTTGAAAGGGCTTCCTGCGACCATCTACCCTTTTCAAACGGCCGATGAAATACCTGAAAAACTCAAGGAAGTACTGTTCAAAACATTCAATGACGAGCTTGAGAGAGGAGATACATATCCACAGGAGTTTCCTGCCTCATATGAGGAGTTTGATGCGTATTGGTTGCACTATTTCGTCGCGGTCATGCTAGAGGGAAACCTCAGTGTGGAGGAGCTAGGCAAAGTAGACAGTTTCGAAGATATTTTTCTCGGAAGCTACTACATAAAACCCAACTACCCAGGCCGGTCTTCACACAACTGCAATGCCGGATTTTTGGTCAATTTCGCGAAAAGAGGAAGGAGTATAGGAAAGACACTGGGACAGAGTTACCTTGAGTGGGCACCGAAACTGGGCTACACTTACTCGGTATTCAATCTGGTTTACGAGACAAACGTTGCCAGTTGTAAGATATGGGATGGCTTGGGATTTGATAGAATAGGCAAAGTCAAAAATGCCGGCCGTCTGAAGGGCTACGACCACCCCGTTGCGGCGATATTGTTTGGTAAAGATCTGGTCTGAGACCCTTGTGATCTGTGGCACTCCACAAATGGGCTGGAAATTGCTACACAGTGACACTTCGTAGACAATGGCAGTGCCCATAAATAAAACTGAAACAACATAAAACTTAAATAAACCCCAGTTCAGTGTTGTGTAGTCTGCGGCAACTCCAGGTTTCCAGACCGTGGCTACTGAGACAGGGCTTTAGCAAGCATTATCGTGTAACACACTACCTTTCATCTTCTCAGACTTCGCAAGAAAATTTTGTTCCTGGATATACGCCTGAGTGTGCTGTTGTTTACTTATCTACTTTGTACGTTTTGTCAAAACAAAGAGTAAATCAGTTCAACTAGCGCGTTTAGAAGACTGACCACGCCTTGACAAGACTTTTCCGCGATCCTATACTGATAGATTACGCAAGGGGATCGTGTTTTTTAGGTGAAAACGACCACATTTTGCAGAAATCGAGTACATCCATTTGTTAAGCCATGCCAAACTTTGACGATGTATCACACACACCACACTATAGACCACAGTTGGACTATCCTGTGTCGGTGATCCAGAATCTCACAGTTCTGCTGAAAGATGGAGAAACGACGGCCACGATATATCCGATCACTTCTCCTGATGAGTTACCTCAGGGTCTGCTTTCGTTCCTGTGTGAGGAGTTCAATATGGAGATCGAAAAGGGTGAGACCTTCCCCTTTTTTGATACTCTGATGCTGGAAGCATTTCAAAACTACTGGTTTGGATCATTTGCTGCAGTTATGGTGTTGGGATCCGCCCCGCAGTTGGACAGACCTAGACAGTGGGAAAAGGAATGCCTGGGAACGTTTTTCGTCAAGCCAAATTACCCCGGTAGATGTTCTCATATCTGCAACGCTGGCTTTTTGGTGAATGCTGGTATTCGGGGAAAGGGAATTGGTACGACTTTGGCGGAGTGTTACTTGGAATGGGCCCCTAGGCTTGGGTACACATACTCTGTGTTCAACTTGGTGTTCGAGACCAACATTGCTTCCAGAAGGATATGGGAAAACCTTCATTTCAGACGCATCGGAAGAATCAAGGCAGCTGGTATTTTGAAGGGGCATGATGACGCCGTCGATGCTCTGATGTACGGTAGGGAATTGGTTCCTGACAATGACACGGATGTCGGCACCTACAGGTTCGACAAGATCAAGTACTATCTGGAGACTGGAAAGTACCCACCTATGGCAGACAGACAGGAAAAGTCCAGACTGAGATCGTCGGCATCTCACTATAGGCTGCAAGATGGCAAGTTGCTGTTAAAGGGCAAAGAAGTTATCTCAGACCCTCGAAGACAATTGGAGATCTGTACCGAGATTCATTTACAGGGACACATTGGGATCAACAAGACCACTTCGACTGCTTCTGAAAAGTACCATTGGACTAGGATCAAGGATACGGCCTCTTTGGCCATCAGAAACTGTACGGAGTGTCGTGATCCAGCTAAGGTGTCTGTCTCGATGAAAGGAAGATCGCTTCCTGCTATCAAGAAAGCACACATTCTCCAAGAGAATCTTTTGCGGTCACCAAGGAAAATGCAAAGAACTGACGATGGCGTTACTTCAAGAGGACCTCAAGATGTCCAGGCGATGGTGGCTGTTGCTGCCGCTGCCCAACTGCACAATCTACCCTCCAACCAAATGGACCGTCAACATTCTCATGACAACGTGGACACTTCAATCTTGACGGGCGAGTTAGGATTGGATGATCCCGGTATTATGGCTGCTGTTGAGATGGTAGAGCGCCATTCGAACAACCAGCATCACACGCAACAGTATGGCGGCCACAACAACGCAGAACAGCAGTATACCAACTATCAGCAGTACTCTGCCCAGCAACACCCCCATGACAACGGTTCACGTCACCATCACCATCACCATCGCAGGAACAGTGATCAGAGCGACATACCAGTTGATCCTCAAGTTGCCAATGCGTTTGATGATGAACATGGCGGATCTGAGATGGAGATTGCGCGGGCCTTGATCCAGGCAAACGAGAACAACGACGGCGATACCAACGACAATTCGAACATATTTCAATAATGCAGCGCTATATGTTTTTACCGGCTCAACCAATTTGTGTACTATACCACTTAAGCTTATACCGAAAAAAAAACGAATGCATATGCACTACTGCATTTAAATATATGTTAACGTAAGTATGCATGCATTTATTCTATACAATGAAGCGTGTCTTCACTAATCAAAGCTCTAAATACAAAGAAATTCAAATAAATGTTTTCTGAAATTGACATTTTACGAGAGCATGCTGTTAATTCAGGTTCATCCGGAATTCCCAAATTCCCCAATATGAGAATTCGAATACCTGGATACAACGATATGCTTCTCTATTAGTTGATTTGCCTAGAAGTCAACACCGATAACCATTGCAAGCAAAGCCATTCTGACAAAGAGACCGTATCTCATCTGTCTGAAGTAGGCAGCACGCTGGTCAAAGTCAACTTCTTCACGGATCTCGTTGACTCTTGGAAGAGGATGCATAACACACATGTGTTGCTTGGCATACGACAGGATCTTGTTGTCAACAATGTAGGAATCCTTGAGTCTTTCGTAGTCGGCTGGGTTCGAGAATCTCTCCTGCTGAACTCTAGTGCAGTAGAGAACATCGGATCTGGCAATAAGCTCCTTGGTAAGCTCCTCGCTCTCCACAACAGTCATACCAGCATCGATCAGTTCTTGACGATGGTGCTCTGGAAGACGCAACTCAGGTGGGGCAACCAGTTGGATGCGCACCTGATAGTGTCTCAGCAGACGACAAAGAGAGTGAACAGGACGGCCATACTTCAAGTCACCCATGAAGGTAACGGTGATTCCGTTGACTGTTCCAAGCTCTTCACGGATGGTGAATAGATCCAAGAATGCCTGGGTAGGGTGCTCGCGAGCACCGTTTCCACCGTTGATGATTGGAACTGGAGAGTACTTGGCAGCAGTGTCAGCACTCTCTTCGGATGGGTGACGGATCACAATGGCGTCGGAGTAACAAGCCATTGTGCGGATGGTGTCTTGCAAAGTCTCACCCTTCTTAACAGAAGAGCCCTGCTCGGTAATGGCGACAACACGACCACCCAATCTTTGCATAGCCGCATTGAAGGACGAGGAGGTACGAGTTGATGGCTCGAAAAAGGCAGTAGTGAGCACACGTCCCTTGAGAATATCCAAGACACCTTCTCTTTCAACACCAAGGCGCATTTCCTGAGCAACGGCAAACAAGCAGTGCAAGTGCGAACGAGTGAACTGGTTCACAGACAACACGGAACGACGCAAAAATGGGTTGTTTCCTCTGACATAGGAGGTGATGGCATTTGGTGGAGACAGTTCACGGGGAGGCTTGGACACCAACTCAGCTCCGGTTTCAACTGCACCTTCCTCAAGAGAGGCACCGTCCTTGAGCATGCTCTCAAGGAAAGAACCACGACGAGCAATGGACTCAGAGTATCTTGAGAGACGTCTGGTGGCTGGAGACTGTGGCATATCGGTCACCTGGTTGAGTGGAGTGGAGATGATGTGCGAGTGATGTTGGAATCTAACAGTGTCCTGCTTACCAGAGGCCTCGTTTCCGGTAACCTCACCTTCAAGACACACGGTCTGACCATTCAAGTGAACACGCTCAACAGCAGCCTTCTTGTTCTTGAAAGGAGAGAATCCCTTGGCCTTGGACTTCAAAGAGACAACAAAACGGTCGAGATCAACCTCAACAGCAGAGTCCTGATCAACCAGATCAAAGATCTTGATTGGGGCATCATGGAATTTGGCAATGATGTCTTCAATGGTCAATCTTCCGTCCTCAACAGCCGAGAACAGCAATGGCAAACTATCAGCAATACCGACACCGGCAGAGCTGTCCTCACCTAAAGCTTGAGCAACCAGGGTTGGAATGCACCCAACGGAGAAACAGTCGATTTCATCGAGTCCCTCCCACAGAGCCTTCTGGTCATCCTTAGTTGGCAAGAAGTCAAGTTGAGGGTAGTCCTCCTGAGACAGGAATAACGAGTACACAGAAACATCACAAGTAACCTGCAGTTTCTTAGCCTTGGCCATAGATATCAAAGCCAAGTCATCGCGGCTAACCACCTCGGTGACATGGATCTTTCTGCTGTGAAGAGAAGCCAACAGGAGCATTGAAGCCAAGTCAGTCTTCTTGGCATCAGTCACGATTGGCTTAGCTTCTGGCCAAGTAGCAAAATGGGCCGAGATGGCGGACACCTTGTTGTTGGAGAACTGGTTGAATGGCAAGTAAAGGGCACTCGACAGCGAAGCAAGACTTGGAAGCTGATGAGCATTCGACTCAGAGGCTGCCACAGAGAAGGAGTAGTCAGTGAAAGCTGAGCCCTGAGCTTCCTCATTAGCAGCAGCCAAGGAATGGGCATCGGTGATACCAGCTCCAACAGCAGATGAAGGCAAGATTCCAGCAAAGGTGAATCCAGACTGCAAGGCAGTGCGGGTCACCTCTTGGATATCGGAAGATGTGAACGCGGGAACAAAGGTGGAAACACTGATCAAACCAGGAAGCTCGGCAACGTTGTGAGAGGTCTGAGCATCAACACTGGAGACAGAAAGGTCGATGTTTCTGGCAATAGACTCCACCAACAACTTGGCACATTTGACGTTAGTGACCAAAGGCACGGCATAGTCAACAGCCATACGACGAGTCAGATAACCCTTCGAGATGTAAGACGAAGGACGACGGAATCTGTTTGCAGAAGGCAAGTTGATGTAAAGATCAATCAGGTTGTTGGCCAAGTGCTGGGTCAAAGAGTATTCGGATTTCTCATCCTTCTCGTCGCTCAACACATCCAAGTACTGAACTGGAACGCCGTGTTCTTGGATGAAATCGGCAGTACCAGCAGTTGCAAAAAGACTGTAACCAAGCTCATAAAGCTTCTTGATAGAAGGCATGAGCTCCTGCTTCTCCTTGAAAGAACCAATGGAGAGCAAGATGTTCTTCTTTGGCAATTGGAAACCAGTGGAGATCAGCGACTTGAGATAAGCCTCGTACTTGTTGCGACCGAAAGTAGCAACCTCACCAGTGGAGGCCATTTCAACACCAAGAACTGGATCAGCACCAGAAAGACGAGAGAAAGAGAACTGAGGAACCTTGACAGCACAGTAGTCAGCTGGCAACTTCTGGCCTGGATATGGAGTAACTGGGATATCCATCATTGCCTTGGTAGCCATCTCGATCAAGTTGGTACCAACAACCTTGGACACAAATGGACAAGATCTGGAGGCACGGACGTTACACTCGATGACCTTGATCTCGTTATTCTTGGCGATGAACTGGATGTTGTAAGGACCAGTGACATCAAGAGCCTTACCGATCTTGGCTGTGGCCTCAACGATTCTGCTAACAGTCTCTGGAGCCAGATCCTGAGGTGGAACAATCAGAGTGGCATCACCAGAGTGAACACCAGCATTCTCAACGTGCTCAGAAACAACGTGCATGATGAGCTTACCATCCTTGGCAACGGCATCCATCTCAATTTCCTTAGCGTTCTCGATGTACTTGGTGATGACAACTGGGTAGTCTGGAGAAACCTCAACAGCCTGAGACAGGTAAGAGGCAAGATCGTCACGCGAATACACAGTGTTCATGGCAGCACCCGAAAGAACATAGGAAGGACGAACCAAGACTGGGTACGAAACCTTGTCGGCAAAGGCCTCAGCTTCCTCGAACGAGGTGAGCTCCTTCCAAGCTGGCTGATCAACACCAATCTTGTCCAACATACGAGAGAACTTGTAACGGTTTTCTGCCGAATCGATCATCTCCGGAGAAGTACCCAAAATCTTGACATTTTGACGGTGCAATGGCAGGGCAATGTTGTTCGAGGTTTGACCTCCCATGGAGACAATGACACCAGCAGACTTTTCAGTCTCGTAGATATCCAAGACACGCTCGAGGTTGATGGTCTCGAAGTACAATCTGTCTGCCTCGTCGTAATCAGTGGAGACGGTTTCTGGGTTGTAATTGACCATGACAGCCTTGAAACCGTTCTTGCGAAGGGTACGAACAGCAGTGACGGCACACCAGTCGAATTCGACCGAGGAACCAATACGATACACACCGGAACCCAAAACCACGACTCCGTGGTCGTCGAAAGTCACATCGTGGGAGTCCGCACTGTACGTCATGTACAGATAGTTGGTGAAGGCTGGGAATTCGGCTGCAACGGTATCGATCTGCTTGACAAACGGAACGATACCGGCTTCCTTTCTTAAACGACGAATGGCAACCTCATTGGAGTTCAAGAATTTGGCAATCTGTCTGTCTTCAAAGCCCAATTGCTTGGCCTGTCTCATGATAGAAACAGGCAAGTTTTCCTTGGTAACATAGCTGGCGATCTTCTCACCGAATCTGATCAGCGAGTCCAGCTTGTTCAGGAACCATTTGTCGATATTGGTGAGCTTGTGGATCTTCTCGACAGAGTATCCAGAAGACATGGCATTGGCAATGGCAAACAGACGTTGGTCAGAAGGAGTCTGCAGCTCAGAATCGATGTCGATGCTCATGAGAGCCTCAGTCTCGTTGAAACCAAGGTTCTGATAATCGGTGGATCTGATGGCCTTCTGGATAGCCTCCTCAAATGTACGACCGATACTCATGACCTCACCGACAGACTTCATGGAAGAAGAGAGCAAGCTCGAGACACGAGTGAACTTCTTCAAGTCCCATCTTGGGATCTTGACAACAACGTAGTCCAGAGATGGCTCAAAGCAGGCACAGGTGACCTTGGTGACAGAGTTCTTGATCTCGTTCAATGGGATGTTAAGACCAAGCTTGGCTGCGGTGTAGGCAAGAGGGTAACCAGTGGCCTTAGATGCAAGAGCGGAAGAACGGGACAATCTGGCGTTGACCTCAATAATGCAGTATTCCTTTGAGAATGGGTTCAAAGCATATTGGATGTTACACTCACCAACCACACCGAGGTGACGAATCACATTGACCGCGGTGGTTCTCAACATGTTGTAATCCTCATCGGAAAGAGTCTGCGAAGGAGCGACGACGATCGAGTCACCGGTGTGGATTCCAAGAGGATCAAAGTTCTCCATGTTACACACGGTAATACAGTTGTCGAAAGCATCACGAACAACCTCATACTCAATCTCCTTCCAGCCCTTCATGGAACGCTCAACCAGCACCTGAGGAGAGGTTGCAAACGCTTTGTTACAGAGCTCAATCAGCTCTTGCTCATTATCGGCAAAACCAGAGCCCAAACCACCGAGAGCGTAGGCGGCACGGACAATGACTGGGAAGCCAATGTCCTTCACGGCACTGAGAGCCTCCTCGACGGAAGAAGCAGTCTGAGACTTGGCACATTTCTCATTGATCTCGTCCATGGATCTGGCAAAAAGCTCACGATCCTCGGTGGTGATGATGGTGTCAATTGGAGTACCCAGCACAGTTACTCCAAGACTCTCGAACTCGTCCTTGAGCTTGATACCAACGTTCAAAGCGGTCTGTCCACCAAATGTACAGTAGATGGCATCAGGTCTCTCGTGAAGAATGACCTTTCTGACAAAGTCTGGTGTGACAGGCAAGAAGTACACCTTATCGGCGAGACCCTTAGAGGTTTGGATCGTGGCGATGTTGGGGTTGATCAGAATGGTATAGATACCTTCCTCCTTCAAAGCCTTGATGGCCTGAGATCCAGAGTAATCGAACTCACCAGCCTGACCAATGGAGAGACCACCAGAACCCAACACGAGCACCTTTTTGGCATCAACCCTTGGGAACTTGGCTCTGTTCTCCTCGATCTTACCACCGGGGAAAGCGACCGGCTTGAAGGTCTTGGTCTTCTTGAAGTCCACAACGGCGTCAATGAAGGTGTCGAACAGAAACTCCGTATCTCTTGGACCAGGAGTAGATTCTGGGTGGAATTGAACGGAAAAGAATGGCTTTTCCGTGTTGTAAATACCCTCGTTAGAACCATCGTTTGCGTTAACGAACAGTTCCTTCCAGCCAGAAGTTAAAGTATCCACATCAACAGCAAAACCGTGGTTCTGGGACGTGATGTAACATCTACCGGAGATGGTAGAAGTACATGGAATGTTGTGACCTCTGTTACCGAACTTCAACTTCAATGTGGACGCACCAGAGGCACGAGCCAGCAGCTGGTGACCGAGACAGATACCAAAGATTGGGGTCTTGGCCTCCTTCAAGGCAACCTCCAATCTGGTGATAACATTAGAGAGAATGGCTGGATCACCTGGACCGTTAGAGATGAACAAACCGTCGTACTCGTCCTTAAGGAAGTCGTAATCCCATGGAACAACCTTCAGCTCGACTCCGCGATTGACGAAACATCTGATCTGGTTGTATTTCATACCAACATCAAGGGCCAAAATGCGAATAACCTTGCCGTCTGGGCCAATCTTGGCTCCGTCAGACTTTGGCTTGAACACTTTGGGTTCCTTGATGGAGACACCTGCAACGATGTTCTTGGAGTTGGGGTCTTTCCATTCGGGAATGTCAAAGCATTCCTTCCAAGTCTCAATCGAAAGAGCCTTCTCGTTGAGCGTGTTTGGTTTCTGTAAGCAAAATCTACCAAGAGTAGATCCGTTCTCTCTGAGGGTCTTGGTGAGGGCTCTGGTGTCTACACCGTAGATGGCTGGGACACCTTGCTCCTTCAACCATTCGCCCAAGGAGCTTTTGGCCAGGAAATGGGAGTATTCCTCGGTGTAGTGCGAAACAACCAAACCGGCAACATGGATTCTGTTGGACTCGAAGTATTTGGGGAGACCTTCGACAAACTCATCCATGAGCTCACGGTCTGGAACACCGTAGTTTCCAACCAAAGGGTATGTGATCACCAAGATCTGACCCTCGTAGGAGGGATCGGTGATAGCCTCGGGGTAACCAACCATACCAGTTTGGAAGACTAGTTCACCAGCTGAGGCAACCTCGGCACCGAAAGAGTAACCTTGCAAGACCGAACCATCCTGAGTTTCTAGAGAAATGATTCTGTCTCCAGTCGACTCCATAGGAGGAGTGATTGGGTTTGAAAATTTGGCAGCAGACATAGGAAGAGTTTTCTAAGGTTTGAATGAACCTGGTGATGGTGTTAGCAAACCGGAAAAGCCAAAAAAATTTATGAGCCTCAAAGAAGTACGCGTTGGTGATGTTTACTAGGACTACGAAGAAGATAAGCCAATTTATCAGATCTTTCGATATGACGTTTGATTAAGCGTTATCTCTCTTCTTCTCCCAGTCAAAGCGATTTTGAAACCCAGTTTCCTTTCTGATACTCACCTTTCCAAAGTTTTAAACGAGTAAAAACAGAATTAGAGTGTGCGACCGGTAGAGATTTAGATCTGGGCCTGGTTGAGCTTCGATCTTATGGGGAATATCACCACGGATTGCAACGTCTCTGAACAGAAAGGATATGATTCGAAACCGCTCCTCTTAGGAGAAGAGAGAGAGAGAGAGAGGAAGAAGAAGAAAGAAGAAAAAGACTGAAACATTGGTTAGCCTTGTGTCTTTTGCAAAACTTGATGAAGTAAATTTTTTTTTACGCATCTGTCCGGGTAACATAGCTGCCGGTTGCACGACGTCACCTTTTCTTTGCAAGCGCACGCTTGCCCATGGTCTGTGGTCGTGCGCGGCCAGTCCAATTAAATTCTGAAAACGCTTCTGTGTGTTTGCGTTATTGGAGAGGCCGGCCAGACATTGACCGTACGTCTGATAACTTTGCAGTCCTTGAGGTGTGGGTTTGACTCATCAACCGATTAGACTTGAGGCTGACTCAATGGTTTTGCCAGGGAGAGGCAGGTTGGCCCCGAAGGACACTTTGGGGTTTAAAGTGCGAAGGAAGCTAGATAAGGTGGAGAAGGCGATCGGACCCTTCATTATCAAGATTATTCCAAGTTTCATTGTGGCCCACTATGTTTATATAATGTCTGTTTGCATTATTGGGTCCATTCTGATATATCCACAGAAGAACTTGAAGTATATTGATGCGTTGTTCTTTGCAGTTGGAGCGTCAACCCAGGCTGGCTTGAACACAATCGATTGCAACGACCTCACGCTGTTTCAGCAACTAGCTACCTATCTGATCGCGATGATTACCACTCCGATTTTCATCCATGGATCTCTTTCTTTTCTGAGGTTATACTGGTTCGAGAAGTATTTTGATGATATCAAAGTGAGTGCCAAGCAGAATTATAAGATGAGGCGAACTGCAACCTTTGCTGCTATGAGGTCTCAGACCATGGACTCTCAAAACCGCCGAACGAGATCGTTCAATATGACAGAATCTGGTGGTGGTGGCTTTGACATCGCTAGAAGAAACAAAACTTACCAGGAAGCTCTCAAAAACAATTCTTTGAGTCCAGGAATTGCTACTGAGACGTCTCCTTCCTCATCCAGCACGCAGAAGTCAACAGATTTGGACCAGCCCAATCAGGATATTGGGATGAAAATCCTTGCTCCGAATCACTCAGAAGTAAGCCCTACTTCAGCAGAATCGATAATGGAGAGTATAGACAGTGAGGTGGTACATTTGACTGAGCCTAGCGACTCAGAGGAGGACGTGGTGGAGAGAATACCCTTGGATCTCCAGTCTCCAGCACCTCCTCCTCCTGTGATAAGAACACTTCCACCGACGGAGAGTCCAGAGACAGATATGACAAGTTCGGCCTCAATAACACCATCAGTAGGCGATGCTGTGACTTCTCCGCAGATCAGTTCTTCTGAAGTCTCTTTAGGGGAGATGGCCGAACATTCTGGAGCCAAAGCTATAGAATTTGCGTCCTTGCCTCAGCCAAAGAGAGGCCGTATCGAGCCTAGAGACATGTACATGTCGATCGCTATGATGCAGAAAAACAAACAGATAAGCAACGAAAACGCAGAGTCAGGGCCTGCTTTGAGAATCAGTGGCCCGGCAGAAAGAGAGAGACACAAACACAAGCCTCGCCACGGCCACCATGGCCATCATCATCATCACCACCATGGACATTCTTTAAGTCCTCATGGACATTCAAGGGACGTGAAAAGTCCCGGTAGACACTCACGATCCCCCAACAGACATACCCACGAGATTTCAGAGCCCGTTGAGACAACTGATCATAACGAAAACCATTCTAACGATCAGCCTTCTGGCCAGGATTTGCACGAGGCGGATAATGAGGCCGAGATTTCAGGCCTTCGCCAGACGCCCACATCCATTCATTTTGCTGTGCCCGATATCCCTAGGCGTGATGGAAGACGAGACTCTCATTTGAGGCCTTTGAACCATGAAGCTGACAACGAGCTTGACGAGGTGGAAGAATTGGAATCATCGGATGAGGAGGATCCCGCTTTGATTGCAAGAACGCAAAGTCAAGTGGTCGGCAAGTCCGAAGGCAGATCTCAGTTGCCAAAGAGATCAATGACTCTTGATAACTCAAAGGGTAATGGATTGCTCAAGTCGAGCTCATTTGAACGGCAGATGCGCAAGAGATGGAGAAAGAGTCACCCCCTCAGAAAGCTGAGTAGGAAGCTCACCTTAACCAGGACTCGTTCTGGCCTGGGTGCAAGGCACCCTTCATCGGATATGACGACTACATCGGATGAGTTTGACTCCGAGGACGAGGAGCTTGCTCTTAACTTCACGTTACCTCCAAACAGATCTATGTCGACCAATTATCTTTCCTGGAATCCCACGCTGGGAAGAAATTCGACGTTCATTGCGCTGACTGACGAGCAGAAACAGGAATTGGGAGGTGTTGAGTACTGTGCACTGAAGCTGCTTTCCAAGATTCTAGTAGTATACTATATTGGCTTCCATTTCCTGGCATTCACTCTGTTTGTCCCATGGGTATGCAAACATCACAAATATGTCAATGTGTTGCGAGAAGATGGAATTGCACCTGCCTGGTGGGGATTTTACAATGCTGCAAGCACGTTCAATGATCTCGGATTCACACTTACGCCGGATTCTATGGTCCAGTTTGCTGAGGATACTTACGTTTTGCTCCTGTCGTGCTTTTTCATCGTTGTTGGTAACACCGGGTTCCCCGTTTTCCTCAGGTTTGTGATCTGGGTTATGTTTAAGTTGTCGCCAGAATTCTCCCAAACGAAGGAATCTTTGGGCTTTTTGTTGGACCACCCCAGACGTTGCTTCACGCTTTTGTTTCCCTCTGGACCAACCTGGTGGTTATTTTTCATATTATTGCTCCTGAATGCACTGGATTGGATCCTGTTCATCATCCTGGACTTTCATGCCAGCAGTTTGAAGAACCTTTCTGGAGGCTACAGAGTTTTAGACGGACTCTTCCAAGCGTTCAGCACCAGAACTGCCGGTTTTCTGGTTGTCAACCTCTCATTGTTGCACCCTGCAATCCAAGTCAGTTATCTTGTGATGATGTATATTTCTGTCTTGCCTTTGGCTATCTCCATTAGAAGGACCAACGTCTACGAGGAACAGTCTCTCGGAGTGTACTATGATGACGATTCAGAAGTGGACCAGGACATGAGCGCAAAGAACTTCATCAGCACACATTTGAGAAAACAGTTGTCCTTCGATCTGTGGTTTTTGTTCTTGGGCCTTTTCATCATCTGCATTTGTGAGAATGGTAAGATGTCCAATGGAGACGTCAACTTCGGGGTTTTCCAAGTGATGTTCGAGATCACGTCTGCCTACGGTACCGTTGGATTATCCCTGGGTTATCCGAACACGGATGCTTCGTTTTGTTCTCAATTCACTGTGATTTCAAAACTTGTCGTGATTGCCATGATGATCAGAGGTCGTCACAGAGGATTGCCTTACGCTCTCGACAGAGCCATCATGCTTCCTAGCGAAAAGATGAAACACCGTGATGACGTTCAGGCACACCATGCTGTCAGAAGAACCCAGAGTCTTTCCAGAAGTGCCACGGGCGTTTCTGGTGATACGGTTTCCGATGTTTCAAGCACCGATGGACGTTCACTGGCGGGAGCATTTAGACGTGTTAGCAGGGTACCCGGGGGAATCAAGAGAAAGTTCAATAATTCTGTTTCGGGTGTACATCCTGCCTCTAGATATTATGACTTCCCACTGCGGACGGCAGAAACCCAACCTGTTACGAGGCAATTCTCGAGAAGCTCCGGTTCTAGATCAGATCCTCGTCGTCACTCTGCCAATCCACGTGAAGAATACGCTGGTGATGGTGCGTCCATCGGCCGTAATCGTTCTTCAGTATCGATGCGCTCGCGTACCTCAGCTGAACCAATGGTATCTTATACTTCAGAACAGTTCTCAGGAGTCGAGAGCCCAAGTCTCGCCAACAGGCTCCGGTCCAATTTGGTCCATGATTTTGACCCTAAAAACATAGTGTCGGGTGGTGAGAAAATTCTCAGGTTTGGTGGAGATGCTTTCAAGAGGACACTGTCGATGTGAATCAATAAGTCTTAAAAGCTTTAGCGATGTACGATATCCAATGGTGCTGATTTTACTCTACCACAAGTTAACATAGCATAACTAATTTGGTCTCTCTTTGGAACCATCTAATTGTCATTTAGTTTTATACACCGGAGTAGTTATGAGGTTATATACAATCAGTTCCTCGGTTAGATTTTCTCGATAGGCTCATTTCTTTGCTTCAAGAGCATTCATGATCGGACTCATCGCTTCCTTGAAGCCCTTTCCTTCATTAGGGATTTCCAGAATTTGCTCACCACCCAGGAGATTTCTCAGCTTGAAACTAAACTCCCTGGCATTGGAGATATCGAAATACCACAATGATCCAGTAATAATCATGGAGAAGGTGGAGACTGCAAGTAATGATCCATGCGTCACCGCAGACAAGGCATCACGGTAGAATGAAAAGGATGGGGGAACGTGGTTGTGCTGGTAGAAGTTCGGCAAATCTAGACAAGGTTAGAATGAATACGATTGGATAAAAACGAATCTGGACACTTACACCTCCTGGATATCACTCCTCTGTATGCCACCTTTGAACATATGAATGTGGCCAGGGCGCAGCCGTAAAACAGTGACATCTGACGGAATCGCCTCTCGTTATATTTGCGCACTTCAGGGCTCAGCGCCGAAGAGTCTGTCTTGCCGATCAGCCTTCCAAAATCAATTCCTGAAACCATGATTGTATATGTATGTGGACTTTAAGATTCAGTAATCTAGTACCGAGTAGGACCTCGAAGCCTAGCCCTGGCGTTTTGCTGAAAAGCTGTAAGAGCTAGTGACCCGAGACTTTATGGCAGACAAAGCTCCACATCGAATATTAGTAGAAAGAACATCGTGTGTCCTCTTCCATTCCATCTATCCACCAGTGAAAGCAATTGATAAAATGCAGATAGACGAAATGGTCGACCGAACTTCATCAAATAGCCCCATCTCTGAGGACCACTCTGAGGTTTCACAGGAAGATCGCAGTCCCAATAAGTCGGGAACTGAGAAGACCCAGAGATCAGTTGAGGAGCACCGCAAATTGTACAAATATCTGCTTGCCAAACACAACACAAAGCTGCGCGAATTCACAGAACTGGCCAACCTGGAGAAAAGCATACGAAACTTGATACAATACCATACGCTTCGGAACAACAGTCTTGTGGATATAATAGAGTTCCTGGGAAAGACTGGTGAGACGAATGTTCCTTCTGAGCTGACGCCCGAGGCAGAACACGCAAAGCTTGCTGCCATTATTTCGAGGAGGCCTCAATTGAGCGAAACCCTTACAAATATCACAAAAATTGATAGTGAGCCTGAAAATGTGCTTCTGAGAGATACTCTGAAGGATTCGCTGTACATTTCCGAGTTGGCCAACCCCGTATTCAATCTCAAGTCTGTGGAGGATGCTGGCTCGATGGATCTCGAAGAAAACATCTACCGTCGGATTCCACAAGACCTGGTGGTGGAAGAAGACTCATTCTTAACCGAGACAGTGAGTGATACCAAAGATGAAAGTGACAACGCGAAGGACAAACCTGCTGAGCCCGCAAAGGTTGGTGTCAAATATGCTGACTTCGCTGAGTCCTTCCCCTTCTCTTCGACAAGATACTTGAAGCAATTGAGTCCACAATTGTTTCACAGCGAGGACCCAGATCAAAAGGCCCCAGAACTGGTTCCTGTGCTGCAAACCCGGAAGAGCGCTTCTTCGCAAGAGGTCCCCAATCCTAGAAAGACCAAAATTGAAGCTACTGAGTTCGGGAGCGCCAAAAAACGCAAAATTGCTCAAAACTGAAGAGTTTGCGATGCCCGGAGGAACCGTCGAGTTGTGTTAAAATGTCAGTGTCGTGAATGTTATTTTACAGGTATATGCCATGGGGTTATGTGGGACGAGTCGGACTGGGCTCTTTGTGTTGCTCTTCGATCGTTGTCGCACCAGTGGTCTGTTTCCTGGGAACGTAGGAACTCTGTTCCTTCGACCTCTTTCTATCTTTCTTGAGTAAAAGCTCCATCATCTTTCCATAGTTGAATAGTTCCAGAAGCACATAGCGTCTGGCACTGGGCTTGTACTTGTACTTTGACAGTACTTCAAGAGCTAACAGCAGCAGTGCTGGTTCTGTTTCGAAACTCGCAGCATGTTTGTGCTTTAATTTCGTCAAGGAGGTCATAGCCTTGGAAACATTGACCAACATATCAATCAGGCTCTCAAGAACGCTGTTGATAAGCACCATGTCATGGGAAGGGATGCCAGTTCCCAGCAAAGAAGAGACCACACTTGACGAACTACTCTTGCTGAGCTGAACCTGGGAACGTCTTCCATTGAGCATTTCTGCAACTTCTGAACTCTCGGGCTCTGATTGAGTCAGGATGTCTGCCGGTATTTTCTGGCTAGAAAAGCCATTTTCGGCACAGTTGAAGAAGGAACTCATACTCTTTGGCAAACAGAGAGGCAATGGAGAACCGTTTGCAGCCACGGTAGTTGACCATCCCAGATCGTCCAAGATCTCCATTCCCTCTGAAGTCTGTGCAATCAGCCCGAGAACATAGAAACATGTCCCCTTTAATGTCCAATTGAGTGTGTTATAACAGATGTATGATATATCCTCCACCACTCCGCTGATCTCAAGCATTATCGCACCATTGTCAGAGGAACCAATATGACCAACGGCCCATAGACTAGCTTTCAAATCCAAAATCAGCTTTTCCTGATCAAACATGGAAGTCAGATTGGTGTCATAGAGTTCTACCTCATGCTCGTTATATATCCTAGCAGAGTAAGAGCTTATGGTATTGCAAAATGATGTGAATGTTTCCGTTGATCCAAGAATGTTCATGCCTGACTTGGTCTTCACCAGCTCACCAAAGAAATGCTGAGGAACAGATCTGGTGTCGGAGGTGCTTGGTTCATCAGCAGATGCGGTAGTAAGTACTGGTCTCACATTGAAGATTTCGACAGCCAGTAACTTCTCTACTTCATAAATGTAGGACAGATTTTTGTACTCAATCCAACTCTCCAATTCGGAATCGATGAAGTTGATATCGGAAAGGTAGCGAAAACCCACATCTGTTGACATTATTCTCAGCAACAAAGGCATTGCGGTCCTCCCCAGATGGTCCAACGATGGACGCTTCTTAACCAGCTGTAAAATTTTCTCCTTATCAGAACAATAATGGTCCAGAAGTTTCACTGCAATATTGCAAACCTCCATATCTGGATCGCAAAGCTGTGTCACCAGAATACTGCAAGCGAAGTCCTGGCATTCCTCGATCAGCAACAGATTTGCAAGATGGTTGGTAGCAAATATTCTCATGCTGGTGTCTCCAGTGGTAGCTACTTTGCGCAGCAAGATCCTGAGATGGGTTTGGTATCGATAGTCCATCTCTTTGATAAAGAGCTTGACCAGATCATCTCTTCCTGTTCGGCGTTCGGTGATGTGGTATAACATGTTGTAGATCCACCATTGCCCCAGCATTTGCAGACCATTAGGATCTGACGAAAGTACTCCAAGCATCTTGAAGTATCCATGACACGCGGTATTTTCGAGTTTTTGACGCGAAAATACTGGATCTGCAGCAGTGATACCACTGTAGGGATCGACTTGAGCTAGACATTCAGCTATCTGGGGGAGTAGCTTGTTCTCTGATAAATGTTTCACGCCTTCTTGACATGAAAGAAACATCCTGAAAATTTCGCACCCTACCCGGATGTACTTTTGGCTTGATTTCGTTTTCCTAGAAGCAGAGAATCTGTATTTGAAGGGTCTGAAAAACGACATGAGACGTTTCAAAAACTTGGTAGTTTTGATGGTCTCCTCGAGACGACGAGGACTCATCAGTGGCCCAGTAATCAAGTCAGAAAGTAAGTTCCAGTTCCACTTGGTATAGTCTTTAGTTGTCATAACTTGGGTATCTGCTATCATTTGCTTGAATTCTGAATCATCAACCATATATCTCACTTTCGATCTTGCTTCTTTCGAGAATTGATTGATAATGTCCACAGGCTTCCCAGGCATTCCCAAAGAGTATCTGCCTTTACCCTCTTTGCGGACATTACGTTCGACCAAAAATGACACGGCCGTTGGTAAGTTCTTGTGAAGAACCTCGCTTTCACGAACCAAAGGTAGCATAGCCATATAGTCTCTCTCGTGAAAAAACTCTTTGGGTATCAAACTTGATGCTAGTGTCATGATCTCAGACAGGAGAAGAAGAGCCTTGCGCGTACTCTTATCGTTGTTGCTGAGGATAACAGATTTCAACTTATCTATCAGTCCACAATCAATGGAGGCTCTCAGAAGAAGAGCTGTATGTTGGTTGACAATCGAGGACTCACTCTCCAAAACAACTTTTCGAGAGTTGTTTTTGCTCGAGTGTGTGATGGTATAAGTAAAGTTTTGGTATGAGTCAGTTCTTGTTTTGTTCGATTGCACCCATGGAAGAGTCCTTATTCTCAGAATATCAAGGAAAACGTGTACAATGATGCTCCGCAAACTGGGCGAATCATATGTCAAGCAACTGATGAGACCTTTCAGATGGGAGAAGCTCTTTTCAGAGAATGCAATCATGCCTGGCCATGTCTTCAGAATGATAGTTAGCAGAAAAGCGACATTCTGCAATCTCTCATTTTTGGCATGACCGTCCATGAAGGGCGCGATGATCGACGATATCGTGTATTCCTGAAGGACGTACGTCCTGGTAAGCGGAAGCTCGAACATCTTGATGATCGTTGCTGTGCTAGCAGCAGATAAGTCAAACGGACCATCAGTAATACTCTGAATAATGGCTCTCAAGCCATTTGCCTTATACAGGCTTTGAGGATTCAATAGAGCAAGTTCACACAATGTTTCCAGAGCAATTGGCCTCAATGCGTCATCGTTTGTTTCTGCCACTGCAACGATGGCCCGAAAGCTGCCAATACTGAGTTCATGGACGCCTCCGTCGATTTCTAAAAACTTCCGAAAGAGTTTCAGTGCCTGTTCCCTTTCCGCGGTGTACTTGGGATCCTTGGCAAGAGATATTATCGCAAATGAGTCCACTCTCAGTGACTTCAACACAGACAAAGTTGACAGATCAGTTAGGATATACCTGGCTATTCTGAACCCACACGCGACAACCTCGGAGAGGTTATGAAGCAGCAAGAATTGTAGTCTGTGGCCAATCGAGGTGAGCACCAAATCCTCTCTCAATGACGAATATTGTTGAAGGAAGACCACTAGCTCGTTCGACTTGTTGAGCAGAAACTCCGGGGAATTATCCTTATCTCCCAGGGATTGCAGGATATCAGCCAAGATCCAAGTTGGACTTGTTGTTGACATATCTATAGGTGTCCTTGCGTCATCGCTGAAAGAGTCAGAAACATTTGTGGCTAGCGTGTTGCTCCGAGTACGAGTTGTCTGGTCGGTTTCCTTATCTTGAATCCTTTTCATGGCCTCTATTTTCTTCTCCAGAGTGATGATATTTCTGTTGGCATCCTCCAGTTCAGACTGAGTACGCATTCTAGCTTTGTGAGTTGTGTTGTTGTAAGCCGGTAAACTCTGATTACCCAGAAATGACATTCCCGTATGATGACTAGAAGGCAAGGAAACGTCTGACACTCTAAGCAACTTCTCTGCACCGGCCCTCATACGCTTTTGTTTGGCCAACTCCGATTGCAAAAGATTCAAATTGCTCAGCGAAGGTACAGACTTCAGCTTGGGAGAAGGCGTATCCTGACTTTCGGACTTTTTCATGCTCTGGAAGCCAGTTGTATTCTGTAGACCCGATTGCATGGATAGGGCTGAATGGCCGCGTCGTAGTACCGGATTTTTCCTAGCATCATCCACAGCAGACAAATCCACCGATTGTACGGCATCCGGCATCATCGATTTGCCAGTAATGGGTTCTTTTTGAATTGTGCGTGCCAGTTTGCAGACGTTATTACCTGAATCCCACAACATTGTATGCTTAGCATGTCTGTATTGTGTTGGTAGTGTGTTGGATGATTTGGTGCCGCACTCTCAGATCTGCTGCTGAAATCGGCGTGTGAATAATTAATCTGATCTCAATCCATTAAAGTACAGACATATAACTATGTAATGAGTCAGACATTCGCTTGTCTCTCATAAAATTCGATTATTTGGTCACTGCTGGTGGCATCTTCGGGCCCTTTATCATCTCTGATTCTGATGAAGCGAGGGAATCGTAACGAGATTCCCTTACCATAGTTTGCCGCACCAGCCTTGTAGATTGGGGATAGAGATAGATCCGCCGTCAAGACTTCAAATACCAGCGTGGGTTCAAACCACACGTCTGGAAGCGCGTTAGAGTTATTCTTCTCGTAAACAAATGATCCTTTGGGTTTGGACAATTCGGTTGGCTTGAGAGTCTCAGATAGCTTCTTCAAATCATCTTCGCTAAACCCTGTTCCAATTTTGCAAGCAGTTTCGTATTCTCCAGTGTCCTGATTATAAGTAGCAAGCAAGAATCCACCATACCAGCCTGTTCTCTTACCTTTACCGATGTAACCACCCACGACCACAAGGTCAAGCGAGTCGCCAACACCTTCCAAGTAGTCCTTCTTGAGTTTCAGCCAGTTGCGTGATCTCTTGGAAGGCTCGTATCCGGATTCACTCCCGTTGAGCGTTTTCACCATGAGACCTTCACAGGCGTCCTTTACAGACTGGTCCAAAAAGCCTTGAATCTCATCCACATTGGAAGAGTCCATTCCCTTGGCATACTGAAACTTGCCCTCTATTGGCTCCAAGTTATCCTTCAGTAAGGATCGTCTCTCTTTGAGACTCTGCGTGATGAGAGATTCACCATTGTAAAAGAGACAGTCAAATGCAAAGAGACAGACTTGGACCTTTATATCGCTGGTCTGAACATCCTTCCTCTTTCTAGTTGATAAAACTTGGAAAGGCAAAATCTTCTTCTGCTCTACATCCCAAGCCACACACTCACAATCCAGTATTAGGGTATTCACATTTGGGTTGGAGGCCTTCATTGCTTTCACTACCGCAATCAAGTCCGGGTACCTCTCACTCATATCCTCAGAGTTACGGGAGTAGATTCGGATGGATCCATCTTCAAGCAAATGAAGCTGTGCACGTTCGCCATCGTATTTATACTCGCATGTGAACTCTTCGCCCTGGAATTGGTCCAAAATCTCAGTAATCGACTTGGTCGGCTTTGCCAGCATAGGCTTAAGCGGAATACCAGGTTTGAGAGTACAATGTTCGACAATGTTCTGGATACCATATTCCAAAGCAGTCTTGATGATCACCTCGTAGTTCGGCGTTTGACTAAATGCGACTTTGATCTTCTCCTCTGCCTGGACAAGAGCTTCGGCTGTTCCCTTTTTATTCCTTTTGGAAGCTTCGTTCTCAACAAAAGCTTTTGCAAGAGCTACCAGCACGGACTTCTCGCCAAAGTTGATCCGCAGTTTTCCTTCCAACGAACGCATCAAAAACTTCGCCTCCTGGTTCTCACAGGCGGTGAGCATCTTGTTGATGATTCCGATTTTGCGTGCCTGAGATGAGTTGCCGGTCATCCTGGCAATCTGGGTGAGATTTTCAAACACCACGGGAACAGTCAGTGGCTTTGGCTTGAACATCGTCGGCTGTCTTGATCTGGATTGTTGAGCAACCAAACCAATATCACCAACACGGTGGTAATCAGCCTTGATCTGCGATGCTGCACGGCCAGTTCCCTCTGCTATCGCCTTCAGTAGCAACGTTTCACCAAGGCCGAGCTCCAAACCCGGTTCATAATCAGGGCCCAGGCGATTGATCATGAGATACGTCACCTGTATCAACCCTTCTGGACGGTCACTTTGAAGAATCTCTTGAAAAAACTCACTTGCAATTGCCAAGTTTTTAAGTCGGGCCGATTCCTGTTCCAACTTCTCAAATACATCCGCTAATGCAGAATAGGGAATCGGTTTCGAGTTGCTGATGGGTGGAACGTGGGTACTTTCCTTAGTCTCCTTGGACAGAAGCTGTTTTGCATCGTCAACAGCAAATATAGGCTTATTCGGTGACTCCGACACAACTTCCTTGTCCTTTTCGCTTTCACTGTCAGTTTTGGGATCTGGCGTCAACTCTGGAGTGGTGATTTCAATCTTCTGCTTCTTAGCAACGGGAGCGGAGGCGCTGGCTCTCGCGCTGCTGAAAAAACTGCCCAAAGTCTGCTGCTTGGACATAATCGGTAGCGAATGAGGAATCAGGGCTTTTCTAACGAGAGACCTCACCAGCATGCTCTAGAGCGAAGAAATTGCGACTACGACTGTTGCAACAAGACAGCGGCCTTCACGCAATCGCGGACGCGTCGTGTGTGTGAGACACAACTCGAGCTTGCATACGTAATTTATTAGTCAACCATTTACCGGGGTCTGACAACCCTGAGCGAACGGGACGCACCCCCGCTATCACGTGCACAATCGCAATGCATCCTTGTATCACGTGCAGCGACCAAAGCCCAACAGTGTGCGGGTCAAACCACATGGGCGCCAGCATTGACTCTGTGCGCGTTGAATTTTTCACTTGCACGTCGGGCTTCATATATAGGCTCATCGTTCCCTTTCCTTTCTTCTTTCCTCTTTTTCTTCCTTCCACTAAAGATTTGAATCTATATTAATTGCACAATGGTTGAATCATCCGTTCTCGGTTTCCCACGTATTGGTGCCCTCAGAGAGTTGAAGAAGGCTACCGAGGCCTATTGGTCCGGTAAGGTCGACAAGGCCCACCTCTTCAAGGTTGGTCAGGAGATCAGAGAGAAGAACTGGAAGTTGCAGAAGGCTGCTGGTGTTGACATCATACCTTCTAACGACTTCTCTTTCTACGACCAGGTTTTGGACCTTTCGTTGTTGTTCAACGTGATTCCAGACCGTTACACCAAGTACGATCTCGAGTCGATCGACGTTTTGTTCGCCATGGGTAGAGGTTTGCAGAGACCAGCCACTGAGACTGCCAAGGCCGTTGACGTTACTGCTTTGGAGATGGTGAAGTGGTTTGACTCCAACTACCACTACGTGAGACCTACCTTCTCGCACTCCACTGAGTTCAAGCTCAACGGAGCCAAGCCAGTGGACGAATACCTTGAGGCCAAGGCCCTCGGAATTGAGACCAGACCAGTTGTTGTCGGTCCAGTCTCGTACTTGTACCTCGGTAAGGCTGACAAGGACTCGCTGGATCTCGAGCCAATCACCTTGCTCGAGAAGATCCTGCCAGTCTACGTTGAGTTGCTGCAGAAGCTTGCTGCTGCCGGTGCCACCTCCGTCCAAATTGACGAGCCTGTTCTCGTTTTGGACTTGCCAGAGAACATCAAGGCCGCCTACAAGACCGCCTACGAGACCCTGGCTGCTGCCTCCGGTCTTCCAAAGTTGGTCCTCACTACCTACTTCGGTGACGTGAGACCTAACCTCGAGGCCATCAAGGGTTTGCCAGTCTCTGGTTTCCACTTTGACTTCGTCAGAGTTCCAGAGCAGCTTGATGCTGTTGTTGAGATCTTAACTCCAGAACAGACTCTTTCTGTTGGTGTTATTGACGGTAGAAACATCTGGAAGGCTGACTTTGCCAAGGCCATCGCCTTTGTCGAGTCTGCCATTTCCAAGGTGGGCAAGGACAGAGTTGTTGTCGCCACTTCTTCTTCCCTGTTGCACACTCCTGTTGACCTTGAGAACGAGAAGAAGCTCGATGCCGAAATCAAGTCGTACTTCTCCTTTGCTACCCAGAAGGTTGCCGAGGTTGTGACTGTTGCCAAGGCCATCTCCGGTGAGGACGTCTCTGCTGCCCTCGAGGCCAATGCCGCCTCCATCAAGGCCAGAGCCGAATCCACCATCTTGAACAATGCTGATGTTCAGGCCAAGGTTGCTGCCATTGACGAGTCCCTTTCCACCAGAAAGGCTCCTTTCCCAGAGAGACTTACCGTGCAGAAGGCCAAGTTCAACTTGCCTCTGTTCCCAACTACCACTATTGGTTCTTTCCCTCAAACCAAGGACATCCGTATCAACAGAAACAAGTTCGCCAAGGGTGAGATTACCGAGGCTGAATACGACAAGTTCATCGAATCCGAGATTGAGAAGGTTGTTAGATTCCAGGAGGAGATCGGCCTCGACGTCTTGGTGCACGGTGAGCCAGAGAGAAACGATATGGTTCAATACTTTGGTGAGCAGTTGAAGGGTTACGCTTTCACCACCAACGGTTGGGTCCAGTCGTACGGTTCCAGATACGTCAGACCACCAATCGTTGTGGGTGATGTTTCCAGACCAGCTGCCATGACCGTCAAGGAGTCTGTGTACGCTCAGTCCATCACCAAGAAGCCAATGAAGGGTATGTTGACCGGTCCAATCACCTGTCTCAGATGGTCTTTCCCAAGAAACGACATCCCACAGAAGACCCAGGCCCTCCAATTGGCCTTGGCCTTGAGAGAGGAAGTTCAAGACCTCGAGAAGGCTGGTGTCACCGTCATCCAGGTTGACGAGCCAGCTCTTAGAGAAGGTCTTCCACTCAGAGCCGGTAAGGACAGATCCGAGTACCTCGAGTGGGCCGCTGAGTCTTTCAGAGTTGCCACTTCCGGTGTCGAGAACTCCACTCAAATTCACTCGCACTTCTGCTACTCCGACTTGGACCCTAACCACATCAAGGCTTTGGACGCCGATGTCGTTTCCATCGAGTTTTCCAAGAAGGACGACCCCAACTACATCCAAGAGTTCTCTGAGTACCCTAACCACATTGGTCTCGGTCTCTTCGACATTCACTCCCCTCGTATTCCATCCAAGGAGGAGTTCATCGCTAGAATTGGTGACATCTTGAAGGTGTACTCGGCTGACAAGTTCTGGGTTAACCCAGACTGTGGTTTGAAGACCAGAGGCTGGGAGGAGGTTAGAGCCTCCTTGACCAACATGGTTGATGCTGCCAAATTCTACCGTGAGAAGCACTCTTCTTAGATCAACAGATTTAAGGCTTGCGCTTCTCGATCCAACTCTGCTACATTTATTCAACATTAATGTCTGCATTTACGAATCAAGAACGAAGCTTCGTGCGCCCCATACGCACAGCTATTCAAACGCGTTTGCTTTTGCAAGTTTATTATTTTTTTATTGCTATTGACACGGTATCATTTTGGGATTTCAACATCGGTATATGTTTTAAAAAAGTTTGTTTTCAATTCGAGTAGAGAATGTAAATCAGCTTGAAGCTTCCAGCACTGAAAGATTCAGCCTCAAGGCTGTGCAAAGAGTAGTCCCCAAGCCAAAAATATCAATGTAGCTTGGAGGTGGCAATCTGGAGACGTATTGACTGTGTTTCGTTCTTTATTAAACGCTTGATTGCTTCAATTGTTCCGATATTAAACTTCAAATGAGCGACAGAGACACGACTATTTCCGAGTTTGTGGCCATCACTAATGCGCCGGCTTCAGTTGCGTCGAAGCTCTTGCAAGAGAACGACTGGGATCTAGAGAGCGCCGTCAGCGAGTACTATCTCCAACAGACCGCTCAGCCCACTGCCGGGTCGTCATCAGCTGCTGCTGCTGCTGCTTCTTCTCATCACCACCAGGGTCCGGCAAATTATGGTAGCAAGAGGTCAAATTTTGGTTCGTTCGCTGATTTGAGGAGTGACGATGAAGCTGATGACAAGACTGACACCAACTTTTTCACTGGGGGCGAGAAGTCTGCATTGCAAGTGGAAGACCCTAACAAGAAGGATCCTCTTGGAATAGTTGGTGATCTTTTGAGAAAAGCTCAAGAATCTGCAAATGAACCAGACACTCGTCCCTCAGCAACCCAGCAGGCTAACCCTCGCCAATTCAAAGGAACAGGATACAAATTGGGCAGTGAGGATGTTCCCTCTCAAACTATCCCAGACCCGCATGCTCACCTCAGACAGCCGCTAGAAAAAGTCACGAGAACCATCACATTTTGGAAGGAGGGATTCCAGGTTGGCGACGGCAAGCTGTATCGATATGATGATCCAGCCAATGCTGCGTATCTGAACGAGCTGAACAGCGGTCGTGCACCTTTGGCTCTTTTGGATGTGCAATTCGGCCAGGACGTCGACGTGAATGTGATGAAAAGATTGGATGAAGACTACAAGCCTCCAAAGAGAAAGCTTGGAGGGTTTGTGGGTAGTGGCCATAGATTGGGATCTCCCGTTCCAGGTGAACCAGTTGTTGAGGAGGAAGTACACGAAGTAGAGAAACCAGAGACTGAAGAGACGAAGCCAGAGGCCGTGAAGGTCAGCACCTCTGTCCAAGTTAGGCTTGCCAACGGCACCAGAATTGCTCAAGGATTTGATGCCAACGATCCTGTGAGTAGGATCTTTGACCTGGTGAGGCAAAATACATCCGAATCGAGACCCTACATACTGTCTCTGGCCTATCCTCTCAAGCCCATAGAAGAGTCCAGTGCTACGATCGAAGAGGCTGGCCTCAAAAACTCTGTCATAGTTCAAAGATGGAAATGATTTTCTGAGCTGGAATTAGCTTACTCAGAAGTACTTTAATCACAGAATTTTGTCACTTCAAAACAATTAGATAAAACTCACTTAGACTTATTATCTTGACTCATATATTTCTGGCGTGTACTGACAAATGCCTGCTCCGAGAACAATGTTGAGTCAGACCTGATCAAACCTCAAGACCTACCAGACTCATAGGACAATCTCTTTAGATAGTCAAAAATGGTGGTAAGTCTTTGAGAAACGTGATTTTGTCTCTATAGATATTCTTACTGACCTGTTATACTTTTTCAGGCCGCCGTTCAGCCTGATTTCGACACTCTTTTCGAGCTCGTAGAAGCCGATAGAGAAAATTATTCAAGCGATGAAGCTCCCAATCTTTACCCGGTGTACTCGTATTTCTCGGCGGAGTACATGACTCCTCATTTGGCTTACTTGAAGCTCACAAGACCCGGCGACAAAGCTCACAAGAAAACGCCCTCCTTCCTGCTGGAGAGTGCTACTAATGGAGAGAACATCGACCGTTACTCCTTCATGGGTTGCAATCCCAAGAAAGTGATCAAAACGGGGCCTCAGTTTGACCTCGAGACTGACCCACTTCGTTTGTTGGAAAAAGATCTAAAGGGCTACAGACAAGCGCAGCTTCCTGGTGTCCCCAAACTTAGTGGTGGTGCTGTTGGATACATCTCATACGACTGTGTGAAGTATTTCGAACCAAAGACCAAGCGTGATTTGAAAGACGTACTCCAACTTCCTGAGGCCTTTCTCATGTTATTTGACACCATTGTTGCCTTTGATAATGTTTATCAGAGATTCCAGGTGATCAGCAACGTTGCGGTGAAGTCTACGGACACAAAACAGGATATCCAGATGAAGTATCTGAAAGCGGCCAAGGAGATTGACCAATTTCACAAAGTCATTGCAGACACAACATCGCCAATTCCATATCCTCCACAAGGTCCAATAGTGGAGAACCAGACCTTTACTTCCAATATTGGCCAGGATGGTTATGAGAGCCATGTTGCCAACCTCAAGGGGCACATCTTGAAGGGAGACATCATCCAGGCAGTACCCTCGCAAAGAGTTGCCAGGCCAACATCTTTGCATCCCTTCAATATCTTCCGCCACCTTAGGACGGTCAACCCATCTCCATACATGTTTTACATTGACTGTCTGGACTTCCAGGTTGTCGGAGCATCTCCTGAGCTTCTGGTGAAGTCAGATGCAAATGACAAAGTCATCACGCATCCGATTGCCGGAACGGTTCGCAGAGGAAAAACCAGAGAAGAAGACGACAGGCTTGCAGTGGAACTACAGTCGAGTCTCAAGGACAGGGCCGAGCACGTGATGTTGGTGGATCTAGCCAGAAACGATATCAACCGTGTTTGTCAACCACTAACCACCAACGTGGACAGATTGCTGACTGTTGAGAGATTTTCGCACGTGATGCACCTTGTCTCCCAGGTTAGTGGAACTTTGAGAGAAGACAAAACGAGATTTGATGCTTTCCGTTCAATCTTCCCCGCAGGAACCGTTTCCGGTGCTCCTAAAGTGAGGGCAATGGAGCTAATTGGAGAACTGGAAGGTGAAAAGAGGGGCGTATATGCAGGTGCTGTTGGTCACTGGGGGTATGATGGTCATACCATGGACACTTGTATTGCACTCAGAACAATGGTGGTGAAGGACGGTGTTGCCTATTTGCAGGCCGGAGGAGGTATTGTCTATGACTCTGACCCATACGATGAGTATATAGAGACTATGAACAAGATGAAGGCCAACAACAACACCATTGTGGAGGCTGAAAATGTTTGGATTGAGAGGTTGAAGGAAGACAGAAATGATAGTGAAGCTGAATAATAGAATGAAAGAATGTGGTTATCAGAAGAAAGCGTAGAGGAAATACAACAAGCACTACTGTTGTAAAAGGTAGTACCATACCCAATCTGGTTTGGGCCTTGTTAAAGAAGCCTCAGCATTCACACAGTTAAACGTTCTTTCTTCATCTGCTGATCATTTCAATGGCTGATACTTTCGAGCAGGAACTGCTAAGAGAGCAGTCGGAGTTCACAAAGGTGAGTATGGCAAATTTTCACCAATACGGTTCCACAGGACTAACACACAACAGGACAAAGAGATCCAGAGGATTCTTACTAGCTTCAAACTTGATGCTTACTCTATTCTTGATCTTCAGCCGGGGTGCTCAGCTGACGACATAAAAAAGGTTTACAGAAAGAAATCATTGTTGATTCATCCGGACAAAACCAAAAATGAACGGGCGCCAGAGGCATTCAGTATGTTGAAGAAGGCTGAACAAGAGCTATCGGACTCAGAACATAGGCAGAGGTTGGATGATGTGTTTGTGACCGCACGAAAATCGTTGATTGGGCAGCGCGGCTGGGATCTTGATGATGTCAGACTTTCAGGGAAAGAATTTCTCAAAGACTGGAGAGAGAAGGTGAAAGAGGTGTTGATTGAGGATGAGTTTGTGAGGCGAATGGAACGCAAGAGACAGATGGAGGAAGAAGGCAGGGCCAATCAGCACGAGGAAGAGCAAGCAGAACTTTTTAAACAGAAGGCCCAGGAGAAAAAAGCATGGGAGGAATCGCGAGATAAGAGAGTGAATAGTTGGAGAACGTATGTTGAGTCCAGTGGAAAGAAGAAGAAAAAGAAGCAGAAAGTCCTCGTTTGAAGCATGAGACTAGTTTTTAGGCTCTACACTGTTTTTACGGTTGTTCATGATTTTGCGTATCGTATAAAGCGTTGGATTATTCACTGTTTTGCGAGCATTCTGGCATACTCCTCTGGAGTGACCTCCATCTCTTTCCAGGTCTTGTGGAGATAGGCGTCCATCTCCTTCAACGTCTTCATGGCATCATCTTTAGCAAAGGTTTTGCCTGCCTTGAGGTCGCTGTTGACCTTGGTGGTGAGCAGATCACATCTTTCCTTGATTAGGTTCATTCTGTATTCAATCCATTCTGGATAGAACTCGTTGTACATTGAACCAAATGAAATCTCGGGCTTGACCGTGCTCAACACTGACATATCTGGCTTGGTTGCATCTTTTGCCCTGTACGAGGTGACTGCTGTGATTCTCTCGGTGTATCCCAAAGGAATAGGAGCAAGATGACTAATTTCGCGTCCTTGTAAAATGACAGCCTTACCCTTGCTGGGACCTGGAGTTGGCACGATTTTGCCGTTTCCCATCTTTAGAAGAGTTTCTCCCCCGATCATCGCAGTGGTGTCACTGAGCATCAAGACGCATACGAATGGGTATGAGTCGTTGTGCCAGCCAACAACAGCAGGAATTTTATCGTCATACTCGTCATTCATGTTTGATTTTCTCTTAGCCTCGATGATCTGGTTGTCGGCATCTTCCTTGCTCTTCATCGCGATGTTGATGTGAGCGACCTCATAGTCCATGATTACCTGGAGCTCAACTCCAGCCATGAGACTGACGGCCTTGACAGTTTCTGGGTGTGTCCAAGCAGCGTATGTGAATGGACAGGTGTATTTGGCATAACCTCTAATTACACAGTCCAACCCCGTGGTGGAGGAATACGAGTATCTGGCCCATTTCTCGAAAACTTCCGTTCTGAGGATTTCAGCACGCATAATTTCAACGGCCTCTTCAGTGAAAAGATCGAACGGATCGGAAACCCCGATATCAGAAATGGCAGTCTCGCTGAAGATTCCCAGTTCGGCCATGGTCAACCTTTTGGTGGTGGACACTGATTCCGCCTGGAAACTTAGGTGAACTTTTGGGTCAAACTTCTCTGTAATCTTCACCGAAGCCAGTTGCTCATAAATAGGCCTGATGTTCTCCTGGTAGAGCTTTGGAACGATCTTTTTATTAGGGTAACCAGCCTTGAGATTGGACATCAATATTTCTGGAGCAGCCATCTTGAGGGTGTTGTCTTTTGTACGAATAACGTGCAAAATTCGGCGAAAAACTGGTTAAACGTGCAACTATGCTTAACACATTACAATAAGTTCAAAGGGTGCAGTTCCAGTGCCTCTGTTATATATCCCTGTCAGTTCCGCTCGGCTTATCTCTGTTAGACCCATCAGAGATAAGCAGGCAAATTATTACTCGATGTGGTAAGCAGATTTCCGCTGTGACCCAAAACTTCGGCCGAAACTCTAAAGGTCGTGTGAGTCTGGCGATTGTGACGGGCAGTATCGGCTTTTGTCAACAACCGTCAAGATCTGCCTATTTATTTATAAATATTAACTTGTGGAGTAGAAAGATGGCATAGGGCAATGGCCGATATTTCGGGCGAAACAAGCGAATCGTAGTGGAGACGGTATGCCATAACCGATAATGGCATATCTTCATATGGCTGAAATATACTGTGGGGGTTATTAAACTTTTCATCGTGGCCGACAATGGATATGTTGACTCCATATAGCGAGTTCTTTGGTACAATTCGACTTATCAGTTTGTCAAAATGGCAATTCATTGGTTCATATCACGCTCTATCAATCACATCTCTATTTGAAGATTAACAACAAGAGCCTCATCTGTCTCAATCCAGAACCCCGTATCGGCCACAGTCCTGTTACTGGAACTCACACTTCCATAAATATGACTCTCCCAATGTGTCACGTCCCATTTCAAGCCCCTCGTTGAAAGATTAACCCGCTGTCCCAGCGGTAGAAGCCCCACGTTGTAGTTCTTTTTATCGCCAGGCAAAAACACGAAGTTCTCGCCTTTTTTGATGAGAAGGATCATTTCGTCAAACCCACTATTCCACAGCTTTATGTCCAAATTGGGTTTGGTCTCCGAATAAACGAACAACTTATTTATTGAATGAATCGTCTGGTCGAACCGTCCACCTATCGCACTCAGTAGCAGAATCGACACTTCTGTCTCGGATTTAGGTGTTTCTGAGTCCAGCTTGAACAGTCCATCTTCATCGTCTAGTTTGTTCAAATCGATATTGCCTCTGTTGAAGTACAAATCACACAGAACAATGCTCTTGTCTAAATCACTATGCCACTGAGACCATTGCTGCTTGACAGTAACTCCTCTATCCTCGTAAAACTTCTTAGTACCATCACTTAAAGAATCCAAATCCCCTATTATATAGTGGGGCAAATAGCTTTCTGTTTTGCCATGCTTGGTAGAATACTCAAGCAACCTGTCTCCACCGCCATCTGCACATATTCTCAGCTCACAATTTCCCCATATTCTCTCAAAGAGCTCTGGAGATATGGCTATCTCCTGGTTCAAAATCACGAGGCAAGTCTTGGACCCGGTAATTTTGTCACGAACCAACTGGAACGGGTTGATGAAATGGCAATTGTCATTTGTCGGTAGGTCTAGATGAATCGATTCTGGATTCTCAATCACCTCCATCTTGTCAAAATCCAACACGTTAAATTAAATGACGAAACTTCCCAGAAAACCTTCAAATGCCAATTCGTCTTCCAACAGCCTTCCACCAATGTGGAGGCTACGGACGGCAGGAGCGGCTGATATTTTGTTTGAAACACGACTCCAAATCATCTTTCCAAATCAAACCCACAACAACTTTCTCCTTTAATGAATAGCGCGTTTACAATACACATGCTATGGAGGATTTAACTGTTTTGCCGACAAAAGTGGTGACAACTGTGGTGAATGTGAATTCGTTCATATCAAGTGAGTTTCAACGTTCTGTGCTAATCTTGGAACTACATACTAACTAGTCCCCAGCTTTGGACCATCTTCCATGTGATATAGTGAGATCTCTGTGGTTAATCCAAAGCCTCAACTTCAAAATACACGATGGCAAACTCAAGTTGGGAGCTCTATTAAAACAGCCAAAGACGCCTCAAAGCGTATCGGCGCTTGTTGCAACCAAAGTGCGGCTGCAGCGATACAGTCTCGAACTGGTGGAGGAGTCAAAGCACTTGAAAGCCAAGTTGCAATGGCACAAGAATTTTCTGACGAATGACAGAGATACCATGGATAAGCTGGTAGAGATGCGAAAACAGATGCTCAAAAACGGGAGGCTAGACTTCGAAAAATTCAAGTCTGATTTCTTCAGGGATCTTGACCAATCGACTTCGTTCATGGAGTATTTTGAAAAGCACTTTGGGGGACCTGTGCGGCCCTCAAGACACGGCAATAGTTCGAGTTCTACGGATGGAACACTTCCTGCATCTTTGGGAAGTCCGTCTGCTCACAAGCCAAAGATCACCATCAGATTGCCCGTGATACCCAAGCTCGTGAAAGAAGAACCTACCTACTGTTTATGTCATGGTGTCTCTTTTGGAAAGATGATCGCATGCGATAACATTAAGTGCGAGACGGAATGGTTTCACTACAAGTGTGTAGGATTGACACAGGCTCCAAAGGGCAAATGGTACTGCCCTAGCTGCGCCAAACACAAGAAGACACTCAAGAAAAAGAGACACAAAGGATTCTAGCGCTAGCCGCTTTCTCTATGGATGGACTAGCTCCATATCTCGTCGTCAAGATAGTACAACCATGACATACTGTTCCACGAAGCAATGACCCCAATCGAACAATACACACTGTATATCATCAACTTGACGAATTCGAATCTCTGAAGGACAGGCACAGTGGAGCTCAACATTTCGAGCACGGAGACAATTGTTACCACCGGCAGAAGTCCAATGATATATATCAGATTGAATCTATTCCAGAACCCGCGACGTGGTAGCGACGGGGTAATTTCTTCGAACGAGGCGTAGTAGATCACACACCACACAAACGTGTACAGCGTCTTGAAGCCGTATTCTGCTGGTCTGAAGAGAAGCGGAAACAGTGAAACGTAACCGGCACAGGTCAGCAGCTTGAACACTTCAAATAGTCTCTTGTCCTTGGGCACTATAAAAGTGAATGGTATGATCACCAGAAGGATGGCCTTTTCATGGACGTGCCAGCCAAACAGGAACGAAGCAAATCCGCATAAAGTGAGAGACCCCACAAATTTGGTGAAAGTCGGCGTAATGAGCACCGGCAGAATGGCAAATATCTGGTAGAACAGGGTGAGCAGAAACGTCACCTTCGGTGTGATATTCGGTAGAACAGTGAAATCCACGACACGAACCAAACCAGAAGTCGTAGATGCTAAAGACTCAACAGGTGTCTTCCAAACATGTCTGTAAAACTGGATGAGGACTCTATCCAGGAACGAGTAAATTGCCCAGACGTTTGGAGCCCAATAAGCGTGGGTGAGGCCTCTTGCAAACGGGAAGAGTCTCTGAACTAACGGAGTGATCACTCCATAGTATGCAAAAGGTCCAAATGCAATTCCCACCACGAGTGCCATGGAGGAGCCCAATTTCAAACAGTTTAGCCAATTGACAATTTTGCACACACTGGAAAACGAACGAGGCACCTTCTTCGGTATGTTCAGACAATAGTTTCTAAGCAAGAAGGCAAAGTATGCCGGTGCCAGATATAAGAATATGTGCTTGAAACACAGCAAAATCGTGTAGAACACAGCACATGCAAGGTAGTTCTTCTTCTGAGCATTGACCAGCGAGAGACACAATATCCCAAATAGCATACCATTGTACTGGAAATGGATATGGTCAATGAAAGTCAAGGCTGGGCTCAGCACAATTGAGGATGCCACCACGAAATTTTTGGACCTTTCAGTTCCGGGCTGTGAAGAGTTGATGTACCATTGCAAAGCCCAGAATAAGACGCATTCAGACAGTATCACTGTTGACCTCTGGTAGAATACCGAAGGCCAACTAAAAGCCGGAGGCTCCGCAGATATCACCAAGCAATTATCGTCTATCACGAATTGCGGCACTAAATGGGACAAAATCCACTCAAAATATGCAAAGAATGGTGGGTAGTCTAGAGTCCATATGGATGTATCTTCTATGTACCAGTCTTTCAAAGGCAGATGGTACGTGATAGCCATCCAGTTTCGGTGCACTTCAAAGTCCGTGGACCGATATGCAGGAAACAACAGACATTTCAGGAGCGTCGAGGCAACCCATATGTTCCAAAGCGAAAAGTTAGATTTTCCCATGAGGTACGCGAAGCTGAGAGTGTATCTGTGAGTAGCAGTGACAAACGATCCTGAGGCCTGATCGGCTGACAAATCAACAAATTCGGCAGAAAAGATGGTAGCTTGGATAACGAATCCCTCAAAATCCCACCTCTTAACTCCAGAAATGGCCACGGGGTTTTAGAGCACTGGCCAAACCTACTGGCCAAATCTGGTGTTCACGCCCGAACCCTGCATCGTTGTTTGAAGATGTGCGTGGCGCGACAGATTTTCTCACGTGCCCCGGATTTAAGAACGGCATTGATGCATATGGCTCTCGCCTTGACAGATTGGGATCGTTTCCGAAGAAACGCCAAGATATAACTTCCTGCTTGATTGGCCGGGTAAATATAGCAACATGTCGCTGGTAATGCGGATTTCTGATGCTCGGAGACATGTAAAGGCTATCGTGTTTAACCCCGGCTCAGCCATGATAAGACACTTAGTCTTCACCTCCAATGCCGCACCTCGTTCCTCGTATTCTATTTTAAACCTTCGCTATCTCTGCATCCAATTTATTCTGATTAGCGCCTTGCCTCATTACTGAAGCTGATTTGTAATCTCGACACTATCACAAGCTATTCCTCTGTTATTGTTGTGAGCGACCATGAATGATCAGCGCACGACCTGACTCTCTGCCTGCGGAGTTTTTATGCTTTAAAGCCGAACGGTGCGTCTCGACCATGTACAAACAGCGAAAGATATAACGCAAGCTTGGGCTAATTTTAACACGCGTTATTAACTCAGCCTCTCCCTGCATATCAATAACAGTTCATAAAGGGTCCGAATGCTGAGCCCAAAGTTCTGTATATCTTTGAAGAATCATCACGGTACAAAATGACATCAACATTGGCATCGAAATACGCCTCCGAATACTCTCACTACGCTTCAGAGTATTCGTCCATAACTGCGGCTCTGGCTACTGAGACGCACCATGTCTCTACCATAGTTCTGCAGAAGTCGCTGGAGTATGTGTCTGTTTCGTTGGATCTGCTTTCCAACCTTCAGGTCCTAGCCACTGCCACTGAATCCAAAGTTATCCAGTCGGCCGCAGCAGCCGTCCAGACAGCCCAAGTCTCGGCCATTGCCATTGAAAATGATAACTCGATCTACGGATCGCTTAATCCTTCTCTCGGAGGAAATGCTGCATGTGCTGCAGTCATGGGGGTGTTTCTCGTGGCCCACATCCTGTTTGGTACTTACTTCAGACAATGGTGGATGTTATGGTCCTTTTCATGTGGAACCTTCCTCGAGTTTATTGGCTACATTGGTAGATCTCTGTCCCATAACCACAGAGAAGAAGAGAATCCATTCTTGCTGCAAATTATCTGTCTAACACTGGCTCCATGCTTCATCATGGCCGGCATATACTATATGCTTGCCAAGATTACCACCATTTACGGCGCGCATCTGTCGAAATTGAAACCAATGTGGTACTCCAACATATTTATTGCCTGCGATCTAGTTGCGATCATCCTTCAGGGAGCTGGTGGAGGAATTGCTGCAGTTTCGTTGCAGACGTATTCAAGCTCAGACAATGGTACGCATATCATGGTAGGTGGATTGGCTGTGCAAGTTGCTACAATGATACTTTTTCAGTACTTCTGGTACGATTTCCTTTATGCTCTCTATAAACAGAAGCGTGCTGCACGAGCTGCAGGGTTAGACATCGACTCGCAGTTCAACCCCAAATATGCTGACTTGCGCGCTCGCAGGCTGTTCTCGACCTTCCCCATAGCCATCAGTATTGCTGTGCTATTTGTCTTTATCAGATGTATATATCGTCTGGTGGAGCTCTCTGAGGGCTGGACAGGGTTCCTGATTGAGCACGAAGTTTACTTCATGATTCTAGATGCCCTGATGATGTGTCTTGCAATTTTACTGATGACCATATACCACCCGGGCTTTGTGTTCGGCAGGGACAGCTATATCCCAGTCAAGGGTATGAAACTGGGCAGAAAGAAGCATATTGATGCTTTGGACCAGGAGATGGAGCAGCAGAAGCATCAGGAAACGCAAGAAATTCGCCGCAACAGTATTGAAGAAAGCAGTCTACTATCATGATGGTCGTGAAGAGTTTACATTCGGCAGGTTTATATAGCTTTTCGACTAATGTAACAACGCATTATGGAAAACTTTGACTGGATCGTCACTTACTCGTGCAACAACGGCTAGACCCGGTATGTCAATTCCCCTTTTATTCCTTGCATCCATGGCCTGTTTGATGGTTTCTGCGAATCTGGACATGAACTCCATGATATTCAACTTGTTGAAGCTGGGGTAAAATCTTTCCAGCAGGAAGATGTATTCCGCCAAAATCAATTCTTGTTCGGTCATTGAGGCAGCTGTGGGGTTCAATTCAGTGAACTCCTTGACGAGGGCTTTGATATCGAAAGTGACTGTTTCCTTCTTATCCACGCAGATCTCCAACAGTTTCAACAGCAACTGGTTCTCGATATCTTTGTCCTCCATTATTGCTGTGGCTATTGGGTCCAACCTAGTACACGCTTCCTGTATCTTGAACCTAAATCTCCGCACTGATGGAGCCACGGATGTATATGTGGTCAATAAGGCCAGAGTCATCTGCTTAACCTCTTCACCGATCAAATGTAGATAACCAGCATCGTACAATCTTTCCAGACAAAGCACAAACACTTGTACCAACTTGTCTGTATTTCCACCCTCAGCTTCCTGTTCTGTCTTGAAGTCGTGGAATCCTAGTTCCATGTGGAGAATGATCTGGTCTACATTCTCCGCAGTAAATATGAGCCAGTGGCTGTTGACTCGTCTCTGACCTTTGACCAACTCGTGTACGTAATCAAAGGTCGCCTGGGTATAATAAGTATTCTGTATCTGGGCATATGCCACGTCGAAATCTCCCACTCCAAAAAGCTGGTCCATTAAGAAGGTCCACAGTGTCATGTCACTCATTGATACCATCTTGGAAGTGTTCTGCAACTTGAACAACGAACGAAGAGGTGGCTTGAAACTCGTCTTGGGGTCTCCGTCAATCTTGTATAGCTTTGAAACCAATTCTGTGCTGTTGAAGGCCTTTTTTGGATCGTCAGTGTACGACTTGAGCTCCTGTGCGAGTCTCTTCTCCACGCTGCTCAATTGGGCCTCGGTATGGAACACCTTGTTCTCGTTGTCCTCCTCCGCAACAGACTCTTCCTCGGGGAATTCGCAATGACATTCCGGGTGGATCTCAAACTCAATTACTCCACACCCTTCCTCTTCATCCTCGGAATTCTGGTCGAGCTCAAACTCAAACATGTACTTGAGGTCTTCCTCGACGAAATCGTCATACTCAAAATTCTGCTCGAACTTCTGCTCAAAGTCATCCGAAACTTCTTCAAATGTCAGCATGCTGGCATGCTGCAAGAGCTCTTTAACGCTCGGTCTTAGCGAACCGTCGCCTGTCTTTCTAGCCCATATCGACATGAAGTTGTTGAGCGTCTCATGCTTCAGATCGTGCATTCTTTCGTCAAAAGAGTCGTTCAGAAACACAGACAAAATGTTTCGTATGGCTCCCATTCCCTTGGCAACTGCCACCACTATTGGAGGGGTCTCTTTGCCCAGATCCTCGTGATCACGGTCAACCTCCAGACACAGCAACAGTATGAGTGTTGAACACTGCCAGAATCTCACCCAGTCCAAAATAAACGGACATGATTTCCGCTCCGTTCTATACATCTTGAAGATTACCATCAACGAAACAATCACAACTTTGTACATCAGCATTAGATCGTGGAAGTCGCTCTCCTCCTGTGTTATCCTGTATCCTGGGTAGGGCAGCCATTCTTCCCAAGACTCGGGGTCTTGTTTACTAGAATGCTGAGAATTTGGATATTTCGCGAGTAACGAATCCACTTCACAACATCTTAGTTTCTCCATGATATGGCTTATCACATACTCCAGCGAAAACGCAAACGCAAACTGCGGGTAGCCGTTCTGCTTCTGGAATTGCGGCGCTATCAACGCAATCGCTAAATCCGATATCAAATCCACAGAAAACATGTATCTGTTATCTTCACCAGTATCAGAGGGCTGCGTCCAAGGGTCACATAATGCTGCAATTGGTAGAAACGTTCCCAGTATATCAGACGGGCTCAGGTGGTCTCCCACATTCGGCACTGTGTAGTTTAAAAGATACCTGTGCAGGGGAAAAATGTCAAACCTAGACTCATCAAAGTCGTACTTGTGACTGTGTATGTATTCAATCATCTCTAGGCATTTCTCTGGACCCACCGCACCATTCACGTAGTTCACCTCGTTGATGGCCGTGACCGGATCGATTCCGGGGAAGTCCCATACGGCCTCGGGCCTCACGGGCTGTTCGGCCTCCATTTCCGCTCCAAACAACCTCTCAGTTACTGCTCCGAGGATTTTCAAAAAAAAATTGAATCCCACGCTCTTGTGAGTAAGCTTTCAGTATCTTTTCAACCGCTGAGGCTCGTTGAAGAGAGAGCCTTCCGGAAAAGGATAGAGCATCGAATGGTCTGGGCTGCGTAACCTTTTTAGTAAGGCCTCGGTGAAGACGATCTCACCTCTGGAGAAGTGTTTATGGTCAGTGACTTTTCTAAAAACTGAGCATTGAAATAAAAGCATTGACCTTGCAATGATTACGGCTTTTTTTATATTCAATCAGAAGGGTGATGTCATTATCTCCAAGCTGCTCCGGGAGGGAGTCCGGAGGAATGTGGCCGATGCGTTCCGGATCCAGGTGATAACCAGTTCGGAGGTGAGTTAACTAGTTTAGGGTAATTTTTGACGATGTTTTTTGCCTCTTTGCTCATCCACTAACGCAATTTATCAGGTACGGTCTCCCGTTCTTACTCTTGGGTCAACCACGTTTCTACACATCAAACACGGCTCGCTGTGGATAGTGGCTGTTACGCGATCGAATGCGGATGCCAGTCTGGTCTTCGAGTTCCTCAACAAGTTCCTGTCGCTTATGTTGAATTTCCTCGGAACAACTGTGTTGGATGAAAACACAGTCAAAAACAATTTCACGTTTATTTACGAACTTTTGGATGAAACCACCGACTTCGGGTTTCCTCAGAACATGGAGATCAACGGACTGAAGCAGAACATAAGCGTTCCCGTGGCGTACGGATCATCAGATTTTCTGAGGAGATCATCTGCTGTTCCTTCCAGTGGCATTCCAGCGAGTGGTTCAGCCGGTGGGTTTCTAGCACGAGCTGGTACATTGAGAAGGCGGAGTTCGGCCGCTCTCTCAAGTCCAAACACATCGGCCGGAGCCGTTTCCTGGAGACATGCGGGAATCAAGCATCGGAGAAACGAGGTGTTTCTGGATGTCTTTGAAGACGTGAGTCTTTTGATGTCCGTTAACGGAACCATTCTGAGGTCCGTGGTGGATGGAAGAATAATGATGAACAGTAAACTATCGGGAATGCCCGAATGCTCTTTTGGTTTTAACAAGCAGTCACATGGTCAGACGTCTGCTCAGGATGTCTTGAAGGACTGCAAATTCCACCAGTGTGTGGATCTGCAGACTTTTGACCGTGATCAGCTTATCAAATTCATACCTCCAGATGGAGAGTTTGAGCTCATGACATACCGAGTGGAGGATGTTGATCTTCCATTTAAAGTGAATGCCTCGGTCACTACGTTTGCAAATAAGGCTGTTGAGTACTCGATATCAATCTCCTCAAATTTTCCGGCAAAAGTCGGAAGCAGTATGGTGGTTATGCGCATTCCAACTCCACCTGGAACGATCAAGGCCCACATCGGCAAGTTGTCCAGTGGGAAGGCTAAGTTCATTGCCCAGGAAAACCTGATTGAGTGGAAAATCTTCCATTTCAACGGCTCTGTGACTCAGACATTCAAAGCGTCTGTTGATATTGCTTCTGTGGGCAGTCAGGAAAGCCTTCTCGCATGGGTAAGACCACCGATCTCGGTCAACTTCTCGGTCAAAATGCACACATTCTCTGGACTCTTGGTGAATTTCCTCAAGGTCAACGAACCGTCGGGCTACAATGCTGTGAAATGGGTCAAATATCTGTCTCAGTCAAAATCCTACGAAGTGAGATATTAGTTGTGTAATATATATAAATATGTATGTATATCAAAAGAAAAGACCCTCTATCTTATCGGCCAGGAAATGGGTGTTGCACGTGCCTGGATGAGGAAAAATTTGGCAGTCAATTCATGTTTCTCGGGTACGGCTTGATTGCACTCGAAGGTCAACCATTGAGAATATAAATGAGAGATTTGTTGGTGTTTTCAGGGTCCTCGAACAAGGGCCTTGCAGAGAGAATCTGCCGGTGTTTGGGGGTAGAGGAAGGCGAGGTATCGTTGTCCAAGTTCAGCAATGGAGAGACCTCTGTTACCATGGTGGACTCCGTCCGTGAAAAAGATGTGTACATCGTCCAGTCCGGCTCTGGCCATGTGAACGACAACTTCATAGAGATGTTGATCATGATATCGGCTTGCAAGATGGCTTCTGCCAAAAGGGTGACTGCGGTGTTACCTCTCTTCCCATACTCGAGACAGCCAGATGTTCCGTACAACAGGAAAGGTGCACCTCTGGTTTCGAAGACAAAGTCCTCCTATACTTACGATAGTGTGCCAAGCACTCCAAGACCAAGTTCTAGAAACTTCTACTCTGCCTCGGATGTGCAGAAGTTGGATCTGAACCAGCCGAGACAATCCGGGGCCAATGTGTCCAACCTGGTGCTATCGCCAGCTCCGTTGAGCCCTGCCAAGTCGCCATTTTTCAAGTCCAGGGTTACTTCAGATGCTCCAGCAGACAAAGGCTACCATCCCACTGCATTGCCAACCAATGCGAGCTCGCCTGGTCTGAAAGGGTCCGATGTGAACAGTTTGGTTGGATACAAACAGTGGATAGCCCAATCAGGCACTTTGGTTGCGAATTTGCTGACTACAGCAGGTGCGGACCACATCATTACAATGGACTTACACGATCCGCAGTTCCAAGGGTTTTTTGACATTCCTGTGGACAATCTCTATTCCAAGCCACTGTTGCAGCATTACATAGCCAACTACATTCCCAACTACCAGAAGGCGGTGATTGTGTCTCCAGATGCTGGTGGAGCCAAAAGAGCAACGTCCGTGGCAGATGCCTTGGAGATGGAATTCGCACTTATACACAAAGAGAGAAGACAGAAACTTACCAGTGACACTGTCCCCTCGAGCAATTCGGGTACTCCTTCAAACGGCCCGTACTCGTACTTCCACTCCAACTTATCCACGGCAAGTCTTTCTGGAGGAACCTCGTCTCCGATGCTGCATGGTGGCTCTTTGTCCAAAGAGAAAATAGTGGCGACCACAATGTTAGTTGGTGATGTGGAGGACAAGGTTTGTATTATCGTGGACGATTTGGTAGACACCTCGTACACCATCACCCGTGCAGCGAAACTGCTGAAGGCTCAAGGTGCCAAGTACGTTTATGCCATTGTGACCCATGGAGTGTTCAGCGGTGATGCTTTACGCAGAATACGGTCCAGTGGAATTGACAAGCTCGTCACCACAGACAGTGTTCCACAAGAAGATCTCGTCGCTGAGCTCGGAGACATGGTGGAGGTGCTGGATGTATCCAGGATCTTCGCAGAGGCCATCAGAAGAATCAACAACGGAGAGTCTGTTTCGATGTTGTTTGACCATGGTTGGTGAAAAAGAGGTATTATATCGCCTGTGGCATCATTAATTATTGTTAGTTCTCGATAAACGTTGAGTAAATCATCGGCACCTAAGCAGCCTGAACGTCGATCTGAACTGAATCTGAATCTGAATCTTCAGTAAAAGCCTTATTTTCAATAGCTGAATATCCTGTTCAGAATCCTGATCGACTTCAGCTCCAGAGTGGTCAGAAACTTGTCCAATTTCGAAAAGCTTGTCAGCCTTGTGTCCTCCCTCTCGTTGTTAAACTTAGCGGCCCTCATCAGCTGTTTGGTGAAAGACAAGACCACCAGCGTGAAGTATATTCTCAGAACATTAGCGCCAACCGAGGATGCCACTGTGACAAACAATTCATACCCTTTGCTGGCAGATTGAGATGCCAAATCAGCTCCACGCTCGGAAAGAGCCCTGCCTACCAACGGTGAAATAATATAGTCATTCGCAGCCTTGCGAATGGCCTCGTTACTCGCCACTTTATCCCAGACATAGTTGGTATTCACGGGTCCCAACGCGACGACATCCTCCTCAACAGCCCTTGCAAGCTTCTCGCCCGTGTAGGCTGTAGAAGCCGAAGCCGCATCCGAATCTTCTTCGGCAAACCACAGCCAAGCAAAATAGATCGTGTAGAATAGTCCAACAATGGTGTCCAGCATGTAAACCACGCTGATCAGTGACATGTGACGAGCCCTGGGCTTCTTCAATGACAGCATTCCGTGGCAGTAAACCGGAATCACAATGAAAGATGCCAGATAGAAAAGCCATTGAAGAAAATTGATGGGATGGCCTGTAAACAGCGACAACAAGCCAAACACTCCGCTCATCTTGTTTATTATGGCATATCCAAGGATTATTTCCACCCCTATGTACAGTGGCAACACACCAAAAAATTTCTATGAATCCTTGTTAGTGGGTACTCGGCTGGAACTACCGTGCGGAAGCCCGGCCGGTGTCGTTACTTACATTTGGCAGAAATTGAGATAGTATCTGCGAAGACATAATATGTGGTATCCTATGATGATGATTAGACCAAAATCAGCTCGATTATTCTCACTGTTGTCCAGATCAGCAAAGAGAAAACAAAGTCTGGAATCAAACAAGCTTGGCCCGTTACACCAGACCTAAGATGTCTTGGTGACCCGTGAAACAAAAGGCAGCGATGAGGTAATGAAAAAAATTTAGAGAGCACATACAACAGGTGAAAGCCACGAGTTGAGGACTACTTGACAAGAGCTGTTTGTTTGTTTGACAATGAGCTCGAGTTTGCGTGATATACTAGAGGATATGGATCTGTCTTCGGATTCAGACTCGGATATGGAGCAACGGCCCACGACACAAGCCAAGGCCAAGAAGGTGACGCATGCCGCATCCAGGGACAACGCTGAAATCTTGGCCAAGTACTCGGATAAGATTAAGACAGACGAGTTTTTGTTCAAGAGCCACAGAATCACGAGGGATAAAGCCGAGCGTGCCACTGTTGAGAGTGTGCTTGACCCTCGAACCATAGGGTTCATTCTCAAGCTTTTCAAGAATGGGACCATTACCCAGATCAACGGATGTATAAGTACGGGGAAAGAGGCAAATGTGTACCATGCCATGAACGAGGAGACTGGAAAGGAGTATGCCGTAAAGATCTACAAGACATCTATTTTGGTCTTCAAGGACAGAGAGAGATATGTGGATGGAGAGTTCCGTTTCCGCAACACCAAGAGTCAGCACAACCCCAGGAAGATGGTAAAAGTTTGGGCTGAAAAAGAGTTCAGGAACTTGAAGAGACTTCATTCGAATGGCATTCTTTCACCTGAGCCTGTTGACCTGAAGTCTCACGTTCTCGTGATGGACTTTCTGGGCAGGGGAGATGGTGGGCCATCCCCCAAGCTGAAGGATTACGTCTTCAAAGATGTGGACCAAATTGTCAAGTTCTACCAGGATATGCTCATTGCAATGAGAAGGATGTACCAGCAGTGTAAGTTGGTTCATGCCGATCTCAGTGAGTACAATTCCATAGTCCATAATGAGCAACTCTACATATTCGATGTTTCTCAGTCTGTGGAGCACGACCATCCCATGAGCTTGGACTTTTTGCGAATGGACATCAAGAACGTAAATGACTTCTTTGAAAGAGTTAAGCATATCAATGTTTTTCCAGAACGTCTCATCTTCAAGTTCATCATCCAGGAATGGAGCGCGTTGAAGCGAGATGTAGAAGTTGCCGAAGAGGATCCTGAGTTCCTAGCCCATTATTTGCATGAACTTCCTCTCAAGGGCGAAATTGAAGGAGAGGAGCAACAGGATGACATCTTCAGGAGCTTACACCTGATTTCCTCGCTCAATCACTTGGACGAAAGAGATTTCGAGAAGTTCTCGAAGGGAAACATGGACTCTTTGAAGGATCTCGTTGGAGATGGAAAGAATGGGGAAGGCATAAATGGCGATGGTGATGAAGATAGCCACGATGACGATGACGAAGATGATGATGACGATGATGAAGATGAGGAGGACGAGAATGACTCCGGGAGCAGCGGATCTGAAACAGAGGAGAAAGAGTGGACGGATAGAGAGAAGGACTTAAGAGGCAAGAAGCATGAAGATAAAAATGCCAAAAAACTGAGAAAGAAGGAGGCTAAGGACCAGGCCAAGGAGAAGAGAAAGACAAAGATGAAGAAACATGTTAAGAAAAAGCTGGTGAACAAAGCTCACAAGGGAAGCAAATGACCTACGATCGTCGTTTAAAAAAAATGTATATTAAGCAAAGCCAACCCACAAGTACCCTAATCATTACTATCACATACTACCACCACTTGCACCATGGCCACCAACTAGTCCTGCCATCTCTAGGAAAGCTCTTTCTTCTCCCAAGTTTTTGACATTGACTCTTTGACGAGCAAGGGCTTCCTTCTGTTCCCACTCCCATTGCTTAGCCTGCTCAGCCAGGTCCTTCTCTGTCCCGCATCCCCATACCTCCAGATCAGTAACAGAAAATCGATCTTCGTACTCTGGTGCCTGTTCTTCCCCATATATGCTCCCTTCTTGGTAGGTTCCACCTCTCCCCAGATGTCTGAATACGGCAAACTCCAGACTCGAATCAATGGTTAACGACACATTTCCTGGTTGGTATCTCTTCGTGTTGCTCTTTAATAAAGGCTGGTCGTTTCCAAATCCAATTCCTCCTCCATTCGTGTTGAAGTACGCGTAGTGCTGGTCTATTTTGCGGGCTTTGAAGATGGACTGGTGAGGTGAAATCTGAAACAGCATGCTGCCAGAATCACCAAAACAGTCTTTATTCGAGATCTTCCAAGGCTGGGCAATATATGCTCCAAAAGTGAGCTTCTCACCATCATCATTATCGTTTGGATATGTGGTATCTGCATCTGGATTCGTCTTCCGAAAGTTGGGGAAATGCTCTTTAAACTGTTCGTAACGCTTGTTTTTTGTTTCTCTAACACGGAACCCAGATACAAATAGGATGGTTGGTGCATTCCACTTGAAAACTTTGGACTGGAATGATCTCATGGAAAATCCAGCCTCGGATGCCACATAAAGCTTCTTCATCCTGCCATACACGAGCTCTGCCGGGAGGAACGTAGCCAGTTGTGAAAGGGTATATGGTGTTATCACTTTGGTATTCTCCTGTTGAATCATTCCCGATTCAGGTCCAGGTGGGTTCACAAAAAGTAGCGAATCCATAAATGAGCTTAGGGGGCTGAACACCTCAGGCATGGTTCCGGTCACGATCCTTTCGAAAAGGGCAAAATTGACTGATCCCTGTGTCTTAGACCTCGTCGCCGACGGTAAAAACGATCGCAACAGTATCATGGCTCTTTTCTCGTAAAGGCCCCAATTTGAAAATGCTGTATCAAACTCAGACAGTCTAAAATGGGACTTTCCTGGAATCGTAATCTCGGAAATTACAAGCACAAAAGTGAGAAGAGAAACCAGATCCTGGGCCGAAACAGCAAGCTTTTCAAAATCAAAACCGTCACTTGTCTGGACAATTGGCATCTTAGACCACAGCACCGTATTGGCTTTCGAAACCACTTTCACGGCTGACTTAGCCTGTGTCTGGTCTTTCTTCTCAGCCTTTTCAGCCTTCTCTGTGAAGGACGGACCCGTTGCTGCCACTGCCAGAAACAAAAGCTTTAAGAAATCAAATCCATCATTAAACAGCTTATTTCTTCTTTCCGGACTGAATAACACAATTGCCTTGATCATTTCACCTGTTGTAATATCTGCGCTGTCTTCCCACGCGCCGAGGAAGGGGAACTTACCAAGAAACTGTATGCACCTGAACAAAACGCCTTTGACAGGTAGATTTGGTGGAGATGCTAATAGCGCAAACAATTGGTCGCCAGTAATGATTTCGTTTCCATGAAGCTCATCAAGAGCCATTTGTTGCTTTAACGAAACCAGCTCGATAGGTAGGAGGGTCGAGACGCAAGCCTTAACAAACAGCCTGTCAACCTCTGACCTCTGTAATTGGCTGATAGTGGCATTCCCCAATTGCCCATCCTCTGAAGACTCTGTTGACCATGATTGTCCCATGATACAGGTCACAAAATGCAAAATAAAACTCCACCTTAAAGACAAGAAGATGGGGCAAAAGAACTTGTGGCCTTCCGTATCTAATCAATAGGTAGTGTACCTGCTCAATATGTATCCTCATCGGGCTTTCCCAAATTTTTTTTCAAGTTCACTGTTTAACCATTTACACTCCAGAGCACACTGTATCCTTTGATCAAATATGGCACCAAAAGATAAAAAAGGAGCTAAAAAGGCTGTGACAACCGACTCTCGGTTTGCATCTTTGCACAATGATCCCAAGTTTGCGCCTACAAGGAGAAACGATCTCAAGGTGAAGGTTGACAGCAGATTCTCCAAAGAAGAGTTGGGATTGCAGAACTCCAAGGCCAAGATTGATAGATATGGCCGCAAATTGAAAGACCAGAAGTCTACAAAGGATTTTGACAAGTTTTATGAACAGGAGGATGATTTGGAGGCAAAGGTTGCTAGTCCAAGCTCTAGCTCTGATTCTGACTCTAACTCTGATTCGCACTCTACCGATGATGAAGATGGCACCAAGTTCGTTGACCGTGCCAGAGGAGAAGGAGGGTCTGATGAGGACGACTCCAGCTCGTCTTCAGAAGAGGAGGAGTCTGAAGAAGAAGACTACGCCGAAGATTCTGAGCTTGAGATAGAAGAGGAAGAGGTAGCAGAAGGCGATCCAACCTCTACCATTGCTGTCACCAACATGGATTGGGACCATCTGAGAGCCGTTGATTTACTAGCAACTTTCTCCAGTTTTGTTCCTCCCAAGGGATTCATTGATAGTGTGACAATCTACCCCTCGGAGTTTGGGAAGGAGAGAATGCAGAGAGAAGAGATCGAAGGCCCACCCAGAGATGTGTTCGCTTCCAAAAAAAGCAAAAAGGAAGAGTCAGATGATGACTCAGATGATGACGATATCGACCTCGAAAAGGCAGCGAAGCAACTTTACGAGGAAGGCGATGCCCAAGACTACGACTCGAAGAGTCTGAGAAGATACCAGCTCCAGAGGTTGCGTTACTATTATGCAATTGTTGTATGTGACTCCGTTGCCACGGCTAAGGCGATCTATGATAGTTGTGACGGTACAGAGTACGAGTCCACCGCCAACCACTTTGACCTTCGTTATGTTCCCGAGGGAATGGAGTTTGAAGAGGACGATGTCAAGGACAGGTGTAGAAAGATCCCAGCAAACTACAAACCACAGGACTTCATCACCGATGCCTTGCAGCATTCAAAGGTGAAGCTGACGTGGGACGAAACTCCTGCTGAAAGGATGACACTTTCCAAGAAGGCATTTTCTCAGAAAGAGATCGAGGATATGGACTTCAAGGCGTATCTTGCTTCCGACAGTGAAGAGAGTGATGCTGAGGATCTCAAGCAAAAGTACAAGTCTCTTGCTGGAGTCGCCGGGTCTGGCAAACAGTCCAAGCCTTTGGAAGAAGAGGAAGGAGATGATCTCGATATGGAGATCACATTCACGCCTGGTTTGGCCGAGGCCACCGCTGAAGAGAAGGAAGAGTCTACGATTGATAAAATCAAGAACAAGGAAAAAGAGAGAAGAAAGCAGAGAAAGCAAAAGCTCAAGGAGCTGAAGAAGCAGCAGGAAGAGACCAAGCGTACCAGCAAAAAGGAGAGAAGGTCCAAGAAGACGGAAGAAGGCGATGACAAGGTAAGTCGTGAAGAGCTTGAGTTGTTGATGCTCGACGAGAACGAAGAAGAGGCAAAGAAAGGAAGAAGCCATTTCAACATGAAGGAGATCATCAAGAGTGAAAAGGAAAAGAGCAGGAAGCATAAGGGCAAGGGCAAGGGCAAGAGAGCTAGCAACGATTCTGGTGATGAGGCTAGTAATGACTTGGATATTGTCGATAGTCGTTTTAGTGAAGTGTTTGAGGATCACAGATTTGCCATTGACCCCACCAGTTCCGAATACAAGAACACGCCTGTCATGAAGAAGATCTTGCAAGAGCGTTCTAAGAGGTCTATGAAGAGGTCAAAGGAAGACTCTCATAAGAAAAGAAGGGTTTAATGTATATTAAAAGAGTCAATTCGAATATTTGCAGAATTCAAGAAAATGAATAACTTGAAATTGCCAAAATCGTAGAAATTTTGAAAAATATTTGAGTTTGTTGGATTTTGAAAAATTATGGAAATGCTGAAATGCTGAAATTATTGAAAAATTGAAAAATTTCACCATCATAACTACATTTTTTGGTATAGTCTACCTTTACACGATTTTGGTAATGAGTGTTTTCTTGAAAGATACATGATCGATCTAAATAATGGTTCATCTTCTTCTCATTTCGTCATCTTGCAGTTTCAGTCGGCTCAGTTTTTGGTCTAATCCGTCTCTTTTGTCCGAATTATTTCTTTGGTGGGGTGAAAGTGATCTTTCTGTGCTTGACTGGAGTCCACTTGAATTTCTTGACCCAGACGGACACTAGGTACAAACCAGACACAATTATCAATGCCTTGAGACCCAATCTCTTTCTCTCGTCATGCTCTGGCTCGGCAGCCCAGTTCAAGAAGGTGGTCACGTCCTTGGCCATCTGGGAGGTGGTGGCTGGGGTTCCGTCCTCAAACTCAACGAGGCCA